ATCTTAGCCCTAACTTCAGTTAGTGCCCTGGGATAGGGTAGAACTCTTCTTGCTGCTCAAGCGCTCCAACTAAACCAAGTAAAAAGTCAGCGTAGTGCCTCGTACAACTCTTCAACGCCGCCTCCAAGGTATCCAGCCTCAAGCTATTACCAACGCCCAGAAACGTAAGCTCTATCCTTTTAAGGAGCAGGCTCTCGTTCAATGGATCCTAGACCTTGATCGACGAGGCTTTCCATCCCAGGTTATCGACGTACGACGGATGGCAGACGCTCTTCTCGCTGCGCGCAGCCAAGACCCACCTCCACAACCTGTTGGCTAGAAGTGGGTGTCGCGCTTCGTCAACAGCGAGTCTGAGCTACACAGACATGGGCATATCGATATCGATATAAAATAGCAGATTTCATATCGATATCGATTCGAAGTTTTTTATATCGATATCGACGTCGATATCGATCGTTATCGATGACATAAGCTATAAAAAATCAATTAGCTAGCTAAGTGTCCTCAAACCACGTTATCTCATTAATTACTTCATCTATCTAGCCCTGGATAGCCTTATTTTCGCCTGGTTCAAGTTGAAATCCCCTTCCGGACCTGGATGAAGGCGTAATTAATCCCTGGTGAAGCCAACTACTAATACACTCGATTTTCTCGATATTAGCACACGATAGCCTGAGTCGATCGTATCTACAAGTCCTTCTTGCACCTGAAAACACCCTTTCTGCCTCTGCAGATTTAGCAGGGATTGAGAGTATATTGATAGCTATCTAGCTAAGCTTTGGATATTAGCGTCTCTAATCCTCGTGGCACTACTATTCTAAAGCTATACAGCTAATCGCAATGGGTGTGGCCTCAATAAACACGCTAAAGTTATCCTTATCCTTATTAGCTGTCGTTACAGCTAAGTTGCGGCGTAAACGATTAAACCTAAAGAGATCTCGATGTTAGGGCTGTTGAACAGGTTCGGAACTAGGGATTAAAGCCGTTTTATAATCCTCTACCTAAAGTGTATAAGCTTTATTAATTGCTGGCGCTATCTAGCTTCAGGTCTAGTTCTTTTTAATATAGGCTAACCGCTTTAAAGGATCGAGAAGAAGGGCTGCAGCGTATACAGGTGCTTCGTCTGTAAGGCTGTAGTACTTACTAAGGACATACTATCCCATGTTAATAGCGTAGAGCATCTAAGGATCTTCTTAACTAGGCGTAGAGTATCTTTCCTAATAACTTATTAGTAAAGATACCTAATAAGACGTCTACTTTACCTTCTCTTGTTTATAGTAGTAGAGGAGAATATCTATAATCTTAAGGCTCTGTCTAATTGATGACTTATCCCCTTCTGCGTATAGAGTCGCACCTACAAACGGTTGTAAGAATGAGTGAGCTTTGCTAAGGATATCCTAATCCTTAGCAGTAAGCTTAATGCTATTTAGGTCGTCTTCGTAATTAACGAGAAAGACCTTAATCTTACTCTATTTCTGCAGTGTTTTATCGATAAACAGATACTACGATGACTACCGCGTTATATTATCAATCCTTATCTGTATCCTAATAGCCTTAAGCTAGTCCTTATCGCGTTGTAGTAAGCGATAGATCTAGATACCTAGGTCGTGAAGCTTTTCGAGTGCAGGTAATCGGCCTATCCTATCGAAATCCTAGTGTTAAGGATTCTCGCTCGCCTGTCGCGCTCTACGGCCTTTCGCGATTGCTCGCCAAGTTTTACGGCCGCGAGCGTTGTCTTTTAAGTTATTAGAACTTAAGATAAGGGAAAACCTATTAAAAAGTTCCTCTCTATCAACCTTAGCTGCTACGGACAACGCGGCGATAAGAGCTTCTTTAGAAGACGCGAGGAGGAAGGCTTAAAGGGATAGGTTGATAATATAGGCTATACAGCGTATACGGCGCCTTTTAGGGTCGTACTTAACCTATATAGTGTTAGTAAGATACCTAGAAAACGTAGAAAACAAACCTAATGCTCTTTAAGTAATCGAGATGCTAGAGATTCTAGACAAGTGTCGTTTAACGTCGCGTTGTCGCCTGTATACTACCTAAGGTTTAACGTGATCTCGTATTGTTTAAGAACCTAATAGATTAAGGATGCTTAAGATAATCCTAAGTAGTCTCCTGGTAACTTAACTAGGCCTAACAAGGCTTTTTAAAGCTTATATTCGTGATTAATCTATTGCTAGCAGATAGCAAGCATGCCCTTTTAATAGGGCGACGTCTAGATATCTGTTTGTAAGTGAATTAGGCTGCGAGCTATAGTAAGAGTATCTTAAAGCTAATCTCGGTACATGACGTAATTAGCAGCCATAAGACGTATAACAGTGCGTTGAGACTTAATAAGAAAATGGCCACTTTTAGGATTAGCGGCTAGAAGTAGAGCTTGCATCTCTAGCCACTTAACACTGCTAAATAGTAGGCGCTGTCGGGTAAGTAATCCAACTACTACTTCTTTGTAGGCTTCCCTATCGAACGTACGATGTAGGGCTGCAGTTAAAGGTAAAAGGCCTTAAGATAATAACGTATCTGCGTCGTTCAAACGCTGCTAACGTAGCTGTTGCTAAGATAATAGGTGCTAGGTGCGACAATAATATAAAGCATTAGATTTTGATGTTTGAGGGCCCCATTAAGGATGCATCATGCATATAAACTCTTAAGTGCCTTAAGATCCACGTTTCTGGCTTGGTACGGTACGTCGTTCCATAACATCCTAGAAGTTACTAGGTAACTTAATTAGGTTGCTAGCAGAGCTAGATGGTGCGACATCTAATAATAAAAAGGACTCTATGGTGTAATAGGTAAGTAGTACTAATCAGGTTAAAAAACGGCTTGTTAATAGATATTAAGGGATAAAAGTACGTATCTGCAGAGATATTTAGGTTGTAAGTGTGAGGGGTAGTTATAGGCAATAGTATTTGCTTCACACTACAAGAGAATAGTGGGGGAAAGCTCTTGTATTACTACACTAGGTGGGGAGGTCGTGAGAATAATTCTTGTCCATCTCCTAACGCGTGGAGCGCAGGTTATGAGCAGGTTCAGAGGCCAAGGCGCGAGCGAGAGAAGCAAACATGTTGGGACCATAATCGTCCTCCTCGCTCAGCCTCTGCCGTCCCGTGTTACAGTAAGGGCTGCCAAGCTTTTTCATCGATATATCGATATATCGAAAACGGGTGAGTTTCGATATCGATATATCGACGCTAAAGCATATCGATTTGCCCATGTATGGAGCTACAGACTAAGTGGAATAGAAAGTTCCACAGCCAGCGCGCTTGCTGTGAGGATCCTGTCGCAATCTCAGCGTGGTTTAAGCTTATAGAGGAGACGCGCCAGGCCTATAGGATACTAGACACAGACACGTACAACTTTGATGAGACTTGCTTCATGATGGGCGTCGCAGCGACGTCTAAGGTAGTCACTAGCTCTAACACTATAGGTCGAGCAGTCACTGTACAGCCAGGTAACAGAGACTGGGTTACGACTATCGAGTGTATCAACGCGTCTGGCTGGTGTCTTCCGCCATTCGTGATCCTGTCTAGGAAGCTCCACCAGGCTAGCTAGTACTACTACATCCCTATAGACTGGGTGCTTGCTGTATCAGACAACGGCTAGACGACAGATGAGCTCGGCGTAGAGTGGGTAAAGCACTTCGATAGATATACAGCGCCTCGTACGCATAGAGTCTACCAGCTTCTTATCCTAGATGGCCACAGCAGCCACGCTACGCCTAAGTTCGACCAGTACTGCACAGAGAACAAGATTATCACTCTCTGCATGCCAGCCCATACCTCCCACCACCTCCAGCCACTTGATGTGGGCTGCTTCTCCCCGCTCAAGCGAGCGTACGGTCACGAGATCCAGGAGCTCGCTCGCCAAGGCGTCTACCATATTGACAAGATAGACGTCCTCACGATCTATACACGGATCCAGCCGACAGTATTCACGCAGCAGAACATTCGGGCAGGCTGCCAGGCGACATGGCTTATCCCTCCCTGTCCTGATCGTGTCCTGATCGTGTCCTATCGTCGCTCACAGTCGTCCGTACGCCGTCTCCACTAGGGACAACAGCAGACAACAACGTCGCATGGACAGCAGAGACACCGCGTATAGTAGCCCAGCTTCAGCAGCAGCCTCGTCACGTACAGGAGCTGCTTCGTCGCCAGTCACAGAGCCCAACAAGCCAAGCTATCCGCCAGCTTGTCAAAGGTTGTCAGCTTCCCATAAACTCAGCGACTATACTCGCAGAGGAGAATAGAAAGCTTCGTACGGCTAGTCAGCGCCAGCAACGTAGGAGAGACCAGCGGCGTCAGTATATAGCTCGTGGAGGAGCGCTACAGGCTCAGCAAGGCCAGCAGCTCGCTGCAGAGGCAGAAAGGGTGGTTGCGGAGGTTGAACAAGCTCAGGCTACCCGAGGTCGTCAGCGCGCACCACCAACGTGTACGAAGTGTTATGTACAAGGACATACAAGGACCCAATTTAGACAGTAACAGACTACCTTAGTACAAAATATTATAATATAATCTGCTACTGTTGTAGAGTTGTAGTGCGTTAAGTGGCGTTAACTTTAGTGGGGATGGCCAGTGAGTGGTGGAACACGTTAGTATTGATTAGTCTTTATACGGCTACTGTAAGGGGCTGCGCAAAGGTTGCTGATGCTTAGTAATAGGATTGTATTCGATAAAGAGGAAAGCCGATATACGGTGCTACGATATCTATATACGTTTAGCTTGTCGTTCGCGTAGCATCTCGAAGCTTCTAGAGTGCCGAGGACGCTCCGAAGGTTCCACCGAGGATCACTTAGTATCCGGGCTCTAGCCTGTTACAGTTACATAATGTCGCAGGCCAAGCGTTGTCGGGAACTTAAACCTTATTACTAATAACGCCGTGCGATGACCTCCATATAAGCTGAGCTATGATGCTAGAACAATAAACATACACTTCATAATTTCTCGTACTTGCAACACCGCACCCAACCGTGCGACACATAACTATGAAACTATGCGTTAAGCCATGAAAGGCTTGACCATTTCAAGAGATTTCTCCCATAAGCCTTTCTCCTTTTCTGCATCATATGCATGAGGCGCATGACCAGCCTTGTACTCTGGTGCGTCTGGTGGAGCGGGCTTCGAGATCTGACACTCTTCGAGGTATCTCCCGCCTTGACCCTCCAAAGCCTGTGCGGTAGCTGCCCACACCGTAGTAGCCGCACCCTGTTCCGCATTTTTGGTCGCATTGCGGACGTTGGGATCTGTGTTCCAGTGAGCCAACATCTCCTCGTCCACGTTCGTCATGAGCCCGGTAAAGATCAGGCCGGGGTGGACCGCATAAGCGCGCACGCCTTGGCTTGCGTAGCGGCGATCGAGCTCGGTGGCAGTGTAGATGTTGGCGGTTTTGCTTTGCGCATAAGCTGCCCAGGCGTGGTATGGTTTCTCGAGGTTGAGATTGTCCAGATCGACGCCTCCCATGCGATGAGCAAGTGACGAGAGAACAACAACCCGCGATTGGAATTCCGGAGTACTCGACTTCACCATGGTAGGAAGAAGAAGTTGGATCAATAGAAAATGAGCAAGATGGTTCGTGCCAAATTGGAGTTCGAAACCATCTGCGGTGCGTCCTTCTGGGCAGGCCATGATGCCTGCGTTGGCAATCAGGACATTGAGACGATTGTGCTGGGCCAAAAACGTGTCTGCGCACTTTCGTACACTAGCCAAAGAGTTGAGGTCGCACTCCAAAAGGTGAACACGCTCACTCTTTATCATACTGCTGCCAAGTGCTGACTTTGCTTTGTTGAGATTTCGAGCAGTCAGGTAGAGTGTAGCACTGGTTTCGAACAAGGCTTTCGCTGTTTCGACACCAATTCCAGAAGAGCAGCCGGTAATACTGAATGTGGGTACATAAAATCAGTATTTGTCTCACATGCAGTTTCTACAGTCACACTTACAGGATCGTTTTATCTGACCATTTTCCGCCTAGTTGTTCGTCTTTGATGATCTGAGAGGCTGTAGGACGTTCGTCACCAGGACCTTTCGGCGACTGATGAACAGATTCGTATCGTGTAGCCATTTTGATGATTGTGGTTGAGGGAATAACTAATTGGTTGTATACTTAGAATTCGAGTGTCAAGTTTGAAGGCATCATTGGGCTAAAGAATACTTGACTTATATACCTCCTCAACAGGGCCACTTCGTACGCTCCTTGTCCACGCATTGTAAGTCTTCGCCTAACACTTCGCCCTGCTTCAAGCTAAACCCCGGAATTCGTAATTGGCTTAAGAATGCTCTCTCCGAGCCTCACGCCGAGTGCGATGTGTGAAGGTTTACCTTGCCAGTAACACCGTACTTTGTCATCCACCGTTAATCACTCTCCGATCTAGTCGGTTTCAGGAAAGTACTTTCGCCAAGACGCTTCGGAATGATTGCGCTAAACTATTTATAGCATGCAACCCCGCCGAGAATATGATGATTAATCGGTCCTACGTTTAGTCAGGACGCATGTTAAAGCCTTGGCGATCGAACGTTCCTTAGTTGGTTACCTTGCAATCTCCCTCTTCATTACACTTCAGCTCCGTTTACTGATGAATTCTTGGCGCTAATCTGCCAGGTCCGACTATAGAAATATCTTAAGCCGAGATAGGTAGACTATGAGGGGCAAAAGAAAGAACGTATGTCAAAACTGCAGGTCTCGGAAGTTGGCTGTAAGTTTCTGCCGCTCGTAACGCACAAGTAGCCATACAGTATAGGTTTACGAATGCTGACAATCCCCAAGTGTGACGGAAAGCAACCAGCATGCTTTCAGTGTACTTTTCATCGAATTCCGTGTAGCGGTTACCACCAAGAACTTACCTTCATCCATACAGTTCCTCCTGCAATCCAATCACGGGCCAAAACGGATATGGAAAGTAGGAGAACCTGGGCAGATAAGAGAACAACGTTTAATGCCGACATTCATGAGAGCAGCCAAGTCGAAATTTGCTCTCAACCAGGTTCATATATTTACATGACAGCTCAGCCTGGAGTCAGTCGTCATGAGCTCGAACAAGATATTGATATTATCATCCGACACTTTTCGCCTGTTAAAAGCGAGGCCCCTGCAGAGTTCGATATAAATCACAACCAAGTCTGTGGAGCTTGGGTTGAAGTACTTCCACTTGTCACCAAGACCGCAACGGACAAACCCTTCCTCATATCTGCGATCAAGACAATGGCGGCGGCTTTGCAGCATGACGGTCTTACGACTGAGGAGTCTCAATCCAGGATGCTTGTAATGTACGGAGGCTCGCTCCGTCAGATGAGCAAAGCACTCGAGGAAGCCCATGGTGTCTTTCAGTGGGAACATTGTATTGCGATCATGTGCTTGTCAGTGACTAATGTAAGTTCCCAAGTCATGTTCTCTCATGTCTTATCTGACCACGAGATCAATCAGGTCGTGATCCCAGATCTGAGGTTTGATTGGATGACGCATGCAAAAGGCGTTGGGGATCTGATAGAACGCCTCGGACCGAAAGCATTCAGTACTGGCATTCTGCATACACTTTTCGCTGGCTTCAGGCCCCTACTAGTAGGTTTTGGCGACTTTTGTTTCGAACGAATGTTGTACTAATTATGGATGCGTAATCCTCAGTTGATCACCGCAATCCACAATAGACGCAAAACGTTCCTTGCACTGCCACGCTGGATCACTATACCTTTCAATGGGCGGCCTGTATCTGTCATGCAGTTACTTCTCAACAAAGCTACTCAGCTTCCGGCTCTTCTAGAGAGACACGTTGAACTAGGAGAACTTTCTGGTATATCCAACATCGTCGAGACTCAACAACTCCGGACTGACTTCTTAAACATGATCAGAAGTCTTGAGGAATGGGAGACATCAGCACAAGCACAAGCACAATCGCCTTTGTTTTGGTCGGAACCGGATTCTGAATACACAGAAGCCTCGTATGGGAACTCACTCTGGTTCGCAAATCTTCTGGTCGCAAGCAGCTTGACTCTTTGTTGGGCCTTGCAGATTATCGCAAGAACGTATCTTAACGAGCTCGACGAAGCAACAGTTGCGATCAAAGATTATGCCTACAAAGCGAACCCACAGCGCTCATGCAGCCACATCAGCCATAACACAGTTTTCTCTCTCGCAGAAATGATCTGCGACAGTATGCCATACTTCCTACAACCAGAGTTGAAAGTATATGGGCCCGGCTCCACGTTCTTTACTTTCTCTACAGCCATAAAAGTCTTCAAAAACAACGAGATTCACTGTGCGTCTCAGCTCTCTCGCTGCCAACAGATACTCGCTCGTTTGGCGAGCATTGGTATCCACTTTCCGTCTCCGTAACAATGATATGTTCGCTCGTGGCGTTTTTGGGACACGCTTAGGGCTTCGCGGAGACAGACCAACTTACGAACCAGCTGGAGACCTTGAGAATGGCGCATAATGTTTCTGAACTATATGGTTATCATGAATCCAATGACCACATCAATTGCTCATTCGTTAGAGGAGAGATGGCAGCGAAATTGGTGAATTTAGGGTGTGGCAGAGCAAAGAAGCATGACGTCAGGTCCAAAAGCACACAAGAAAACGGCCCCTAGGACTTTATCTAAGCCGCTTACTATGGCCGCAAAACATATAACCCAAACGTTTTCCAAAACAACCACCACTTTATACGCACACAAGACATTCATTCCATCTAAATACAACCCCTCATATCCACTCCACTCAAATTACTCGCCAACTATAGAGTAGCTGGCTTCTTGCTAAGCACCAGTCTCTTCGCCCTCCTCACACCCATCACTTTCGGCGCCGGCTTCGGCATGCCCATCCCCGCCGACACATTCGCATTCGGTTTCGTCCAATGTATGGGTGGTCGCAACCTAACCTTTGGTATCATTACGGGAATCTTCTTACAGCAAGGGGATGTGAGAGCTGTTGCATTGATGGCGACGATGTTGGCGGTGGATGAGTTGGTGGATGAGTTGGTGACGATGAACTATGCGGAGGTTGGGTATGCGTTGCCGCATCTTGGGGCGGACGCGATTATTCTGTTTCTGAGTCGGTGGATGGCTAATTAGGTGTTTGTGGTGGAGTAAGAGCACGAGGGGAATGATGATAGAGCATGGTAATCTTGCGTAGAGGTCGTAGTGGCAAGTGAATGACTATTACGCTTCAAGAATTATGCTGTATAGCTATAATCTCGATGACTAATTCCACTACATGTGGTAACACCCTCCTACACGAGCTGGGACACGACCGTGATGAAATCGTGACTTTCCGTCATCCCTGTGGCTCAGTTACCGTATTTTTTACCTATACTAGCCTTGCTTCGAGATCATTTTGTGGAAGCCATCCTCTACAGCAATGTCGTGACCAGAGCACGACCTCAGTCATGTAGTGCTGCTGGCCAACTCCCTGGACACCGAACTTTGCGACACATGCCCCTATGTCCATCTGTCGCCATGTACAATTTGAGACGTGACCACTCACAGTTTGACTATCGTCATTAAGATATCGAACAAAACAACGAAAAATGCTATGCATGTGTAGTCCGCCGAGAATGATGTGCGGCAAACGCAATGGCGAAGGACGTCGTCGATCTATCGAGAGAGCTCGTCCCCATCCTCTATGTCCCCGAATGTAAGGGTGCGATGGGTTGACCATAAGTGCAAGGTATAACAGTAATGAATTCGATAGAGAAGCTACACTACGCTTGCGCTGAGTCTATGTATCACGTAGTGCTAGGTTCGAGAAACTTCTAAGGGTCCGTGGAGCGCCGATGAAGCCCCGACAACGCTCCGAGGGTTGCAGCCTATCCCAACCAGCTATAACGAAGGCCACAGGCCAAGTACTACTAACCAAGGCTTCAGCCTCTTACATCACGTCAACCACTAGTCCAAGTTGTATTTGCTGTTCATTCACAACTCGGTCTAGGAGAATTCAGTCTCGAGGGGATCGATACAGAATATATCGATCAGTCGCTCACCTCAAGATTTGATCTTGAGTTCCACTTCTTCCAGGAGAAGGATGGGCTACGGGGAGAAGTTCTTTACTCAACAGATCTGTACAACCCCGACACAATCACGAATATGCTGTCCATCTTTCAGAAGATTCTAGAAACAACCCTGGCCAATCCTCAAACAGGCGTCGGCTTGTTGCCTCTGTTCTCGAATGAGGATTTTTCCAAGTTCGACTCATTCGGATTGATTGACATAGAGAGAACCGATTATCAGGCTGACTGTACAGTCATCGATGCCTTCTGCGAACAAGTAGCCGTCTGCTCTAACGCAGTGGCAGTCAAAGACTCCTCCTCTACTATGACATACTCTCAGCTAGATGAAAAGTCGGATTCTATTGCTCACTGGCTGAGGCGACGATGCTTTGCCCCGGAGACTCTGATTGGCGTTTATGCTGGCCGATCTTGTCAGACAGTTGCTGCATATCTCGGCATCTTGAAGGCAGGACTCGCGTATCTTCCCCTCGATTCGAAGCAACCCCTCGGCCGAATAGAGAGCATCGTGTCTTCAGTCGACCGCTTCGGTACCATGCTGCTTGGACCCGATATGGAGGTTCCTCATCTCAGTTCGAAGGATATTGAGTACCTTCATATCGATGATCTTTTGCAACCTCGAGTCAATGAAAACGGGAACCTAGCCAACGGATTCTCAGAAAGCCTTCCCTCTGCTACGAGTCTGGCATATGTCATGTTCACCTCAGGATCAACTGGTCGACCGAAGGGTGTCATGGTCGAACACAGGAGCATCTTAAGACTGGCCACACATAGCAACGTGATCCTTCACAGACGGAATGCCGTGACGGCTCACATATCTAACACGGCCTTCGACGCATCAACATGGGAGATCTACGTAACACTCCTAAATGGTGGTACGCTAATTTGCTTTGATAACATGACAGTGCTCGATTACGAAGCATTGTCAAGCATGTTTGTACATGAAAGGATTGAATCTGTCTTCATGACTCCTGCTCTTTTCAAGCAATACCTATCCCAATGTCCCGACGCTATAAGAGTTCTCGACACCCTTTACGTGGGAGGAGAGAGACTCGACCCCGAGGATGTATATACAGCTCGTGGCATCATGTCTGGCAAATTGGTACAAATTTATGGTCCGACTGAGAACACAGGATTCAGCACATATTATCATGTACCACCTGAGGAGACGTATACCGACAGAGTACCTATCGGTCGTGCATTGAGTAATTCCGGCGCATATGTTATGGATCCGCTGCAGAAGCTCGTCCCGCTAGGCGTAGTGGGTGAGCTAATAGTCACAGGGGACGGCTTGGCGAGAGGCTACATTGATCCTCAGCAGAACCTCAATCGATTTGTTTCAGTCACAATTCGTGACGGTGAGAAGGTCCAAGCTTACAGAACAGGTGATTACGTCCGTCATCGCCCAGCTGATGGCCAGCTCGAGTATTTCGGCCGGATCGACGGACAAATCAAGATTAGAGGACAACGTGTTGAGCTGGGCGAAATTGAGCACGTCATTCGCACACACTCGTCGGTAGATGACGCTGCAGCAGTGTTGCAGTATGGAAGCACTGAAGATGCCCAGATAGCGGCTTTCATCACTTTGCGCAGACTCGAAACTGGAAGACAAGCTCTTGCCAGTGACGCGCCAGTCGCCGATGACGACAACGAAACACGACAGGTTAGCGTATGGGAAGGGCTTTTCGATGAAGACACCTACGAGTCTATCGACAAAGTACAAACAGAGACCATAGGGCGAGACTTCATTGGCTGGACTTCCATGTACGTGTCAGATTAGATGAGATAATGCATAGAATTAATAGATGTTGATTCTTTTCTTGTCCCCCCTCCCTGAAGGTGGTGCTATCACGATGTATATGCTCTCGTACAAATAAGGCCGAAGTAGGATCGAGGCGGGTCGGCTAACATGGCTGCAATCGACACCGATGCTAAATTGCCTGCTAGATGGCCTTCCATCAGACAGCAACACATGCTATCTAACACACCCCCTCAGCTTAGAGCCCTATTGCAAGCTGCACAAACTAGTTATTCAATCCTACATTATAAGGCCTTCTAGCTGCTCCTGCAACTTCTCAAGCTCAACTTCCTTTAACAAGGCTTCTTTGCGTTTAACAAGTCCTAGTTAATCAAGGAAACTGGCCTATTTATTAGCTGGCAGTGACTTGGTGAATCCGTCTGCGATCATGTTGTCAGACGGAATATGCTCTACCTTAATCATCTTTCGGGTAACTTCTTGTCGTAGCCAGTGATGGTGTATATCAACGTGCCGCAGCTTTGTCTGGAGCTTAGCTACATCTTCATTTACTAGTCGGATAGTCTGGGTATTGTCGCACTTAATTGTGATAATTAGATCGCTTAGGGTCACCTGGAGCTCCTTCAACAATCGCGATGTGAAAATTGCCTCTTTAGCTACTTAAGACAGTGCAAGTAATTCTGCTTCTGTCGTTGACGTTGTGACGGTATCTTGTTTGCTTGCTCTCTAGGCGATAAGTCTACCAAATAGCTTGATAGCGTATCCCTAAGAGCTTTTCCTGTCTAATGTATTGTCTGCGAATAACGCGTCGCTAGCTATCTTAAGGTCTTCGCCTCTGCTAAGTTCAAGAGCTAGGGCTTTTGTCCTTTTGAGATAGAGGAGCACACGGTCGGCAGCGTCGTGATGCTCTGTGCTTGGATTGACTAGAAAGCGAGCGAGTCGTGATGTCGCAAATGCTATGTCGGGTCTCGTGGTGACTGCTGCGAACAACAGCGAGCTAATCTTGCGTTAATATCGGCTGATTTCGGCTGGCTCTGCTAGGCTGTCTCTTGGTTTAAGCTCAATACTTAACATTAGCGTATCATGTCTTATGTCTTGTCGGCTCGTTAGTTAACTAATTTTGTTGACGTATGCGGCTTATAATAGCTAAATTGTCCTCTGAGTCTAGTCGCGTATTACTTCTACACTAAGGAACCACTGAAGGTCGTCTCCTCCGGTGCACAGATACTTGTTCTGTACCCGCTCGATTGCATCTATTGCTTCTTGTTGTTGCTTTAAGTGGTACGCGATTATGATGTCGTCCACGTAGAAGAAGATGATCACTCCATCCTTAATTATACAGCATAGCTCTTGCGGGACTTGTTTGAATCCGATTTGGACTAAGGTTGCTGTGAAATCTTTTTGCCAGAGTGATGGCGAGATGCGGAGGCCGTATAGTGCCTTCTGTACCTTGAGTAGAGTGCCGGGCTTCTGATATCCTCGCGGCATCCTCATGTATATCTCTCGATCGATCGCTGCGTGCACAAACGCATTTGTAACGTCGTATTGCTTTAGTTCGAGATCGAATTTAGCAGCAATTGCCATCAGCATCCTAAATGAGCGGCCTGCTAATGTCGCTGCGTACGTGTCTTGGGCTGTGATATCGCGTTGCTGGTCTCCTCTCACTACAAGTCTTGCCTTGCATTTATTGAGGCGGTGATGCTTATCAAGTTTATACGTATAGACCCACATGCAATCTAGTATTTGCTGTCCTGTTCGTTTGACTGGCGACGCTGGGATCTCAATCCAGGATTTCATTTGCTTGTGGCTTTCGAGGTGTGTTCTTTCTGCTTCCTTGAACATGTTGTAGAGTGGGTGTTCTTCCAGTTTTGAGTGTGCTGTAGGTAATGATGGCAATTGGTTGCGATGGGGTTTGATCCCTTTGGCCATTAGTCGTTTCAGCTGAGCTTTATCGATTGGCTTGCCCTCGTGTTGACCAATATGTCCAGCCTCAGTGCCTGCCATGAAGGCGGCTGCCCATGGGACCGTCATTGATGTGGCCTGGTTGGATAGGCTTGTCTTGTTGTCATTGTTCACCTCTTCTTGAACAAGAAAGGCTACTGGCGGAGGAGTCGGTGGCGGCGTCGGACATGCCTCTATGACTTTCCTCCCTCGGTGGTATCTGGGTTGTTGTCTACGCGGAGTCTCCTCCTGCACTGTATCGTCCTCGTAGAATGTTTCCGTTTCTGGTTGTTGGCTCTGAGTACCTGGGAGTTCGACTGTCTTTACCCAAGTCGCAATTTCCTCTAGGGTGTTATGCATGAGGTTGTCCATCAGATCCTCAGTTTTGCCATTAAAGACTGCTTCTTCGTCAAACACCACATCACGGGTGCTGATTACTTTGGCTATAGATGGGATCCAAATGCGGTAGATGTTAGTTGACTGATATCCCACCAGATACCCGATCCAGGCTTTTGGGTCTAGCCTTTGCAGCCTAGACTTTCCTCGGTGTGTATCATTTGTCATCGCGAAAGCTTTGCACCTATATGCTCTCAGATGAGCTTGATTTAGTCTTCAGGGTCCTGTGACTATGCTATTCATAGCAGCTGCGCGCGTGAAGAATATTTCGTAAGGCGATTTCTACTTGTTTGGATAATTTGGCGTTCGATTGTACAGGTATACTGCCGCTCTGGTGATTTCTGGCCAGAGTTCCCATGGAAGATTCGCATCTAGTCGAATTGCGCGTGCCTTCTCTTTTATCACACCCCCTGAGCGTTCGGCTCCTCCGTTCTGTGCTTGTGTATCTGGAGCGGAAGGCTCGATTCTGATCGATAGGGACGTGCACTATCTCTTAACTTCTTGCTTAACTGTGACGATTTCATTGTCTGTCTTAATGACCTTAACCGTAATGTTAAATTAATTCTTCATGAACTGGACGAAAAGGCTTAGTTGGCGGATTATAGAGCGTGCTAGCCTGTTATCCTTAAAATAGAAGTCCCAAACGTATCAGGAGTATCGACAGGTAATTAGCATTTAACTCTTTTCTTTTGTAAAGCTGCCTGCTTCATATTTATAGAAGTCAATAGCAATTCTCTTACTAGGGCCTTCGTTATTTAACCTTAGAGCTCTGCGTATTTGGCGCTTTAATTTCGATCTGCCGCAAGCGTCGCATTGCACTGTAGTAATGCCTATGATCTTCACCCCCTCAGATTGTTGTACGAGGTGTTTAATAGCTGAAGGACCAGGGTGGCCAAGGCGCTTGTGCTATAGCATTGCTGTCGCCCTCTGCGATCGTTGTTTGGCTCGATTTATACGCACATGGAAGGCTGCAGCTGGCTCTGCTAGGCTCTTAACGACCTATTGGCCGTGTTGTTCTGATAGGGTAGCAATGATTGATCCGTCCTATTGTCGAAGGCTGGTTAGGTCTTCTCTGTTTTCCTACCATATGCCTTGTCTTCTAAGCAGTCCGAATGATATCAGGCTGCAGAGGAAATCTAGACACCATGCTACATTGTCTAAGCGGAGAGTGTGTTCCCCTTGTGCTCCCTTGGTTGTTACAAGGACATTTCCGTATCCTCGTATCCAGACTCTCGTATTTCCAGCCCAGATGTAGTCTCCTATTGCTGGTAGGCGTACGTCCTTAAGCCTTAAGAGATTATTGTAGATGTGCGTAGTCGAGCTAGAGTCTAGGATAAATGCATCCTTTAATAGATATCCTTGTTAGCTTGCGCTAAATGCCGCTTCCATCGTGCTCTCTTTAAGTCTTGCGATCGCGCGCCTATCTAGTCATTTAATAGTGGGGTCTAGAGTTTGTAATGTCTTAATATAGGGCGTAATTAAGCGTGATGCCGTAGTTAGGCGTGGTCGCTTTGTTCCTAGGTTTGTTTCTTGTACTATTCTTTGTAAGTTAGTGTTATGTTCAAGTTTGTACTGTACTAGTTTTGTGACGCCTCGATTTAGCTTGAACTACTTAGGTGCCTTAGCTGTATTTACATAGTAGCAGTCAGATATCTTGTGGCGCTGTTCACAGGCAGGACATATGTCTCCAGCTGTCGCTGTATTCCTCTCTAGGAACTGCTTGGTTTTAGTACTCTGACTATCTATCTTTCGCTTGTTCGATGGCCTAGGGTTTCCCCGGCCTTAATTGTTGTTGTTAGATGGCGCTCTTGTTTCCACACTGGAGGCGTCCCTCTGTGTGTTCGAGTCGGATTCACCGCTCGCCGCGTATAAGTCTCCTACCGCGAAGGCGCTCTTTGGCTTCCCTCTTAATAGATAGTGAAGGCTCATAAACTCGCGGAAGAGTTTCATCATCCTTTTCCTGTTCATAGCTTTCTTATCGTATCCTAGCGCTTAGAACCCTGCGGTCCAGGTTAATGCCACTTTTGATACGGAGCCCAGGAAGTCGTCTATCATGGCTTGTATTTGCATAACCTCGGCTACCTCAAGGGTCTTAGCTCGAGTTGCTGCCTGATCATATTCACTCAGCTATGTCTCCCAATTTGCGGTTGTTCGCATTGGCCTGAGTGCGGCGTGGTATCTCTCTCGTACTTGCGCCCTTTCTTTATCTACGTCCACTCTGACTGTGTCTTGGAGGGAGGTTGTCTATTCGCGCAGCGTTCTATTTTCTGCGCAGCAACTAAGTTGCAGATGCGGTGTTACAGTCGTAAGGATGTGTTCAACCGTCTTTGAGATTCTATTGTTCTCCTCTTAATAGTCCTTTTTAAGTATCTTGTATAATTCGAGGCGGAGCTTGTAGTCTTCGCGATCCTCCTTGTATGCCTCTTGTCCCTTGTCTAAGAGATCTGATGTCCGCGTTGGTATTACAGGATTTTGCGAGGCAGTTGTCGACGTGTCTATCGTGTCCTGCGCTGCTCCCCGTGCGTTGCTTCTCCCAACTCGGACCGTATGTGATGATGCAATTGAGGTATTGCTCGTATTCGTTGAAGGTTCGTATTGCGAGATGTCTGGAGGTAGCGGAACCTCTGGTCGTATGCGTTGGAGTCGTACTCCTTCGGGGTCTGCTAAAGGCCAGATGCCTTGCGATTGGCACTTTAGCTTGAGTTGGCGGTACCAGGGGATCCAATTGCTTGAGTCGGTGAGAATGACTGTCGCGTCCCTCTGGCTCTGATTTGCTGCCATTTTGGTAGTTTGTCGCTCGTTGTAGAGGCAATGAGACTCTTAATTGTCAGATTAGATGAGATAATGCATAGAATTAATAGATGTTGATTCTTTTCTTGTCCCCCCTCCCTGAAGGTGGTGCTATCACGATGTATATGCTCTCGTACAAATAAGGCCGAAGTAGGATCGAGGCGGGTCGGCTAACATGGCTGCAATCGACACCGATGCTAAATTGCCTGCTGGATGGCCTTCCATCAGACAGCAACACATGCTATCTGACAGTACGATGGAAGCGACATCGACAAGAGCGAAATGAGTGAGTGGCTGGGTGATACGATGAACACAATCTTCGGCAGCAATGATCGACCGCTCAACGTCCTCGAGATCGGATCTGGAACAGGCATGATCCTGTTCAATCTGACTAGCAGGCTGCAAAGCTATGTGGGTCTTGATCCGTCCCAGCGAGCTGTGAGCTTTGTCAGACAGACAGCAAGATCCATACCCGATCTGGCCGACAAAGTTCATGTTTTCAAAGGCACAGCCGCGGACATTAACCAAATGGATCGTTCGATTGCTCCGAATATGGTGGTGATCAATTCAGTAGCTCAGTATTTCCCAAGCCAGGAATATCTTCTCAAGGTTGTGGAAGATCTCCTAAAACGAGACACCATCACCACGCTGTTTTTTGGAGATATACGTTCCTTCGCTCTCTACAAGGAATTTCGCGTCACCAAAGCTCTCTACGTTGTCGGCGAAGAGCCGACTCCTGATGACATACGGCAAAGAATAGCCGAGATTGAGCAGAATGAGTTGGAGTTACTCGTCGAGCCGGCTTTTTTCACTTCGTTACAAGACCGCTTTCCTGACTACGTTGAGCATGTAGAGATTCTTCCCAAGATCATGCAAGCGACTAACGAGTTGAGCTGTTACCGTTATGCCGCAGTTGTGCACACTAAGAGGTCCTCTCAAGGGTTGCAACTTAGCAACGTGCAAGAAATTAACCATGAACACTGGCAAGATTTTGTGGCGACTGGACTAAGTGAACAATCTCTCTTGAAGCTTTTGCAGAAGTCATCGGAGTCGACCGTTGCTATTAGCAATATTCCGAACCATAAGACCGTTCTTGAGAGGCACATCATCAGGTTCTTAGAAGGTGGGAAAGACATTCGAACCGAAAACGCTGGTCACTGGCTGTCAGTGGTTCAAAAGCAAGCTGAACAGTCTTCTTCTCTTTCCGCATTTAGTCTGAGCGAAATTGCTCAACAGGCTGGATACAAGGTCGAAATCAGCTGGGCAAGGCAGTACTCTCACCATGGCGGATTCGATGCCATTTTCCATCGGTATCAGCTACCGCAACCCGGACGGGGCAGAATCATGTTCCGTTTTCCTACTGATCATCAACACCGGTCTACTCGCCTCTGGTGTAGTCAGCCGTTACAACAGCAGGTCAAACAGGAAATCAAACAACAACTACAGGATCAGTTGCAGGCTCAGCTTCCTTCTTACATGGTCCCTCAAGTCATCACAATTCTCGAAATGATGCCCGTTAATGAAAACGGAAAAGTGGATCGTCGAGCACTCACAACTAACGTACAACGGCGAACCGCAGCCAGGCCATCACTGCGACAGCCAAGCTCGGAAGCGCAAAGACAGATGCAGAATATCTGGGCACAGGTTTTGAAATTGGACCCTGTCTCGATTGGACTCGATGACAGTTTCTTTCAACTTGGGGGCGACTCGCTTGCAGCGATGAGAGTTGTAGGCGAAGCTCGAAGGCTTAGACTCAAGATAACAGTTGCAGACATATTCCGACAACCTAGTCTAGAGGCTGCCGCCAACCACGAGGGCACATCTACCAACGAAGCAGTCAGACAGATACCGAAAAGTCTCCTCAATGGCTCGGTTAAGCAATCATTTGCTCAAGGACGGCTCTGGTTCGTGGAGCAGCTTTATCCCGGGCTGACTTGGTACTTAATGCCTTGCGCCATGAAACTTCGGGGATCAATCCAGCTTGACGCACTTAAAATTGCGCTTTCCAGCCTTGAGCGGCGGCACGAAACGCTACGAACGACGTTCTCGTCCCAAGACGGCGTTGGCGTGCAAACAGTTCATTCTTTCAATCCTACAGAACTACGGGTCGTTGACATTGAAGACGAGACGGCGCTGGCACATGCGCTCAATCGAGACCAGACCACTCCGTTCGATTTGACGTCCGAGTCCGGATGGAGGGTCTCCGTGTACCGACTGCTGAACGAACGGAAGACCTTTGTGCTATCGATGGTTATGCATCACATAATCTCTGACGGTTGGTCCGTGGATGTTCTTCAGAAAGAGTTGGCGAATTTCTATGTCATCGCGCTTCGCAAGCAAGACCCTTTGTCACAGATAGAGCCCCTCCCCATCCAATACCGAGACTACTCTGTTTGGTAAAGACAAACTGAGCAGGCTATTGAGCACAAGCGACAACTACAGTACTGGATCGAGCAGCTAGAGACAAGTCAGCCAGCAGAGTTTCTCTGCGACAAGCTTCGTCCACCAACCTTATCAGGAGACGCTTCCATTAGCGAGCTCCAAATTGAGGGCTCTTTATTGGACCAGCTGAAGAACTTTTGCAAAGCACATAGCGTAACGCCGTTTACTGTCCTACTTGCAGCTTTTAGATCCGCGCACTTCCGTTTGACTGGTGCCACGGACGCCAACATTGGGACTGTCAACGCCAACAGGGATCGATGGGAAGTCAAGGATATGATCGGATTTTTCGTCAATCTACAATGTATTCGCATGAAGATTGAACAGGAGTCTTTCCGAGAGCTAGCACTGCAGACTCAGAAAACCGTCGTCTCCTCATTCGCCAATCAGGATGTACCTTTTGAAGACATTGTCTCTACACTACAAAGGGACAGAGACTTGTCTCGAAATCCACTGGCGCAGGTCATCTTTGCTCTACACTCTCAACAAGATTTAGGGCAGTTCACCTTGGAAGACGTGGACGTTGAGCCGATATTGGCACCATCTACGACGCGGTTTGACATGGAATTCCATGTCTTCCAAGAAGACGCCTCATTGGGATGCTCTGTAATGTTCTCCACAGACTTGTATGAGTCAGCAACAATTAGCAACATGCTGACAGTATTTCATCGAGTCCTCGACCAAGGTCTTCGACAACCTGACATGGAAATTGCTTCTCTCCCACTGTTAACGAATGAGAACTACACAAAACTCGTAGATATGGGCCTTGTCGATATTGTCAGTACAGAATACCCGCGTGAGACTAGCATCATAGACCTGTTCCACCAGCAAGTGTCTCGATGTCCCGAAAAGACAGCCGTTAAGGATGCTTCCAGAAAGATAACATACGCTGAGTTGGACCAAGATTCGGACATTCTCGCCAATTGGCTCAGGAAGCGTTATTCTTTCGCCCCCGAAACTCTTATAGGCGTGTACTCTAACCGCTCGTGTCAGACGGTGACAGCATTCCTCGGCATTCTCAAGGCAAACATGGCCTATCTTCCGTTCGATACCAAGACCCCGAGAGCCAGGATGGAAGGTATCCTTTCGACGTTACCAGGGAACAAGCTTGTTCTGTTAGGATCTGAGACACAACCACCCGCGATTGACCTCAAAGATGTTGAACTTGTTCCAATCGCCGAAGCTTTCAATTGCCGAGTAAATCTCACCCCCCATCATTTGAACGCCACTGGTGCCCCGTCGCCTACCAGTTTGGCCTACGTCATGTTCACTTCGGGTTCTACTGGTAAACCTAAGGGAGTCATGATTGAGCATCGTGGCATAGTCCGGCTAGTGAAGCAGAGCAATATGGCACAGCATTTGCCATCTCCCGTCACTATGGCTCACTTGACCAATGTCGCCTTCGATGTTTCAGCGTGGGAGATCTATGGAGCAATACTGAACGGCGGGACCCTCGTCTGCAATGATACTATGACAGTATTGGACTCGAGGGCTCTTTCAAACATTTTCGAGCAAGAGCACATCCGGACTGCCATATTCACTCCCGCTATACTCAAGTATTGCATTGATGAGTCTCCTAGCACTGTTGCGGTATTGGATGCACTTTATGTAGCTGGTGACCGTGCGGATTCCCGCGACTTGTTCGTTGCAAGGCGCCTCATGGAAGGAAAAGCCGTCACAAACGCATACGGGCCAACAGAGAACTCGGTAATAAGCACCATCTATAGTCTGTGTGAAGGGGAAAACTGTACGAACGGAGTGCCTATCGGCCGGGCAATAAGCAACTCAGGCGCATATGTCATGGACAAACACCAGCGCCTAGCACCTCTCGGGGTAATTGGTGAGCTTGTGGTAACTGGCGATGGCCTTGCCAGAGGCTACACAGACCCCGAGCGCAATGTTGACCGGTTTGTCAATGTGAAGATCCAGGATCGGCCGGTACGCGCATACAGGACTGGAGACTACGTGCGTTACCGACCTATTGACGGACAAATTGAGTTTTTTGGTCGGATCGACGGACAGATAAAGATACGAGGACACCGTGTCGAGCTTGGAGAAATTGAGCACGCTTTACGCAGCCACAACGCCATTAGCGATGCAGTCACTGTCCTACAACATGAAGAGGGTTGCGAGCCTCAGTTGATCGGATTCGTAACTGTCCGTGAGATATCCGAGTTGACCGAAAACGAAGACGAAGACAACGCAAACGAGCATGTTGAGGTGTGGGAGGAGCTTTTCGACGCCGATACGTACGTTGACGTCAGCAATCTGCAACCCGACACTATCGGAAGAGATTTCATCGGCTGAAACTCGATGTACGATGGGAGCAGAATTGACATAGGAGATATGAACGAGTGGCTTGACGAGACCATTGACACAATCCTGAACGGCCAAGAACCGGGAAATGTCTTGGAGATTGGTACTGGTACTGGAATGATACTTTTCAATTTGCTCAAGAGCGACATGACTGATGGTCTTGTCAAATACACAGGATTGGAGCCATCTGGAAGAGCGGTAGACTTTGTTGTCAAGACAGTGCAGTCGACGCCTGCATTCTCAGACAAAGTCGAGGTGTACAAGGGCACCGCAGCGGACGTTACTGGACTGGAGGACGTCTCACCCAACCTCGTCATCATTAACTCGGTCGCGCAATACTTTCCCAGTCAAGAGTACCTGTTTAAGTTGATCCAGGATCTTTTGCAGCTCCCAGGGGTCCAAACTCTGTTCTTTGGCGATATGCGATCCTTCGCGATGCACAAGCAATTCCTGGCCAGCCTAGCACTACGTAAGGCGGAGACGGCCAGCAGGGAAGAGATTCGCCGGATGATGACGGAGATGGCACGAACTGAGCTGGAGCTTTTAGTTGACCCAGGTTTCTTCACCGCACTGTCAAGTCGCCTGTCCCATATTGTCGATCACGTGGAGATTCTGCCGAAGAGGGTGAAGGCAACTAACGAGCTCAGCTCTTATCGTTATGCGGCGGCCATACACGCCAAACGTGAAGACCAAGACCGATCCCAACAGCGACACGAAACTTACGATGTCGGCCTACATGAATGGTCCGATTTCATGAAGCTAGGACTGAACCGCGATTCCCTCTTACAGCATCTCCGGACTCCATCTGAGTCACCAGTGAAGGCGATCAGCAACATTCCATATAGCAAAACTATCCTCGAGAGGCATGTAATCGAGGCTCTTGACAGCGGATCGGATCGCCATGACTGGATCTCAGTCGCGCGACATGCAGCTGGGAAATGCTCTTCAATGTCGGCACTCGATCTGCAGGAGCTGGCCCAAGAAGCCGATTATAGGGTCGAGATCAGCTAGGCGAGGCAATACTCCCAAAAAGGTGGACTCGACGCAATCTTTCACCCATACAAGCCATGCAATGGCGAGAACAGAACCATGTTCAATTTCCCCACTGATCATTATGGTCGACCGTCCCATTTGCTCAGCAGTCAACCCTTGCGACAGCAGCTCCACCAGAGAGTACAGCAACAGCTTTCGAAGAAGCTACAAGCTCAACTGCCCCCCTACATGATTCTCCAATCTATCAATATCCTGGAGAAGATGCCTGTTAATGAGAATGGCAAAGTCGACCGCCGAGCTCTTGTAACAATGATGCAAAGGCCAAAGGTCTCATGTGGCTTGATTCGACAGCCAGAGACTGCTGCGGAGCGACATATGCAAATGATTTGGTCCAAGGTACTGAAAATTGAACGAGAATCAATCGGATTAGACGAAAGCTTCTTCCATCTTGGTGGGAACTCGATCACGGCGATGAAGCTTGTGGCTGAGGCTCGCAAGGTCGGTATAGAGCTTACCGTAACTAGTATCTTTCACCATGACAAGCTCGTCGAACTCGCCTGTAAGGGTCTCAAGTCGAAGCAAAACAGCGAAGAAGTTGACGATGTGATCCATGTCGACTCCGACATCAGAGCTTCGCTTATGAAAGAGATGGACTTGCTGAACATGGGGGTCCGTTCCGATGATGTCACGGACATTCTGCCACTCACAAGCTTCCAAGAAAAGGCAGTGCTCGATGGTATCACGGTTGGACAGCATGCCAATTATTTCTACCATAATCTTGGGGAAAGCTTGGACGTGGCCCGCTTCGAGACAAGCTGTGCTACCATTATGCAATTGCTCCCAATCCTGAGGGCACTCTTCTTGCGCCTCCAGGGTGAGTTCTGGCAAGTCGTTCTCAAGAAACCAGACACCCCACTACATGTCCATGCGGTGGAAAAAGATCTCGATCAAGCCTCATACAAGTTCTGCACACAGGATCTGCAGCAGCTTGCGGCCAATGAGCTTCCCATCGCGTTTGTGCTTCTCAGACACGCGACCCAAGGGATACGACTCATCCTCCGGTTGTCCCATGCACAGTATGACGGGATCTCCTTTCCCATAATCTTCCAGTCTCTCGTGGACAGCTACAACAGCGTGTCTATTTCACGCGGCCCGGACTTCTCCAAGTTCCTATCATATGCTGTGCACAAGCAAAATTCGTCCGGGCAATACTGGAAGACACTGCTACAAGGATCCTCTCCGACCATGTTAGAGCCAAGTATTCGTCCACGACGTAGCATTGAGCTCAGTCACCGAATGCGCATCTACGAAGAGGCAGTGGTGGATCTTCCCCATCTGCCATCAAAGATCACCTCCGCGACTCTCGTCAGCTCAGCATGGGCTCTCCTTCTATCGCAAATCACCGGCAATAAAGACGTGGTTTATGGAAATGTGGTCGCGGGGCGCAACTCTGCGATGCAAGGAATTGAAGCAGTGGTCGGCGCGTGCCTCAACATCATTCCTGTACGCGTGAATCTCGACTCTCTCAGTACGACGGAGCAGCTGTTACAGTTAGTCCAAGCACAGTTCCTTGCGCTAGGAGAATCTGACTCGCTTGGCTTCAAAGACATCATAAAGAACTGCACCGAGTGGCCTACCGACGCCACCTTCGGGTCGGTAATCCAACACCAAAATATTGACGAGCATCCGGAGATTCAGTCATCGGAGGGTCAGTCTAAGATCCAGTTTTATGATAACCCACATCTCGTCCCACCCTCTCTATTCGTCGCATCCTATCCTCAGGGAGACCGCTTGCAGATCAAACTTTTTGCCAATACCCATATCGTCACGGTGGAGAGAGCCCGTACCCTACTGCAAGGGCTCTGCAAGATCATTGACACTCTAGGCAGTGATGCAAATGGGACTTTGGCATTACGCGCGGAATGCGCAAACTTAGGAGTCTAATTCTAGCACTTCTTAATCGGACATGCCTATGCAAAATGGAGATAGGGAAGCCATTTATTTTACTCCGTATTGCCTTTCCTTGTTTGGGTTTTTCGTTTGACAGCGTTTATGCCACCGTACACTACTTGTATAAATCCTAGTATGTATTCGCACGCGCGCAGAAACATAGTCGCTCAAAGTTCGTTAGCATATACCAATCAATTCATTCAGCATTCACTTCGTACTCTACAAATGAGTGGTTGTTGTGAGTGGTTGTTGTAAGTGGGTAGTGAGCTTTTGTTAAGATCCTACTAAAACTACGAATATGCACGACCGTGCAGCACCGTGAGGAACAGTAATTGGAGATTGGAGTAGAATTATACATCTAGAAACTTCTACTGCATCTTGCTTACATGTGCGCGAGTTGTGTTCTGCCTTGCGTTAGCGTCTACACCGTCTTTAAGACAATTCGCCTACTTTTTGTTACCATCGGAACGAGGTTCTCGAGGACATAAATTTCTCGAATCATGGGCGCATTCAAAACGCTGGCCTGATGACTGTCAGCAGTCATATTACGGCTCAGGACTTAGTGCATCCACACAACTGAGCGACACTGAGCACTACCCACACTTATCAGTATATAGACCTAGGCAACAAAATCCTACAGTTCATTGCATTCAACGCTGCATTCAGTCTGAGGATTAATACTTGCTTCTCAACCACCATGTTGTTACATCGGTCTTCCGATCGTGTCAGTACACCTCGACCATCATCGCCCACTCATTCCCCAAGAACCAACCATAAACCATGTAAGAACGATGTTCACACCGAGGTACGGATGGATAGCCATGTAGCCTTAAGCTTAGCTCTCTATCAAATAAAACTCCTGTATACCTACGCGATAGCTCCCTGACTATAGCTCCTTACAGCATTGACTTGATTGTTAAGAAGTCTGCTGTGGCTTGTGAAGGAGTGATAACATCAATCCTACATAACGCATAGACAAGACAAACTTTGTGTCCCACTATAAGCAACAAGTCGCCAACAATTCATTGGAGCTTAGTGATTCAGTGCTCACAAAGGTACTCACGGAGCCGCTCTCGAGCTGCTCACTCTAGGAGCTGGTCGCCCTATGTAAGATGTGCGGTGTACGAGCTAGAAAACCAACAAGGTAGACCTGTGGGAAAGAGCTAGGGGCGAGTATAAATGTAGTCTTGAAAATTGGGCGAGGGGATGTAGCGTGTAGCACAGGTGTACCTCCGTGCCTTTAACGACTGACTACATCTCCCCACCTGCTATATCACACGAGACTAGAGCATCACTAGATTCACAGCTCGAAAAATGCTTCACAATACCCAGGCGCGGTTTCAAGGTGAACGAATTAATTCTATTGCACACGTACTCTGCGCCTAGAAACACGGCTTTTACAAGCTACTACTATGCTAGGAACCCTATTCGCTAGCTACACAACTTCTCTTACCGAGCCCTGCATTGCACTCTTTGTACTAACATCTTCTTGCAACTTCTCCTCTGGTGTAAACTCAAACACTAAGAAGACAAGTTAGTTATAGAGAACTCAGATTGGTGAAGAAGGGGCCACTTGAACTTACAGTCGATATCAGCAGTGCGAAACTTGCGGGCGGGCGTCTTCTTCTTGAAGAGGTAATCAATCTCAGCGAAGGATCGATCCTTGGTCTCGGGAAGGAAGAAGAAGATCCAGATCACCCAGAGCAGACAAAAGCCGAAGTAGAACATGCCAGTCTTCGCACCCCAGTTCCACGCAGTAGGATCATTGTTGAGCATGCGGGGATTGAGCTGCTGGACGGCAATCTGACCACAGACGTAGAGGGCACGACCAATGACGATGGTCTGGGCACGGACGCGAGACGAGGCCATCTCGCCCACGATAACATAGGTGGTCGGGCCAAGAGAGATCTTGAAAGCGATTTGAACAAAGATGAGGAAAACAGCAACGGGGATGGCAACGTCTGCGGCGTTTTTTACGGAAAATCCCATGATGCCAACGACGAGCATGCAGAGGCCGATGGAGGCAGAGCCGTAAAGGTAGAAAGTGCGGCGGCCAACTGAGCCCATGAGAGCAATGGCGATTGCAGTGGCGAAGATGTTGACTGATTGGATACCCATAGTGTAGCTAAAGGCATCGGTAGCGCTCATGCCGACAGCACGGAGCATTTGTGCGGCATAGTTAGTGATGGACTGGCCGTTGAAGATCTGAATAATCCAGGCCATGGAGACAATGAGTGTGCGGCGCTTGTTCTCGCCGCGAAAGCAGTCAGCATAGCTAGCGTTCTTCGCTTCCAGCTTTTCCATTTCGTTGGTGTGATGCATGAGGGCAAGCATCTCGCGCATCGACTGCTCGGTGTAGTGTCCTGGGCGGGCCAAGCGGCGCAGGCTCTTCTCAGTCTCTTCAATCTTGCCACGGCGAATAAGGTACCAGGGCGACTCGGGAGCGAACCAGGCGACGAGGAAGAGAGGGGGAATCCACATCCACTGGAGACCGTAGGGGATCTGCCAGCCGGCGTTGCTTTCAATGCTGATGGTGCCTCTGAGCACACCTGCGGCTAGGAAAGATCCAGCACCCCAGCACATAGAGACCCAGGCAGTCAGGTAGCCACGCATGGCGGTGGGGGCAATTTCGGCAGCGTAGGCTGTGGTAAGAGTTTGGAAGATACCCCAGGGAATACCGCACAAGATGTTCCCGACGAGGAGCATTTCAACATTCTTTGAGAAAAAGAGGACAAAAATAGTGCCTGCCATAAGGACCATCGCGCCCTGAAATAACTCATGATTAGCGGGTTTACAGATCGTGGAGTCCCAAAAAGACTCACCAAGTACACCCTGCGAGAACCGTAGCGAGACTGAAGCCAACCATTGGCCAGGAGACCGATGATAGACCCGACGTTGTTACCGGCGCCGATGATCGTTTGCCATCGGGTTGAGACAACCAAATCTCCATCCACGTTATAAGTGTTGCCGAACCTCCGACGGTAGGCGGGATGGGCGAAAAAGTTGTTGATGAGCCCGACATCCATCCCCTCCATGACCAGAGCCATGGATAAAAGCGAGGAATAGATGAGGGCAGGCCGGTAGCGCTTGAAGAGCTCCATACGTGGCAGCTGAGTTTCAGCCTCAGAGGCGGCGACGGCAGCCTCAACGAGCTGCTGCTGCGTTGAGTGAATGCCAGCATCGAAAGAGTCTGGCTGTGCCACCGACTCCTTCCTGGCGGAATCCTGCACCGTAGCCATTGCGATAGTGACTCAAGGGAGGGAGGGTCGTAGTTCGGTCAACTTCACCAGAAGACTGAAGCGATGCGATGGAGATTCGCGGCGCGAGTCAACCACACGATGGTGGTGAGGAAGAACGAAGGGAAGGAGGTGTGCTGGAACGTACAAGGGATATGAGTATTAGGTGTATATATGTTGTACCTTCGGCCACCACTGGCCCGAGATTTCTTGGAATCAATCGAGCCAGCAGGTAACATAGTCACGCCCAGCGAGGGCGAAGACCGCCACGAGAGCCAAGATGCGGGGATTGCTCCCCATGGGGTCGGTTGCGCCTAATGCGCAACTTTATTGGTTTACAAACTACGCCACGCCACGACGGGATTGGTTGCCAACAGGAAACAAAGCTAACAATCGAAGGAAATTCCGGGCATCCGGTCACGAATGACCCCGGAGGGGGGCAAACCCAGGATCCTCTTCTGTCGGTCAGCACGGTCAAAATTCAACTTGTCCAGCTACGCTTCGAATCCCTGTTGCATCTCGGGTCAATCTAAATGTAAGGCCGAAAACCACGCTGTATCGCCGTTGCGACCTCGCGCGATCATGTGTTGCCGACATGTTCTTTCGTATATAAGGCTTAGACGCTCTGCAGCGTGGCGCTATGGCGCATCCGGACTGTCGCATTTCCATCTGTATCCGCGAGACCTGAGGTCTTTGAAACGTATGGCCGATCAAATAGATCGCCTCTGTTGCAGAAGATATGCGTCGCAGTGTTGGCATGAAGGTCATGTTGGTAAATCCATATGCATTAACTATGCAATGCCCACAGGTGAATGGTACCCGCACAAGGATTCGTTGTTGCTGCCTCTTTCGTGAGCTATGACTTAAGCGAGGCTGACGATTTAGGGTGATCATCGAAAAGGCAGTCATATAGCGATGCATTGCTGGAATCCTCGACAAGTTTGCATAGATCCGAGGCGTACTCAGGTTGTAGGGGTACCACGAAGACATGTTGTCCTAAAAGGATCACATTGTAGCTTAATGCAGTTGCTGGATCGTCAGGTACCACAGATCCAAATCTTGGGGCCACGCCCTTCGCGGAAAGAACTGAACACCTCTAGGCACGCTAGGGGATAGGAGATCTTTCACACCTGCTGCACATAGCAACAAGAAGACTTAATTCTCTTAAGAACCTTCTACTTTATACTTTAAAGAGAGGAAAGTTATCTCCATGAGGTTTAAGTTCTTAAAAACGTTGTTGTTATGCTGTTGTAAGGTGGTGAAGTTGTACACTAAGAGAGCGCGCAGACCACCTGTCCAGTTTTTTTCTGCGAAGGGCGTGGGGCGTCTGTTTCGGTTATGCTGCGGGTCAGCTGCAGGGCTCGTCCCCAGAAGCACGAATGTGCAGCAAGGACACGACGGTATCATAACTCCATGTGTCAGTAAGGTAAGTGAATGTTCTTAACTTCATGACAGATTCCAACATAACAGTATTTCATTCTTCCATTCGAAGGCGTCTTCGCAGCGTAACGCTGTTGTTTGTATGGTTGCGATAGGCGCTGCGCCCTTTGCTTATAAATGCGACCCACAAACTGCGTTTTACCTCACGACTTTTGCACAACCTACGTCTGTAGGCATCGAATCATGTCACACTGATGCGCAAGATGAATCACGCAATACGATCCATATGGTGCGCCTGGATGTACGGTCTCAATACGGTTACTACGGACTAGCGAGCGGGAAACGCCATATCTAAGCAGTGTAACAGCCCGTGGCGTCAGCGGCATTGCTTAAAACGACAACCGCAGGCTGTCGCATTGTAGGTGTACGCGATTTTGAGCATCCCTTCAAGCATCGCATCGCGTTGCGCAGCAAGACAAACATCCCCAACTCAGAAGCGAACGAGAATACTTCGACAACATGACCTCCGCGGACTCCACCCAACGTCCAACCCTAGTATACATAGATGGTACTCGCTCCATCGCCCTTTATACCTACGGGCCGAAGCCAAACAACTCCCAAGATCCTGTAGTGCTCTTCGTCTCCGGTGTCGCAAGCAGTAGTTTGAACTGGGCAGCCGTCGTGCGGCAGCTTTCTCCCTCTATACGCTGCTACACCTACGACCGCGCTGGTTTTCGCCATTCTGACGTCTCTCCACACCCACCGACGGCCGAGAACATTGCGCACGATCTCCTACACCTTGTAGAGAACGTTCCCTTCACCAACCCTATTATCCTCGTTGGGCATTCTTGGGCTGGCGTCCTGATCAATGAGTTCATTGCCCTCACAGGAAACGGTAACCACATTGCTGGCGTGGTGTTTGTGGATGCCAACCACGAGTCGATGCCACAGGTCTTGGACGTCAACGATCCGGATCTTCAGATCATATCCGAGAGCGTTAATCACTACGTTGCCAAGGGCATTGAAGCGGAGCACAAGCTGACGCAGGCTGAGTGGGACGCGCTCATGGCCGATGAATCGACCGAGAAGTATGCGGCGATTGCGCGTAGGGAGGAGGACGAATACGCACGAAGCTTCGACACTTTGCGAAACAAGCTGTTGAATGATCAGCAGCCGCTGCTTGACGACAAGCCAGTATATGTGATTGGAGGTATGCGAAGCAGAGACTGGAACGGCATATACAAGGCAGGCGTCGCGAGAGGAAATGGAAGCGAAGAACAGAGGAGCCGAGTACGCGCCTTGATAAAGACGGCCGACGAGAAGAGTGAGAGCATCATGAGACGACACCTTGAGCTATCGACGAAGAGCAAACTAGTGTTTGCGCGTGACAGCGGCCACTTTGTTCAGATGACGCAGCCCGAAGTGGTCGTCGAGGGGGTGCAATGGGTCCTCAACGCGCGGGACGGGTCGTAGGTACCAGGGCTAGATAACTTCATAAATCTATCTCTGTCCAATATATCTCAGAGTACGACGAGCCAAGACGCCCGTCGCGAGGAGTGCGAGATCAGCCATTGCTGCAATTCGTGCAATCTTCCTCCCACACAAACCCAACACTATCGAACGCACCGCGTCGTCTGCCAGGAGTATAGCTGACAGCAATGATTGCCTGAAGTAACCTCCTTCGTTTCGCTCAATACACATAGAAGTTGATAGCCTCATTGTCCGTTGCGCGGATCTTCTTGTTGTCTCTCATCAAAACAAATCTCATCACCCACGCGCACAGCACAACACCTGCCGAGAATCCCACGCTCGCGTACATGGCCTTCCCAAAGCGCGGTGCATCGGTGTCGGGCCATAGATACGGCGTGTAAACGAAGGACAGGTTGCCCAACGTATTCACGATAGCCAGCGCGACTGACTTCTTTTCGTCTGTTTGCCCTAGCACACCGGCGGTCCAGGCCAGCACGATGTTATTGACACCGTAGGTTGCTCCGACAAATAGCACCATGGCGAAATACCGTGCGCCGATATTCAAGCTGGCAGTCCCCACAATGAAGCCCACGATTGCAACGGCTTTAGACAGTGTGATGTGCCAGGTGCGCTCGTTGAAGCGGCCAGAGGACCAGGATACTGCTACTGATACGAAGGCTGAGATGAGGTACGGAGGGCAGGTCAACACGAGGGTGATCGTGCGGTTGAAGCCCAACGTCAGCACAACGGTTGGCAGGAAGTTCTTGAAACCGTTTGCTGAGAGGTGGAGGTTCTGCATGAGTGCGAAGATCCACGTGCGATAGTCACCTGCTGCTTCTCGTAGGCCTTTCCAGACATTGACCTTGCCTCGCCTTTGAGTGGTGTCTCTTTCGATGCGGTCGTGCGCTAGTTGCCGTTGGGCCGGGGACAGCCAGCGGGTTTGTAGAGGCGCATTGGGGAGAAGGAAGAAGGCCACCACGGCGATGAGAACTGCAGACTGAATTAGCTTTGGTGATATCAGGCGATTTCAGTTCGGACGTACCCGTGAAGATGCCTTGGATCAAAAAGAGCCATCTCCAACCCTCCAAGCCATGTTTGCCATCCAGCCCGGCGAATATGCCAGCCGCGATAAGACCGGAGAAAGAACTCGCAATTAGGTTACCGGTGTAGAACACCGACATCCTTGTTGCAGTCTCCTTACGCGTGTAGAAAGAGCTGATCATGTACAACGCTCCCGGATAAAACGGCGCCTCCGTTATTCCGAGGATAAGTCTATCGAGATGAGCACATGATCGTGAGACGTAGTCAGGCTATCCATACCTGCATGCCAACATGCCATGGTAGTCTTTAACAAGAACCATGAGAGTCGATACTATTGCCCATGCCATCGTCCAGCCGGCCATGTAGTGGGAAGGTTTGACACGAGTCAGGAGCATGTTTGAGGGTACTTGCCCTACCAGGTAGCTACGCAAGGATCAGAAAGTGCCTAAGTGTGGTGAACAAACTTCCTACCCGACGAAGAAGATGCTCACGCATGTGTTGTATTGCGTCCCCACAAGGTTGAGGTCCTTGTGCATGTTGTTGATCTTTCCGTTGACAATGGCGTTACGATCGAGGAAGTTCATGAAGTACATGACCCAGAGCATTGGCTGTCCTTGTTAATCCCTTGCTTTGAACTTACTTTTGGGGCTGGCTTACCATCATATGCTTATCAAGCTTCCTAACCAAAGACTTTTCTTCCGGAGTATAATCTTTCGCTGCTCCAAATTCATCCAGATGGATGTCATGTTGCGGCTTGTCTAGTGTGTCGATGTGCTCGATTGAGACTTTGGACTTGACTTCGTTAGAGGGAGTCGCCATGGTAGATCGATTGAGCTTTGCGACTTCTAAAGCTGATGTCGCTTCATGTTCCCCAGACTCCAGCCATCTTTGTAGTTTCTCTCTTCCCCAGACTCCACGAACTTGGCGAAGCACCAAGTCGCTTTTTCAGGGACCACTGCATGCCCAGACGCGGGGAAAGCCCCGTGCACTATGGGGGTTACATTTCCGATGGGACGAGGACTGTAGGTAGGCGTTGGTCGAACATACCCGGACTCAAAGCAGCAGGTAAAATGAAAATGGGCGCATGAAATTCACCTCTCGACCTAGAGCATGCATTCCTGAATAGTAATCTCCTAGGGTCTCGATATGATGGTTGGTGGTCGTTGGCGGTCGTTGGCGGGATATTTATCCACTTGCAGCGGATCGACTTACCCCGCATACCGAAAACCAGAAACAATGGAAACATGTCCGAATCCTGCGGAAAAGCACACGTCCCTTATCCGATATCCGAACATCACGTGCAATCGGAAAATTTGGGACCACGGCGGCTCCAAACAGTATGAATACCTTGGTACAAGAGCCTACCTGGATAGGTTTCAACGCATTAGACACATCATCATGCCTGGCTTGTTGATGAAGGCAGAGGAGGAGCACTCGACCACGCCGGCGGATCTTCGCCTGGCTGGAAGCAATGACGCGATCTACACTATCGACGAACTAATCAAGCGACGAGCATCAGAATACGAAGATTCCCCCCTGCTTTGCTTTCCAAAAGAAAGCCTTACCGACTATGAAGAGCATTCAGCACGAGCAATTGATAGGTTTGTCGACGCAGCAGTCGGTGCGTTACAGCAGAGAGGGCTAGAACCAGCGGTAGGTGGAAATTGATCTGGATGAAGAAGTCACATCTGACCGCAACAACAGGATTCGTTGCTTGCTCAAGCGCCAACCATTGCAATACTAGCTTCTTCATCTCTACAATTTATCATTACTCTTCTTGGGTTGAACAGGTTAGGATATGCCGCCCTTCTTCTATCACCGCGGCTCGCAAGTCCAGCAATACTGTCATTGCTGGAACAAGCCGAATGCGACACTATCCTGACAACCCCGCAATTCTACGATGCTTTGGGGGAAGTGCGCAGCGAAAAGAACATCACGATTCTCGAGATGCTCGAACACCACGATTACTATGGGGTGGATGCACCGGTGTTCCATCGCGCATATGACCCAGAACGCGAAAACCCCAAAAGAGCTGTTATAATCCATTCATCAGGATCCACAGGCTTACCAAAGCCCATTTATCTCACTCACCGAAGCTGCATCGCGACATTCGCACTGAACTTGGATCGAAAAGCTCTGATGACGCAGCCGCTATTCCATAGCTTTGGTTTTTATGAGACATTTCGATCAATCTACTCCGGAAAGCCCATGTACTACGTCAATTACAACTACCCAATCACCAAGCAGAATCTGCTGGCCACAATCGAGCACGTAAAGCCAGATCTCCTGTTTTGCGTACCCTACGTTTTGAAACTCCTCGCAGATTCAGATCAAGGGCTCAAAGCTCTAGCCGACATTGATCTGATCATGTACGGAGGTAGTGCTTGTCCGGACGACCTGGGCGACAAACTGGTGAGGTACGGCGTTAATGTATGCGCGAACTACGGCGCGACCGAGACCGGACGAGTGATGACATCTGTCCGACCACCAGGTGACGATGCTTGGGACTATCTTCGCATATTGCCTCAAGTACAACAGTATCTCTTGATGGACGAGATCGCTCCGAGCATATTTGAGTGCGTCGCACTCGATGGCCTCAAGTCGAAGAGTACTATCAACTCAGACGACCCGCCTGATTCTTTCCGCACCCGAGATCTCTTCGTAAAGCATCCTACGAAGCCCAACCACTGGAAGTACGTCTCACGTTTGGATGACCGCTTAACATTGGTCAACGGGGAGAAAGTGCTCCCGATTCCGATCGAGGGCCGGATACGTCAAGAAGCGTTTGTTCAGGAAGCCGTCGTTTTTGGAGACGGCAAGACATTTCCAGGCATCTTGGTTATTAAGGCCGATACGGCGGCTGACATGAATGACAAAGAGTTCCTGCAGCACATCTGGCCCGCTGTTGAGGATGCAAACTCTCGTGCGGAAAGCTTCTCTCGTATCCCGCGGGATCTTGTTGTCGTGCTGCCATCTGGAACAAAGTATGCTGCGACAGATAAGAGCACGTTTATTCGCGCCCAAGTTTACGAGCAGTTCAAGCAACAGATTGAAGAATCATACGAGAAGTTTGAAAACGACATTGGCGGATTCGTGGCACTGCCACTTCCAGAGCTCGAAGCGTATTTGTTCCGACGATTCCGCGAAGAGCTCGGCGTGGAACTAGCCTCTCCAGAATCAGACTTCTTCGCTTCCAGTATCGATAGTCTGCAGTGTCTGCGAATGTGGAGCTTGATCAAGAAGGAGATCGACCTTGGTGGCAAGCAAGCCGAGGTAGGACAGAACTTGCTGTATGAGACTGGGAACATTGCTGCTCTTGCTCGCTACCTTCATGGGCTGCGCACTGGTGAGACGGAAGATATGCAAGATCACGAACAGATCATGAATGATTTGATATCAAAGCACTCGACTTTCGCACCTGCGACACGGCCAGCCCACGCAAAACACGTTGTCGCTTTGACCGGTGTCACCGGAGGACTGGGTGCTCACTTGCTCGCTCAACTTGTCGAGAATTCCCAAGTCTCCGAGGTGTGGGCTCTCGTCCGAGCCTCTTCCGACCTAGTTGCACTAGAGCGAACTCTGAAGAGCCTCTCTGCGCGAGGTCTTAGTCCCACAAAAGAGCAGCTGCAAAAAGTCGTTGCTGTTCCATCCAATCTCAGCAAGTCAGACTTTGGCTTAGGGACAAACAGGCTTGACGAACTTCGTTCGAAGCTCACTCTAGTCATCCACAGCGCCTGGGCGGTAAACTTCAATATCTCCGTGCAGAGTTTCGAGAAAGAGCACATCGTTGCTGTACAAAACTTTATCAATTTCTGCCAGACCACCTCACACGGAGACAAAGCGCGCTTCTTCTTCTGCTCGTCTGTCTCATCCGCTGCTGGAACTCCACGACCAGGAACAGTGCCAGAAGGCCCTGTCGCGGAAATCTCGCACGTCCAGAAAACGGGCTACGCGCGCTCAAAATACGTCGCTGAGCATATCATTCTCAACGCCGCGAAGCAAGTAAATGCTGACGCTAGAGTGTTGCGGATAGGCCAACTAGTCGGCGACTCAAAAGTCGGGCAATGGAACACGACCGAGGGCATACCGCTCATGATCCAAACAGCGGTCACGCTGGGCGCGCTTCCAGCCCTTGACGAGGAGATGTCCTGGCTCCCCGTCGATCACGCCGCCCGCATTATCCTGGACTGCTGCGACGTCGCCACACCCTCTTCAGATTTAGATACTCCAAGCGTCATGGAAACTTCTCCCCTTGATCTCGTCTACCACGTGCTCAACCCCACTCGCTTCCACTGGACGCGCGACATGCTTCCTGCTCTGGCCGCTGCTGGCTTCAAATTCGAAACCCTTCCCACAGACCAGTGGATGGACAGGCTGCGCAATTCCGATCGTGATCCGAAGAAGAATCCACCCATCAAGCTTCTCGATTGGTTCGAGAGTAAGTACGGGCATGGCGCGAATACGAAGAACGAAGGCCCATTGGTATATCACACGGAGAAGACGAGTGCGAAGAGTGAGAGCATGAGGGGTATTCCGAGTGTGACAGATGTACAGTACGTAAGGAAGGTTATCGAAAGGCTGCAGGAGGAGTGGAGAGCGTAGTGTGGTAGAAGTTATATAATCCATGCTCCGAGATACGATGAACAAAACGCTATACCGCGATATGAAACGCGGCTTAGGTCCGCTTACATTTTCGACCTTAGCATGAGAAGCAGTGCATCCAGGCTCTTTTGATCTGCGTCTAAGCTCTCCTTGTGCACATTAATTGGGAACCCGTCATCGAGCCATGAATGCAACCTCCCCTCATCATGCTCATACCTCGGTTCTGGCCAGTGCGTCGGCAAGATCCCGTTATCGAAGCAAATGTATCTCTGGTGGAAAATCTGAACAGGACAGCTGTCGCGGTCCTTTACACCATACGAAGGCTCGCCGAATCTGTACCCATGGCTTTTCCCATAGCCGAACCGGAAGTCGACAAGGTTTGGTAGGTCTTCCGCGATGCGGTCCAGATACTGACTCCACTTCCCATCGTATGCAAAACACTCGCACCAGTTGCGTCCGCCGGACATCTTGGTCCAATTATGCGTCTGGACCTTCCACTCAGCCATATTCTTGTTTTCGATGCGTATCCAGGAAGCAATCATACAATTGTGCAGAATGAGCTTCCGTAGTGACTTGATGGCCAGAATCCAGTTGAGGTCGTTGTCGTGCGCAAGTGTGTAATAGCCCAGAGCCAGCGTCTCGAGCTTCGGGAAAGGGATACCACTCGGGTCAAAGTAGCCGGGGAAGGGGCCCCAGTTGTCTGATGCACTGTAGATAGATAACGCCTTCAGGTTCGCGGAGATGGGCTTCAACCAGTGCGAACAGAAATACGCTGGGAAAGTCTGCAACTCAATTTTGGTGTAATCGTGGTCGGGTCCATGCTCGTTGTATTCTTGAACCATGCATATATGTAGCTCCTCCAGTTGACCCATAACGTCCCGAAACAGATCAGAAGAGGTGAATTCAGGGGTGGGACAGTTCTGTAGGTGTATGATGGTCAACTTGCGAATCGGCCTGTTCTTCTCGTCTGCTGCCCTGTCTTTGATGGCCTGGAAGATGAGCGTCAACTTTTCTTCGCGCTCAGACGCATCCTCTGCCACCTCCTGCCAATAATAGGCATTTCGACCCATGCATTCCGGAGTGAAGCCGATCTCCAGCGAGCTGAGGTTGGGGAACCTCGACAAGGCGGCGATGGCGTCCTCGAAATTTGGAGCATCCTCATCATCCTCATCAAACTGAAAGCGCTCTCTGGTCATGCCTAGCCCGTGATCTTCAATATCTGGTTGCGTGTGGATAATTGCATGTCGAGGTACCCGACGGATAACATCGTCCTGGCTGATACTGTTCCAAGAGTTAACGTGGTCTTCCTCTGGAGAGATATACACGTTTTTAAAAAGCTCTTTAGCGGCGTGCTGGTCTAATGATTTGCAAGCCAATCGAACATTTGACAAGTCCTTTTTGTCACTGAGCTGTTTGATGACGTTTTCGACTAGCTCGGGTGCTAGGCGCAGGAGCTCGAGACCGGGTGGCGGCGACATGATGCTGTATGCTTGTCGGTTGTGGCTATTGGAAATGCAGGAAAGACATCTTAGCTGATGAAACAGCGGTGCAACCCGCAATTTGTAGATAAAACCAATTACTAGGAAGCATGCAGATGTTGAGATACTGCCGAGCTCCTGCCTGGATCCTTAAGGCAACATTCGACGCTATTCCCGGTCCGGGTTTAGGGGCCTAATATTCAGGCAGATCTGAACACGCGCCCCCGCTTCGACCACGCGGAGAACACGCTACCCGAGGCTTGTCTCTCTTTCTTCACATTTCCAGCTTCTACAGACTCCCGCTCAGCCTATGGGGTCGTCCCGCGACGCGTCAGGATCCGCGGTAATGTGTCGATCATTCCCAGCTTGGCTGCGCTATCGTTGCAGATTATCGTGCTTCTTCTTTGTGTACATTTTGCGACTCTCACCACCCTCATGGCTAGCCTGCCCCTAATTGGACGGACTCGCATGTCGCAATACGCTGGAGGTGTGACGCTCGCGCTGAAAGCTTCAATCTTCACATTGAGTAACGCGAACGACGGAAGTAGCCAAGCTTAAATCATATTGGACTACCATCGATGTAAGCGAAGGCCTACCAATGTTCGTAATATCGTCTGCTTCCGGTGATAAATTGCTTGACCCCCCTGCCGTATACAGCGAAGGCATCGGAGGAATAGATGTTGCTTCCGATATAGGAGCAAAATGACAATGTGATTGGAGCGTTTCACTGAGACGCAGTAGGCAATGGCCGCTTCATTATGTTCTCGAACGCGTTGGACGCATAACGTAGTACTACCTTCAGAGTCCCGGCATCAGCGAACATGCAGGTAGGCAAAGTTGTATACGCGCAACGGTCGCAAATATGCCAAAAGATACCTCTACCAATCCCAAACCCATAAACCACTTCGTCAAGTATCGGCTTCGAGCGTATTCGACAAAGACACTCAGCACGATCCAGTTTCACGTACTCCTACCCTCTCTGAATCGAATACAGCAAGACGGTGTAAAGGCTGTTGATACGTGAACAGTTGCCAAGGGCGAGACGTCTGCCGCATGAAGGGTCAATATTGAGGGTACCAGGTTCTACAGCCAATATCGGGCTCCATGAGAATTAGGCAGAAGACGGGCAGACCGTTTGGTTCCAGGTTCATGTCCGACATGGAGGCGCAAGCCGGGCTGTCCTCATGGTCGCTAATGGACTGGTCTTCTGTCTTGACACCGCCACGAGGGAACTGTACGCATGCGAAAGCCTTTCTGCGCAACTAACGGTCTTCCCACTTGCTGACAATGGGCGTTAGCACCTGAGCAACCTGGATCCATACACCTGACTCGACGTCAAAGCGATCACTCAAGCGATGCAGTCACTCTCGTGGTACCAAGCTGACGACTTGCTCGCGTTGAGAATGTAAACGTGAAACCTATTCCTGGCGGAGGCGCGAAACAACACTTACTCTGTTGCATTCGGTGGCTCTTGTCAGTTGGTGGCCGCGTACCGCGACCTCAATGTGCGCGGTTCGGGGGGACAGGCTTTATTCCAGAATCCTATATTGCTCGGTGCTCAAAACCGACCACTGGTTGACCTCCAAGCTGGCACTAACGAACTCGCCTACGCGATTGACGGTGCGAAAGTAGACCACGCTTGCTTCTGTGGAGATCCTTATCACATGAGCCGGTCAGTCACTCACTCAGCCATGACTTATGACGCGACAGCAGGTAACATCGAGCTTCTGGTTAGTCACCAAGCCAATGAGCAATATCTTGGCGATCTCTGGTTCATGCAGGCCGCAGGCGCCTGTCCACAACAACAATGAAGAGTTTCCAACATATGTATCATGTTCCCTATTGTATGTGTTATCACCTGTCATAGCCATAAAGGAGTACCAGCTACCGATCGATGAAGAAAAGATAAGCGCGCGACGTTTCCAACGATCGGGAGATCTCATGGCTTACGCCGCGAAGCATCTCAGCGCAGGTGTTGTGACCGCACCTCCACTTCTGTCGAGTGACTCTGCAAGAGATCTTGTAAATATCCAACATGACTTCTTGCGGTGTACTCGGTTCTACTTCGCGGCCCGATTCTTGGACCCTCGAGTGGATCGAATAATGCATATTACGAGGCATTGCAGGCTTTGTCGGTGTTGTCCGGTGACGCATTTGCCAAGGAACAATGTCGTTTGCAGGCCCACAAGCTCAAGGCCGAGATGCTGAGGCACTTCTACGCCTCCTCTGCCGGGGTTTACAGCCTGGGACAAAGCCTCTCAATCAACGATATCTATCAAGACGCCAAGGCCCACGTAGTGGTCTTGGGGCTGCTTCCTAGCCATACAAATGATCTTGATCACTTAGCTGATTCTACATCCCAACTACCGCGTGCCTTTCGTGGCTTCGTTCATTGGAGTGCCGCAAACGTTGTGAGCCCATATGCAACCAGCTTTGCAGCTCATGCATTGCTTTCATAGCATCAAGGTACTGAAGCGATAAAGCTCATGAAGCGCATCTGAGTCATAACGGATACACCGAATCCAGACTATCCTGCGAAGCACTGAGGGGTTATGAGGTCAGACCGAACACCGCATGGCCAGGACGCGTCCCTGATGCACGGCCGGTCGACATGGCCAGTGTCATTTTTGCCACAATATCTAGCGGGACTGCAGCCTACCGAGCCTGGTTGGAAGTTGTTTCGCATTGCGCCAATCCCCGTCAGATTGGAAGACATTCAGTGCACCCTGACGACGGTCGCTGGTAGCATCGATGTGGAGATTGAAGTTGATGAAGCGAAGAGCCATGGCGTGATGGAAATCTTTTGCTCCGTATGGCGTTCATGCGCAGCTGCAACCACCGCGGGAATGTGCTTTACAAGGGCCAGGGTGTGTCAAGTGAACAGGCATATGGGCAGAGAGTGTTTTTCTTTTTGGCCCTCCGCGGCGTACGCACACGAGAGTGCTTGAAGGCGTTAACGCAAGCTACTCCAATCTGCGCGAACGAGCAGCATCGTGCGCTGGGAAGTGTCGGCCTTTAGGCGGTGATCCTCGGTGCTAAATCTACTTCCAACCACCAAATAACCGCGGTTGTCAGGAAACCACTAGTTACCCCTCAAATGTCGATCATACAACTCGTGTCCAATGTCAACCCACAGTTCGAGCCGGGTTACACTAAAGTATGTCATTTCGAACATCCCTAGGAGTTGTTTGAAAACACGAGTGAGCCTTACATGTACGCCAGTTCAAATATGGCACCGGCGACCAGGCTCCGTCTATCACAAGGCTAGCCGATAGATGCCGACTAGATGTTACTACGCCCAACTCACTCCATCTAATGCGGTCGTTACTGCTCCGCCTGTGGAATGTCTTTTTTGGTGTTAGTTTTGAAGTATATACTCACTACAACATTGAGGTTTGACATAGTGTGGAGAAAACAGAGTCGGAGCGCCCGAACAACGCAAGGTCGAAGACGGAGGGCTGCAAACAGAAGGTCATAGATGCATGATCAGAGACACAAAATTACAGAGTGGGGACTGCAGACACTAGGTTAAACACGCAGGGCAACGAAGCATAAGAAGGAATGGAGCCCTCGTGTAAAGATAGTCATCAACGTAGCATTGAACCGAACACATCCGATATGCAGTTTCTCAAGTTCTTGCTTCCGCTCGTCACCAGTGCAGCTTTCTTAGCGGCGCAACCACTAGATGAAAGAGCTATCTCTTCGAGCTGGGCTGGAGTCAACTCGTACTTTCTTCATGCATATCAGAAGTATGAGCATGGTACGCCTCTTTTGGTTTCTACTTACTATGAACAGATCTGATCGCCTAGCTGTACTTGACGCTGTCAAAGATGCTAAGCTCAAGACGCTGCGCATATTCATCTCGCACACGCTTCAGAACAACAAGGATACTGGCTCAGTCAATATGCCCGATATCGAGCCACAGCAGGTTGGCACATACGATGACACTCAGCTGCGCGCCATCGATCAACTGATGGTTGAGACCCATGACCGAGGCATCAAACTGGTCATCGCTATGCATGACCGCTACCAATTAGGTTGCTGGGGAAATGGTAGGGTCTCCCATGAATCGAAGTAAAACCACCAGTGACACTGACATATCTTTGGTACAGATACATACATGTCGAAATACAAGCTTCCTGCCGTTGACTGTGCGAAGACCTCTGCCGCTCAGAACGATGTGACGTTCTTTTACCAGGACGCATCGCCAATTTACGACTTCGACAATCGCCTCACGCACATCCTTCAACACAAGAACCAGTTGGTCTCAGGTGCACCGCAGTGGAAGGATCTATCGGACTACATATTCGCGTTCAACATTCAGAACGAAGGACAAGGGCATCTGCGCAACAATATTGCACCTGCACCAAATTGGTGGTGTGATCGAAGCAAGAAAATGCGAAGCGTGATGGGAAATAGTGCAATTCTAATATCAACAGGCAAGTGTACCACCCGAATCCTTCCAACGCTCCGTACTCTGGATATCATCATACTAACTGCTTCCTTCTTAGGTGGTGGGAACGAATTTCCCAACTCCGACATTCCCGAAAACTGGAGCTGCGCAACCCTCGACCTCGTCGACATTCACTCCTACAGCGGCGCATCTGAATGGCGCAACAAAGCGCCCATCGCACTGCAGCACGCTCAGGCTGCCAAGAAACTCGTGCTTTTCGAGGAATTCGGTGCTATCGGTTCCGACAAGGCGAGCGTTGTAGGTCAGCATATCGATATCTTCAATGGACTCAAGGTGCCATGGATGATTTGGCAGATCAACAAGCCGGGCAAAGGTGCTGCAGACTATGAGTTTTGGACGAATGAAGATACGTTCGCGGTGGTCAAGCAGGGGTCGGCCAAGGCATTGAGTATTGCTGCGGCTCAGACGTTTCCTAATCTCGCCTAACTCTGGACACGTTGTGTTCTCGCATGAAAGGGAGAGACTTTGTATAAGATACTGAACGATACGACTGCTAAGACTTCCGATAGATATCACCCGTACGCCTGATCTCATCCTCAACATCCTTTCCTCTCCCTGCAGCTTCTAGCTTCCTGACCAAAGGCAATACCTCTTTGCCAAAACGTTCAATGTCCTCCTCATAGTGCAAATGCGCAGTCAGCACCAAATTCACTCCTAAACTCTTCAGCAATAAGATCCGATCTGCAATCTGCTCTTTTGTACCAATTAATTTGGTTTTGAAGCCGTCATTGTACTGCACCAAGTCTTCGAGCTTGCTATCTGCCCACATGCCCTTTTTATTACCTGTACTGGCACCAGCCTGTTGGACTGCTTCCCGGAAAGCCTCGACGGCCTCCGTATCGGCTTTTCCTTGGATCTCTTTCAGTACGCGAATCGCTTCTTCCTCCGTTTCGCGGATGATGACGAAGCCGTTGACCGCAAATCGTACTTTGCCTTCACGCCCAGCTTTTCGTGCGCGCTCTTTTACATCGGCAATCTGTTCGCGGAAACCATCCAGATCATTGCCGTTCATGAAATACCAATCACTGACTTCAGCGCCGTTGTTCCGGGCGTCATCGCTGTTTCCGCCTTGGAAGATTTCTGGGTGCGGTTTCTGAAGTGGTTTGGGTGATAATTTGTAGTTTCGAAATTGATACTTGTGAGGTTCGTGAAATGTCAGCAAAAGATCCCGTCATGTGCATTTTGCGACCTGCTTGGTACGGTATACATACAAAGTCGCCGCCAAAAGTGAAGCCCTCTTCCCCAGCAGTCCAGATGCCCTTCAATGCGCGGATAAACTCGTTAGAGCGTCTATAGCGCTCAGCATGCTCGAGCCACCACTGCCCAATACTCGTGAATTCGCTCTTGTTCCAGCCTGAAACGATATTCACAGCGATACGTCCATTAGTGTAATTGTCGATACTCGCAATCTGTTTTGCTGCGACGGTTGGATTCCACGGTCCGGGAAGTATAGCGGCAATGAGTTTGATACGCTCCGTGTTGTGCAATAGCGCCTGGGAGAACGAAACACTCTCGTGCTGGTTTTCGGCTCCATACGATGCAGTGAAACGGATTTGGGTGAGCGCATACTCGAAACCATACACTTCGGCTGTTTTTGCGTATCGCACGTTAGATGATAGGTCCCAATTCGTTTTTTGAGCGATCTTGGAGACAACAAGGCCGCCTGAAACGTTGGGAACCCAATAACTGTATTCTCCAAAGGTTAGGAAACACGAAAAAGAGCCTGTTATCGAAGCCTGCTCACGCAAATAATAGGCGATCGGGATCCTGGTTCAGATCCAATTGCTCTGTGGGCGTATACGCGTCTGATGTTCTCTTGGGATGTCCGTTGGTGCCATTTGCGCTGGTGCCATCTATTACTACCAAAAAAAATGATTAGCCCTGCATTCTTGGGACTACCATGGTATTCTGGGAATATCACCTGTCTTCTGTCTCTTGCGTTGCGACATGTTAACTATGGAAGGTTCGAGAGAACACGAGTTCGACGATGACAATAGATACCGGAAAAAGACTTGTACTATGGTGCCGTGTGATGTCGATGTAAGGTCAGTTGTCGATCAGATTTGCAAATAGTAAGCGTGGATTGCGTGCTATATAACAATCCGTGAGATCTGTGGGGTTGACGCAGGTTAGATTGGAGCCCTGTAGATCGCAGTCTATTTCTCCGATAACCCTGCAACTCGTAGATCCTGGTTTCGTGAACGATAAGCTGTGTTACAACCATCTGCTCCAAAACCACGAGTCCGACCTATTTCATTGGCTGCCAGCGATCCTTAGTTGCTGATCGATGGGACAATCCGGAAACCTGAAGACGTGATCTGCCGTAACTTGCAGCGATAAATCTAGATAATGTACACCCCACACTATAGTGTCAATACTTCCTATGATTCCATGCTTCGGCGGAGATTCAGAATCGTGTCGGCTCAATTGTGATGCTGAACACTACCGGGTTCTACAAGAAAAGCCGAAGCACGTAATTTACTATCGCATAGTCGTAATGCCTACACTCAGATAGCACACAGATCCCGTATCAATACTGGTGTCGCATTAGTTGAACATTCATGTTAATTCAGTACAAAAGGCTGTGGTTCAGAGCTAGTCGGTTGCGTGAAAGTTTACGTTCATACAAACAACCATGCCCGACTTTTTGACGACGGACCTGAACAGCAAAAGCAGTGCTGGTACCACTGATGTCGAGAAGCAGCTCACCCATGAGGGTTCTCTTGTACCAGTCGCAGCTCCAAAGACCTTGGGGGCCGGAGTAAGTGGTACAAACTGAACGAAACACCATGTTGCTAAGATGTCAAGACAGCACTTCCGATTGGAGTCTTCGCGACGACTTTGACCACGCTATCGCTTAGTCTCATGGAATGGCGAGGAGTAACCACCAACAATGTCTTCGTCGCCAATTTCTTCTTCGCAGCGGCTTTCGGCAAGTCAACAACGTATACGTTGTGTATGAGACATGGCTGACTTCATAATAGGCCTGGTGGTTACTGCACAGTGGGAGCTCTCAGTCGGTAACGGCTTCGCTTACACAGTGTTCAGCGCATTTGGCCTATTTTATGCTGGTTATGGGGCGATATTAACACCAGCCTTCGGTGTTGAGGCAGCATATGGAGACAATGTGAACGAATACAATAACGCTCTCGGGTTCTTTATGATCAGTCAGTTTCTCAAGACCGCCGATGAAAGACAGTGCGACTAATCATAGCGTAGTGTGGACGGTTTTCGCCTTGGTGTTTCTTGTAGCCTCGTTGCCGACAAACTTGGTATACATCATCATCTTTTTTTGCGTAGAGCTGGGATTCCTGTTAGTTTCGGCTTCCTATTTTGCCGAGGCAGATGGACATTTCACCGCCTCAATCGCGCTCAAGCAAGGTGGTGGCGCATTTTGCTTTTTGGCTGGATTGACTGGGTGGTACCTGACGTTCGCCCTGTTGCTCAAGGATTCGATCGTTGAGCTGCCACTGGGCGACACTTCAAGGTTCTTTGCAAAGAGCAGGAAGGCGGAGTAACCGCCAAGCGACACTGTGCTCGAATATGGCTATCAGGAGGGTTCTCAGAGATATGCAGTTGACTAACACTGTGATGGGTTGTGATTACGTGGAGTTGAGGATGATGCGATTGAGGGGTTAGATGGCGAACGCGGTCTGGGTTCGGTGGTGAGCTTGGGTGCCAGACTAGTCCATCTCAAGGCTAGCATCAATGCATGGATGCGGGTCTCCCGCCAGCGCTGCCTTTGTCGGCGCGTCTCACCTACATACTCCCACATTCAAGTGTTGTGACGCTGCTGCATTGCGCGATCCACCCCCACGGCATGAGGAGGTATTAGCTATGCTGGTCTGACGGCAGACAACTTGATCTCCATAATGTCGGCGGTATACCCCTGTCTACACCCTACTGTTATCAAAGCGACTGCGTCCTGCTTCTCTACTATACTGCAGCCATACAGATGGCTCAGTTATGATTGAATAGCACGCAATAATTTGGGAACTTCGTATCATCCCGAGGCTCTCCTAGCGAGAGCCTGCATATAAAGACATTCATCGGAACGTGGAGGATGTGCGCCAGGTAACTGCGTTACATCAACATTTCACGTACGCAGATAATGACTACCACCAACGGAACTAACAGTGCGCCTGGGAACGCGCAAGATGTCGACTTCAGAGATCCGGCTGTGTATGCCGAGTATGAGAAGAAGTGGTCATCCAAACCGGAAGATGAAGTAGGCTGGCTCCAGCGAGCTCAAGAGGTCGCCGATGTCCTTGCCGCTGATGCTGTGGTGCGAGATCAAGAGAACAAGTCTCCACGGGCAGAAGTAGCTCTACTGAAGCACTCTGGCCTTCTCAAGGTTCTTGGCCCAAAGAAGTATGGTGGCGGTGGTCAACCTTGGAGTGTTGGCTACAAGGCAATTCGGAAGGTAGCCGAAGCGGATGGGTACGATTAATCTTTTCCTGTTTACCACTTCTGCATATTAACCTTCTTAGCTCCATCGGCATGCTGCTTGGCTACCACCTTCTCTGGTCGACCACAGCAAACATTGTCGGCTCACCCGAGCAAGCCGATCGCTTACAGAAGCTCATAATCGAGAACAACTACTTCATCGGCGGTGCTGTCAATCCTAGAGACAGCGATTTATCGATCAAATCTGACGGCGATAATGTCGTCTTCAACGGTTTCAAATTCTTCAACACAGGTGGTGTTGTTTCTGATCTCACCGTTCTTGAAGGCGTCTACGAAGCCACTGGCAACCACATCTTCGCCTTCGCGAAGACGAATCAGCCTGGTATTCAATTCGGTCATGATTGGAACAACATCGGCCTACGCTTAACCGAGTCTGGTAGTGTCAAAATCTCCAATGTGAGCGTGCCTTGGACGGATGCGCTCGGCTGGGACGTTGAAAGAAAAGAACCAGACCCTCGTGCGCTGCAGACACCTTTTGCGACGCTACTTCTCCCAACCATTCAGCTCGTCTTCAGCAATTTCTACCTTGGTATTGCTCTTGGTGCACAGCAATATGCAGCAAGGTATACGGTGAAGGGCACTCGGGCATGGCCTTTTGGTGGCGACGTACGTTTATTAGTATTCTGAGAAACCTGTTACACGTTGCTGATGTGCGATTAGAACAAGGAGAAGGCGACAGATGAGTTCTACATCCTCGAACGCTATGGAAACTTCCACGCTCACCTCCGTGCCGCGTCTGCCCTAGCAGATCGCGCAGGCCAAGAAGTCGATGCTATCTTCAATAAATACACAGGTGATTTGAACATCCGTGGAAAGCTGACGGCGCGAGAGCGAGGTGAGCTGGCGGAGTGGGTCGCAAGCGTCAAGGTCGTCACAACGGACACCAGCCTGCGAGTTACTTCTGGAGTCTTCGAGGTGACAGGCGCGAAAGCGACGAGTCAAAGAGTAGGTTTGGATCGATTCTGGAGGGATGTTAGGACGCACACGTTGCATGATCCTGTCGCGTACAAGAATCGCGAGTTGGGGAGGTTTGCACTGCTGGACGAGATCCCAGAGGCTACTTGGTATACCTGATTACGCTGTTAGAATTTACCATGGTTCATTCCCGGGCTTTTCATCATGGTTCTTGCGGCCACATAGAACAGCTAGAGGCCGTGCTGCACATTTCGTGTGCCCCCTAGCTGATGCAGTGGCTACGTGCTGTGGTTCTGTCGTTACTCGATTAGAATATGTCAAGCAGACTTTGGGCTCCGACTGCTTGTTGAGTAGATATCGCATGTCGGAACAAAATGGCGACTAGGCCTCACGACCAAAGAAATGTGTTTCGCTTCCTAGGTTACAAATCGAGTACGAAAGAGTATTAGAGTGACAACTGTGGGAGCATCAGCCAGCACAAGCTGGTTGTCAAGAGACTCCGAAGTGTATGGCTGTACCTTGCTTTATCAGCACATTCTGATCTAGGCTGCGAAAACTGTTCCATTGTCGCAGCTATCGAGATATCGGTCAACCGAGTCATCGCATAACGCATATGGTCGAAGCGTGGATTCAACTAGGAACGAGGGTGTCCTTGCTTTTAGTAGTATGTTTTCCCTTCTTCCGGTTCTGTGACAGGCCTGGAAGAGAGCGAACAATGTCCGCAGCCATGAACAACCGCATTGTCTATGACAACCCGCTGAACTTTGGCCAGATGCACATCGACTTCGTCGTGTGCTGGATGACAGGCGGCGCTGATAGCGAGACTACAAGAGGCCACGAGAGGAGCCTTTATTGGGAGCATTCTATGCCCAACGGCACATATCGTAAACAACAGACCTCAGAGGACAACGATCAAGACCAACAAGCTAAGGAGAGAGACTCCGCACGTCGAAGTAGAGTCTCCTCCGTCCACGTTGTCCACCCGAACAAGGAAGAACGCTTGGGAAACGAGCCAGTGAAGCGCTCCGCCGATCCCGGTGAGTGGAAGACTCCACCTGTACGGGAGTTGTAGGAAATATAGGCATCTTTGCTTTCCACTTGGCTTCGTGACCCTGAGGCTCTTTCTCGACGTTGCGAAGTGCTGCCATTCTTCACTCCCCACCATAGATGTGCAGACCAGGTTCACCGTGAAGTAGCAGAAGGAGACCAAAAGTTGTGGTAGGTTCGCCAGCCATGCACTCCAAAGTGTGGCTACAGCAGATGCACTTGTCGACCTGTACAATGCAGAGTTAGACACAGCTTCCCATTCCCACTTTACACTTGGAGTCCATGCAACCCAAGTCGAGAACAAGACCATCAGGAACACAAATCTAGATAGTCAGCGACTATTGCAGGAGTAGGAAAGGAAGCGTTACAAGAGTAGGAGGTCGAATGTAGCTCCTTGCTTGTACGGCTGTCTATGCGGACGCCATAGCCCTGTCAAACGTTGGCAGGAAGCCTCTATCTCTCCGTCTGTGTAGTCGTGATGACCTAGCGGATGACCAATGCTGAGAAGCATCTCATCTCGACCTTGTACACACTTTCCCTTCGTATGAGGGTCGTTCTGCTTCAGAAATGAGCTTGCAGCGTCACCCAGGGTGACAAGGTACGCTGATCGATCTGTGACAAGTACATAGGACAGTATAACAAGCTTGAATATGTTGAAGCATACCACGACGATCATGAAGTAGAGGCTGACTTGCACTCTATCCTGGATAACGTCTCGTTTTTCCGATGATGCTTGCAGTACGTGGAGCAAACTTCCTCTGAGCATGTCGCCGCTATTTTTAGTGTTTTTCCATGTATCACCATCATCTATCGTTAACTAGTCACTTTTAATCCAACCGGCTAATCCCGTTGTTAGGTCCCCTACCAACAACTGAGTAGAAGTTTCGTTCCCCAGGAAAGTCGTAAAGGCTTCCGATAGATTCGGATTGATTGGGAAGAGCCTGGTTTCGAAAGCTATCCGATCGATCGCCAGAAACAGATTTCCATGGGAAGCCAGAGACTGTGTCTGATAGAAATCCTCCCACCGGTCCGTCATGTTCCAGAATTGACCTCCAGTCCACGTGCTCGAGTCGGTGGCGGACATGATTTCTTTCCAGGAGTTAGAATCATAGTCCTTCAGAGCGATTTGATAATCCATGTTTACTGATGTAGTTGTAACTCTAAATACCAAGGCGTTGTAGTTAGTGACTTTGAGCTTCATGAAGACAGAACTTTTCGCATAAAGACAAACAATAGATGTAGAGGAACTGATGACGCAGCTAGAGTCAACCAGAGTATAGCAAGTTTCTTAGCTATTTCTCGCAGATTGCGAGGGCTGAGAATGCCGATATCAAGCCACGACCCTTTCGCATGAACTGCGTCGACTTCGATCCGTGTTGGGGAACTCAGGACTTGTATGGTATAGTTCGATGCAGACAGTAGGACTGTGCTGAGTGCGTTGATCAAAACGTGTAAAGCGGTGTTCAATCGCCAAATAGACACGTCATCGCCTTGGTAAATCGTATATATACCTTTGGCGTCGCTACTCGATCCACGATTTGCACCAACAACGATGATGGCGATGTTGCAACAAAGGACTACAAAGGACGTGTAGCAACCGAGAAAGACTCCCATACGCCATTCATGGAAGCGGCTGTTTCTAATTCGCGAATTTACGGCATCTGTTAGACTGTTGAAGGGGCGAGAGAGCACGGGAGGAATGCAATGTTGCGAAGCTGATGAGCCCGCAGATATCGATGCAAAGACCCTGCCATATCTTGAGAATGAACTACGTATATCAGCTTTGTGTATGCGAGCTGGATAGTATCAAAGCCCACGCAGAGGAACCTCCCACCTCGCCCTCGGTCTCTGATCTTGGAACAGGGGAGTTGAATTGCTTGGATATCTGTGCATCCGTGTTGGCGCGTCGGGTTAAGTTCATGAGCGGGATAACGTCGCTGAATTCTTCATCATTTATCGACAGAGGAAGTAGGACGGGGGCTTGCAAGAATGGCGCGGTTTGATCAGCCATCAGAGGTCAAGTCGCGATGAAAGGACAGTATTGAGACGAAGTGAGCGATACAAGAGAAGAAGAATTACAGCGTGCGAATATTTCTTATCGCACCACAGCCTCGCAGCAAGGCTGAGACCTCATACATGGTGGCTTTCTTGGAAGCAGCCACAGTGTGGTTGCACAACCGCATTGGAGTCATGTAATTGGTAGCCGTGCCCAGACGTATGCACCTGGGCCGTGTGCGGCTGGGACTATGCGAAAATACATTTGCAGAGCCAAAGATAGGAGAGCATCAAAAGATCCTTCTGGCGCGTATGCTGAGCTGCGGTGCAAGATGCTCAAGTCTGGCTGCTTGGGATCGCAGTCGCACTCCAAGACACAAGAAGCGGAAGCTGGTCAGCAATGAGTTCAGATAGCGATACAGAGTGAAGCTTCGAGAGTTAACCTGGGAGTCTGCCGGTACCTGTAACGCGAACGAGGGGGTTGGTAGCCTGGAGTAAGCTGGAAGATTCGATGTTGGGGGGTTGCGTGACACAGGCACGTGAAGGAAAGTTCCGCGGCTCAGATGTGACCTCATCAAGCCAGCACAGCCCTAGCGCATCTCACTGACGCTTCATCCTTCGACCTACACCAACGCGCATCTCAACCTCGCACTTCGCATCGCACGTAGTCGACTCTTGCGATAACCTCATCATCATGGGCGCACCTAAATACCAGAACGTGCCTCAGCGCGACTCACTCGACGAGGCAGCACCCGCGCCGTCATATTCCCAGGCGCCACCCAGCTACCAGGCGACCAACGATCCCCAAGAAGCCCTCCTCAGCGGCGTCCCTCGCGGCGAGAACGACAATCTGCCTGATGACTTCAAGTTCGGCGGTGTTGTGGCAGAGGCCACGCTGGACATCCGGATGGCCTTTATTCGAAAGGTTTATGCCATCCTGTAAGTACCCCGTAGCGACGAGACGAGACGAAAGTCGCACATTCTGACTCTCTGCCAGGACCGTTCAACTCCTCGCGACGGCCGCCGTAAGCGCGCTATCGATGATGTCGGAATCATACAAGAGCTTCATTCAACAAACCCCGTCGCTCATGTGGGCATCGCTGATCGGCTCTTTCGTCTTCCTCGGCCTCACCTTCTGGAAGCGCAAGTCGTACCCGACCAACCTCTTGTTCCTCGCCGGCTTCACCGCCATGGAGGCATACTCCATCTCCGTCATTGTCTCGTTTACCGACTCCAAGATTGTGCTGCAAGCGCTCTTCTTTACCCTAGGCATCTTCATCGCGCTGAGCTTGTTTGCTTGCCAGTCCAAGTACGATTTCACGAGCTGGATCCCATACCTTTTCGGAGCGCTTTGGGTCGTGGTACTGTTTGGCTTCATGTCCATGTTCTTCCCCAAGAGCAGCACGGTCGAGCTAGGGTATGGCGTCGTTTGCGCACTCATCTTCTCAGGCTACATTCTGGTAGACACACAGATGATTATGCGCCACTACCATGTTGAGGAGGAGATTGCGGCGTCCATCTCCCTCTACCTCGACATCATTAACCTGTTCCTCGCTATCCTGAGGATCCTCAACTCGCAAAATCAGAACTAGACGAAAGCGATCAAGGTTTGTAGAAGGAGCTGCAGATTTACTTGGGAGAAATTGTTTGGCGTCATGGGTAAGCGGTTGTATTTGGATAGTTGTTCTATGTCTTTTAGCCGTAGTAATGTAACACCACCATTGCATTCCTTTGCCATCTCATAGTGGACTCGACGTGACAGCTATGGTTCAACGTACCAGGTTCTTCCAATAGCTATGCATGCATATCAAGTCAGGCCATGGCGGGGTACTATGGGGCTGTAGCAGGCGTGTGGCGTGTGATTGGTCGGGAAGGTGAAACGCTCGCGACCCTTGATTTTCGGAGCACGAAGCTTCATCGGCGCGCTCTTGGCAACAATGCTACCTGCAGGAATTTGACGATAACGGCTGCAGGGGCTGCATTAGGAGCAGACAAGGACGGGACAGAGCTTTCTCGTAGGATTGCCACCTCCTTTTTCCTCTATGCAACATTCACTTGCTTTGTCCCCGTCGCACTCGAGGGTGCATGCTGCAGCGGAGTTAGGCGAGCCCCATTTTTGAAGTGGCCCTCCAGATAGCGCGCTCCAGACACAGCTATAGCGATTGCTGCTAGCTCCCGCGACACCTGTCCAGAAATACAGAGGTAGCAATTGGATACGTCTGGTCAATCCCCTCACCAAGACACGCAGCTATCACGCAGGAAAACGCCCAATTCGCGTGGCCAGGCCAGGAAATTGTTGATCCGCGCTTGCCCCATCCATCTCTAAACCCTGAATATCTTTGCTTGGAACCACCACACCGCTTCCTCGACAACTCTTCTGCCCGGGCGCGTCTCGTTTCCCCCCGCGGCATTTCCTCCCGTACGCAATCGAGGACCTACCCTACCCATCATTTTCGGCCCTTTCACTGCTCAATGGCTGTTGGTTGCTGAGACACGCACCCGACTACGTTCGCTAAGAGGTGATTGTTGAGCGACAATTCAACTTGACCCAAGCATCCACACGCCGCATTGCACACCGGAATCCTTTGCCCGACTGCAATCACCACCGGGAGGCCATTCTTCCGCCATTGACCCCACGATCGGGCCGCTTTTCGACAGCGTCGCTCCAACACACACTACTCGCTCCCCACCTCGGGGCACATTGCAAAATAGCTACCATGGCGACAACACAGAACCGTGACGGCGCGTTGCGAAAGACACACACGGCAGATATGCACGCCCAAAAGCTGCCAAATGCGCCAACGAAGCGGAAGATGCAGGCAAAGAAGGTCGAGGATGAGGGGCTCATGGCCTCTATATGCACGCTCATCTGTGAGCACCAGATTGGTACGTTCTCGCAAACACTCGCTGCTACCACGACTCACGCCGAGACTGACTACTACAGGCATCTCCGTCAACCTGCTCACCCTCCTTTGCCTCACCCACACATTCTTCCCCCGCGCTCGAAGCCGGACCTCCAAGTTCTTCCACATGTCCTACTACAACCCCGAGACCGACATGTACGGCTGTGGCACCGACGATCTGCCCTTTGTACTACTGTGGACCGTCATCTTCACCGGTGTACGCGTGGCAGTCATGGAATACATGCTCGACCCGCTAGCGAGACTCGGTGGTATCAGGACAAAGAAGGGCCTGGACCGGTTCAAGGAGCAGGCATGGTTGATTATTTACTACACCGCGTCGTGGTCTCTAGGAATGGTACGTTGTATACAACAAATACACATCATGGCAATACTAACAGAGCGACAGTACATCATGTACCATTCCGAGTTCTGGCTGAACCTCCACGGCATATGGGAAGGCTGGCCGTTCCGGGAAGCCGATGGCCTCTTCAAATGGTACTACCTCGTTCAATGGGGGTTCTGGGTCCAGCAGATTCTCGTTGTCAACATCGAGGAGAAGCGCAAAGACTACGCACAAATGTTCACCCACCACATCTTCACCACCGCCTTGATGTGCTTGTCGTACGGCTACTTCCACATGCGCGTCGGCATCGTCATCTTGACCATCATGGACTTTGTCGACATCATCTTGCCAGTAAGCAGTCTAAACTCACTGAACGAGCAAGCACGAACTGACACCTACAGACCGCCAAACTTCTCAAGTACATGGGCTACTCCAACGCCTGTGACTACGCATTCGGTCTCTTCGTCCTCGCCTGGATCGTCACCCGCCACGTCCTCTACATGATGGTCTGCTGGTCCATCTACGCCTACGCCCCCGTCGACATGGCACCGGGCTGCTACCTCGCCGACTCCACCTCGAAGCAAACGTCCTTTGTCCCCGCATCCAACACCTCGCAATTCGAAGCCTACGGCGGCAACAACCACTGGGGCAATCTTCTCAAGGCATACAACGACCGCAACGGACCGATTTGTTGGAACCCGCAAATCCGCTACTACTTCCTCGCGCTCCTCCTCACACTCCAAGTCTTCTGCTGCATATGGTTTGCTACCATCGCAAAGGTCGTATACAAGGTGCTCAAGGGCACTGGCGCTGATGACCTGCGCTCCGACGACGAGGGCGAGGATGACGAGGTTGAGGTTGATCAGACCAAGACGATTTTCAACATGGCGACTACCTGCGGCGAGAGTGGAATGAGCTCCATGACGCCAAAGGAAGAGGAAGTTGGTGTCGATGCGCTCACGTTTGCAAGGTTAAACGGGGCGAGTCACAGGCGCCAGGCGAAGAGGGAGAGTTCGCGTGCGAGCGGGATTAGTATTCCTGGTCATGGCGATCGCAAGGAGTTGTTGGGACGGATTGGGTGTGATAAGCCTTCGTAAGGGCCTTTTGGGCTTTCCAAAGTCACACAGATCCTTGTTCTCTTCCGTTGCGATGCGAAAGAGCTTTCGCTGGCGTCGTGGCGCGTGTAGCACACAATGTGCTGGGTTTCATTTTCCAATGTTATTTTGAGGGTGTATAGGTTCCGAAGGAATACCACATGCCTGGCCATGATATTCCTGATTTGGCTGAGATTTTTGGCTGATGCATATGTATACCCCTACAAGTCGAATTTAGAGCGTTTTCTCGAATCTGATCGACTGGATGTGTGTGTGTGTGTGTGTGTGTGTGTGTGTGTTATGTGTGTGAAATTCCATCTCGAGCTTAATTATAGAGATCCACTCTGGGCGGGTGGGGAGGCGGAGGAGTGGTGGTAGATGTCTTGTGCTGAGGAGGTAGACGTTTCAGTCTTGGTGTTGGTGGCATCTTTACTTTGGCGTTCAGACCCCATCGCTAGTGTTCTTGCTAGATTGCCAGAAAGATAAATCGAGTACTCCATTTCCATTCTATCAGACCTAGGCGCATGACTCTTCAAACCTCGGCTCATAGCTAGCGTGAGAGAGAGATTGTGGGATGGTGGGATGGCGGGGCTGCACAGGTACCAGCCGACATACGAACATTGACCTCGGACGACGGTTTGGTGAACATCCTTGCTCGCTGATTAGTGATTCATAGGTGGCTCACAATAGCTTCCGTCCTCCGTGAATTCGCTGACGTTGTCCGGACAATCCACACTTCACCATTGCAAACTTATATACGAATCATAACGCGGCCGCCGAATCCAATATCAATCAACCAACCAACCAGCCAATCAACACAAACCCACACCACAGCTAAACATGACAACGCAAAGCAACCCTCCTCTCTCCACCCCACCGTTCTACACCCACATCAACAACATCAACAACCTGCGCCTGGCCACCCACTCTCTCACTACGAAATCTGGTTCCGCTCTCCGCCCAAACATCCTCTTCCGCAGCGCCGAAGTATCGAAGCTAGATGTCGATGGCTGGAAAGCTGTACATCAGTTGGGCGTAGGTCACGTTTTCGATCTACGTAGTAAGCCCGAAGTCGACAAAGGCTGGGCTGGCATCATCGGCAAAGACGCAAATGGCAAGGATGACGTCCGACCTGGATGGATCCAAGCCATGGAAGAAGCAGGTGTAAAGCGGACGTGGACACCAGTATTTGAAGAAAGCGATTATAGTCCCGAGAGGTTGGCGGAGCGGTACTCAAAGTACATGGATGAACATGTGCGAGGCTTCGTCGAGGCTTATGCTGATATTTCGACAAACGCTGGCAAGGCTTTTGGCACGATTCTAAGGTACTTGGCTGGTTTGTCGCCGCAGCAGCTACAAAGCAATGGCGAGAAGGGGAGAAAACAAGAGAGCTGCGGTGCACTCATTCATTGCACGGCAGGCAAAGACCGGACGGGAATCTTCTTTGGTCTGCTGTTCGACTTCCTCGGTGTACCGCGCGAACAGATTGCAGATGAGTACCAACTCACTGAACTGGGGCTTGCAAACATCCGCGAGGATGTTGTAGCGAGGCTGATGATGAGTCCAGGCTTCAGGAAGTATATGGCGGCACAAGCATCTGGTTCGTCGCTATCCGCCGAAGACATTGCAAAGAGCATACGAGGTGAGGATGTGGGTGAGGAAAAGACGATACCGCCGGAGATCCTGGAAAAGGGACGACAAGCTGGCCTGCGCATGGTTGGTGCGAGGAAAGAAAGTATGTTGCGTAGTTTGGATATGGTGGATGAGCGGTTTGGTGGGGCGGAGCGGTATATGAGGGAGGTATGTGGACTCGGTGATGGGGAGTTGGAGGCGTTGAGGAGAAATTTGGTGGTTGAGACATGACTAGGTAGAGGTAGAATAGGGGAGAAGGGAAGACTATAGTGCTGGTCAGACTTTCGGATGGCCAAGTTCGGAGCATGCGGCGCAGTGCGTATGGTACCAGCCCTCGGAAGAACAATACTGTGGGAGGAATACCATACATGCTTGTTGATTGCATAGCACATTACCTAGGTTGCCTTGTATAGGTATACGTCTTCACGTCTTCACGAACTACATCGCTACGCATTCCATGTACGCAGTAGCCTGATTGAGTTCAGATAGCGAACGTTGACCAACGCAGGTTGCAAGGTGGGGCGGTGCGGGATGCTTGATGTGCCCAGCATCGGCTCAGCCTGGTCGCACGCACTGCCTTGACAGACAGCCTTCCTACCAGCCTAGCATAAGCTTCTTCTAACTGCTTTGCTCTGTTACAACTGTGCCTTTCTACTCTCGACACTACTAAAGTCGTTTGTGCCTCGCCTTTCCTAGGCTAAGCCAGGATCACAAACGCTATGCGGCTTCTCCACTTGGACGCATCAGGGAAGCCCGTCTTGGTAGATTTCGACGATGATAACCTTCCTCCCTACGCCATTCTTTCACACACATGGAGCGACTCCGAGATCTCATTCGAAGACTTACTAAATGACACCTACAAGGAGAAGGAAGGTTATCGAAAGCTTAGGCTCTGTGCCAACCAGGCATCGCAGGACGGACTGAAAAACTTTTGGATCGATGCATGCTGCATCGAATCGAACTCTCTCGAGATGTCAAAAGCAATCAAATCTATGGCAAAATTGTACAAGGACGCGACAAGATGCTACGTCGTTTTGTCAGACCTCTCATTTCCGCCTGAGACAGGGACGGTTCAACGTAGCAACTGGGAGGAGTCATTCCGCAAAAGTGCATGGGCCTCTCGAACATGGACATTACAAGAGTACTTTTTGTCATCATCAGTCGAGTTTTTCTCGCGTGAAGGGCATCGCATAGAGGACAAGGCGTGGTTCCAAGCGCAAATTGAAGCAGCTTACAGCATGCGATATGATGACGATAGACTATCTATACAGTCAATTGAATCTTCGACAACGCTGGTCTCTACATCAAGTGGCTTAACAACAGTAGAGAAGAGCGCCACTGTCGAACTTCAAAGAGTTTTTCAGGAGGATGTGGAACTTGCTAGCCTCTATCGCTTGGCTTTGAAGGACCCGTCTGTCGAATCGGATAGACTGCAACGAAATATTGCGCGGCTGCTAAAACTGTTCGCAAAAGACCTCCGGCGTGAGGCAGAAACGAATCTAGAGAGGATGGCGTCTCGGTTCGTGCGGAGCAAAGCGCCATATATCGCATATTGCATCGTTGAAGAATTCAACGATACACCAAGAAACTCACGGCAACCACACCCTCTGGTAGAGCAAGGAAGAAGCGACGGAGATGGCCGAGAGCAGGAAGAAGACGCGAACGAGGTCGTTGAAGCGCAGCCCGAGGTTGATGACATCGAAGAGCTGGCGCTTATTGATGACGACTATTTCGAGGACCTTGCTAGGCTTCGAACCTTTCTCGTTCGCAGTTCTGCCTTCCAGTTTTTCCGAGCAAGACTAACTAAATTCGTTTTACCAAAGAACTCATGCCGATCAGACATCGACGTTGCTGTAAAAGATCGTTGTGATGTAGCGTCACTGTCAAAGTTTTGTCGATTATCAATTTCGACTGTTGGCATAATCAAAGCTGTTCTGGTTGTGGTTGGGTGTTTGGAACCACCCCTACAGCCAGGATCGATCCGGCTACGGTGGCAATGTGTAAGTGGTCAAGCAGAGTACGACTCGCTCCCCAAAAATTGCAGTAGATCCGATTTGTATCATTCACGTATGATTGGGATGGATGATGCTAACGTTCTGTAGGATTGTGGGGCCCCCCTTTCGGAGATGTTCAGGAACATCGTATAGGTGGTATTTCTAGGCTAATAGAGCAGATGGAGCGATCCGCTAGTGGTAAGATTACTGCCACTTCGTACGATGAACACTCATCCAGTGAACGTTATATCCCGGGACCAAAAATCTGGATTCGCGAAACAGCCAGAAGCTTCGTAAGGGCTTTTTCAAAAGACGCGAATCATAACGACTTTCTACCGCGACACGGCGGTCCTGGTACAAGAACAACACCTAAATCAGCAAATATCGAATTACCACTTGTTCCAGATCTTCTGCTATTGGCTTGTGCGCACCAGAGCCAAGGTGGACAATCCTTGCGCCAGGACAGTATAGGGACGATAGAGAGCGGTCGGCAACTGTTCTATTTCGTCAAAGAACAATTATCACGTACTCTCAACGTACGCTGGTTCTTCCCATCACTAAAGACAATAACGGGGATTCATTTCACACAGGTTAGTCGAGTAACACGGCTCAAGACATATTCAGAGTATCATTGCTTACTCCATGAAAGTTTCACTTGCGTCTAAACGACGATGTAGAGCCTCGTCTCCACAAGCTCTGCTGCACACAAGATTCATGTCAGTGCGTTCCACTAACGTCAAACGATGAGTACGACTGCGAACCAGCTGGGCCCCTAGACTTCGGGCCCCCTGTTTTACCGTCCAAGATGCTCCATTACTTGAAACACCCTGAACTGATTGCAGGAAAAGAAATGTCCATCCTCAACCAACTTCCGAAACGAAACTGTGGTAGATTGCAAGCTACCGGACAAGTGTCAGCAAAGGGATGGGGCTTGTACTATGAAGAAAATTGGAACATTGGCTTGATCATCCTTGTAATTGTCGGAGTAACAATCCCTGCCAGTCTCTTATTCGGTGTCTGTTGGACGATTGCAAGGACTGACATACAAGGTGCATTGGGTGTCAGTTCTTACATAGTAACTACGTGTGCGCTTATTGTGGCATTCCTCAGCATAATCAGTCTTGCGAAGAGCGACTAGGTGCTACCTAGAATATTAAAGACAGCTTAATATTTCATAATTTTCTTTGCAGTAGAAAGGCGCTTCTAGCTATACAGATTTACTCTCACCGAGCAACATCCTAACACACGGTTTCGCTCAGCATGCTACGAATATACTCATCAGTCAAAGTTTTTTCGATACTGCTATACCAAGACCTAGCGAGGAAGTTGGCGACCTTGCCGCCTCTCTCTGGTGCTCATTCTTGGTTCTCATGCCACTCGTCGTTCATGGCAATTTGATAATCACGCCAAATGCGACTTTTCTCTGGTACCTTCTGACACGCACACAATGGGTCGTCCCGTAGCTGCTTGAGGAACTGCTGTGTGGCAAAATGTCGCTGGTCACTCCCCTCCTCACCCCACTCATCTCGCATTTCCATCAATCTCTTGCCGATTCGCTGTAGTATGAGCTTTACACGCGCATCCTGGCGCGCAAATGCAGCCTGCAGCGTTTCGCATGGAAACAAGAACGTCTTATCCAGAAAGTGCACTGTTTCGTCACTGGACACATAGTGTGCTGCCCATTGTCCAGGTTCTTCGAACTGCAAGCCGCATCTAGCGAATGGGCAAATGCATGGCGCCTTGAGCGTGTGCAGATAGTATGACTCGATTGCCTGGATGAATAGAATCCTACGAGCATCATTCATGTAGTTGTATTTTTCGGCCCCATCATTGACCCAGTGCAACCATGTACCCACGGGTCCGGAACGTTTCTGGATTGGGGGTGAGAGGAATCGCGGTGTCCATGAGGAATCAGCTATCTCCCACGACGTTGAGCTGCTATCGGAGTGGGTCGGCTGCCAAAGCTGCCTCCACACGGGTCGTATCCCGTCCTTATTATCGCAGTGAAAGCACGATACGCGTGCATAGATGCCTTCCGGGCACCCGTCTGCTAGTTGGACCAATTCTCTAGATGGTTCTTCGTTAGAATCATGGGAGAACTTGGTGCTCAGCACAACGTCTTTAGCACAGGGAAAGCGGCGACGCAGTGTATCCCAGAAATCGATGATCTGCTGCTCTATAAAGCTTATCTCTAGTTCTTCACCTGGAAAGTCAATCCACTGCGGTCCGCGATCGACCCATTCACTGTGGAGAATCGGCCACTGATCCTTGAACTCTACAAGAATATACTGCATACACTTGAGTGCTTCGAGATCGTGGTGCGTGGTGCCTGCGAATCCGCCAGAAAGGAGCCATGGGCCACCACCATGGATGTGATACCGTGCCGCAGATCTGGACCAAAAACGTTTTGCGGCTTCTTTGCGCGTTGAGGTTGACGCGTGCATGAGTCGGAAGAGCGTCGCGTGATCACAGAACGACAGTACATGGTGTTGTAGCTCCAGAGGCAAGCGCGGAAACGACGTGAAGCTGTGAAGCGAGGCATGCGTTCGTTCTTGTCCTGAGCGTACGTAGTGTCGAAATGGTATGCGTATCTCACCGTAGAATGTTGCGCATAGATCCCAATCTAACGAAGTAGTCCACGGCCCTTTGGGAATAATCCTGGGTGGATAAGGCATGCTGAAAGGACGACTTTCGTTCCAGCGGACGAGGTTTTGGTATCCAGTTCGAGGGTGAGCCCGGCGGCAGTTTGAGCTGGAGGCGCTTAATCATCATCGTATACTTAACCCCACCTCGGTACCGTTGTAGTTTTGCGCTAATCCGCCTTCAAGCAGTCTAGCGTCCAGACCCTCTCCACCCCAAAATCCTGTTCGGCTTCCGTCATTTCCAAGGCGAACATCAAGTTTATCCCCAAGCATGCGACATGAGCTGAATGATCATCCAATGAGTATGTACTGGTAAATTTAGCCTATTTCCGGTTGAGTGGCTCTTTAGGTCCCAATGGCAGCAAGTCTTAGGCTTTGATGTTCGCCATCGCGTGGCTTGAAGCATGAACATCTACACCTGCGCTATTGTACTGTGTATAGTTGTACCTTGAGCATTGTTCGATGCTCCGTCATATGTATGGCAGATCGCTAGCAGATCTGAAATAGTAGCTTCGTAGTTCAAGCTATCTGCTCTGCTAAAAACAAAAGAGATGGTTAGTTCCTTCCACCGATTCCATTCTTCAAACTAGCAACTCGTGTCTCATCATACTATCGGTTTCTAGCTACTACTGGGAATAGCCACCAGGTGAATTAAACACCTATAATAAACCTTTCTACACACGCAAGACCAATAGTCTGGACGGAGGTGCACAATGTTGCACGAAGACTGCAGTTTCTTCTTTGATCGCCAGCGGCCCTTGTCGTGTCGTTCAATGAGACGCAAGTCTCTCAATGCGACGGTCACACCATTCAAACACCTAGCGCCCCACGAGCTAGAGAAAGAAGACGCTCACCCTTATTCCCACTAGAGCTGGAGTGCGTGTGACTAGTCACGGTCGCAGTTTGAGATGACCGCCTGCGGCGCTGGCGGCCTGAGGGTGCCTGGGTGGATGTGGCGATTGGAGAATCTCTGCGAGCTTCCTCTTCTGCAGCATCCAAGTGAGTCTTCCGAAGAACATAACCGTGAGTCTGTGGTATCCGTTCGTTTTCGGTTCTAATAAGATAGACTCTTGGGACGATGACAGTTTTGTCCTCTTCAAAGATACTAGTACCATAAGGTATTTCGTTGGATGGTTCGCCTTTGAAGTTTCTGATGTGCATGTCGAGAACGTGCCATGGATGGTCATTTGAGGGGGGATGGTCAAAGCTCGTCTCAAGCTTCTGTTTTCCATGCTGCACGATCTTCCATTGATCCTGGAATTGCATTACCAGGCGCTCCAACTCCGTTCCGAAAGTGTTGATACTTTCCGGATCGATCAAGATCTTTACGATCGCATCGTCGAGCAATTTGTCTACGACCAAATCGACAACGTCTTCTTCTTCTTCTTCACTGTCTACTTCCTGCGCTTCAGCAGAAATAGAAAGGAGGATACCTCGAGTGAATCTTTCTTTGGCTGGATCGATTTTGGCTTGCTGACACAGAATCTCGCGTAACCCGCTATTCTCGTCCAACAAATATGTAGGTTGGAATATGAACTTATCAACGAGAGTGGCAAGAGTACCAAGAACTATAGCGACTCGCATCATTTTTGCTATATCAGAGTTGGATTGAGGGAGCGGAATTTTGTCCTTCGAGACATCTTTCTTGCGGAGTTTGTTCCAATCGATCTGTTTCTACGTGAGCCATTTCAACCAGTCTTATCACGCGACGGATGTATACCTGGAGAACGTCCTTTGATAATTCTCGGTCAACAAAACGTACAACCAATTGCATTGCAGATTGCCATAGATCGTTGATTCGGCTGACCCTACCATATCATTGTTAACGCGCTTTGTAGCAAGCAGTTCAAGTGACCTACGTTTGTGGCAAGTCTAGCTCTTCCATTTTCGCGGAGAATCGTAATAGATGCTCGAGACGTTTCTTCGTCTTTGAGGCTTTCTCCTCGAGTGTTTGGTAGTCGTTCTTGCTGTCCTCAAGTGACTTCTTTAGAGCGGCGATATCATTGTGTGATTGCTCTACTTCTTTTGGGTGATTATCCACAGCTGTCTGCATCTTCTGCAGATTCGCGTCCAATATCCCAGCTTGTTGAGCCATGTCCTTCAGCCTCGTAGTCTTTTGAGTAATGTCTCCTTCAAGGTCTTCTATTCTCGATTTATGTATCTTCAGATCTTCTTGTAGCAGTGCCAACTCCTTATCCTTCTCGTCCGATTTTGTCTGTAGTTCTTTTGATCTGGTATTGTATTCATTTCTCTCCTCAACCCAATTCTGAAATCTGTCTTCAAAATCCGAGATCTGTTGTTGGGTACGTGCTTTGTGGGACTTCTCTTGCGCAGCTAATTTGTCTTCCAGGCGTCGTATTGCATCGTCTCGTGTTTTGATATCTTTTTCCCGCTGTGGCAGGAGATCAAGAACTTCTACGAGCACCTTAAATCCATCTTGCGCTACCAGTGAAGACACCGCTGTACAGAAGTCTTGCGCTGTGACGAGGGTCTTAGTGACCGGGTCAATTCCGTCGATTGCTGAGTCAGCTCTTTCGTGGCCTGATCTTGGTTCCCCAGCCATGGTCTTGTAAGTAATTCGTTTTTGGTCAAGAGACTCTCGATAGCGACCCGAGGTCTACTTATAGAGACCCTGAGCACCCAGCCTTATCAATCCAACTATGCCATGATGTATCGCATGATGGCGACGTCAGTGGATGTTGGAGCAGTGACTACTTAGTCCAATTCTCTGTCAGACGCTGCATAATACTAACGTTCTTCTCAATCGAACAAGGCAATGGTAGGTTTGCAGACTGATGGTGTACTCGATGAAAGTGTCATTGGCTTTCACAGGTCTTTCACGCGATATACGTCGTCAGAGGTGATCGTAACATGCCTCCATAACAAATCACGACTGCAGTACATTCAACCAAGGCATTCCGGTGAATCCATATCGTTGGATTATGGAGCGTCGCGCGTATGGAATGTCTGTACGGGAGAAGCGCTTATACGCACGGCATCTGCGACTATGCTGGGATCTCCTGTAACAACTGCGACACGCTCGAGACTGATCGCTGCTGCGAAAGCCGCGCGATAGAGTATCATGTATGCGAACGCTGCATGTTGCTTACGCTAGGGATCCTTGAGCCAACGTGGCATCTACTCATTGGACTGCAGACCGCGCTCTTGCATGTGGCATAATGTAGATCGTCACTCCGCACCAAGAAAGCTGCGGGTATGTCAGTGGACCACCATAGATGGGGAAGCTCAGCACATGCTAAATTCGTGCTATCCATAGCTTGTTCTTTAAGAGCGTTCGCACCATCACCACAGCTGAGGACGGCTATCCGGCTGTCAAATAGCTCCCGCTGCGGTCCGCTGACAGGCGCACGAATGAGCTCACTGATTCCTAAGGCTCTTTGTTTTGGATTTGGTCTACCCACGTCACCGGCTTGCGTCAGTCTACTCGAATACCACTCTGCCTCCCTGCTATGTTTGGCGCAATGGCGCACATTTAGTTGATATCATTAACCAGATCGAGTGTAGATATAAATCACTGTAGACAACGCAACGGCGAATAACAAAGCGAATCGTACCTAGGTAGCGTTCGTCACGCCCCCACATTGACCCCTCCAAATTACACTACCAGCTGTGGTATGGCTAGGCCCCGCGTTATACGACGCAAATGGCGCATGAGCTTCCCGCACTAGTTTCCAGTCGTTCATGACCGATGCAGGCGTTTAGCGACTATCGCACGAATTGAAGCTCACATGAGGATTGCATGCTTATAGCGCAATTCCAGCCCATCTGCATATGAGCCAGACCATAGCGCGCGGAGCATGCGATACGAATAGGAAGCCGGTCATCCGTGCGATAAAGCCAGACATACCTGCGATGTGGCTACGATCGTAGGCGGCCGTGATTGGTAAAGGTGCATCTACAGGGAAACCCCTCGTGCACTTGTTGGACTCGCTTCAATGTCCATCACTTGCAACGCGAACATGAAGTGTAGTCTTAAGTATAAACAATAACTGACCATCAGAAAGATATCTTTAACGACTTATCTGCCGCCGAGAATAGGTGAGATCTGCATCCTTAGACTTACATCTTAGAAGCGTGCACTTTAGTATACACAAGCATCAACCCTCGTCCATCTATCGTCTCTGCCGGCAGCAACCACCTGAAGATATCTAACCGTGTTTCGTCCGAGTACTCGGCTTCCCGTAACTCCGGGAATAGTTTGCCTGCATTGCCAAGCAACTTGGACATCTGGTGAACGGGACGGAACTTTTGCTTGGAGCGAGTTCCGTTACCATACCGGATGCTCATTTTAAGTCTGTTCAGTCATGACAAATAGCCTCTACCTTTTCAGCCAGTCAAGAAAATGCCATAGATCATAAGGCTACCCGCTGTTTATTGAATACTTTCCGCTGACATCTGATCTTAGATTTCGATCATGCTGTCCGACAACTGCGGTCGACCCCCGAATATCGGATCAATACCTTCCACCTCACACGCCTTCTTGATACTCTCCATTCCCGCCAGGTTTGGTACAAGCGCCGTGTACTTTGGATACTTCTCCTTCATCGCAAACTCATTCGCAGTACCCCATCGATAAAACGACAGAAGATACGCATCCACAGCCGAAAACGCAACTCCTACTGCATGCAACCCCTCCGGCTTCTCCTCAATAATCCCATAACACCTATCAATTTTCGCGCGTCCTTTCTCTTGGATATTTTTGTAAGCAGCCTCATCGTCGGTGAAGTAATGTAGACGGTAGAGAGTAAAGTAACCCTGCGCATGCAGTTCTCCAGCGAGGTTGAATCATTCGTAGCATCGAACAGTCTCTAGGTTTGTGCTTCCAAGGAATATCTTGTCGGGGACGAGTTGCGCGATTGCCGTCATGATGGCGGGCATCTCGGTGATGGTCTCGCCGTTCATGTGCAAGAACGGTACCCTGCCCTTTGGGTTTAGATGCAGAAATTCCACTGGGAAGCCTTGCATGACATTGATGTTTTCTGTTGAGAAGGGAAGTCCGGACTCTTTGAGTAGGATGTGGGCTGCTGTACTGCAAGAGCCTGGCGAGTGGAATAGCTGCAATTCAGTTACAGCCATGGTGATGGCCAGATGTCAAGGCTGGAGGATCGAAGAAGTTAGAAGCAAAAGTCAACGAAACTAGTATGTGCATGCAAAGACGTGAGTAGCTCCCGTTTTATAGTAGTTGGATACGAGCTTCGCGGACGGACCTACAAAGCACAATCCTTCCAGTTGCTACCCGGCGTCACCATCTCGCTTAACGGAGAATTGTCAATAGGGCGCGATGAACCCGAAAAGAATGACAATGCCAATACAGCACCAGGCTTAGTTGTGATTAGTCAAATGCGGAATTGTTCCTCATCGATGTGCCATATTGTACCAGGTGAGTTAGATGGACGGGTGCGGACGAGAGCACGTTGAGTTTCACATAATTTAGCACACATTGCAACACCAAGAAAGAGGTCAGGCGTACCTAGTTGTCAAGCAAGGTGCACAGTATCAGGAAAGCCGTATCAATGATTATGGGCTCTTATTCATACCTGCTATTCTGCTCTATCTCACTTCCACCTTTTCTCCACCGTCGCAGAAAAGCAAGCAAAAGGTCCGCGTGGAGGAATACTTTCATCAGCATACGGACCCAAGAAGAGACTCCAGAAAGATATTGGGCTCTGATCTCCGATCGGAAGAGAAAAATTTGTTTTTCTTCTCCTGCTAGTATTTTGTGCGTGTTGGAGGAGTATCATGTTGTGAAAGAGAACCGTAAACGCGTCCGTGTACAGTAGTTTATGAAATGTCGTATGAGCGAGATACTGCTCAGATAGTTTTAATTAGCCTAGGTCGAATGCCCAAGCAGCTAAGAAAAGCCTGTCCCTATATATAGATCGTTTAAATAAAGACATGGTTTGTTATTCCTGTTAAAGAGTGCTCGTACGCGTCGCGTGGCAGGGCTGATCCGCTCACTTACGTTATTCACTCGCTCGTGGAACACGATACCACTAGTCAACATATGTTCCTTGGGTTTGCGATGTCTTCCCTTCGAGGTTAACTTTTCGTATTAGTGTGTGGTATGTATTTCGCAACTTGTGAGTAGCTCATCATTGATAAGTCATCGTGAGCGACATCTGACGTGATCATTACGCTAGCCTGATTTGTAGTTTCAACCCTTTATCAGGCATCCGTCCGCATCCACCAAAGACCTCGATTAACCATCTACTTTCGCTAATATGTCTTATGGTATGTCCAAAGCTTCCGCAGCGACTTGACACCGCATGCATTGCTGACAAGCCAAAGATAAAGACGGCAAGAACTTTGGCGACGGTCCCAAGATCCACAAAATCCGCATCACCCTGACATCTCGCAATGTAAAAGCCATCGAGAAAGTCTGTCAAGAGCTTATAGATCGCGCTAAACACAAAGAACTCCGTGTCAAGGGTCCTGTCCGTCTGCCTACAAAAACCCTTAAGATTACAACTCGCAAAGCGCCCAATGGCGAGGGTACGAACACGTGGGACACGTATGAGATGCGCATTCACAAGCGTGAGTACAATCAGAGAAGCTAATAGGCTTTTGGATGGGAACGGCATTCTGGACTAATGCACTTTTAGGACTTGTGGATCTACAGGCTCCTACCGAGGTCGTTAAGCAGATTGTTATCAATATAGAATCTGGAGTTGAGGTTGAGGTTACCATCGCTGGATAAAATCTGGAATGGAATGTGATGGAGGATATCGCCTTCTTATGAAGAGCTTGTTACTAGGTCGCAGTGGTTTGCTAGCATCAGTTATGATACGTGGTAAGCATTGGTGGCTGGTAAGCTACATCAAAGGCGTTGTATTCAATAGAGCGACATACGCTGACTAGTACGGGCACTGATATTCTGATGTCGGAATTCCATCTCACTTGCTTTCCCATATGAACCATAGACGATTCTTACAATTTTTTGGACGAATCTGATCATCAATGTAAACAAAATCGACCCGGCCCCAATCGCCGCACAAACTCAACACTGGCACACGTCTACCGTACATGTCGTTTTAGTTGTGAACGCCTCCTCCGCTACTAATACCAGGGCCATTCGAAGGGTTCCTATCACCTTCCTTGCTCGATGACTACGAAGCTGTCAGTTACCAGGAAGAATGACATATAATCCACTTACCTTGTTTTGGATAATCTGGCCCTTCTCTATAATCATCTGCGCGACTTCCTCAATCTTGTGCGTTCCGAACTCACTCTCTAGCTGTGCATTCGACGCTCGATCTAGGATGCCTTGCGCTCCTTGTCTAGAAAGATTCAGCAGTACTCTAAGATATCTTCCATTTGTAAGACCATACTTGTGTGACACGAAGACGAAGAAGCCATCCAGCACGTCTACAAGTGGGATTGTCTTGTCTTTCTTCCAGTCCCGTGCTGCTTCAGCACTCGCGATGTAGACAACGTAGTCGTCTCCCGTGTTTGGGCCTTTGTAATGCATTTTGACTTCTTGAGTGTTGCCGCGCGTCATTTTTGTTTACAAACCTGAGGTTGGTAATCTTCTTGTCGCAGGATCAATTTATTTCTGAGGTTTATTTGCAGGACTCGAAAAGCTTCCTTGCTACAATGATTTTATAACAGTAGAGAATATGACCACTAAATTGAAGTATTTTAGTCGTCATACCTGGCTCCGGTCTTGGGGGTCATTTTTGAGCACGTCACTATTCGTAATGCTACGCTGGGATACCAACCCCGCGGAGTTTGGAATGAACATTGTCATGGTACCGTAAGACTGTGAGATCGTGGGACCCAAGAGCGAAGTTCGGCGCAAAACGCATGTTTGGTACCCTGGTGCGAACGGTTAGTCTTGTGGAGCTCTCAATGCTCGTACTCCTAGGAATCATCAACCATCGAGACTGCTAGGTGCAGAGAATGGCCATCGCAAATGAGATTTTCCGAGATGCCATAGAGCACAACTGATTTTTGGGTTCGCTTTATAAGCAATTCGTTCGAAAGTCTATGAACATGTCTTGCCATGTGAGCTTTCATACACTGTTGAAGATACTGAAATATTCCACAGTAACCACCCACTCTTTCGGCCACGGACGATTGGCTAGGTCTTCCGCAAAAACAACGCTCTTGTAACAGCCAGTCAAACAGCTACAGCCTACTCTCATGATCGGCATATCCATTTCGAAGTAGCTGTTTTCACCCTCGAGGTCTTGCAGGACAACTTCGTCCGTGTCTTCTTCCCCCAATCCCTCAGCCCACTCAGCAACAACCTCACCGCTGCTGGTCGATGGAGAACGTTTGCGGAACTCATTCGCCTTGATTAGAGATTCCATAGCATTGCGTATCTCTTCTTCTGCTGCTTGAAGAATTGAGATATAGTGTGGTTCCTTTCGCAATCCCATCATTGCAGATATCGAAACACCTTCCAACGGACTGACACGGATGTGACGCGACTGGCGAGCTTTGTCTTGCAGGTCGTAGATGAGCACCATTGGCGTAGTCGGGATCGTTGCATGATTATAGGATATGATTTGGAGAGTCGGCTGGAATGACTCCTTGTCGAGAAGTGGAGTAGGCGGATAGGAAATGTTCCTGCATGAGCGAGGCTTGCAAGGGGACTTTCCAGAAGATGATGAAATATCCATGGCTAGATTTGGTGTGTAGTCAACGTCGAAGAATGCGGATAAGTTTTTATTCGATCGTAGTGGCTACTTGCAGCATATTTAAACCGGACCCTCGCAGTGCAGACGTTTTACGAGAATTAATTCACTCCCTACGGGGAGTTTACGTTTTTCACTATACTAGCTCTTCCTGAGGTCATACTGAAAACAATTGTAAAGCCACGCGGACGTTGGCCGCGGCTAGATGTTGCTTTACCACGCTCCAGGGTTGTCACTAACCGAATACCAATATCTCGTAGCTATGATGTCTCATTATAATATAGGCCTCATCATGCCTACAGATACAACTTGTGCCTGGTTCGACTCACCTGGCTAATCATGGATAATTCACGCAAGAAAGTTCTACTACGTGGTGCGAGTGTTATGATGAGGGCATGTAGATATACAAGGGACCAGAAGCATCTAATGCTAGTTCTATGAACATGTACGGACTAATTAGCTTACTGCAAAACTGAATAGAGTATGAATACCTACTAGTAGCGATGGAGATAGGCATAGAGTGAAGACCTAACATTCGGCGGAACGCTGTTTGCTGGCGTGATTCGATAGCCTTAGCAAGGACAAGTAAGGTACCGCTTCATAAGGGTTGAGATAGCTCAAGAATCCCTAGTTTTCACTCCCGGCACAACGCATTAGCTTTACATCCAGATTAACAAACTTATAAATAGTCGTAAAGAGATAGTCTTGGATGGACTTTTTGGTGCTGCCTCGCCAAGCATGTGTGTAAGAAGGCATGTGTCGTCCCTTTCTTGAGCCACAATAATTGCGATAAATGCTCAATATTCAGCGGTGAGCCCTATCTAGATATATCAAGCAAATCCCGCTCTAGCAACATCGCCAGACCATAGTTCAAGAGGTCCTTTACGCACCTACTGAATAATCGATCCAACACGCAAATGTCAAGCATCATGTCTTTAAGCCAAGATTGGATAACCTGACGAACTGCTGACGTTCACACAATTGATGAGATATGATGACACCCTTAGCGTGACTAGAGATCGATGTGTGGTTATAGGATCCCTGCCCACAAATCACGTGTCCCCTCATCTGTTCTCTAAATTGCCGATCATCAGCACACCATTGGTAGATCAGTAGACGACATCCAAATGATATTGAAACTTCAGCTTCAGCCAGAACTAGAGCTGGAGATCACCTGCATTCAGTAAGATAATTACGGGATACAGTGTTTTCACGTGCAGTGAATCATAATATTGTCAAAATGACGTCAGTCCTAAGCAAAGTACCCAAACACTGCTCGATTAAGATAGGAGAGCTCTATTTTTAAATGCCTATCTGGGGGAGGATGCGCCAACACCTTGCTAGCTCGATCTGTGTAACGTGACTGCCAAGGTTTGCTTGTGCCATGGTATACAGGGCTTCCATCCCACCTTACCTTAATTCTGTAGGCTTGTATACGATTGCATTCCGTACATACTACAGTCTACGTCTGCGATTTGTAATATTGTGACACACGTGAGGAATATCTGGCGACATTACAATCTATACGCTTAAGTTGATTGGACGAAGCGGGGAGATGGAGATGCGCAGGGTGCAGCTGGGTACGGACCATTGTAACTTGCTGACGAGCATAGCAAACATTGTTTTTACGTAGAGGATCCGAGCTCGACAATCACTATCGAACAGTGACAACTTCACGTGTTCGGTGAGGCTCATACTGCGTTGCGACAACTCCGATGACGCACCGATTACTGCGCTCTGACGATATTCTTATGTTAGGCAGAACAGAGTTTCTGGATATCATCAAGATAACTGTCAATCATTTTGCCATGCTTATTTCACTCAACATTTACCTCCAATTCACAATGCAATTACTTCGCTTTACAAAGCTGCGAGCAGCCTCAACTACAAGCACCACACAGGTCACGAAATGTTCGCGTAGCTTTGGGCTTCATCCAGTGCAAAAGGCTACCCAGAGTCGGGCATATGCCAGCACGCGCAGTATCCCCAATTTGAAGAATAGCGATGTCCCATGGTATGTTTAATCCCAGCGTAACAGCTCCCTTAGATTGATCATTGTAATGGTAATTGAGCTTTGAATAACGTATGTTTGTAGGATAGCAGGTGCTGCTATGGTCACCGTTGGCGGTCTCTATCTCGCTAGCAACCAGAATCTACGCCACGGATCAAGTCACGACACCCAAGCGAAGGCGCATAAGGCTCAGAGGCAGTTGGGCGGCGAGAATGACGCGCCTTCCGAGAAAGAATCCACTGCAGAAGGCCATGCAGCGTCTATAGTTGGCGCTGGGGAAAGTTCTGCGGATAGGCCTAAGCATGAACCCGAACCCGAGTCCCAGAATGGTAAGAGCAACGAAGCCATGGGCCACACAAAGATTCAGAAGAAAGACGACCCCAGCCAACCGGGTGCTGGCAGGCCCGACCCTGGTGAAGAAGCAGGCCTGGTGGGTCATGGACCGAAAGAATCTCCAAAATCTATGGAGTCAGGAGCGGCGCCTCCGGACGTGTCTGATAAGGTTCGTACAGGTGTATCTTGCTCTCACGTTTCCAATGCTAAGTAGCACAGCCCGATCCTCGCGGAAAGCCCAAGAGCCAAAACGAGACTTCTGGAAAGCAAGAGGGCCTATCTAATGCCGACACTCACCATACCTCCCAAGTATCCAGTCAGCCAGAAAAGAGCAAGAAGGGTGAAGGTGTTGCTGAAAGTGCCAAGCTCAAAGGCACCGTCTCTACCAACCGACCTGGTGCTGAGAACAAAGAAGAACGAGGCAAGGCTCAGATGGAGAAAAGGTAGTATAGAAAGTCCTCCAATAACGCTTTTGATCGTCAATTTTTAGCGTATGCCACCTTGCTTTATGCAGTAGATGACGACTGAAGTGATGCTAACAAGTCTTATCCTGTAACAGCGGCCCGCATAAACTCAATCCGCCCTTGAACTAATAAAGGAAAGTATTAACTTAATAGTCGATTACGAACTCCTATTCATACATGCCATTCCGTCCCGCCTAGTCCCAAGCCTCGCTTTTCCCCACCACCACCAAGCAGCAAATGAAAGGTCCACCCAGAGGAACACTTTTGTTTGATTACAAACCGAAAAGAGCTTTTGATCTCCTACCGGAAGAGAAGCAGAGTTTTTTCCCATCAAACCTCGTCTGAAGAGAGGAAGAAGGAAGAAAGAAGAAAGAATAATACACCGTGGTCGCATCGTGAGGTATCGTACAGGACATGAAGGCAAAGGAGATATGCAGCTTTTCGCAAGTAATCATGGAAAGAATAAGAACAATTGATCATGGCGATGGTGATCATCTAGACGTGCTAGTCTTCAAGACAGCGGCCAGCGGAGTCTGAAGTGTGTCGGATGATGGCGCGGTTGTCATCGACGCGAATATGGGCGTCCATGTCAATGTTGATGCCGATGTGGATGTTGCATCTGCTGTCGTCACATCGGTACGTTCCTGTTGGGTCGTGGACGCCTTTATGGTAGCCTTCTCCGCATCTGTACCAGCATCATACTCTCCACCTCCGATGGTCGTCTTCTTCTCACACCCCGTCTCAACATCAACAAACGTCTCTTCACTCCCACACCTCGGTAGTTTCTTTCCCTGGTTCTCCGCAACGTACTCATCGTACGTCTTGCCGGCTTTCTTCGCCTCCCTTCTTACATGTCTAACGCGCCACAGCCAGATAGCCTGGGAAGCGAAGATACCCGTCTCGAGGACCATGCAAGCGATGTACAGACTAGCGCCAAGAGCATCGAACCACTGTTGTGCGACGACGGCCATGAGGGAGAAGAAAGCGCCGAGGTAGTCGATGGTTAGGAACCAGAAGTCTGTTGAACAGGAACATCAGTACGCGGCTTCGATGGATAAGGGGGAGAGAGAGAATAAGACAGGTAGTAACATGTTCACTTACCGATTCCGATGACGCGACCATTCCTTTTCGCAAGCTCAAAGTAAGGAGGAATAAGACCAATGACTTGGATAACGGATGCTGAGATGGCCATGAGCATCATGGGCCACTCTACACCTCTGCTGTATGGTCCTCGCAAGGTGAGAATGAGAATGAGTTCCATGATACCGAAGCTAGCAGCCAGAGCGACGGTAGCTAGAGTCGCAGTCCATACACGCCACTTGTTGTGGTAGTAGAGTGTTTGGCCCCATGCGATCAAGGTAAGACCAGCAAAAGCTTGGGGTTGAAACTTGAGAGCAAAGTTGAAGTTCTGGACAATCGCGTAGACACCGAACGGTACGCCGCCTGTGTGGATGGTTGGTCAGCTCAGTCTACCAAAAACATTGTTCCATCCGAGAAGTTCGTACATATTGACCAGAGTATGAGCATGGTGCCAGGTAGGCCTTCTGTGCTCTTTCGCCGCCAGTTGGTCCATATTTGTGGGATGATTTGTATACACCAACAGCTACAATCACAACCTCCGTTAGCGAACTCTTCTTGTTTTGGTCAAGGGCTTGACGTGGGGGTTACATACACTTTACTCAAGTTAGCGTAGGTCCTTTCAGCCACAAACAGTCTCGGAGGTACTCACCAGTGCCGAGGGTCTAGAGAACCAGAAGATCGTATGTCAGTATCATGACTCAAGTTGCACAACGTGGGTGGAGCAGAGAAAACATACACCAAGGATATTCGCAGCCTAGCGTTTGCGGGTCAGTATGGTGAGGCAAGTATGTGACATGGCTGGGGTTACTCACTGGAGGTATGGAGACTTGTGGTCTATCCATGGCTTTGGTAGGATGGTTATTACTACGTGCGGAATGGTAATAGGTGTGTGTAAAAGGTAGGAAGCTTGTGTGAAGATGAATCCAGAAGAAAGCGAGGGCTCAAGTAAGACAAGATGTATGATCGATCGAGTACGCCAACTAAAAAGAAGGGTAGAACTTTGAGTTAAGTGATCTGGTGGCGTTTCACGTTACAGGAAACGTACAGTCGCTCTACTACCTGGTTTGACGTGCAGCAGTAAAGGTGGAAAGAAGTAGCTATACAGCCGTCACCAATAGTAGGGTGAGGAAGCGAGCAGGTCGTACAAAAGAAAGTTCCAACTAATGATAGACGAGCCGGTTACGCCAGCAGCCAGGTGAAGGCAAAAAGCGGTACCCGCTCTTGCACCAGCACCAGGCAGCATGTTGTGCGTGATGTCAGAGGGGTCTTGCATTTTACTAGCTCTACCGCCGCAGTCGCGTGCAAGTATAGTCGGCTGGTGTCATACCAGTGCACAATCGTCCTTCGATAGTAGCAGGAGCGATTTAAACTAGGCAGCTAGTGAGATTTCAGCTTTTCGGGGAAGACGTGCCCCTGCTTCCGCCGCTGAAGAGCGACTCCATTTCCAAGGCTTGTTGGAACTCGGTTAAGACGAGAGTGGCTGAGTTAGCGTTGGCAGGGATATTTTCCCTTCCCCAGGCCGATCTGCAACCCGATTGGCGAGTCTAGACTTATCTGTGAGCGCATCTATTGTCGCTTTCAGGGAATGGGTCCACTCCATCTCGATGCAGAACGTTGAAGGGGGGTGACGAAACCCCTGGTATCGCTACATGTAGGTTCGGTAGGTAGCTGGGTCCCTGCATTGAGCGTCAAGAGAAAGAACACAAGGTGGCCACTCGGTAGACCCAATCGCTCACAACCGGGACGAGTTTGTATACTACGGAGTAATACATATCAAAGAGGGTAAAGTTAATCTGCATCCAATAAGTAACCTTGTAGAGATATTTCCGGATGTGGTCGATGCGTAGTCTCCGTCGCGCTCCAAGCGGCTCACGCGAACACCATCCTTTTGTGGCCTCGATGTCAGTTCGTCATCTTTCGTTTCGATGGTTCGACTTGTCCGGTGAGTTCGGCGAGCGCGTGTCAGGCTACACTTCAGTAGATCGAAGGACGTTCCTGAAAACTCTGAAGGTGGGTTGCTGACGTGCGGTTGGCGGCTGTGTTGAGACCTGCATCACCTGGCATTCCCGAACCATGCCAGTGGGACCCCGCCTGCATAAGATGGCGTCAATCGGTTTTGTGATTCGATCCTGTATACAGTACAACTAGATTCAGCTAGCAGGAGGCTCTGCTTTCCCCATCCGAGCGTATGCCTAGTCTTCGGTTCCTGGCGGCTCGCAGCAGTCCGCAGTAGCTGATGATAGCATGATGGCCGAGATTGCAAGCGTTTAGCTAGCTAGGTAGCTACTACACACTCGACCGTATTGTAGATGCGGCATAAAACGAGTGCACATGCTGTTATGCTAGGTCGCACAGCCGGGAAGGCGTGTCTCGAGGCACGATAGAGTTCGAGGCTTTCGCGGCAGCTGATAGGCTGTGGGTCGTTAGGGACCAGCTGAACCGGCAAATCGCCGCCTCGGTCCCAAAGAACACTTTGAGTCATTGCGTTGCCATGTCCGAACATAATAACGACAGCCGCGCACTGCGCGGTTATGATGATAATGGTCGTCCATCTCCAGCCGGATCAGGGCGATAAAGTGGAACCGTTGGGAAAAGGTGGGGTTAGGGCGTGCGCCATGCACGCAAGCCAGAGAACCAAACGCTCTAACGATCGACGAACTTCGGTTCATACGTTTCATACACAAAGGTATCGGTTATGTACGCCGGTCGAGAACATGTTCTTTGCGCTCTGTTCTGTGAATACGAGACAACGTACGCGACGACTTTGTGTTGGTAGGTGTGAAAGTTCCCCGCCGCAGTTGCCGCCATCTGGTTGTGGCGTTGAGTCGAACCTTGAGCATATGCAGGATTTGTTCCCAGGACGGCATTGCATAACAGACCAGGACATCTGCGAGTCTCACGCGTCTGCACACATTCAAGTCGTCTCAACGATACCCTCTTCTGCGAAAACGAACGAAACACATCCGTATCGGGGTCACCTCCGGCGTGCTGCAGCAACGGTTAGCCCCATCCGCATCAGCTATACCCATCTGTGTATGATGGTCAGCACCGAGACATGGACAGATAGTTGCGCTTCGGCTTTGCTCCTTGACCCACACGATTCGGATACCAGTTGGATGATCTTGGCAGAATGAAGCCAATGTCATCTAGCCACGAGTCCGATATCTAGGGATCTGAACGGTGAGAAGAGTTGTAAGACATGGTTTAAAGAGGCGGCAACGTTCGGTATGCCGATGTTGCATAAGAAGATGTGCAAGCGGACCGACACCAAGGTAGTATGCTAATGGATCATAACTGGTTTGAGGGATTTGTAACAGGTCATACGTCGCTGTCGTAATATGCAAAGGGAGCTTGAGAGGCGAAGTCAGAGGGATCTGATTTGAAGCGGGCCGATGTATGCGCTGTCGGTGGGGAAAACGCAAGTCTCTGGAGCATCGTAGGGTCTCGAATTGTCTGTTCGGCCAAAGGTCAGGCCGTTGACGTGGTCAGGGTCAACATGTCTAACCTGGCATGATACGGAGTGGAAGCAATCGATCTGGAACTGGGAGCTCAATCAATGTTGAAGCACCGAGACGTGCATACTTTTTGCCTTGGCTTATGTCGCTGTGCCTAGGTGTTTCCCGTACCCGAGTCCTCAGGGATAAAGCCGGCATGTGGTCAAGAGGCGACAAGCCAATCCCTGGCATATCCCCGCCTCAAGATGCAAAGAGCATGAAGCTCCGTAGATGCGATGATCTTCCGACGAGCGCCGGCGACTGTTGAGGGTCCAATTTGCGGCCTTGTGTAAAGGCTACTGCAGTGAGTTGTATTGGGACCCATTGCAGTGGTCAAGAACGTCACGTCTCCGTTATTACAACGTACTGGCCTGTTGATTCCATAGTCACAACAAAGACTGTTCCGTTTTACGCCCGCGATGCAGACGGTGCATGGCTCTGCAAGACTAGAAGCTGATAGGGAAAATGCGAGGGCAAGGCGCGTCGGCACTTGCAGACCTCACCGATCACAAAGTCTTTGAATGGGTCGCTACGAGCCGCCACCATGACGTGCAGAATTTGACCGGTGCGGGAGGGTCGCCTGGTGGAAGAAAGACCTGGGGTAAAGGCCTAGAATTGACTGCAGCAGTGGCTTTCTACGGTTTCCCCCATCCAAGTTCTGTCAGCGATTGCGGAAGCAAGGTGCATCAGAACTGCAGGCCGTATGTGTATACATGCACCTATTCAATAATGCCGGTCAGAATACAACGGTGGTTGATCAAGGACGTTATCCAAGCTTCCGCAAGGACGTTATCCAAGCTTCCGCAATGGTACTGTCGGCAAATGCGGACGCAAAGTATGCTTGGGCTGCAGGATGTGGGTGCGAAGACGGAAGCAGTCGGTGTCGCTGATCGAAGTATAATGACGGCTCGCGAAAGGTGTTGTTCCTACTCACTCCGAGATGATAGATACGGGAGTCGAGTAAGAGGCCGCGCCAGCAACCTTCTGAAAGAAACGTCTGGGCATTGTTCAGGGCACCAGCATCATGGTCATCCAGTTCAAAAGCGTCTCTCGAGTTGGCGGGCAGTGATCCGACAGACACTGTTGGTTTGGCTGGCTTCACTCTCATTGCTGCAGCATTTACCTAGGCTAGACCCAGGGAGTCGACATGTTGCTACTGCAAATAAATGCCTCTCGACAGGGTATCTGGTTACTGCCCCCAAGGGATGACATTGATATTCAGGTGTCGAGGTGTGCCGCATCCCGTTCATTTGCTGAAAATACCTAGGTAGCTCGCTACGGAGAAAAAGAAAGGGCGCACGACGAAAATTGCCGAGTGGATGCGGACGGTGTTTTGTGAGACTGATCGGTCTGTGAACGCAAGCTAGTTTATTGTACCTTCCGCGGAGTAGGGTTCCGGTATGGATGCGAAGGGACAAGAAGACGCTTGAGGGAAACATCGAATGGGCGTCTGGGTAAGAGTGAAAGAGAAGATACGACCGACGGCGAGACCGATGGATACGTTCGGCGCAGCTTGCTAGCTTACACGACTTTCTGCATAATGAGGCTATGGTAGACCTAACTTAATCCTGCGATTGTTTGGGAAGGCGCACAGAACAAATATCGTACAGACGCCACATAGCCATCCACCTCAACACGATTAACGGAAGATGCGTTAGCCGGGAGTTTTCAGCATAGCGTGAGAGATATTGTTGATTAATTCTGCGGAAGGCGCGGGTCTCTATATTAGCATGTCCAGTCACTGTCGGAAGGGGCGACACCAGGAACGAAGAAGAGTAAGAGGCTTTAGCTCGAACTACTGCTTGGGTTTCTTTCGCACTGGTCATAGTAGCTTCCGAGCGGGTCGTCGACCGAGATGCTCAATAGAGCGTCGACTGGAATTTTCAAGCATGACACGATGAGTACTGTCCGATCAGTCTTGCGGAAAGCGCAGGTCTCCTTGAACATGCTGTCTAAAGAAGACGGGTGGCTGTCTAAGAGAACGTCACTCCGCGTGTTAGTAGCTTTTAGAGCTTCTCATAGGTACTGCCGATTTCATTGTGCGGTAGGCGCGGCTCCCATTCCCAAGATGCACAGTCACGATTGGAAGGAGCGATCATTGCAAGGCACGCAAAGACGTGTGAGGAACGCATGAAACAAGCAGCAATGAGAGTCACCCTAAGCAATCACAAGCATGGATTCCACATCGACAACGACCACCAGCGTGATATTAGAATGGTTAATTACTACTTCCTACATGAAAGGACCAAGAAAGATCGGGGGAATAAGTTATCGAAAAAAGAGCTAAGAAAACATACGAGAAGTCAGTGTCATGTCAAGACAGTGTAGCCACAGACGTGATCCAAGAGCTATCACTGTCGGTTAAAAGGGTCCCCAGATAAGAAAAAATGATGAAGCCCGGCATCCGACCATGTAATCCTTCCGTGTCGGCATTGCAACAAGCCACCTATTACAAACGCCCCGCAGCTGTGATGTAATGATCAATACACCTTTTGACGACTCGATGGTTTCCCGGGGCAAGCGCGCTACCCTTGCTTGACCAAGACCGCACGGGATGCAACGGCCGGATCCTGAAAGCTAGAGATGCATCGTCGTCACCTAGGCCTCGTCTGCATCGTGGTCTTGCAGTTGGCCGCTCTGTTCCCTGTTCATGCGGGCCTCGATCTCCTTGAGCTGACTCTCGCGTGCCAAGAGTTCCTGTCGCTTCTCGTTGATCTCGCGCTGGACCTTGACCTCAATCTCGCGCAGCTTCTCCTCTTCGCGTCGCAGTTGCTCTTCCTTCAAGCGCACTGACTGGCTGGCAAGATCCTCGGGATTCATTGACGAGTCACTGCAGCATGTTAGTACTGAAATCATGTTATAGTATAGCAGGGTAGGACATACGCAGCAGCACCACCTTCGACACTCTTACTAAGCTTCTCGGTACGGTAGTTCTCGTATAGGAAGTCGTGCGTAATCTCCTTGAGATCGGCAAGATGGCTGTGGAGGAGGGCACTTCGAACGGCGAGGAAGTCGGAGTGACGGGGGTTGTCCACCTCAACGATACCCCAGGGGTATTGGCGTGCCCGTACCCGTCGGCCGTTGATTTCAACAATGTCCTCAGATCCAACGATGGCGAACGGCATCAGGCCACGGAGCTCGGCGTTTTCCTCGACGGTGTCCTCATCATCCTCTTCGATATCGTAGGGGAAGTTGTACACTGGGATGCGGTAGTGCTCAATGTCCTCCATGACAAGCTTCTTCGACTCGGCGAGCTCGGCGGGTGTAAGGGAGTCGGCCTTGCCAATGACGGGGATGACGTTGCAGCGGGGCGACAGGCGCTTCATGAGCTCAATGTCGAGTTCACGGAGACTGCCATGTGTTAGCGGGAGCGGATTGAGCGGTAAGGCAGACATACCCATGACCGGTGGGTGTGATGAAGTAGAGCAGGACATGTACACGGTCGTCGCGGAATCGGGGGTTACGCTTAATACGCGATTCCTCTGCGAGAATGCCGTCGTACTGTCGCTCGAGGTATCCGACGATCTCTGAAAAGCTGCGGCGTGGTAAGCTTGTGTTGTGGTAGTTTCGGCAAGATGCCTACCTGGCCTCGTTGTCAATCTGGTCTCCGAAACCGGGTGTGTCGACAATGGTGAGCGAGATGCGGGTGCCTTCCTCATCGAGTTCTGATGTTTGTTAGCCGCTGTACACGACGATCATGGCGATTGCATTGTCATCAAGGCAACGTACCGACTGTGATGGGCTTGATCTTGACGCCCTCCTCGACGTGTGCAGTTGTTGGGTCGTCGACCTCCTTGTGTCCGAGCACTTGCTTGCCGCAAAGGGTGTTGACGAAGGTTGTCCGGCCAGTACCAGAGGCACCGCAGACCATCAGACAGAACTGAATACCCTTCTTGACATTCTTCTTTCTGCGCGTCTTGTTAAGCGCCTGTGACATTGTTAGCCGTCGTCGTCAATGGCAAGTGTGGTTGTGGTTGGGTAAGGCGGCATCGTGTGCCTGAGGGAGACGTGGTGTCGGGGAGCGTCGTACCGAAGACATGATGAACTCGGGGGCGATGAATGTGATGGGTGGTGGTGGAGGCGGCGAGTACACGCAATGGAGACAGTCGGGCGTGAAGACGAGACTGCTTGGAGGTGAGACGGGGGCGTATGTCTGTGGTGTTGTGTCGGAGCGGTGTCGTCGTGGAAATTTGGGGACGTTGGCAGCTACTCCCTGCGCGATGCAAAGGGGCTCGCTAGCGTATAACACCCCGGTCTTACCTCCTTCTTGGCGCGACCACCTGGCGCGACTGACTACTTCGGGCAAGATATACAACAAAGAGTGAGTCGAGTCAATGGTTGATTGCACGCGCATTACACGTAGTGATAGTTGTAGACCATATTGGCTTCAAGTCTAATTGGTAGCCGCAAAGCTGTTTCATTTCTGGCAGGCCCCAGCGGGGTACTTCCGTCAGGGTCCTCGCGATTCTCAAAACTCAGGACTATCGATATTCCATAACCACTTCGTTGAGTTCTCAGTCCGATCTGCGGGGCATGCAGTACTTTTCCGCATCTCACCAGAGTTGATGCGGCTCAAAAGCATAGTTGCACTTCCATCTCAAGTTCCTCGAATTACGCTAGTCGTAACAGGCTAGCTCCCGCATTACGGGGAGAGCTTAGGCGGATGACATGGTAAATGACCTAGCTCGAGGAGCCGTGGACCCTCGATATCTCTCTTGACCAAACCTCCCGCTGCTATTCACTCTCGTCTCTGCCTCAGTCGCTGCTGCGAAAATGCGTCTACCACACTCGTGGACTTCGCGATAGCGCCTTCCGCATTGTTTGCTGGCCACCTTACCGTCGCAGTCTCCCCGGCCCAACACTCCGCCCAACTCCACACTGCAACTCAAGACGCCCCACTTGAGCATTATAGCAGTTTGAAACAACCTACAAACATCTCATCCACTCGCTGCGCCCAATATGAATACTCGACCCATTTTGGACTCGGATACAGGGCCCTTTGTCCTCTCGGCATCCTTCAACGCAGACTGCTCTCACTTCTCGGTAGCCTTGGAGACGGGGTTTCGCGGTATGACGCGCGCATAAAGCCTCCAGCCTCATCGCATCCAGCTAACACTTGCAGTATTTTCGTCTACAACATGCGAGGAGAAAATTGCCAGAGGTACCCAAAACCCGCGCATGCCGACTATACACATTCCACACATTCCAACTACATCGTACTAACATCCGCCATAGAAGTCGGCGGCGGCATCGGTTGCGCAGAGATGCTCGGCAACAAGAGTTACATTGCCCTAGTCGGAGGAGGGAAGCAGCCCAAGTACCCTCAGAACAAGGTGCGTCCTGAGGACTTCGACTGGCTCCTCGTCAACGACACTGACATCATCTACGAGGTCCAAATCTGGAACGATAAGACGGAACGGTTCACCACGTCGGTCGAGTTCAAAACGCCGGTACAGCGCGTGCGCCTGTCGCAAACACACATGATCGTCGCATTGCTGAATTCGATATGCATATACAAGATGAAAGTGCCGCTGGCCAAGACGGCGGAATACGAAACAGTCAACAACCCGTTCGGACTGTGTGAGTTGGGTAAGGACATTGTCGCTTTCCCTGGTAGGGCAGCTGGCCAAGTCAAGATCTACGACCTCAATACGGGCAACGTCAGTATCATACCCGCCCACGAGAGCCCGCTCCGCGCAATCGGGATAAGCAGGGCCGGCGACCTCATTGCCACCGCCAGCGAGCAAGGCACCTTAATCCGCCTCTGGTCCTTTCCCTCGTGCACAAAACTAGCAGAGCTCAGACGCGGCGTCGACCCCGCCGCCATCTTCTCCCTCGCCTTCTCGCCCGACGGCTCGACCCTCGCCGTCACATCCGACAAGTCAACCTTGCACATCTACGACCTCGTCATTGCAACGACCGCAGCCTCACAAGCGGACCCCTCGCAGCATAAATACGGTATTCTTTCCAAAATACCTTTACTGCCCCGCCAGTTCTCGGATACCTATCCAACTGCGACGATCAAGTTTGACATGGGCGATGAACCGACAGCTTGGGGACCACATGGCAGATCGGCGACATTGAGTGCAGGGATCCCGGGTGTACCGGGTGGTCGACCGACAAAGGGACTCATCGGTTGGTTGAACGATGAGACGATTCTTGTTCTTGGGGCTGGACAGGATGCGAGATGGGAAAGGTTCCATGTGGGACCTGACGATAAGGGGAAGAAGTGTCTTTTTACGAATGGGTGGAGACGGTACATTGATTAGGCGTGGGTACTATACCCGCGGGCTGGAGTAGGTCGTAGATGGGTACAAAGGTTATCGCTATCTCTGGCCCTGAGGTGGGCTTTGATTCGACAAGGCGGTTTGAGCGGTTTCAAGAATCTGTCATGTCAAAGTTTTGGGATGGCATTTACTCATCGGGGGGAAGTGGGGTGCAGTTAGAAAGTTCTTTCTTGGTGTTTTAGTGAGCTTTTTTCTTTCTGGCGTTTAGATACCCGTTCTCTCTCTTATCAGTTTCTCTTGCTAGATTGGGCTAGAAAACAATGGAAGAATAAGAAGGAGACGTTCAATCCATTCTTTACTATCTCTCAAAGTTACGCAACGCGTGAACGTGGAAATAACCTTGTTCATTATTAACTTTTTTTTTCTCTTTGCGCAACGCCTAATTACTTCACTTGCTACCTCAGCAAAACATTTCTTCAAAACTCGAATACACTGACCGGGTAATCAAAGACGTTGCCAGTTCAACAATAGCATTGCTCAAAGGAAATCAGATGTAGATGCAGATAACATGCAATGTTTCTACCTTCGCATTTCGGTTCGTTGGTATTGGACAGTGCAATTTATTGTGGAAAAAAAGGAGAGATATGGGTTACACTTTTAGTGAATACGTGAATATGTACAGAATCTCCCGGTAATGGTTTACCAGTATCGTTGTTTCTCGCTCATCCAGATTGAACAGTGCGGTCATGTGCAGGGCTGGGCGAAACGATTAGATTTCATTGCACATGTTTATTCAGTCTGCTGCGGTGTTCTCATGTCAGGTGTGTGTGTCTGGAATGTAGAACAAGTCCATTTTGGTAGTTGAAGGAGGCTAAGCTCAAAGTTCACAACTGAGAAGGATGTGCGCGTAAGTTAATGGTCTTGGGGAACTTCGTGGTGTAACAACTGGTATTGCATTGCTCGTATTCAGATTGTGATTCTAACGTTCTTGTTGCTTTCAACTGCTGCTGCTGCCATTAGAACATTTTGTTGTGTTTCCACAGTGCCAAGTACATGGCTTTGGCTGATTGGTGTGCCAGTAGGTCTTCGCTCTCTCTCTCTCTCTCTTTCATATTCTCGATATGGAAAGAATTTTAGGAAATACATAGTCAATAATCGACCAACAGGACCCCGAAACACCATTGCCCAGCATATACTTATTTCTCGGTCCCTATCAAAACATCCCAAATCATTCTTAACCCGAAACGAAGCAAAAGAAGTGAACAGAGTATGGTGTGCGTAGTCTGCACATCTAGAAAGTAAGATGAAAGGTCGGGGGGTGGAAGGGTGAAAGTGAACGGGAAAAGGTGGCAAGGTGCAAATGAACGGAAGTGGTGGAATGGTTGATAGTACAAAAGTAACAAAAGATTTGAAATTAATCTGGTGTAAAAGAAAAAGACAAGGTTGTAACTGGGGTATCGTGCAGAAAGGTATAGCCACAGAACACCCGTGCGCGACTTTCGGTACACGGTATCCAATCCCAAACATCCACACATACGCGACATTTTTGCTGTTCGCTACGTCGGTTTCGTTCCGCGCTGCTAACAAGTCGGTCGAGAAAGAAGAAATGGGAGTCCACAGCGAAATTCGTCGGATGGTGGTGTCTCCGACTAATGTAACTGCACATCGAAGTGCCGAGTGGAAGTTTGGATACAAGTTGACGACAAGGAAACGTTCGTGGCGGGGTCGTGAAGCGGTCAGCCAAAGTGGTGACCAAAGGTGGAGAGATCCAGTCTCTTCATCCCTTTGTCATCCTATAACAAGATAAGGTAGTTGCTCGGCGCAATTCCCGTCTCCCCGTTCGGTTTCTTAGCCTGCCACCACCTCCCACTAACATCGCTAACCTCCAGGATATCATGTTTCTGGAAGCTAATCTCATTTGCGTCGTCGGGGTTGGCTTCGTAGCTGTAAATCGCCTTTGCACGGTACGGATACTCAATGTTCTGCTCCGGATTCTGTTGCTCGTCATTTGTAGGCGTCATAGTGTTGTTATTGCCATTCATGCTCATGCCGCCGCCAAATTGCGGAGCAGACGAATTGCGACCGTTGGCACCTGCGGGACCGCCTGGGTAGCCGGATACCGGGGACGAGGTTTCGAAACCGTTTAGTTGGGCGGACGTGTACATTTGCGGGGGAATGTTGGCGTTTTGGGTTTCCGGGCGGTTGGTGTAGCCGTTGGATATGGGGCGCGAGGAGCGGGAGCCTGGGTGCTCTTTGTGGAGGGCGTAGGAGTCGACGAAGGTGCGGTGGCTGGCTTGGGGTTGGGAGCCGTAGTAGAAGATCCAGACAATCTGTGGGTTGTTAGGAGGGTTTTGTGTTTGGAGTGTGGGTATGACTTACGGCGATCATGGAGAGGAGGATGTAACCGGCTGCCGCGGCTTCAAAGGGAGCGACGGGGGAGTAGACGAGGGAGTTTACGGATGAGGTAGTGAAGACCAGGCCAGCGGCAAGAAAGCCCACAATCTATAGGAATCAGCAAATGTGTTTTGGCGTTCGGAGAAAGACTGCCTACCGCAACATGGTACGTCCTCTCAGCATCCGAGGCGACTGTGACGGTGACACCTGTGATGCAGAAGAACATGAAGACCAGCGTCCACCACGCGAAGTTGGGGAAGCCACCGTGAATAGCAGATATTATGGAGCTGACAAAGGCGATGATCCAGGCGAGCTGTTATACAACGTTAGCCAGCAGGCTCCCAGCGACTGCCGCGAACTTCCGGATATTACTCACAATGCCAATAGATATGGTGGCCAGCGCAAAGGGATCTCCAATGATGCGACCCAGGCTGAAGCCCGACGATCTTTGGCCGTAGCCTCCGTTTTCCATTTTGTGTAGTGAAGGTGAGCCGCCCAGTGAGCCGTAAGCGGGCATATGTTGGCCAGTGGGTAGGCGGGGGGTTGAAAGGGGCGATTAAGCTATACTGTCGCGCAGGCGGGCAAAGAGAATGAGCGTGAGTGCCGAGTGCGGTATTATGGGTGAATGGAACGAGGTGGTGGACGGGAAAGTCAAAGAGAGTGAATGCGCGCAGTCAGTGATGTGGTAGTGGCAGCGAAGGGCAAGTATATCGGCGGCTCGGTAATTGGTGTCGTGCAGAGCGAACGGGTGCACAGGGCGCAAGCAAGAGAGAGGCGGGCGTCCAGTGACCAGCAGTGTTGGTGGGCGCGCTTGGAAATGCGACGTGGACGGCGGCTGCGAAGTAGGCGATTGTTGCAGCAGGCTGTGGATGTCGAGGGAGGGTTTGGAGCGAGGGTGGGAGAAGACGAGAGATGCGACGGTTTCAAGTTGGGTTCCCAGTGGTTCTCGATTGGCCGCGCTGAATGGCTAAGGATACGGGGATTGAAGCGGGTCCCGCAGAGATTAAAATGGCACCGCGCCCATCAGCCAAAGGTCTGGACAAGAACACGCGCGTCTAGTGCATTAGTCGACTTGGAGGCCGTCGAGCCGCCGATACAAATGCTGTACACCCAACAGTAGACAACGGCGTGCACGACATGTCAAGGCCAGAAACTATGGGTACTCGCTGGCAACTGCGTTTATTCACAATCACGACTCTTCAATCCGCCTCAGCCAAGAATGTGGCGCAGTCCAGCTAATACGTCGTTCAAAGGGATTCCTTGAATACGACTGCTGGCGACGCCTCATCATGCATACCCGAGTCACTCAAGAACACCTCGAGAACATCTCTAGACGCAGGACATCCCCGTCCAATAATTGTGGCACTTTAATATGGACTTGTGCATTGTGAATGACCTGTCAGCCCAGTTATGACAGCGCTGGTAGATTGGAAATCATTAATTCATTGCACCCTGCGTCTTCCCTACACATGCCATCCACGTTTCCCCCGTCACATATTCCATGGTTGCCGATGACACGTGCGCCTCATTTGCGTGGCTGATATGTGCAGTAGTTCGTTCCGCAAGAAATTGACACTCCGGACCCTCATCGGCGGCATTACGCTATCTCGGGGAACCCTTGCAAGCCGTCACCCTGCTGCTGATGCGAGACGACGATGAAACACGGCACTGAACGCTCCGCAGCCCTACAGACACATCACTGTGCAGCAACTACATCACTCTACATCATCAGCTAGAAATTTGTGATGGCGCTGGCGCTTAACAAACTCTTTCATGTTTGAACTATGATTTCGACTATGCTGCTACGCGTGACGTGGTGAACTGTCTCCGGATCAATGTAGGAAAGAGGCCAATTGGCATCGGCACAATCGCAAGTCTAACACACACACATACTGCTTGCTTTCCCACATTACCATCGTCATCGCAGAGGTTTGTTTTGGCAATATGTCATTTTCGGATGCTTGCTTGATGCGAGGCAGGTGTCATCCTTTTTGTCTTCCTTCAACAGATTCGAGAGTCCAGATCGCTGCAACGATTGTCACACTCGCCCCATACCCCCGTTGCTGATCTGCCGAGTCGGTACGACCCAGAACCTCTATCAGATGTATAATATTGAGATACTGTACGGCAGCCGGTTGTGGCGGCTGCCTCAACAAAGGTCACCCATGGTAAAAGTGAAGCACCTGGCATCTGTCAGCTACGCCTCAGCCATGCCTTGAAACCGTCTGACGTCGGTATTTTGCACAGCGCATGAAGTTGACTTACCTGTTGAACGCAATGCGGATGAAAATAGTTGTAGTGTCTCAGGAGGCAACTGGTGCTTCTTCGCGGATAGTCGGATACTGATGACACCGGTCGCTGAGTTTCCAAGTTGATGAACTGAGTATGTGCGAGAGACTGGCAACAGTGTTCAAAGCTCGTCATCCTCTGATTCATCCTCCTCGCCCTCTTCTTCTTCTTCTCCTTCTTCTTCCTCTTCACGGCGTGTCACCCCCTCCTCCTCCTTATCAGGCCTGCGTCTATACTCCTCCCTCACAAGTGCCCTCAGCGCCTTGGTAAGCCTCTCATTATAGTCGACCCAACATCTTCCCGCGCCAAGAAACATGACCTGCTTGTACCTCTGGTTCAACAACCCGTTCCTTCTCCTCAGTTCAGATATCTTGAGCGCTTGTTGTAGCTGACGGTCTTCTGCTTCGGCAATGCGTGGTCTCAAAATAGCCAACTTGGTGAAGCCGTCAGTGGTGGGTATCTGCTGGTCTTGGAGAGCTTGGAGCTGTGATGCCGTTGTTGCGAAGCCTGTTGCGCGTTCTACTACCAACGCGGCTTTTTGGGTGGTGTCGAGTGGGGAGCTGTCGTCATCATCATCGTCGTCGTTGTTGTGTTGTGGTTTGAGGACGTCTTTGTGCTTGCTCACTAGTGATGTTAGCCTTGGAAACTAGAGCAATTGAGGAATTGCATACGCAGGTTGTTTGCTTCATCGAGCAATGCAGTCTTGCCGGCTAGCTGCTGTAGTGACTGCTCGATCTTGTGTATGCGGTCCGGAATTGCCTTAGGCTTGTCCTTGGTAGTGTCGTGTGGACCGCCCAAGACATACTCCAGGCGATCCAACCGTGTCTCCAGCAGCGCAAATGTGAAAAGAACCGCCTCCTCGTACTCGTCCATAGTTGTGGTGGATTCGGTGTTCAATGTTCATCCCGGGCAGTTCACGCGGTCGCGCGTACCTGCCTTGGGCGGAACCGGCTGTTAATTTTAGCGGCCGCTGATAAGCCCCCAGATTTTGGGGCCATGAGACCGAGACGTCAGCGGAGCACCAAACCTCACTTTTCACCGATAGCTCCAACTTTCCACAGCCACCTGACTGTAGTCACTCGCTTGACCTCGCCATCGCAGCATCTTTAGAAACTCCGCCAGTCCTCGACGGATGATCGCGCAATAACCCGAACCGCGCATTTCGCACCCTCCAGAGCATGACTTCCTACTCCGCCATCGGCCCCGAGCCAACAACAGAGGCAGATCCGATGACTTCGAGTACCGGGTCGCTGAGAGGCAGACGGTGAGATACGCCCATCTCGTCCTTGTTGGACTGACGCTGACGCAAGTAGGAGAGGAAGAGGAAAGCAAGACGTTGGATTCAAAGGACAGGCGACATGGATATCAAGTGTCATCAACCTAGCCAACACCAGTAAGGTCTTTACCAACCAGCCCCTAGAAAACATGTTGACCATGATGGATAGTTCTTGGTGCCGGTCTCCTCGCCATGCCTTCCGCGCTCTCGAAAATGGGCATCTTCCTCGGCATATTCGTTATCGCGTGGGCTGGCACAACAGCAGGCTTCGGCCTCTACCTGCAGACGCGATGCGCGCGATACATTGATCGCGGACACGTATCCTTTGCAACACTGTCCCAGATGACATATCCGAACCTGTCCATCATCTTCGATGCCGCTATCGCTATCAAGTGCTTCGGCGTGGCAGTCAGCTATCTTATCATCATCGGCGATCTGATGCCGGGAGTTGTTCGCGGATTCGCACCGGGTGCTGGGGATATCACGTTCCTGGTTGACAGGCAGTTCTGGATCACAGCCTTCATGTAGGTTGTCCACTTGGAATTCGAGGTCCTCATGTACTAACCAACACAGGCTCATCGTCATCCCGCTATCCTTCCTCCGCCGTCTCGACTCACTCAAATACACCAGTGTAATCGCCCTCTTCTCAATCGCCTACCTCGTCATACTAGTCGTAGCCCACTTCCTCAAAGGCGACACAATAGCAGACCGAGGAACTGTCCGTGTCTTCGAATGGGCCGGCCCCGTCTCCGCCCTCGCAGCCTTCCCCGTCATTGTCTTCGCCTACACATGCCATCAAAATATGTTCTCCATCCTCAACGAGATCTCCGACAACTCTCACTTCCAGACCACGACCGTCATATTTGCCTCCATTGGCGGCGCGTGCGCTTTGTACATTCTCACTGGTATCACAGGCTACCTATCCTACGGCGACAACATCCACGGCAACATTGTATCCATGTACCCCACCGCAGCAGCCAGTACCATCGGCCGTCTCGCTATCGTTATCCTCGTTATGTTCTCGTACCCGCTTCAAATCCACCCCTGCCGCGCCAGTATCGACGCATGTCTAAAGTGGCGTCCAGGCGGCCTCCGCAACAAACAAGCAGAAGCCGGCAGTCCCTCCCGCAACACCCTCATCAACAACACACCCAAGCCCGGTATCCCCAAGAGTACAGAAATGAGCGACCTAAGATTCGCAGTCATTTCCACCGTTCTGATAATCCTGTCTTTCATCACTGCCATGACGGTTTCCAGTCTAGAGAAGGTGTTGGCCTATGTTGGTAGCACGGGGTCCACAACCATTTCTTTTATACTTCCGGGGCTTTTCTACTATAAGATTTCCGACCCCGAATCTTCACATCACCAACGGCTTGTTAAGGACGAGGACGATGAAGATGAGGGAGCGGAAGGTTATATTACCAGTGAGGGACACTCGAACCGGGACCTTAGAAGGGGTTTGCTGCGTAACTTGGCGCTTGCTTTGAGCATTTACGGTGTTGTTGTTATGGTGGTTTGTTTGATTACGAATACTTTTCTGGTTGCTTCGCATTGAATAGCATCATGTCGGGTTGAGACAGGTTTTTCTGGAGAATTTTGAAGAAACGCATTTAGCGGGAGTTTTCCTTGGAGGCACATGGATTAGACTGGTTGGGGCTGGATGGCTTTGGTGTTGGTGTTGGAGTTATGTCAATCTTGATGCTGATGTCGACGTTTTGTTGTATTGTTACAGGTCGTACAGTATATATGTAACTTCGTAGTAATCTGGAGCAGAGGTACAGAACGTACCACGCTTTTTCCAATGTTATCTCACCAATCATGTGTCTTGCTTCCAGGGCGTCCCTTGAATCCCAACGCCTGGATATCGTGCTGTGCTTCTTTCCTCTTTTCCGCTGTAATCACAGTGACGGCCAATTACGGAGCCTTCACATCGTGATTCATTCGTCCCTCAAGCAGCCATCCTCAAACGCTTAATATAACCCCAGCCACGCAAATTCCATCAATGCTCAGATCCCCACTCTCCCCCTCCTTATGCGGCAGTCTCCTTGGTCCCGCCCTCCATGTTCTCCACCACAACACTAGGTTCTGCTTCCGCAGTGTTTCCCTCTTTTATCAGTGACTTTGCTGCACTCCCACTCTTAACCACCATGCCCGCAATCTTGCCCACCCTGTACTGCGGCTCTAGTATCCCCACCATGCTCAGTAACCGCCACGCCGTGTCACTCGGTTGGGCTCCTACACCCACCCAGTAGCGTGCGCGCGATAGATCGAGTTTGATGTCTTTCCAGGGCCGGCCGTGGGTGTCGCCTGGTCGTGGGGGTTGCGGTTTGGGGTCGTAGGTTCCGAGGACTTCCAAGGGGCGGGAATTGCGCGCCGTTCTGTATAGGTTGAATTGTTAGTTTTATCGGTCTTGGAGTATTTGCGGACTTCCGAGATTGGGGTTTCGCCAATTGTAGATGAGGCGGTTTTTTTTTAACGTACCGTGCGTGTGCGACGACTATGTTGTAGAAGGGAGCGTGCTTCTTGCCGAAGCGGGCGAGCCGGATTCTTAGAACCATCTTGTGTTGTGTGGGTTTGATGCGACGCCTGTGTTGGGGGCGCGGGTGGTTGTTGGAGGTTTGGGTATATCTTTTTGGGGCCGAGGATCTGCCGAGACGGGTGGGCACGTGCAACGAGTGGGATACTTTGGTGTGCACGTTAGACTGTATGGAGGGCTTTCTTTTGTGGGCTCGACTTTGTATCTTCAGTCGCTGGTTCGATTGTTTGATGGGAGTTCGTAAGCTAATAATGCTGTGGTGATGTGCGAGTACTTGCGCTCACCTCATCATCCTTGAGCAGTGATGTAATTGCAACCCCATGAGTAGTTCAGTAGTATCTGTTGTGACAACTCTCTCTCAACTTTACTACACGTAACCTTGGTGACCTCGATACTAAAAAATGGCTCTTCGAGTAAGTATATGACATATTGTATCAGGCCCGTCAATGAGATCTAAATTTCCGTCACAGACTCTCTCCGCTAAAAGCGCAGCCGCGCTCGACCAAGAACTCATGTCCTCGGGCGCATTCTCTATCGATCAGTTGATGGAACTTGCTGGACTATCAGTATCACAAGCGGGTACGAGAGCACCGTGTCAGGCCCTCTCCACAATACTAAATTTCCAGTCTTCAAACTTCAACCTCTCAGCAAAGGCAAGCGCATCCTCGTAGCATGCGGTCCTGGAAACAACGGCGGTGATGGGCTAGTCGCAGCCCGTCATCTCTTCCACTATGGCTACCAACCTACAATCTACTACCCAAAGCAGAGCAAAAATGAGTTGTACCAGGTATGCAATGCATCAAGTACCGAGCAAGCACTTATCTAACCTTTCACAGCGCCTCAAGAAACAACTCGAAGACCTCAAGGTACCCTTTACAGAAGACTTCACCGGCGCACTAAAACAAACCGACCACATCGTCGACGCAATCTTCGGCTTCAGTTTTTCGGGCGAAGTGCGCGAGCCTTTCCCCAAGGTCATCGAGGCTTTGGCATCTACTTCCATTCCCGTTCTCGCCGTCGATGCACCGTCATCTTGGGATATCGAGGAAGGCCCGCAAGATTCTGGGCCTGGCAAGGGCTTCATGCCACCGGCTCTCATTAGTTTGACTGCGCCTAAGCCGCTGGTTAAGAAGTTTACTGGGAGGCATTTCCTTGGTGGGAGGTTCTTGAGCCCGGAGATGGCGGATAAGTATAATCTTGATATCCCAAAGTATGAGGGTTTGGATCAGGTTGTTGAGGTGTCAGTTGAGGGCAAGCTTTGATATGTACTGCTGTATAGTGAATTCATAATTTGAAAAATGAAGTACTCTAGATCACGATGCGTCTTCGGTGTTTTGGTACCTGCTTGTTGTGACTAGCGTGGTTTCCCCGCAGAGCCGCGGTACGGCTAACAACGGTCTTGAGATGTCATCCGAACGCCAGCTTCGAATGCGCTTCGGCAAACAACGAGATTGATTTCTTTTGAAGCGGAAGCACGGAACCTTTGTGTGTCTCTTTTGTCTACCTCTGGCAGGCAATGTTATTGAGCTAAGATTCAAGAATCTATCCCACGGACTATCACAGCCTCAATACCACATCGAAACACCGCGCGAAGCCAATTTCCCCTCACATAGACACCGTGTGCTGTATTGGTTGCTTAAGCCGTCCGAGAACATACCTCACAATTCAAAATGGTTCCTAGGGCGCCCTCAAGAGAGGCTTTGACCTTGCTCAAGCATTCGATTCGTCCCTCAGTAGTCGTTCGATCGCAAACACAACGCTGCCTTCTCTCGTCCACCACTCGACCTACGATACCATCGCACGCCCAGTCCCAGATCTCCCCACAGACAGTACGAAACACTGCAACTTTCACGCATTCCCACCACGCCGAAGCCGTCTCTGTCATCCCCACGACAGTCGACACGAGCAATGCAGACTTCAAAGAGAACAAGCGCCAGATGGACGAGGCCACGGAGAATTTGGTCAACTTGCACACAAAGATCGCGCAAGGTGGACCTCAGAAAGCTAGAGATAAGCACATACAGCGAGGCAAGATGTTGGTTAGAGACAGAATATCTGCACTGATTGACCCGGGCACGCCGTTCCTCGAACTGAGCCAGATGGCGGGTTACAACATGTACGGCGAAGACGATGTGCCTGCGGGTGGCATTGTCACCGGTATCGGTACGGTGAACGGTGTTCAATGCATGGTTGTCGCCAATGACGCTACGGTCAAGGGAGGTACATACTACCCGGTCACGGTGAAGAAGCATCTGCGAGCCCAGACCATCGCCCAAGAGAACCGGTTACCATGCATCTACCTCGTTGACTCTGGTGGTGCAAACTTGCCCAATCAAGCAGATGTGTTCCCGGACGTCAATCACTTTGGTCGCATCTTCTACAATCAAGCGCGCATGTCTGGTATGGGCATCCCGCAGATCAGTGTTGTCATGGGACCATGTACCGCGGGTGGTGCTTATGTGCCTAGTATGAGCGATGAGAACATCATTGTGGAAAACCAGGGCCACATCTTCCTCGCAGGCCCACCGCTGGTCAAAGCAGCGACTGGCGAGGTAGTCTCAGCGGAAGACCTTGGTGGAGGCAAGCTTCATAGCGAGGTCTCTGGTGTTACCGACTATCTCGCAGTTGACGACGCACACGCACTTGTCCTTGCGCGGAGGAGCGTTGGCAACCTAAACTGGCACCGCAACCAAACTGTCACTTCGCAGCCCACATTTCAAGAGCCTCTGTACGATCCTCAGGAGCTGTCAGGTATTGTCGGTACCAACCTGCGCCGTCAGATCCCCATCCATGAGATCATCGCCCGTATCGTCGACGGCTCGTCTTTCGATGAGTTCAAGCCATTGTACGGCTCTACCCTCGTGACTGGGTTTGCAAAGATATACGGTCATCCCGTGGGTATCGTAGCCAACAATGGTATTCTCTTCAGCGAGAGTTCGCTCAAGGGCGCACACTTTGTCCAGTTGTGCGGAAAGCGACACATCCCTCTCATCTTCCTTCAGAACATTTCAGGATTCATGGTCGGTCAGGACGCCGAGAAAGGCGGTATCGCGAAGAACGGCGCGAAACTCGTGACAGCTGTGAGCTGTGTTGATGTACCCAAGTTCACCGTCGTTGTGGGATCTAGTGCGGGCGCCGGAAACTACGGCATGTGGTAAGTTTACTCCTATTTCTACGCTTTGACAGAGCATCGCTAATACATGTACAGTGGCCGCGCATACTCTCCACGACTCATGTTCACATGGCCCAATGCAAAGACCTCGGTCATGGGTGCGGAACAGTTGTCGTCCGTCATGGAAGCCGTTGGCAAGAAAGTGGATCCTGCGCTAAAGGCACGGATCGAGCACGAGAGTGAAGCGACATTCGGGTCGGCAAGGTTGTGGGACGATGGTATTATTCCACCGGAACATACACGGAGAGTGCTTGGCATGGGATTGCAGATGGCGTGTGGCGGGCAGAACAAGGGTGTAGAGAAGGAGAGCACTTGGGGTGTGTTCAGGATGTAGAGGATGGCCGAAGGAAGGCAGAAGACTAAAATGGGGCTCCGCAAGGCCGCGTGCAAAACGCGCGTCTACCTCTCGTTTAAAAGCATCATGTTCACGACTTTGACCTCGACTTTTTGTTGCATTTTTGTCGTGCCTGAATGTCGACTAATTATATCCAAGTGTCATTGATCGCAATTTCCGGGCGTCTCCACAAAACCCTGACATCCGCTTGGCTCCGGTCTTGGCAGAGGGCCGTCAAGACAGCGGACGCGGCCTCAAGCACGCTGCAAGTGCTGCAAGCTTGCTTGGAAACGCTTGTGCGACGGTTATCATCAACGTCCATATCAGATATCATCTTCACCAGCCGCAACTAAGGCGCAGCGAACAGGTGTTGCCCACTGAGAAACGCATCGAAACAAAACAAATGCAGGTGAAATACGGCCAAGCCAGGCGCCTGCGCCACAATTCCCTGCCTACGCCCCACCTCACTCGGGATCCCCTCAGTTCCAACCCAGATGGCGGGCCCTACTCGCAAAACACGTCAAGACGGTAGAGCAGCCGGTTGGCCGTCGACTCTGTATTGTGTGGCTTGGACGAGTCCAGGCCGCTTGCGGACCGGCGCTTGAGTGTGAATTACAACTTGACCTGCCTTTACGAGGTTTAGGCAGGCTGGAAGCAAGATCCAGCTGCGTATTGGTTTGCTGACTGCACCACCCAATACGACCATGCGATTTCCAGGGTAGCCGGGGCCCGTGTTCGTCGAGCAGAGTTGAAAGTCGACTGCACCAGTTGCCGCCATCCGCATTCCCTCGTCAAGCGATTGCGACGATCACTCCCGGCCCTCTCTTTCTCACATCCGTCATCAAACCGCTGGACGCCTGTTTACTACCACTTACACTCGCTTTTCTTCCTGCCGTTTCCTCCGCCACCGCCCGCCCTTGTACTTGCATACTCGCAGTCAACCGTCACCACTCTGCTTTGTTTGCTTGGTCCCGCCCAGCTGCTCTCTCCCCACTTGGTCTCACGCACTTGCGGGGTAGCCATTCGTTAGCATTGTTCTAGGCGCAGAGCACATGTCGAGATGAAGTTGTTCAGCCCTGCGCGAGCGCTAGCGGCGCTCTCTCTGTTGTCAACAGATGTCGTGCGACCGCTCACCCAGGCCATCGTCCTAGATCCCAATTCAGAGGGTAAGACGCCGGCGTCCTTGTCGCGCAGTCGTTTGCGCCTGTAGAACTTACTGACGTCGTGCTATAGCTTCCATCAAAGATGTCTCCAGTCAAGTCGCCAAACAGCTCGTTGCGCAGTACGCGACAATCGACGACAAAGGCGTACATGTACTTGGAGGGTATCCTGGTATCCTCTACCCACCCTACTACTGGTGGCAGGCGGGTGCCATGTTCGGCACACTGCTCGACTACTGGCACTACACCGGCGACGATCAGTACAACGATATGATTCGCGAGGGACTGATACACCAGTTCGGAGAGCACCTCGACCTGGTCTGTATTACCATGTATCATCGCTGAAGGTCTGTCGCTAACCCCCGCAGATGCCCTCGAACCAGTCTAAGAACGAAGGAAACGATGATCAAGTCTTCTGGGCCTTCTCCATGATTGCTGCAGCCGAATACAAACTCAAGGACCCTCCTGCCGATCAGCCCGGTTGGCTCGCCATGACACAGTCTGTCTTCAACCAGTTCGTAGGTCGCTACCAGAAGGAGGTTTCCGATGGCACTTGCGGCGGTGGCATGCGCTGGCAGATCTATCCGTGGCTCAATGGGTGGACGTACAAAAATACTGCTTCCAACGGAGGACTTTTCCATCTTGGCGCGCGATTGGCCATGTACACCAAGAACGATACCTATGCCAGATGGGCGGAGAAGGCATTCGACTGGATGGCGCAAAGTCCTATTCTCCCGGGTGATGGTCAGGTCTACGATGGAACGAGTATCACCACAAATCCCCCGTGTCACGACGCCGATCAAACGCCCTGGACCTACAACTACGGTATTATGATAGCCGGAGCCGCATATGTAAGACACTGTCACATCCACAACTCATGCTCCGTGTACTAATATACTGTAGATGTACAACTACACCAACGGCGCCGAAAAATGGCGCACCGAACTCACCAAGTTCATCAACAAGGTGGCCATCTTCTTTCCCGAAGATAAAGGCGGCGTCATGGTAGAAATCTGCGAAGCAAACCAAGTCTGCGACGCAGACCAAGAATCCTTCAAAGCCTACCTCGCTCGCTGGCTCGGCATTACCATGCAAATGGCCCCCGAATTCACCCCGCAGATCCTGCCCAAACTACAAAAATCCGCCGTTGCCGCCGCCCAGACGTGTGAGGGGCCCAGTCAACATAACGGCGGTCCCCATCAGTGTGGTATGAAGTGGTGGAATAACGGTTTCGATGGGATTGGCGGCGTAGGACCACAGATGACGGCACTTAACGTTATTAGCGTGCTGAATGCGCAGAGGGTGCCACCGCCGTACAGTAGGGATACGGGAGGTACTAGTGAGGGAAATCCAGGACTGGGAAGTGGCAATGATGATGATCGCTTGCCCAAGTTCCAGAGCGACATTACGACTGGAGATAAGGCGGGCGCGGCGATTCTGACCATCTTGATGGTTGTGTTGTTTGTGGGTGGGGCGGCATGGATATTGATGTAATTGGAGCGGTGGACGGATAGGCGAGGAACGAGGATAGAGGAAGAGGAGGAAAAGATGGGAAAGATGATGGGGCTCTCTTTGGTTATACCCTGTTGTTTGGTATGCAGAGATGCAGGCATGATGGGATGATAAAGTGTGGGCTTTGCGAAGCTCTTTTTTTTCGAGGCGTTATTGAGGGCGCTTGTTTCGTGGAAATAGGATATTTGAGTGGAGATTCATGTGTATATTTGATATCTGAATGCAATATGAATAAGTATCTTTTTACGCTTGTTGGTTGCATTTTGGCATTGCTGAAAGGGATCAAATGGATCTTGATACTGAGTTGTAAGTAGGGGTCTTGGGGAATTTAAATGGTCGTGGATGGTGTTGTGAGACGCCGTGTTGTTGGATATGGTTGCATAACATGACGCGATGACGCTAGATACTATTATTGGTTACAATTGTAACCCAGCTCCCTGAACTCGTGTATAGACACTCACTTGTGATTGGATGATGGAAAAGTTGAACCTAGTAAATATCTTTAGGGTACGCTGTAGCAACACTTGGGTACAACTCATTGAAAAATAATCGCTGTATTCTGGGCAAGTACTCAGTGTATAACCGTGTGTCTCGTGAACTTGTGCTAAGCATATATTCGTGGAGGAATAAGAGCGAGGGTTGGGGACGAAAAGCGAGCTGAATTACGCGTTCATGATCATACTATAGCTTGTGTACCGACTTGTGGAAGTGGGAAGAGCGAAATATAGCTGGAGAGGAGTCTACTTCCACGCGCGATGAACTAGATTCATGTCTCGCGCTATCGAACTTGGTAGTCGCATTGACTTTAAATACACCTTCAGTATGAAGCTGTAATTGCAAACTTGACTGACGTGGCCGTTACATAGTTTCGAATCTCTCAGTTTGGAAGAGAGATTTCAGAAAGGAGTTGCCGCTATCCTCTCTTTGGGTGCCTGGAAAAGAGATGTGCCGCATTGTATAAGACATGGAAAGAAGGCCATATGTAGAGAAATGGTATATAATCGTGCAGTTATGGAAGAAACGTTGAACAAGTCAGAAAAACCATACGCTTCACAGACGCCTGCCAAAGCGGGGAGTAACGAGACTGCTGGTCGGTAAAACACCCACTGGAGGTGTAAGGCCGTATTTCACTCGCTGTACAGCTTGCGCAACGGATTTGGCCCGCGAGTATAGATATACGAGAGAACAATGTTTCGCGGTTTTTATTCTGCGCGTCCCATCCACAACGCGGCAGCGGCGGCTGGCAATTATCACCGCGGCCGAAGTCGTGACCAGGGACTTTATGAACAGCGGAAGAGGTTTTGACCTCTACACAAAGACCGAGAGGAAACTTCACATCATGGTAGAAGAGAACTTTAACACTGATACTAAGGTTCTTAGACAATTTAGCTCCTGGGCAGTATCTCTTCATCTAGTCTTTTGCGACGTTCAAACCATGCCAACGGAGTACATTCATCACGTCGCTGTCCTCGATCGTGAAAAATCGGAAGGCGAAGTTCTTATTTGGTGGGTGCGGCTCATCTTCGATATTCAGCAAGGCGATCTCGAATATCTGGCACACGGGTGCATATGAGGTCGCGGCTCTACTACGGTTCCTTACCAGCAATCAGTTGTCAGTAGGCTATACAAGTTATTCCCCAGCTTGAACATGCGAAGTGTCGTAGAAACATCTCAGCATTTAGCCGTCCTTTACAGAAGGGAATGTCCAGCGCCACGTTGGTCGACATGTCGACGGAGAACGTTGTAGCTGCCAAAAGTGTGGGAGCTTTACTTGGGGAACTCTTTTTGCGGGTCTTGGTCGCACATCCTTATCTTCAGCCGCGGATACCTACCGGATTCGCGGACAGCCGATCGTGCGATCAAATCGTTCGGGATTGAACAGGTGAATTCCAATCTTGCGGAAGCGTTTTGGTGCCAGCCAGGAGCGGTTTACAAGCGCGACGATAACCGTGTTATAAGTAGGACGTGTCCGGGTGTTGAACAATAGATCGAACTGCTTTGTGTTATCAGTACATCTCAATCCCAACGAAAGCAGGAAAGCAGAAGAAGGACGAGTTCGACATTGGATAGGAGCCCGATACCGATGACTACACCAGTCGAAACCGGCGTCTTTACGATCTATGAAGATGTTCACTAGGGACTGCATCGCGAGGTGACCAGCGAAAAGAACGAAACGCATGAATATGACTATTCTGACTCGGAAGAGTTGGGAAAAGAAGACATAGACGAAGATTAGATCAACCCAGGCAACGTTGCCATACCCGACGAGATCCTATTTTCACCGAGTGGAAGCTATGTCTGCATAGCTAGATAATAGCCTGGCTGTTTTCGCAAATCGGCTGTCTCTATTGATGAGCACGCGAACGAGACAGGTCGCGTGTACTGCGTATCTCGACGCGATAACTGAGCGAGAGGGGAGTCGGTGCTCTTTCGTAAAAACATTGTTTAAACTCTTGTGAGTGTGCATGGTATGTATACTTCGTGGGCAGGATAATTGTAACCACAATTGCTGATCACACGTAGCATGATCAGGAAGAAGCTTCGTATTTAATAGTAGAATATATGAACGCGTTGCAGTTGGTAGGCATGCGATTAGTAGAGAAAAAGCAAGATCGGACAAGACCACCACGACGTGGGGGTCACATTAACAAGAGGATGCGCTATTCCAGCTTCGGCCACTTCAGGGGATCAGCCCGCTCCCAGCATTGCATCCTCCCAGGCTGCCACTGTCACTCAAATTCACTCGCCGTGACCCAAGAGTTGCAGCTAACCGTTATTGACAGACAAAATCATGCGTTGATGCGAAGAACGCCGTACTAGCGGCCTCTTCATTTGTGGCTGAGCATAGCTGGAACGTTCTGCGACAGGCGTTGGCGCACAGCCTCGCCGTAGTCCGAACCACGGCACTCCACCACCTTCGAAGATTTCGTCTTTTGTCCATCTGCTTGGCGGATTTCAAGGTTCTGTATTGCGCCAAGTGAGGATGCAACACGAGTCCGGTGAATGTTAGCGTGAGATATTGATACTTCATAAGCAACCAGCACCTTTCAGGAATGCCATTTCATTGCCAACTCTACCTCTGGTTTCGAGAATGCTAATCAGCAATGTAGAAGCCGATTCACAGTACCCGAGTTCGCATCTAGAACTCGTTACTAGGCAATCATGATCGCAAGAACAAGCAGCAGAGACATCAGAATCAGGCGATGGGACTTTCAGCTTGACTTGGTCCGCGGCAATATACGCCGTACCGGGATGAGTGCAAGTGACCTCACTACGAAACTCGACAAGATCTTTGGAGCGCAATAATGGCTCGATCTTTCGAATCGCATTGCCGCTGGTACCTAAAGTAGGCGGTTCCACAAATGAACTTGCCTGTCGAGGTCAGGCACAGCCCCACCTGTTCCCTGTTCCTGTCGCTTTGCTTATGTCAACGTCTAGAGTACAGCAGCAAGGCTGAACCAGAATGACACCATGGAGGCCTCTCAGATGCATGTTGGGCCATAGTCAGCTTCAAGCTTGGAAAAATACCTCTACGTTCCAACGGCCGCGCGCCGCTATTTCGAATGCTTCATCACCCGGTAGTCTACTCTATCACATCAATCGCTGTCAGTAGCGATGTCCAACTTCATCTTTGAGGTGAAATATCGATACCATAGTCATGGCACTATATTACCACAAGCTTTTGCTGAGAACATGATCTGCGAACTCGACCTCCCATACAACCAACCTAGAACCAGGATCCCGGCAGGGGTGCTTCATCCTTCAAGGCTGTCCCGTCGGCCATGCCCAATTCTAGGACATTTATGCGGTCCGAAGGCTGAGTGTAGGCAATGATCTTCCTTCGAGGATTCAACATGCGACTCAACTTTACGAAAAGCAACCACCTGCTACAGGCCAGGGCTTTCCGGGCACGAAAGCTGTCAGCATATCCATTGAATTCGCTCATCATGCACACACACTTCGCCCTCTTGGTCCCTCAATGCACAGAACAAACAGGGACTCTCTATGGAGCGCCACTATCTGGCGCCGTGGCGTTGTTGGGCAGTGACGTCTCCCCTGCAGCACACGAATATGGTTCCTACGCATTCATTTAAACCTCGATGTATCGGCTCTGATTTCGGTTGACCCAGCATTCTTGAATCAACAAAATGCCTCCCAAAAAGCAAGCCTCCAACTCCAACAAGAAGCACCCACGATCCAAAGCTCAGCATGAGCCTATTGATCGTCCGCGGAAGGTCACTCGTCGTTCGACAGCGTCCGACCAAACGAAGAGTGGCACTCGGTCTCCACCAGATACCACACCACCTGTCGGACAAGAGCAGAGTACTGTTCGAAACCGTACCCTGCTTTCATCATTCAACGTCGACGTTGGACCTAAGACTCAAGTCAACGTTACATCGAACAATCCTCAATCCCTTGTGAAGGGCCCTCTTCACCCAGACGAACCTACAATCGGACGCGAGGCTGTCCCTCCAATTCAGCCTATAGTCCTTTCCAAACTCTCATGGGCGTCACGATCCGCGGTCAAGATCAAGAGGCTCGGCTTCAACACACCCGCAAGTGGCTCATCTGACTCTTCAAAAGGGGCCAAGTGGGCAGAAGTGTTGGGTCAGGTGAGCAGGATGTACAGTTATAAACGTATAGCTGAGAACCAAGTTCGTCTGCTACTCATCAAGCCCGGCGCTTTCGACGAAGAGATCAACGCTTCGTTATTGGTCGTAAACGATGATCAGCTCGGGAGTGAACAATTCCCTTACTCGGCGCTTTCGTATAACTGGGGGAACATCGAAGACGACAGTACCATTATCATCCAAGACGATCCGGCCTCATCTCCTGTCAAATCTATCAAGAAAGCAGTGGATGCGTTTAAAGCAGTTATGCAAGACAAGACGATTAGGGTCAAGCCGAATCTCTATGAAGCTCTTCGACATCTGCGAAAAGAAAATCAGATCATCGCGCTTTGGGTGGATGCAGTATGCATCAACCAGTTTGATAACAAAGAGAAAGAGGAGCAAGTGCTCAAGATGGCGCATATTTATCATAAAGCCTACAATGTGAACGTGTGGCTTGGCTCCGATAGTCTTGGTGACATGATTTCAAACAGAGCCATGGCTTTCATTCCAAAGGTCATCGATCCAGAAAACCATTCCACACTCCTGGCGGGCGACGAGTACATCAAAGACTGGGCAAGTCTGTACGAACTTCTGAAGTGGAGCTGGTGAGTGCGACATAGACCAAGACAATTCCATGTGCTAAAAGGCCACAGGTTTTCGCGACGCTGGATTATACAAGAGCTAGCATTCGCTCAATCCGCTTCAGTTCACTGCGGCAAACATGTGCGCGACTGGTGTGATTTCCAAACTGCCATCGCTATCTTTCATAGACACTTTGACGTTCTGAAAGCTCGGCTTATGATACATTATGAGTCCTCTCAGGTCAAGCATACTTATCTGAACGATGATTCTACTTTGGAGATCGAGCATCTCGGTGCAAAGCTGTTAGTGGACATGACATCAACGTTATTTCGTAAGCGACCGGACGGTTCTCTCGAATCTACGAAAGGTCTGGAGAGCTTGGTATGCTCTCTTTCCGGCTTCGATACATCCGACCCACGCGATACTATCAATGCCTTCAGGAGTATTTCCAAGGAGGTGACTAGGAACGACCTTCGGGTTGCGGGACGCCAGAGGTCTCCGCCTGCTCCAAACTACAGCAAGGATCTCTTTGAGATTTACCGCGACTTTGTCCAATGGGTCATAGAGACCACGGGATCAATCGATATAATCTGCCGCCACTGGGCACTGAAAGAACGAAAGGTGCCAACCCCGACAACCCCTCGACTAGTTGAACTCCCTTCTTGGATCCTCTTCGTGGAGGACTCTGCCTGGGGAAAAGGCGAAGACCGATTTCGTGGCCGAAAGGCTGGCGACAGCTTTGTCGGTCTACCTGGTAGCAACAATTACAATGCCTGCGGTAGGCGAGGCAAACAAGCCCAGGTTGAGTTTCCCCGAAGCCCAATCCATCATGATCCGACCACCTCCACCCAACTCACTCACGATATGTCCATATTTGTGAAGGGTGTTGTGATAGGGTCCGTTTCGTTTCGCACTGACCCATTTCCTGATGGCGTCATCACCAAAGACTGTTTAGAAGGCCTGGGCTGGGTCTTTGACAAGGATGCAAAAGAGATCACCGAAGTTCCTGCTAAACTTTGGCAAACTCTGGTTGCGGACCGTGATCCACAAGGAAACCAGCCCCCTCATTGGTACAAAACAGCATGTCAACACTGTCTTACTTACCAAACAAACAACGGTCACATTAACCTTGGCACTATATTACGTCGGAATCTTCAAGCCGGCTCCCAAGATATAGTGTACGACTACCTTTGTCGTGTCCGCGCTGTCACCTGGAACCGATCTTTCCTCAAGGGCAAACCTATTTGTAGCGACACTACCGAGACTTGCGACTCCGATCATGACGAGCTCGTCGGCTTCGGACCACCCAAGACGGAGAAAGGAGACGTGATTGCCATTCTGTATGGCTGTAGCGTTCCCGTTATCATTCGGCCTACCGAAAGCAGCTCGGGTGAGCACCTTGGTTATCGGTTCGTTGGCGAGGCTTACATCTACGGCAAAATGGATGACGAAGCTTTCGGTGTTCATTGCGAAGAGAAGACCTTCAAGTTACTCTGAATGAGTGCTTGTCACCCACGACGACGTCTCTCTAGATCTTCCATTCTTTTTTTCTAATTGAACTCCAGGGTGTGGCGTCTGTTTTTATTTGTCTTATATCCTCTCACCTACATTCCTTGTCTCTCCATAATATAGTCATACACTCGACCAGACCTGCATCCTCTTTTCTCTCTACGATATCCTTGCCTCACGATCTTACAACCTCGCGCCACTATTACCCCATACAATTCCAGCTGCCCAAGCCTCTTCGTTCCACCGATACCCTAACCTTTCGTGCAACACCATGTATACGACTTATATGTCCTAGAGTCTCCTCCCACACATGTCTCAATACACCATGATCAAATTTCCATCGCTGTAACCAGTAACGCAGACATCTTCTACTTTGATATCTTAGGCTATGAGTAGGAACAGTTTTCACTCGGCTTCCCAGACACGCGACATAAACCCCTCTTCATTTTTGAAGGCTGGTCTCGAAAGTCAATCGGCATATGCCGGTACGCCTCTTCATACTGCTGTATCAGCAGAAAACCTTGACGCCGTCAAGATCCTTCTGAAACTTGGAGTCGACCCAAATGTGAAGAACGAATACAGCGATTCCCTATTATACAATGATGCGGCCGGAGATAGTAGTGCTATTGTTAAAAAGCTATTGAAGGCCGGAGCAAGATCTGATGCTCTGGACTACATGCAGATGACGCCTCTTATGATGGCCGCGAGAACAAGTGCCATGCGAGTTATCCCAATGCTTATCGGACGTGGGCGCAATTCAACAAAAGTAGACTCCGAGGGAAAGACTGTATTCCATCATGCGTCCCAATATGTAAGAACCGAAGCCTTCAAAATCTTCCTCGATGCCGGATGGGACCCCTGTCAACGATAAGAAAAAGCATTTCCCAGTGTACTATGCCTTGTCACAAAAGTGGCTCACCACGTATGTTTACGCACGCTGTCTGGATTCGAGCCATATCGTTTTCGCAGAAGAGGTTCCCACCATAGCTTTTGGAATACAACCTTTGCGTTTGTTACTTTTTTATTCTTCGAAGGCTGTCAGTCGTCGATTCATGACCACGAGAATGGAAGATGGAGTTACAATATTGATTGAAGGTGCCATTGACGATGATCCGAATAAGCTTGACACTTGTATCAAAGCCGGGGCGGAGCTCGAAACGCGAACCGACGACGGTGATACAGCACTTCTCGCCGCATACCGAGCTAGAAGTCTATCTTCAGTCGCATATCTCGTTCGACAGGGAGCAAAGCTAGGGTATGAGCACCAAAGTCGAACATTTAATGTGTACCTAGCAGCATACGGGCGGTCGAATATCATCGAATGGTTATTGGTAGAACGTTGGACTGACCAAGGCAAACTTGCTAATGAGCCTACCAATAGTAGAGAGCTAGCGCAGTGCCGATTTTGGACTGGAGTTCGAACCGTCATGATACCCTTGCGTGGAGATTTCGAGCGACCAAAGGGATAGTCACTCTTGGATCATGCAAGGTACTTGCATGATGTTGCGAAGGGAGGGCAGAGGATCCTGGTTCCTTTAGGGTGGGATACCATTGCGCATCTTGTGCCATTGGCCGGAGAGGCGTGAAGCACCATGTATGTGTTGTAATAAAGTGTATCCATTTCGGTAGTCGTTCAGCATATGCGATATCTGCGCTTCATTGCCAGATCTCATCTCAAAAGGCGTGCATCGCTTGCGACTATCTATGCATGAAAGCATCTACCACTTCTCCATCCTGAAGAGATACCACATATGTCTTGCATAACATCCCAAATTCTGATTGGTGCGTGCTGCTATACAAACACCATAAAGCTCACTGTTGAAGCCATCCCAACAACCCACCAAATACAATCAGTGACCAGATCTCGGAGACAAGGAGATGCATTAGGTGTCGGCGAACCTAGCGATGACTCTACTGAGCATACTGTTCCGCTGCTATCCGTGCTGGCGCTAGCACTCGTATTGAAAAGCAGTTCGACCCATTGTATGTTGAACCAAGCGTCTTTACCACTATCCATCCGCCCCGAGAAAGCACCACCGTTACTCCAAAGGCTCAAGATGATCATGCTCTCCGCGTCCGGCACGTTTACTTCCGTGTCTGCTGATTGCACGCCGTTCATATACCACGCGCTTCGCCCGTGTACCCAGTCCAGTCTGTAGTTGTTCCAAGTCGAGGTAGGCTGATGAGCCTCCATTGACACATTGAATGTAGCGCCATCGATAGGCTCTCCAGTGTCAGGGTTGGTGGTAGGTTGGTTGGAGTAGTGTACTTCGTCCGCCGAACCTCCGGTCGGAATCTCTATATCCGACTCAGAGGTGTCGTCGTGGTACGTGAAGAAGCCAGCGATTGCGCCACTGGCTCCGTGAATGCGTGCAGACATGCGGATGGAGACGAATGTGACATTGTACTCCGCGAAGTCAAGCTCAGCCGCCAACTGGCTTCCGTCTGGTAGCCTCGTTGTATGCAAGGTGAGATATGTAGAGTGTTCGTTCGATAGTTCAGTATTGTTGCCTATCACTGGTCAGGGAAGGGGGGAAGCCATGAAAGGAGTACTATGGCTTACTGATTGACACGCGAGACGGTTTGTAGTGCATGTCTATTGTATCATCCCTAGACGAAGGTCTAAACCAGTCTCTAGCATTCCAACCCGAAATCCAGGGAGCAGCTTCGATAAGCTTTGATTGACCATTGGCTGAATCAGTAGCCGTGTAACCCTGTCCGTAAGACGAGGCAGAAGCCGCATCGCCATCAATACTTCCACGAAGGTTTCTAAAGTCGTAGAAGCGATAGAAGTCGTATGTCGCTGCTGTCGAGCCATTGGTCGAGAATTGAGTACATTCTGCAGTGACCTGAACAAGGAGAAGAGATGCAACAAGAGCCAATAGGAGGGCAGCGCTGGTAAACATGGCAAAGAATAAAGGTAAGCGATTGGGATCACGGCAGATTTGATCTGCAGTTGTCACGACTTAGTAGTCGGACTTGCTTATACTACATACGTGCAACGGTTTCCTTTGGGTGTTCCTGTGGTCTGGATGTCACCTGAACAGGCACTAAGGCGAGACATGGCGAGTGGGGGTGTTCAGCTGCTCGAATTCGACGTCCAAGATTCCATTCATAGAAACTTAACGTGAACGTGGGGTGTTACAAGGTTGTGTTGCTTCTACGACGCGCAGCAAGGGATGATAGAACGATACAGATGAGGCTTGCAGAGTTTTGTGGCTTGCTAGTGGCGTCCGATGAATCATGGCTGGATTACATGCCGAGATGCCGCCCGGCTTGGCGCTAGGTACCGTACCCGAAACACAACCTATTGTGCGCTCCGAACTCCCGCTCATAAAAAGAATTCCCAAATGTGTCAACTACATGCCTCGGATCCATCAACTTGGAGAAAGCGGCACAAATCCTGGCAGCAGTCATCAATTGACTTTGCCGTCTTCCACTCAAGTTCTACAGCTGCCCTTGTGGGATCAGCCACAACAATGCCTACGTCACCCGCACGACGTCCAATTTCATCTGTCACTATGACCTTTCCTGAACAGGTCTGAATTGCTGACACAATTTCCTTCACCGAGCTACCATTGCCACTGCCTAGGTTGTACGTGTGAAATCCAGGACTCAACCGCGACTCACCAACCGCTTTGAGAGCAGCAACATGGCCCAGAGCTAGATCGCTGACGTGGATGAAGTCGCGCATGGCTGTGCCATCCCTAGTATCCCAATCGGTACCGAAGATCTTGAGATGCGGCATTCGACCGCTCATCACTCGCAGCAAGCTAGGCATGAGGTTATCGGGTTCTGTCCTAGGGTCTTCTCCTAGTTTGCCAGAAGCATCGCAGCCGATGGGGTTAAAGTAGCGCAAAGCCACAATAGACCACTCTGGATCGGAGACTGCCAAGTCATTCAGAATAGCCTCGCACATCCACTTGGAACGGCCGTAGGGGTTTGTGATCGCCGTGCAGCCGCCTTGGGGTGGATTGCTTGTTTCCCGCTGCATCGATCCATTGCCGGGTTTCGTGAAGACAATGGTTCTCGCTTATCCGTAGCCCTGTCTTGGGGGTAACTTCGCCATAGACGGCGGCGGATGAAGAAAAGATGAGGTTCTTGATGTCCAGGCTGTCCAGGCTGTCCAGTAGAGAGCAGAAGGGGACCATGCCGGCTACGTTGTTGGAATAGTACCGCAGTGGCTGCTGGATACTTTCGGGAACAGCCTTGTGAGCGGCGAAGTGAATGATGCCTTCGATGGCGGAGCCAGACAGTCCAGCGCCATACCGTTTGAGTATGAGAGACATGGCATGTTCGTTTCGGTAGTTAGCTTCATGGAACGTGAGCGACGGATTCCACGTATTGTTCCGGTAGTGATCATCTCGCAGTGCCTTGATGCGGCCCAGTGTCGTCAGGTACGATTTATCCAGATTATCGACGATAATAACATTGAAGCCAGCCCGGAGCAGTTCTAATGACGTATGGCTGCCGATATATCCTAGGCCGCCAACCACGAGAACATACTGTGATCGACGAGCATTGGATACATTCGGCTCGAAAGATGGAGGCACATCGATCTCAGAAGCAGGGGTGCTGTACCCAGATGGGATAGTTGATACAGGGGAAGATGTGGATGCATCTGCAGACGAAGAATATGGACACGCTTCGAAGTAAGACATAGTGTTCGATAGCAAGTGTCGTGTTGTCCTCAACTGCAGTCTCTTACGTGCTTTATGTAAGTTGTCCTCTCTTCACTTCCACAATAGCCTGGACCTATCAACACTCTCCACGGCTCACCGAACTGTGCTTCCAAATCTAGACTCCACAACACTCAACATCGAACAGCTTCAGCTCAACAACAGCTTCTCCGTAGCAAACCAATTCGATTCGATAGGTCGAACGCCTTCTTCTTCAAGCTGACAGCATGCGCTTCCAATTTCTGGCTGCCAGTTCTGCTTTCGTCTGACAGCCAATCCCACATATGGATCGTTGTGCACCAGACAGTCTGCTATGATGGTCTAGAAATGTGTCAGCCACAAGTACTTGTTCATCCCGCCTGGCCAGGAAGTGGCGTTTTCATGTTTGCTATCAACGACGCATGTTTGGTAGGATCCCGGCTCTGAACCGGCGAACACAGGGATGAACAAGCATTTGTCACGTTGCTTCATGTAAGGTTTTTGTGGGATCGGTGGGCTCGCCTGACGCTTGTCACTACCAACATGTTCGTAAGGATGAGATTGATCAGTCATGGGTATACCGCAAGTCTCACACGCAGTATCACCAATACGAGTCAGGCAACCTTGCTGTGGCATCTAGAGGGCTGATGTTGTAGTTAGTACGTTCATAGACTCATTGCTACACAAAATACAAACCTGTGTACAGTAACTTGAAAGCCTTACCCCACTGCAGCCTCGGTTCTGTAGCGGAGATGTAGCACGCGTTAAAGTGTGTTGAGAACGTGGAAGTTGATGTTACGCAACGTCAACTTCCGGAAGTATTTCCTGGTCACCACTTGCCGGGCTGGTACCCGGCAATGCATTGTGGAGATGATCTATGCCGGGATGCTAGTGAGGCGGGAATTTTCGTGTACCTTGGGTCGGTCGTCCCGATAAGACGGGCGCAGCACTTTAGCCGTACCTTGTGCACTAACTGTTAGGTAACCAGACATTTTTCTTTTAGTACTGTTACTTTCAAATACGATCATGGCTTACATGGTACGCAGATCGAGTCCAATCCATACTGTTCTTTTCCACAATTCGCTGCGCTAAGCCACCTTAATCGAAACGTTCGTGGCGAGCTGCAGCGGCATGCTTGATGCACTAGCGACATTCACACGCTACAACTCTGATTCTTGGCGCGGTTAGGGAACAGCAAAGTGTAGGATTTGAGTACTGTATCGAAATAGTATCCTGGGCTGCAGTGTTCCAGAACGATATTGTGGCGCAGAGCTGAAGTAGCAGCAGGCCATACTATTGAGTTGTCAAAATGGCAGGTGTAAAATCGGTATTCTGACATCTCGTTCTAGGTCCGTGAGGGAGGTGTATGAAACCTTCAAATCAGCTCGAGAAGCCATGCTGTACCTTCTTGTGTATAGCTAGTTCAGACTGGCCATTTAAGTCGTCCATCAGTCGCTACTTCTCGTCCAATCATTTCCTAACTAAGGCTTCTCATCATTGCCCTTCTCAACAATGGGTGCAACTCCTGTCAATCCATTTGTTGATGTGGACGAGATACTACCCATCCAATCCACTTCTTCACCGCGCCCCCCTGTGTCAGATGCAACCGTACGTCCTGCACTTCGTTCGCCAGCAAGCAATGTTTCTCACCCTAATGATCTACAAATCCGCAGCCTGCTTTCCTTTCATATGGGTCCTCAAGATCGATCAACAGCTGGGATGACCAACCTCCGCCGTATCCATATGGTACACCTTGTTTCTCCACCATAAGTCTTCCTCACTCCAGTAGCGAGTCGCTTCCCCTCCGCCAGGGCGCGGCCAAGCGTGACCGAAGAAATCTAGCTTTCCGAGGCTTCTCAACCACGAAGCGTAAGACCTTCAGTCATGTTCACCCGAGGACGATATGGCAGATGATCGATACTCGCGAGGTATTCTGGCCATTCACTTGGAAGAAGTACATTATCCTCTTCGCTGTGGCAGCGCTTGCCGTCGGAGTTGCGATTTCAGATCACTATTTCGGCTGGATCAAAAAGTCCATGGAGGTAACGAGGAGCAACATGCTGCCAGTCCTCATCATCGTCCTTGGTCTCGAACCGATCATGATCACCATCATCTTGCTGGTAGCCCGGGTACCTCCTCTTCACCCTCCTGTTGGTCCGCCTGTCGAAGGGGCTGCTCCAGACGTCGAACTCGACGTGGAAAAGGCCATTTTCATCGTCGAAGCTACACCAGAACATCGGACTGCACTCGTAATGCCATGTCACAACAGCGACCACGAAGCCACTAGCAAGGTTCTCAAGAGCGCTTTCGTCCACTTCCGACCACAAGACATCTTCGTCGTCGATAATGGTCGCACCAGACACCCTACCTCCCCCGAGTTCCGCAACTTCATCCGAAGCGAGCACCCTGATATCAACTACATCTGGTCTCCCATTGGTAGTAAGAACGCTGCACAACTCGTTGGTGCAATCGCTGCGAAGGACTATGACTGGATCATGACAGTGGACGACGATGTCTCCATCCCAGCAACATTTCGTCCCCCAATCACCAAGATGGATGACATTACAAAGGGTTGTGTCTTCCCTCTCAAGGCTGTCGATGCTAATGGCGATGTACCACTGTGTCTCGTCGCATGGCAAGACTGCGAGTACAAGATAAGTGGTCTCACCAAGCTCGCTGAGGCGTCCATTTGCGGCGTATTATATCCACATGGTGCAGGCTGGTTCTGCGAAAGAGACACACTCATCGATCTCATCAGCAACTACCACTCCATTGACTTCATCGCGGAAGATGTAAACACGGGTCTATCGATGCAGAAGATGAAGAAGCGCATTGCTTTCAACGCAACATGTGTGCTCGAGACCGAAGTTCCAACCACCGTCCTTGGGCCAGGTCTCAACTGGTGGAACCAACGTTACCGCTCGTGGGAGATGGGTCGCCATGGTCGTCTTATCGCTTTCACGGACCGCATGTTGCTCTCTCTCAATGGACCGACAACACCATGGGGTATATTCACTCAAAAGTTCATCCACCTCTACTCCATCGCTACCATCGTCGTGGATTGGGTCCGCGTTCCTGTCTTCGTCACGATGAGTGGTGATCCAAACTTCTGGCAACTCGGCCTTCCGCTAATGCTCGCTGCCATCCTTCCCATCCTCGCCTTCAAGTACTTCAACGCGCGACATCGCCCAGATCTTCAACCCCGGTTCTGGGCTGCCATGACCTATCCATTGTATAAGCAGCTGTACAGTCTCGTATCCATATTTGGTGCTATCCGTGCGGTTATCTTCTACGCTGGAGGCCACAAGAAACCAAAGACGATCAAGAACATGATCAAGGATAACGATCCTAATGCTGTATGGCTTGACCCTCGCTTTGAGGGCAATCCGGCTTACCTCGCCGATGAGGCCGAGGCTCTTCTCGCTGCCGCGAAGGAAGATGGCAGCAACAAGGTGCCTACCTCTGTGTACATATCTCCGGCTTCTCCGTGATCATGTTTGCGTGGGAAGTGATACACAGAGCAGAGTTTCTTTTGTTTGACGTTCTAGAAGCTCCTTGTTCAGAATCTCCAACCCTGAAACGGTACCCTTTCTTTAATTTACTTATAGACTCACTAAAATAATGGCAGAGTAATGCGGAATTGTAATCACGGCTTACAACAAGAGTTCATTGCGCAATGCATGTGACTGTATGTGATGTTGGACGAAGTCGTGTAGAGGTGACACGCGGAAGGCTGCGCGATGCGACACCTGGAAAAGAGAAGGTCTAGCCGGAATCTGGACTAGCGTGTGTACACAGGCCGTTTGTCACGTTTCGCCCTCCTTTCGCCTTCGCCATGTCATCATTGCCTTGTGGACGCCAAAACTCCAAGAAGAAATATCAGCCCTTTTCATGCCAGCTATCGTGAATTAGACACTTTCATTGCGCGTATTCGTTTAGTCTTGATTGGCTCGTCTTTCGGTGCTCTCTTACGACCGGTCGTCATCGGTGTCGCGCAAGAACGCGCCGATGGTTAACCCCACTACTTTCGGCAGCTATTCTGAGCCCGAAAGGCTGAAGCTTACTTGCATTCATACTATCAAGTGGCACTTTGTTGCATCGTGTGTCCTATTCGCTACCACTACAACAAATGCGCACTCCGGTTGTAGGTAGACACGCACCACCGACCCTGAACGACGCTGTACTATGCGCCGCTAGGGAAAACATTAAGGGCTCAAACATAGCAAGCATTTCCACGAGCGGGTAGTATCTACGCGTCTGACCGGTCCACCGGGCCTGGTCTCCACTTCCCGGTACTTACAGGAACATTCAATCAGGGTAACCCATTTTCCCCGCGTTGCTCATGTTCATTGTTCGCATCCTATAAATTATAACCACCTTCGGAGTTTTATCACAACTTGGCGAATTACTCGAGCAGACGAGAAAGATGACCGAAGAAACTCAAACACCAAAGACCTTCACCTTCCATCATGTCGAACTAGGCCCTATGAGTGGCATCGTCACGCCCAGCAATGTTGTTCAGTTTCGCGCCATACCATATGCTACGATCTCAGCTCGCTTCAAGCAGTCTGTTCTTGCAGAAACGCTTGCGGGCAAAAGCGATTTCATAGAACATGGGTAATGACCTCTCTTCACAGCCGGGTTGGCTTACGCTCCAGTATTGGTGAGGGATTCTAACATTCTCAGCTACGCATGTCCGCAAGTCTTTGGGGCCGACATAATGGGAGGTGGTAACTTCCCTGGCGAGAGCTTCCCACCCAAATCCGACGAACTGAAATGCGCCATCCTCCAGCTCAATGTACCGCTCTCGTGCCTCAAAGACCAGCCACTTTCTTCAAAGCTACCTGTACTGGTCTACATACATGGCGGAGGTTTCGTGCTCGGCAAAATCGATGAGCAGCACAACACAGCTCTTATGGTGGAGCAATCTATTCTCGACTCTCAGCCCGTCATCTCAGCGAGCATACAATATCGTCTGGGTGCGCTCGGTTACTTGCACACCCCAGAATCTGGAAACGCAAATCTCGCTCTGAACGATCAGCGGAATGCACTGCTTTGGATACAAAAGTTCGTCGAAGGATTCGGAGGAGACAGAAAGAAAGTTACAGTGTTCGGCGAGTCTGCTGGATCCATGTCAATATGTGGTCACATGCTGTCTGCTCCTCCATCATCAGGTCCGCTTTTTCAACGAGCAATTCTGATGTCTGGTATCCTCGGGCCGACGACGGCACCATTATCACTTGAGAACGCAAGCAAAACTTACAAGAACTTCTTGCAAAGAGTTGGCATTGAGGAAGAAGGAGAGGCCGGCCTTGAGCTACTACGTCAATTGAACGTGCAAAAGATCGTCGATGCATCTTCAGGATATCGCGCGGATGGTGGCATGTGGCTCTCTGTCCAAGATCCAGGATGGTTTGGTGATGCATCCGGTACCGTGACTTGGGATCGCATTCCTGAGTTGCTTAGCAAGTGCGAGTGGGTCAACGAGATCATGCTGGGGAATACGGGCTTTGAGGTAAGACGCCCTTGCATATCGGTGCGTTTGGTACAAGAAGCTGACTCGGACATACAGGGCACAACTTTCATGTCGCAAATAGCCGCTGTCAGCCCGGACGCTTTTCTCACTGGTATTGCAACTCAATTGGGCGAGAAGGGCGCGGAGCTTGTTGGTAAAGCTTATGATGTGACTCCGAAGATTGACAAGAATTTGTTCTTGACAGCAGGTGCGCGTTGGATGGGCGATGTCGTCTTCGATGGTGAGACGCACTCCAGTACCGTGCAAAATGCGTAGCTAATCGCTATAGCGCCCACTCACCAACTAGCACAATACCTCACCCAGCACACGAACAAAAAGGTCTACCGCTACGTCTTCGACGTCCGCAATCCTTTCCCTAGTAGTCCCCTCTGGCAGCAGGCACATCACTGGGTTGACGTCTACTTCGTGTTCAAAACATTCCAGTTCCGCTACCCGACTCGAAGACTTAAGGACATCTCCACCCAACATGCGCAAATTTGGATCGGTTTTGCGAACGGAAGTACACCATGGAAAGAGTACAAATATACTGGCAACGGAGACGAAGTGGTAATGGTCGCGGATGAGAGAGATGGCTGGGTAGAAAGGACGGTTGGAGAGCATGAAAAGTTGGTGGATAACACCTGGCGGAGGTGCGAAGCGTTGTTTGAGAGTTGGGACAGTATGAGAGGCAAAGAGTTCTCGCCGTTTGACATCGACCCTATGAAGGCGAAAAAGGCACCCTAGGCCAAAGGTTTTATCCGCTGCTACTCAATCATTTTGAGTCATATCAGCGCTAGGCCTTATGTCGCTTAGCGCCGCTCTCCTTCCGCATGAAGACCCTGCGAGCCATTATGCCCATCGTCTTTCCAAGTGTATTAATACCCGTGCAAGCCTATGAGTTCGAATTGGATCCCTACAGACTTCAAAATGAGTAATCAAAAATCCTCAATACCTGTTTCGCGATTCGCACTTCTCACACCTCGCCTCATCCTTGTGCCCACGCCATTGGCCATCTCTATAGCATCTTACGTCGCTCTCTACGCTGATCTTCATGCCGACGCTGCCTTCTGCGAGATGGGATTTGGCAGTGCTTTTCCCGTCCAAGCACGAACCCAAGAACAGATGCAGCAAGTAATCGCAACTAGAGATATCGCCCGATCCTGGGACAAGAGAGCGATGGGCGACTTCGCAGTGGGCTGGCGACCGAAGGACGAACTTGGAGAAATAAAAGGTCAGCCGTTAGTTGAATCGAGCGAGAAAGCGCAAATCATCCATGAACACGAGATGGAAAGCATTTGTCGGACGTTCGATGACGTCGAATGGCTAGGTTACGCGGGTGTCCGGGACGCTACCACGACGTCTCTTCCTCCACGTGACGCTTCAGATGCTCCACTACCACCATGGGAAGAAATGATCGAACTGCGCTACGGTGTTGCGCCAGCGTGTTGGGGCCAAGGCGTAGCTCGCGAGGCCGCAGAAGCAGTCATGCAGTGGGCGGCCACTGAGAGGGGCGTAAAACGATTCGTCGCTGAAACTGAGAGGGGGAATGCGAGAAGCGGGAGGGTGTTGGAGAAGATGGGGTTTAAGAAGAGTGGCACTGGGTATTGGAAAGATGAAGATGAGGTGGAGTGGGAGAGAAACGCTGCGAGTCCTTGATAGCGCTCGGTGAATTATGCGCATACTTTAAAGATCTATCTTGAGCAAATTGGAGCCGTCTTACGTTCATAATAGTATCCAGGTACCTTCCGCCACTAATGGTTCCTCACAGACATCGAGGCCGATTCGTTGTAGCTTGCTTTTGACCATTTCTTATCACAGTTCTCCATGGAAAAGAGACTGCGGAACGCCAAGGCCTCGTTCCGCCTGTATTGGTGCAGGCAGATTCTCTGCTTTCTTCCGCTTACGCTGCCTGCCTAATTCTTTCTCATCTGCCTCATCTAAAGCCACATCCACTATTGGAGTCAATTGCCTCGACCTTGCCAGGCAATGGCATAACTGAACGCGGATGCTACGCTCTTGTTCAAGGAGAACCCCTCTCATTAAGCCTTTTCCGATAGCAACTAGATCATCCAGGTCTTTCTTACGGCCGGCGAGAGAGGGACCTTTGAATATACCATAGATGTAAACTCGACGCAAGCTCTCGCACTCGATCAGAGGCCGGAGTGCAGATAGACCCAGTATCCGGTCTAAAGGACGTACTGTGTGCATGGTAGTCCGATGATGATTATAGTTGAGTACGGTGGGGTACCAGATTGCAATACTGATAGTGAAAAGGGATTGAGAAGCAGCTGCGAGCTCCACAGTAGGGTTCCTGGTCGAAAGTGGTGCTGGCGAGGATCTGAAACAATGCTCAAGAGCAGAGTTGAGGTTTTTAATCATCCGTAACCCTTTACCACGAGGGATCGCGACCAAACGATCGTAGAACCACGTGCCGCCGCTGCTCTTCTTGAAATCGAGATCAAACCGGCCCGTGTGCTCAAGCATGTGGACGATGATCACGCCTTGTAATTGTTTGCAAGTGAGAGCTAGAGCAGGGATCCAGCTTGCGAGATAGCTGGAATTCCCTGGTTGTGGAAACAACGTAGTCTCGCTCTTGTCGCAAAGAGCCAACGAACCTTGGTAGATCCACATGTAACAACATTTACCCCAGGGATTGTGATGACAATCATTGCTCAGTCGTGTTTCTTGACGTACCTCAAGATGATCCTGGTGATAAACAGCCTTTCGAAGTTCAGCTGGGAGTTGCAAGAAACGAGGAAAGTCCGAGGGTGGCTCGTATGACATATGTCCTGTCACTGCTGCGGCGATGTCCTTGAAAGCCGTCCAGTCGATTGGATCGATGCTATTCTCGTAGTACAACCACTGAATGATACGTCCAGAAAACTCTCGAAATACTGTCACCTCATCATCAAACCAGTTGTCGAAGTCGTTGGTAAACCTCAGATAATGCTCAGCCGTCTTTGCGAGATCCCGGAATGCCAGCTGTTCGATAGCTACCAGACCATTCGTGCTACGGTGCATGTATGTTACCGCGGTCGGTACGTCCCGTGACAATAGGATATCAATTGAGGTCCAGTTCACTAGGCCCCGACTATTATCGCACGACCAACTCCAATGATCCACCACGGAGTACTGTTCAAGATACAACATGTCATACCAGCCTGCCATGTGGAGAAAGACTGCATCGTCAATCGATCCATATCCCATGTAATCGTAGACCACTCTTAGCGTCTCCGGTATGTACTGCTGGTGGTACGGAGCGTATGGCTCAAAGCTACATTCGCGATCTCCCTTGAGGTGTGACATGCACGTCTTCGCCATCTCTCTGAACTCTCTATCTACAGAATCTCTGTAGAAACACGGAACGTGCCGTAGATACGCCATACCTGCAGTTGACAGGCCACGAAATGCCTCGATGAGTGGATCGTAGGATGGGGCGACGGATAGGCCAGAACTGTTCAGATTTTTCGCAACAGAGTTACCTAACTCATGAGTCGGTGGGGTATCCGAAGCGAGGCAGTTTTCGTATTTGATAAAGCCTCTAATGCTTTCGAGAAGCCCCTGAAAGGCGTCGATGAAGGAGTCGTCGTCGGGCTGTTCCACGCAAGCCTCTAAAGCCGTGGCATTTTCGACAAGGAACACATCCTCAGCGTATCTATGTTCCTATCACCATCAATCAGCCAAATAAGCAAAAGACTCAGTTTCTCAGACATACTGCCACCTGGTAGGTGATGTACTTTGGCATCGTGGGTTGTCGACGTTGAGTTCAGGGTGGGGTGGTAGAGAATCGGGGTTTGAAAGTACCGAACTAGTGATTGAGCCACATATAGCTGAGCTATATATGTCTGGGACATTGTGTGCAGTGTAGATGCACTAGTAGTTTGATTCAGGCACCAGTGTATGTCACTCAGCAGTCGCGCGAGTGAATACTGCATTGACCAGCCAGCACTCCAAGCCAGTGCCTAAGCTTCTCGACTACGTACTATAAGACTAACAGCAAACCTGCCCGTTTGTCGGATCATCATTATATAGCACACTTCTATTCACCTCTTGTGTGCTCGGCGCAACATCTAGTCCAGGGTTCTTGTCAAAGAAGTTGACCGGCTTCAACCCAACCAACATCTTCTCACACGGCATGACTGGCCAATCCTCAATCCTCGGATTATGAGTTGATCCAAATGTATGCCAAACCACGACATCCTCACTCCTCACATTCGCTTCGTTCTCCTCTTTAGCTCTCTTCTCAATCGCACTCGCAATACCCTCACCACCCATGGACTGCATCGTGTACTTGCCCGAAGGAAACATCTCGTCCTCGCGGTACTTGGTCACCCATACCGCATGCTTACCGTACTGGGATCGCCGGGCGTGAAAGGACGAAGGATGAGCGAGTAACATTTGGCTGTATGAGGGCAGCAGCTTAAAACCTACTGGCGTCTGCGTCATTGAGTTGATCTCTGCTTCATTGACGATCTTGAAGACGCGGTTCTTAGTCAGATCGAGGTCGAATCCGCCTTCGCGTTCGATATAACTAGTGCGAGTCTCGTAACCGACGCCGAAGGGGTTATGCACATCAGGATCATGGATGGGCATTGAGTGCGACTCTTCGATTACGACGGAGTTCTTGTGACCGTCAATAGCTGGGTCGATGCGCAGACAAAAAAGGTGCTGATGATAGGGTGCAAGCACGCCCGGCGCTACAATCGTTCCGAACGGTGGTTCGGGCTCTCCGAGGGCGATGGGTGCGGTTGAGAGGATGCCGGTCGCCCGGACTTCATAGTGAATCGAGGCATCTTGGCCGAAATTGAAGGCAAAGATGTACTCGTAATTGCTTACAGTGATGATCGTTTGCAGAACAAGGATGCGTGAGCGTGCAACTACGGCATGCCCGGTGCGGAAGTTGGTATGTTTCCAAAGTATGCCATCGTCTTGTTCATGTAGGCATACTACGTTGGGCAGCTTGAGCGGGAGGCCGGAAGAGGTATTATGCCAGCCGTCAAAGTAATTAATAGTGCCTGCTCCATTTTCAGTATTACTAAAGCTCTCCGTGATGTGGGAAGACCTACCAAGGCAGTCACAACCGAGTTGCAAGTTGTTCGCATTGATACCTGCACCATCATTTCCCAAATCAAACGCCCCCTTCCTTGGATACGGAGCTCGTGGATCTCCATAGGGGACAAACATCTCCGCCAAGGACAGGCGGTAGAACAGGTTCCGCCCACCGTATCGAATGTCATGCAGAGTCAGTCCTTCACGATAATTGAATCCCACCCTGAATGTCCACTTTTCCCAAGTGACCATTTGACCATTGACCTGAAACGATGGACCCTCTGGCTGATTAACCTGATACGGTTTCGTAGTGGTGCGAGGACTGGGTCGTAGATCCGGATGGTACTCGCTCGCATCCGCCGCATGGATCTTCTGGCGATCAAAAGGGCGTTTCTCATTGTGAATTTGCTCGTTGCCGGAAGAAGGCAAACGGTAGACCTTGGTGACTTCTAACTCTTCAGAGACCTCGGCGCAGATGTCGAGTGGGTACGCGTAGTAATTCGCATCCGGGTGGGCGAGAAGTCGGAGGTAGAACCAACACTGAGTTTTGAGTTAGTAATAGTGGGTGTTTACGCTAAAACTTCAAAGTAGTACCATTGAGATGCGGCGAGACATGTCGTTTGCGCCATCAGTAGCGTAAGCCCAGGGTTCAATGATCACAGATGCTCCTTCTGGTAGATCGAGCGTCTTGATCTCGGCCTGAACTTTTGGGTCGGCCATACACGCTGCTTCGACCTCTTTCATGTACGCCGAGTCGATGTACGAGTGCTTTCCTTCAAGATGCTGCTGCTTGATGACATCATTGCTGTCGATAGCAACAATGAGTTCCAACAGGTCGATCGTCCCCTTCTTGCTTCTAGAAATCACCTCCACGCGAGCGCACCGACTAATGTTGGGTAGTGTTTGACCTCCCTGATGCTCCGTTTCGAGGTATGTGATCAGCTCTTCTTTGAGTGGCTCTCTCAAGGTGATGACCCGAAAGTTTAAAGTCTGATCTTTAAACAATGATTGGACCACATTGGCGGCCTGTGTTTGTGTTAGAGAACTGATCAGAAAGACTGTACAGTTTGACCAACCTTCGTTATTTCCTCGGGCGTAAGAGGGTCTAGCGGATGGGGTACGGACGGCATAGTTCTGTCTTGTAAAGGCGTCAAGATATAAGAGCAGTAGAGCGGCTAAGAAAAAATCTCGATATTCTAGGGCCACAAGAACAAAGGGAATCAAGAGCCTCTTATAGGAACCTCTGGTCTTGGTGGTTTGCGATAGTGCGTGCTTCATGATTGGTCAGGTATGACCTCGGAGTTTTAGCGCGGAACCATTCGCCTGCGCCTGCCTCCAAAGGTTCGCTTCGGCCATCATCACCTCCAAAGGTAACAAGCATCCCACAATACCGCACCTTCAAAGGTAACCCGGAGTGGGGGTTTCGGCACTACATTGGCGCCTTCGCAATGTACTAGGTAGCATGACGCTGGTTACGTCACACGTTCTTCGGCCTACAGTTCGTCAGTTGCGGTATGCAAGAGTTTAGCCGATCAAGGAAATGGGTTCATAGAACTTACGGCTGGTATCACAGTCTATTACCCCCAAAGCCTCTTTCTCTCCGCATAAGGGTACTCGTTAGGCTTTGACTACTAACGATGATAACAGGGTTATGGTACGTCTTCTTCGCCTACACGTGGTAATCCGCAGCACTTGGTAGCGCAAGAGCACCAGAGTATGGACGTTCACTGTCTGTCATCTACAAGGCTTACCTTCTTGTGTTACTCTGTCCAACCCATAGCTGACCAACTCGAGCTATGGGGGATAATGTAACCAGCTTCACGCGCAATTAGTGATAGCGAGCCATTTTGACGTACGCACTGCTCATCCGTGAAGCTTAGATTGCCGCAATGGACGGAGTGAATACAGCATCAATCTATCCCGTACTCTGAGTCAGAGTTTTGGTTTCTGCCTTGGGATCAGATTAGCCCTTGGTTGCATATGAATCGGCCCTTATAGGAGAAGAGTCCCCTATACACACCATTGTAGCCTCCACTCTTTTTATCGATCAACCCAAAGCATTCAAACACCACTCGACTTATAAGTAGCAAAATCAAGTTCTTCCTAGCTCTTTCTAATTTTTATGGTAGCTACCATGTCTTCTTGGGACTACGACGACTACGACGACTACGACGACTACGATGACTACGACTACTATGCTTATTATGGCTACGATGACACATCGGAAGCTTACGAAGAGCCATTTCCACTACATTTTCTCCCTTTCCGCAACCTTTGCGAAGCTTCCATGGGCTACCTAGACACGCAGGAAGAGTACCCTCTCTACGATGCAACGATGATCGAGTTTATTGCCATCGCTGATTCCGCTGTTGCCGGTACGGCCTACGTCTATGAACTCAAGTTTCACAAGTTCATCGTTCTACCGCCCGAGTTACGTCTAAAGGTCTACACGCACTATCTGGACACCGCGCGCAGCGACTCGACACTGGCGAAGCATCTACACGTCGACAGGTTCAACAACCCATGTTGCACCTGGCGCTGGCCCGAAGACCTCATTATCTGCGACCGACATTCAGGGAACGAGCTTCCCACAGCCAAATATGCGCCCTGGCTCCCTAATCTCGCCTTCGCGAACAAACAACTCTTGGGTGAAGTCACCGTTTGCATGCTCTCGACAACCAAATGGTTCGACTTCAAATACGAGGAATACAAGACCTTCAAGGTCGTCCGTTGGTTCATGGACTTTCTTTCCACCTTCCCCACTGTCATGGTCGATGGTGTGGCTACTACGGAGGCTTTCAAGGCCATCAAGCGCATCGGCTTTCCACATGCCTCCAAGTACAACGAGCAACGTATCGGATGTGTCGTCAACGAAAAGAACCCCGACATCACCTTAATGCTCAAGTGTACGAAGCTCGATACAATCGCAATGGTGTTTAACTGGCGCCAGCTCGTCAACAACACGCACGCCCGAGAGCCTCGCGATCTACATGACTTTCTTGACTTTTTCCACTTCGAACCGATGCTTGAACACAAGAACGTCAACAATATTCATCTCGAGGGCGTGTATCCCAGGGAGGAGGAAGGGCAAACTATGGCTTGCTTGTATGCGTTTGGCGAGTGGCTTGTGAAGGGGTTCAGGAGACGGGGTCGGGAGGTGAACGTTCATGTGCAGAAGCGGTGCGGCCCATTTGTCGGTAGGACCGTGGGACCGAAGCTTGTGGTAGATGAGTAGGTAGCGAAGGCTGGGTAGGAAGCAGGCCTAATAATGGGTTTTGGCACCATTTTGATGCAGGCTAAAGACACTTAGATGTACCTTCATTTGATGAGCTCGGAAATACAACGGGAAGTACGATCAAGGAAGGTAAACATTGCGAGTCGCTCTCCGGTGCATGCACACTATGGAATGGTGTCAATCAAACCTTCATCGAGTGAACGATAGAGTTGTGATAGACAATATAATCGTCATTTTGGATTGGGGGGTTTCCCCACTTTCTATTTCCTGTTCATCTACAACCGCTCCCTTAGTCCTCGCTACATGATCACTGCTTTCCTCTCCACCTCCCCCACTCTCCAGCGAATAAGTTGAGAATGCACATTCTTCCCAAACTACAGATAACAAACCATGAACCAACCTCCAGAACAACTGGTTTTTCCCTGCATCCCTCCATGTATAATCTGATCTCCCTTCCACTCATCTACGAAAACGCAAGCCAAGCCCCAAACGCCGACGCTTCAACCAGCAACAACAAAACGCCCATCGCCATTCCACTCCCAACACGTTCACTCGGGCCCATCATCTTACTTTCACCCTCTCCTCTGCTAGCATTCTTATCCGCCACATGGCCCAAGAAGATCCACCCCAAAGCCGCCGCAACACTAACCCCAATCAGAATCGTCATGACAACCAGAATCCTCACTTTCGAAAACGCATACACCAAATTCATCATAGGAACCTCTTTTGATATCTCTGGAGATGGAGAAGGCGCGAAATCGGTTGAATGTGTGGCTGCAGCGCGGCGCGCCCAGGTAACCACTAAGTACTTCTTCCTGCCATTAGCGGGATTTTTGTACAACTTCAAAAGATGTGTTACGGAAGGGTGGGGAGGTGATGTTGTGTATGTCGTGTCTTTTTCTACGAATTCAGTTCGTCGCGTAAATGGTGGGCTGTTGTTGACGTCGTCGTTGCTGTTGGCGTTGTTCACTGTGATCCTACGGCAGCAACCTGAGCGACGAACAAATCTTATACCCGTCAATGTCCTCGCGCTGAAGCTGAAGAGATTCCCAGTCAGTTCGCGGTTAGCTGCTCGTAGTTTTTTGGCGAAAGCTTCGTCGTCAAAGGAGTTATCGGCGCTGTGGTTCCTCCAAGCCGGATGCGGATGAGTCTTCTTCTTTTCGTTATTGGTGCTACCGTAATCCGAACAGCGAGTCAGGACAGTAGCTGGTACGAGGATTTGTACTGACCTTCCCTTTCTATTCCCCCTTCCATATCCTCCTGTTTCTCCACCATCTCCTTCACAGCCACAACACATCTTCCCCATTCCCCAGGTCCAACGCTGCAGCCCAACCCATATAGCCAAACCATCGGTCTCCTCTCTCCTGCTTCCTTTTCCTCTTCCACTACCCTTCTCCTCGTCATTCTTACACCTGATCAACCCCTGCGCACTCTCATTCCTTTCCCTCCGGCTTCTCAGATCCAAGCTCTCCTTGGGATTCGTAACAAGCCCAAGAACATTTTTTCCTTTCCGATCGTCATACGGCGTTTTAACCTCATTCGGCAGATAAAGTATACATTCCTCGCGGAAAAGACTCGTACGCGCCGAATCCAAGCTAGCATATTCCTCCGTATTACGACCCGAGTTGAGAGGGGGGAAGCTAGGATGCCTCACACCACTTTTATTGTAGCTCGGTTGAGGAAACTCGGGACTAGTCGCCGTGAAGGGGTTCGGGGTGTTGTTGATCGTCTCCCCAGAAATTAGGTTCGCACCTCTTGGAACCCCATTTCCATCTCCATTCATTCCTGTTCGAGTCGATAACGGCGATAGTGTGACTCGGCGGTTCGCTGAGAATGAGGCTGTCGATTTGGGCCATGATGTCGTAGTTCCTGAATTCAGGTAACTGCGACCTGCGGCTGCCCTATCTATATCTCCACTAGGTTTTGGATCCGCATTCAGAGCTTCTAGAGCGCGCATAGTGTGGATGTGAGCGTTGATGATAGAATCCGTGAGTATGCTATCGGATGTCGATGTTGATATATTGTTTGGGTTTGACGTGGTGCGCCTGTGGTAGCTACCTCGGAAAGTAGAGGAGAAAGTGGGACTTTGCGGCAGGGGCGTGAGTGTGTCTTGGACGAGATTGTTCAACCGCGGGGAGAGGGGTGATATGGGGTATGCGGGAGATGCAGGAAGAGAGTCGTTGTAGCCGCTGAGTATGGAATGCCTGGGAGAATCGATACTAGATCTAGAGGATATAGTGTCTACCAAGCGTATGCTTTTTTGGTTCAATCGTCGCAGAGACATCTGGCGCGCTTGGCTTGTTGTTCTGCTGTCGACTGCTTCGGAAGTATGCTCTTCGTTGATTCCGCTGTAGTCTGAACTGTTTACCGGTAGACTTGTAGTGTTAGGTAATGAGGTGATGGTGCTCCGGTGTCGACTTCTTCCACGTGGTGTGCTCCTGTCATCGCTGTTTATATCGTATGGTCGATCTCGGTGACCAGTTCCAGAGGCTGAAGTAAAGGTTTGCGTGAATCCGCCTGCGCTGTTTCCACATTCGGACTCGGATGAGCCATCATCGAAGAAATCTGCGCTAGGTATGAGTCGGTTGTGCATGGTCTCGGTCTCGCTCATGGAAGGATGAACAGATCCGCGTTTCGTAGGTGAAGCTTCGACAATGTGCGGCAAGTATGCCAGTGTAGGAGACAATCTTTCGAGCGGGTGATTAAGAAAGATAGTCCCTGTCGAGTCCAGTGGACAAGATAGAATCACAGGAAGTGCAGGGTCCACAGGGTGCTGTCTAAGCGGATCGAATCTCTCAACTAACCTCAAAGCCGACGGGGGCTGTGCGCTATCCATCCTGATATCTCTCACCACCATCTCAATCCGTGTCGAAGCAAGATCAGCCACTCATCCGCGCGTCAGCAGGATATCCCCTCCACCTCTTAAAAAGATCGACACGCATATCTAGCTTGTCTCTGAAACACACACATCATGAATACGGGAACCATGTAGCTAAGACAAAGACAAGTCAAGGCATGTTGACGCGGGGTCGTGGCGAGTGTCCGGAGAATTAAACAAAGAGGACAAAGAAGGCACGCATAAAGAGTTGGGGATCTACATTCAGCGTGTTACCAACTCCACATCCACGGTAATTGTTCGTCAATCAGATGTGAGATGTTGTTGGTTCGCTGTTGTTTCGGGCGCAGAGAAGCGAAGAGGGTTGCGGTTGCAGGTGCATTCCGTTGGACCCTCCCATCCCTTGCTCAGATCACATGGCCACCGTCAGAACTAATCCATTGGATTATCAAAGGGAAAAGGTGGCGCAGTTAGAGAAGGAATCTATTCGCAAGAAGATACGGACGAAAGGGACGAATCCTGTCTAGAAAGCAGCCCCTTACCTACTCTATACATAAGCGCTGGAGACGTGAAACCTAAACAACGCCATACGCAATGCCACCAACATCGTGTCCTTGGATCAACATAAGATGTACTGGACTCGTAACCATGAAAGAGATAAAAGCGTCATCCGTGGAAAATTGTATAGAGGGCTTGGAAGGATGCCTACTCGCCGTCGCGGTCGAACATCTTGGTCATTGCCTTTTGGGCAAGCTCTACGCCGGCAAATGTGGCAGCGTTGGCAGGCACGGCTCGTGCCATGGCAGGTCCAATACCAGGGAAGAAAGCCTTGAGACCGCCACTCGCGTGGATGCCTTTGATGGTTCCGCTGATTGTTGGCCGGCCTTCCGCACTCTGCAATCGCGACTTGATAGTGTCAACGGGGAAGACGGGTATCCACATGGCGATACCCGCAGCACCACCAGCAACCATGACCGCACCCATACTCAGCGATCCAGGTTGTCCCGTAACAGGGTCTTTGGGCGTGAGACTACGTTTAACGGTCTCGTATGTCGCAAAGTAAAGCGCTGATCCGGGACCATCACGCGCCAGTGTCATGGCAGAGCCACGGTATACTGACTTGATGCCACCCTCCTTGTATAACTGCCTCACAACATCCATACCACCAGAGTACCTAGGCTTCTCGCCGGGAGCCAGGGTCTTCTGTCCCTGAATTTGTAGAAGCACTTTTACGCGCTCGAAGGGGGCGGTGATGATGGTCATGGGGATGGCGCTGAAGAAACCAGCGGCGGAGACCTGTGCGACGCTAAATTGATTGTTTTCGACCTTTGAGACACTGGAGACGAGTTGCTTGCCGAGATCGTAACCCCAGAAGGATACAGCGACTGTCAAATATCAGCTCGTGCTCCATCTCATCGCCCATGCCGTGCTCCTTCTTGGGTACTCACACATTGGCGTAACACCAACAAGCGGCGCAGAAACACCCGCGTACAACCCCCTAGCAAGTCCCTCCTTGGCGATGGTTTTCTTCACAACGTCCATGGCTCCTGTGTAGACACCCTTCTCCGCAGTCTGCATGCGCACCTTGACCAGATCGAAAGGGTGGCCCACAACAACAGCAAACACACCACCCACACCTCCAGCTAACAGCGCCCGCAGCGACTGCAGCGAGGACTTGGACGCAGCCTTGACATCTTCCTTGAGCTCCGCTGTGTTGGGTAGCTTCTCGATGACTGAATCCGTCGTGTTGGACATGGTGGGAAGCTGTGGTGGGGGTTCGCGTCCGTAGGTCCGGAGTGGGATGAATCGATTGCGCGTCGCAGGACCAGATATCAAGACTGAAGAAGCTACCTGAAGCAAGTAGGAACCTATGCGACTAACTCCCCACAACACGGAGAAAAGTGAATATTCGTGGACACAAAGTGGGAGCAGGCGAGCGTAGTTCAGGCATGTGCAAGCTCCAGTGCTCCGGAGAGCTGGGCTTACGTCGGTCCAGGATTCGGCTGGCTGGCTATTTCCCACTTGCCGAGGCTGATCGGCGCCGAACAACCCGCGCACCTCGTCTTTCTACACTTACCATTCCATTGGCTCGTACGAATCATGTGACAGGATTGAGGTGTGCCAAGATATTCAGAACATAGTGTTTAGTCGTTCAAAGAAAAGGAGGGTGCAAGGTGAGTCTTGGAAGGAGTGAGAAAGAGGTTTGGCTTCACATGCCAGAAGCTTCGATCCTCTGGTCCAACGGTGCGAGGCTGCTAACATTCTGTATTCGGCATCATCCCACTTTCCTTGTCTTGAAAAAATGTATATATAGAGGGCATCTGTTGCAGGTATCGAGCACTTGAGAGGAATCTCGAAGCGCGCTTCGTCTAACGAGCTATCAAGTGCCAAAAATTACAACGTAGTCAGACCTATGGCGTAGATTCTTTCGTTGCGACGACCGACATCAACATTCTTCCCAGGACGAGGCTTCTTAACCGGAGCAGTTGAGGGAGCGGTGGGATCCTCAACACACACACGCACATGTCTTTTCCTTGGTTTATATGAGGTGCTGAGGAAGACAAGCAATCTTACTCCCCGCGAACCACCTATCATCAAGCAAATCGGCATCAACAAAGAAAGTATAGATGAACGAAGAACAAGAACCAGAGAAGTGATAGTAGGAGTAAATTAATAGAGGTGAATCATTACTTATATTCATTATTACCTTAACCGGCCATATATATATGTCTGCCATATCTTAATCATCTCTATACATCACCAAATATCGTTGCTTAAATACCGTTGAAAACTCAAATTCTCAGAAAAAAAAAAAACAAAACGCAAACCAGGCGTCGTCGTCGTCGTCCAATTCTCATCAATCAATCCCTATTGATGACCCTTAGACTCCTCCTAGGATTCAACAGCACACCCCTGGCGCCCCAGAAACTAGGTTCTTGGCCATCCAAAAGCCCATCCACAACACTGCCCTCACTATTTCTCCTCCCCCATTGACCACCCGCTCCGGGTCCACCATACGCCGTAGCATCACCGCTAGCCCTCCTATTGATATCGAATGAGCCAGCAGCCGCGCCTCCATGGCTGCTTCCTCCAAGCGTACCCGGCGGTCTCTCCGAGCTATTCTTTCCAGACGACGAAGTAAAAGTACCCCCCTGTTTCTCCGCGGCATTGGCACGCGTTTGTACGGCAGCGGCGTGCGACTTCCAAATCTGCACCTGCCGCCTGTAAATCCACGCGCAAAACGCAAAGTATGCTGCAATAATGGCAAACACGCCTGCAATAACACCAGCAACGATGGCACCAATATTCGGTCCACTGTCCCCGGAGCTACCAGCAGGGTTTCCGTTGATGACATTAGTAATCGTCGCGCCATCTGGTCCGGTCATGGTGTACGTTTGCGGTTTCCCGGTTGCGAGGGGACCTTGTGTAGGTGTCTGGACAGGGGCGGTCAAGGTGGCGCCGCCTGTTGCTGCACCGCCGATGACGCTTTGAACGGCTTCGGGGACGGCGTAGCCGTATGATCCTTCGATGCCGGCGCCGACGCCGAAACCACGTTGATTGATTTGTTGGGCGAGGGGGTTGCCGGTGCTTCCCTTGTCCTTGGCATTGTATCCTTGGAGTGCGTTCTTGCCTGTTACAGCGGTGAATTGATTGCTCCATGCTAGGCTACTCATGTTAAAGACGTAGATGCCGGGGGCGTCGCAGCCGAGATCTGTATTGTAGCCGCCGAGGACGATCATTTGCGCGTCCCAGACTTGGCAGAGGTGGCCGGCGCGGGGAGGAGGGATGCTGGCTTTATCGGTGCCTTGTTCGACTTCGATCCAGGAGAATGAGGGGACGGAAAGGATCCACATGTCGTCTCGTTGCGTCTGAGTGCCGGGGTCTCCTAGGTCTTGGCCGGCGAACATGTAAATGTTGTAAGATGAGCCGCTAAAAGTGTTGTTAGTAACAAAATCGTATCAAGGTAGAGTTCTCGACAAACTCACTCTGCTGCAGCTCCCACAACTGTACAGGGATTCACACGATACTTAGGTGTCTTTCCAGAGGTACTTTGCTTGTACCAAGTCGATGTAGCGATATCGTAAACGTCGATAGTGTTCATTTGCGTCTACGTTCTGTCAGCAACTTACTCGTCACATGCACACGCAATCCAACTTACAAAGGTAGCATTGTCACCACCTGTCAACCCAATCAGGAGACCCTCGTCACCAAAACCAGGAACGTAGACAAGAGCACTATCCGCACGTTCAGGGAAAGACGCAGTGTTCTGCAGTCCACCATAGGTGATGTTGCGCCAGGCACCATCTGATCCAGCTGTCTTCCCATCTGCCAACGACTCCACAGCATTGTTAGTCTGTCCCGGGAACGTAAATTCCAGCAAGCTCTTCAGGTACACCCGCGGAGTCTGAATGCTCCAGCCTTCAGTCGTAAGAAAGTCCAGATGGCCAGCGAAGTAGAAGCCCCTACCCAGCGTTGGGACACTAAGACCAGCACCTTCAGCAACGCGTTGAACAGATTGCCCGGCATCCTCCGCCTCCTGGCCAGCCGATGTCTTCGGGTCTGCGTGTTCGATCCATTGCTTGCCTCCAATGTTGTACTCCCAAACTGAATTGTTCGCGGGATCAGCCTGAGGACTGTCAGAGAACTGGCCACCGTATAGCCATAGCGAATCGTGCGAAGCCCAGAGCTGACCGAGCGAAACAGCTGGTGGACCGGCGGGCTTGGGAAGACCGGTCAGAGCTGGAGAGCTGGCTTGCCAGGATTCCGTAAGATCGAGGGTAAGGAAGTCGTTGTCTGTGTGAAGTTAGCATTGCGCTCAATTCGGACGGATTGTATATTCTACGCACTCCACGTATCCTGAGTCTGTTGGCTGTCGGTGGTTCGACGGAACCCGTACATGTATAGTGTTCCATTCACGACGGCGCTTTGTCCACTCCACCTTCTACAAGCATCGGTTGGGCTGTCTTCCCGTCTGGCAAGCATCGAGCGCTCGACATTGGCCTGGATTGCGTGCGTTGGGATAGCGCCACCCCGTACTCCGATATGTTTGAGGGGATTGAGTTGGATAATTGGTAGCATCAATGCCAGTAAAACACTGAAGAGGCCTAATCGGTAGAGCCTCGTTGGCATGAATGATTGCGAAGTGGTCGTGTAGGATTCGTTTGCCTCGTCGTCGTCGCATACCGATTCCCAATCATCTTCATCGTCAGCCAACCTCTCCCCCTCGGCGTTGAAGATACTGTTCGTACTCCGAAACCTCAGCATCTTCGCCGGCCGCAACCGCTTCAAAGTCTCTCCATGCGTCGGCACCGGGCTCCGTTCCTCCTTTATTTTATTTTCGTCCACCAGCCCAACCTCTGTGAATATCGACATGCGGCGGCCCTCGGCACGTGTCGCAGGTTGTGCTCGAACTCGCTCCATGGCTAACCAAAGTACCACCAAGTATTATTGCTGCGCAAACCCCGTGCAACGCCTTTGGTCGCGTGCGTGCTTGCAATGTCGTAAAATACGGCCGTAAAGCGTATACGAATTGTGTTTTCGCAAAAAGGGCTTCGGTCGACAAGTAAGATGTTGGGAAAGCGGGTAAATGGTCAAAATGACGTCTTGTTGTTCAGGAACAAGGTTGGCACCCTTGACCGTTTTCTATTCGACGAGCGAGTGAGGAGACGGGACACAACACAACCGGGCACTACATGCGCCGACGAAAGAGAGAGGAGGATAGTTCGAGGGGTGGTGGCAAGGGACCCGGTAACCGCAGGACGCTGATTTGCGTATCCTTCAAACAGCCGGAATGACAATCAGCGAGAGTTGTGTGTGAGCGAACGACGACAGCAGTACTGCACTTCGTAGCGAGCAGGGCGACGCAAAAGAAGACGCGCAACACCGCACGAGAATGAATCAACAGCAGCAGATGATTAGAATAGTACGAGTAAGATGGAAGGGGAAGGCAACGCCCACATGTGGAGTGCATACAGCAAACGGGACACGGCCTCGCCTCATTGAACCCGACAAGAGACGCTGACTGGCCACGGGTAGACAAGATACGTCATGGAGGGTGCCGGTAAAGGTGACGATCGATAATCCTGATAAATCGCGATTGGCTTTCAACGTCCACGCGCGAGCCGCATTGGTCACGGCACGACAGTTGCAAGGAGAGAAATGTCAGGGATACGCTCGAGGTCGGATAGCGGCGTAGCATGACCTAAGCCAAGCCATGTGGACCCTAAGCAGGGAACAGCCCACCATTTGTTGTTGTGACGAGGCGGTAATGCTCTCGAGGACTTTTACGATGCCTCGCGCATAATATTCTCTCCTTCCTCTTCGAACGTCTTCCACATTATATTTCGAGGTTGAGCTATCAACGAAGATGAGGTTTGCCCCGCGGCGGAGCCACTTTCAATCAATCAATCCAATAGATCACACTACCCACCATAACCCGCGTTCGTCGTATTGTACTCGGACCAAGACCCTGCTAATACGCTGACAGTACGGGTCCCCCGGAGATTTCGATAGCCTGTGCAGCGTGCAGTAGCTCTGCGTGCTTTCCAATGTGTGTGGAGCGTTTCGTGACCCCTAAATTCCCATCTTTAATTCTATTTTAACGCGCACTCCTGCATGTGTCACGGACAACGGGTGGTGGAATGTACTTTTTACCGTTGTTGGCGCACTGGGCGTAAGCGCGTTGAGAGTGGCGGTGCTGTGTGGATGAAACGCTTCCCGTAGACATCCACCGCGTCTAGAACAAATAACATCGCTTGTGCACTGCACGTCGCCTTCTGTTGTCAATGTGATACAGGGCTTTCGCTAGGCGTATCCATGTAAATACATATGGCGGCGACGCGCTACGCACGCGAATGATTATCGTGTGGGTAACAATGGGGGAAGGTGCCCAGGTGAGATCTCGGGTGCCAACCGACGCGATGTGGCGAATGGGGTTAGCTTGGGTTGTTGGCTTCCTTTAGTTACAGAGGCAAGAGGTCACGATGAGGGAAATACGAGGCTGGATGGGTCATTACATACTATGGCATGCATTATGCTAAGCTTCGTTGAAATAGTAACTCGCGGGTGACTATGTAGATTTATACTATAAAACACCATGTGGTACTATCGTTCCCAGTAGGCTGGACCCGATGCCTTTCCGCTGTCGGAAACGACCCTATGATTTTCTCCTACGACATATCATAGTACTCTTCAATCTCATTCCCATGTTTCTCGCTGATGAAATCCATAATATCATCAACCGTACCCGGGAGATCATCCACATCAACCTCTTTGTCGTTATCACGGAGAAGTTGAACCATCTCCTCTAGAGCCGTTTTCAATGTTTGCGCAGACCAAATATAGTTCCGATCTGTTGCCACTTCTTCTGCGACTCCTTCCCAGTCAATTTCTCCTTCCTCTTCGTCGCGACGCTCTTGGAGTTTGGCGATGAGGTCGTAGAGGTCGCCCCATTGCATTTTGGTGGTGTCGGCTATAGTTGGTTTTCCACCATCTGGAATGTTGGGCGTGCCGCTGGTTTGATTCCCTTCGCCGGATGGCTCCTCGTGCTCTTCTTGCCATACAGCATCCTTGGCGTCCTCTGGCTGATCATCGTCCATGTCTTCTGCTGGTCCATTGTGCCTAACGCTGGGCTTATTGTCTTCCTCACCAGAGATGTCCTCGTTCTCCTTTTGCGATGCAGCATCACTACCCTCTTCTAACTGGTCGTCCATCGTGTCTTTTGTCGGACTGTTGGGCGCAATGCTGGGCTGATCCTCCTCATCCTCGGCTGGGTCCACAATCTCATTGTCGTTCTGTACGCTTTCATTGCCATCATCGGGATATTGATCAGGTAGAATGTTACGCGTGACGCTGTATGGGGACCCTATACTAGACAGGTCCTCGTTCTCCATCAGCGCTGCATCATCACCGTCCTCCTGCGGTTCACCGCCGTTCGCATCCCTGACTAAACCGGGGTTGACATCGTCCAAAGGCTTGTCATTGCTCTCTGCATGCTCAGACTGGTCGTCTTCTCTAAGCTCCAGATCTTCAACCGATTCCTGAGACACCTTCGACTTGCGACGTTTCTTGAGTTCGTCCGATTTTAGATCATCAGTCTTCCGTGGTCGTCCACGCTTCTTTAGTGGCGGCGAGGTGTTCAATCCCTGGCCAGCACGAACCTCGTCCTCTTCTGAGTTCTCAATGTCATCTCCTATCGTCGTCGAGCGAGACTTCTTAAGCTTGTCGGATTCCACAACTTCGTTCCTCTGCGATTTTTTGTTCCTCTTCCTTGACGGCGAGCCTCTCGATTCCTTGTTAGCCTCTCTCTCCTCCTCTGAGTTATCAACAATGTCCTCTGTCTCAGTCGTGCGGAATTTCTTGAACTTCTTTACCACCGAGCCCTCGCTCTTCCCTGGTCGTCCACGTTTCTTTGGTAGCGGCGCGCTGTGGCTTTCATCCTCGTCCGAATTATCGATAACTTGCTGCGACTTGCCATTGTGATGCGCTTTGGGTGTTGCACTCTCGCCCTGCCGCGGTCGTCCACGTTTCCTAGGAGCTGGGTCGATAGCAGCAGATGCAGAAGAAGCAGGTTTGTGCTTTCTCGGCTTGTGCTCCACTTGGATGTGTGGCGGGGGGTCGCGCTTCTGCAAGTTCCTCCATTTTGCTACAACCTGGATCCGGCTTCGAGTGTTGTCCATCTCACGGCTGACTTGTTGCCAGCTGATGTCTTTGGTGGTGTATTCATCCAAGGGCGGTAATCCTGATTCAGCGCGATGGTCTTCGTCTCTCTGGGCGACCGTTGTGATGGCGCGCATGAACAGCTCTTCCTCCTCTGGATCCCAGCGTGAAGACTTCAGCTTATCGCCATATTGCAAGTAGTCGCGCCAACGATTCTGGCAGTCGTGCATTGAGCGATCACCCATACCTACTGAGATCATTTTCCATTTATTTGGGTGCATCGCATACAGATTTCTTAGTCGCTCGTCCTCCTCATCCGTCCATGCCCCGCTTTTGAACTGGTGATATGTCTGGCGGATATGCCTCCTCATCCTGTCAAACGAGCGTTGTATATTGATGTGCTTGATCTCATCCCAGAACTCAGCGCTCTCTCGTGCATCTTCAATATCTTGTGGAGTCCAATCGTTCTTTCCCGCTACGGTTCCATCGCCGCGGTTGAAGCCAGGGTCATGTGAATTCCATTGTATAATGTCGACAAGCTCCGATACTTCCAATCCCTTCCTCTGCTGGAAATCCTGGATAGCTCTACGGATCAGCTCTTCCTCGTCCTGGGTGAAGTCGCCGGTACTTCGCAAATCAGGAGGATGGTTCAATTCATGATCCACGTTCAGTGCCCTCTCCGCTGCAGTACCAATCTGAATCTTCCTTCTAGTATAAGTAAATTTGCCGCTCTCCCGCCGTGGTGTGGCCTTCTTCGCAGAGGTACCGTTTGATCGTCGTCTCTTCTTTTTCTCTTTCTTGTCAGACTCGCTGACATGAACATCGTGGGGCGGTGGGTCAGGTCTGTGATCTTCGTCACTGGAAACAGGCTCTCGCATAATGCTGTCCTCGTTGCCATCCTCATCCAATGGCTGGCCGGGTGTGCGAACTGGAGCAGCCGAGTCGGGAATCTCGTCTTTCGTCTTCTTCGTCTTCTTCAAACTGCCACGTGGTTTACGAGTAGATCTGTCCTTGGGAGTGTTGACTTCTCCAGCATCTCCAGGTTGTGCAAAACCATTGATGGTAGTCGCAACCCCAGTGTCCGGATTGTCGTTGTGCTCGGCGTTACCGCTGGCCTCCGTGTCCTCGCCATGTGCATTCGTGGGACGTGGATCATCGTCGGGAATCTCGTATATGTTCTTCGCTTTCGAGACCGGTGTTTGCGGCTTTTTGATTCGTTTCAATTTAGTCTTCTCGACACTCCGTAATAGGTCGCCATCTTCGTCATTGCCGTCATGAATGGAGCCGCCTTGGATAAGATCCCTTACTCTAGTCGCACTCTTTGGCTTACCAATCTTCCGCCGTTTGGCTGGTGTGGGTGTCCCGTCCACAGCTTCTATAGCAGCTTTGCGTGAATGTACGGTTTGCGACGCAGGCGCAGCCTCCGCCTTCTCAGGCAACCCTGATCCTGAATCGTCGACTTGTGAAGACTTGCGTTTGGATAACATATGTGGTTGAGAAGCTGCCTCGTCGGCAACTATGGTCATGTCCCCCTTATGAGTGATGTCTCCTTCTCGCATGGCGTCGCGACTGAGTCGATCCCGCTTTGTCTGCTTGCTCTTCTTGTATGTCCGCTTGCTTTTCGTGGCGCTAGACGGAACGACGTGGCTGGACATGGGTGATGAAGCAAGCGCGTGCGCGGGTGGTACGGCGATTTGCGAGTCTGGTACCTCGATTGCGGTCGAGTGCGTGAAGACGTTGGCGGCAGAAGATTCGGTTTCCAGTTGAGTCGCTGGAAAGGGAAACGGCGAGGATGTTGGAACCTCGCTTTCAGCTAGCTTGTCTTGGGGGGTAACCGGTGGTATTGCAATACTGTTCTTTCCAGACTTGTGCGCGCTCTTTCGCTTGCGTTTCTTCTGCAAGGGTGATGACGGGTCGTGGCTGCCGTTGGTTTGGGGGAGGGTGATGTCGTCGCCGTTGGTGCCATGGGCGGCAGCGCGCGTGCTTTCTTCGTCCATGAGCTGCTGCGATGCGGCTACATCGTCCATCTTCGGGTCTTCACCTCCAATGCGTTAGTCGTGTCTTTGCTCAAAAGGGTGCAGCCTGGTGGAGCTAAGAAAGTGACAAGCAAAGCGCGTCAAAGTCGTGTACCTACTAAAGTGGGCCTTGCGCTCGGTGGCGGGGGAAGCTACCATCGAGGCGTTCGCGACGCGACCTGGAATATGAACAGGCTGCGAGGACGACGTGCCCATCTTCTTCCTGAGATCTGTGAACAGAGCATACCCAGGGCTGGATTCGAGCATTGGCGGAGTCGTGACTGTTTCTATACGTCTTGCCATCAACTCCAAAAGTGACATGTCGCGTCGCACAAGGAATGTCTGTAGTCCCTGACTAGTAAAAGTGGAGCCACTATCTCCGGTTCCGGTACCCTGATACCCAGCTGTTCTCCCCACTCACCAATTACATCCCCCATCATGCGGGAGGCTCGCATCTCTTCGCAGTCGACTCATGTCAAACGGTTCTGGTGTTGAAGCTGAATCTTCCAAGGCCGCAAACAAACGTCCTCTCGTCGCGCCATATACGCAGCATCAAATGCACTGAACTCATGAGACGAGGATATTGTCCCAAATGACAAGACATGACTTACCCATACTCTCTAGCCCAGACGCGCAAAATATTCGCGTAGACACCAACATCGCCAGTCTGACGGAACAAATGGTCACACTGGAACACACTCGAAGCCACAGTCTTTCGAGATACAATACCACAAATAAAAGCTCGCATGGTACTGCTCCCCAAGCAAATTAAGCCTTTAACCTGCCAACGAGTGTTACATATCTTTCCATTTCCCACCCAGCAAGCAAGGCGCCGCCATGTCTTTATCAGCAAGTTCTAATTGACAACGCCATGGAGAGAGAAAAGCGCCCTTCACTCCTGAGTCCTGCTGGTCTCTTACCGAGCGACGAGTTCGAAGCCTCTTTCGGAGACGACAAGGTGTACGATGGTGATGATGATAGCCATACAGTAAGTCATGATGTGAGAACATCCGTCGAACATCCGCCTCCTCCAGCAGCGGAGAATCACTCCGCAATTTCTCAAAATACAACAGCGAATGCGACCTCGCACATCTTTTCACCAACGAACGACACCATCGCATACAGGGTTCACATACTCTGACAACCACGACCTCCTTCACATACGACCATAGGACCCTAGGTTCCATTAACTATTACTCGTTACGGTAATCAGTGTTAGTCAACCACCACGCAGCGGTCCGAGTCTGCGTACTTGGAAGACTCGCTCTAGCATGACTACTTTGCCGTCGGGTTCTTTGATATCATTGAGAGAGACAGTAAGCAACAAAGAGGTCTGGAGTGTCAATTATCACTGCACATTTCGTATTCACTAACGTTCAGGTAGAGACTCGAATAGCGATTTTAATATGGGACGGCACTCTCTATGCCACAGAACTTGTTATGCAAGTGCTCGTGGCACGAAAACCTGGCGAAGGATTCCATACCTACCAGTCCGCCTCTAACGTAGCGCCCGACCAAGCTCATCATGGCTGGCATCCCAATCAGCTAGCTCAGCATTAGGTATACGCAACAGCCGATGCGTATTGGCACCATTATCATCCACGTTGACCACCTGTGACCTAATGGCATAGTTGCCCCAACGCGGAAGGACTTTCATCCATACGTAATAATAAGCACCGCAAATGCCGAGCACCGCGATTCCCACGATCATGTAAGTGGCATAGAAAAAGCTAACGGTGCCAGCGTAGATGCCACCCACTGGAGGAATCCACGGCATGACAAGCAGATAGACTTGCGAGGCTAGATATAGGATGATGACAGCCCACCAAGCCCTAAAATCGGATCGAGGAGTACCAGACCGGTCGCGACGCCGGCGGAGGAAAATGAGTCCCGCGCCCAAAGCCACATGGAACATGGCATCTGGATATGACTTTAGCGAGACGACGAACTGGAATGCGTCACCCGCTGGGGGTGCCACGATCATAATGATGGTGAAAACCCATTTTAGGAGATAAGGACCGAGTGGTGTACCGAAAGGCTTTGTTGATACCCAGAACTCCGTCCATGGAAGCACACCTTGGCGGGCAATCTCGCGGATCTGTCGGGACTGGCCGACTAAGACGGCTAGTAGGTTGCCAAAAGAACTGAGCAAGACGCAGAAGTTGAGGGCTGACTCGGCGGCGGATCCGAAAGCGGTACGGAAGAATACAGCTGCGGCTAGCTCGCTCGACTCGATAAATACGTCCTTGGGAACGGCGGCAAAATAGGCGATGTTGCAGAGAAAGTAGAGAGTGAAGACGATTAATAGCGACGCGGTAGCGTTCTTCTTGAGAGTAGGCAGAGGATTTTTGATCTCGTTGGCCATACTGAAGGCATTTTGCCACCCGGAGAAGGCGAAGCTGATATTCACCATGGCTTGTGAGAGGTTGTATCCGCTGGAAGTAGTTCCACTCATGCCGTTGCCGTTTCTGAAGTTGATGCCGGGGTCTGTCACACTGGATACATGACCGCCAAGGATAACAAAACCTGAGATCGAGATGAAGACAAGCAGTAGTATCTTCAAAGCTCCGATTCCGTTGATCGCCCATAAAGAATACCTGTTGTGCGCGACCACGCAAATGACGGCAAACGTGTATGCGGCGATAGCTACACCCTTGAGCTCCCATTGCTCCGGCGCACGTCCAACAATACGCCACAGATAGTTGGATAATACGATAGCGTTGCTGCTGCTGAAAGATAGGAGGACGGACTGAACGGCGAAAGCTACCGGGAAGAAGTGCTTAGGTCTTGGAAAGCTCTGTTCGAGCCACACGACCTCAGAACCGCTTCGGTTGGGGAAGAAGCTGGTGAATTCCAAATATACACCGAGGCCAGCAGCGGCTAGGATAAAACCGACAACCCAGTAGATCAGAGCCAGACCCACGGAGCCTGTTAGACGAAGAATTGTACCTGGTGTGGAGAAGATACCGGTGCCGATCATATGGTTGACGTTGAGGAAGATGACTGTGAGCCAGTTGACGTGATAGCCCAGCGGTGAATGTGTCTCTACGGGCGCCCCTACAGCTTCCTGGTAGCCGGATGCGCCATTTCCAGCCGTCTGATGGACATAGGCGAGTTCTCCATCATGGATAACAGATAGTTCGCTATCCGAGTTGTTGCTGTCGGGAGCCACCTGGCTGGTGGTGGTTTGCGGACCGATCTTGGAGAGAAAGCCCATTTTATCTATCGTCTGGCGATTCGGTTAGCAGAACGATACAGTTCGCGTGATATAAGATAGCCTACAATTCTCGGTCCCGGTGTTATCTCCTGCTGTGTGAATATGAATGGGAGGGACGATACATATATCGCATCGTGGACCGTCTAAAATGGCGTGCTGTAGATTGAACAGGATTCTCATACCATGGCAAGATACCAAGGAGGTCAAATTTTGAGGGTATGTTCCTTCCTCGGCCCTATCATTTTGTCCATGCACAATTCGTGACCAGCCTGAATAATGGCATAATCACCATTACAATGGCGTTTATGGGAGTGGCGAGCAGCATCCCACGCTGTGGGAGGCTTCTCACCTTCCAGAAGTGGACCATGCCCAGAAGCACGTCATGTAAGCGTTCATTGTGAAGTGGCGGACGGTGCAGCCAAGGCTCTTAAACCACCGAAGAATGCAACCCTGCAATGTACACCCTTGCTCTCCGATGATCGCACACTGAACCTCGCTCGAGACTTGCCGAGTCACTTTAGACCAATGGCCTCAGGACGAAGCGTTGTTGAGGTACTTCGCGATATGTCGACGCGCTTGCATCATCGACGCTAACAGGCCATTCTGGCGTGCATGAGCTCCACATAATACCCGCAACGGGAGCGCATGCTCGTATCGCGTGGCTAGCTCTGGCGAGTAGGAGGATCATTTCAGTATCGACATAGGACACTTGTAAAGCCAAGTTTCACCTGATCCCCCAGTTTGGTAGAATGAACCCAAGCGTAATCATGTTACCCCGAGGTTGTGAAACAGATAGAGCGCAACTTTCTCACTCTCACCCTACGAATTGATCTATTCGGGACATCATTTTGAAAAAGCCTATTTTTTTTGTAGCTGTGTTGTGTGTTTCAAGTCATGTACTCTAACTAAAAGGTCCAATCGCACAGGACTGCGAGCATCGTACTCCGATAGCTCATACCAAAGTACTTGTAACGGTTGCTGTGATACCATGCTCGTGAATTACCATAGCATGGTGGCGTCAAAATCTACATTCCAGTCCATAGATCGGCCCAAATCCAGGCCAGATGGCCGTTCGCTCATTTCGTACTTGGAGTGCTTTCGCTGCGAGCATGCGGTTCGAGCGGGAAAGCCTGTAGCTCGGGCGTCACACCTTCATACACACGATCCCATCTTGAGGCGAGCGGAGCCGGAGTCTCCCATGCGTTCTCGGGGTCACGCAGCCACAGTCGTAGAAGATGTCTCCTATAGTCCCCAATTTGGTCAGTCATCTCATCTTGTTTGACTCGGCAGTCTCTTGATATCCTGGAGAACTCACTGCTTGTCGCCCTCATCAGTGAAGCCGTCACGCGCATGGAATATGGCTACATTGTTGATATACTGTATATCACCCTTCTCGAAATTGGTCGATACACTGAAACGCTCGCCTAAGAAATGTAAGGCATCGAGCGCCTCAGCCTGGGCTTCGGTAATTGGTGGCAGATGGCTGCTGCGCGGAAGCTGCCCAAATCCAACATAGTAACGCCTGCCATACTGGAGAAGGATCCTCTCTGGCGTCTTGCGATCTGCGCTGGCCGGCTGGTAGTAAAGTAGAGGCCGCTTCGCAAATTTGTCTTTGTCGTCTACGGTCTTGGTGAAGCTAAACGCGAAGAAGAATGTATCAGCGACTTCCGAACTTTACTGTACTCGTTTTCAACTTTGGGTAACATACAGGTCTGCTTCCCAATCTCCGCTCAATGTATGGATAAGGTCGGGCCTCGTTGCAGCCAGATGATTGTAAACACGCCACGTACTGGCAAGGCGGCTAGCGCCTCCTTCTGCCGCCGTTGAGAGCGCGAAGAGAGAGACGATATCGCCTGAGTCAGTATGGAAGACCTGCTTGTCGGCCGTATAAGCTGGAGTACCGATCTTAATCTGATCCTTGTTCTTGCCATCCCCAAGTCCAGATCTGACATCCTTGATATGTCCTATAACGACATCCGCACGCTTGCCATCTAGATAAGCGTCCTGACGGCCCCGGATGGAGCCAATGTACGAGGATATACCAGTGTAGATAATGACATTTTCCTCGCGTGTATACTTATCAACATCCAGACCACGAAGAACAAAGAAGCCGTGGCCAAAATGTAGCTCGTGGGAGAGACGGCGCAACTCAGCATGCAGATTGGGAAGAGGAAACGTCTCCTGCGTTATGTAGCCAAGGCCGAGCTTGAGGGCTATTTGGTCCAGTCGTCAACCAATTGCAACAATAACTTATCCGCTACACGGAAGGGGATCCACGCGATAGGAGACTCACACTTGAAATGGGTGACTGCATTGTCTATCTCCGCTAGTTGGTCGGCCGAGAAAACGTAAGTCCAATCGTATTTCTGGGCGAGGGACTCCCCTTCCCAAACTAGATCGCCCTTTAGCTCCTTGGGAAATCCCTCGGGGAGGGTTTTCGGGAGGTTCTCAGTCTGAGTGCGACGGGCTACACGAGCTTGGTACTTGTTCCAGTCGGGGTGATAGGAGATATCCGGCTGGCCGGGTGGTGGCTGGGCTGCGGGTGTAGTGCTGGAGACCAGGCCGAGCGGTGGTTGTGTGGCAGTGGCAGTGGCTGCGGTAGCCATAGTTGCTTTCGGATGATATTAACTAATGAAAATATCGATCCAGAGAACAGGCCTTGACGGACACGAGCTAGGCCACGAGAGTCTGAGTTAGTGCGCTTCTGTTGCGTGAAGTACTCGTTTCGAGAGACAGGTTCAGCCTATCTGACAGGCAGCGGCTGTGTCTCTGCATTATATTAGGCTTTCTGTTTTGTTGAAACATGCGAAATCGGATGACAGTCGGATGTGTTTGTTAACCGCGGCTTGGTATGAAGCACATCATCAACCCTGGTGGTGATGTGATTTCTTCGACCCACAGGAAGCCACAGCAGATCTCAATTGTAGCAGTACCCACGCACGTCACTATCGAATATGCTGGCAGCTTGCGCGGCGACTATCTGCTAGACGAGCTCGGCGAGGCTGTATGTGGAAAGTAGGCCAGGTCAGGAGTATGTTTTGGAGGGGCGTTCGCGCGCCTCGAAGAGCGCGCGGCCCGATGCCAGTCGTGGGATGACTTGTTGGTCAATGGTGCTGGAGAGCTGGGTGAAGAGGAAGACGGAGAAGAAGATGTTTGTTATACCTTGGACGTCGAGGCGGACGTTGAGGAAAGAAAGTCCGTTTAGCAATGTCAAGATCAATATAATGATCAGCAACTGTCTCCGTCTGTGTTTTTATCGGGACCAGATACTTACTACTGATACACAGAGGCCCATCTTGGAATTTACGTAGAGTAGATCACGCCAGCAGTCCTGGAGAACCCACGTGGTGAAGATGCAGAACGGGCGGAGGATTCAGGATGTATACTAGGTGTGTGAACCGCGCCTTTCTTCAACAGACTCTAAAGACAGCGTCTGGTGGGCCAAAGAGATTAACATTTGCGACACCCGCTGCCTCTCCGAGCTCTGAACCCAAATATCGCTCCAGCGCTTGTGTTCTATAGACTCATCCGAGCTATTCATCGGGCCCTCGCAGCTCGTGGTGTCCCAAGCCCACTAGGCGGGGTTCTGCTGCGGTCCGCACCGCCTGGCACCGTTGCGCTCGAAATAGCTGATCAGAGTGGTACAAGCGGGTCAAATGTCGCCAAAGTACGACATGCGTCCCGTCTTGTCAAGCAGCAGCAGGCGGTCGAAGATTTTAAAGAGGTAGAGGTTAGGACGCGAATTACTGAAGTTACTTGACATGGGAATTGGTATAGTTAGGGGTTCAGGGTGGAGTTGGACATTCTCGTCATTTGCATTCTGTATTCTACACACGATACGTCTTTATAGTCTTTGCGCGCAAAAGGCTAGTGCACCTTGTTGTTAGAGATTTGGCGTGGCATCTCGGTGTTATGGATGGTAGGGTTGGTAAAACTGTAGCTAGTCATCAACATCTTCTAATCGTCGCAACCAGTGTTGCAGTGGAGCGTCGTCCTTCATAGAAATGTATGCTTGATGCGAATCTAAGCATGTTGTTTCAAAGAGCATGCATCGCTACTCAATTCTCAAGTAAGTTCTTGCCGTTTGGGGCGGATAGCTAGGCGACCCTCAAATGCGCCATCCGCCCCTTCCACCAAACAACCCCTGCATTATCAACGAAGGATCCATTCATCGTCCTGACATCTCTTCCTCAACCGACGGGCAAGCCCATCGCGTCAATGAAAAAAAGTAGCCTGTCAGATTGCCGTCAACGTCCTGCCTCCCAGCGCGACACGAAGTCGCAAACCAGTCAGCTGAAGATCATCGCCACGCGCGCCGAAGCACCCGTATAAAGCCTCACTCCGGGACATCGAGGCTGATAGTCATCAACCAGGATGGAGATTCTGTGGCTACTTAGAGTAACTCAGAAGAGGATGCATACTATTAGAAATGATTCTATGAAGTATGATCGACATGATGAGCAGAAAGGAGGACGAGGGACGATGGGTTTATATAGGGAAACGAGAGGGTGTGCACGGAGCAGAAATGCACGGATGGTTGAGTGAGTGGAAGTTTTTTTCTTCTTGGAGAGATTGTGAGGCTCCACCGCGTTGCCGATACTCACCGGGGTGGCCTATTGAGGTGGCTGGGGATGGACTCTTTTTTGTGACTGCTCGGTTTGAGATCATAGCTTTTCGCTGTACGCGGACATGATAGGTTGCATTAGCATGATATCCGCTTTATTTGCTTGTGGCCTATGGCAGCCTGCGAGTACACTGCTAGTGGGAGATTGCATCGGCTGTTGGACAACTTCACAATCCACCATATGCCTGATAGTCGCCGGCGACGTTCGAATACGCTTACTTGAGAGGGTGCTTTTAACTCTTTGAGAGGTCTCGAACACTGGTTGTTGAGTTGGTGTTGCGGAAGCTGTACCAGACTGGGAGAGCAACGACCGAACCAAAATTTGGACGCTGGATCTGCCACTAACCCATCTAAGCCTCCGAAGACGTTACCAGAGAGGAAATGTATTTACTATCCGAGGTAACATGTTATGCGGGGTAATGCTGTGCGGGGTAACATGCTAGTCTAATAGCGTTGGGATCAATGTTCAAACGTTCCGATTGGGCTGTCAACAATCAGCAAAACTCTTGCACTTGAAATACCGAAGCTACATCCGGCCGGTCACATCTGTACCGAGCGTTGCAGTTCTATCGACTGTTCTCTCTCCACATCCCGTACCTCACCCGTACTTGGGTGTACCCGAACATGTAGTAGTCGTTGTCGCAGTATTATAATGCGTCGTAGATACAGATGACAGCCGATTATAATTGTAGTTGTGTGGTCAGATCGTAGGCTAAAGGATCGTGAAAACAAGCTCAAGGGTACCTAGATAGCAGTGATGAACCTCCTTCAGCGTCTCGCATATATTACTATCCTTATCAACCCATTGACAACTGCGTAAGCTACCAAGATACCAATAAAAGATGCTGGACTCACGATGATAGCTTCGTGAATTATGGCTCGATCGCACCCCAATTATTCCTACAACAATCCACGCCCTCATCATCTGGCTTGAGGCCATGGGCAAATACGAGCCTGATTCTATCGCCATCCAACCCGCTCGCTACCCTCGACTACGGGACTGAAGTAGCCGGTTTCCCATTCTTCCACGTCTCAGCCATTTCTGGAACGGTACAGATCGAAGTGAAGTATAGCGAAGAATACCGTGGAGTTGAAGAGCCATTTTCAGACGGACCTTGGACATTCTCGAACGGGTTGTCAAATACTTTTCGAGTAGAAACTTTCAATGTCACGAACACGGGATACATGGAGAGCTTCTTCGTCCAAGGGGGCCAGCGATGGCAGACCGCACGGCTGATCACGAACGGCTCTGTCACCATCGATCATCTAGGATTTCGGGCAACAAGCTCAAACTTAGACGCTGACAAGCTACCAGGCCACTTGAAGACATCCGATGAACTCTACAACCGAGTCCTCGACCTCGGAGGTCGTGTCGCTCAAGTAGCATGCGTGGATGCTGGTAATGCACCATCGACGTGGGAAATCACAAAAGACGGAGCACTTATCCGAGGTCAAGCCAGTGCACAATCCTCCCTGGGGGTTGATGCAGCCAACTACACACTCGATTTCGACCTGAAGATTGCGCGCGGCGGCGCTGGCTGGAGGGTAGCAAGTGCAATGAAGCCGATCGGGCCATACTTTGTGCTTTTATCCGAATATCCTGAGCAAAACACCTTTGCAAACACAAACCGGACTCTCCTGCCTCCAAATACTTTAGCTTTCACTACTGGATGGGGACTAGTAAACCAAAGTTCGCTACGTGGACCAGAAAACCAGTACTTTACAATCAACACAACCATCAAGGAAAATACGTGGTATCGTGTGAGCACATAAATTGAGGAGAATGGCTATCGTGTGGGCCTGAACGGAACCGAGATCGCCTTCGTACCTTTACCTCCACCTGCACCTGCAACCCCAGCGAGCTTTGACTCTGCCTCTCGATACCAAGGCACATGGGGCTTCGGAGGTGTGCAGGACCATATCACGTATTACAAAGACGTGATCGTCACTGCTAAAAACGGCACTATTGTATACTCCAATTCCCTAGCGAGCGAAGGCTCCTTGGCGGAGTATCAAGTCGCGCCTCTTGACCACTCAGTCTGCCTTGATGGTGCCAAGCGGGATCGCCTCGTCTGGACAGGAGACTTTTATCACACTGTGCGTCTTGTTGCACTTTCGTCTGCTCGATTTGATTACCTCCTGGGCACCATCAAATATACCCTAAGCTACCAGCTCGACAAAGGCCCGTACGCTGGCTTTACCCCGATCTCTGCCAACCTTGGATCCCAACCCCAATACAAAGAAGCAAATATTAAAATATACAATGCCCTGGTAGACTACCAGGACCTGTTTCTGGCAGGAATCGGCGAATATTTTCTCTATACTGGAGACAGCGACGGGTTGCAACCTTACTGGGGTCAGATCAAGAAACTTGCCACTGCGAGATTGGCATTCATCGATCCCACCTCTGGTCTCATTGGAGGCTCCCCGGAAGTACCATCCCCTTTCAGCTTCCTCGGACCAGCCAACGGGAGTGCAACAACTGGTCTTTTCGTTTATATGCTTGACAAAATTGCGCCAGTTGCACTAGCGGCGGGAGACCAAGAGGCTTCCACACTTTACTCACAAACAGCAACCAAGTTGCGTGAAGCCCTCAATCGTGAGCTATGGAACGACCAGCTCGGAACATACTCGCTCTCAACCACCAATCCAGGCAACTTTTCTCTAACTGGTATCGCCTGGGCAATCCTATCTGGTGCGGCCAACGACACGCAAGCAGCATCCTCCATTGCCAAGCTTGAAGAGCTCCGCTTCGCAGTAGGTTATAAGACCATCTCGAGTGACATGGAAACGGACGACTACCAGCTTGCTCCCAACCCATCAGGCTTTCTACTAGAAGCTCTCTTCAAGTCGAGTCGCGATTCCAGAGTGAACAGCACATCTGCCATCACGCATCTACTCGACAACCTATGGGGTAGTATGGTAAAGGAGAACGAGTACAACTCTGGCGCGAGCTGGGAATATGTGAAACCTGATGGTTCACCTGGTCTCGGTCTTTTCACAAGTTTAGCGCATCCATGGGGTGCAGCTCCAACCTACGTACTGCCGGAATACCTTCTTGGTGTAGTGCCAACCTCTGCTGGTTACAAAACGGTCCTTATCACTCCTATGATAGGCTTCTTGGACCAATTTGAGGTCAGCGGAAGGGTCCCAACGCCCAACGGGCCGATCAACGTAGCGTGGACGTTGAATGGCACGAGCGTTGCTATCACGGTTGTTATACCAACTGGTACGGCAGCTACATTGCAATTACCAGCTGGCGCAACTGTGATAGGTAAAGATTTGCATGATGGACGACTTGAGCTTCCTTGTGGATCGACGGAACTGATAGTGGATACGAAGTTTTGACTGGGATGGGTTTGACTCGGAAACAAGGATAAAGATAATAAAGGGTGCAACGGTATTTGAGCTTAATTGCTAAAGATGCAGTCTTTTTCCATGGGACTGAGTATTTTGAAGTGTATTTGTGAGTTCTGGAGATATGCAATTTTCCTAGAAGCTATGCTACACTATATTTATTTGCCCCCACCTGGGACGAAACAGTCGACTTCGGCGTACCCACTACAAAGATCAAATAGTTCACGTATATCTCCACTTCTGGATGCTTACAGACTTGACACCTTCAAGTTCATCCCTGCGGACTGGTGCAGCAGAACAAGTAGTAACAGGGCAGATCCTGATGAACGTGTTCGACGACGGGGCTGAGATGAACCCGTTGAGTGTCCTCCACAAGGTACAGGTGGAAGCCTGGTAGGAGAAAGCAGAGCAATCGTTATGCGCATCACACTGCTGACGGCACACATCGACGTTTGCAATACCAGGAAGGGTAGCGATAGCTTGAGAACCGGAAGCTCCTGTATCCCCGCAGCGGACGAAGTAGTTGTCCTGGCATTGTGACGCGTAGGCTGGGCAGCCGTTGGCGAGGCCTGCGGTAAACTTTTGGCAATCAGGGTATTTGACACAGGATACTGTGGGTGCCGGAGGTACGCAGACAGTAGATGTGCTTGTCGTGCTTGTAGAGGTTGGTGTTGGTGTTGTGGACGTTGTGGGCGGCGCAGTAGTCGCGGGAGAGCTGTTGTCTCCACAATTAGGGTTGTAAAAAACTAAACCGGTGTTTGGGCTAGGAATAACGTTCGTGCTTGTGATTGGTAGCCGGGCTGCATAGCACGCGCCAGAGTAAACAATGAAACTCCCACATGCGCTGTCAGCAAGACAGCTTGCTTGGCAGGCATCCACCGTCGTGAAAGGCGTCGCACGGTAGATTTGGAGGTCGACGACATCGTATCCTTCAACGGCACAAAACTTGGCCTCAGTTGGAGATGGGGCGGCGGTTGACGAGGAGGTTGAAGTGACGGGAATTTCGGATGACCCGCTCGAGGAGATCGAGGTGGAAGATGATGTTGAGGAGTCACTGGACGATGACTCGCTCGTAGAAGGGCTGGTGGTCACTGAGTCGATCTCAGTGGAAATTGAGGTCGAGATAGACGAGAAGGCGCTGCTAGTGCTGGAGCTATAACTGCTCACGGTCGAGGAGCTGGCAGTAGTAGAACTTTGCTTAAAGTTTGACGAAACAGCATCGCATTTGCCAAATCCAGGCTGGCAACCTGTTCCGCAGTATGCGCTCGAGCTACCACAGTACGAGTACTGAGAGCAACAATCGCCATACTTTCCACCGGAGCAGGTCATTCCCGCAGGCAATGCGCCATACAGGTTTCCGCAGCGAGCGTTCGTGGTAACCTTGACCTTTGCGGGGGCAGAAGATGGTGCCGTCAACGCAGCTGTTTGGATGGAGGTGCTGGTGCGGCTTGAAGTCGTAGAGATCCGCGCGGGTGTGACAGAGTTGCAGGTACCGAATGATGACTGGCAACCGGTTCCGCAATAATCCTTAGTTTTTCCACTGCAAGAGAATCAGTCAATCGTTCAGGTGTTGTAAGATTCGATATAGATGCCTACCAGTAGCCGTATTGAGAGCAGCAGTCACCCCACTGTGAGCCTTTGCAGGTCATGTCACTGGGTAAGGCATTATAGGCGTGTCCGCATCGTGCATTTGTTGATACTTTCCCAGCCGCGAGCGTTACTGCCGCTGCGAGAGGAAGTAGGGATGTCCAGCGCATTGTGATTGTATTAAGTATTAATTATTAAGGAATGTGCTGTGTCTGCAGAGGAAAGAGCGAGAGAATGACAGTTGGTGGGATGCTCTTAGAGAAAGAAAGAGTGACGAAGTTCAGAAGAGACCTGGAAGACCTACAATTATATATCCTACCTACCCGCAAGATGGCGTTATTCCCCTGCAAAGTCGAGAACCAAGGTAGCTTGTCTGCGCATCTACATATTTCACGATACCCTCAGGCAGGCCCAGATGAAAGCCACAGGGTCTATCGAATCCGCTTCCAGGGGGGACAAGTGACTCGGGAGGCGTGGATATGAAGCCATGCGGAAAGGCGTGAAGCTATCTAAGAGAAAAGGGATGAGCAAATCGTGCTAGTAGTGAGCGCGGAACAATAGCGCGTTCAGTAGCGCGTCGAGTGATTGGACCAACCTCAAGAAAGCACGTGTCGACGCAAGCCACAAGCGCGCGAGGCTGATCGCGACTTACCAAATTCGAGTTTCCTCGGCCACCCCGCGATATGGGGACCCTCAAGTGCTCAAGGACTGATGTGCACAGTCTTATCTCCTACAGAGTCTGGGCTATATTTCTGTCAAACTCGCTTATGTCCCTTTTGCTGGTACACGACTTTCACGATTCTTATCAAATGATTATGGACACAAAATCAAGGAAGAGTCATTTCGTGTCCTTAGACGACTGACTACTGTGTGTTCATAGAGATTAGACGTGTCCTTCGTTACCATTCCGTATGAACCAGAAGGCTCCAGAAAAATCCAAAGATCAATCCATCATTCGGTCTTACCACCGAACAATCTCACACTTGACACTCTTGTACAGCCTCGGATGGTCCCCATCCAACAGATTATCAGCATAGGCGTCGCCTTTCCTGGAATCGAGAATCGACGGGTACTTATCCGATCCGCTCTCGCATCCGAAGTCACGGTACCACTTACAAAACACACCTTCATATTGAATCAAAGAGGCCGGGCCCTGGTCTGCAGGAGCAAAGTTGGCGCATTGCCAGATGGCGTTTATGCTGTTGTTGGTGCAGAAGGCGAAGTTCTTCTTGTGGCAGACGGTTGTGGCGCCCGAGGACGTGTCCCAGTGGTAGAAGGGATTGCCGCCCGTCGAGACGTCGGTGTCGCGCTTCTCGTTGGTGATGTCGTTGGAAGGTGCGTCGATAGTGTTTACGTCGGCAGCAGCACCAGTACCTCCACACCACACACCAGCCAGTTTTCCAACACCCCATCCACTGAACTGAGCATCCTGTGTCGGATTCGACATATACCGGAAGTATTCGTCGCCGTCCATGCAGCCAGGCTTGGTGTAGTATTTGCAGAACGAGCCCTTGGCTTGCGTGATGACTTTGCTTTGGTAGGCAAACGCCGGTGGGAAGGCTACACATTGGTTGAGAGTATGCAGGGCTGTGCAGCCGGCAGGGTCGAGGCTATTCACATTGCAGATGTACAAGTCGCCGACTTTGAGGAATGGGGTGCTCGAAGCGGAGATGGAGTGGCCAACAGTTACTTTGATATCCTTGGCGTTTACGTAGGGTAAGGGTTTGCCGCGCGCTTGTAGGCTCGCAGTAGACATAGACTCTAACATGGTACAAGTCGCCGCATTGATCTGTTGCGCCGAGTTGAACCCGAGTTCCAAATCCTTTTCATCCGGGTTGAGAGTATGCAAGATGGGATCTCCAGCGCACTCGGTCTTGGCGTAGTAAGAGCACTCCGAGCGTCCGGATTGCTCGAGGAAGCGAGTTGAGTCGGGGTACATGGGGGCGGGGAAGACGACACAAGGTTCAAGTGCGTTTATCACCTTGCGAAGCTTTGTATGCCCGGTGTCTTCGCCGATGCGAAGCTGACCCCATCCGAGAGTACGAGGCTTGGGATCGCGCGGGTCTTCGTTAGCCACAGGAAGGTCGCGCTTGTCGAAAGATTTCTTGCACATTGCGTATTCAATCTGTGCGCCCAAGACCGATTCAATTGGGATTGTCAGCCGAACAGGCCGAGAATCGAGGGCAAGTAGCACATCGTTATCTTGGCAGTCACGTCGTCGGTAGTACTTGCAGACGTAGCCTTGCGGTAGCTCGATCCAGGTGACTTGCTTAGTGACTTCATTGGGAAGCGTGTAGCACTGGCCGAGAGCGCGGTCCTCGATAGATGCGACCTTGATGCCTGCGTACATGTGAGTGGCGTATCCGCCGTCCAAGTCCCCAGCGGTGTGAAGGACAACGTTGGACGATGCATCCTCCTCTCGTGCATGGTTCAAACCGGAATCGTGTTGCATCGCCATTTTACCAGGAGTGAGCTCAATAAAAGAAGCTTCGAGCTCGCCAGTATCCCTACGCTGCCACGCTTTCTCGCACTTCACATATGTGATACGCTTACCCCTCGGTGTAGGAACCTGCTTAGGTGACCCCGTTGTAGTGAAGATGCACTCGCTGTTGCACCAGTCACTGTCGTCGTAGAAACGACAGATCGTGTCGCCTTGTTGATGGGCCGTGCTGACAACTTCATGCTGCACTTCACCAGTGAGCTTCAGGCAGACGCCAAACCAATTCTTGGGGACGGCATTGGCAGTGGTGTGGTTGCCACAGATGGTTATGAGCCACTTTTCGGGTTCCGCGGTAGTGCATCCGGGCGAGCGAGTGGCGAGTTGGGTGGACTCAACGGTGACGACAGGCTGGACGGCAACGAACTGGCGGGTAGGTGCAGCGATGGCAAGGCCGGCGAGGCCAAGCATGCCGGCGATGATATGAGGAACTCGCATGATGACTGCTGCGATTATTGTCAGGAACCTTGCGTTCCGCTGCGGACGATCAAGTCACTCACCTTTGTCCGATCCGTCACTTGAGACAGACTGAGGCAGTCGCGGACTGATTTGATGATAGTAGCAGTAAGAGAGCTTCCGAGTACTTGTAGTAGCGGCTTCTGCAGCTAAGTTGAGAAGAGAAGGTGGGTGGTAGAGATGAAGAGGTGGAGGAGAGAAGGTGTGAGGTTAGGATAAGATGGTTGACATAGGCCTGAGAGGGCGGTGGAACGGCGCTCATCCACCACGTGAGCGACAAACGGAGCGACAAACAGAGCTTCGAACAGTGCGAGAGGTAAAAGAGAACAGGAGCCTAGACAAGAGACGAAGAATGAGTGAATGAAGGCTTGTCGGGGTATTGATATTCGCATTCGAGCACGACGCATGGTCCGATGTCTTGCAACAGGAATGCGGCGTTGGACCATGATCTCCTAGTAGTTCCCATAACCTTGGAATGCTGGTATACCAGTTCATGTATCGCTGCCGTGTCCCTCCATACTACCCTCCTCTACGGGTCAAGGTTGCGATCGATATTGTACTGGCGATACCCGAACCCATCCATGGTAACCCAATGACCCAGGGCCTCCATCTCAGCCCATACATCCGGATACTTTTGCTTAATCCAAGCTTCTACGCGTGTCTGCCTTTCGATATTGGCGGTGCAATTGAACCAACTGCCTAAACTGTTTCTTCGTTAGCATATCCCGCCACCAGAGCCTCAGTGATAAGAATCGAAATGAGGTGGAAAACTCACATGTGTAAATCAGGCGTAAACCCATACTCCTCCTCCACACCCTCCACTAGACTCAACGCCTCATCATGATTGTGATTCCGCGCAATCGCACACATATACGCCGTCCAAATCTTCTTATCAATCTCCACATCCTGATCCCTCAACCTCTTCCAAATACCCCTCGCATGTTCAGACCCAAAGTGCATGCCCTCGGTACTCCTAAACGCAATTGCCAAGCTATTATAAGTCGGTCCCTCTTTCGACTCGCAAATCTCTCTCCAGAACTGAAGCGCTTTGCGGTTTTCTCCAGTCGAGGCGTATGCGAGCATCAAAGAGTTGCGTAGTTTGGTGTCCATTTCGACATTCAGGTCGAGTTTGAGTTGGTTGTGCGCGAGTTCTAGGGACTCGGCGTCGGCGCAGCGAGCGAAGCCGGTGAAAGCTGCTACGTAGACGTCTCTTGTCGCAGTGTGGGTTGGGCTGACGTGGTTGCGCATATGGAAGAAGACGTGACAAGCCATATCAGAACGGTTCCTTGCGAAGAACTCGTTCATGATGGGTATTCGGACTTCTCGGGGTGTTTCGATAAAGACGTTGCGCAGGATTTGGTAGCCATCCCAAGCATCCGCTGTACTAGTCTCGCCGTCATGTATGAAGACACAAAGCGCCTCCTGGATAGTCGTCCGCTGTTCTGGAGAGTACTGATGTGCATGTACCTGCAAGAGATCCATAGCGTCGTGGATCTCTCCCCTCCGAAGATGCAGGAGAGTGAGCGCTGCGACAGTTTCCGGGGCGAAGCTAGCCTTGCGCTCGTGCAGGTCGTCGACCATAGCCATTAGCTCATCGAAGTGATGTTGCTTCGATACGCAGAGTGCGCGTATCAACTGATTGATCACTGCGACGCTGCGCTCGTCACCGGAGAAGCTACCTTGCAGGTTGAAGTAGGCAGCTCTAGCCCCGTCGAGGTCTCCTACGGAGATGCGATATTGCATCTGCATCATATAGGTTGTTTCGTCGGGATGGATTCCACGCTTTTCTCCCAGCACAATATAGCGCTCCGCCGAGTATGGATCTTGCTTTGACATGCAGTGCTCCACCAGGGCGTTGATGGTCACAGTGTCTGGACGTATCACGGGCACTTTTGGATCCTTGCGCCGTGCTTCGTCGTTTCGACGTACTAGGACGTCCATCATCCGAGCGATTTCGTCAGGGCCCTTGCCGATGGCTACAGACCAGAGGAAAATTGCATCCCATGATTCTTTCGATGGCATCTCATCCTTGAGCATGGTCGCTATCGTCTGCTGACCATAGGCAAGATCGCCTTCTGCGGCGCAAGCCTTGAGCAGCGCAGAGCTGGCGCTGCCTAGAGGTTGCGTAGCTTCTTTGCCAAATTTGGTGACAATAGGCTGGGAGTACCAGAATTTGGCCTTGTCTAGGTCTCTCCGCTCAGCGTAAAAAGATACCAATTTGTTTTGCAAGGGTTTGGTCAAGGGAACCGAGGCTTCTTTAAATGAATCCACCGTTTTCTCTATCTCACCAAGGTCATTCTCGCGGATGAGCCCTCCAAGTATGGTATGCCAGGCAGCGAGTGTGACTGTACGTAGCCGGGCACTTGCAGTTGCGTCGTATTTGAAGCTATGCAGTGCCATGTCTCTGGCTTGCGTCGCCGAACCGAACAAGGAGAGCACTTGGATCTCTTTCCACTTGATATACATGCCGAACGGGATACCAATATCCTTCGCCTTTTTCTCGTCCCATTGCCCGGGTTGCTGTTCCTCAGATTTTGCCATCTCATCGACGACAAGCCGACCGAACATGATGTGTGCATTCCCCAGGACTTCAGGTCGCTTCGACGTGTCCAACAGTTTCTCTATGATATTTTCAAGGTCCTGCATGTTCATCCATGGCTTTCCGTCTTCCCTCGGGTTCTCCAGTAGATATTTAAGGGCTTGATGTGCGCTCGCCACATGCCAGTCTTCGAAAGTTCCTTTTCTTTGCGCGAAGAAGTCTTTAATCGCATCTGCGACTTCGGTCGGTTTCGGTGGCCTAACGGCGTTTGTCTGCGCGTATGACACCTCGGCCATCTTACTCAGTCCGGGTGGCGCCTCTGCAGGCTTGAGCTTCCGTCGCTGCTTGAACAAGTCTCCGAAGAATGTGCGCCGTTGCGTCTGTGGAAGTGATCGGGCGCCATGCTGGGTGATTACGCGAGGTCGGACGGCTCGATAGCGACACCCTCGGTATAGTAGAGGTTCGTTGGCGATGATGTTGCGGAAAACGACGCGGGTCAAGTGGGAAGGCATGGCGGCGAAGTTCGCTAATTGCTGGACAAAAAGTGTAGTGACGTAGGTTCAGTATGGGATTGGCGCACTGTGGGAAAGGGTATCTATGCGTGCAAGGTGTCCATGAGGCGAAGGAAGGCGCGCACACAGTATGTACAAAGAAGAGACGAGATGAAAGCAGCAGAGCGCGGGGGGGCGACATTAAAAGTGAGGGGAGCATTGCGGGAGCTCTTCTCTACCGTGAAATCATATCGCGCTAAGAAAGTCAACCTCCGACCACCGAGGCCGCATCTCCAAAGTTCAACACCACGACGACAGCGACCATATCGCCCGCCAACATGTCAATATTACGATTACCGTTCAGGCCTTCGCTGCCAATAGGCAGGACCTGCATGCGCTACTTCTCTTCAGGCTCTCAGAAGCAAGGTGCGCCCCAATTCCCTGTCCTACACAATCCTCACCATGCTCGAACCCTCTAATCCACCCACAGAAGACGTCCTCGACATCCTCAAGACCAGCACCGCCGCCCGTCACCCCTCTGCCACCCGCACCACTTCCGCCAACACCGCCGCAACTCGCCCAAAAGAGTCCGCCACAACACGCTTCGCCCGCGGCGCTGGTCTTGACAGCACAACGCCCTCGCGCGAGCTCGCAGAATCCGAACGCCTGGCACAGTACCAACGCCAGATATACCGGAAATGGCAGCCAGGTGATGTGTACGCGCCGCATGATTTGAGCGGCACAGAGCAGAAGAAGTGGAAGTATGGACGCAAGAAGCCGCAGCAGGATGCTTTTGATGTGTTGGGAATTAACCCTGTATTGGAGTACAAGGTATGTCGTCCACGCTCCCCACCCATCTAAAAGTGGGGGGAACTGCAGGTTGAGGGATGTGAACGTTTGGGATTGAACGCGGGTTCTTCGAGAGGAAGGCAGGCTGACGATTGACACAACAGAACTTTACAATGATGTCCGAATACATGACCGAGATGGGGAGGATAAAGCATTCCAAAGACACGGGGTTACGGCCTAAGAACCAGAGAAAGATTGCTAAGGCGATACGGAGGGCAGTGGGTCTGGGCCTTATGCCTAGTGTGCATAGACATCCGTTGGTGCTGAAGAAGAGTTCGCCGAGCAGGTTCTTATAAGAGCGAGATTGGTGTATGATACAGGCAGAATTTGATGTGTATATTTGGTATCAGGGGTTGTGTCACTTGTTGGAGGGCTGGTACCACGTGCATGATGAAGTGCAGCGTTGATCTGAACTTTGATAAGAGACGGTATACACCTTATAATACCCTCCTCAAGTACTGCTCATCAGCAAACCACTATCGCCACGAATACGAGGACGAGACTATGGAAAATTATAGCTTCTCACATGGATCCACGAACAAGCGACGGAGCACCCATATGCTTCATTACCAATGATGAATTTCCAAAGCGAGGCAAGAGAATAATTCTTCGCACCCATTAATCTAGTGACCCGTTTGGTTTTTCCCCTGCTTCTCAATCCACATCTTAATCATCTTCTGCTGCGCATGTACAATCTCCATAGCATGATCATCATCATAAAGATCGTACCAGCCCGGACTCTCATGCGGCGGGTCCCCAGCCCATACCATACCAAACTCATTCACAACCTGCGTCTCAGGCCGCCATATACCGCCGTAAGCCCAAGGTGAGGTACCAATGTACGCCCCACCGTTACGGAACTCATCCATAACGGCGCCGATAATCGTCGTAAAATACGCGTCCTTGTGCGTCGTACTCGCGCCACTCAAATACGGATATTCCTCATCTTCATTCTCCCAATTATCCCTCGCCATGCCAAACTCCTCGAGGAAAACCGGTTTTCCAATATCCATTGCCCACCTCGAGCTATTCTTCATGAAATCCCGCGCGAAATCCTGGGCAGCGACTAGATTTGCGTCGGTGGCGTTGTACATGTCGTATACGCCCCAGTTCTGTACCCAACAGTGCGTCGTGGCGTAGTCGACGGTGGAGAAGTTGTTCACGCGCTTGAAGTAGTATTCTCCTTGCTTGGCTTCCAATCCTACGCTGATGAGCTGTTTGGGCGCGAGGCTGCGGATGTAGCTGGAGATACGGTCGACCCAGGGGAAGAGCAGGTCGTTGGGATTCGGCTCGAGGAAGATGTTGTAGGGGCCTGTGTAGCCTAGTTCGTCGCTCGGTTGGGGTTCGTTGGCGAGTTGCCAGGTCATGATGGTAGGGTCTTCGGTGTAGAGGCGTCCTGTGATGGTGTTGCGTCGGTTCATGACGGTTTTGATGTGATCTTTGTACCATGTCTCTGCTTGCGTGTTGTTGTAGATTAGGTTGGCAAAGCGGGTGAAGTTGCTGTATGGAGCAGCGTTCACACCTTCTTCGGTATAGTTTCCCCATCCCGTGCCGGGAGCTGAGCGCTGGGGTGGTGCAGTCAAGTTCCAGGACTCTGGATAGGGGATCGCGGTGTTGTTGTTGGCCCAGGATACGTATTGGGCGAAGCCGCCGCTCCATTGCCATTCGTTGTTCAAGGTCATGGTCGCACGCATGCCGCGTTTCGACATCTCGGCAAGGCAAATGTCGAGGCCTGTGAAGACGTCTTCATTGTACTGGCCGGGTGCTTGCATGAGTGGCGGATTCATTCTGAAGGGTTGTGGTGTTGGAGCGCCTTCTGAGGCAGCCATGATACGGAGGTGGTTGATGCCCTTAGCTGCCATTTGGTCGAGTTCTGTAACCAGGCGCGAGTAGTTGCCGCCTGCAGATGGACCTGCGGCAAGATTCATACAAGCCCAGTAATTAATACCTTCAGTACGTTTAGCGTGCAGTCTCCAAAGAAGAGAAGGGTGTCATTACCAGTCAAATAGTACAATCCGTCTCCGTTATACAGTCTCAATCCATCAACATAGACAAAGTCGTTGTCTGGAATCGCACTTTCATTGTGGCCATTGCTTCCTCTGGGTAACACAGAGCCCGCAGCCAGTGAGGCGAACAACACTTGAAGAGCCGCTTTCATCTCGACGATCCAAAGAATAGAATTGTGGCTTGAAAACAAGCATGCACCGAAGGATTACATCGAAGCTTATATGGCCATCCGCATAACCCGAAGCCGCGGTCCGACTATGCTGCTACCCGTACCGTTGACATCATGTGCGGAGGAAGAACGCCCCGACGATGCAACCTTCTCCATCGGAGTGGAGATCATCGCTATCTGCTTGAACGAGGTATGGCAGTTTTTCCGGAGATTTTATAGGGAATAACGTCGACTGGTAGTGGTAATGCATGGAGAAAGGGTAGGGATACTGCTTTCGGTGCGTGGATCTCCGTTGTAGTCTCGGAGTGTGGATCTCCGTTATGGCTTTGGGATAGTGTGTGAAGAAACGTGGATGCGCTTAGGTTAGAGGCAGTTGCCAAACTCCGAGTGCCGACACAAACATGTCAAGTCAAAGTCCGTGCGCATATAGCTACCCAAGGCGAGCTTCTCCATCAGAGTCGTCGTAACGTTCCAGCTCAACAACCACATCGCGAACCCGCCAATATGGACATGGACGAAGAGGAAAACGCCGATATCGCAGCAGCCATGGGCTTTGCATCGTTTGGCGGCACCAAGAAACGGAAATTCGACCACACCAACTCACCAAAAGCCAGGCCTGATGTGAACGATGCAAGCGGTGCCAACTCGACCAAGCTGGGTGTCAGGACGAAGAAGGTGGCAAGCGCAGAAGATATTGATGCTGAAGACCTTTCCTCCGGCTTCGTGCACCAAGAAGCGCAAGCTCAGAGTAATGCGCCGAGTAGATCGAAGACGAACCAGATAGCAGATTCAGGTCTTGCCAGTTTCCTAGCTCGTGGTCAAGATCTGCCTGAACACGCGCCCACTACCGAGAGTGCTTCCAGGCTGGCAGCTCCTGTCGATCAGCCTGTTGCGGAGATGATATCGTTCGGCGGTCCATCGATTTCTAGAGCCGGGTTGAATGCGCTGCGCAACGGCGTTAGAACGGATAATGGTGATACAGCCTATTTTCTACCCAGCTTCGTTGAGGATCCTTGGGCGAAGCTGAGAAAAGGTGGAAGCGTTACCCAAGCATAGTCAAGCCCGCTATTGCTGTGGTCGCATGGTAGGCGACAGTTCTCCAGCACGTTTGTACTCTGCCTTCGGAGGAAGCAACAATGCTCCAAAAATCAACGCACTTCGTTGAATCAAACGACAATACTACATATTCATACTGTTACAGATCGGCATTCAGAAAGAGACATACACATCTCTTCCGACCAATTGTTATGCTGAATACGAGTGCGTGGAGCGAATGTGACCTTGGGTCGGAGTTTTCCAGCCAACTTAGTGTGTCAGTAAGGCGTAGTTGACATGCGCGCTTTCCCTTCTTAAGTTAGCATGAACGTGACCTAGCGTGTCCCTGGGGAACCAACCTTCCTACCCCGCAAACTTTCCCTTTATGCTCTGCGAAGTTTGAGAACTCATCAACATGAATAGTGCAGCTGATCCAGATTTCTTTTTCGCCTTCCAGGACAACCAGTTCGGCTCAGACCAGACCCTAGACGATGGCAGTTTCGCCGGCTTGTCCGAAGCACTGGCAGCTGCGAACGCTGTACCCTCTCAGTACGATGAAAATTGGATGAAGGATTCCTCGCTCTTTGACCTATCGAACAATTCTACCGCCTCTTCGTCGCCCTTTACCCCAAGCGCCTCAATATCCAGACCTAAACTCGGTAGTCGCTTCTCTAGAGAAGTCATCCGTACACTCAAAGACTGGCTTTCTGTTCATCAAAAACACCCTTACCCTAATGAAAGTGAGATGCTGGCTCTACAGGACCGGACAGGGTTGAACAAAGCCCAGCTTACGAACTGGTTCGCAAATGCCCGTCGACGTGGCAAAGTGCAGAGCGTCCGCCCAAGTTCGCCGCAAGTAAAGAACTCGCCTACTTCTCCTATCGACATTATACCAAGACCCGGGACCCCAGCGATCAAGATGGCCTCGAACCATAAAGACCCTATGCAGCGTTGGGTAGAATCGCCCCCAGAACATGAACCCGCAGCTGTTGGCGACATCGCTCGGGCAATGGCTTCCACTTCGCGTAAGTTATCCTGTCACCTCGTCGACTATTGCGGATCATCTGATTTGGTGAGAGTTAATTTAATGACTGTGCTCAGATGAAGATGCTGGAGACTTCGCATACCATCAACCATGGCAATCGCCGTATGCCATGTCCTCAACAAGCAGTGCAAGAACTTCCCAATCGAGTGAATTCTCAGGCCATTGTTCATCAGGATCACAAACATCGCTAAAAGTGCGCCGCGCACCACGCAAGAAAAGGGCCTCCCGACGCCGGCGCCTTGAGACGGAAATTACCGCGCCCATTAGCATGCCATATCAATGCACCTTCTGTACAGAAGTTTTCAAAACCAAATACGATTGGCAGCGTCACGAAAAGTCGCTTCATTTACCACTTGAGCGATGGATTTGCGCACTCCAGGGCCCCCGCACTACGAAGGAGTCCCTAGGAAAGCAATGCTGTGTCTTCTGCGGCGAGGTTCAGCCAGATGACGCGCATATTGAAGCGCATCACTACTCGGCATGTCAAGAAAGAAGTTTACAGGAACGCACATTTCATCGTAAAGACCATCTCGTCCAGCATCTCCGCTTGGTGCATGGCGTGGAGTTTTCGGATTGGTCGATGGCCCGCTGGATGCTGCCTATACCTAACGTCAGGTCAAGATGCGGGTTTTGTGGTACCACCATGAGTACATGGTCGGAAAGGACCGATCATATCGCCGATCATTTCAAATCCGGCGTCACCATGGCCAGCTGGCGAGGCGACTGGGGTTTTGATGCGTCTGTAACACCATTGGTCGAGACTGCTATCCCTCCGGGTACGATACTTTCAGCTTCTCATTGGAGGTTATTCCATACTAACATCGCGTCAGATCTCATCGATTGGGAAAGAGGAACTCTCATCCCCATGAAGGGCAGCGATCCATCGTGGGGTACCCCACCAAACGCGTACGAATTGCTCAAAGTCGAGACCGAGTTCTTCATCCAGCGCTACTTCGACAAGCACGGTCATCTACCAGACAACGACACCATGCAGCTAGAAGCTTGTCGCATCATATTCGCGGCGGAGACTACTTCCGTCATACCAGATCGTCTCCATGAGGTTTCATGGCTACGAGACCTGATGATGTCGTCTCCTGAGTTGACCGAACACGCAAGGTTCCAGCCCGTGAGATCTTCCCGTGAGAGTAGGCACTTCCCGCTACGGATAAATGGCAAGGATCATCTATTCGAACACTGCCCCTTGGAGGCGCAGCTCCGTGGTTTCGTTACTCAACGTACAGCGGCCGGCGAAAGTCTTGACGATGCACAACTATATAACGAAGCATGCCAGATCATCCGGCGCATGGAACAAGAGTCTAGCACTCCATCAGATGTATTCGCTAATTGGATCGTCAAAGGGATCTACTCCGGCACAAATTGGATCTCACCGTTCAAGCAGCGCGCTGCTATATACGACACCATCTCCACCAATCTCCCAACCGACAGCGGCTCAGGCCACTTGCTAGACCTTTCTTGGCCAAACTCGCCTTATGAGGAAGCGTCGATCTCAGCTCTCGGAACAGCGAGTCCATCCAAACACACCAGCGACTTTTTCGCTTCGCTTCCTACTTTCTCGGAAGAGCCCCCCATCATGCCTGAATCTACTACGCAGGTGGACATGTATGGTCGATTGCGATCCTTGCTACCAGACGATACCAACTTTTACCGGATCTTCGGTAGCGACATGAGAAGATGGGCAGCATCGACACTTTCTCCAAAGAACCCGAATTGCCATGTTCCATCTGACGAAGAGATACAGCATCAAGCAAGATGGATCATGTATGACGGAGATGACCCTTGGAATCAAACGCCTGCGGATTTTCCTAATTGGTTGGAGAGATTTAAGAGAGAGGTTGGTATTGTAGAGCATACTGAGGCGGTGGATCCGAGTGAATTGGTGATGTAATCTCAGTATTTGAATGCTGGATTTGGATTTGGACCATTTCATGGGAAGAATTTCGCCTTTGCATTGCTGTATGCGCTCACGCAAAGCAACTAGATCGCTTTCAGGCGACTCAATGGCTACCGAGGACCATCGGCTATTTATATCCCCTTACAATGAGCACAGAAAGAATTCCGCTTTCGGACTCCAATACACTGGTCAGCCTTTGGTCCTTCGAACAACTGCCATCATGAGCTCTCAAGACCAACACTTGTCGCTCTCGCCAATCTTAGTAGGATCACCATCGACCGCTTTCGAATCCTGTACTTGGCTGGATGACTGAATGTAACCCTTTAGATGCGACGTCGAATACATGGTGTGTTTCTGCGATGTCGTGCATGTTCTTTTCTGGTGACGGTCGCTCTTTACGATCCAGTGGCACTAGCTCTGGAATATCTAATAGTACAGCGAATGCGTTGTCGCTTGCCCCTACTAAAGCCAAGGATAACACTGCGGTACTATAAGAACGTAGTCGTGGTAGAGATTTCCGTGCAACCGCTCACCTTCACCTCGCGTTAGCGCGCATAATCACCGCTCCGGCTCACCGTTTGCAGTTGCCCCAGCTAGGCAAGGTTCGGCCTCACGTCCACAACCTCCAAATACCTTCACTTCTACCCCGATTCATGGAAGACAGCAAAAGGCGACATCGAGCTAGAGCATGACTTCTCTACCGGCAGCTGTGATTCGCGAAGGAGAGCGCTCAGGTATGGTTTCATTCATGGATCATCGTGAACTTGCTAATGCCTTACTAGTCCCGACGCCGATCCTGCCGCAAACCCAGAGTCCACTCCTTCGACTGCCCGGTGAGATACGCAATAAGATCTACGAGTACGCGCTGGAGACCAGATCACTACTGATTTTTTACTATTACCGATCGCGACGTACCCAGGCAAGATTAAGGCAAATCCACCAAATCAACGAACTTGCACAGACTTGTCAGCAGCTTCGCCTCGAGACTGGATATGTGTTCGGCATGCTGCTATGTGTCCGGGGCTTTGCTAAGCATACTACCCGTGTCCAAGCCTACCCGCCCGATACTTTACCACGTGCCATACCCTTACGACGACACAGACGGAATATGCGACCTCTTCCAGTTTATCAACCTCCTCTACTATTACGTCTACACCTGCGAACAAGACCCCAGCTCGAAGTGGCTTACCTGACAGACTTCCTAGAAGTAAGAAAAAACCCTCGTAATCTCCTCATTCGCGGGGCTGCGCTCCAGCTGTATTTACGAGGCAAGAGGGTCCATTTTAAAGTTGATACCTCATTCACAGATGAGGTCAACAAGATGGTGGATGAGTTAGGCACAAAAGTAAGATTTTGTAGTTTCACAGAGGGCAATCGTCTCCCCAACAACCTCAAGCTTTTCCCAGAAGAATACTCTGATGAAGCCCTGTTGAAAGGCTCAGGCATGAAGGAGACGGAGGGGTTTGAAGACCGAGTCGCGCAAATCCGGGAGTGGTACGAACATGGAATCTGAGAGAGGTCGACGCTGGCTTCGCCCGCAAGTCGTCCGTTAATGACACGTACTGATCTGGAAGCAAGAAGAGAATATTATAATGTACTTCGTTCGAAAGTGCTAGGCGTGTCTGAATAGCAGATGCGCCACGTTCAGCTAGCAAGCTCCTCAGCTTTTCGGTAGCACGCTGAGGCACACTACACATTCAGTCAAATGCTACAAGCAACTGGATCCCAGTATCTCTTGCCGTGATGTCAGTATCTACCGCGCGTAAGTTGTACGTGCACTCAGACCCAGTCTATGAGCTAGGACTGGCTCGATCTAAAATAGGGTGCGCATGATAGGAATACGTTGACGGATTTGGGCGTCAAGCGCGACAGTTGAATGTACTCCATTTGTGTTAATGCTGCGAAGATTTTGGGCATATGATGCTTCCGGCTCGTTTGATTGTGCGCAGAAGATATTTCACGAACAGGAGGCGCATCGACAGAAGGCACGTCGGCATGTCCATTTTAGTGGTAAGCGGCGCTTGGCGATAACTAATCCGCATTACCCCAGAGCCTCCTTCTCCACACCCCAACCCGCCCCATCCGATCAAGAAAGGGGAACATACGCTTCACAGAAGCGGTTCAAGAAACAAAACATACACGCAATCATCAAGAGAGCAACGAAGCGAGCTTTAGCCTTTGCGCCAGCTTCTCCTAGATGATTACCACGCTCACAGCTCAAACGCGACATTCACAGCAGCATCGCATTTCGCGGAGGCGGCCTAGACTTTACCCAAAGCAGAACACCATCCGACAAGCGGGAAGCTTTCGCGCGCTGAACGACTCAAGCAAAACGTAAAAGAGGTCTCGAAGGAGTCGGTAATTTAGGCAATAGAAACGGCAGTCGGCTCGTTCATCACGGGACTACATCATTCATTGGTGGATCGGCGCCTCTTTTGAGTCGAGACATCTCCACAGCCGGAGGAAAGGCGTCCGAAGCAATTTGTATAAGAGGTCTCGCTCCCCACGGGGTGACACGTCTGTTTGGCTTTTCCAGAACGTCGGCGACATGTCGCAAGCAAGCTTGAGAGAGAATGCTCTTTCGCATTGGTGCGTTGAACCAAATGATTGACACTGGTATGTAGGTTTTCTTCTTCATTCTCAATATGCTACTTTTTTGGTTGCGACTGGCACCCCATACACCTATAACCCACGGGGCACCTCTCTACTATAATATGGAGTCAAAACTAACCATCGTGCAGGTATCTGGAGACTCCATTAACATGTCTCCCCACATGTGCACCACAACCATCATCCCACACGATGCCGTTCCTATCTACCGGTAACGCCTCGGTCTTCCGAACATCACCCGGTTTCACAATCTGGACGAAGCATCGTCATCTGGAAAACGGCACAGGTCACATTGCTCATCTCACGATGCTCTCACTGTGATCCACCAAGACCCTCTTTTCTCAGAAACTTCAGGATTCTTGGCTCAGGATTTTCACGCTTTGTCGCGCGTAGCGGGCCGCTAGCGCTGTAACCTCGGAGTCGGAGATGAGGTTTTCGCTGTGCGTCGGCCAAGACCGGCGTTTACGGGCAAACCTGCCAAGTTGATACCATGGACACCGTCGATGACATGCGCATGCGATTTGCCAGCAAGGAAAGATTCAAGCGAGGTACAAGTGGACATATGACGTTGCTAGACTTGAGTTACCGCGCTCCGCGAAGATTTAGACAGAACCCGCAGGAACGGCCGCCCCCATCATTCCAATGCAGAAGTTTTGGCGTACCAATCGCCAGGCACTAAGGACAGAATATGCAGGCCTAATCGGAGAATAACTTTATCGTGCCGGCTTCCGTCCTATGGCGAGCTGGTGAACATACCAACCGGCCTTAACGTTCCAAGGCGACTTGAGGCTCTGCGGCACTTAGCGAGGACCGTCCCGTCCGTGCGTACATCTCTTGCATATGTTGGGTGACATGAAGCACTTGTCAGCCTCATCTGCACTATAGACGCGTCTATACCCCTGCATAAGGAACATCCCGGGTAGCTCGAAACATCCTGATAGGCCAGCTAGGTGAAGTTCATCATCGGACGATTCTGATGGAGTAGTTCGCCGATGCTCACGCGCACCACCAACATCACCATCCACGATGGCCACGCGAGGACAAACCGTTCGCCGTCGTCAGTACCGGAGTTTCCTGGTCGAGATCACGTATTATGCGACTTTCGGGGAATCTGCAATCGCCCAGAACTCGAAGAGTCGTATACTTGCGATAGTTACGGTGGGCCGATCGTTGCACTATCAATGTCTGTGCTTCTCGGCGTGTCCAACCATTCCGATACTGCGCGACTTTGAAGAAAATTCACAACCGGCAGCTCTCCGGCTCGAGCGTACTCGTGACAGGCTGCTCCATTGCCAGCTCCAGCTCCACGATGCGATGTCATCATACCTCCGTGGTCAGGGCGCTCGTGCGACCGTATCTCCTTTCGCCTCCATGGCTAGGGCGTTCTGGAAAATGTTAGTCGGATGGATATGCGGATGAGACTGACACTGGGGTTCCACTGTCAATAGACCCTACGAACCCGTCTCCGCATGCTTTCTGCTATTTATACGGTGCAGCCTTCTCCCCAAAGTCCACACTGGTCTCCTCTTCTCCAGCTTCTCTCCAGCTCGTTTTTCCTGAGAAGTGTACCCCGCGCTGCAGACCGGCTCATCTTTGACCGACACTTTACTTTTCTTCATCGATTTCTAATTACCACGCGCCCACCATGACGATCTTGTCGCGTTTCAACAAGAAGAAGACAATCGAGGACGAAGTCCACGAGAAGGGAACACCAAATACCGGTACTCCTTTGGACACACCTGCTAGGGGCAACTCCGATGTTGTGCAAGCCGCAGACCTCGAGCCCAAGGGCCGAGTACCTGCCGTTGCTATCATTCTCGGTGCCGTTGCCAGTATTGGTGGCTTCATGTTCGGATACGAGTCCGGACAAATCTCTGGTTTCCTCGAAATGAACGACTTCAAGCAACGCTTCGGTGACAATGGCGAGTTTTCCGCTGTTCGCTCTGGTGCTATTGTCGGTTTGCTAGCGTAAGTAACTTCCTCTCAACACAATGAACGCGTCTCACAATCTGCCAGCGTCGGTACTCTCTTCGGATGCTTGGGCTCGGCCCCTCTGGCTGACACCTTTGGTCGTCGTCTCACTATCTCCGGTTCCGCCTTCTTCTACATCACTGGTGTAATCATCGAAATTACGAGCAAGAACGTTTGGGTTCAGTTCGCCATGGGTCGCTTCACTGCCGGTCTCGGTATCGGAGCCCTTTCCACTGTCGTACCCATGTACCAATCAGAGTCGATTCCTAAGCGCATTCGTGGTGCCACCGTCTCCTCGTACCAATTGTTTATCACACTCGGTATCTGGACTGCATACATGGTCAACTATGGCACAGAGAAGGATTACACCGACAGTGCTCAATGGCGAATTCCCAACGGCCTTTCCGCACTCTGGGCCATCATTCTTGGTAGCACTATCCTGCTTCTCCCTGAGTCTCCCCGTTATGCATACCGCAAGGGCAAGGTCGACGAGGCTCGCGCGAACATGGCCCGTCTCAACGGTGTAGACCCCCACAGTGCTTTCATCGACGCTGAGATTGCTGAGATTCAGGAGAAGCTCGAGGCTGAGTCCGCTGGTGGTGACCACCCATGGCATGAGATCTTCACTGGTCCCCGTATGTTGTACCGTACCCTGCTCGGTATGGTCCTCCAGGCTGGTCAGCAGTTGACTGGTGCCAACTACTTCTTCTACTACGGCACAACCATTTTCTCCGCCACTGGTCTCGAGAACTCCTACGTCACTTCCATCATCCTGGGTACCGTCAACGTCGTCGCCACCATCTTCGGTCTCTGGGTCGTTGAGAACGTCGGTCGCCGTAAGGCAATGATGGTTGGTGCTGCATGGATGGCCATGTGCCTGTTCATCTACTCCTTCGTCGGCCAGTACAGTCTCTCCCGCGACGCTCCTCAGACCACACCCGCAGCCGGAAACGTCATGATCGTCTTCACTTGCCTGTTCATCGCCGCATTCGCCACTACCTGGGGTCCCCTCGTCTGGGCCATTGTCGGAGAATTGTACCCTGCCCGTTACCGCGCTACCTGCATGGGTCTCGCTACCGCGTCCAACTGGTTGTTCAACTTCATCATCTCCTTCTGCTCTACCCTCATTACCGACAGGATTCACTACTTCTACGGTCTTGTCTTTGCCGTCTCCCTCGTTCTGCTCTTCTTCATCGTCTACTTCTTCATGATTGAGACCAAGGGCCGTTCGCTCGAGGAAATCGACACCATGTACATGATCCACGTCAACCCCATCACCAGCTCCAAGTGGGACCCGTCGAGTCTCCAGAAGGATGGCCTGGTCGACACCGACAGGCTGCACATGGGTGCAGGTGGTCGCACTTTCAGCAAGGCTGAGCAGGCTGGTACCCACGGCGGTATCTTGGAGCCGGCGGAGCGCAACGAGAACCAAGTCTAGATGGCTGGTTTGGTGTTGATGAGGCTATGATGGAGAAAGAACTATGTCCCCGCTTGGATGTAGACTGTGACGGCCTAAAATTTATCAGTTGTAATTCAGAATGAGTGTCCGTTCTATGGGACATCGCAAGAGTATGCTTATTTAGTACATACTCCCAATACATTATCGTCAAATCACTTGCTATCTTCTCCCATTATGTGTGAATGCTCTTAGTATTGCTCTTGTTCCGTTATTCGTACTAAGATACCCTCGTTGTGCCACTTCTCGATCCACTCGAGGCTGATCTTAATCCTCGATTTGCCCCAGGCTAAATTTCCGGGTAACTTAGGACTAACAAAGTGACCAGCTCATGCACCAGGAAAGACGCGGATACGACTAGGTATCCTGTATGACCCGAGATGATCGGGGTTCCTCTTAATCATTTCTCGAATATGTTCAGAGACAAGTGGATTGTTCGTATGTCTATGCTTCGCGTCGAACACATCCACAGCTCCATACACTCACATTACGACATCCTCTTCGTCGTAACAACTCATGTACGAATGAAAGAACATTCGAGTATATGAGGCGGCGTACGGTGATAGCATCAAAACAGGATACCTCCATGCACCACGGCCAGTTGAGGGAAGCTCATCATCACTCCGCAAGGTTATTTTCCGGATGGACTGTCGCTGACCGATCAGGGAAGTAGTAAGAAAGGTAGAAAAGACGCGCAGCTGTTTTTTTTTAGAATTGAAGACGATGTCGTTCAGTGCCAATCCTAGTCCTTTGGTTTCGTGGTACAACTGGCGACGAACCTATTTAAGTCGATTCGATTCGACACTGGGATCGGTGGGACGGTATCCCTTGAAGCTTCTCAAGTTGTCGCCAGGTTCGCCGTGTTCGACCAGTAGGAGAGCTTGATCTTCGGTGAGCGTGTATTTGTAGGTCATGTCGCGGAGCTCTCCCGGTAGTGACGGTGGTCGGTTTTGGTTCGGCGGTGGTACTGCATCGTTCGCAGTGAATAGCTTCGGTAATTCGAAGCGCATCTTGGGCGTTGGTGGGGAAGACACAAGTAGTGTGGATGAGAGATACAGGAAAAGCGGAAAAGTTTGAGAGTATTCAACGGGATTGCTTACCTGTGACTGGTCTGTTTGCTTCGTGGCGTGGCGAGGCCTAACGACTCCTTACAAAGGAAGGAAAGAGCGACTGTACACGTGACGTCACGATCAAGGTAAGTGAGGTCCCAGACCAATGCGACCACTTGCAGTCACGAATGTTGATCTACGGCCACAAACCACTCGCGCGACTTTCACGAATGTAAGGTACATAGGCCTATACTCTACTATTATAGCTTAGTAGATCATCTACAGTAACAGTCTTTCAATCAGCCTATTACAGATGTAGCAATTGCGGTAAGACTAGCACTAGGCACAACGCGCGCACATGTCTAGAGGTACTAGATGCAGCTTCTGAACAGATTAGCCTACTACACTTTGTCTATACTGTTCTGTGCAGAGTAAGATTATTGTGAGAGTCCGCAGGTTTAGTAGGGTCTTAGCATCATAACCGACTCGCTCGTGTGGTACGCTATCTCTACTATAGACACTGTTTCCTTCTATACTATCTAAGGTCGAAATTCCCTTTGCGCAGTGCGTAGGTGTTTGTGGTTAGGGGTAGGAGTAGGAGCGTGTCGTCATGAACGCTGCTGCCAAGACCTTGCTAATAACCATCCCTAATGCAGGCTACGTGCATCTACGTTCGCAGCGATCTCGAGCTCGTAGAATTACAACACATACCGTACATTGCCCACCCTGAGGCATTCGGCGCTCTTATAAAGCTATTTCGTGGTTCTTCTAGCTTCTTAATTATGATCTGGCATTTTTCTTCGTCGGCCATTGGTTCGTCGCTGGATGTTGTCCATCGGAACCATGAGTTTTGCTGTATCTACAGGTATGAAGTTTGACTCTTCGTGTGTGGAGTTTTGCGTGCTACTAGTGTTACTCGCGCTGGATATTGATATGGCTTCGACTACTGAATTTCGTGGACTCGTGGTTGGTAGAAGTTCAGCCTTGTTCTTGGGCATCGGCGGACTTCCGATGTCTGAAGGTACACGAACAGCCCGATCTGGCATACGGTTGACTGGGGCTGTACTCTCTGAACCTTGGTACAATTGGTGCCATTTTTGCTTGACTCCAAGAAATTTGGTTCGAAATTTTTCTCGCTCGGCGCCGCTCAGGAACTGCAACTCGAACTCCTCGGCCTTGAAACAATCATGGTCTTCGTAGTACTGGAGCACCTTCGGACTCAGTGGTACACCGGCAGCGTAGCCTGCGTCAGCCTCTTCTTTCGTTGGACGAATCCACGAGGCATAGAAGGGCCGTTTTCGCTCTGAGGGATGTGGTCTGAAGAGCAAAACTTTGCTGTCCTTCTCATTTAAATTCAGCACCCAATTGACGTCAATTCTTATCGTACAAATGAAGCCTTGTTCATGGAGGTATATGGCAATTCGACAGGTTGGGGTATTTTGTTTGTCTCTCTCAATCATACGTGCTGCCCGGGCACTGCGGCTTCCCTCGAACGCAGTGGAGGTCTGACAAGCCGCGTTTCTTGTTGCTTCTCCATTGTCCTGCTCAACCCAGATTTGGATGGTTGCAGTGCCGAATTCGAGAGTTAGTTCTTCCTTGCTCTTCTGCAGCATACCTTTCACGAGGCCGCTAATTGAGGACGGTTTGCTCACCCTAAGATACTTCAGAGCATAACTCCCCGCAATATCTTGAGAAGTAAGAGTGGACTGAACGATTCGTGCGTCGGCAAGACCGGAGTCTCCGACAAATCCAAACATGGCATTTGGTATCACGGCTCGCTTGCCAGCGCTAAGAAACGAGAAATCGAGCCAGGTCCTCGTGGTATACGTTTTATTGGGATTCCAAAATGCGTACAACGGGAGAATTTTGACTTCGCTACGCCGGAAGGAAAGATTGACGGCCCCGCGGCTTGGTACTCTGCAATAGAGTTGCATGTATCCTGCCTCATTTTCGATCACATCGAGACGGGAGTTATCCCATTCATTGTCAGCAGCGGACCAGTGCAAAACCTCTATGTTGTTGATCGCTGAGCTACCAAGGAATGTCCCATCTGCTTCTCTAACTGTCCCATGCGAACCAGGCATCCTTGCAACAGCTTGTGCTTGGCTCATAGCGCTGGACAACGTCTGAACAACCCAGGAAATGTCTGGTCTCTCCTTGGCATTGGGCTTCAGCATGTGATCAACAAGATCAAGGATGCTTCTCAGAAACGCTGTGCTCTTTTCGCTGCTGTTCGTTGATGTTGCATGCCACTGTTCGAGACCCGTGATGAAGTCTCGAATCGCTTTCTTGACTACATAGTCCCCATTTGCTGTCTCCTGGCAGAAAAACCTCTCATCTTGGTATCTTGACCACGAAGGCATCGTACGGCGCGCTTGGTCCAGCCCAAAGAACCTATATGATTGGTCATTTGATCCAACCAAGCCAGCGTATCCAAGTACCATGAATGCGGTCACCTCAAGGACTATGCACCCGAGCGACCATATGTCATATGCTCGGCCGAAGTGCATATTCAAGTCTTCGATCTCGGGCGGAGCGTAAGCATCAGTCCCAAAATGGCCATCCACGCTGGGAGTTGTCTTTCCTCTTCGCCGCTGCGTGAGCGCAGCTTGGCCGAAGTCTGTGATGATCCAGTTGCCATCTTCCGACTCAACGAGAATATCGTCCGGTTTGAGATCGAAGTGGATGCACAATCTTTCGGTGTTATCAGTATTTTCCCTGCTATCGGCGCCATCCGCGAACCCATGAATCTTCTTGAGAGCCTTGGCAATTCCAAGCAGTTGTCTCCATGAATTCGCCTTTTCTAACATCGCATCCCTCTTGTAGCCGTAGCCGAAAACGTGGTCGCGAAGCAAATGATCTAGGTTCGTCCAGGCTTTCGGGAAAATGAGGTTTATCGTTGGGCCATGGCCGTAAGCTTTAATGAGCTTGACAATGTGGCCATCGTTGAACCGCTGAACGTGTTCGATATTGGATTGTTCGAGGAACGCTTGCGGTCTCGGTGTTGTTATCTGTTTCCTCACGAGCTCAAGCCTGGGGTTGACATCCTGATCCCAATAAGCTTCAATCATAAATTGGATGACATCGCTACTCACTCGGAATTTGCAATACTCCCGATGAATTTTGAAGGCGTACACTTTACTGTTCGCACCCTCGGAAGTCCAATGTCCAGCCTCATCTTCTCTCAACCCTATTACTTCCTCGCCGATGAATGGTAGTACAACGCCTGCATGGTACTGGCGGAAATTCTTTGTTTCCATGTGTGGAACAGCGAATTTTGGCAAATTGCTTGCAAACCTTCTTGCAAAAAGATCGAAGCGGCTCTGGTCGCGCTTCATGTCGCCCGTGTATGCCTCCAGATCGTCACGAGAGAACTTCGTTGCGTGGGTTACCTATGATTCCAGAAGCCAATCGCTGCAGCTGCGCCTCATAAAACCGACAATGAGGTGCGGATGCTCCGAAATTATTAGAAGACCAAAGACGCTGAAATGTGTTCGCCTCAAATCATCGCTGCTGTGGGGTCCTCCAACGATTTCGACCGCAGATGCGTCAAGATCGACTAGGGAGTTGTATAGATGCCTGTCTTTCGCGCAGTCTTCGCAACCGCAGTTCAGTATTTCGGTTATTTTCTGAAGTGTGAGATATTCCCTCAGCTCATCAAGCGGAAAGAACGATCTCTGTTCATCATCGAGCAGCTTCCGCTCGATGTCGTGCCGAGCTGCGCGACAAGGCTCTGGCATCTTCAAACACTGGGTCAGCCTTATTACAATAGTCGGTGGGTCGGTTTCGGTGGTACTAGACGCTCCCCACGGCGCCCAAATGCCATAAGGAGCAGGACAGCCCGATCGATGGATTTAGGGAAGTTAGCGTTGTATCACTGTGGGCCTGGCCGTCGAAGTCTCGTCTTGTGGAGATGGGCAAGTTGACTTCTTGTGAATACGATGACCTGGTAAGATAATCTTTGCGGCAGTTCAGGAGTGGCACACCCACCAACAAGGCAACTGATCGCCTCCAGGCAAATGTATTGCTTGCGGTGACCCTCCTATGCACTCGGTTCTGGTGAGTGCGCCACCACATCTTCTTACCGGTTCCGTCAAGCAATAGCCAGCCCCCAAATGTCAAGGCGAGAAGAAGGAGCGTAAGTACAACAAATATCCACATCTCCGAGGCGAATCTTAGTGAGGCTGGACTAGCCTTGGAATTCACCGTCAGGTACCCCATGCTGAGGAATTGCTGTAATTGTTAGTCAGTAGATCCTGCACGCAACTAGTAGACTTACCGAAACGAAGGATGCTGGAAGATAGATGGATGTCAACCAGGTCACCTTTTTTAATGTCGAGGCATCCCTTTGCAACTTCGTTGTCAGTTCCACCATATTCTTGCTATCGATGTCGGCCAGCCGCGCCATCTCGTTGGAATTCTCGCTGCTCGTCTTCAACGAGTCCAGGCCACGGAACGATATGATATCCTGCATCTAATTGAGATGTCAGTTGATGTTCAATAGCTACAATACTATGTCTTACTAGACTTGATCCGCTCTTTGCCCTCTAGAAGATTTTCGACTCGGATTGATTGTTGCTTCAACTCATCTAAAAAGAGTTCTACATCGTGACCATGGATTACTTTGGCTTTCGCTTTCGAGCAAATGCCTACGTTGGAGCTCAAAATATATCTCGCGGCATTCATGCGATCGTTGATAACCTGTACATCTTGAAAGTTGGAGTACTCAATGGTTAGCACCGGCAGCACCTGTGGATGCAGACGGGTATGGCTTCGCCATTGGCCTCTATACATACGGCCATGTGATTGCTAGTAGTAGGTGCTTCTTCTGATGAATTATTTCTGACCATTAACCTTTTCGTTCAGCATTCGTGGCGATTGCGCTCATCTGGCTGCAAAAGCGCATGAAGACCTCGCACGTTGAGGAGTACCAACTTACTTTCTTCACGAACAAGTATCTTCTGAAAGCCTTTTCATTTGTTTTCGCTGGCGCTAATATCGTCATCCTCAGTTTTGCTGCCAAAGAAGAGTCTCCAGGAAAGATTGCAAGGTTCTGGTGGCCTGTCACCATTGTTGCTCTCGTCTTTGTCGGCTTTATCTACTGGGCCGGCATACGCCTTACCACAGTGAAGGTAAAATGGCATGGTAAACATGGAAATGCTAGGGCGGTCGAAATCGGTGACATAATTGGTTTCAAGGTCGTAGTGCATAACGATGACGACAGGGCGCCGCAAGAGATCAAGAACGATATCGCGGAGAAGCTGCACTCGCAGATTGACGGCAGTTCAAGGAGGGTAAAAGTTGAGACCAGCGGCTGGGTAAAGGCGCTAGGTGAAGGGGTTGATGGTTTTAAAAACTTTTGGTCGCGGTTTTTGTTCTAAGTTACCAGATCAATCGTCCCTTGTTGCGCTTGCAGTTCAAGAGCACTAGATGTAGTCTATTCATCGAGCGAGCTAGTAATTAGTAGAAAGGGCCCGAAAAGAAAACTTTGGTTATAGACTTGCAATACAGTTGAAGAATGTCCAAAGGTTTTTATAAGCTTTAATAGAGCGAGTCTTAGAGATAGAAGCCGTGGGAGTCTCACACCGGCAGAGATTGACATATAGATTGCGCAGTGCAAGAAGACGGCCAAATTCACGAAGGGTTTTAAGCTCATAGTAGCCTGCTTTTGATAGGTTGTACCTAACACTTGAGCTCTAATCTAAAGGCATTCAGCACGTTATCTTTTGTGCTGTGTTAGTGTAGGATGCAGGGTATACCTTCAGTGTAGAACTTGAGTGTTGAGTACAACTGATAAGATACAAGCTTCTCCTTACGTGGTAGACGAGCGAAGAGGTTCAGATTGAGCATATCTATCAAACAACTAGATCTGACAAGTGCACCAGCAACTCTGTCAGTGAGAAAAGATAGATCATGTTCAACAGAAGCCTCCGTCATGGTAACGGATCATGTAACCTTTTGCTAATCCTCTCTTACACTGCGATTGAATTCCGCCGTGACCTAGAATTCTCGCTCACCCAATTGACCGCTCTCTCAAACCCGTTCTTCCCCGTTCGAAAGTCCGCGATAGCTTGTGCCACCTCCTCCCTACTCGTAACAACAAACGGGCCATACTGAACAATAGGCTGCTCAAGTGGCAGACCAGCAACTAGGATAAAACTAGCTGCCTGGTCCGCATTATCCTTGACACTAACATCGACAGAATCGCCCTCCTGTTCAAAAACGACCATGTGGAACTGGTCAACCGACCGCGCCGGCAAGCCTCCGCTGTTGTCGCCATCAGACACTGCGATACTGCCCTCAAGGACATAGCAGAAAGCGTTCCAACCCCGTGGCAGGGATTGTTTGAAGCGCCCACCTGGCTGCACAGTAAAATGCAAGTACCAAACCGGCGTATATGAGAGTTCCTTGGCACTCTCAACTCCAAACGCCTGGCCACTAATCACTTTTACGTGAACTCTACCGTCGTCTTCACTTGTTGCTTGGGGAATATCTTTTGCTCTCAGATCGCGATACCTTGGTTCGCAGTACTTTAGCTCCTTGGGAAGGTCGACCCAGAGTTGCATGCCGACGTTTGGTTCACCATCAGCAGTGTTCCGTGGTATTTCCGAGTGCATGATTCCACGGCCTGCGGTCATGAATTGCAGATCGCCAGCTTCGAGCGTCCCTCGGTTACCGGCGAAGTCTTCGTGGTCGACGCCGCCTTGGATGATGTACGATATTGTTTCTTGTCCCTTGATTCTTTTGTCAGTAATGGAACAGGACTTAGAGTGAGGGGGCGACTACTCACACGGTGGGGGTGGTCAGGGGCGCCTGCGTCCATGTCGTTACCAAAAGTGCTATTGAAGTGGTCTAGCATGACGAATGGGCTCAGATGACGCAACTTTCCTAGTCCGATTCCACGTCGCACACGCATGCCTGCACCTTCTTCTACTTCGGCAGCAAGAAATAATTTAGAAATCCTGCGCGGCGCATGCGTGCTGTATGTTTCATCCGGGATAACGGGGAGGCCGCGGAACATTGTCGTACTGGGGTTGCTGGTCATGTTACTGGTAGAGTGATGATTCTTGCTATAAGTTGGTGTTGTCTCTTTTTTGAAAGATCTTGCGATGCGCGATAACATGAGGTCGTTATTACACTGGATTGATGCGGTGGTGCTGACGATGGCGAAGATAAAATGGATTCTAGTGAAGTTGAGTATTTAAACATGCGGGTCATATATAGGATATTGGTAAGTATCTGTAATGTCGGGCTACAATGGCTACATAATTGTGCTTGTGGAAGCAAGTATGAATGGTGTGTAATGCGCTCGGATGGTACAGTTGCCGCGTGACAAATGGAGCGCGGAATTGTCAACGCCACGTTCCGCGCGCTAGCGAGATCAAATACTCAGCAAGCTGGAACAGTGCTCAAGCTATCTCGCCGAAAGCATCCTGTGATGAAATTTCCTGGAGCACGTTGATAGGAGGGAGGAGGTGTGGAAGATTGTTAACGCCATTCGGTGAGGTGTAGAGGAGACGATGTGTCGAACTGGAGTGAGGTCGCGGCTGGCTAGTACTAATTAGATCTCATGGATTATATATTGACTATATACCTGCAATTGAGCATTACTGCAGTCATTTCCTAAACGTGCAAAATCGGAGGCCCATCTCGCCATACATCATGCGTAGTGCGTCATGTCCTCCATCGCCATTTCTTTACTTTCGTACTGCATGAGTCCGCAGTCAATGACACCGCTTGAACGCCAGGTGCTAGGGAAAAATGCCATATTATGGTACATAGAAGAGGATGTTTCAGTGAAAATACTGCAAATCAGGAACGCGATAGAAGCAAAGGGGTATTCTGGGGGTATCCATGGTGCGACAGTGGGAAGTGGGCGCACGTAAGAATGGTGGTAGATTGTGGGGTGTTTGGTTGGGGTCATGAGAGCCGTAGTGGACGAATTACTGTTCAGCGTCTGTTTACCTGGATATGTTAGTACATCTGCATCGTCTTAGAGGAGTGTTTTCATCACTTACCGGTATCCCCGGCCTCCCCGTGTGCCTCTCCTTTCGCGGTAGTCCTCATGTTCTTCAATGACCTCGACGACATCGTCGCCCGGTACGCGTTGTTGTCTCTCTACGACGATGCTCCTCGCCCTTGGTGCCGCCTGCCTCCTCTCTTCAACAATGATTTGCGATCGTCCGCTGTTCCGCCTCGGGCTCCTACTAATCTCGCGGATTTCACCAGAACGGCGTCGCGAGGAGCGTGCGCCATGTGAACTACGTCGTGGCCTGCGCACTACAATCTCCTCTTCTCCAGCCATGGCCGTGGTCGTGCCCGTCTTATTGTTGGTGTTGGTCAAAGACTGTATGAGCCAGCAGATCAGGAGAAAGCCGGCGACACTGCCTAGCACGATGCCGACCACGGTACCAGGCTCAGGGCCCGAGATGTTGTAGTAGGTGGGTATTATTCCCTGCTGGGTATATATAATGTTTTGTCGCTTGGCAATGGGTGCTGACTTGGGCGCATCCAAGACAATGGCTGGCACATGGAAAGCAGGCTGTCGGGGGTTGAGGCCCGAATCGCGGGGCGCCATGTTCGCAATGGCATTGTAGTGGTCGCGTACGGCCGGCATGGCGAAGTCTAGCAATTGTGCGACACTGGCCGCGAGAATGCGCGTTGGCAGCGAAGTGGTAGTGGTGGGTTTTCGGCGTGTTTGGGCTGCCGTCGTCTGGGGGAACAGCAGTTCGTGGCCTGAGACCGAAGATGCCGGCGCTAGTTGTGGGGGAGGCAGATCAATGTGTGGTGTCGCGGCAGCAGATGCAAAACCACAATGCTAGAGAGCAAGTAGAACGAAAGATGCAATTGTGGGTTGCCGAGAAATCCGTCCAAAGTAAGAGGAAAAGGGAAAGCAGGGCACGCTTGGTGAGATTTGACACAGCGGTGCGCTGGTTGACTACGACGCCATGATGCAATTATTCATCTGCTATGGGGGCTGGGGCCCAATAATAGGAGGCTGAACTCTCAACACCACGTCCCGCACCGCGCAACATCACGACATCCAATAACCGACGGATCCCGCGACACAGCTCTCTTACTGATCAAAGTTGTCGCAATGCCTCACCTTTCCCATCGCACATTGCCATGTCATCAAAAGCCATCTGCAACGCTCCGCGGGAGGCGCAACGCCTAAATTTCGACCTCATCTCAACTTCGCACTTAGAACGCGGCTCTAGAAACTTGACTTACACCGTGTACTCTACCCGCCCATACTTGTTTCTTTCTCGCTCATTTTCTTGATTCGACCGCACTACCCTGCATCGGATCCTGCCTTCTGCACATGCCATCCGGCCAATTGCCGCGGCTTTGCGCGCCGAAGCCATACAGCGCTTGTCGCGCCCTCACGTGAGGGCTCCGCGGACATTCTGGTCCCCACAACAACACCCTTCACAACACCCTTCACAACACCCTTCACAACACCGTGAAGCGCCATGAAAGCAAAGCAAGTCTTGTATGAGCTCTTCCATCCAAAGCCCAGAATGGAGCTACTAGTTGATCTCACGAAAACTGCAAACATTAATTTACATCCCGAACATAGCCGTAGCACAGCCCCAGCCACAAGGTAGGCTCGTGTCAGTCTCGACTACAAGTTCCACTGAAAATCTTCTTTTACGTCAGCCACCACTTCTCATCTGGATCAACACGACGTTCTTGGTGAGCGTAACACAAGCTAAAAAGAATATCCATCTTATCCAGGGTCATCGTCGCGGAAGGCTCAATCAACCGCCTGCTCTGGCCTATCCCCCAGAGAGGCCGAACATGCAACGAGACTCCCAACTCACGCTCCGTGAAATCCATGGATGTATTGAGAATTTGGTATGCAGCATCGCAGATATTCAAAAACAAGCTCTGGTGAAAGTAATCGAAGACGATACGCCTCTAAATCTACGGTTCATCACGCCTTATCAACATTCCGAGGACTGGACGACAGATGAAAACTGTTCCGAGTATGCTCTTACCTTACCTGGTCACCTCGGACCTGGTCAAGAGTATATATCTGTTTCGTATACCTGGGCCCACTCGCAAAAAATAGATGAATCGTCGCCCTTGCCAGACTATCGCATCAGAGATGAGGCCACTCCAGATGCGCCCTCCAGGCCGATCAAATGTCCACCTTTGGTATTCCACCGTGCAGTTGGCTTTGCACGAGCACGGAATTGTCCCTATGTCTGGATCGATCAAGAATGCATATACCAGGACGACGCAGAAGACAAAGAAAGACATCTGCAGATCATGCACAAGATATATAAGGATAGTAGATGGACGGTTGCCATCTTGTCAAATGAGATGCCCGACACCATGCTTAGCGCTCTGTCGCTAGTTACGCATAAGGTCCATCAGAAATGGAATGGGATGCCACAACTTCAAAATTGGCCGGCCAACGTCCATATTTCTCCGCTCTTCAGAGACTTTATAAAAGACTCTGCTACAGCATTGGCCTCTGTTCTTTCCGACCGATGGTTTAGACGTGCCTGGACCTTTCACGAAAAGCACTGTGCCTCGGCATGTGTATTGCTAGCTCCAGTTAATCACAGAGGCGATGCGGCTGCGCAGTTACCTTTGGATTGGATCGGAAACGATGTTTGCTTCTCATTCCGCAGTGTACGCGACATGGCCAACCTTCGCACAGTCTTGCAACCGTTGGACCATGAACCTTGGCCGTTACAATATCGCTTTGGACTCGCACCTTTCCTATACGAGATAGATCCGTCGAAACCTACGGCCTATGGTCTATTATTCGAGGTGATGGAGAGATGTGATAACCTCGTCTGCTCAGATAGACTCACGATACTTGCCAACGTTTGTAGCTATCGTTACAAGTTGAACTCCACGATACTGAACGACGCAAAGTACAGCTACAGTACCTGTATACTCGCGCTTATCATGGCAAACGAAGTCGATCATGAGACTGGTGAGCAGGGAATAAACATATTGGAACTCGATTTAGACAAGCCGATCGAGGAGGCATTACGAACGATGGGCGTGATTAAGAACGATTGGAATCACTTAGCGTAGCTGGTTTTGTTGCATACATCTACTTGTAGTGTAACTATACTTCCTGCCATTGCTTTTGCTACATACTGCGGCCCATTACCTATAATTCAACGCCAAGTACAATATTCACATCTGGAAGCTTCATCAGCGTCGAGGCCTTTTCTGCAGGAAGCAGCTTTTCATCCGGGCCGTACCTTGTAGCCAAATCGTTCTCTGGTCTCGGATCTGTAGACGCTGATCTGGGCGGGGAGGTTCAAAGGCCTCAGGTGGTCAATTGAGCCTCTCATGTCCGGCACATCCTCTGGAAATGATTCCAAAAGAGCGTCTATGATTCTGTATCGTGCTGCTTCGAGGATCATTCTCTCTATATTTGTGGGAAAGCCATTTCTCGCAAATACAGCGTCACGACCCAACCTCGAGAACGAAAGTTTTTCTCAGGATCATGTTCAAATGCTTAAAAGGAAGTGCCCTGTTTACGCAAAATGTGGGCAAGGCTGAGCCCACTGCAGAACTCGATGGCTGTTCTCGACCTTTATCCCGATCATCAATTCTCTCCCCTGTTCTCACTCTATCGTCGCCTCCACCATCGGCTTCAACATGCCCGCAATGACCCCATCCGCTATGCTGCTCGGCAACAGCCCATACACCAGCCCATCCTGCACTGCATGCCAGAAATAGGACGTCACGCACCGATGACCATGTCCTACCCTCGCTAGAATCGACTTTGCCATGACGTCTGCTGTCGGCATCAGGAGCACCGCTTTGAGATTTGGATCTCTCTGAAGTTGTTGAGTGTAGGTCGGGCCCACAACGACCTCCAAGATCTCAACAGAGGACTTTGCCTCCGCTTGCTCGGCGAAGAGGGCGCGGTTCCAGGCGTGCAAAGCGCCCTTGCAGCCCGAGTAGGCCGCAACGTAGGGCTGGCCGACTTGTGCACTTGATCCGCAGGTCAGCACGAGCGTAGGCTTGCCTTGGGCAGCGAGCTGCGGGAGAATAGCGCGGGTGAGTTGGAGTGGAAATTGGACGTTGAGCGAGAACAAGGCCTGCATTTCTTCAGGTGTAGTCGACTCGAAGTATTTGAAGTTGCTGGACAGTGGGGCGGTGCCGCCAACATTGTTGACGAGGACTGTCAGTAGGCCGGGCAGCTTGCCCACCAGTGCAACGATGCGGTCGATATCGGCGCTGGTGAAATTGCTGGCATCTACAGTAACGGTGCAGAAGTCACGCTGAGGGTAAGCGGCAGCGAGTTCGTCGCGCACGTTGGAGAGCTTGGCCTCGTTGCGGCCATGGATAAGGACGTTGAAGCCGCGCGCGGCGAGTTCGGAAGACATCGCGCGCCCAATACCGTCGCTGGCACCAGTGACGAGGGCCCAGCTTGCTTTACCTTCAGGGCTCTGGCGGAGGTACTTTGGCAGGCCCGAGGCGTAGAACCAGTGGATCAGTGGGGGCGGCATGCTCGCTGTTTCACGTAACGTGATGTAGTAAAAAAGCAAGTATAGTCGAGCTGTAGAAGCGGAGGCCTGTAAAGATGATGCTTGATGCTTCGAATCATTTATGCGCTGTTGAAGTACATACATATACTCCGCAGGCCACACGCAATCGTTCGATACTTTTGCACTTTTAATACAGGGCGAAACCTCACTCAGGGAAGAATCTGACCCAAAGGCGCCATACTCTTGTTATTGCACTTTCGATGTGCGTATCATGCACAGCGCGACAATGCGCCAAAGTTCTAAGTCCGATGCATTACTCACAGGGAGGTGGCGTTGAGTTGTGCCCGGACGACCGGACGAAAAGCGGCCTTTGAGAGACTGCAGGGTCGCGAGCCTGAGAAATCATATCGACTTTAGGTAAGGGTGAAGGTGCCAGACTGGCGGGATCAGGCCAGAAGGGGGACGCTTTGTACTACTTGCTACGCAAGCCGCCAGCGACTGCATTCTGGGAAAATGTTGAACTAAGCAGCTTAGACCATGCCACGAGGCTTTCCAATCACGTAATCCATGTCACAATATGCAGAGCGGGTGGAGACGCAGGTTGCGCCGTACTCGATATCGCGCTAGGCCTTAGCAGGCTAGTATAGAGGGAATCTGCTGGATAATGTACGAGCGTCTCTCGCCTTTGCCACTCGTGCGACGGCTGTGCCCTTCAGAATGAAATTTCACCATGTGCACTCTACACGGCTCCCATACAAAGAACCTAGTGGACCAAATAGACAAGTGTCATGATCGAGAGAATGCGTCTCTAGCTCTACTAGCACAGCATATTAACTTTTCCTTCTAGTTTACAAAACCTAGCTAGTTCTCTTAACTTAGACGTTGGTGTACACTACTGCGCAGAAATAACATCAAGGGATATTTTCTCGCTAAGCATAAAGACAGCAAGAATTGGAAATGCACCTGGAGCTCGGGAGAACGCACTTGCGTCGACAACACGGAGACCCTCAACGCCACGAATACGGAACTTTTCCATACATCGGTGCTGACGAAATAATTGCTCAGGCCAGAAATTTTACCTCGTCAGCGGCGGTGATAACTGCCAAAAGATCGTCGATACCTACAAAACCTTCAGTTTAGCCCAATTGTAGGTTAACACAGAATTCCCGTCGTCACGAGCCCTCTAACTCTGAATGAACAGCTACCAGTGGAATCCTGCGGCCGGCACAGGCAAGTCATTCTTTTTTTCACAGTTCTATCAAAACATACTGACTTATTATAGGCTGTGGCGCTCTCTGGCCAGATTACTTTGTCTGTGTTGGTGTGCCAGGCACACCTACCGCTCCACCTCCCGTGACCACTACTACAGCCCAAGCACCAACTGTTCCAACTCCTACTGGCCCTCTAAGGCCCTGCCGCTAGAACCCTTCCAAGGAACAGTATGACTGTCCTGGTGTCTGGCCTGCTGCTCCCGGTCCTACTCAGGAAGGTGTCCCTTACAACTGCGTAAAGTGGGTGCTCCAGAAGACTAGGATGATTTGCGCCGACAGGGCCAAGACAGGAAGGATTTCCCTAGATACATTTTGTTCGCTGAATCCTTCGGTTAGAAAGAACTGTGTCGCACTGTGGGTGGGTATGCGTACTGTCTGGCGACAGGCTATTAAGCATTCGGCTTGGGGTGCTGCTTGAAACGAAAACTCGTAGTGCACTCCTGTGATTGATGAAGCTTTCAGCACGCACAACGCCTTCAGCACTCGCTTCTCTTTTCTGAGTGTTGTGTATAGGGCCATTCGACAGTAATGCGGCTCCGCACCTGGGCGTAGGCGCAAATACTTTACTCAGTGATTACACACGGAGGAGCTCACACGAGGTTAATCGCAGCGGGCGTAATTTGTAATGTAACATGGCGACTAGCCAAATGCTTTATGAGCGGCCTAGTCAGGTAAACTTGTACTGTGCCTAGGCAATTCGAAGAGAGCATTCTCAGTCATGCCACGCCTAGACGACTGTCATGTTCTAGAACGTGTACTAGTTAAAGCGTTAATTTTGTGCGGCCTACGTTCGCCCGCAATAGTTTACATCCGCTTAGCATCTACATGAAGAGCGACACGGCCGAATAAGTATAATCGTCTGCCTTCTCTTCTCAACCAAGTCGATTACTACTATTTAAGCCTCATCCGCCACCATGAAGCCAATCTACTCGCGCGATAAGTGCGTCGCCGCGATTTACGACTTCTACGACTTCCTGGGAAAGATGCTCTTAGATTTGCCCGCGTCTATCATCTACCCACCTCCTAGCAGTTAGCCTAACATGACTCCCGAAGTTATAGATTGTCTAGGCAAAGACCTAGAAGTCATAAATTTGCTGCGTCGCCAGCCGTTCCCAGATGACCGACCTTACACAGCGCGGCCACAGTGTTTGCCTAGCTGCCCGGTCTATGCCTAGAAGACTTTGGTAGACAAGCTAAAGGAGGAGAAGGCAGATAGAGAAGATTTGCTACTCGCAACAGAGAGTGAAGAAGACAAGTTTAGCGGCAAGATTCCTAAATATTGCGTAGGTCTTACGCACGCTCTTAATATCAGCGAATACGTAATGCTGTTAGACGTCAAAACCGGGCTGGTATATTAGATAGACTGCCTAGATGAGAATTTGATGGTGTGTAATCCTCAGCCATCACATCTAGTGTATAATTTAGAGGGCGAAGCAAAGGCAGAACAAGACAGAAGCGTCGTTGTTGCAGATGGGGAAGAGGATGACGCCGAAGCTTCAGACGACAACAGGGAACACGAAACGCCTCCGACATCCGACGACGAGACTGACGACGAGGGCGATGAGAACGATGATTCTGAGGTCGATGACGAGTCGGAAGACGTGAAATGGGGACCCTGCTGGCCGGTCCGCCACTTCTTCGCCATGTTGAAGAACTACTTCATCAAGCTGAACTTCATTCCCTATAGTAGTCAGCGCATCGTTCAAGTCTGGACGGAGCGATACACTGACCATAACCAAATCCCTAAAGGTATTGCGGAGTTTCTACAGTCCATATATCACAAGCATGGGTGGCCTAATCTAAACGTCTATCGGAAAGAAGCGTGTTTAGCAGAGCTCGAGAAAGCGACGGGAACTAAAGGTACTAAATACTACAACCTCGGTTAGTCGTGAATACTAGAAGAGAATTTGGGAATGGGAGGGACCGAATAATGCAGTACTAGTTAATATCACCTGAACCGTTAAGCAGACTGAACAATTGGATAGCCTGCCCAACAATGGCATGGATGTTGAGAGTGGAGTTTAAGACACGAGTAAAATTATATTATTACAACAATTTCCCCCATTGCCCACCACATCAAGCCTAATCCTGAAGATGTAAGGTGTGCGTGACCTTCCTAGCCGCTGTTAGGGCTAGCGATAAGTACCTTCGGGCTTTTCCCTAGACTTATTAACAATTAAGCTTTTGTAGTGGAGTGTTCTGTTGGTCCTCCATCGGAACGGGTGCTCGATGCAAGTAGATGGGGTATATTGTTGTGTATATGTGTGTGGTGTTCGTTGTCTGAACCTAGTTCAGATATTCCTGTCCCTTTTCTACCCTCCGCGTTATCTCCGAGTCCGATAGCCCTTCAGATCTGCAGTTCCTCTAGATTCTCTACCACACTGTTACCTATCTACGTTCAAGCTAATTTAAGCCTAGTAGCGTATGGTAAAATAGTATTAATTAAGCTTATAGACGCTAGCTTTTTTAATAATAAGATTAATAGACCTAGGCGTAGGGCGTAAGGCAATTATTGTTGCTGTATATTCGATCTTACGATACTTTTTTAGTGTTAAGATTAGCATTAAAATACTAAAAAAATTTACTACAACGCTATAACGTATGTGTATATACATAAAACCTTTATAATCTTTGTGTTGTACACGTAATTTAAAGAGTAAAAAGAAGATCTTACCGTCGTCCGCTTCGGCCCAACCGCAAAGTATGCTCAGGCATGCGCCTCAGCCGCAGCAGGTCCTGCAGAGGGGCTTAGGCCAGCTAAGCCTCTCTGTGGAATCCACCTTAGCCGTCGACCTGCCTTCATATTCGCGCTCTAGCTGCTCATTACAATAACGCAACGCTTTCGAACGTACGGGTAATGCGCGCGCAGCGAAAACCCCGCAATGGCCGAAGTCGTGGGCCTTGCAGCTAGCATCATCCAGATCGCGGGGGCTGGCGCCAAGCTCAGCGTCGCATTGTACAACTTCACGAACTCAGCCGCGCGAGCAGACCAGGACATCAAGGACATTGCCGATGATGTAGAACTCACCTCCAACGCGCTCGAGAGCGTAGGAAAGGTGTTTGAGTCCGAGGATGCCAAGTCAATTGTGTCGAAGAAGGCCATCCAGGACGCTAACAACCTTATCAAAAAATGCCAAGGTGTCTTCAATGAAGTGTCGGAAATGGTGGAGAAAAGGAGGAAGGTGGGAAAAGATGGAAAGAAGACCTTGAGTGTGATGGGTAAGTTGGCATGGCCAATGAAGGAGCAGCGAGTCGAGTTGAATCGAAGGAGGCTAGAGAGCTTGAAGAATAGCCTTGTGCTTTTGTTGCATGTCTTGCAATTGGCACAAGGTCAGTCGCGAGGGTTAGATAACACAATCACTGCTACGTATACAACGCAGCTGACAACAGCAGTAGGAGAATGGAAAAGAGTGTCATGGAAGAAGAGCGCGACAAAATCCGCGAATTGCACCAGCGCCAGCAAGAGTCACTCAAAAGTTTACAAGCCTTGGAGGGCAGATTTTGCAATATTGCACTTGATGACGAAGACCATCTTCAGGGATCAAGCCTTGTCTCCCCTATTCCAACATTGAAGCTCATGGCCAACGCTCAAACCATGAAACTGCCCCCACTAGAGAAACGTACAAGATCTATGACAAACACCATCACCATCGATCTTTCCGGCACAGATGATTCCGACACGTCCGATAGCGACGCCATGATGACAGATGAAGACGACGAGCATATATCCGTTGAAGAATTATCGAGAGCGGCGAAGCACGTTACAAAACTGCTCGGTCGTATCACGGTGCTTCAGAAGAGTCTCCGTACTAACCAGAACCCTCATCGGAAGCGACGCGTGCACAAAATGTACCAACGTTTCTGCCGCAAGTTTGAGTTAGATATCAACCTTGCTCAAGCTGCAGGCCCATCACCAGATGTTGAGAACAAGTCCCACAGTACTGCGTTGGAGGACTATGAGATAACTACCCGTAGCTTTGGTATTGGACCAGGCCCTTATGGATGGGTATCCTATCACCCGAACCCGTTGACGCACCGACTAGCACCTGCGAGTACCGAGGGTATGGCAGGACGGGCGCCCAAAGGACGAAAGAGAGCCTTGAATGCTGAGCAGCGCCGCCATGCAGCGTTGATGCGGATTGTTGGCGCTTGCTCGAATTGCCAACTACGGAAGGAAAGGTGTGACCCTGGCACTCCGTGCAGGGCCTGTCTTGAACATTACAAAGGAGATCTAGCCAACCATCCTTGTCGGCCTCCTGAGCGTGAGAGTAGCCAATATGAGACGCACAAGCCTCCGGAAACACGACCTTCGACCCGGGACCGCCGTCCATTCGACCTAGCGGTCGTGGACGCTGGTTCCGTGGAGGGCTTCGACTCTGACAGTTTCCTTCATGTCGGGGCTGAGAGTACGCCATTTCCAATTGTTGATCTTGGAGATTTTGACCCACGAGCTCATGCACAGCTCAATAGCACAACACCCGCAGGTCCTCTTCCCACCTATCAACGACCAGATGGCGAGTACGTTCTACACAGCCGCAGCAGAGCTATTGCCATTCCTGATGCTATCCGTGAATCCACCAGCTACAAGAATCGACCTCCAGTCTCTACATCAGCACGAAGAGCTCCTCCTATGCCCTCAGTATCACCAGTGGCTTCACATTACCCTCGTTCTCAACACAAAACTTCTACTTCCTCTCTCTCGCCTGACCCCCATGGGAGAGTATCCTACAATATTATGAGCGATCCTCCGAACTCACATTCCTACCCTGTGACGACAGCTCCAGATGCAGCACCACATCCTCATCATGGAATGTCTGATCAGCAAGGGAAGTTACCGTCACTAATGGTTGATCTGCCTCGAGCATCGCAGTCTGCACCTTCTCTGCGATATCCCTCACCTCTGAGAGAAACGCAGCACGGAGCTATGCCTCAGATTCCTGCGCCTGTACAAATGGATGCTTCAACACCAGGTCTACGGCACGGACAGCACAGTCCTCTCCCCGGCCGATCTGAGGAAAAAGGTGGCTTTGTGCAAGCTGCGGGCGCCGCCGGTTACATGGAGAACAGTGACAAAGACTGTAGTAGCGACCGAGACTCATCCGGAGAACGAGAGCGTGAGCGCCGAAAGGCAAGCGATGAGCGCGACAGGCGAGACCACCCCATTGAACGACAGGAGAGGAAGTCTGAATGGAACTTCATTTCGAGTGGGTACGCATTGCCCATCGCATCGACCGACTTTCCTACATTCAGCAGCGCACTTTACCATCAAGCACGCACTTATCGTCAGGCTCAGATGCAACAACAGCAACAACAATCAGACCAGATTCAGATACAGCAACAAGATGCGATGCAATTACAGAGTCCATCCACGCCTAGTCCTGCTATGCCTATGCTCACCAGGCCCATGCTACCTTCGACGAATCATGCTCTTCAAGACTATCAATACCAGTTGAGGTCCTTGGAGCAACAGAACAAGAAGAGGTTACTAATATCTCGACAAGAACAAACTGATGAAAGCGAACCACCTGCGAAAAGAGCTCGACCTACTCAGTCTGAAGAGGATGCAAAACAAGGCTTGCTTCTACCTCCGGTTGCCTCTAGTTCGCGACTCGATCCTATCATCGCCAGCGTTAGCACCGGCTCACCCGGTAAGAACTGGATGGAAATCCGCTCGCTCTCCAGTAGCGATAATGGCTGGGTTGACGTCGATCCCGGCCATGGCTACCACAACTCCTACCACTACTCAGATAGCTCCGCCACCATCTTCAACCCTGTTCAGTCACTTCACATCCGCACTGGCTCCGACGTGCCACGATCGTTGCAATCTTTCAGCAACTTCGAGGAAATACAATTTCCCAATTACTTGCCTCAAACGGAGACTGACCAGACAGCTGCAGATTCGTTCAATATACTAAACCGATTTCGGGAAGGAACTAAGACCATTCCGAATCCGTTTGAAACATTGGAAGAAACAACTCTCCTGAAGAAGATGCTAATGAATATGGACCCGGCAACAAAGAAAGAGCTGTTGCAGCTACCTGACCCGCAATTTTGTGGGACGGTGCAGAAGTACTTGCAGAATGTGATGCAGACGCAGACGGGACAGTCGAGGACGCCCCCGGAAGTTTCATCTACAGAGCAGGTCTCATATGGAAGCGCCATTAATGAAGTGGCGGCGCCACCACCGAATTCCCCCAGGAAGACCTTTCCTCAACCTGCCATGTGTCGGAAGTCTTCCCAATCCCCCGAAGCTACAATTCACTGGTCTGGATCACGTTCGGCGGCTGAGTGCTTTCCGCTATGTGACGAGACGGAACGAGACGACGACGGTTGTTGTAGGCAGGGGACGCGGATGGGAAGTGATACAGATGAGTTCCCTCCCGGCGGTGCATATAATGCTTCGTTGGTGCACAAGGAGAAAGAAGAGCCTATATCGCGAGGTCCGAGCGGAATTTCACCAACAGGTGTCTCAGGGCCTGCAATAAACTCCAAGACGAGGAAGAGGACTAAGAGTGGATGTCTCACCTGTCGGAAACGCCGCATACGTTGTGGTGAGGAGAGACCTACTTGTGCTAACTGCACTAAATCTAAACGTCAGTGCGAGGGCTACAGGCAGAGAGTCACCTTTGAACCGCCAGTCGGGGACTGGCCAAACTATCCTCCAGGTGTGGTCAGCACTATACAACATCGCACTTCAATGCTCCCTGGAACACGTACCGAGATTGGAAATACTTTAGACTCCGTTGACAGAGATATTGTCGATGTGCTGCTCGAGCAATGGACTGTGCCAGTGTACTGACGGCGTAGGTTGTTCATGTCTATCTCATGACTGTACGATGGTTCTACGCAGCGAATTCATTCTAAAGTATTTTGATTAGTTCTTATGAAATAATGCCTCTCGCACACCTAAGACAGGAAGCCGCTCGTTGTACACTCGATATCGATTGCTTCTTCTGCGAGAACATAGTCAGAGCTGAGCTTCTACCACCAGGGAATCCGCTCGAAAAGTATCTTGCTGGCCGTGATGAGATAATTACCCATTTGCCACATTTTAAATGCTCACATCACACGCGCGATGTGCCTTAATTTGCGATCACAGTCAATTTCAGCCGTTAAGGTATGTGGCAGACGCGTTTCTCTCGCAATCGCGACATTTGTTTTGTACCTGTGTGCTGGAAAGTAGCAGGAAGCGTTTTCCGTCGTTGTACGGGATTAACACCATGAACCTGGCGCTGATATGAGACATTGTGGAGAGAACGTTGAGATGGAATGGTTAGTCTCGGTGGGACGAAGCGGACCTGATATCCAACCAGGACAAGTGCGGTGGCGGGGTTAGCTTCGTCGCGTCTTAGGCGGGCAGGCACATGGGGCTGTGCAGGTACTCTCTCACGCATAGCATCTTCCGCAGTGTCACCTGCTCGTAGGTTTGTATTAAATTTAGCCACACTCTCTTGAGATGGTGCCGTTGGCACAGTTGCTGGCCAGAAATCGCGTTCATTAGGGATGGTTTGTGTGCTCCCCAACTGTCGCAAGAGTAGATGTACTGGATGCGCGCATCAGAGCAGCAGGAGCGTGAGATTGGTGCATAGAAGGCGCGAGCCCATCTCCGTGGTCGAGTATGATGGACCCGAGCTCTTGAGATGCTGTAGGTTGATGCCAGGATGAGGATCTGCACATCTTCTGAAACACAGCCTCAGTTGCAGCCATTGGGGGCCGTTTATGCACATACATGAGATAAGAGATCTGGCAGCTCCACTTAATCTATTACATGGGAACCGTCTTATCGAAACAACTACTGTGCGTTCCACTTCCGCCATGAAGCTCATCGACCTGATCGTAACGCTCTGCCATCTCCTCCTTATTACCGAAGCCGTCCCAGTGAACACAGAGGAGGGTTGCGCCACACGACCATGCCACGAAAAGCAACTTGAGACTAGAAGCAGAACTAAATGCGACCACCCTTCGAAATACACCGTGCAGTGGTTCATCGAGAACGCGACAAAGCGGCCCGAACCTACATCATGTCTCTTTTACACGCGCGGCTTGAGCAGAGCGGCGCGTCGCTACGCGAAGTCGAGATCTAGGGACGAGGGGCCTCCTCTCACAACGATATGGGTATTTGTGTGCTTGCTGTGCGTGCAAAATCCTTTCTAACTAAATACAGGATGTGTGGCCCAAGGAGTACTATAGCAAGAGAATCACGACCACCAATCCATTACGATGTATCATGCAGAACAAGGAAACGCAAACACAGTATTACTATAGCATGTCCGAAGCTTTCGCCTCCATGTGCTATGTCTTCGCTACCGTCATGGACAAAAGCATCGCACGCGACGCAGCGACAGCAAATGACGTTAACCAGCACGGCCTTTGGTTTCACGCGGAGTTTCCAACTCTGCAACGGCTCAAGAAGATCACCATGATCGAAGCAATATCGGAAGATGGAGGGAAAAGGCTCACGTATTGGACGAGCCTAGATATGTTTGCAACCAGTACGCATCATGAAGACGTAATTGACCCTCGGGACAAACGCGTAGAGAACTCAGATTCGGACCGGGATCAGTCGATAGCTGATGATTTGTTGATTGAGGAATGGGACATGGACACGTAGAGCCTCGCCATATGCTAGTTGCTAGTATTCCCATTATATTGTTTGCTAAGTTCAACAACTGGTGCGCTACATGCTGAACCGACCAAAATGTGTTTGCAGATGGTTGAGGTAAAGACGAGCATATAAGAAGTCGGCATTAGTCTTAGCAAGAAAAAAGGATAGTTGTAGATCAAGATGCCCGAGTCCCACAAGGCAAATCTTGTCCAACCAAGGAAGTAAAAAGCCAAGGGAAGATTGCGCTCCAAGCGCCTAGCAAATTCGCGTTCAACGTACCCACTCACATGATAGAGAAGTTGTTTGCCCATCCTAGAGGACCAAAGCCTTCAAATCCAGTCGATTGCGCATTCTCATCGTCACTTGCTTCCCAACCGAAAAAGTTCTGTAGATCATCGAGATTGAACATGGGCTGTTCAAAACCAGTAGTTGCATTGGGGGAAGAATATATTGGCCCTACCGCGTTCTGGGATGGTGAAGTCATGGCCTGGCCTGATGTAACCGTAGATGAACCATGATCAGTGGTTGGCGCTGAAAACGGATAGCGAGTAGCAGCCGTCCGGAGAGTTGAAGGGGAAGTTGCCGAAAGTATCTCTTCGACCGGAGGAATGACCGAGAGGGCCGCATTTCGTTGCCTAGGAGTACCCGCCATCGGCGCAGGAGCGCCAACAATGCGCCGCGCTTCGTTCTCGGAGGGATCCTGGGGCGCGATATAGTCAGCTGAATGACCGCGAGCAAGACTGTCGCGTACAGTCTCGAGCCAGCGCTCGGAAGTGATACATAACGACTCAGCAAGCGGGTACATGAACGCCATTTCCCGCAGCGCTCGGTTGTTGTACTGCACTAGCTCGACTGTACGGCCAATGACAGTTCCTGCGTCCGGCTTTGATACATCCAGGATCCGAGCGATGTAGTAGAGCATGATGCGACTACTATTGTAAACAAAAGATGGTAGAATAGAGTCCGCAAAATGTTTGACACCATGCTGAAGTATATGTGAGACCAGTACCGACATACGCTGCGCATGCTCAAAGCAGACATCTTGTAGATGACTGACGAAAGCCTGCTGATCAGTAGGGAAAACGAAGGGTTCTTGGTTTTTGAACAGGTCAGGGAGAGCGATCCGATGTACGTCGCACATAACGTGATGGTACATGCAGTGGATGAGAAGGAGTGCACCTAGCTGATGGGTCTCTCGTCGGATGTAGATGTTGTCCGCCGAAAAGTCTAGCCAGGATGGAAGGCTTTGCTTCCACGACTGTATGTCCTCGATGAGAACGGCAAATCCCGACCCTGGAAGCCAAGGCGGTTGCTCTTCGTCCATGTGCTTCACGAATCTATCCAGCATTAGTACTGAAGCCAATAATGAACGATTGATAGATACCACTCACCGTAAGACCCGTCGCCAGATACTGACAATGCGTACATAGTACGCAGCCATGCCCAAGTTGTCCGACGGCTTCTCCGGAATATCTTCTGGAGGCATGAACTCTAGTAGCGTACCTCTCTCGAGCCTTTCCGTAACGCACGGTATCTGTAGTGAGAATTGACGCTCGTTGCAAGGCAGCTGGATCTTGAGGTCTCTTTCATTGAGTATAGTAAGGTGGTCGACGCCACTACCAGCCCAGACGTCAATCATGTAGCACGCCCACATGAGCCTCCTACGAGACTCCCTTACAGATATTTCGTTTGGACTTCCCCCTAGCTCTTTACAAAGCACGTCTGGCGATACTTCGTTGTTAAGTTGGAGAGCGTGCGCCATGCGTATAACAAGACCGGTAAGAAGAAAAGAGCCAGCATAGTTGCCGTTGCGGGCTTCCTGGTCGTGGAGCAAAACCAAGACCTTGAGTTTGGTGATGGAGATAGTGCTGTAATCAGCGAAGAACATCTCCTCAGCAGCTTTGGCCCACTGACTTCCCGCTGACTGTATCAGATCTTTTGTCAAGGGCGAGAACGTCTCACTGTAGTCGAGAGCGTAAAATCGAGCACCTAATGCACACATTATGTGTAGGAGAGCTTGGTCAGACGCATCCACGAGCTGCCCTTCGTCTAGCATCCGAATGAACGACGGCTTATGCTCGAACGCGAACACGCGGATGGGGTGAACGTTGTTGAAGTATGCATCCAACAATGCATGAAGCTTGATTCTGGGTGGCAGCTGTTGCGAAAACAACCTATGAGTCTTGGTAAGTTTGATGCACGCCGAGACGATCATAAAGCATACCATAGTAGGCCCGACGGACACCCCGGTACCGCAGGCTCGCTATTGGACAACGAGCCGAGCAGCCTGGAAGATGCTCCAGAATCTCGGGGAGTATGAGGAGGTACCATCATTGAATCCCCACGCGTTTCTGATGTAGGAGTTGCAATGCTCTGCACCCATGCTGGCTCGACTTGCTCGGCATCGTAGACACATGAAGCTCTGCGCTGTTGACATCGTGTGCAATTCGGTCGCTCGCCTGAGCATTTGACTTTGGAGTCTCGACAAGGAATGCATGATCGAAATGTTCGTTTCCGCTTGATTCCTACGATTGGTTCATACGCTGTGTTTGGTCTCTTTGCAGCAACTGCAACTCCACCGTTCTGCACGCAGTCTAGCTGAAGTCTTTCGCAGTTCAGACAGCCGTTCGACCGTTCATCGCACTTGACCTAAAGGATTGTCAGTTTCGTTCGGCCCTGCTTCCCTGATTACCCGTATATTCCAAGTCCACAACATCGGGTCTACAGCCGCGAAAACGGCGTTCTGGCGGTTCGTAGAGTGTCTTCTGTCATATCTTGGATAACAAGGACACTAGAGGCATATGAAAAAGACGGTGGAATCCTACCTTTCTCGCACGGCAAGTCGTACAGGCTGTACAAGTACTGTTAGCACGCTTGTCACCATATTGAGAGGCCATTTCGCGTACCATTTACTGGTCTTCTGCGCTTCTTAGCAGCAGTCTCTGGCACGGCGGGCGTTTCCGCAGACTCCATGTATCGTTCGGATTGTCGCTCGGGATGTCGCGTTATCTGGGGGTTGTCGAAAGAGCGACGGCGGCGCGACGATGGCCCAGACTTAAGGCGAAAAATGACGTGCTAATCGGTAGGTATTGGCTCAAAGCACGCGGCTTATTAGTGGGGCTATGCTGTGTTCGGAGAGGTGCGGAGCTCATCCCCACGAGCTAGCTGCATGGAGAACTAGCCCGTGTGTACCCTTTCCCTGAACCCCGCAATCAAACAACACCAGCTCTAGACAGCGACCATATCCAGTACTTGTTCCCATCAGCCTAGATAGAGGCACGCGACCTTTCCTACGTTTGCGGCTCAGCTACAGTGTGGTGTTCACGTGCCCTCAACATCTTGGCATTGTCGCTGATACGGTACACCGCAGCCTCAGAACCAAATGAATCTTGGAAAATCAATCCCTTCATTGAACCTTTTATGTCTCACCTCCAGGAGATACCTTATAGCACGCCGAAGACGCATGATCTTCTCCAACAAGCTCAGGAGTCAGTTTACGGCGGATATCCCGAGAAACTTTCGTCCCTTATCAGCATGAGATCTCCGTTGATCTCTAGCAAAGCATGCCTGATTAAGTGACTATCAAGCAGCGCGTGCATCAACAATACATCTTAGCAAAAAGATTCGACAGATATGTACAGGCTGGTTCGATGGGCGCAATGCACATTGTGCGGTGGCGTTAGCGCGAACAACTTCGCAATCGTCTCTCCCTCTATCGAGTGATAGTAAACATACCTAGGTAGCGGCCATCATCCCATCACCCTGTACAAGGGAAAGCTAAACGCTCCTTACTAAAGTCTTCCCTTTTGCCTACTACATAAAGCGTAGCAAAGTACTATATAACATTACTAGATAACTTAGAAGTCTAAAATGCTGTTAAACTTGAAAACTTTTCCTATAATAGGCTGATGTAGTCTACAATAGAGCATTTATCATCTCTGTACTTGTTCAGCTTTTCTCTTGTATAGGATGCCATCATGATACTGAGCAAACATGGAAACCTAAGGGCGCGAAGCGCCAGGTTGGTGTTGGCGCACACTTACAGTCTAAAAACAGCAGATCCATCTCTCCCTTCAGCGTCTAAACTTGGTACACTCGAAATATTTTACATCGCCTTCACTCCTCACTGCACTTTGAATTCCATTAAATCTGAAACCCGTGCTCTGCTCTCGTCTTCTGGCGTCTTATGCGCATGCCTTTCTACAAACTGTCCTACACCAAAGCCAACGAAGTATCGATTCTCGTTCAATGACAACATGACCGAGCATGCTCGCGACGAGCTCACAGCACGATTAAAGGCGTAGGTCGATGGGGATCTTACAATCGCCAGTCCTCACTGATACAAGCCCTCCAGTTTGCGCCTTTCAGGTGATTATTCGGACCTGACTATTACCTGTGGCTCGAGTATATATATGGTGCACAAAGCCATCGTATGTGTTCAGTCATCGTTCTTCAATAAGGCCGAGAGGTTTCCTGTAGCCGAATTAAATCAGCCAGTGCGCGTCGCTATGCATATTTACTAATTTCTTCTTATGCAGGGAGCTGCAGAGGGTACAATTCACTTACCAGAGGATGACCCGCACGCGCTGGGACTCCTGGTGCAGTTCTTCTACGAAAGCGAATATGAACCAGAGCTGCCTAAGTTGAGCCGAAGCGGACTCACAGTCACTGCGCCCATGCAGAGACAATACCACTATATATGCCCACACACCTGTGCGCCTGGCTGTCCAAAAGATCACGAGGTGTGTCAACATCATACTTGTGGATCAAACAGCTGTAAAGACATGTGCTTCGTCTTCATTTGCAAGGAGTGCATCAAGCTCCCACCGCCAGAAGGCGATGCCTCTCAGCTTCTTCTCCATGCAACGATGTATGAGATCGCGGACAAGTACGATGTCACCGGACTAAGGTATTTAGCCCAAGAGAAGTTTTCTCGCTCATGTGAGGCTTTCTGGAAGACCAAAGAGTTTGCTATGGCAGCTGAGCATGCCCTCACCACAACACCCGACAGTGACATTGGCTTGAGACAAGTGCTGTATCAAACGATGACAACACACATCGAGCTGCTCAACGAACCCGCCATCATAACTTTGCTTCACAAGTACCCTGGCTCTGCCTACGGTGTCCTCAGATGCCAAGCTGAAAAGTTTGGACGCTTGGAGCCGATGGTCAAGACTGCTGCCTGAATGGGTGGGCGGTGACCAGTGGGATGGAATCGAGAGTAGTAGTCTGGAGATACCATTTGTATGCCCTCACCACCTATGCGGCAGGGAGTTCTATCTCAAAGGCTGCATCAACTTCATCTGCAACATCTGCGCCCCAGTCCTTCAGGTCAACAAAGCCGACCCCAGTACGCTCCTCGTACACTCCAAGATATATGAGATCGCAGACAGATACGCCGTCACAAGCCTCAAAGACCTAGCACGTTTCAAGTTCGCTCCGTTGTGTATGGATTTATGGGACGAGGAAGTCTTCGCGCAAGCCGCAGAGCATGCTCTCGGGTAAGTCCTAACTGTACAGAATACGTTTGAAACGTATACTTACATCGTACTCTGCAGGACTACACTGGACAGCGACACTGGTCTACGAGGAGCTTTTCGCTAGACTATCGTCTCACATATTAAGTTGTTGAACAAAGGCCGTCGTCTCGGACTTACTGCGCAAGCACAATGGGGTCGCATTCAGCGTTCTCAGGCGTCTTGCCGAAGAGAAGGCAGGCTCGAAGCCTTCCGCTTGAGCATATTGTACCTCAGCTATACTACAGCCTAAAGGCACACGCGGTAATCTACATCGAGAATTCATCAAGAAATTAACATTGTATACCTTTAGGGGAAGTTTTAGTATCTGAATTACAAATCATAGAATACAGAAGCCTTGAACATGAAAACTTCAACATATCAACAACCACAGACTGGGAGAAAGCATGTAAAAGCGCAAGCTGATAGGTAACGGGGAAGCAGAGAACAACAGGTGGCGGAGGAAAGATAGATATTCTTTCCAGATATATAAATCTACCTCACATTGCGTTCCATATCAAGAGTAATTCACTAACGTACAGTCCATCAGCTTGAGCCCAAAGAGATAGGAGAACAATGCTCCATGTAGAGAACCTGACGCCAGTACCGAACCCATATCCCATTCCATATAGCAGTAGACCCTCTTGGGTCATATTAACAATCATAACATGTCACGTTTACTGGCTAGCGATGCGCTCCTTAACCTTCTCAAACATGGACTCCATCTCCTCAGCGATGAAGTCCTCGATCTCAGCCTCAAGGTGCTGGAGCTTGCCTCCGACGCGGTGGGCGTTGCGGCCGGCAGACTCCTTAGCCTTCTCGAAGTCATCCTCGATCTCAGTGAGAGAGGGGATGGTGATGCGGAACTCGGACTCCTCCTTCTCGGCAGCCTTCTTGACAGTGTAGCCACCCTTCTCAACAATCTCAGTGTAGTTGGAAGAGCCACCACCGTTCCAGGCAAGGATGTTCTTGGTGTTGCTTGGGACGTCAGAGAGAGCACCGACGGTAGCGACGGAGATGAGGTTAGCCTTGAGCTTCTTGGGGGTGATGTCGGCGACAGCATAGGCAGAGTCCTTGGCAGGCTGGAGAGACAGCATGTAGGCAAGGAGGCCAGCAATGTGGGGAGAGGCCATGGAGGTACCAGAGATGGTGTTGGTGGCGTGCTCAGAGCCGATCCAGGTGGACAGGATGTTGAGACCAGGGGCGAAGATGTCGTTGCACTTTCCGTAGTTGGAGAAGTACGCACGCTCGTCAAGGAGGGTGGAGGCACCGACGGTGACAGCGTTCTCAGCAGCAGCTGGGGAGTAGTTGCAGGAGTCGGCGTTGTCGTTACCGGCAGCAACCGCGAAGTGGATACCAGCGTCAACAGCGGCGTTGACGGCGAGATCGAGGGTGGTGGACTTGCCACCTCCCAAGCTCATGTTGGCAGCGCTGCCCTTGAAACCCTTCTTCTTGCCGTCCTTGGCGGCCTTGACGGTCTCAGTGTGAGACTTGGCAGCGTACTCGACACCCTTGACGACATCGGACATGGTGCCGGAGCCGTTGGAGCGGAGGACCTTGACGGCGTAGACGTGCGCCTTCTTGGCAACACCGTACTTCTTACCAGCAACAGTGCCGGAGCAGTGGGTGCCGTGGCCGTTGCCATCCTCGTCGGCATCGCCGTTGGGGATGGTCTTGCCCCACTTGGCACGACCCTCAAAGTCGACGTGCTTGGTGTTTGTGCCAGTGTCGATGACGTAAACGTCAACACCCTCACCACCGTCGGCGGCGTAAAGGTACTTGTTCCAAGTGCCGAAGCTCAAGGAGTCGCGGTGTGAGATACGGGCAAGACCCCAGGGGGAGTTCTTCTCGATCTCTGGTTCGTCGTGGCCGAGGGTGTGGACCTCTGAGTCGCGCTCGATGTAGTCGACCTATCAGGTTGTTAGCGCCAAGTCTTATGCAGGTACAGGTACCTAGATGGCGTCACGTGTGATTGCGGTGGCGTGCGGAGCCGGAGCTGCCTGCGGAGATAAGGCAGCCAGCCCTTACTCGAGGCCACGCATCTCGCAGCAGCCTGAACCGCCGAAGCCTTCTTGGAGTGATGGAGCTGGAGATGGAACTTACATCGGGGTGGTTCCGGATGGCCTCGATGGTCTCATCATCAAAGTGACCAGAGTAGCCCTTCATGCCGGCCATCTCGTAAACGTGCTTGAGACCATCAAAGACCTCAGTAGTGACGGGGAACTGCGAGGAGCGCTTTCGCAGCTCCATACGCTCCTCGTTGTTCTTGGTGTGGACGCTCTGGACCCAGTCGTGGTGCTTGGAGGCATCCTTGACGTGTTTCTTGAAGACGACCATGTAGCTGTTAGGCACCTCCTTGGTCGAGGTCGACGACAGCACTGGGGCTGCGTTCTTGTGAATCGTCTCTACCTGGAAGGTAGGCGATGCTGCGGCCAAAGCCGGTAGCGCGGCGATCAGGCTGTATCTCATGATTGCGGAGCTCGCACAGCGAGAACTAGAAAGACAAGCGTGAAAGTGATAAAGATGAGTGATAGATGAAGGAAGGCGGGATGAGAGGGAGGAGTGTGTTGTGGAGGAGAGATGGGGATGCAGCTGGGGTAGCTATGGCGATGGGAGCTTCTTATCAGGACCGAGGTGCATGGCCCGGGCGCGCTAGGTGGATGACGCATGACCTATCCGCGCCCGCGCGAGTGAGGCTGGGGTGAGCTAGCGCACGCGCCATGGGTATCAGATGGATGATACATGGTTGGTATCAGGGCAGCTTGGGCCTCTGATAACATTGACACATTGAGACGGTCGACGAGCTGCGAAGACATGCGGGATGACTACTGCGAGAAGGTGTCGTCTCAATGCGTGCTGGAGAAGCTCTCGCCACAGCCAAGCAGCCACTCCAAGGGTCAGCCACAATGCGTCCTCACGTGAGTCAATAGTCAGAAGCTCACCAAGCGGCCCGCGTGAGACACGAAGCGCTGTCTATCATAACTCTATTGGTACCCTAGATGACCTACGTGCACTATTCGTAAACAGCGCATTCTTTATCTGTGTACCTTGCTTGTTGCGACGCGACGTTGCTCGGCGGCTGCCTGAGCTCTGAACTGACAGGGATCAGCTTCGATGACCAGGTTAGCTGCAACCACCACGAACGCGGCGCCTGCCCGCCATAATCAGCCCTCAATATACGTCAACCCACAACCAAAAGACCCCACTGCGATTCTCCCCGCGTTCACACTTCATGTGCGGGTTTGGGGCTCTAGAGATATGAAGGTGTTACCTACAAGGCCATCCTCCCCGCCGAATTTCCGCAGCAGCGGTCTTGACTGAATATGGCAACCACTCGGCCTCACAGGTCCTCCACGGCCGCCTCAAGACTCCCGCCGATGAACAACCAGATAGCCGAACTCCGAAGCCTAGCGGATGAGTTGATCAGAGCTTCCGAAGCCACTCCCCCGACCTCCGATGTCCTCCACAACCAAAGCAACGCGCTCCGCCGCATGCGCCAGTTGCTGATAGAGTCGAACGATCAAACCCATACCAAAGACGCATTTAGACATGTCCGGGGCTTCGAGACACTTCTCATTACCCTGCGCTCGCTCTCTGGCTTCTACAAACCTGCCGAGCTGTCTACACCCGACCGTATCGACTTCTTCGAGGTGATCAAAGGAACACTGGATGTCCTCTCAGACGCGCTGAACGAGCATGCCGGTAACAGGCGCTTCTTTGCAAAACGCGTCGAGCACGGCGGCTGGAGTGCTCTGGAACAAGCCTTGGGCAGCACAGGAATATTCGGCGGACAGTCAGACAGCAAGCGCGACGATGCTGGGCAGGAACAGCTCTTCGGCACCCTGTTTGCGTTTGCACTAGGCGAGGAGGCCATGACACGCATATTCAGAGATATCGATAAGAAGCTCGAGAACACACCATCGAAGCAGGGGGGAGATGCAGCTGCCAACGGCGACGCACAGGCTACCGAAATTGTAGTCTCTAGCCCACGGTCCATGTATAGCGACACCGACATAGATCTCGACCCCCTACGTAGCCAGGTACGGGCTGTATTCAGCGGTAATGAGATACTACAGAACCCGGACATCATTCCGACCATCGTCCACTTTTGGCGGGGTCTGTCTGGTGAAGATGTTCCAGGCACGCGTTCCAAGGCTCTCTCCGTCTCGGTGCTGCTTGCTATTCTTAAGATCACGTCCATCTCATCTTACAACAAAGCTGCGCTACACGTCACTGGCGTCTTGAGCACCGTCTTGCCCTTGCTGTTCGAAAACAAGTGCGCTCCCGTAGAAGCTGGTCTACTATTAGAATTGGCCGACGGTCTAATACAGTACGGTATAAACAAGCTCGACGATGCATACTACCTCTTCCGCAAAGCAGCCTCTTCAGAATCGGCTGCCGAGTTTCTCCTACGCGGTATGTGCTCATCTCGCGACCCGCCTTTCATACAATTCGATCTCTCTTTGCATGGCTTCAGCGCGATAGAACTTCCGGATATTGGTCGTCCATTCCCGCCAATGTCTCCAGGAGGGGGATACACATTCGCTGCTTGGGTACGAGTCGATAGATTTGACACCGACTGTCACACCACACTCTTTGGCGCCTACGATGACACACAGACATGTTTTCTTATGGCATATCTGGAAAGAGATACCCGATGTTTCATCCTGCAGACCTATATGGGTCATTCCACTGGAGTTGTACCCAGTGTCCGGTTCAAGAAAGCTCCTCGTTTCGAAGCGGGCCGGTGGTACCACATCGCTGTTGTCCATAGAAGAGCGAAGGGTATCGGTATGGGCACTGCCAAGGCATCACTTTTCGTAGATGGTGAGTTCACCGAGACTATGAAGGCGCACTATCCTTCACATCCTCCGGTACTAGATAGCAGCCAGGAAAGCTTTGCCTCCATGTCTTCTAGTGTGTCGAAGCACCACATACTCGCATTCCTGGGCACGCCACGGAACTTGGCACCTCGACTGGGCAGGAACGTCATTTCTTCTAAGCTCTCAGTTGCTTCGTTTCATCTCTTCTCTGAACCCCTATCAGATGAGCTAATCGCCGTCTATCATAAGCTTGGTCCTCGTTATTGTGGAAATTTCCAAGATAGACTTGGGTCATTCCAGACCTACCGCACGTCTGCTGAGCTCCATGTTCACAACGAGATATTGCATTTTGGGCGAGAAGAACGATCCGATATCGTAGCGGCTATCCGGGCGAATGCAAGACATCTCATGCCAGAATCCAAGATTCTACTGAGCTTCTCCCCTAGTTCTGTAATGGACGATGATGACAGAAATGCCATCGATGAATCCCAGCTAATCCGATCCCTGTCGCGAGAATCAGCTAAAACCCTTCACAAATATACCAGACTGCATAGCACTCCGATCATCATCAATGCTGCCGTACCTTCGGTAAATGATGCATTGTCCCAGCCACGAGGATTTGGACGACTATCTGGTGACCCTATCGTTGTCGTCCCGCAATCACTCGATGATGCGATTTGGCGAATCGGTGGGTGTGTTGCCGTTGGCCTGAAGTTGGTACAGTCAGCCCAGACTTTGGACAGTATGCTCCGTTCTGTCAACATCTTGCTCGAAGCTGTTGGGGGAAATTGGCGCAATTGCGAGGCTATGGAGCAGCGTAATGGATTCGCTGTTCTGGCTGAGGTACTCCGCCAGAAGATCGGATTCGCCATGGGGGGATTGGTCGGTCGCAACCCTGCCTCGCTAGATGTGACACCAGAAGACTGCGAAAGCTTTGTTATGCAGCTATTACGGATAGTTCTCCGATTCGTCGGTTATGATGAAAATGAGCCGACAGAGTCACTCATCATCAACCCCCTTGCCTATCGGGTGCTTTTGGTTGATCTTGAGATATGGCGTAGAGCTACGTCATTGGAAACTCAGAAACTGTATTACCTGCAATTTGTGCACTTTGCTAAGGGCAGTAAGCATCATCACTACAACGCTAAGCGATTTCATAGGATACGTACGTATATTTGTAGGACAAGGGAACCTCAGCTAACTTGTCGAAGGAGTCGTCAAGCGTCTTACGGATGCTCTCAAAGGGGAGAATTTTACACCACAAACATTCGAACTATTCCTCGGCGCGTTCAAAGCACTGCTCGTCATCAACTTCAACGGAGAGAATGCGAGATCGCTGTCCCTTTTTGTTACTTATGCACTTCATGACAGTCGCGCATCCTACGCGAAACGGGGACTGCGGCCAAAAGCAAGTATCGCCCGCCTTCGCAAGGGTACACCACCAGCATTGACACCCGAGACTACTCCACGTTCAAATAGTCCGGCACAAAGTGGTGCCAATACTCCACCACTGTCTCTACCGGACCTGGGCGTCGCCGTCCTGAACCTTCTGGCAGAACTCCTCTGCGATCCTCAAAACCCGCATGAAATCGTCCGTTTCGCAAAGAACGTCACCGGGAAGTGGTTGCTCTACCTTCTCGCTGAACCGGAGCAGCGAGTCGTTGTTCTTGGTGCAAAAATTCTAGCTCGATTACTTGTAGTGAACGGTTCGCATTATGTCAAGAAGCTTGCGGACAAGACGGGAGGTTTCGTTCTGATGAAGAATAGATTGCGCTATTGGTGGAATACGCCAGGCATCTGGACCATCTGTTTCGCCATACTCTTCGGTCGCGATGTGGCGAGTATCGACTTCGAGCGCGATTTTGACGTCTTCAATCTAGTTGACATCTTCATTGCGCATTCGCCGCAGTCGCAGCTCAGGATCTGGTACCCGGAAGTGTTCCCGGTAATCACCGCCATGCTGGAAACAGGCCTGCGAACAATTGTCCGGGACCGAGACCTCACTCGCGCCGATGATGGCCCACCTAAGCAGGAGAATGGTGAAGGCGCGGTTACCCGGGGCCGCCGCAGAACGATGTCACTGAACGCTAAGCAACCGAAAATTGGTCAGTTTGCATTGCTTTACCCATAGCATTGAAACTGACTATTGTAGATACCCGAGCTCCCCAGACAGATCGCCTGAACGACTTCGCCGTCGTTTTGAACTCCGCTATCCAGTTCTTGTCTGAGCTACATTCACGATCGGAAGGTTTCCGCGACTATACTAATTCGTCGAATTACGTTCAAGAGTTGCTCTTTGTCCTCTATCCAGTAATTGTCACATCTGACAGCGTGAGCGCGGAGACGGAGCTACTCTCGAGAGGGTCTGCGCTGACATTCGAGGGCCAAGATGTCGTAATCCGACCGCTTTCTCGAGCTAATGGGCATGAAACGCCTGTGGTTCGCACGACTAACGTTGATGTGTCGCCTTCGCCTTCGTCCCGGCGTGTGCTACCTTTCCGCAGAGCGTCATCTTTCGTCCTCGTTTCGGCGGATAAGAAGAAGGCCGCTCAACAACCTTCTCTCAACCCAATCTTATCTCCAAAGTACACCGCTCCCTTGGCTCTCAAGGTTGGTAGCTCAGTAGTGGAGGCCACGTTAGAGGTGGTTCTTGATGTGTTCAAGGACCAAATATTCACGCGGAAAGAATTCCCTGGACTAGGGTTGTTTATGAAAACACCACCCGGTTTCCAGGAGCATCAAGCATATTTCGAGTCATACATTCTGCGGCAGACGCTTTCGTCTGTAAAGAATGCGCTTCAGTTTGACCAGCAGCTGTTGCACGAACCACGCGTTCTTACCAACTTGGCACGCTTCGTGACCCATGTTTCTGAAGCAGTCTTTGAGGGATGGTTCCTTGAGGGTGCAGAGCCTTTGCTCGACTTTTCTGGGTTTCTCCTGGAATATTTGGAACGACCGGACATTGCGACCATCAAATCCGTCAGACTTTGCACGCAGGCCATTCAATCAATTCGCAACACGTTCCTGAGAGTCGCTCTGCTCCGTTTGGCGGAGTCAGATGAGTCTGAAAGCGGAGTGACTACAACGGCTGTTATCGAGAAGATGATGTATTGGCAGCCCATCATCCTTTCATCTGTCAATAACGAAACGTTCTCGTTGAAGATGATCTGTTACCTTCTCTACACGCAGTTGTCGTCTGAACACAACGCTGTGCGCCTTGCGGCCGCCAACTTCTGGCGATCGCTCATGGTGCAAAAGCCTCATGAAACATCAATGATCTTGGCCGACGCCATCCACGGAGACACAAAAGACCTTTATGATGGGTTCCAGAAACTCGTCGAGCTCGACAATGATACATTCTTGGAGTGGCTCGATAAGAACAAGACAGACATGGACAAGTTCTTCTATGGCTCGATGACCAAGTCGTGGGAGGACTTTGCGCACAGTCAGAACAAAAAGACCGAAGAGACATCTCAGAGGCGCATAGCGAAGCGCAAGGAGAAGCTGAAGCAATGGCAATCAGACGAGCTCGCTGCGGACAACGTCTGGAATCATCACGAGAACTCGACGAACCATTGGAGATCCAACATTCACGCTTCGGAACGTATCAAGCATCAGCGCGTTCTCCAGGACCAGCAAGATAATGCTACCTACATGGCGACTGTGTTGGCCAAGCTCGATCACCAGCTAAAGGGTCCATGCGGCTTATTCGAAGAGAGTCCGCCTGCCAGATGGCGGCTCGATGAGACCGAGGGTCGTGACCGAAAGCGTTTACGTATCATTGTCGACAACACCAGCAGGGAGCAGTCTTATCAACCCAAACGTAAGGACACAGATCCGCGAGAGAGGCCAAGACTAGACACTGCTGTGCCAGCGATCTCGGCGAAAGAAGCTGTTGGTGTCACGCCTGTCAAAGGGCGGTCAGCCAGGTCTTCCTCTGCTACAAGCGCATTGGGTGATCCAACAGAAGAGCCGGAGTCAGCTAGCGACGATGACTTTGAGATGGTCGAAGCGATGTACGAGGATGAGGACGGCTTTGAAGACAAGAACCGCAAAGTCATGCGAAGTCTCAATCGCGGCGACCAGGTGCAGTATGTCTGCAACATCTCTCGAGTAGTCGGTTTGGAGGCGATAGAAGGCCTTCTCATCGTAGGTAAAGACTGTCTCTACCTGCTAGATGACTTCTTTCAAAGGTCTGACGGCGAGATCGTGCGCGTATGGCAGGCGCCACCGGATGAGCGCGACCCGTACGTGCAAGTCATTGCTGGAAAAGAGGCTGTCACCACTCGCCGACCACCACCCAGAAGCCAAGAAGATGCAGTGAGGAATTGGAAATGGACCGAGGTCATCAGCGTTTCGAAACGGCGCTTCCTCCATCGTGATGTTGGCATCGAAATCTTCTTTGATGATGGGCGTAGCTATCTTCTAACAGCCGTTTCTGCGCAAGCTCGCAATGACATACATTCTCGGGTGCTTCAACGAGCTTCTCACGTTGCAAATCCGGAGAAGTTCGCCAATTCCGAGATCTCTTGGCGCCTTGACTCGTTGCGCAACCCAGAAGAGGCACCCCAGACTTTTGGATCACGTTTCGCATCAGCTTTCGGTTCTGCTTCGGCTCATCCAGCGACTAAGAAGTGGCTGAAAGGGGAGATGTCCAACTTCCATTACCTTATGTTTGTCAATACGCTGGCTGGGAGGACTTTCAACGATCTCACACAATATCCGGTCTTCCCCTGGGTCTTATCAAATTACCATAGTGAAGAGTTGGATCTGAGTGATCCAAGTAACTTTCGAGATCTCAGGAAACCTATTGGTATCCAAGACCCTAAGCAAGAGCATCTGATCAGGGAGAGGTTCAGCTCTTTCGCCGAGATGGGCGACGCTAATCATGCCTTCCACTACGGCACCCACTATTCGTCTGCCATGACTGTAGCATCGTATCTCATGCGCCTCCAACCGTTCAGCGCTGCCTTCTTCCTTATCCAGGGCGGTACATGGGATCATGCTGATCGTATGTTCTACTCGATTCAGAATGTTTGGGAGTCAGTATCCGCAAAGAACATGGCCGATGTACGCGAGCTTACGCCAGAGTTCTACTTTCTTCCCGACTTCTTGACCAATGTCAATGGGTATAATTTCGGTCTGCGATCCGATGGCTCAACTATCGATAACGTTAAGTTACCTCCGTGGGCTAAGGGCGACCCAGCCATCTTCATCGCCAAACAACGCGAGGCTCTGGAGAGCCCTTATGTCAGCCAAAACTTACATCACTGGATTGATCTAATCTTCGGTTACAAGCAGCGAGGCGAGGCCGCAATTGAGGCCGCAAACGTTTTCCACTACATGACATACCAGGGTGCTATTGATCTCGATACCATCGTTGATGAAAAGGAGCGTGCGCAGAAGATTAGTGTTATCAACAACTTCGGACAGACGCCTCCACAAGTATTCCAGCGACCGCATCCGCAGAGGGAGAATTTCACAAGACCCATCAAGCTCGATACCTCTGCGGAGAGCCTGCATCGCGTGCCAGGCACACTACTCGAGTCTAACGATCGCATCTCTTCCCTCAACTACATCAGCAAAAGCGATAAGCTTTTATGCTCTGCACCATTCCGGCACAACATCCCTCCGCATCACGATCGCTATATGGAGTGGGGCTTCACGGACGGCAGCGTCCGCTTCTACGATTCGCACTCCAAAAAGCTCATCGGGTTGTTTGAGCACTTGCATTCCGGACAGCTAACAACGTCATTGTTTGTTGACGGCAGCACCCTCATCACAGCCGGAACAGACTGCACCCTTGCCATTTGGAACATGAACAAAGGCGACCGTGGCCACATCGACCTCCAAAACGCGACAACGCTTTTCGGTCACAAGTCATCCGTCATCACCCTTGCCGCAAGCCGCGCGTTCTCCGCCTTTCTATCTGCATCGCTCGACGGCCGAGTCTTCCTCTGGGACCTTAACCGCAACGAATTCGTCCGCGAGTTGGATCTCGGCCCACGACAGAAGCGCAACCCGGTACCCATTCAAGCAGCCAGGATCAACAGCGTCACAGGCCACATTGTGCTCGCTTGCGGCAGTCGACTTATCATCACTACACTCAACGGCGCAGTACTACTAGACGAGGATGTCTGCGACAGCGAAGACGACGCAGATGGCATCACAGCCGTCGCCGTCTATGAGGGCGTGGGCAACGAATGGTGTGAGCGCGAACTCATCTTCACCGGGCATAGGAGGGGTGTCGTCAAGATCTTCCACCTTACGCCTACACCGCCAACGACAGCGTCGTACACCACTTCGTCGTCCTCCACAACATCGAGAACGACATCCAGCAAGTGGTCCGTGAATCTTGTTAATGTGCTTAATCATGGTGATGCCATGGTGACGACGACGCCGGCGGCGAGTATTACTTGTATATTGCCGATGCCTCATCATGTTTATACTGGGGATGAGGAGGGTAGAGTGGTAAGTAGTGAACCCTTTTTCGATCCTTGATACGCAGGCTAACTATATACTTGCAGTACGAATGGGATTGCGTGCACCGGCACCATTGATCGTTGACTAGAGATGGAGATGATGGAGGAGTATCCTTTTAGCATAAAAAATGGTGTTTTTTGGTGCTTTTGTTTTGCGCATTGGAGTAGATAGCTGGATATGTATGTGGCATTGAAAGGTGCTTTGTAGAAAATGAATAGATATGATTTTTGGGGTTCGTTTTACATTTGTTCGAGAGTTCATGTGATTGTGTGTGTCCATTTACTTCATCTACGAGATTCTAGTCGACCCTAGGGCTTGTTCACCCATAGGTATGCACTATTCTTAGCGAGGTACCTGGCCAGGCGTCTAGATCCACCCCAGTTCCTCCGCGCGCATCTTGAGTAAGGCAACAGCTAGGCCGTTGAACTCGGTGAGTAGCGCTTCCACCGCCGGTGATTTGAGAATCTGCATGTGGTCTGAGATGGTCTTGGTGACGATGTCTCGGAGGCCTTTGTCGCTCTCTGGTGTTGTGGAGAAGGTGTGATGAGCGGCTGAAGCAAACTTCCTACTATCCCAGTGCTCGGTGTATGCGAGGGAAAACTTAGCAAGAGCGAGTTGCTTTAACCCGAGCACATCGTACTTGTCGCCGATCTCGTACATCTTGGCGCTGAGGAGGAGTTGCGATGCGTTGATATTGGATGTTCTGGGAGGAACCCAGTCGGGGCAGCACCTTAGACATACGAAGTTGACACAAGTATCTCTACATGTCGAGCTGCCGCAAGTATGATGAGAGCATACAGTATGCCTTGGAGGCTGGCACCCATCCAGGCATGTGTGCGGAAAAGTGTAGTGATAGCGGGGATCCTTGTACCCCCTCACTATTAGCGAAGACGACAGCGTTACAGTAGGTGTCATGTCGGCTATCTTCACATCGTACTCGCCCTCGTAAAGGTACTGCACAAGAAGCTTAACGATCGCTGGTTGATCTTCTGAAAGATCGGCTTTAGCACTTGCGGCGTCCTATCAGTGCGTCAGCCTGGTAAAGCCCATGTTACGAGCAACATGTAACCTGACTTGACCAGCAGCGAACCTCTCCGCGCCCTTGAGGAAGCCTGATCGAGCACAAACCACAGCTTTGTGAACGTTGTAGGTGTCATCGCCGCAAGTGATGATAAAGTCAGAATAGTCGCCAGATTCGAGCAGGCTGCGACGGTGTTAGTTTTAATGCAAGCGCGTAGTTAACATAGTAATGATACCTCTTGAACGTCTTCACAAGCCCATCGCGCGCCTGGTCCGCCATTTCAAGAGTTGTACTTCAAAGTGTTGGAACTTTTGGAAAAGTGAAAAGCAGAGAGGGGATAATGGTCTTGCTGAGCAAGGAATGTGACACGAAGCTGGCCCAAGCGTCTAAATAGCGTCGGCGCTTAGCGATGGAAGTGAAGGTGAACCAACGACAATCGTCACAACATAGCCTTCAATTGAACGTCTACCAATTACATTACAAGCAATACATGTGCTTCGAGCCACGGCGTTTCCGGAATTGCTCCTTCGCACTACAAATCGAGTGATCCTCCCCTTGCTTCCTCCAGACCCAGTGTCCTGCTACCTCTCGAACAGTTCTATCTTGTAGTGGCAATCTCGCCATATCATCAAACTCGTTCCTACTCAGCTTCCACAGTTGGCTTCCCGCGTCTGATGCCGTCCACGGGTGCTGTGGGTGGTGCTTGGTAATATGAATTCCGAGTCCCGTCGTCCGCGTATGGTCTATAGCCGACAAAGTCATAAGTGATCCTATGCGTATAAATAATCCTATCCTAGGATGACAATAATAAAGATTGATGGAACGCAGATCAGGGAGATGAGTGGTAGGAACGACAACCTGGTCAAAAGCCCAGTGCATAACCTTCGCTGAATGCGGCGTTCACGACCGCTGCTCCAAGGCGTCGACATGCACCTATCAATTTCGCCACCATAGTCCGACTTCCGAACCTCAGGAGATGCATAGTTTGTGATCTCGAAACACTCGGTCTTGTCGGCCCAATGAGTGGCGGGAAAATTTCGGAGTGTTCAGAATAAGGCGTATACTTTCGGAAGCGGAACGCTGAGGGCCTTGAGCTCCTGGAAAGTAGTTCGAATAACTATAAGAAAGCGGGTATTCGCGGCGGCGAAAGGCGTCGGATCTCGGTAGGCGCTTCGGTCAAAGTACAGTTCGACTAAAAAATAGTTGAATATCTGGGGGAGTATTTCATCGAACAGGTTTACGATGCTGCCGTTCGGCATAGTGATGGCGAGAGGGAAATACATGGCTGGCAATCGAAAGGTTCCAGTTGAGTTGCAAAGCTGGTCTGGCTGGATAAGGAGAGCCGATAGTAAAGATAGTAGTCTGTCATACAGAGGAAAGACTAGAACGTAGTAGATAGGGCGGAAGGTGCAGGGTCAAGTGGTCAGGCGAGGCCTAGATAGAGCAAAAGAGTGAATGTTTACCCACAGTTTGCTCAACAACGTGTTATTTGCCCTATAGGAGTTTGGATCTCAGGTGAACTGAGGATTCCAAATAGTCACAAGTCGCTCTTTACAACTAGTCAAAAGTGAAAAAAAAAACACTTATAAACAGGCGACACGAGACGTGTATTGAGAGCATAGCTGACGAACGAAAGGCGACGCTACACTCCAGCAGAACTACAAAGGCATATGGCAAGTGGATTAAGAGATCATGGGACAACTACGATTCCCTTCCCTTGCATCATCCCACTGACACCGTTGGCGCCAGCTACATTCATTATACGTATTGTCTTTCGTGGCGTGATATTCCCGAGCACTGTCGGGTTCATGGCTCGCATCGACCATATTGCCTTCTTTCACGTCGATTTGGTCACAGCCTGTTTTAGTAATGACGTTGTTGAATACACAATTGGAAATCTAGTAGTACCAGTATCTGTGATTAGAGCAGGCCTACGCTACGAGAGGCAGTGGACCCACTGGAAGGGTTTATTCTTCATACTCTTTTAAGTTGAGCGTATTACACAACAGTGGACAAGGAGCAGCAAGTATACAGACCTACACTGAGAACTTTCGCCGAAAAAGGCCTGAAAATTATTGATCGCGAAGCACACTGTTGGTCTTTGCAGTGGTGAGATTTGGTTGTAACAGCTCGGTGGACTACCTTGGTATAGCTTGTGAGCCGGGTTATCATGTGGCTAATGAGTTCAAAGACCAGCCTCTACGCGCAAGAATCAGACGTCCCCTTTTATCAAGCACCTGATGTATATTCTTCCTCAGAAGCCGGTATCGTTACCATAACGGCATTGACACGCCATTCTTCCAAGACACTACAGGTGTACAGCATCGGGCCGTATGAGATTTGATCTGATTCCATGTGCAGCGTTACCTTGAGTAGCAAATTGGAGAAAAGGAGTCGCTAATTCGGACCGACTTGATTGTTGGGGTGATAGTTTACTAACGGTTTTTTCCGCAGCTCAAGGTACTCGTCGTTGCCAACGACAATCTCCATGCATACAGCTTATTACGCTCTACTGCTCCAGTCGATGAAGAGAATGATGCAGTGACTAGAGCTGCGCGTCTGGTTAACAGACGATCAAGTAACTGCATGTTCCACGCTCACTACGAAGATTAGCAGATGATCAACCAAGCGATGCGTGTTGCTCGACACCGTAGTATAACACTGTGGGGAAGGCACGTGGTGCGGACGTGTCGGAAATTATCCAAAACCTCGATTTATTCAAATAGCGTAAATCCTCCACCAGTTCGGTCAAGCTAGGATAACGGTAGAGGCGTCAAAGCGACCGTCTTCAGGTCAGGCAGAGGAATGTCGCCAAGACGATGCGTCATCGTGGAAGGTCTACCGCGCGTCGTCATTCGAAGCAAGTACGCTAAGCTTCATCAGCCAACGCTATGCCGTCTTTGAATTCCGGCCGAGTCAGGGTCCAACGCGCCGCTGTACCGGCTTTCGACATCGGGGCTAACTATTACACCACCCAACGACTCTCGACTCAGCGGTACACGTTGGTGCACTAGCGGTTGCCAAAGGTATCCAGGTGATTGAGGCTCGTATCTTATAGTTTGTTAGTGTAGGGAAAGGCACTCATGGGCCGATGAATAACCCGAAAAAGGAGTGTGTTGCTGATTGGGCCCCACAGACAACTTACAAGACACGAATAGCCGTGCAGAGATTGACCATTGCATCGAAGCTGGCTGCGCGATCATCGGGCGTATCTGGCTCTCCTCGTGGCTGCTATGCTGTATTCACGCACTACTGGAGATGTCCACGGGAATCCACTTGGGAGCCGCGAGTCCCGCGCTCAGGCATCGCTGCTTCTGATGCCGATCTCAATCATCAACAACAGGATAGCCTGAGAAAACGGGGAGCTCAGAAACGAAGGCTCTGTGTAGTCGCAGGGAAACAAAGAGATTCTTCTCTAACCCGGAAGCTTGGTTCTGCGTGATGCGCCTGGGTGAAGTGTCCTCAACACATATTCTGCTAGAAGAAAGAGTGAGATGAGTTCAGGCGCTCTTGAAGCACACGAGACAGTCTCTGTGCCAGGCATTAAGATATGGTGAGGTTATCCTCATTACTCCAGCTGAATTCATCCAAACCTGGCACCGCATCTGTGCTGCCAGATCCACCTTTTAGGGACTATAACCACAGATCTGCACCAGAGACACCGCTTTATAACGGCCGAACGCATAGACCACTACGGTAGATCGACTACACAAGAGCCGCAACCAGACTTCGCGCTGTTGATCACCATCCTATTGCTCTTCTCAATGCAACCAACGGCCATATACCGGACATTGCTTCACTGCCACACATGTAAATCAAGTGGCGTTAGGAGAAAGGTAATGGAACGATAAGTATATAAGTACTGTCGGTGTTACCGTGGACAGAGATATCATCCACCAAGAGCCTCAGCCTCATCCAACTCTTACGACACTCGTTTTATACCAACTAATATACACTCTTTCCGAGAACTTTAATTCTTTCAACATGCGTTTCAACGTCTTCCTCGCAGCCGCCGCTGTTGCGAACGCCGCAGTCATCCCCCAGATTCCCCAGCCCAAGGATGCGGTCAACGATGTCACTTCTGGTGTCAAGTCGACCGTTGATGGTGTCATTCTCCCTAAGGTTAACGCCCACGTAGGCCGACGTGCCCAGGCAAATGTCGGCGCCAAGGTCGATGCTCTGGGTCTTAAGGCTGAGCCAAAGGTCGGCGTCGCTCTAGGACGACGGGGCGACGCACAGGTCGGCGCGAAGGTCAACTTAGAAGGCGTTACATACGACAACGTCAACGCAACCGTTGGCAAGAGTGTTGGCGCTAAGGTCGGCGCAAATGTCAACGCTCCTGGCCTCAATGTCGACCCCAAGGTCAACGCCAACGTAGGCCGAAGTGTTGATGCCAACGTTGACGCCAAGGTCAACGCTCTGGGCCTCTCTGCTGCCGCTGATGTCGATGCTTCTCTCGGCAAGCGTGTTGACGCATCTGTCGACGCCAAGGTCAACAGTCTCGGTGTTGACGCTGATGCTTCCGTTGACGTTGATGCTTCTGTTGACGTTGATGCTTCCGTCGACGCTGGCCTGAACAGGCGCGAGATCCCTGACGTCAAGGTCCCCGAAGTCAAGATCCCTGAAGCCAACGGCCTTGCTGGCGATGTCACTTCTGGTGTCAAGTCCACCGTCAACGTAAGTCCAATATCCATTTCACTAGGTTCATCAAGCTAACAACCCTGACAGGATGTCAAGGACATTGATGTTGACGTCGATGCTTCTCTCGAGGCCGACCTGGACAAGCGCCAAATCCCCGATGTCAAGATCCCCGGTGTCGACAGTCTCGTTGGTGACCTCAAGACTGGTGTTAACGGCGTCAAGGATGGTGTTACCTCTACCGTCGACCAAGTCAAGAACATTGACAGTCACGTCGATGCTCTGGACAAGTCTGTTGACGACGCTATCACCAAGCGTCAGCTTCCCGACGTTAACGGTCTCGTAGGTGATGTCGAGGGTGCCGTTCCTGGCGTGAAGCCCGTCGAGGATGCCGTTACCCCTGCTATCAACGATGTCAAGGACAACGTCGTCGGCGGTGTCACTGGTGTCGTTTCTCCTATTGTCAACGACGTCAAGGATGGCGTCACATCTTCTGTCACTCCCGTTGTCTACGGTGTCACCGGTGCTGTCGACTCCATTGCCAACCCCGTCAAAGACGCTGTTACTCCCGTTGCCGACAACGTTAAGGGTGCTGTTGAGCCTGCTGTCAAGAACTTCACCGACAATGTCACTCCTGTCGTCAACAACGTCTAGGATGGTGTTACCTCTGGTGTCGGCTCTACCGGCCTTTAGGCAACAATGACGATCATGCCACGCAACCTTACCAGCGTTCATAGCTAGACTCCTATTTCTGTATACCTTAATCCATATTATACCCTTATCAAGAATACTACTCTACATATCGCTACTACTTATCTGCACTTTGTTTATCGCCGCTAATGCCTGCTGATACCCATTTACAAATCCCTATCTAACCCTACCGGCTGTGCTTTGTAAACGTGTGATTGTCCTCGTATTAACATGCTGTGCGTAATCCAGGAGATTTCGACAAGTGAAGAGTTTCTTTCTATTGGCTGCGAAGTTCATTTTGCGGGAAGTAGAGGTCCTGATCGCTGGAGTTCAAAAGTTCAAGCAGCAAAATGCGCAGAAATTTTTCTTTTGGCCAGTGGCGCATCACTGCACTGCTAGACACAATTATGTATTCATCTGTGGTTCTGTGCGACATCCGGAACCTCGAGATTCATTGAGTCTAGCAGATTTAGTTTTGGTGAGTTTCTTATATTTGCGATACCTCTCATTCGGGAGCCTCTTTTTGCACATAGGCGTATGAATTGCGGAAGCTATGAGTGGCTCGTTGGGTACGGGTCATCGCAGTGGATGGCAACTACAACGAAGATATGGCTCCGCGAAATTTGCGCAGACAGCGACCGGTTTGGGTGAGATAACCCGTCATCTACTGTTACCGCCACCATGGTAAAGGTGAGAATCCATGAGAATCGTCTTAGCGTGCATAAGAACCAAATCAACTCCCAGTACACATCTCTCTTCTACCCCCACACTCTCCCGCGTGAGTGGTAGTTTTACACCAAGAATCAAGGATATGGAGTTTTCGATTAACTCGCATAAGCCGAAGAAGCTTGGCTTTGAAAAGTGAGTCTCGACGAATGTTGAGAGAAAGCGTACTAATGCTATCAATTCTAGGTACTCCAACTCAAAAGTGCTATCCGATATTACCATTCGATATGGGGCTCCAGACGAGCTCACTTTCGAAGCTCATAGACTGTTGCTAAGCGCGAAGTTGCATTGGTTCGAGGCACCCTTCACTGGAGGACTTGTAGTGAGTCCAGCGTCCTCGAATAAAGATACTTACTTTTGCTAACTTGCAAAGGAAAGCGGCGCCAGGGAGATCACCCTAGTTGGTGATGACTCCGATGCTCTCAAGACTATGCTCAACTTCGCATACGATGAGCAGATGTGCCCTCCAGAAGGATGGTTACATGGAGCTTCCACCACGATCGACTACTTCCTGGGGCTCTATCGCATAGGTGATAAGTACGACTTTCCCGAATTCCAGGCTCGGATTGTCTCATGCTTCAGAAGTTGCATGTACGCCTGGTTAAACAATCAGGCTACAAACTCGGAAGAAGACGCCGTTGCGCTTCGAGAGTTTAGCGGGTTTGTCAGCGAAATATACAATCTTGTTGGTCTAGGATACAAGCCAGACCATCCATTGGTAAAAGTTTTGCTAGATGTAGCAGATGACCAGGGCTCCGCAAGCATTCTCAGTAACAACGGGTATAAACAACCCTTTAATAACGATGGCTTCACGAGAAGTAGCAGAGTTCGGAAGAGATATCTTGCTTCACTTGATGGCGAAGACTGGATCATCGGGAAAACATGAGGAAGACAGGTTTGTTACGAATGAGCTGTGCATCGGAGCCAAGGTCACATGTCTGGGTTGTGATGCCCTTTCATGGAGGGTGGTAATCGACGAGGGCGACGAGATTGAGATATGGTGTAGAAGTTGCAAGCGTTTCATGGTTGACTGGCCCGAGGAAAGGATATCAGATGGGGAATGAAACAGACTTACTCGTGGTCTGCTGGCATCGATGCGAGGATGGGCTGGTACGAATGATCAATGTGTGAACTGGTATGGGCGCAAAGTAGAGTAGAGAAAGGATATTGGCGTCCCTATCCTCATTCCAAGTACACTTGCTCAGTGACTCGATAAAAAAGGTAGGGATTTTCCAATTGCTATGCCTCGGAGTCGAGGTTAAATGTCCGATTTCCAAATTTGGGCAAGCCTCGGTAGTGGAGATCTCTGGCACTAGGTCAACCCTGAGATTTGGCTGGCCGTTTCACCTCGAATCGATGTCAATGAACTTGCGATTTCACCAGCACACCACTTTCACGACGTTACGACCCATTGACGACTATTTCGTATCCTCCGCTCTCTTTTGTGTCTTTCTGAACTGCTAGAGCTACTCCTGCTGGTTCCGATCTAGCTCGGAACGGTCTGCGACATCCCAATATCTAGAACACACTCCCTCCCGCCATCGACCCTCACCGCTCCTAGACTTGGGCTGAAAGGCTCACTCAAGTCATACGACATTCTATCGTACTCGCTCTTTATATCGAAGCTCCATACCCTCCTTATCACCTACGATGCCCGAGACAACCAAGGTTGTGCCCCTCACCTGCCACGGTCACTCGCGACCAGTGCCACATATCCACTTCTCGTCCCTGCTAGATGAGGACCAATACTACATTATATCAGCATGCAAGGATAACAACCCCATGCTCCGAGACGGAGTGACAGGAGACTGGATTGGCACTTTCCTGGGTCACAAGGGCGCAGTCTGGCAAGCGAGACTATCCTCGGATGCCTCGCTGGCAGCTACGGCCTCTGCGGACTTCTCTGCGTAAGTGGGTTGAATTGCTGCAAGCGAGGGGTGTTCTAACAGTTTGCAGAAAGGTCTGGGATACGCATACCGGTGAAGCACTACACACTCTCTCACACAACCACATCGTCCGCGCAGTCGCATTCCCCAACCAGCCCCATCCCCAGATCCTTGCCACGGGTGGCATGGAGAAGAAGTTGCGCATATACGACCTTTCACGCAGCGACGCGACAAGTTTCGAGATTGGCGCAGGTGTCCACACTGGAACAATCAAATCGATCGTGTGGACATCCGACCCGAATGTCATAATCACAGCAGCGGAAGACAAGAAGGTGCGGTGGTGGGATTTGCGCCAAGAGTCCACAATCGGCGAGCATGCTGTCGAAGGCACTGTTGGCTCCTGCGAGTTGGATAACACCTCCTCGGAAGGCATTTTGAGCGTAGCCGCTGGAAACAGTGCCTACTTCTTCAATAGCCAGTCGCCGGGATCGCTCATCAAGAGCATCAAGACGCCCTACGAGATCGCCAGCGTGGCTCTACACAACGGAGAGCGGAAATTTGTCACTGGTGGTAGCAATCAGAACGACACTTGGGTCAGGGTCTGGGACTTTGACGAAGAGAAGGAGCTTGAGACCAACAAGGGTCATCACGGGCCTATCTGGTCGGCAAGCTTCTCGCCTGACGGAAAGCTCTACGCCACAGGCAGTGAGGACGGCACAGTCAAGCTGTGGAAGTTCACTTCTGGCCCGTACGGTCTGTGGAAGTAGGAGTTTTCCCATGATCGATGCTTCCGTTAACCATGATTCTGCCAAGGCGCAGCATCTCAGCACCAGAATAATCGTAAATAACATACAAGTACAATCTATTACCCTGGATAAACAATTGCAGTACTATTTCACCTACGTTGACATGCGCTGGATAGATGGAGAAATTCCAACAGCGAAGCATATCGCAAACAAGCCATACAGTTAACGGTATTCTTGCTATCTGAAGCTACTCCCACCAGGGTAACTGTATCCGCGGAACCATCCGATTCGACATGCCGAAGGATCGACAACGCCAATAGCATGCAGCAACATCATCAACTTGCATGATGCTAGGGCTGGCCTAGGTAGCGATATGCAATGCTCAACATCGCGATAAGAGTGGCTTGGCAAGATAGACGATAACTACCTTCACGGCCTTTGCCAAGGGTGGGAGATGTCAACAGGCAATACGACATAAGTATAAGGGCACCGAACCCCCGCCATCTGTGTTACTACACAGACGTTACAAAACCATCGTTACCAGGGTCTTCGGCTATCTTGCTTTTACCCCACCCTAGTCAACCACTGACCCCGAAATCTGTCGTCGACATCCAGTTTGTGGTCTGTAGACGGCCAAGATGGGCGAGAAGGAGCATGATATCTCATCAGCGCGAGAGCCCAGCATCGATGACGGGAAACTCGCCGCTGAGAAGCAGATGCGCGACATTGGCGCCGATCTATACCTTGAAGTACAGCAATACTCAAGAGAAGAGTTGGAAGCAGAGCGCAAGGTTGTACTAAGAAAGATTGATTGGGTCATCATGCCAATGGTATGGCACCCCCTCTCAAACCTGCCCTCACTCAATCTCCCAAAACCAACACGAACTAAACAAAGCATCCTAGATATGCATGACATACATGATCCAGTTCCTCGACAAACTGTCCCTAAATTACGCAAACGCCTACACCCTCACCCCAGACCTCGGTCTCCAAGGCGACCGCTACGGCTGGGTCGCCGCCATCTTCAACTTCGGCTACCTCTTCTGGGCGCTGCCCGCAAACTACCTCATCCAGCGTCTCCCCGTTTCAAAATACACGGGTTCCATGATACTCCTGTGGTCCCTCTTACTCTGCTGCCACGTCGCAGCTAAAAACTACGCTGGCATGCTTGCTCTGCGTTTCCTGCTGGGCATGTTCGAAGCGAGTATCAGTCCCGCAATCATGAACATTGTCAGTATGTTTTACCGGCGCGACGAACAGCCTGTCCGCATGTGCGTATTCCTTGCTTTCAACGGCATGGCGACCATGGTAGGGGCACTGCTAGGCTACGGATTGGGTCACGCCGAGTCCCCGCATATCAAGACGTGGCAGCTCATCTTCCTCGTCATCGGGCTGTTGAATTTCGTCTGGGCGTGGGTGTTTCTCTGGGTTATGCCTGATAGCCCCTCGACGGCGAAATTCCTCTCGCATAAACAGCGCATCGTGGCGATTGATCGGATTGCTGGTAATATGATTGGCGTCAAGACGAAGCAGTTCCAGAAGAGCCAGGCGGTGGAAGCGGTGCTTGATTTCAAGGTTCTCTGCATCAGTCTGATTGGACTCTGTTGTGGAGTGATTAACGGGGGTGTATCGAATTTCTCGTCGAGCCTTATTAGGGGGTTTGGGTTTAGTGGGATTTACGCTACGTTGCTGCAGTTGCCAACGGGTGCGATTGAGTTTGTGGTTGTTCCTCTTTGTGGGCTCGCGGCGGGGTATTTTAGAGATACGAGGTGTCTTATTTTGGCATTGATTTGTTTACCGCCGTTGGCTGGATTGTTGGGGATTCGTCTGACGCCGCTGAGCCAGCGCTGGAGTCTCGTTGGGTGTACGTGGTTGCAGTATATTGTTGGTGCCCCGGTCATCTTGTCGTGGAATCTGCTTACGACAAATATCGCTGGGCATACGAAGCGCAGTACAGCGAACGGGATGTGGTTTGTGTTTTACGCGGCGGGGAATATTGCTGGGGCGAACATCTTCTTTGCGAGGGAGGCGCCGAGGTACTTCTCAGCACTGACGGGGCTTATTGCTTGCTACTGCGGGATGGTGGTTGTGGCGGGTGTGTTGGCTGCGTGGATGGGTTGGGAGAATAAGAGGAGGGATAGGGAGTTCGGTCAGAGTGAAGACGAACAGGCTATCAGGGATGGATTTAGTGATTTGACGGATAAGCAGGCGAAGCACTTTAGATATGCGTTGTAGGAAGATGCGTCATGTCGATGAGCTTTACAAGTAATTAAGTAACTTGTGCTGCTAATCCAGTGGAGATTCGCCGCTAATGCTACTTGCTCATGATTACAAGTCCCACATCATCTAATACTTCCCACTCTCCTTAACCAGCCCATTCTTCTCGTTTTCAGCCTTTGGTTTCAACGCCCACTCAGGCGCCTCATCAATCCCATCCTCCTCCGCCTTATCACCCTCCTCCTTAGTCTTATGCACACTGCTTGGCAAGTGTTCTGCAGGCGCATACACTGTAATCAACTCGAGTGGCTGATCCCCCTTCGTCACAAACTGATGTTGCGTCCCCGCAGGCACGACAACAACATCACCCGCCTTGACCTCCTGATCCTTGCCGTTCACCGTCGCGAGCCCTTTACCGGATGTAAATAGGAGGATTTGGTCGACAGTGTGTACTTCGTCGCCAATCTCGCCGTTGACGGGGACCTCCATGGCGACGATTTGAGAGTAGAGACCTGTGTGGAGGACGGTTCGAAAGTCGCCGAAACTGCGCTTTTCCGACATGAGGCCAGGGAAATGCACCATTTCGTGTTTAGGGGGCGCGTTCTCGCGGTTTCCGACTTTCTTGAAGGCTTCCATTTTGGGAGCTGCGGCGTAGAGTCTTGGGGTGGATGTGGAAAAGGGTTTCGTGATGATAGTGGGTGTTGCAGTTCGCTTTGTCAGTGTGGATAAGCGGAGAAGACGGGATGTGGTATTGAGCATTGAGGAATTGGGTGTAATGTATATGTTCGATGTCAACTTAGATGGGTATTTTATGTTACGTCGTTCGACATCACATCACCCATCGCGTCAGCGCGCGTTAGGTGTGGAGGTCTAGACTCCAGGGTATATATGACGTCACTGTAGCGTTTCTTTTGCGATGTACGGGCACATTGCCTCGTTCGGTGCACTAGTACGTTTAGTAACCTATTGATTGGTTGTCTCCCTTGGATCAAGTCACGGTGCGTGCTGTGAGTGGTGTCGTACCTGATTATGTGATGGTTGTAATCAGAGTGCTAAGTAAGCTGACGGAACATGCACCGCTGTACGCTGCACGTGGTGAAATCTGTGGCTTGTCATGGAAGTCATGTTGAGAGGAGAATAATTGTTTGATTAAAGTTGCAATACTCAGATATATGAGCGGGTTGGGGGTAATACTATTTCCAAGTCTCTTATAACCTAGGACTTTTCGTAGAGCTTCTTGGTGTATGGCTACATCGTACCACTCATATAGCGCTATGAAAGAGGACGATTTGGCCCCTAGGATTCCTCAATGCTGAACGCATTTTCTTTGCAACGGCTCGCCGATGGCAAAGCCCAGCGAGCCTGGTGTGAGGGTGGTTGTTGGTAGCGGGCTCGCCCACCTTTGCTTCGTTCGTGGAGAAGCAGGAGAGTCGCGTTACAGTACTGTGATTGCCGTTCAAAAGGTATCAAATAGATTCGTGCTCACTAGACGCGGTTGCGGCCAGCGACTTCTTCCTTCTCCTCTTCAAGCTCCCGTTCAATTTCTTCCTCTTCGGTAGGCTTAGGGTTCTTGACATCCTTGGCGGGCACATCACCACCACTCATTTGCCATTCCATGAGCTTGTTGAACGCACCCTCTGGGTTTGAGCTGAGTTGCTCATAGGTGCCTTCTTCGGCTACCCTACCTTCGGCATCGATGCAAATGATGCGGTCGGAGCGTTTGATTGTTGATAGACGATGGGCGATGCTGATAGTTGTGTTGTTCTCCTGAAGAAGTTTGTGGAGTGCTTGATTGACGAGAGTTTCAGACTCAGCATCGAGAGCACTTGTTGCTTCGTCGAGGATAAGGATGTCGGGCTTCTTGATTAGTGCTCGTGCGATGGCGATACGTTGCTTCTGGCCTCCCGAGAGTTGGGTACCTCTGGCGCCGGCGTGTGTTTCAAGGCCGTCGGGCTGTATTCATTAGTGAAGATCTTACACCAAATGGGTCATACGTACGAAATCGCTGATGAACTGGCAGTTAGCCTTTCGTGCAGCGGCCACAATCTCAGCACGGGTGGCATTAGGCACACCATATGCGATGTTCTCGGCGATAGTTCCAGAGAAGAGCACGGGCTCCTGACCGACGTAACCAATTTTCCTTCTCAATTGCTTCGCGTTCAAAGTAGTAATGTCCCGGCCATCAATAGTAATAGTTCCGGTGTTGGGAACGTAGAAGCGTAGAAGAAGACTAGCGACCGTAGACTTGCCAGCTCCGCTAGGTGCCACGATAGCCACATTAGTACCCTGTTCAATCTTGAAGCTGAGGTCCTTGAAAATAGTGACTGCCGGCCTGGTAGGGTAACTGAAAGAAACATTTTTGAACTCGATGGGGCCACGCGCTGACTTGACTGGTAAGCCCCTGGTGGGCGATATAGTCGGGTTACGGTCTTGAAGCTCGAAGAGGCGACTAGCAGCTCCAACGCCCTTCATCATTTCACCGTAGAAGCCAGACAGACCAACCATACTGGAACCGGCGTAGACTGTATACATCAAGAACGAGGAGAGTTCACCAATAGAGATGACTCCATTCTTGACCATGTTGCTGCCAACGTAGAGAATGGAGATGATGGTCAAGTTGCCCATCAATCCTGTGCTTCCGTAGAAGGTCGCTGCAACCACAGCCTCCTTCTTTCCCAAAGCGAATATTCTCTTGATTTGTCGGTTGTAGCGTGATGCTTCTTGGACTTCTCCAGCGAAGGCTTGACTTGTCCTAACGTTGCCCAACCGCTCTTCAGCGATCTTCGTCAAAGTTCCAAGGTTCTTCTGGATCTTGCGACTCAGATTCCGCAGTGAACGACCAGAGAAGAAGGCGACGAGAGCGACAGGCGGGGCAATCAAGGCGAGAATACCAGTAAGCTTCAGACTGACGAAACCCATCATGGCGAAACCAGCTGCACCACTGACGAGCGCACGCAGGCCGTCGGACAAGTTTTGCGTGATGCTCTTTCCAACGATGATGGTATCAGAACCGAGACGGGAGATGAGATCTCCCACCCTGTTCGCGTCAAAGAACTCGGCGTTTTGCACAAATGTCTTACGGTAGAGCTGCGATCGCAAGCGAGCCACGATGCGTTCTCCAACGATTCGTAGAATGATGATACGTCCAAAGTTGAATGCAGCGCCGGTTGTCAAGACACCTGCCAGTGCAAAGTAGAAGATAGAGGGAGACATGCCAAAGAGTAAGCCATCAGTGTTTTCGGTCGAAGTTGCAGCGTCCAAGATTTTGCCGATTGAGAAAGGTACGGATAGAGAGATGCCAGATCCGACGAGTAGGAATACGAACGCCCAAGAGAGCACGCCCAGCTCAGGTCGCGCAATCTTGATGAGCCTCCAGATTTCCTTCATGCCACCTGGTGTGCTTCCAGAACCAGATCCATCCTTGCTGAGTTTGGCGCTCAGATTGACCTGCTTGGCCTGCGCCGCCTTTTCAGACTTTGCAAAGCCTTGTTCCTCGTTCTCCGGTTCGCCATCATGCTCCTCTAGATCCACAATGCCTTTTTCTTTAATCTCCTCCCTGTATGACTTGCGCTGTCTCGCAGGCTTGGTGTTGCTTGAAGCTTCCGCTAGTAATCGCGACGTAGTGAACATCCGAGCCGGACTTGGTAAGCCATTGTGACGTGTAGTGCCCGCGGTTGCGAATCGTGATATCGACGATGTGGGGAAGAGACATGCCACGCAGCTTTTCGGCGAAGTTGTGGGTATCGAAGCTTTTGAAGCCGGCTTCGTAGCGAATGATCTCGATATGGCGGGTGTTGTTGTCGTCGAGATGCGCGACTGTATTTGTGAGAAGAGGGCTCCGTTGCCTGGGCCGTGCCAGGCCTTCGCCGAGAAAACCGGCGGGCCGCGCATGGCGTGAGATGGGTAGACTGGATGGCTACCGAACTTGAAGAGCGAATTGGGGCGTTATTGAGGCATTCCACATGGCGATACACAGGCGGACGTGGGAGTGGATGACTTCGGAGATGTCAATCAAAAGTTCGGCGCCGCCCTGATGACGACAGGACCGCCGCGTCGATCGCTTGCGTGCCGCGGCTCGATCTCCGATATTGTCTCTGGAGCAGGGTACACAACTTCAGCCCTTCTTACTTCTAGTACGCGATGACAACGACTAAAGTATCATGAATGTACACACAGACTAATTCTATGGTTTGTTTGTGACTGCGCGACGTCATCGCTGCACGACGTTGGAGCCTCAAGCTCCTACGATGCGGGCACCAACCATCATGCTCCTTGACAACTTTACAACCTTGGATACAGAAGAGATGGAAATATCTGCTTCAATGTCGCCCTCAAAGTAAGAAAATGCAGAGATGATCGAATAAGAACTCGAGTATAGACAGGCCGTATTACAGACCATCTATAGTATGACTGGAAAGAGCAAATGGCAACTGAGTCATCTCCACTCATCGTGAGGCGTTCCATTCACCGCAGGATAATGTATTACGGTCCTTGTCTGACCTTTAAGAAACACTAGCCCCCGCCTGTCGTCTGAAGACTACAATGTCAAGCCCACGCGACTACAGCAGCCATCACCATCATCAGCCATGGCGTCTACCCCCTCTTTAATCCATCTAGATGGCACAACTCTCGAAGGTGGCGGACAACTCCTGCGAGTAGCCCTTGGCCTCTCGTGCCTTACCAGGAAGCCGATACATATCACCAAGATCCGGGGCAAGCGATCTGGCGGCGGGGGACTGAAAGCCCAGCACCTGACTAGTGTCCAGTGGCTAGGCCAAGCAAGCCATGCGTACGTTAACGGTGCAGAGCTCAAGAGCAAGGAGATTACATTCCTTCCAGGCATTGCTCTTCAAAGCAACAGTCTTCTGGGCACCGGAGAGGTGCGGATCCAACAGACAACTCCCGGAAGTGTCAACCTGGTGCTACAAGCCATCCTGCCACACATCCTCTTCTCCGGAGCGAAATCTCCAGTCCGTCTCCGCATAGACGGAGGAACCAATGTCTCCAACTCACCATCGACTGAATATATCGCTCAAGTTCTTATCCCAATGCTCGAGCTAATCGGCATACCACACATCACCATCCATATCCATTCGCGTGGCTGGTCACAAGGCGGTACAAGTATCGGCAGCGTCACATACACCATCACACCCCTGAAAGCCAGACTACCAGGTTTCCAACTAGTCGGAAGGGGAGACATCATCAGCATAACCGCAACAATCATAGCACCCGAAGAGACTGAATGTCAGTTCAGCGAAGAGTTGGACAACATGTACGAGCGACGATTGCACCCCTTTGACAGTAACAGTAACGTCGGTGAATCACGGATAGATACCACCGTCATATTCGAAGATTCGCATCACGACAAACGATACTACCTCCTCCTCGTAGCAATAACATCTACTGGCATGAAACTCGGCCGCGACTGGCTGTACGATCGTGGTTTCAAGTCTGGCCATCTCGAGCGCATCATACCGGCTATCGTTAAGAAAGTCTCTGACGAGTTGTGGGCAGAAATTGAGCATGGCGGATGTGTGGATGAGTATTTGAGAGATCAGTTGGTTGTGTTTCAGGCACTTGCTGAGGGGGAGAGTCATGTGTATGGGGGGAAGAGGAAGGGCAAGCGCGCGGAACCGAGTTTACATGCTAGGACTGCGCAGTGGGTGGCGGGAGAGATACTTGGGGTGGAATTTGATGAGTGGGGTGGATGTGAGGGTTTGGGATATCTGCCAGGCGATCTGAGTGGTGAAGATATGGTGGGAAAAGGTGTAGCGAGAGGTTTGGAGAAGTCGAATCTCTCGTCGTGAGACAGTGCTATGCCACTTTTTCTATGCGATGATCTGTATACCAAGGGAAGGTCTGTATTATCTTATGGTTATTGAGCATGCACCTTCAACCAAGCCAGTATCATGCTGGAAACCGCCATGTTCGGCATGTTCGCTGTACGAAGACGCTCGTCTTCATATAATTCATACTACCTGAGACTACGGCGTATCATGTAGTCTGAAGGTATTTGCTGTGTTTCCTCTTCACATGAGTACCGTATAAACGTAAACATCGTTAGGTCCTTTGATGTTTCGTTGTTAGCGCCTTCTCGTGGCCAAGTCATACTCATACGGTCAAGTCTTCTGTTTGGTCTTGGGTGGGGTCATTTGATTTCCCCTCTCTCTTTTTGCGTCTGGTTTCGTACATTTTCCCTTAGATTCGCTTGCAAGTATCTAGATGGCTGAATCTCCATGCTTTCATCCCAAATTGATTACTGCATGTGATGTGTTCTCATGTGATGAGGAATTTGCAGCACAACAGACTTGGAGCTTGTGCATACATGTGAACAACCTTTGAAGCAATCTCGATACAAGAAAAATGCTTCTACACAAGGTACAAGCAAACACGTAAGCCAACGCTAAAACCTCTTATTTGACGTGGCCTCTCGTTAACCCCAACTTGAGATTCCTCGGGTTGCTAAACGACTTTCGTCCCTCGCCTATGTTACTTAAATAAACTCATGGCAAGCACCCTGCGCTACAAAGCTATCTACCTAATTCCCTAAGATACGCCATCTTATACTGCCATTCCATCGTCCAGGCTTGGGCCGACGGAAACATTCCTGTTAAACTGGATATATTTGCCTTGACTGATTGCTGCGGCGAACCCAATATCGATACATAGTGGGCGAGGTACCACACACGAAAAGGATCTTCTCTTAAGAGTTTATGGAGCATAAACATAAACCACCGACACTGAGAACCGGCTGCTAGTCCTTCACCCCGAAAGTGAGCAAAGATGCTAAGCATAGTGTTATACTAGTACATCCTTGACCCCCGTTTCTGCCCCGGTGATCAATTTGTCCAAGTACTAAGCTTAATGCTACCGAGGTGGTGAGATGTGAGGTGTAGAGAAATGAGGTGAACCGAGGAAATGATGAAGTAAAGGAAAAAATAGCGGCTAGTAGGGTTACGTGAGGTGGGGTAAGAGGTGTGAAGATGGGGTGGTAATCGAGGCAAGTCTAGGGGGCCATGTTTGTGCGCGTGCTGCTCTAGGGGATGTCCAAGATAAATGAAAACAATCAAATCAACCCTCATTGTCACTGTATGCGAACAAGATTTCCCGTTACATTCTTTCCTTTATATCCACAACAGACTCAACAAGACGCTTAATAACGACCTATACTGAGCCTTGGTAATAACACAAAACAGATATCCCAAGCCCCTTTCCCTAGACAAACGCCATGCTCTTGCGCGCACGCCCTTCTAATGTGATGATGATGAATGTCCCAACCCAAAAAAAGCGGCATAAAAGCCATGAGACAGCCCAACCTCAATTGAAGGTGCGCGTGTATCAAATACTTGTTTCCACATATATCATTTCTCAGCGACTCCTTTTTGTTATCGAAACGCCGAGGCGATGTGGTAGTAGCGGTAGAGGTAATAGATGCGGTCGTGAAATGTAGAAGTCGTAACTGTATTTACATGTATGCGGAGGTGGCGTTTTTACCATGTTTCCTGTGTTCGTATCAGTATATGAGATGCAAGCGTAATGCAGAGGTGTACTTACAGCAATGTACTGCCCATCCTCCCTCTTCCTGGCCCAGAACTCCTTGGCCTGTGCTTCGCTCAGACGACCCTTTTGCATGGCCACGTCAATCAGTGACTCTTCGACGCCTTCGCCCATGCCCTTGCTAGAGCCACAGACGAAGATGCGTCCGTCAAGAGCGTTGATGACGAACCAGACAATGTCGGCCTGTACGCGAACCTCGTCCTGAACGTATTTGACTTCGTTGGAGCCTCCAACCTTGACCTTTCGGCTTTGCACAACCTTCTTGATCTCGCGCTCATGATCGCCAAGCTCACCAGAGTACAGCTCGTCAAGCATGGAGTCTCGGACTCCCTGAATAAGCCAGATCTTGTTGGCGCAATTGGCGTTCTTGAGCCTGTTCAGGATGAAGCCTCGGAAAGGAGCCATGCCAACTCCCGCTCCGATGAGCACCATAGGGCCTTCACCACCAAACTGCTTAGACAGCGGGTTGGCCATAAGCCCGCGGAACATGGGGACGCGGAGATCGAGAATGCTGCGGGGATCGACACCTTCGTTCTCTGTTGTGATGAAGGCGTGTGCCAGGCGCTCCATGAAGCCACTGCCTACACCGGTACGTGTGGCACCCGGGGCATGCCAATCAGGTGTCTCGTGGATTGTAACGGCCATCTCGATTAGGCGGCGGGTACCGGGAAGGCCGGGGCGAGCCGACGAGATGTGGGGGTCGTTTGAGAGAGAATAGAACCGAGGCATGAGTTGGGTGAGGACAGAGAGGAGGCGCGGTAGCGGCGGCTTGGACGAAGGGAATGCGCTGAGCATCTGTGAGACGGTGAAGTGAGAGGTAGTACGGAGGTCGCAGAAGGCTGCTTGTCCTTGGGCCGAGCAAAGATATGTTAAGATCTTCTTCTCGTTCGGGGCATCGGCATATTCGGCGAGCACGCGGAGGAGATTCTTGGTTGGCGGGTGCGACTGGATGTCTGCGCACCATGTCAACAGTTCACGTCGGGTTGTGACAAGCTCGCGTGCTTGGTCTTCGCCCCAGATGGTCGGCCATCTTCCAGTCTGGGTCTTGAGTGTGACTGGCTTGTCGCGGACGAACTTGGGGATGCAGAGAAGGTCGAACAGCTCATCGACCATGTCCTGCGAGTTGGGAGGGCAGATGCCGACGGCACCACCGACCTTGAAGTCAACGCCTCCCTCATCAGGGTAGTCGGTAACATCGATGTCGAAGTGAATTGTCCTCTTCTCAGCGCCTGGCTTGGTCAACTCGCGTGCGTGGTATAGCGGTGCCGAGTAGACCTCGTAGGGCGGGTGTGGCTGAACGTATTTGGGCGGCATCTTGTGCACTTGCGAGACGTACTTGGTGTCCTTGGATGGTAGCGGCTCGAAGGACATGTTGACAGGAGGTAACGGAATCGTATCGGTAAGCTCGCTGTCCAGGGCGAGGGGGCCCAGTTGGAGATTGAGGCTCCTAAAGGCATGGTTGTCGGGAACGACGACGGGTATGAAGTTGGGCGACGACGAGTCTGGGGCCAGTGTCTTGAGCAGGCAGCATCCTCCACCGCAGCACTGACTGATGAGCTTGGTGGCCGTCTCTCCCTCACCCAGTATCCGTCTGATGTCGTTGGGGTTGTCTGAGATGAGAGTGGTGGATGCTCGTCGGGGTCGCGATTGCTCTGAGAAATTGACGGCCGAGGTAGGCAGCGCCTGTAGCTTGTCGACGACCTCCTCGACGCCCTGATCGGGTTCAGTCATGGGCGTCGTCGGGGCCTCTGAATCGTCGCTACTGTTGGCCCATAGCGCGGACTCGCCTGACGACTTGGGCGACGTCTGCTCTGGCTGTGCCTGTGCCGGCGATGGCTGTACTGAAAGCTGTGGTATATCTTGTGGCTCAGCGGGAATTGGATCGTCGGGGTGTGAGGTCGACGTGTGTGGTATGGGATTGTGCATTGTCGCTGTCGTGGTTGCCATGTGCCTGCGTGGTGGTGGAGTGAGGTGAAGAAGCGTCGTGCGTGCTGACGCGACAAAGGGGACTGCTAGCGCGAACCATGATTAGCAAGAGCTGACTTGGTATTGCTATGGGGTGTTGAAGGTATCAAGAAGTCGCGATGCGGGTGTTCATCTCCCAAATTGCTTGTTGAGCCGCGGAGGACGGAGGTGTGCGACAACAGAGCATGTGGGGGGTTGTGGTTATCTGATGCTTTGTGATGCACCGAATTTGTTATCAGATCGTGGCATAACTCACCTCGACTGGCTGACAAACAAACACGACCGAGTGGCAGCCGCTTGCTAATTCCCAAGACTGGTGACACGATGGATCGCGACTGTGTATAGATTGGTATTAGGCGTATTCTAACTGTGGCAGAGGGTATGGGCATGAGGAGAGGACTGGTGGTGACGAACAAATGTTCCACTGAGCCCGGACGCTTTTCCCATTGCCGATCCACGACGCCTTCAAGGCTGAGATGAGCATTCCGAATGCCCACTTCTGCCGAATGACGCTTGTCGATGCCCGATCGCCGAGGCCGCTCGTCTTCGCACCTGTTTTGTCCTACTTTATCCGACAAAGATTCCTCGATTGGAGTATCTTCCGCGTATCTTGGCTGCGCCCACGCATCAGCCCAACTTCCTGATCATGCTACTCATACAACTCAACATATTATACCACCAGCCCTTGATCGCTGTTACTACGAGCTGAAGCCCAGACCTTCTCAGCACATAATCGGCTAATCTCTGTAACATGCCACTGTCACGCCGGTCCTCGGTCTCTCGGCGGTTATCGCATCTGATAACCAGACTTCGGTTCAGGGCCCGACCCCGCCAGCTACCAATCGTGACTCTGGCCGCTTCTCCTTTCTGAAAAGACTAACTCTACAATATTTCCCCTCATCTTGATTGCATCGAGCACATTCGCCAAAATGTCGCGGTTCAATATTGCAGCGCTATTACGTCGATGCAACGCCACCGGCTTTCACGGGAGAACTTGCCCCATCAAGACCTCACTCCACTGCATGTAAGGATATGCCTGGCAAGCACCAACTCAAAAAACGTTCCTCAACATGTCACACTACGCCACGACGAGGCTGACATGCCACCATTACCTCCCCGAACATGTACAGGGTCCGCGTTATTGTCGTGTTCCGCCGTCGTGGAAGAGCGTTGAGCACGTTATGTTAGCGGCCCCACAACAAGTCCATGGTCTGTGTCACAGCTACCACGACCCTGAATCCGGACATTATTCCATTCGCCACTATAATGTGGAGGTTGTGAAATCACTCAGAAAGCCTGTTACCACTTATGGTAATTGTGACTAACTCTCACTGCAATATGACGGAAGAACATACACCACTTCACACTTCTAGCACACTGAGTAGGCGACGGGTGCCACCAGATGTCCCTTCTAGTACAAGCTCAGTCCAATCACAACGCCAGTTGCATGGAAGACTTTCACGGAATCACGGTTTGCAGGATTTCTGCCTGCGCTGTTCACGTACTGATTGGATCAAGCTGTTTATGGTTTGATTCAGCTGGCCACCCGTTTCACGGTCGCGTTTAGCGAATTGACGACAACCTGCTGTGACTAGCACTCGAACTATCTATTGGAAAATGATAATTCTTAGTCGTACCGACTTCTTCCTTAGTTCACTACACCTTGCCAGCCCTGAACTATCTAACTTACCTAAGTATCTCGAACAACAATGTTTAGGCAAGTGTACAGAAATACGGAAGCTGGGGTCTCGAGCGATGCAAGCTCAGTCGACAGCTCCCTCAACCCGCATTTCCTCAGGATACCATCAAAAGCATTGAAACAGCGGATTTCTTCGACGACCACTCACGTACTACTCTGTGTAACATGCTGCAAACCGACTTACATTACCATATCGATATCGGGATGCGTGCCAACTACCACTACTGCCTGAGGCCAGATCTCGAGCAGTTAGAGCCTGAATATCACGACATTGACTGGGACGATAGCTGTGACATATTGCCTGAGTGTATACTTGGTGTCAACATGTCAAGGATCGTAACTTTTACTGGGAACTGTCGCAAGTACAACGACTCGTCTGGGTCTAGTTCTAGCAATTCATCTACCGGTAATGACACCATGGGTTTTGTGTTCATGCATCTAGGCAGAGTCTTCTTCCTCAAGGATACTATTAGGGACAAACTCCATAACGAAAGTAAGACTTCTGCAGAGATGCCATGGTATGACTCAGGCTTTGTCCTCGTCGTCGAGATTTATCACAGTGGAATTGCGGGCGCCTAGTAAAAATATCGTAGGCGGATGTGATTTCATCAAAGATCGAGACTTCGTTCTAGAGTATTTCAGCTACCAACTCAAAGTCCTTGAGTTGCCAGTTGACTCCTATCTCTGCCCGATGGATGAAAACAAAACGGCACACGGAGCATACCCAAATACTTCCCTCAGCTCCGCAAATTGATAATGCTGGGCAAGTTGGTAACCAATAGAACGGATCTGGGGATATTGTTCCATCCAAACTCGAGAGCCTCGTCATAACCGATTGTGAAGACAGCGAGGATATCAATGACTGGATAAGCGACGTGTTACACGAAGAGGCATATTACTTCCCCAGCTTGCGTAGCGCGAACGTGTATCACAACTGAAGTAGATATGCTGCTAGCCTGCAGCTGCGCATCCGTATGAAGGAGATGGATATAGCAAGTAAGCTCACCCCTTTCCGTTGTCAGCATTCGTTACGTGTGGAATTCTCTTGCCAACTTTAACGTTTTCGACAAGGTTTGCCTACGAGTATGTTCCTGACTTCAACCTCATGTTCTGCGACAAGGCTTACCATGGGTGGATGTACACTGGCGTTGAGCTCAATGCCTTGCATGTGGTGAGGCATAAGGATGGGGAATTTACGGAGAGAAAGATGCTGTAACGATATTTTCTCGCCTGATGATACAAAACAAACTTATGCCGCAAAGATGAGGAACAATCTTCGTCATGTCGCCCTTACTGGTACACTTGCAACAAGCTACCCTCCATATCACTACCCAACACCCGGCCAACCTGCCTACAGTTAGTCTCGATATCCCCAAATCAACCAAATCTCCATCGTGGCACTTACTCCAAACGGTCAACCCCTCATTAACCTTCGCCACATTAACCCTATCTCCCACCCTCCACACCTCCTCCCTCTTCTTCCCATTACTCCCCCAAAACCCGTACCTCCCAAACACCGGACTCCATTTCGCCCCAATATCAACCCTTCGGTCTTTCTGCAACCTCTTCAACACCTCACCCGCCGGTCCTTCCCCCTGTTTACCCGTCTTGTGGTCGATATTGATACTCTTACACCTCACACAATTATGCGGAAGGATAACCTCCGTTTTCCCATTAATCGTAAGCTTACCCCAGTAATCCTCTTGATACGGATCAAACGCCCCGCTAACCACAACATTCGGTCTGAATTTCTCGATATCCATGTCCATGCCCTCGGGAAGTCTGCTCGACACATCCTCGAGGCTCGTCTGCGAACAAAAGAGATACGGTGCGCAATCCGCAAAAGTGATTTTCCAGCTTTCCGTCCCGGATTTATGCAAGCCCATTGCTTTTTCCACGTATCCCTTGGAAAAAGGTACGTGCTTGGATAGGAAACGGGTCAAAGGGTCTGGTTCCAGCGGCTGCATGTCTTGGAACTGTACGGGGCGGAAGTTGTCGGTGCCGAGGTAGACGAGCTGGACGGCGTACCCGAAACAAGATGTGAACCATTCTGAGTATTTGGCAGGCATGCGGAAGGCGGTTGTCGGGGCAGAGTGCATGTTTATATCGATGGGTTCTAGCTTTTCTGTGTCAGGCTCCAGAGGGATGTCGATTGATGTCGCTTTTGAGGCGTCTCCATAAGCAATGTATTTGACGGTGATGGTGTCGTTGGATATAGATTGGAGGAATTGCGTCATTTCGGGATATTTTGCTACAGCCATGTTTTTGTAGCCGTCTGGGGTTTCTTGGAGGATCATGAAGGAACCTGGGTCGATATTAGCAAGGTTTGCTGTTGTTGTCAAATGGGCGTTGGTCTGTTCTACGGTCGTGCTTGAATCCATGAGCCGTAGCGATGGCTTCCGTAACTTTAACCGCTCGTAGCGATTTGATGGGGTATATATACATCTGATAATACTTGCGATTAGCATCTCGTTTTCTTTCATCATGTTCTCCACCATTCACACATACCGCCGAGATCTTCATAGCCGTCAACCGATGTATCAACGGACTAAGGAAGTTGAGCAACTGATACAAGCCAAACGGCACAACGCAAAGTGCCGTGATAAGCCATATCGGCGACACCTTCTCGATGTTGAACTTGTATTCTTCCTCCATGCTGGAAGAAATAATTTGCAAGATTCGAGGAATTGCAACGAAAGTCGGCCTTGGAAAAGTAATGTTGGTTGCGGCTCGACATGTAAGCCAGGCCCCCCCACGTGCACGCCTTACCAAGGCGCTAAGGCATGTCCAACGAACCTCGGATGTCATTTTCGATCCTTCAGCGACATCCTACAGTAATCCGGCAATGTATTCTCGCGGCTCTATAGTAGCTGCAGAAAGCTGGTTTGGGTAATGTATTTTGAAATATTTGATGGTGAGATGAATTGTGGAATCTGCAGTGCACGTCAAGACGTGAGACACATCTTTACCATATCAGCAACACGTGAACCATTGTCTCCAACAGCGTAATTGGAGTTCTTTAAATTCAGTCTACCCAACCCATCCACATCCATCATCAAATCCTCTTCCCAAAAACCCTGAACCGCTTCACACCTCCATCTGGAATAATCACCAACTTCGCATGTGTATACCCCCTCCCTTTTACCTCCTTAAGCTCAGCCTTGTACTCCTTCTCCACATCCGGGCCGCTCTTCTGCGGCTCCAACACCTCAACCCACCCCTTGTCATCACTGCTCGGATCCTTGGCGAAGCTACCAGCAAAAACCTGCACCTTCTGCGGAAAGTTGCCTCTAAAGTGCGCAGTGTCAATGACGATATGGTCGATTTCCCCCTTGGCACCTAACCGGACAATTGTCCAATCCACGTGTTCACCGCGCGTACGCTTCGTTTCCCATCCATCGCCCATGTCTTTTCCGCGACCGGGGAGAAGTAAGTTATCCTTTGTGCCAAAGTGTTGGTCTGAACACGCCGTTGCGACGCCGCCCATGACGGTGGCCGAGAGTTCAAAGACCGCATCTGCAGACTGAGGAAACACTGGTACGGCGACACCGTACAGGCGGAAACGCGCGATGCCGCCGTCGGGATACATGAGTAGCCTCACATGCGTGTACGCCTTCTCCGTGATGCTGTCTAGTTTCCAGCCGTGTCGTTGGCTGGGCCCGCACTCCTGCTTGGATAGTATGGTTTCCCAGCCTGCGTAGCTAGCCTTCTTCACTTCCTCTTCTTCCTTGTCATCTGTAATGAATGCACCCTCGACAGCGATTTCAGGTGCGTGGTTTCCGTTGAAAGCGAATGTGTCGATTTCCACACCTGCTACTTTCCCACTCGCGGTGCCTAGTCTTAGGACTACCCAGTCGAAGGGTTCGGTGTTATGGCGTCGGGTTTCCCAGCCATCGTACCAAGCTCCCGAGTGCACGAAGACACCGGGTTTGCGAATTGGAGGAGTGGGTGTGATGAGGTTCTCAGCTGCAGCGAACCATTCGTCGCTGAAGGACAGGACTTTGGAACCGAGAGGCGCGGATATCAGATCTTTGGACCATGTTAGCTTATAGTCGGGAAATTGTGAGACGAATGGTTTTCGTACCAGTATATTGTGACTTGAAGGTGGCATCGATCTCATCAGCTGGTATTGAGCGCGCTGTATTTGTGGCTACGTTCTTAACGTCTTCCGGTAGGATGTTGCGGATCTCCATGATGTTTGTAATAGAGTGTTAGATTTATAGAGGGTTGAGTAATGTTACACAAGAGTGTAATAAGTAAAGACAGCGTTTTGGGGTTTGGTTGGGAACACCATAAAGTTATGGCGGGGCAGAGTGGTGGGGTAGCTAGTAGCTAGACCCTGGATTCTCGGGCACCGACTACTGCTATCGGGATCCGCCGAAATGGATATTCACGGAGCCGATCGCGGAATGGAGCTGATAGCCTAGATAGCTGCCTTACTCGATATTCTTCGTTAATGACAGTCATGCCAACCCGTTGTATATGAGGCGTACAAGTGTCCTCGCCGCGAATTGTGCCGATGTTACAGTAAATGTGTTATTAGCCCGGCGGTCCGCACGTTGACGGAATCCGATATACCGATGTGTGACTCGATAGCTTGAAGCATTGGTAAATATATTTATGCATACTCTGATACTATGGTGACATCCAACTTTTGCGCTCTTGTAAAGCTTTGACATCTCCGGTCGAATCAGCAACGTTCCTGCCGTTGCAGCTGAATCAATATGTCTGCGTCGTCGGGCTGGACTGTTTGCTGTGGCGTACTCGAGATGGAACGCTTCCCTAGCTCATATGTCGAACTACGTGCCACGGATATATCCAACTCATGAATGGCAACGTAACAATGGATGCGACGGTCAGCGACAACAAGGTCTTGTAGAGCAGAATTTGAAAGAATCTGGTCTCCGTCTCAGCCAGGCAGTGTGCATGTGACTATTCAACGTCTCAATTAGCAGGATTCGTAACACTACCAATCTTCATCTTCACCCATAGCTCGGATCGTTCCATTGTGATTCCTGATAGTAGGATCCTTCATTTTTGTTACTACCCCCATTCAAGTCCAGCTTGGCCATAAACTCGGGTGGTACGGTGGGAATGTATTTTCGTTCACGTTCTTTGTTAACGCCCCCGAATCCGGCACCATATGTGATGAGCATATCTGTCGATGTTGGTAGTGAGAATGGCAGCATGTACGAAGGGTCTAGGAGGAGCTCGTCTGGTGCTTCGTCCTTTTCGTCTTCTTCGGACATTCTCGAAGGTGCAGGCGAAGGCTCCGGGGGTTTGTCGGAGGTGCCTCTAACTGGTGTGGAAGGTACAGATTCGGACTGGGGCGGCGGATTGGGTGACCTTGCGCGCGCGGCTTTACGATCTGCGGCAGCTTTCTGCAAGTGTACAATGTATTTGGAAGCGCTTTTTGGAAGAGTCTTTTCACCCACTTCTGGTCGATAGTATTTCGCGGTATGTAGTAGTTGTTGCGGTGACAGGCGTGTGAGTTGTTGCAATGTTCCGACAAGCGACTCTAGGTCTTCTCCGAGCGAGGAAAAGCATTGTAGCCATTGGAGAAGTTGCACCAGAGGCTCGAGGTGGCGTTTAGCAGCGTCCGCAGTGTTCTCCCCGGTGGAGGTCATGGAGCCATTCTCGTAGTGTTCAGGTTGTCGATTATTGGAACGCGCCCAGTCTTCGAGCGTCGAGACGTTCATGCGTATTTGCATGGCTTTAGTTCGCGCAAGATACTTTCGGTTCGACATTATGCGGTTGAAGACTTCGGCAGACAGCCAGTAGATGAGCTGCGATAGTACCTGCGCCGCGATGACGGAGTGTACATCGTACAGATCAAGAACGAAGAGGGTTGAGGAGAGAAGTGAGGTGATGTTTCGCGGTGATGGCTGTGCTCTGCGCTTTGGAGATGGCGGCCGAAAGCGTTTCTCGAGCGGTTCTATCGGCTTTGCTTTGGGCTTGGAACGGAATATTTTCCATTCGTGTTGGAATTGCACGTCTTCGAAACCAGGCATGGGCTCATGGTCGAGCATCGCCTGATCTAAGTTTTTGTCCATCCTGCGCTCGGCATCACGGATAATCAAGATGAAAATCTCATTGATAAGTTCTGCCATCTGCAGCTGGAATTCGGTAGTTGAACTCATGAGCCCGCCGTCTTTCTTGAGGTAATGCAATAGTAGTGTCGCGTTAGACATCCAGAAAGCCAGCACTGTCATATCCCACTGATGTTTCTCTACAACGTCGTTGATCTTGTTCATAGCAGATACCAGCAAGGTCTCCAGAAGTTCAGGATTCGCATGGTAATGCGCATAACGCGCACTTAGAAAGAGTATATTTGCGGGCACTGGCTTTTGCGATGGAGAGCGTTGTGGCGTCATGTTCGTGATGATGATATCCAGTATACGTTCGAGCTCGCTTTCTTGGAAGACAAACATCTGGTCGTTGAGACACCTGTCCCAGATAAATTCTTGTGCTTCTTCTTCTGGTTCTTCGGGTGACTGCAGCTGTTAGCAAGGGTCTGCGGGGTGATGAGATTTCCTACCTCGGGCTGTTCGTCCAGACCTAGATTACCGATATCAACCTCGAGATTGAAAGCACTTTCCATCATCATGCGGCGCTTCATGTCGTTTTCCTGCATTTCCTGCTCGAAGCGGTCCTGGGAAAATCCAGAGCTGTAGAAGTCGTCACCGACGCCTACGTTGCCAATGGCGTATCCACTCTCGTGGAGGTAGTCAGACAGCTCGGTGTTGGGTTCAACGAAGTCGAAAGCGGTTCTTCCTCCAGAAGACTTGACATCTGTCGATGCGCCATGATCGAGCAGGAGCTTGACGATATCCTTGTGTCGGTTCGTCATAGCCCACATGAGCGGCGTCCAGCGATTCTTATCCTGCATATCAACACTTGCGCCCTGCTCAAGTAGTGTGGCTGCCACATCTTCGTGTCCAAAGCAACTTGCGTAGACTAGTGGCGGCGTGCCCTCGGCGTCGACGCCGTTGATGTTGATGTATTCCCGCGCCTTCCCATCCAGCAACCGCTTTACCCTTTCCAGTTCACCGTTAGACGCTGCTAGTGTGAACAAGCCTTGTAGTGCCTCTCTCTTTTCCTCGTGTGACAACTTCTCATCGGCAACGACCTTTGCTTCGTCGCCTCCATTTTCGTTCTTTAGACGCGCTTGGTGTGCCAACATCTGCACTAGTCGGCTGTCACTGTCCTCAAGCTGCTGCATGTCTTCGTCGCCAAAAGTTGGGTCGTCGAGCGAAAGGTTGAAGTCAAGTGGACGAGCGGGCATGGGCGTGGTGAGGAATTGCGACTGGCCTATGCGACGTTAGTTCTCGGTGGCGCATCGCGCTCTCCCCATCTTTCACTTACCCTGCCAGGCGTCGTAGATCTCGGTTTCTTCGTTCATAATAGTCACAGGTCGCCTGTCATTGAGGGATGTGGGCAGATCCGAGGGCAGCTGTCGTGGCCTCGTAGGTTCTCCCAGGTCGCCCGAATAGGCGTGCTCGTGATCGGGAGAGTCCATTGTGTGACATTGAAATGGTGGATGGGGAAAGGTGTCTTGAGGGCGACTGACTACCTCTGCGGAAGATGCATGTGTCAAATGTCGAGGGATGCCCAGTCCGTCTGTAGTGGGGCAGCTTCGGTACAGCAGTCGCAGGCAGGCAGGCAGGCAGGCAGGCAGGCAGAGAGGGGTGAATGAGCGGAAGCCGGTCGCTATGGATATTGCGCTTGGGTGTCTTCTATATGCGCCAGGCGGGTATAGTAACAATGCTGTGTAAGTATGCAGATACACATGGCACTACTACAGGCCTTACCCACGATGATGTCGCTACCAACGGGTGACGCGCCAGGCCGATCTACCGCTACGCCAAATCAAGTTGTCCCAACACCCGCGGGGGGTCCTCCGCATATCAGCCACACATAGCACTCGTGATATTAGCTGTGGGTGCATGTTTGGGCTTGGTTTCGAAACATGTTTGCTTGGTGAGGATAGCTGCTGCTTTTGTGTGTAGCGTGTCGAGTGCAGACCTTCCCTATGGAGTGCCCATGTCGATTATGACGTCTAAGAACAAGCGCGAAGTCTGAGCGCATCCATGGATGTCTTCTGTCAATCTGCTGTGGCTGAGAAGCCATCAGTAAGCACTCCTCCTGCGCGTCGACTCCCGGTACAAGACTGGCATCCGTATCCTGCGAAACTACCCATCACGCCCCTCCCGTCGCTCCGACGCCCTCCACGACCGCGCTCATAGTATGGCAGTCGCGCCCATGGCGGTGCTGTGATGGATACGCCCAACGACTTGCGACTTGACCCTCCACATTGATACTCGACGTCCTAGGCGTCGCATACACTAAGAAGACAGGATGCCCACAACCGAAGACAGCGGGCGGACGCAGCGCTTCTCGCACATATTTGCGCGCCTGCAGGAGCTCCAGAACTATGGCTGGGACCCGGAGATTCAACCATTTCATTCTGTAAGAGAGCCCAGTGTACATCTAGATCGCCACTGCAGCGGCTAACGTCAATAGTCGTACGACAACTGGCATTTCTTCGGCTACGAAAAGACTGCGCCCCGGCAGGAACGACCGCAATCAAGGGGAAGGAGCGCCGTAACCTCCCCCACCCTGTCACATTCACCCGAATCTGCCGCCCGAAGCCGGCCGACTATTACGCGCACCCACCGCAGCTCAGGCTCCGATGCGAGCGTACAAACACATCGCACAAACACCACAGTCAAGGGCGTTCCGAGAGAGGGTCGACCGGTAGTATGCCGTGTCTCGCAGCAGACTCTGCGGTTGGAGCGCGAGTTTCAGCTCGCTAAACTTGTCGTCAAAGAATCAGACCCAGAGTGCAGACACTTTGCTCGTCCCATAGAATTTGTCAGGCTGTCCACCAAGGCTGGTGAGGAACCACTCGTCGCCAGCATATTTGAAGCCCCTGGGCCCAACTATCTTCACGACCTGGTCACCTTTGGCCCCAACTTTTGGAAGGTCACCAGCAATGGACAGAGCGGTCAATCAAACGCCGTACCGCCCAAGGGCGTACCTCTGCTTACCTTTCTCGACTTCGCCGTCGGATCGGTCGAGTGTCTGGAAATACTCCATCACGGTCACGAAATTGTCCATGGCGAGATTCGCGGTGACGCCTTTCATTTCGCCGAGAACGGGACTGTCAAGATGATCAACTTCGGATCCGGTGCAAGGTCGTTTGAGAATGGACTGACCAGCACAGGTTGGAGTACTTTGTCAAAGGAGACTGGCATCGAGTTGAAGCTGGCCTTTATATCTCCTGAACAAACTGGCCGTATGCCCGCTGAGCCGGACACGCGAACCGACATCTACAGTCTTGGTATTCTCTTCTACACGATGCTATGTGGCCAGGCGCCTTTTGAAGGCGCCACGGCTCTTGATGTCATGCAGAATGTCATCAGCAAGCGGATGCCCCCAATCTCCTCCAGACGTTTAGACATTCCAGAGGCCCTGTCAGAAATCATCCAGCGCATGACCCAGCGTAACATCGAGGAGAGATACCATTCCACTTCGGGCCTGAAGTTCGACCTTGTCCGCATCCGGGAACTACTCTGCGAAGGCGATGTCGAAGGACTGAAAGCCTTTCATGTAGGCACAAAGGACATCAGTTGCTTCTTCAACCTACCCCTCAAACTGATCGGGCGTGAGAAAGAACGGAAGACTATAGTGGATGTCTTGGAACGAGTAGCAAGGCATCGTCGAAGTAGCGTCAAGACTTTACAAAGTTTGAGTTCAAACTCTTCTTTTTCCGATCAACGACGAGACTTGGGATTTGAAGATGTCGTTTCAGACAGCACCAGCTCAAGAGGTGGGTCTGACAGCAGACTTAACAGCATTTCAGCAGATGGCCCTGTTTTCATGGAAGCAGCTCGGTCGATACAACAGGGCTCCCAGGACAGTGTGGCACAGTCGGAATCCTCCACAGCGGAAGGAAGTGCGGACAGCCGCCCTACACTGCAATCTGCAAACCGAGGACGATCCAACAATAGTATCGACAGCTCTGCGCTTCACTCTCGCTCTTTTCAGTCCAACGATGGCCTGCGGACTCTAGCTAGCACACGGAAACTGAGGCGTAAGGCTCGGTGTGAGGCAAGTCACCACGTCACAACCCAAGTCATGGAGAGTGTACGCTAACGTTAATGTACAGGTCATAGCCATCGCTGGTACCACAGGATTGGGCAAATCTCGTCTTGTGCAGAGTGTACAGAGCACAGCCCGAAGTACTGGCTACTTCGCCATGGCCAAGTTTGACCCTGCCAAGAAAGCACCCTTCGATCCTATTCTGAGATTGATGTCTTCTTTCTTCCGACAGATATGGTGAGGCCTTTACGTATTGTTTTCTCCAACACGGACTATGCTAATACTGTGTAGTATGTACCGCCTTTCTGCGACACACCCCTTCTGTTTTTAGAGCACACTAACTCGAACCTTCTGTTTTAGTCAGCGAGGCCGACGTTACGACAGAGTTCCATCAGAGGTTGCGCCATTACCTTAAAAATAGTGGAGTCTGGACGGTGTTGCGAACATATCTGGATCTGCCTGAATGGCTCTTGAACACGAATAGCCCAACCAAGTCTCCACAACAAAAGGATTTAGATACAGCCAAGGACATGAATCGACGGGCATCGTCTCCTGTTGTTCACTGTGGATCAGCCGGACATACTGCCGAGGCTTGGCTACGAAGCGGAGGCGCTTCCAAGTCCTCTAGATTCATGAATGTCTTCATAGACGTTCTACGGCTCCTTGCGATGCACAAGCTCTGCACATGGAGCTTAGAGGATGTTCAGTATGCTGATACAGAGAGCGCTGAGCTGATCCATCACATCGTGCAAGCTAGGATTCCAATTGTCCTCATGCTTACATACAGTGACGAAGAGACCCTAGCCAGAGAACTGATCCCCTTGCTACGTCATGCCACCAAGGTACAGCTTCTACCGTTTGCAGAGGCGCAAACTGCGGACTACGTAGCCGAAACGCTGCATCGGGACCATCAATATATCCTCCCTCTAGTAGCGGTTGTCCAAGAAAAGTCTCGGGGTAACCTGTTCTACATACGCGAGATACTGGACACTTGCTATCGCAAACGGTGCGTGTACTATGAATGGCGGGAGAACAACTGGGTCTTCGACCTCGACAAGGTTTTCGCAGTGTTCGAGAGCCCAGAGTATGGGTCCTCCGTTACGACTGACTTCATTGCAAAGCGGTTGACGGAGTTGCCATCAGCAAGCAGGAAGCTCCTAGCATGGGCTTCTCTTCTAGGTGGCGCATTCTCGTTCGATCTCTTGAAAAAGCTACTCAGCCCAGCAAATAAGCCTGCCGATCATGGGAGGTTGCCTCTTTTCGACGTAAACGAATGTGCCGTCACAGCTCTCGATACAGCGATCAAAGCCTACGTACTCATGCCCGCTGAACAGGACGCTCGATTCAGATTCAGCCACGATCGATACCTCACAGCAGTCGTCAATTCTCTTGATAACGAATGGGATACGCAGTTGATGCACTTTACGATTGCTAAGATGATAACTGCTGGCGAGGAGTACAATGACGACTCCACCATAGGCTCCAAGGCTTTGTACATGCAGAGTCGTCACATCTGTCTTGCTGCAGAACTGATCAAGGCCAAGGAGACACATCGAGCTCCGTTTCGAGATATGTTATACCAAGCGGGAGAAACCGCATGCGAATCAGGCGCGAGATCGACTGGCATCTACTACTTCGCTCACAGCCTCATGCTTTTACAAGACGACCCTTGGGACGATAACCGACCGGATGTCTCATACCAGGAAACTTTGCAGCTCTTTGTACGGTCGGCAGAGTGCTACTGGCACCAGGGCATGTTTGATGAGGCCCTCAGTCTGATCAGAACGACTTTCCAGCATGCACGCGATCCCTGCGATATGGCTAGTTCGTTCATCCTACAGTCCAGAGTATTTGCTATTCGCGGTGATAGTTTTGGTGCATTCCAGGCTCTCAAAGATTGCCTCTCATTACTAGGATCTCCTATACCTCCGACAACATGGGAGGCGTGTGATGCCCAATTTCAGCAGATATATGGCACGCTCCAAAACATGGATCAAGAAGAACTGCTCAAGCGTAGGCCGTCTCCCGACGACCGCGTCCTGATGACGATTGGGCCTGTGTTTGTCGAGCTCCTTAGTGCGGCGTTCTGGTCAAACAGCCTCCTGTTCTATCAAGCGACGCTAAAACTTATCACCATCCATCTTGAAAGGGGTACCATGGCACAGGTGGCCCTCGCATATGTGCACTTGGGAACTGTAGCAGGTGGTCGATTCAACATGATGAATTTTGCTGTGGACATGGGTGCCATTGCGAAGCGAATCTTCCAGATGTTCCCCGAAGACTACTACACCCTGGGCAGGGGCCAAACTCTTCAGCCAATGTTCCTGGGTCACTTGGAAGCGCCCGTGGGTAACCTAATCCAAAGCCTGGAAGGAGCGCTACAGGCGTCCCTCACCGCAGGTGATCGCATTCTCACGCTTCTGAACCTTGGCGTACAAGCCCACTTCAGGGTCATGGCGGCACACGACGTCGCCGAGCTAGAAGCCTGGATTGAGGAAACTCCACTGGACATGCGAAACTGGCAAAAGGATTTACGAGGAGGCGTTTTCCTCATGGCTGCTCGACAGTATGCTAGAGCACTTCAAGGGAAGACTGATACAAGCAATCCTTCATTACTTTTCTCGGATGAGGACCACAACGAGGCCGTGTACATCGACTTCCTCGAAACAACGGCCAGTAATCCGAAGCGGCCTAAATCTATATACTTTGCTACCAAGCTTCCATTATTGGTACTCTATGGTCATAACAAGGAAGCAGTGACTCTTGGTGAGATGCTGCTTCCAATGCTGAGCAGCCTTTGGTCTGAAAGACTCAACTACTCGACCAGGTATTACCTATCGTTAGCATACATGGCTATCCTTCGGGACGAGCCTGGCCATAGCCGGAAAGATGAGATGATTCGGCACGTACAGGATACCTTGAAATTGCTCGAAGCATGCTGCACTGTAACCGATGTCAACTATCGGGGTTGGGTACATCTTCTCACTGCCGTCCTCGCGGACATCAACGCTGATCCTCCTTCGGCATTGCAAAACTACGAAGCAGCCATGGACCACTGCGAACGTTACGAGTTTGTTCTGGACGAAGCTTTTGCCCTCGAGCTGTACACTGGATGGTTAGTAGACAAGAAGGCTTACAGGGCGGCTCGACACTCGCTGAAAGATTGCATCTCGACATACCGAAGGCTATCAGCGTACGGAAAAGCAAATCACTTCGCGAACAGGTATGAGTGGCTAGTAAATAGCGGCGCATCACTCACTACGGTGGACCAAGCCGTACAGACCTCGATTGTAGACACGGGTAATACGGCCTTCAGGCTGGAGCAGAACGACCATGACCATTACCTGGGAGTGGAAACCGCGGTTGACCGAACACAGAATTGGATTGTGCCGGAAACGCGGCGCCAAGAGTCTGGTCCAGCACTACACAATGGTCTTTCGGCTGTGGGCCTGGACATGCTAGACCTATCGTCGATATTAGAGTCGAGTCAAGTTCTTTCTAGTGAACTCGTTGTCGATAAGCTGATGGCGAAGATGAGCTCAATCCTCCTCGAATCTACGGGCGGTACCTTGTGCGGCATAGTGATTGAAGACTCACAAATCGAGTGGTCGATTGCATGTGTTGCTACCAACGAGCCTGACAACGATAGTGGGTTCTCTTCTGGCGTCACATCTTTCCCTGCAAGCCAACCTCTAGATACCGTGGATGATGTTGTTGCACGACAGGTGACTCTGTACACACTTCGCTTCCGGGAAACTGTCTTCGTCCAGAACTTACTGGAAGATGATCGTTTCTCTAACGTTTCGGACGCTTACCTTCAACGCAACCCGGAAGGAAAGGCAGTCATCTGTATCCCGATTCTCCACAGCGACCACCTGCTCGGCTCAATCTACGTCGAAGGCCCGCCAAATTCATTCACTGAACGTAACACCCAAGTTCTGCGACTACTTGTGAACCAGATCTCCATCTCCCTTGCCAATGCATTGCTCTTCAAGGAGGTAGAAAGAGTCTCTGCAAGCAACGAAGCAATGCTTGAAATGCAGAAACGTGCTCTGTCGCAGGCGCGAGCAGCAGAAATCAAGGCGAAAGAGGCCGAAGCCGTAGCTATCCGCAATATGAAGCTGAAAGAAGAGGCTGCGAAGGCAAAGAGTCTTTTCTTGGCCAACGTCTCACACGAGCTGCGCACCCCTCTGAATGGTGTGATTGGCATGTCGGAGCTGTTGAAGGCTTCACCACTCAACTCTGAACAATCCGGATACGCCGACTCGATTCGCGTTTGTGCCGATACACTGCTTTCGATCATCAACGACCTACTCGATTATTCTAAGCTCGAGGCCGGCAAGATGAATGTTTTGGAAATGCCGATATCACTGTCTGAAACTATTGCAGAGGTCGTACGCGCTCTTGCATACACGAACGCCGAGCGGGGTCTCAAGACGATTGAGCAGTTGAATTTGGATCCTGAGATGCTTGTTATGGGCGATCCTGTCCGGCTGCATCAGATTCTCATGAACCTGCTGTCCAACAGCTACAAGTTCACGCCACGAGGATCAGTTACTGTCCGCGCCGTTGTCGACCAAGAGACGGACGACTGGGCAGATGTGACAATCAGCGTCATAGACACCGGCATTGGTATTCCAGACGAGCAGAAGCAGAAATTGTTCCTTCCTTTCTCACAAATAGAGTCGAGCTCTGCGAGGAGTTACGGTGGCACTGGTCTTGGTCTCAGCATCTGCAAAGCTCTCATAGAGAACGTCATGCATGGTACAGTCCGCCTTGACAGTCAGCCAGGTCAGGGTACGACGGTCACCTTCTCATTGCGGTTCAAGAAAGTACCGAAAGCGCAAGCAAACAGTCAACCACAAAGATCGCGAGAGCCAGATCCTATGGCGAGATTCTCAAGCCAGGGGAACAACGGTCATGAGCAGTCATCGGGTACTTGCATTGATCTTTCAACCATACCTAGGCGAGACCTTCGGGTGTGCATTGCGGAAGACAACTTGATCAACCAGCGCATTGCAATCAGCTTCGTGCAAAAGCTCGGCTTCAAGTGCGATGCCTACCTTGACGGCTTCAAGACGATTGACGCTCTGGAGCGCGCCTCGGAGAACGGCCGGCCATTCCACTTGGTGCTCATGGATGTCCAAATGCCGCATTGTGATGGTTACGAAGGTAAGAGCGTCTTGTTGCGTCTGCCAAGCGTCCAGATGCTAACCATGTGCAGCAACAAAACTAATTCGCAAGCATCCTAATCCCGAGATCCGGAACGTTCTCATCATTGCCATGACTGCCTCCGCTATCCAAGGAGATCGGGAGAAATGTCTGGAATCTGGTAAGCTTTGGATTTGCCATGCATAAGAGACACATGCTGACTGAGCAGGAATGAACAATTACCTCGCCAAGCCGGTGCGTGCGCAGACACTCAAGGCACTATTAGATTCCTACCTGAACAAGAACAACGAGGTGGAAGAAATCCCCAATCTAGCGATCGAAGCGAAGAAGTTGGTCAAAGACGCGTTGAAGGAGGCGGAAGCGCTACCCGACGTCACGAGTGGAAATGATAATCTCGAGAAACACGAACAGAATGGAAGTGCTATGAGAGAGGGGATGAAGCTGGAACGGCCGTCGAGTGTTCGCATGAGCACCACCCAACACATATTGCCTAACGGCAAGACGGAACCTGTACCGCCTTCCGAGTAAAACTTCACTCGTTTTCGTTTGTTTTGTTTCTAGATTTCCACTCGCTTCATCACAAGCCGGTGCATTGCATGGCGTTTTGCACCCACGAAGGGGTCAATTGGAGGGACTGTATGGCGTTTCTAGTTATATCGCAGTGTCCCCACAAACAGCGCTTGATCTTTCGAACTTCTCTGAAATACAAGTTGAATATATTCATCGTTACTGTAATAATTCAGATCGTTGAGTCATCTACTCGCCGGAGTTCGAATGTGCGAAATCCCATCACAAAAATCACACCTGAGGATGCAGCCATGCGTAAAGACATTTGACAGCAAAGACAACCTAGACGCGTAAGCCCGCCCGCATCACCTACCTCACGGTGCCATCTAACTCGCCGGATCTTCGGCAAAACCTGGACTGGGCGCCAACTCATTCCTCGTCGCGCAGCGAGCGTCTCGCTCGCCCCGCTTTTATTAACGCCGCAAAATGCCGCAACCCCTGGGGCGCAGTGACTGAACCACCGAAAGTGCTCTCCATGAGCCACTGTGGCTCAAGCGGTGGCACAGTCGCCAATCAGTCGATCCTGGAGTCAAAGTTCCGCAACACAACTTTGCAATTATACGAACGGGATGGTTGATGAGATGAAATCTAATGAGCCGATCTGCATGTCAGAAAGGGCTTGCGTCACCCCCTCTCACCCCCTCGGCTAACGGCATGTGCGTCAATTGGGCTGCTGGGTTAGCCGGCTTTCATTGTTGGCAGAGGGTTGAGTTTCTGGTTTCTTTCTTTCCTGGTCCTTTCCCATGGTCCACTGCCTTTCACAGTACACTGTCACTAGAAGCCTGATACCAATCTACCATCACGATTTAATCCCTACTTTTACATCAACACTAATAACTGTCTTGAATACGAAAGAAAGCTGAGTCAGATCATGGACACCATGTCACAACGACAATCACTAGAACACAAACGCCATCACCACTTCGGCCGTCATCGCAGCGGAAGCTATCTATCCAGGCGCGCCTCCTCTTCCTCTTCTACAACAGCAGACACACCATCGTTCATCAACGGCCAACCACGCATCTTCCAAGGCACAGACGCCGTACCTCAGAACCGCAAAGTCACCCTCCAACGCGTCATAGACACTCACCACGCTCTCGAACTCAAACATGGCAACAGCGCACAAACACCAACAAGCACCAGCAGTGACTACCGACCGACCTCGTCGTCGTCCTCCATGTCCAGCGACCCCTTTACCATAGACTTCAGCGACATGTCCTTTCCTGACGCTGAAGTCCGCGCATTCCGCTACCTACTACGCAAATGGGATCCCAGTACCTGCACTCCAGATCCCGCCTTCGATCTCGCAGTCACGACACAGCAGCGAGATTCCAAAGAAAAGTTTGAAGAAAGCGCTATCAAGCATTTTTTCAGCCGCGTCGCGCTGTGGGATGCAAGTGCAGAGGAAAAACAGGCATCAGGCATGACGCGGAGCATATTCTTCTTCAGGAACAGACGGAGCAGGAGGAGGAGATCGAGGGCCAAGAGCGATGTGGGGAGGATGCTGGGTGTTGCGGAGGAGGAAGATGGGTCGAAGAAGGAGGACGAGGGATTGGAGGCGTTAAAAGAGGTTACTACGAGAGAGGGGTTGGCGCAGTTACTTTGGACACTGGTACATAGTGACGAGTCGGAGGGGATGGTGAGGCTGAGGGAGGAGTGTATGGGAGCGCTGAGGGAGATGTATCAGGTGACTGTTACGGGGGTGGAAGAGGCTTGAAATGAGGTCTTTTACAGCTGCGTTGATGTTCACTACAGCTGCGGTCGTCAGCTATTTTTGGAAGTACTAGCTCATTAATTGATCATGGCTGTTGAATTCAACATGTTGTCGAAGTGTCTAGGGTGATAAGAGTCGAGAAGTCTTTCACTGCCTTTATCCTAGCATTGATGATGTCATAGCCACTACCCGACGCATTAGTTCCGCTTCCGATCGGAACCAATTCCACCACCCATGTCAAGCTCCTGTGGAACGAAGTTACAAACACGACTACATTTCATTCAACATGCCTTTCCTCAGCATCGGATATAAGCGCATTCACTACGCGGATTTGAAACCGCAAAATGGGAAAACACGCGAGACGTTCATCTTCATGCACGGGCTGGGCTCTTCGCAGAATTACTACTCTGCGGTAGCTCAGAGCCTGGTCGCAAGCGGATTCCGCTGCATCACATTTGATAACACGGGAGCGGGGCGATCAACATATACGTTTGTCGAGCAGAGTATCGAGACTCTGGCAGAAGATGCTATAGGGGTTTTGGACGCGTTGGACGTCAAGCAGGCTGTGTTCGTCGGGCACAGTATGGGAGGGTACGTCAGCATCAGCAATCTACTCGGGCAGAAGAAGCCTCGGAACACGAGACGCGACGACACCAAGACAACTAACGGGCTTATAGTATTGTAGGCGCACACCTCGCCGCTGAGCGAAGCGACCGCATCGTAGCAGCTGTCTTGGTCGGCCCCGTCTATCCCAACCCTGAAGCAGCGCCCCGCTTCCAAGAACGGATAGAAAACGTCGCCAAGAATGGTATGCAACCCATGGCCGATACCGTCCCACAGGCTGCGGTCGGAAAGAAGGCTTCTCCACTGGTCAAAGCAATGATCCGCGAGTTACTGCTAGCACAGGATCCAGCGGGTTATATATCAAACTGCCGAGTCATTGTCAATGCAAAGCCGCCCAGTTACAGCAAGATCAGCGTGCCTGTACTTATTCTCGCTGGTGACGAGGATATGAGTGCGCCGCTTGAAGGGTGCAAGAAGATGTTTGATGAGATTGCGAGTAGTGAGAAGAAGTTGGAGGTCATGGAGGGGGTTGGGCATTGGCACTGTCTTGAAGCTTTTGACGAGGTTGCGAAGTTGATAGAGGGATTTTATCACGAGATACAGTAGCTTATTATCCGTAATGGTTATTTCCGATAAACCGCGGAACGGGGTAGTGGAGAAGTTCTGTATCTGTTCCATCGCACAGGCCGCCGCGATGTACCTGCGAGTCAAAGGCAGGAGAAGACCTAACAGGTCATACCGCCATTTCTGAAATGACTACACGGGTGTGCGCATTGTGAACTGTGGTGGAGTGAAGAGGGGTTCACGACGACACCACGTGCGAGCCGATCTTCCAGACGCAACCCTAGCGATGGCTAGTTTAGCGGAAGCAAAAGCCGTAGGCTGCAGATGCAGACTCATGTCCGCGTGCGAGTAGAGCGCGATTGGTGGTGGTGGTGGTGGTGTGCTGCCGCATGACATAGTCATTGGCGGCGTCCCTGGCCGGATCAGCTGCATTAGATGTGGCCTTGGCGCATGCCGCATGGGTTCCCCCCCTCCAAAGCGTTTGCAGCAGATACTGTAAGCAGTAAGACAGCGGGCCGAGCATCCACAAGACATATACATGTGCAGTCCTCCAGAGCCTGTAATTCGTGTAAGAAAGGCCGTGGAAGAATGTATTTTGGGCTTGTTGTTCAGGGTTCTACGCCTACACCCGCCGCAGTGGTTTTGTGTAAGCTTTCCCTGACGGTACCCCTCTCAGCAATGCCCACGATGTCATGCGCGGCGCTTCATTTGGCATCCTCCCACCCGCCAGGCTCGACGTTTCCGCGTGCGCTTGCCTGAGTCGAGTTTGGGTGATCTTGGCCCGATGTCGCTGGCCTGTCGTTCTTTGTTTTGATTCGGTCCTTCCCGCCGTCTGTGCAGCAGGTCCAAGGTTGTGCCGGTAGACGAGGCTGCCACTCGCGGTTATTCGACATGGCCTCGCGCCGTCCTTCCATTATCACGAGCCAACACAGCACGACCAACGCACTAGATTGTGGGTGTGGCAGCCACATCATCTCTGACATGTGAAAGCATAAGACATCATACCTTCAGTTCTTTTTGCCTTTGGCACCTCCGGGTTTGCGACTCTTACTGTGGCATATTTAGTGCACTTGTCATGCTCCGTCTCGAACGCACGGAAGCTAACGAAATCGTTCTCCAGTTTAATCGCACCACTAGTCTTTTCACGCCCCTAGCCTACTACAGGCCCCAGAAATCGAATCTTGGGAGGCGGTGAACTCTCAACCCTTTTGCGTAGAGCCGCCCACGCGCTCGGCTCAGACTTCGTCAAAGATCGTGCATGCCGTGCGTCTTGCATGGCTGGCAGGGTCTGGGCCAACCAACGGCCAAGATCGCCATTTGGGCCGTTTTGAATCTCTTCTTTATATACTAGTCCCTAGTTTCCCTCCTACTGACCGCGGTTGATTCAATAGTCCTCCAGGCGGGTCTCGCGGTTTGTCACTTGACTGCCACAATAACCACTGGCGTCGCATAGCCTGCCTGTGATTTCATTTTCCATTCCCTCATATCTCTGGCGTGTGTGCTCCTCGCGAGGAATACACATCTGTGAATTTCGGTGTTGGCACTGGCTGCTGGTATGGGCTTTTACCCCTTGAGCACAGAACCTTCCTATTTGGATACTGATATCCGATTTAGACGAGTACCGAAATTATTCACGACTAAGGCCATATTAACGATTCAATTTTCTTAAAACCATCTCACATCTACGTCACTGTCCTTTTTTCGATCTTTGATAGATCGGCGATGAATCGAATAGATAGTGTTGCGGGTTCTTATCTTCCCAAGATACCCAGTCAAGAGCCTATACCAAACGCTACCACCATTCGGCACCGCAAACCTCACAGAAGCAACGCCGAATCCTACTCTTCCACCCAGGCTGCAAACATGGAACCGCGCCGACCAGTATCAGAGCAGCGCTCACGACCATCCCGACAACAATCCACCACCTCATCATCAGAAAACTCCAAGAGTAGATCACAGAGCCGTGGCCACGGTTCAAAACCCTCATCGCGGCGTACTTCCTGCACAATCGTAGACCCATCAAGACCGGCGCGCCACTACCGAATGAAGAGTCACCAAACGCCCCCCACAGCAACCAGCCAAGACATTGACGACGTACTCGCGCTCCACTTCCGCAGCTGCAGCATCTTTACAAACCCATCCTACCACTCAAACTCCGGACTACCCAGCCCAACCTTATCGCAAGGTGATGCAACCTTTGGTTTTCCCAGCGCAGCAACGCGCTTCAGTTCAGACAGTCTGCGCGTCGTCGAAGAAACACCCATGCATCGACGCCAAAGCGAAGACACCATTGCAGAGGAGAAGACTAATACGACTATGCATTGGACATCACCATGTACGCGAAAACGCGAGTACGAAAGGATCGACAAGGCCAACAGCGGTCTCCGGGGTTTCTTTCGCAAAGTAACACCGCGATGTGTTTCAGGCCCGCAAGAGAAGTTTTACTCTGAGAAAGACCAATCGGACGCTGGATCCGTGCGACGTTATCGCATGGAAGACCTGGATGACGATGCGCACATGAACGAGAAGGATGCTGCGCGACCAAGGACGAGTCCGATGCCTAGGCCGGGCTCAAGACCGGGTATCGCGAAGAGGTGGACGTGCTTCTAGATAAGAAGAGAGTAGAGAGAGAGAGAGAGAGAGAGAGAGAGAGAGAGAGAGAGAGGAGAGAGCAAGAGTGCATATTACGCAGCAACGATTTTGGCATATTTTGCGCGGCATTGATAAAGAGGCGTTTGCTATAACGATACCCACGGCATGTTTTGTTGTTTTGCGAGCTTGTTATCGAATTCGAAGAGAGATTGCATTATACCAACACGTTCATAGAGTAGAAGTTCGTCCTTAATTTATAGTTTATTGCATTATTTGATATCTTTCGCATCGTTTTGGTGAATGGGACGTTTGATAGGCGGTGTGCATCGAATCATGGGTTTCGCACTGCTTCATAGAATGAATATTTGACGCGCGGTATGCAAGGAGTACGGGGCAATAGGAACAAATCAAACAGTCTGCGTTGACATAAACGTATGTATTATTTATAATTTGGACTCCTCCTTGACTGTGCCGATCTTGAGTTTGGGTGCGTATTTCTTCAATACGCCCTCGTTATGGTACTGTGGCTTGGTCAGTAATTCGATCATAATGCGTGATAAGACACTTTTCTTCAACCCATCAAGGGAGTCCAGCCTGCCACGATTTCGCAGGTAGCGAGAACCATCAACGCGGCGGTACTGGGACCAAGCGCGCAGCAGAAGCCAGCCTTGGGAAAAACACGCGCGCGACATGTGTCCCCAGCTCTCGCTTTGTCTCCTTCTCTGTAAATTTCATTGAACGTACCTTCCAAAACTGCTTGCTAGCATCCTTTCCACCCACTCTCTTCAGAATCTTTGCGCCACCTGGGTGCTCGTCGACAAACGAATCCATCTTGTACACATCGCCATCGACTATTATGTACAATCCCTTCTCAACAGTGTTGTGCTCGGCGACTTGCTTGGTGGTGAGAGACTCGGACATTGTAGGCTTGTAAGTGCGTTTCCGCGGCGGCGCGACGGTAACTGAGGTTTGTCGGCGTTTGAAGAGCAAGCGAGGTGAGGTCGTGTTGAATCAAAGAAGACTTTCGTGCTTTGGTGGGAGAGGAGTTGGTGGTTTTAGCCCCAGGTATAAATGTAGAAGAAGCCAGGAGGAGGAATCTGGGGCGGTATGGGGTAGAATCTAGTAAGTAGCTCGGTCGTGAATGGCGACAAGTGTGGAGGTATGCCGAGGTTGATGAGGCGCGCTAACGCTGCGTGTGGTAAGCTGGGTTGCGGGGATCGTGATTGGCTTGCTGGGTCGTCACTTTCTCTTTTTCTATCACTGTCCATCATCCTTGGATTGTCTTCTATCTAGATTTCGCAGCGCTTGGATGACGCTCGTAGGCCTTACCGCCAGAGTCCGCATCTATGTTCGACACAATTTGCATGGTTAGGACGAGTTTACACGTGCTACGTACTTTCAAAGTAGCCGTCATTGCTCTCCGTGAAGTCATATCTCTCTAGGAACATTTGCCGATACCCCCTCTCAACTCATGGTATCAACCAGACTACTTGTGTTGCACTCACGTATTCAACACCGTTCATTTGCTAGTAGCTTATTGAGTTCAGTCACTCATCTTCTCCCATCACTTACCAGATACTATTGGCAAGGTGCAGCAGACTAGCTGAGCGTTTCTCATATCTTTCACTTTCTTTCTTGGATGCAGATTGATCGCTAAGCGAGTGCGGCTCCCGGAACTGTGTGGTCTAAGCGCGCCTGCCTCTAAGGTTATCGGTACTGGTCTAGTCCATCCTATTCGACACTTCCACTCAGCTCCTCAATCACCTTATATCTCGGCAACACTTGCGCGAAAAATCGACTGCAATACCACTGAACTATCATGCTTCTCGGTCACTTGATCCCGTATCGAAAAAGCGCTCCAAAGCCTCTATCGACAACATAACCATGATATCACACCTGCTACAACTTCCAGGCGAGCTTCGCGACAAAATCTTCGAATACGCTTTCACTATTGACGATGGAGTCTGCTACCGCGAGGACAAGCTCGGTGTCGGTTGGTTGTGTCTCCATCCTCAAGAATCTCGAGGAGATGTGAAGGAACATGACCAGACTCCAGCTGTGGTAGCTGGTGCTAGAAAGCCAGGGGATGAGGCTCCAGCACGAAAGCGACGAAAAATTACAGAGGCTGATTGTACTACCGACAAGGCCGTGATAGGTACCAAGGAGACGGTGCGTCCAGCGCAGGTTACAGTGAACGGACATGTGGTTGCGAACCAACTCCAATTCGTCAACCACCAGCTTCGGACCGAGCTGGAGAGTTGGTTATTCGCTACAACGATATACATATCCTTGATGAACAGCGACATCTCAAAAGTTTCTTGTACAGCGTCGTCGGCCGTAAGAGATTGTGGATTCAGAAGATAATCCAGCGGGTGGAGCTTTCCAGTTTGAATAAGGTCCGCGACATCAAGCCAGATGAAAAGATGCATCCCCACTTTATGATTCATATCCATCTGCCGCTGGCAAGTATTGATAAAGGTCACTTCTTCCTGCTCGCACTATATGTACAACAGTGGGGTCGTTGAAATTACTCGTACGCGGGTAGACTATTCCAGAGCATCGCCCTGCAGCAGATCTTGCTCAATCTACCCATTACGATGAGTGAGATACCATCCTATATCAAATTATTCCCCTAGAATAGAAAATTCGATGAGGCAGCCATGCGACGTTACTGCGAAGAAGATGGCCCTGAGCAAAAGCTCCTGATCGGGACATTGCCAGACGACATTGAAGGTATGATAGCGACGGCCAAAGAATGGTTCGAGAATGGATATTGAAGCCTTTGGGTATGCGCAGGATGTTGTGGTACATTGTGATAAGTTGCGGAAGTGGTGGCGTAGTATATGGAGCATTCTTGGTTTGACCGCTGACAAGAAGAGCCAACACTACCTCTTCACGTATGCTATATACAGAGTACTGGAGCTTAAACAATATGTACATGTGTTTGGATTTCACATCCACAACGTGAATTGCACCTAAGCCGCAGGGCTAGCAACTGAAGTGGTGAGCGGGCCGCTCTCAACGTAAGTTCCGGAGAAGAACCAGTCCTCCGCACCCGTCCCATCGTTACCCTGGCGGGGTAGGCGAAGGACACCAAGATGCCAGTCAGCACCGTTTGAAGATGTGCTGGTGGAGAAAGGCCCTGCAGTCTTGACGAGCGTGTTGTTACCAGTCGAGTGCCAGAAGGTAACTTGGTTGGAGGAGAAGTTGATCTCGTAAGCTACGTTGTGCCATTCATCCGCCTTGAGGTCCACTTTCCACTTGCTCTGGCCACCCACCATCCATTGCCTATATCAACATTAGCATAACTATCGTACTGGTTTCTGACACGTGGGTTGTCTCACAGGTTGGTGTTGCTTGTGCCAGACTCTCCGTTGACCCATCCGTACTTCAGCTCTGTGAAGTGGCTCTCGAAAAAACAGATCTGGTGTTCGTTCGTCGCACTCGGAACGTTGGTAGTAGATCTCTTGATGGAGAAATGGTAGTAGACCGTTCCTTGGTTGATAGCAGCTTTGGTCTGAGGGATCAGCTCTGTCCTCCACATGTCGCTGTTCCACTTGGCCGTGTTATCGATCGTGATCTTGGCACCTTGCTTGCTGCCGGAGTCCCCAGGGTTCTTGTAGTTTGGTGACAAGTTTACGTATTTGGTGGTAGCGCCCGATCCGTGAATGTAGTATTGGTAGTCTGCAAGAGAAAAAGATGAATGTCAGTGGTATCCGATACGCGGCCTGAACATGCACTTACTGCCCACTTGATTTGCCCAGGACCATTTGTCCAAGTCGGAAGAAGAAGTCATTTCATTGAAGCGGCCATCCCACAGAATTGTGCCTGTCTCTGATCAGTGATATATAGCATGCGTGCTTGAAGCTGACGAACCCGCGGACACGGCGCTTACGAGCGCACTGACGATAGCTGCCTTTCCAAACATGTTGGTAATTGAAAGCAAAAGAATCTCTGCTTGGGGGTACGATGGGGACTGATAGTTGAGGTATCGAAAGTTGAGATATTCGAGACGCTATATAAACATCACTCCCAGCCAATGCTTCAAGTATCTCGACCCGAAGATAGAGGCAAGGCGCCCGTTTCATGGTTAGAGCGCTGCACATCAATATCCGGGAAGGGACACATAGCCTGCCTCTTTCATTGAGCACATACTCAATGTGTACTGCGTGACCATCTTTTTCAATCAATCTAATTGTACCCGCCGGTATCTCACATATAGTTATGGATCTAGTGGCGGCCAAACGGTCCGGGACACATTGCGCCTTGTCTCACCTAGACGCGGAGATGGTAACCCGGTTTTCGTGACTGCGACAACGGCACATGGTTCGATGCCGGCGATCCAAGGCTACGTAGAGACGAAAAGATGGCGGCTCTGTTGGTGGAGGAAGGACGATCTCGCAGGGTGTCGCAATTAAGCTACATTAAGCCGAGGCCTACCCCACAATTAGCCTCTCTAGGGTTAGGCTTGAAAGCTTGGGGTAGTGAGCCTGCTTGTCTGTCTGTAAACCTGCTAGCAATTTCATCCTGCAATATAAGGTCGGAACTCATGTCTTCGGCTGGTTATATGGTGAGGCATGACGACAATGTTTCAGGGAAGGCTTCGAGAACAAGGTTTCTTCTCTACGTAGCTCAAATCTAGTTAGGTCCAGATCCTTTCCACTGCGCAGCACGATGGCCAAAACACCCCACAAGGGCTGGTAACGTCCGTGAGGGATGATGTGACGATGGACATCGTTCTCAATCGCAAAATAACCCTCCACTCTTACTATCATCAATTCACTGCTTAGCATGAACGTCGGCCGATGCATCGCGCTACACAACGAGATCTTGCGCCACGGTTGGGTTGGCTCAGGCCGCAGTCTAGAGCCTCTCGAATCCTCCTGCAAGACTTGGTTTGATACATTTGACAACAAAGCTGAGGCCTTTCGTGTCGACCTTGTATCTGATCTCATTGGGTTTCTCCAACATGCTCGAGTTATCTATGATCCAGAGTCCGAATTCAACGATCTACTTCTCCTCTACTGGGTGCAAAATCTTGCTGAGCCGGATTTCATGTTTGAGCAGGAAGAAGGTTGGCCAGATGAGGGCTGGTTCTTGGTACTTTATGCGGAACATACTCCAAACCTGCAATCCTCCCCAGAGATTTACATATGAATTCCTCCAGCGAGCACTACGTCCACGCTTCTAAATGATTGTTCCTGGCCTAGAAGTCCTCGCTACCCCTACATTCCCCGATCAGCCATACGCTCCTACCTCTCCCCTGCTTCCGGAATCCCTCCCATCCTTCTTCTCCGCTCTGTGTCCAATTACTTGGATGGAACAGAACCGAATCCGGTCACTGGCGAACAGATATCCCAGCTATTTCCAGGGTTCAGCCGGATAACAACTTACCCTGCAGGCCTATAATTGCACCCAACTTCGGAGATGACAGCCAAGCATGAATGCCTATTGATCCTACCCCTCGGTATTGGGGCGGACGGGTTTGCAAGGAAGAGTGATGGGAGCAGGCTTGGACGTAGGGGAGCTCGGGGAGATATTCATGTGAATTTGTATCGCCCAGGATATCAGCCACTTGAGAATCAGCATTAGCATAGTCTTGCCGATGTGCTGAAGAGTTGGAGGGGTATGGTAGAGAGGGCCGGTTGGCAGATTGATGAGAATGGAGTTGCAGGCGGAATGGATGTATAGAGAGAGGCGGATATTGAGGGGAAACGGGCGGCGTGTGTGATTCGAGGGTTGTAAAGGGGGTAGAAAAGTAGAGAGATGTGGGGTGGTATTGATGCTTTAAGAAGGATATAGCTACACCCGCGTGTATTGGCCTCCTTTCGCATTGTTGAAGCGACAAAATCCTAAGACAAGACTCCCTTTTCGGCTATAAAGTCATTTGCTCCACTCTGCATCGTTTGTACATTCATCACTTATCTATCAGCCACATTTGTCTCTTGGTTCTGATATGTTCCAAGTCCCGTTAGTGTAATGCAAGGAGGATTTTCGCTCTCGACCAGTGGTGGGAATACAGGCCCTGACAAGCCACATATAACCACTGTCTTGCGCGAGCTCGTGATAGCGGTGGCGCTCTCAGATCTTGTAGCGGTTGAGTAAGGAGCGAGAAAGTGGTGTAGTAGGATGGCGGTAATGAGTACGGCTGCGGCTACGAGTGCGGATTGAACGTGTGCAGAAGTCCTCGCTGTCTGCTGCTGGGGCAATGTCAAACAGTGTCCGCCCTACATTGACTAGGCTTCCCTAAAGGGGCGCGAATGCGAGCCAAAGATCGTGTTGGTAGGATTGCGTGTCATTTTTGGGTACTCTGGTGGGGTCTTTCACGGTTTAGTTGGAAGTTTGGATGAAGGCAGATAATCTCACTCTTTATCCGCGTGAGTATTAATGTTCCTCTCTCCCTTTCGAAGTTGGTGCCTAAGTGGCGTAGCAACCACTAGGTTCTGATCATGCTCTCATCATCAAATACCCTGGCAACCGAAGTCTTTGCCCATTGTCATCCAACAACTCCTGATACCTTTGAGAACATCCTCCAAACCCCTACCGACTGTCTTTGAGAGGGATGAGCTGATGGTATTGACTCAATGTCTGCCATACCTCTCTTCCCAAACGCCCTTAGCATGCTGCCTGATGATTCTGTGGCGAGTCCCCCTCAGATGACGCGCTATTGCCAACGTCCACAAATTCGCCTTTCTTGAATAGAATCCAATGCCAGCCTATTCCTCGACAAGAGTCTCCTGGAATCTTCGCAGTTTCTAAAACGCCCTATTCAATCTTGGTCTCATTGTACTTGAACTCCAGACCTGTGGTCTCGCAGTAGAGCTGCTTATTCACATACTTGATTTTATTGAAATCGGCGTGACTCGACCCAGAGTTGAAAGTGTCGAGATCAAGGTCGTATTTCTTGTACTCTTCAAAGCGGCGGGATACTTGAGGCGAGTGAATAGAGAGCGGAGCTGATGCAGAGAGCACGAATTTGTAGATAGCTAAGCCCACAATCAACGTATTTCTAGGGAACTAAGGCACGACCGCTGTTGCAACGGCGAATGATCCTAACTTACGGTTTCGCAGTTCAGCAGGGAGGTTAAGTAGGGGGGATCGTGTTGACATATTGTCGGGTCTTTCGTTCCGATCGGTTGGAGTGATCTACTAATGCCACACATGACCGTGAAGTACAAGCTGTCAACCTTCAGCGCCCAGATGCTCTGCACAGCTGTACCCGGTTCCGCAGACTTCGATGACCCTCCCCACCCTATGGATGTAGTTCTGTTCGGGTCCGCCTTTTCGAATTTTCTACGTAGGGGCTCATTGCCCGAACTTCGGCCAAAACAAGGAAGAATGGGATTACAAGTATGCGTGTAGCAGAGGTGCTGAGAAAGTGGAGAGAGATTCATCCAATGTACACGAATCCCGGATATTATTATAAAGGTTCGCGAGCGGACAATCTGCGCTTCTTTCCCAAGGAAGAAGTTTTAAGATTGGAGGAAATCCATGGTGTACCAGATCGATATTTTAATGATGAGACAAAGACGAAAGACCTTGCGCCGGTATGGAAAGCGAAGGGCATATAAGCGAGTGTGATTGTAGCTGGCAAGAGCGTTTCTGCCGATAGTCGTATTGATGAATCATGTAGGCAGGCTTTGCTTTGCGCTCTGAAGTGGCGATGAACCACCAGGAGAATGCGGAGAATGCGGATAGCTTCTACAATCTCCAGTATTTTGAATAGAAACTGTGGAAGAATACTCGCGCAGAGAAATGATAGTCCATAAAAAATCAAGATATACGTCTTAACGCTCCGATATAATCTCGAGGTTGAGATGCAGAGCCCGTCGAATATGTGATGAGGATAGACCGCAGAGGAAGATGAATACGCAGGAGAAGCTTGGGTCGTACGTACTATGCAAAGTCTGCCCTGAAGATCTACAATGTGTTTGACTTTCTTGTCAGTTATATCAAAACATGCTGTATACCGTTAGGACATACGATGATGTAGGACACTACTCCAGAGAAGTTTGTTCTCTGGAGAGAATGATAGCCTGCGCTAACCGCATTGGTCTTGATCTTGGCAGTCGCGCGGTCCTCAACGCGCCTGCGCCAAAGATTCCAGACATCAACCAACCCCAGCTTTCGCGCCCGCTGCATCACCACACAGCCCGGATTGATCGACGCGGCACTTTTGTCGCATCACCTCAATAATCATGTACGGCATGAATCAGGCCTTTCATGCCCCCGATCCGAGTGCGCAGGTGCCGAACCATCTGCTCGCCCATGTACACCTGATATCCTCGTACCGCTTCCCTACTTTACCGGGTCTCCAAGCTCCCCAGGCGCTCGAGTACCTCATCAAAGGTCCGCAAATTGTGCGCGACACGTCCCCCGTCGCGTGGACCTTCCTCTCAGCGCCTCCTCAAGATGGCACTGTTATCCTCACATGGCAGCCCCCGCGCATGGGGACCATGTTCGCTTCAGACGGAATGGTTTGGGCTGATGCTGAGACCGCATACGATATGAACGTACGCGGATATGTACGTATCTTGGAGGACTTGATTTCTGCTTCAGTCACCTAACACCACATAGACTCTCCAGGTCCTTGTCCACAACAGTGGCTACCACTACCCTCACGAACCATATACCATGCATGCGCGCCATCGTTATCGAATTGCTGCAGGTCCTGGTACTATCGATCCCAACCTCTGGCTTGTGCATTACAAGCCCGCAGATCCACAGAGTAGAATGCCCGCTTCACAAATACCCATTCCACGAGAGGTTCAAGCCCAGATACAGATGCGCGCTCAGTTACAGCAAGCCGGACCATTGATGCGCAAAGAGTTCATGCTGGTTGATCAAGCCAATTGGCCAAAAGTCGAGTTTGGTCAGCAAGCGATGAGAGGCCCGCAGCCCTACTACAACCCAATGCAACCAGGCCGACCATATCCTGCGCAACCTCCGCCAGCCAAACGCCAGCGCTTACCAACCCAGCCTCAACCCCGTCAACCCGCTGCAGGCGCGCTAGCACCAGACAACACACTTGAAGAGGAGGAGAATGCGACACAGGATGCTTTTGACTTCCTGACACCACGCGAGATCAGCTTGTCCCGTTACAAGCAGCATCACGAGTGGATGGAGGAGATATTCTCGTCACCTTACGCCGTTGGGAAGATAGCGCCAATCGATCTGGGCTTAGGCCTTATGGGCGAGCTCGCTCCGCTTACTGCAGGCATTTTGGACGTTCCAGGAGCTGAGAATGTTGAGCCAGGCAAGGAAGACTACCAGATCAAGAACTACTACAAGCTGGATGCAGAACAACTCAAAGACTTCGAGAAGCGCGTATCAGAGTACACAAAGAATGAGCAAGCTGAGATTGAAAAGATGAAGGCCGATCACGCTAAGAAGGTGGCACAGTTGAAGCGCACTAGAACTTACATCAAAGCCGAACGACGATTGCGAGATCTGTCCCGCTCTACCGAGAGCGATGGTGACGACGCGAATCCGGTCGAAGAAGTCGTACAAGATTTGGAGAAGTCGCTCGGAGTTACATTCGATGCGAAGAAGGCGGTCGTCTGCGTGGACAAAGGTGGGTTCATCGAACCACAAGCACCTTCTCCTCCGAAGGCGCAGATAAACGGCAATGGAGCCCAGCAGCACGCAAATGGTGCATCAAATGGCACCAACAACCAGGGATCAATGGAGGAGAACTCTGCTGCAAGTCTATTGGATCAGTACGGATCGGGGTCACTTAACGGTACACCCATTGGCAACATGTCATTGCCTAGACTATCACAGCCACCAAGTCAATCACAGTCCGCTACCGGTACTCCCAACGCACCCCACGGTAATATGAACCAGACATCGGCATTTGATCAGCAAGATACAAGTCTTGACGTGGGAGCGGATCTTCTAGATCTGGATGTAGAAATGTCCGGTATGACGGGCGCAGGAGAGAAGACCGAGGACTGGACGATGAACAACGAATCAGGCAGTGCACAACAGCCAGCTGGCGGCGCTCAGCAGTCCAACATGAACAACCAGCAGCCCACAAACAACGTCGGCGGCATGCCTTCATCCAATATCGAAGCCGATGCAGGCAGCATGTTCGATACCGCCGATTTTGGAAGCTTTGATAACATCGACAGTGCTGGTGACGCTCTGGCAGACTATGGACATGATGACAACCTCGGTCTGGACCTCGTCGATGATTCTGCATTCGGTGACGCGTTCCACGCGACCGAGATGCATCATGACGAGACTGGTGAAGGCGACCATGCGTAGTATGCGGGTTTGGACCTGGACCTGGATGGCCTGGATCTGGATTAATCCGTTTGGAGTGTTGGATTTTATTCTTGCGGCTGTACTATTACGTTCTGTATGACTGGGAGTCGAAGGCGTCTTCTTCCATATCCATGGCTTACAATAAGCGTGCAGCTTTTCTCATGCTAGACAGCTTATAGAGAGGCCTTTCCATTATCACTTTTTGAATCCAGATTGTGGCTTTAGCCACGTTCGAACTTGAATAGGAATGTGCAACGCTTGTGTGCAGTTACCCGCTGATTTGGTCTTCGGCGATGTGTCGCAACATCGCGATGCTAAGGTTATAACGAGCGTGATGTACGAATGATTTCCCAAAACACATATGCTCAGCCTTCTAACACAATATTTACTACTTGAATGAAAGGGTATGCTCACCGCTCTCTGGTCGTTCGATACGTCTAAACCATCTTGCCTATGAGGCATCCTTTGCATCCATATCGTTCATGAGCAGTGGATCGAACACCCCCGTCCGAAAACTTGACATGTTATTGCAACACCCTCTCATGCGCACACTGAACCTTCGAACCGCTGCTAGATGAAGGCTCGTCCTTGTTCGTAGCATGATATGCACACTAGAGTTGGCTCTTTACATGCTACCTGCGTTTATATAGGACCAGTCGGTCAACCCGCCACGATCCATACTTGCTACTTTGCACTGATTACCACCTACAGGCTATTAGACCGGTGTAAGATTATCTCATTTAGCTACGTATGTATGATAAAAGATAAGCACACAAGCTGTGCATCCAACTAGTATATCGTCTACTCAAGTGAAATCAGCTCATGATAACAGCAGTGGTGCCATTTCAGCAAAGTCCAAAATTTTGCTTATCTCGAAGTTCTCCGAATCTCTACATTATTGTCTCGCTGTCGTATCCAAATTGTTGAATGCTCACTCAGAGTCTGACGTTAGCTTACCATTCATGATGCTCAGAATGCTTACCCTAGCGCTCTGGCTCTCTGCTTTCGTCGGCGTTTTGTGGTTCTCTAGTGTATTCAACAACCGTACCTAGAGACAGCAAAACTAGGGATCCACGGCCGACCTTACATACCATGGGATGATGTGCAAAAACATCCGAACGGCAGCAACGGTTACTGTAATCATGGGTCATGTCAATCCCTGGTCGGCACTCACCTTGCCACCACACTCGCAAACCGACGGAAAAACGCGCAAGTGTTTTACAGATTGCATGCGTGATATCGAATGCCGATGACGTTAACATTAGTAGCTCTTTGCCCGTTTCATCGCAATGCAGCAGGCGACTTTTGGACCTCAGCTACCGTTTGCAACCATACTGTCTTCGGCTCCACGTATCCGAAGTTCCTCGATCTCTCCGCAACGGACACTTTAGTTGGTAGTGTGAATGCACTATATAGAGGCAATGCAACGTCGCGGTTCTCATGGGAGATCACCCGTACCAATTAGTACATCACTAGTCCCCAGAACGGCGATGTTCAACACCAATACTGCGCTAATATCCATGTGCGACATATGGGTCCTGGGGGTCCTTCCAAAGTGTTTACCTTGCTGGGCGCGAGCAAGGAGATCAGCGAGAAATCTCCAGATACTCAAAGATGGATATCCGAGCCTGGGTTCGTAGGGTACGCGGGGTTCCAGAACGCCAATGGCGATGAAAAAGACCTCACCTCAGATATGAAGATACAGACGAATGGCGTGGTACCATTGATGGTAGCGCTGGAAGACCAAATGTGAAAGGGAAAACTGCGCAGTATAGGTAGGACCGTTGTCGGGGCGTATCTACAGGATAAGCTACATTGCTTGCTCGTTGATGTAAGGCCCTCCATCCCTTGGGAACCGCAACCATGCGCCACAACCTCTACTAACCAGATTCTATCAGGCCAATGATAATGTCATTACTCCTGAGAACGCACCCGACTTCTCGATTGAGATATCGTGGGGGAAGATAACGCCAGCGACTGCAAGCATGCTACCTAAAGTCCTCGGTAGCGGGTTCAAGCAGTTGCCGCATGCTACGATGGGCGAGGCGGGTGGAGTGAAATGACAATGGCGTTGAAGGCGTACCTTAAAATCCGAGTCAGGATTAGTAATCATCATCAAGTTCGGACGAGGCGTAATAGTGGAAATGTGTTCTTCCTGATTGTGTAGGTTCTTCAAGACCCTGTCCAGGTGTTTTTTTGCCCCAGATGCGCAACACCATGTGCGATCAAGCATTGGCGACGTTCCAAATGCCACGATATACAAGACATTGTAACCGCTCGTCATGAAACCGCACTCTATCGCAAACCCACGATCTAGCAAATTACTGTGCGTTTCAGCACCCCCTTGATTTGGCTCAGGGGTTGCAGTCTCGGTTAAAGCGGCCCTCCACGTCAGCATGCCAAGACAACAAAACGTTCTTCCGCGTGCTTGATTCCACGAGGCGTAAGCTAGTGCGACGCCTCCATGCGGTGATGAATAGTGTTTCCGGGTTGATGATCCGACTACTCGGAGAATACGATTACGGACAGTTATTCGTGATGCCCGTATAGTGGTTCGTGAATGCGGGTTGATTGATGTTGGCATTAAAGTTTGAGAAGAACTGGTCCCAACGGACATTGAGATCTGCCAAGTCTAGCTGTAATGGCTGTGACACAACCCGAGGGGGCGGGGAATTCCAGTTTTAGGGAACCATGGCCAGGAGAGCGCTACGCGATGGAGTTGTAAAAGCCAGAGAAGCAACCTCGGAACCTCCTAGCGCGGAATGCCCGTTTCTCCTCATGCTTCATCTGCCCGGGCACGCGACATGAGCACCAACCTCACGGTGGCTCAAGAGTGATCTCCCTGGTAGAGTCCTGCCATTACATTCAAGCATTTCCTGGGGGGGTTGCCGCGCCCGCAAACCACTGAAGGCGTGGAAAGGGAGAGTGCTAAAGTGACCTTCCCGATAGCCTCTCTTGGCATTATCCCAGTGTCCGCCATCTGCCCAGTGAGCCGCGTCTATCTGCAGGGCGCGCGTTCCTGAAAAGATGTAGCCCACGCCAGCAAGGCCAGGGTCATTAAGCCCATGGACTAACTGCGGCTTACATTTACATCTCTTTTCTGACCTCTGCTCCCCTCTTTGCCGCCGTCGACTTTGGCCTTTTTGCTGCAAGCGATTTCATCATTACGAGCGCCGTTGTTCTTTGCTTTCTTGGAACCCGTCTTTGTCGGAATTCGGCACCATCGGAATACGAAGCCACCTGGGCACTCCATCAGCAAGCCATTCAGCCGTTCGAAGCCACGGCGATGCGCCTGATCACATACTATAGTTCTTAGACCCTCACATTCCTTGAATAGTAGACTTTTCTTTGGCTTTTTGCACACTCCTTGCATACTCGCACAATGCCTCCTCGCGACGCCAACTGGATAGATGTAAGTCGTACCCGCTGCCACAATCACATCTGTGGGACTCGGGGCTGACAGTGTGTCCTATAGGGCCTCCGAGGTATCGCTTCCTTCATGGTGGTATGCGGTCACCTATGTACTGCCTTTGTACCATGGCTACACCAGCCAGCCGCAGACGCCAAAACCGCACCACACCTCTTCCAACTACCCTTCTTCCGTCTCGCCGTCGGAGGCCGTAGCGCCGTAGCCTTATTCTTCCTCGTAACGGGATACGTCAATTCAATTGGGCCCATTAGCAAGTCGCGACAGGGAAATCACGATGCAGCCTTCCACGGCATTGCACGGAGTGCGCTCGCGCGCTCAGGAAGACTGATTCTCCCCACCATGGCTGCGACGATCGTCACCTGGTTCATGGCGAATACGAATGCATACCATATGACCAAGCATGTCGATGCGCAGTGGATACGGCAGGGTTGGCACCGACAGGAGCCTACGCTGTGGATGGCCTTCAAGTCGCTGTTCAGGGCGCAAACGGAGACGTGGACAACTGGCTGGGACGAGTACGATGGCACACAATGGACACTGCATTTGTTCTTGGAAGGCGCGTTTTTGGTCTACACGACCATGCTTGCTACAATTTTGGTCCGACCGAAAGCGCGATTCATCGTGTATGGAGTCATGTACGCCTACTTCTGGCAAGTTGGCAAAGGTGTGTATATCTTCGACGAGTAGAGAAGCCATGCAGTTGCTAACAAGCGCAGACCTTACTGTTGGCTCTATCAAAGGCCTTAATATCGTCACGGGCATGTTCGTAGCCGAGTTACACAACCACTACAAAGACGCCGCCACCTCTATCCTACCCGCCCCCATCCCCGTACTCATGATAATCTGCGGCATGTTTATGGCCGGGTTTCCCCAGGACTCTGCCAACAACACCCGCTGGTCCCACACAATGGCAACAATCATGCACAGCCTGACAGCCGAAAAGACGGATATCCGACGATACTGGGACCACCTCGGCGCTGCATTCGTCCTCCTCGGAATCTTCTTCTCGCGAAACGCCCGCAAACTCCTCACATCACCCGTCTTCAACTTCCTCGGTCGCGTCAGTTTCCCCGTATACTTGCTGCACAACACTTTCATCAAGTCTGTGCTTACCTGGATGATCTACCTACCCTCCGCAATGAACCCGCCCAAGAACGAAAAGGGAGAGCAACAGGATCTCCAGCGTGGGTCAACGACACATATTCTTATCGCGATTGCGTGTTTCTACTATATCCTTTACCGGAGTGCAGCACTCTGGGTTAAGCACATTGATCCGATATTCGCGAACATGGTCAATGCGGCCACAAAATGGGCGTACGGAGAGCCACAACAGAAAGAGAGTCGACCGATACTCGGGAGCGGGAACGGACCGGCTGATAAGGGCGTGCTTCCTTCATAAGCAGACACCCTGCTCTTCTTTTCACTCCATTCTTGTTGATTACTTTCGGAGAGCTGGAGCTTCTCCTATCATTATCTGGTTTTTAGTTACATGCATCTCATATGTTATCAAACGCATCTTCTGTTGTGTATGTTCTGTCTTGAGCGAGCGAACGACCATGGTGCTTGGACTTGGACGTTTTTTGGAGTATACAAGGTGACATGTATGTCCTGTGAGAACTTTTGTAAAGAGTCGAGGATTAAAGATAAATACTTTCGTAGATGAAATGAACACCTGAAATCTCATTTTTGGACTCGACATACCGCTCGAGTCTTCTTTTCGAGTCACGCAAAATTGTGGTATCCCCCGCATGTCTATTATCTCAGCCTATTCGAATCGTAAGAGAGACCCATGTCATCGCCAACCCACCCACAAGGTCTCCGGTAGCCGCCTGCGAGGGATCCCTCATTATCGCAACATGTGGGCTTTGTTATAGGGTAATATCTGCAATATCTTTCATCGCATGTTGACCGGCGCTGAGCTCTCACTCCATAAATACAGCACTTATGCTTCCGACATCATGGTACTCGCGGATGCTGTATTCCCTGACAAAAGCCGGCAGACTAGGACATAGGAACGCGGGCCAGCTTTATACAGACCCAAGATTGACCGGCGACTTCAAAAATAACCCTATCATAGACCTGACAGAACACCGCCACAAGCGAAAGTACGAGGGCGCCCCATTTTTCGAATCCAAGGCGGTTTTGGTGCCATGAAAGAGTAACTCTGCGCTTTTGGTATCCCACGTCGCCTTGAGAGTGATCTGAGGAAGAAGTAGAGGAGGGCTAGAGACGAGGTTTATGTATGATTGGTGGTTGGCGCTAATACATTTTCGTATTGGCACCGAAGAGGTCGGATGGCGCAAGGTGTGCTTCAACCCTTGGTAGGCATACTTTGAGCGGAGAGGCGTGGTGTTTGATAACGACAAGAGATATACAGAGTGTTGGTAAAGGTGCGGGTAGTTTGAGATAGTAAATACATTAGTCTATCTACTCTGCTGTTGTCTTGCTCACATTATGTAGATGTCTCTTAAGCACCTTCCCAGAAAACATTACTTGTAACGATTTCGAGCTGTATGCGTTAGATTTCATCCATACCATTATTCTAGAAGTCGCGCCATTGCGCTAAGAAGGTCTTGAAGTAGGCCAGATAAACGACCCATGGGCGCTTAACTACCTGGAAAGCCATGTGTGGCGTGGAAACAGGACCATGGCACGGGATTGCGGCGTGGTAGTTGAACTGTATATATAGGCCATGTTAACTGTGCCTCCTCAGGGCGAGCAAAGAACACGATCACAAAACAGACCAACAACAAGGTTTTCCCCTGCATGAACTGTTTTGCGATGGGTCCGATAGAGTCAGAGTAAGATGTCAAAGAGGCATTGTCTAGATGAGGGCCTGAAAGGGCTGTGCATTGCTTCAACACCAACAACTGATTTCGAGTTGGGGGAATCGATGCTCACCGGCGGTCTGTGAGGAGCGAGAAAACGACAACACAGAGTACGCGGGGTTGATTAGTGGCTGCCAGCGACATGAAGGCGCAGCGAAATAACTCACGAGCGATATGTTGACCGGTCCGGACCTGAGTACGATGTACGAAATGCGAAGAGAAGATGCGGCGCCGAGGATGCAGTACCGCCGTGGCGTTCCGCTAATACACATGACAGCTGGGCGACTTACATAACGAAACCACACAAAAGACAGTAGAAACTGTGCCGTGAAGAACAATAGCCTCCATCAACTTGACTGCGATAGCTCACGATGTTGTTTCTGTGCCATCGCGCTTACACGTCGGAAATAACTTTGAGAAGTAGCTTAGAACTCACCAGCCTCGTTAAGGCCCTCTCCAGCCCACTTTGGCCATATCCGCAGCCGAGCATTCGCCACGAAAACCCACCTACAGGGCTGAATCCAATCCAATCCAATCCCCGGGGGTGGCACATGTTGCCCGATCCATGGGGCGCGTGATATTTATTGCCGAGATGGCTGAATTGGTGGGCTTAACCAACGGCCAATTCGCTGACGTCGGACATGTTTGAGCGTGCGCTCTGTATGGTCCATTTGACAATATCGAGTGTGCCTTGAGGGTGATTTGCACGTCACGAGTAGACCGGTAGGGTGTGCACTGGGCTTGGGTCCCGACTTAGCCGAGTGCGGGAGGCCTTGACATGGTGTTGTGTGTGACGTGAGTTCTCGAATGATTCTGCGCGTCAAACCTCCAAAAATGCGCGTTGGGAATGTATGTGGTTGTTTAATGTGAAACTATCTGTTCGCTCGACATGGGAGAGCCTGGTAAATCTTGTATCCGGTAATAGTGTAACGCGCATTCCTCATTATCAGCAGCATGTTGCCTTTCTGTTGCTTGCGGTGGTATGATTGATCGGAAGCGTGGCACAGCCCCAAGAAGTGGCCACACAACTAGCGCAACACCAGAGCAAGGGCCAGGGATCGAGCTAAGCTAGCTTCCCCGCTCAGAAGTGCATGCTCCTGTGAATGTGCAGTTGCCTGGGTGCATATAAGCCAACTACACCCCGAAGCCTGTAAACAATGTCACACACGCATCCTTCTACTATCGCCGAGTCCACATCTTCTTCTTCGAGGCCTATTCTACACGATAACAGTATTCCCAACGATCAACATACTACCGCGACTATGAGCGACATCAACGGTAAGGCACCTATCAATGGCGGTAGCAATGGAGCACCCCGTCTTGAGGAGCCGATCATCAAGGTTCAGCCTCCGAGACGAGAGGACCTTCAGCCTAGCTACGCGAGGGTTATCCAGCCTGATGATGCTGATGCTGATACGAACGGATGGTACGGTGGTATGGTAAGTTGGCCCCACCCATGTATCTTATGCACTATTCTCACATACATCTAGATCAACACTCTAGGTGGATGTATTGGTACACTCGGTGCCATTCCGTGCTGCATCGTCTGCCCAAACCCCTACAAGCCAGTCAACCAAGGAAACGTTGGTCTCGTGACCAAGTTCGGTCGATTTGCCCGCGCCGTCGACCCCGGTCTCGTCTACGTGAACCCACTATCTGAGCAACTTGTTCAAGTCGACATCAAGATCCAGATTGTTGAAGTCCCCAAGCAAGTCTGCATGACCAAAGACAACGTCTCCCTCCAATTGACATCTGTCATCTACTACCGCATCACTTCGCCGCACAAAGCCGCTTTCTCCATTTCCAACATCCGTCAGGCTCTCGTTGAGCGTACGCAGACGACTCTTCGCCATGTCGTTGGTGCTCGTGTGCTCCAGGATGTGATTGAGCGTCGTGAGGAGATTGCGCAGTCGATCCGCGAGATCATCGAGGAAACCGCCCTCGGATGGGGTGTCGAGGTCGAGTCCATGCTCGTCAAGGACATCATCTTTAGCCAGGATCTTCAGGATTCGCTCTCCATGGCTGCGCAGAGCAAGCGTACCGGCGAAGCCAAGGTTATTGCTGCGCGTGCCGAGGTTGAGGCCGCGAAACTGATGCGTCAAGCTGCCGACAGTAAGTTTGCCCTGTTCAAATTATATATCTGACATCTACTGACTTCCATCTAGTTCTATCATCCGCGCCGGCTATGCAGATCAGATACCTCGAAGCCATGCAAGCCATGGCCAAATCCGCAAACTCCAAGGTCATCTTTTTGCCTGCCCAAAACCAGACTGTACAGAGCGCACTCGCCCAAGCCGACTCCGTCGGCGAAGGGCCCAGTTCCCACGGCGCCAACCCAATGGGTGTCCAGAGTTCCGCAGCCCAGGAGTACGGTGGCAACAGCCATGGCTTCCAGAGTGCTATCAACTCGCATGTTATTGAAAACATGTAAAGGAATGGCTTGGACACTGGGCTCTGAGCTACTTTCCAGGTGGTCATTGGTGGACCTGAGATGTCCTTGAGACATTTCCGAGCCTCAACCACTTACGCTATATGGAACCTGGGATATGATCAGTTCGCCATGTATCTTGCACGAACCTTTTCCATGATGCGGCGAAAATCTTTAGGCTCCCGTATCAGGAGATGTGGCTTTACTGTTACTTTTTTTGTACCCGTATTATCCTTTTCATTTCTTTGGTAAACGGCTACTATGGATGGGACAACGGGCAAGGCTAGACTGACATGATGGAGTTTCTTTGCTTTCTGCGGTTGTTTTGATACCCTCACCCCGGCAGTTGGTACTATCGGCTCACTCGCTTCTTGTTCTGATAGACAGTTTTTACGATAATGATAATGCCAGTTTATAAATATGGATGTATACAAGTACAAGTTGCCAGTGACAAGACATGTGGAATCCTCATGTCTTTATGCAATACAATTGCCAGGTATATCTTATACACCTTGAAGTCTAATGAATGCTAAATACGCAATACCAAACTCCATCCCATATGCACACTAACCCGTAATATGCAATATCGTACAACCAACACCTCCTCACCCACATCATCAACCCTCCTTTCCAGCTCCTGACCCCGTCTTACTTCAAAATAGACGCCCCCCTCCTATCCTTCTTCAACGGACTAAACGTAAAAGCCTCCTCACTCATCATATTGAACCCCCCACTAATCGGTCTCGCCTGCTTCCCTACACCACTCTTACTCAACGCCCTCGCCGCAAACAACCCTTTACTAAGCCCCACGGGTTTCAAGCTCGGGACACCAGCATCGTCCTCCGCATCCTCCGCATCGAACAACGTCTTTCCTGCACTAGCACCAAGTTTCCTCTTCTTCTTCTTTTCAGCAGCGGGTTCCTCGGTGAAAGTAGCAAAGGACATGAGGGATTTACGGGGTTTCATTTTGGAGGACTTTTTCGATGGCCCATCGGAATCCTTGGTCGGGACAGAAACAGGGTGTGCGTTCTCGGATTCGTCTCCTTTTGAGGATGTGTTGTGCGAAAGTTCGGAAGTTTCTTCAGACACCATTTCGAGGGCTGGGATAGCGGCGTTCTTCTTGCGGGGTTTTGCGTTTGCCTTGCTGGATGCTGATGGTGCTAGGGCTTTGACTTTTGGTAGAGCAGCGGTCTTCTTCGGGGCTTTCTTGGGGGGCGCAGTTGGGGTGGCTTGCTCTTGGATAGCTTCTTCATCGACCTGTTGCTCGGCTTCTTCATCTTCGTCTTCTTCCACGATGGGACTTCCGAGTGCTATACTGGAGGTCTTGTTGAGGAACGGTGTTAGAGAAAAGGTAGATGTGTCACCAACAGCTGTGACAGAAGTGGCGCGCTTCGCCTTCTTCGCAGGGAAGCCGTCTCCAGGTGTACCCAACATAGTCTCTGGCTCAGCAGTAGCAGCCATGCGTTTTCGCGCATTCTTTGCGGCGGGCTTGGCAGACACAGCTGCGATACTCTTAGCAGGTGGTGCAGTCTGTGCCCTGTCTGCCCTTTCAAGCTCTGCCTCCTTCTCCTTGAGCTTCTCCTTTGTTGTTCGTAGCTTCTCGCGGAAGGCACTCAGTTTGTCGTCGAGGACAGCGTTCCGACCCTGGAGCTCGGCCAAAGTCTTGATGTATTCTTTCTCCTGCTTCTTGCGCTCACGCTTCTCCTCCTCTAGCTCTTTCCTTGCGGCTTCGGCTTGATCATCTGGTTGTTGCGAACCCTTCTTCGACGCCTTGTCTGCCTTTTGACGCTCGCGCTTCTCTTGCTCAAGTTCTTGACGAAGTTGCTCAATCTCTGCATCGCGTGTGGCGGTATCTTTGCTGGCCTTTTCTGCCTGTAAGCGGGCAGCCTTCTCTTGTTGCAACTCCTCGCGAAGTTGTTCAATCGCGGCCTCATGAGCCTCACTACGCTTGCTAGCCTTGCTGGCCTCTTTCTTGGACAGGCTCTCGACTTTGGCCTGCAGACTTTCGGTGGCCTGTTGTTGCGACTCCAGATCGGCCTGTACCTTCTCCATAGCCTTCTCCGCCTTTGTAAGCCCAGCTTCAGCCTTCATCCGGTCCTTCTTCTCCGTTGCAAGCTCATTGCGCACCTCCTCTAGCTCGTTGCGAAGGTCCTCGTCTTGTTCCATCTTCTTTCCCTGTTTCGCGATTGTACGGGCGGAGGTTCGCTTCTCGTTCTCGAGTTCGACTTGGAGCGTCGTCATCTGGCGTTGTAACGCGAGCTTCTCAGCGAGTAGACCCGTATTCGCTTCGACCTGGGCGCGTAGGTGTTCAACCTCTGGGCGTAATGATGAGATTTCGCGGGAGAGGGCGAGTTTGTCCGAGAGGATCTTGTTGGAGTCGGATGTGACGTTTTCCATAGCCTTGAGTTCGGCCTATTGAGTTGTAAGCAAGTAGTGCATTGATCGACAAACTGGGCGTGCTTACCTTGAGATTCGCGACTTCCCGTGCCTGAGTGCGGATGGTGTTTTGTGCCGCCTCTGCCTCTGCCCGTTGCTCGTCCAACTGCGCAAGGGCCTCTTCGAGTGAGGCCTCTAGTTCGTCGGAGCGTGCCTGCTCGTCTTCCAGTTGTTCGTGGAGGTCGCTGTTGTCGTCCTGCAGGAGACACTGGGCGACTCGCAACTTCCGGATTTCTTCGTCCTTGACTACCGCTTCGACTGAATGCTTACTCCGTTCGAGACTGAGTTCGAGAGTCGCGTTCCGTAGCGAGTTTTGGAGCTGGAAGGACACGAAGGGTTAGTGGAAGATCTAAGGATATACCAGCCGAACAGGGTCCAGCAGTCTTTCACTTACGTCTTTCATCTCGTAGTTGGTATCTATATCCACCTCCATAGTCGCGACCATGGTGCAATATCTGCTCAATGATGTGCGAGTATAACTGTAGGTGTAGATGTAGGATCGGATGTGGTGGGGCTTTAGGTGGACGCGACTTGGTAAACAAACAGAGCGCTGACAACTGTATGGAGCCAACAAGACAGCACAGTGAAAGAATGACCACGGAAGTAACCAAAATGAATATGATGGATACCGTTCAACAAGTCAATCGCTTGTTGGCAGGCAATGACTTCAGTGAAGTTTACAACCCAAAGTGCTGCCTTTGCCTCGCCCATGTCGCGACACCCCTGCCAGCCTTGGCGCCATTACGCACGCCGCCGCATCTCCGTCCCGAGCTCTCAAGGCCACGTTCCCAAGCTTTCGAGCTTCCGTCCAACCCACCAATTCTCCGCAACCCCAACAATCCACCCGCTCAAACGACACAATGCGGTGGTTGAACCTCCTAACAGCCTCGCTGCTGCCCTTCACAGCTCTAGCAGCCAAGAAACCAACCGGCGACCGCTTCGATGACGCCCGCGCCAAATCGCTTTCCACCAGTAAACCGCTCAAGCTCGACGACCCAAGCTATGCGCAGTTGACCAAGTCTCCGCGCGACTATGGCGTTGCTGTACTGCTGACGGCGTTGGAGCCACGATTCGGCTGTATGCTTTGCCGGGATTTCCAGCCTGAGTGGGAGTTACTGGGCAAGAGTTGGATGAAAGGTGATAAGGATGCGAAGACAAGACTTGTATTCGGTACATTGGATTTTGTGGATGGAAAGAACGTCTTCCAGTCGGTACGATAACCTTTATTACCTTGTGTCATCGCCTCGAAATTGGAAGAACTAACAATCCCTAGATGATGCTACAAACCGCCCCCGTCCTCCTCTACTTCAACCCCACCACCGGCCCTCACGCAAAACCCGACGCCTCACCCGTCCGCTTCGACTTCACCGCGGGCCCCCAGACTGCCGAACAAATTCACGCCTGGATCTCCCGTCAGGTCCCCGCCGACATCCCCAAACCCTCCGTCTCGCGCCCCATCAACTGGGTCAAGATCATCACCGTAACCACTATTGTCCTCGGAGGCATCACCGCCATCTCCGTCGCATGGCCCTACTTTGTCCCCCTGCTACAAAACCGTAATCTCTGGGCCGCCATCTCCCTCATCGCCGTTCTGCTCTTCACGTCCGGCCACATGTTCAACCACATCCGCAAGACACCGTATGTTGTCGGTGATGGCAAGGGCGGTATGAGCTATTTCGCTGGTGGCTTCAGCAACCAGTATGGTCTGGAGTCGCAGATTGTAGCTGCCATCTACGGTGTCCTCGCCTTCGCTGCTATTTCCCTTGCTATCAAGGTCCCCAGGATCAAGGATCCGCGTGCCCAGTCTTTTGCCGTGTTCCTGTGGACCGGTGTGCTGTTTGGCATGTACAGTTTCTTGCTTAGTGTCTTCCGCATCAAGAACGGTGGGTACCCGTTCTACCTCCCTCCTTTCTAGATGAAGAATTGTCCGAAGAAGAAGAAGGAAGTTGCAAGGACCTCTCGATCCATCAGCGAAAGATGAAGATGGAATCTTATTTGAAAGACCCTACCAATTTTATTGGGAAGACGGGGATTATTTCAACATTTGACAAAAAGTTTCGAACTTGCAGCGAAGAGCTCGGATGTATACTTTGTATGATAACAATAAAGCTGTCAAAGCGGGCGTTTATGAAGTAGATGTCAATTTAAACGTCAATATCATATATCCCACATATCTGTACTTGACTGTCGTTGGAGGAGGAAGTTATGTACTATCTCTGGTGCCGTTGTGAAGGCCGGGTCAAGTCATGGTATCCTGCAGCACAAGCTGCAAGCAATGGATAATATATAAGAAATCTATGTGGGGGACAAGAATATACGTCATCATAATAGTATTTTTAGGATATGTAGTTATAGTATAGCAGAATATACGTTTATTACCGCGCCATCTGAACACTCATCTACGCTAAAGATTGCAGTGCAATATGCAGGCGGGGTTGCGTTGCATTCCAGAAGACAGCCGCAATCTTGACTCCCCTCCCGCACTAAAGATTGTAGTGCACTGTCGAACAGACTTGTAATCATAATCATACAGGTAACATTTTGTACTACATTAGGGAATGTCGTAAACACGCATAAACCAACACGCCATAACCATAACCGCTATGAAAACATTTTGACACTGATATGCCCGTTAAACCCTTTGCCTTGACCGGAAACGCCCACACCGAAACCGAAAGAGTACACCTTGCAGTTCTCACTATTGCCTCGAATCGCAACTTCAAGGCCTAAGAAAGTGCCATGGCGTGCAAGTCGAAAACGTCGTTCCTCCAACCACCCTCATCCCAGTCATCGATACGTTCTGTCGCACGACGGCCCTCCTCTTCCCAGAGCTTGACAACACTACCAGGTGCGTACTTGCCGGCGAAGACACCCTTGCCAGGCGCCTCGACACCAACCCTCGTGTAGACATCCGGATCATCAGCAGGTGTAAGACGAGTGATGACAGCCTTGACGAACGTCTTGAGATCATCTGGGTCGGAGATCCTAGTGGCTCGGAGCCTCTCGCGGGCGAAGATCAACTCGCGGTTGGCAGCATGAATACCATCGGCGATACCCTGAGCCATTTGCCTCTCCATGACCTTGCGGACGATAGGGCGCAGGAGTGGCTTGAACAACCAGCCAAGAATGCTGAATTTGGACTTGCGTAGCTTGTATGTGAGCTTGTGAATATGGACACGCACAGCCTTGAGGGTGAGAATTTGTTCCAGTTTCTCCTTGCCGACTTCGACGTCGAGATGGATGTCGATACCGCGCTCGTCGAGCTGGAACGATGCAATACCCTCGTCGGCGAGACGGAGAAGACCAGAATGTGCGCGAAGGAGGAAGCCGACCTCATCGGCACGGAAGGAGAGACCGTCGATCTTGATGGTGAATTTGGAGGTTGCCTTTGATGCAACACGGAAGCGGGCTTTGCGGAGTTCGAAATCGTTGTATGTCTCTACCTTGAAGCGGAAGGGTAAGAAGGAGGTGTGATTGACGGTCTTTCCGGGTTCGATGATCAAGTTCTCCAAGAGCATGTCGATCTCGGGTGTAGAGACCTCAAGGCGAGGAATGGGAATATATTGGATAGCCTGCACTGCCAGAGGGACGAATACGTTGATGGCGTCTTGAACCAGCTCGCTGTTGGTGTATGAGTGCGCAGGCGACAAGATGTTCCAGATCCTCATGGTAGTCTTGATCATCTTCGCGATATCCTCATCTTGAGTAGCAGCCATGAATGTTCGCTGGGCCTGCTCGAAGAACACATCGACATCCTGGCGGAGCGATGATTCGCTTCCCACACCCTTGGCCTTCTTTCGAAGCTCTTGGAACTTCTCATCGACGTGGTCGAAAAAGTCGGGGTCAGTAAGCAGCTTCTGGAGGGAGTTGCCAATGTCGGTCAGTAGGTCCTCGGATTCAGGATCCTTGCGGGAGTGTTCCAAGACCTTGTGGAAGGCGTCCTCGAGCTTGTTCCATTCTTGCTTGTCTCCAAAGGAGCTCAGGAAAGTCCAGAAGTTCTTGACAGCCTTCTCCATCGCTGGGTTGGGGTCGATGTCGGCTTCAAGCGTACCCATGGCGTCTTCGACTGTGCGAGAGTATGCCAAGGCATAGCGCTTGAGTAGCTGTGCCAGTACCGAGACGGAGTCGTTGTAGTCTCTCTTCTGCCTCAGATTGGTAACCGTCTTCTTCAGGCGGAACAAAAGTGATTCGCCCTCATCGCCCTGTAGCTTCTCTGCCAGGCTGACGTCTGCCCTCTTAGCAACCTTGGCTACACCGTTTCCAACGACCTGGGCTACGTCGGTGATCTCGCTACTCAGCTCTTCAGCCGAAGGGGCAGGACCCTCATCCGCACCCGGTTCTTTGAGTGCCTTGTATTCCGCTGGCGAGGGCTCGACCTTCTTTGCAGCCTTCTTCGCCACATTTGACAGTGTGAATGCCGTGTCTCTGAAGACTTCGCGGCCGACTGTGTTGAGATCGGAGAGGAAGATGCGGAAGTCTGAGTTCGTGAGAAGCAAAGACCCAACAGTCTGGAGGCTCTGATATGCTATTGACGCGTTAGTGGAGGACGATTGGGTACATCTACGCGCACGCACCTGCAGTAGCATCTGCCTTCGCCTTTGACCTTGTTGTCCGTCTCGCGATATCTTCCACGTCAACAGCGATCCTGGACTTGGAAAGGTACCAGAGGAAGTCCTGGATCTGGTCTTCGCTGTTCTTGTGGTTCATCGTGTCGATGAATTGATGCAGCCATTGTTTCGTGAACTTGACTAGCAGACGACCTGAATCGCTCAAATCTGGGTTTTCCGGGTTCAGGATGTCCGCAGATAGCAAACTACGGAGGTTGATGATGAGTTGTTCATTCGAGGGCATGAAACCCATGGAAAGCGCCCTCCACATCTGGTACGAGTGGAGCTTCTGGTGCACCTCTTGCTGCAGCGTTGTATCATCGCGATACTGTTATTTGCTGTGAGCGGGCGTCGTGGTGGATAAATGAGCAGACATACCTGAGGCAACAACGGTTGTTGGTCGTCGCGTTTGCGAGACCCGAAACATGATGAGAGCGACATTGCGATGATTCGTATCACTATTTCGCTGAGTTGAGAGCAATTGGGGTTGGTAAGACGCGAAGAGAGCTTTGCGAGAGCTCACACTGAAGCTGTCCAAGGTTCCAGGCTCCAGTTCACGCGTTGGTCAGGATGACGAGGGAAGCTAGCGCTTTGACGTCATGCCGGGGATCGACGAGCGGCTCCACATATGCGCGCCAAGACTGTATGGCCGGGTGTCATTCCCCGACCTATGGTTCGCGCATCAATCTCGAAGCACGTGGTCTTTATGAACTCGTGTTGCTTGCATCTACACTGACTCCATCAGCACTTGACATGTCAATTCATTGTGAATAGGTTCTTACTCTGGTAGTGTTTTGGTCGAAAGTTGCAAGGTGCCGAGGTGAGTCACTTCCCAGCTCTAGTACACGTAGTCCAGAGAATCTTGGAAAGTAACAAAGGCAGTCGTCAAAAGCCTCTTGAGCCGGATGGAAAACACTCCGCGCAGTGTACTTGCCTGTCTTGATGACGGCTCGGGGACTCAAGTTATCGTGAACAGGTTATCGACACTGGACACGACCTTGGAAGTCTATCACAGCCCCGCGGACGTCGCTCCGGATGTCATCGCGTCATACCAGGTGCCTCTGACACCAGCTGATTAAGAACCTCAGTATTTGACTAAGGATTTAAGACGATACAACCAGGTTTCCGGAGCAAGTTCACATGTACTACTTGGTGGTATCATTGCTTGCCAACGCCGATTTTGATACTGTCACCACTGAACTCTTACCACTTCACCAAGTATCTGCTCTTCCTGGATGCGCCTGTTGTAGAAGATCTGTTCAGGACGCTGTCAGCCATGGATGTAATCGTCGGTCGAAAACCGATGTCGATATTGTTGTGCGCAAACTGCTTCACTGCCATGGTCGTAGGTTTCTAGGTCCATTGATCCTCAAGGATGTAACGAATACCGACTCCGACTCCGACTCGACGTTATAGACTGAAAATGCCATAGACTACAGCCCATGCTAGTCTGCTCGGACCACAAGGCTTCATGCAAGCGGTGGGCCTCCAGATCTAAGATGTACTATTTTCTGACTCGCCCGCCAAGGCGTCAAAGGACGGTGAGACTTGACAGCTGCATGACAGTGGCAGCTTTGCGGTAAGGAGATGCAATCGATTGATAATAGTGACATGTTCAATGGTTGATGTTTGCGAAGCTGCCAGCATCCGCGGGGGCTTGAATGTGGGAGTCGGAGGTGGGTAATCGCACGCAATAGAGTTCATACTCGCCCGTAACCACCCGTGGTGCTGTGGGTTGTGGAGTCGCGTGCCCCAATTCTCGGAAGATGGAAGGAACTGGGCGCGCGAAACCCTAGGCGGCTGCCTTACCCAAGCCATCAAGCTTTCCCCACACCACGCGGGTGATCCACCAGCCACTGTAGTCGCATCTGCAGCTGCAGGCATACACTTTTGGACTTCCGATATATCGCAAAAAGATCAAACATGCAGTGAATCAGATCTCGTACAGCAACACCGGACCGGATCTCACGGGTAGACTGGGAGTTATTTTTTTTGAATGGCCCAACTCCGCCTGTCACAGGCATGGGGCGAAAGCAATCGGATGTTGCATGCGCTTCCCCCCTGGCACCATGCCACCAACGGTCCGTTAGCGAACAGTCAGGGGTGCATATTCTGCGTAAAAAAAGTTGCGCCCAGCGGCTCCGTCTGCGGTACAAAGACACACCGCTCATACTGATTAGCAATTCGTCGGGTCGCGGTGTACCTCGATGGAGCCGGTGCGGACCCGCGAGTGCAGACGGTGTTGGTATCTGGCTAATGTCCATCCGTCGCACTATTGACCTGAGTAACGCAAAGCCCATCCAAGGTACCCTACCCTTCCTGTGGCGAAAAGACACGAGACAACTCCCGTAAGATCAACACGATTATTAATTAAGCACGCTGTTGCAACGCGGCGTTGCGCATTGACTGCGGAAATAAAATAAAATGCCTCGATGCCTGACCTCGCAACGAGACATGTGTTGGGCTATGGGCATGCGGTCAGTCGTTGAACAAAAGAAAACAACGGTATGGTAGAGACAAATGCCGTTACTGCCACGCGTTCGGGCTACTTTCCGGCTAGGTCTACAGTACCGGCAAAAGCAAGTCTGCACAGAAACGGACAAAGATTGAAGCCCATGGAAGAATCCTACGGCATTCCGTCAAGGCAATGCGTGCTCCGATTGCTCCCGAATGATATGCACGTCCAGTCATGACCCCTGCTACCCGGTGGCTGTGGCTGTGACACGACGAGGATGGCATGCCCCGGACTTTAGCAAAAAAATTATTGAACATTGACCTGAACGTGCTGTGTAAATGGCATGGGAGTATGGAAAGATTGGCATGATAAACATGTAGTAGTCTTGCTGTGTGGTGGAGTTTGCAGTCGCCAAGACAGTTTACTTGGGGAAGGGACTCGCGTAAAAGTCACCAACGGGCTGGTCCATGCTTTCTTTACAGGCACACTTTGACGGCGAGAACGGATCTCCTCACAGAGTGACTGTTGCGGAACCTAGACCCATCCGATAGGCTAACTATTATGTAGCCCCCCATCCTCCGCGCCCCGAGCGGGCTGTCTCCCTAATTCCTTTTCAATTGCCGACGCGTCGTTTCAGCTCATTTCAATGCAGCGATTCAGGACGCTTATAAAAGTTACGGCTCCCGCCCAAGGCCTCCGTTCTTCAATCCAAAAACCTCCCTTCGTTCGTTATATGGCCACTGTAGCAAACGACAACATGCCTTCCGCCGTTAAACCCAGCTTAGCCCGCCAATTGAGCACCACTTCCGGTGACTACGACCTGTCATACACCCCCGATGTCCGCAAGACTCTGGGCACATACGGCCTCACTCCCCCAGCCGTTGAGAGTTACGACATCCAGAGCGAGCGATGTAAGTAATCATAGTGCATTTGAGTAACTTTTCATTGACGTTTTATAGGCCTCAGACTCCTTGCCATGAAGCAGGCGCCCATTGAGAAGTTCCAATACCTTGTCCACCTCAAGGCCACCAACCCACATCTTTTCTACCGTCTCCTCGGAGAGAACATCAAGGTATGTTGTACCATTACAATGCCTCCAGACAAAGTCCTAACATATCCAGGAACTCACCCCTCTCATCTACACCCCCACCGTCGGTGAAGCCTGCGTACGATGGCACGAAATCTGGACACAACCCGAGGGCATGTACCTCTCATGGAGCGACCGAGGCAATCTTCGCAAGATTCTCGACAACTGGCCACACCAGGTCGACATCACGGTCCTCACAGACGGATCCCGTATCCTGGGTCTTGGTGACCTTGGTGTGAATGGTATGGGTATTCCTGTCGGAAAGCTCGCCCTATACACTGCCTGCGCTGGTATCAAGCCTGACAGCACCCTGCCTCTGACTCTGGACCTCGGAACTAGCAACAAGGCTCTCCGTGAAGACCCCCTCTACATGGGCTCCAGGATGCCCAAGGTTACTCCTGAGCAGGAGAAGGAGTTCCTCGACGAGCTCATGGCTGCTCTTACCGACAAGTGGCCCAGGTACGTACTATGCATTCATATCTTATTCGGAATACTGACCGTGTGACAGCATCGTTATCCAATTCGAGGACTTCAAGAACCCTTTCCCCGCCTTGGAACGCTACCAAGACCAGTACGCCATGTTCAACGATGACGTCCAGGGAACTGGTGCCGTTATTGTTGGTGGATTTATCAACGCTGTCAGGGCGTCTGGCGTCCCCGCAAAGGACCACAAGGCTATCTTCCTCGGTGCCGGTAGTGCTGGTGTTGGTGTTGCCAAGCAGATTGTTGAGTACTTCATGAAGGAGGGCCTGACTGAGGAGGAAGCCCGCCGCAAGTTCTGGTTCGTCGACTCAAACGGTCTCGTCACCCTCGACCGTGGTGACAAGCTCGCTGAGCACAAGGTCTTCTTCGCTCGTGACGACAACAACGGTCGTCAGTACCAGTCACTCAGCCGCCTCATCGACTACGTACAGCCCACCATCCTCATGGGTCTGTCGACTATCGGCGGTGCCTTCAACAAGGACATCCTGGAGAAGATGGCCAAGCTCAACAACCACCCCATCATCTTCCCTCTCTCCAACCCTTCCAGCAAATCCGAGTGCACATTCGAGGAGGCCGTCACCGCCACCGAGGGACGCTGCCTCTTCGCTTCCGGGTCTCCTTTCCCCTCAATGGAGTTTGACGGCAAGATGCTCACCCCCGGCCAAGGAAACAACATGTATGTCTTCCCTGGTATCGGACTCGGTGCCATTATTTCCAAGGCTGTATCCGTCACACAAGACATGATCTACGCCTCCGCAGAGTCACTGTCGACTTCATTGAACAAGCAAGAAGTCGCCGACGGCTGGCTGTATCCCGACATCCGCCGTATCCGCGAGGTCTCTGTCATCGTGACCCGTGGTGTTATCCGTGCGGCTCAGAAGAACGGTGTTGACCGTGCTACTGAGCTACGCGGCCTCACTGATGAGCAACTCGATGACTACATCAAGAAGAACATGTACGACCCTTACACTGAGCCCAAGTACTTCGACAAGAAGGTGTCTCAACTCGTGAGCGAGAAGTTGAACGGCACCACCGTCGGCGTCACTGAAGTCATCAACGGCGTTGCTCACTTGTAGATGCTTTTCACTTCTTCGACATGTTTTTGGCGTCAGTCTTAATTGCTGAGGTTGTTCTTCCCTTCTTGTCTCGGTAACGGCCTCATCTAGACTGGGCATTGGGTCACACAAAATTTTCCTTTTCTTCGTGGGATGGCTGGATGGATATTCGATACCCTACTACACTTCATCGGAGCTCTTCTCACGACACACACACGTAGTACACATAGATACCTCCGACCTAATTGCTGCTGAGGAGCGCACTGTGGGATGGGAATGCAATATGTTATGGACAATATTCAGTATCGTTTTCTGACCCATTGAATGTGATTGTGTTTTCACACGTAACTGCAACACTATCAAGTCCATATCCCCAACAACAGAACTTGTTGAGAACAAGCTTACCGGCATTAGATACCTCCACCTACCATACAATAGACGTCCGATGCGGACCCCCTCATTTCCCGACATATGATAAGCTATCAGCATTCTCACACAAGTACAGTAAGACAATCAGCATACGATAGGCACCTATCTCATATACCCCTCCAACAGACTTTTGCAGACTATTACCTGTCGTGTCGTTATCAGTAGATCCTCCTCAAACTAGGCACAGACCCATACCAGCCACAATGCCCACGCCCAGCCCTCCCATCCACGGGAAAGCCCGCTGCTACCCCGGACCCACTCTCACCGGGCTCAACAGTTTGGGTGGTATATGCGACATGGTCGGAGCGCACGAATCGGATGGATCGACGGGTAGGGCTGCAGTTGGTTCGTAGGTCTGTGTCCCATGGGCTGTGTCTGATTGCCTGTTTTGGGTAAGTAGTGCTTTTTTTCATTTTTGGGGTTCTGGTGTGATATCAGGATATTATTTGCATGCCTGCTTCGACATACTTTTATCTAGTGGGATTTGCTATGAGTCATTCTTTCTTACAAGGCATCGACTTGTTTGTTATGCAGTACTAGTGGTTGGTTGGCTATGTATTTCTCAATTTTCCATTTCGTTGAGTATGTATTCGATGCTCATGGGTCATGGAGGCTCAAGATAAAGCTGGCCAAGATCCACGGAATGCTCCAAGCATGTCGTGAACCCAATCCGAACGCTAGAAGCTGATATGCGCTGCAGAACTCCCATGATGATCTCTTCCATACGCATGCATTCGGTGCCACAATGCTGGTTTCCCGAGAATCTCAGATCAGCTCAGCCTCCTCCAGGATGTCATACTCATCTTCATCCTCTCCCTTGATTTCAGACTTGATATCCAAGTCATCCTGGTCATTTTCAACCTCTGGAGTAGGTGACTTCTTTTTGGGACGACCACGGCCCTTCTTAGGGGTGATCTCGCCAGTGTTGCCCTCGTCGTCAGTCTTAGCCTTGCGCTTGCGCGGCGTAGCAGCCTTCTTAGGTATATTCAGGGAGATGGGTACACCAGCCTCCATGGCCTCCCACTCTGGCTTCAGCGAGTTCTTGAGCGCGTTCAGCTTTTGCTTGAAGCCGCTGGCGTTGCGACCGGGTGGGTAGCAGCCCTCCTGTGGTACGTTAGTATGGGATGATTCTCGTAGCATGGAGGTAGGTAGAGGTAAGGCAGAAGACTTACGTTGTAGTTGAAGACGGAGCCGCTTTTGTTGATGAGGTAGAGGACACTGACGAGCTGGTTATTGTCAGTATCGCGAAAATAGTAGACCAATGTTTGATACTCACCAGTTCGCGATCGCTCCATCCGCCTTTGGAGATCTTGGAGTCGTCGGTCATGGTGGATGGTGTAGTATTTGGCTGATTAAGTAGTCGGTAGTGCAATGAGAGTGTGGAAGAACAAGTGGACTGAGGTGGTTGGGATGTGGAAGATGCAAGGAGGTGAGGGTCAAATTAATGTTTATGCTCAAGGTGAGAGAATCACAAAGTGGGCTCGACCATAAGCTCACCGTGAGTTCTCTAAGGGTGAAGATGGCACGTAGTTCATCGTGTAAAGTTAATGATGCATGGTGAAGGTGGGTACCAGTTGCTCACTGCAACACAATAGCCACATCCTGGAAAGCAGATGACACACCAACCGAAACATGTTATGCTGAAAGTAGAAAGTGACCTTGAACATACATCGTCGACGTACTTGACAAGCGAAGAACCAAGAGTCAAGAAACGCGCAGCTCATCGATAATGCTGCATTTAGCATTCCCACATTCCTGGTCTGACGTGCCTCATATGTACATATTCTTACTCACCTTCATCATTCAAATCCCTCACCCACCATCCACCACCACAACGCTACCACACATAAAAAAACTTACTCAACCCATGTCTTCCCATCTCCTTACTACCTCATACCATACACCTCGCATCTCTCACACATCAACCTCTTGCCGCTACATTTGACTTGCATTCAACAAATAGCAATTAACACAACATCCAACAACACACCAATTAATCAATCATGTCAGACAATGAGGGCACTACAACCAGCAATGGCAAGGGCTGGACTGACCGTCAGCGTGTACGTCCCTCGTTCCATCTCACATACATACCTTCTTCTGATTCATCGCTGATTAAAGACACATAGCTCGCGTACTACTTCAGCCTCGTCGAGCACTCCAACGTTAAGCTTGACTATGCGGTACGTCTCCTCCTTTATTTATTTATATATATTTCTTTTTTCTTTCCATCTTCCTATCCTCCCCCTCCTTGCACCCACTCCCCTATCCATTCCTATTAACCCCCACAGAACCCCCCTCGCCCCAATGGAAAATCTGTCGGCGCTTGTCAAATCATGGTTCACCGCCTCAAAGGCACCTTGAAGACTGAACTCGCAGCGCTCCGTGGTGTCGGCGAGGCGGATGTGACTGGTACACCGAAGAAGACTCCCACACCACGAAAGCGCAAGGCCAAGGGTGATGCTGAGGGAGAGGTTGCAGCTACGCCTACTAAGCGTGGCCGTAAGAAGAAGGAAGTTGAGGAGGGGGTTGTTGAAAAGCTTGTCGATGATGATGATGATGCGGAGGAGGAGATTGTTGTTAAGCCTGAGCCCAAGGAGGAGGATGTTGGGTATGAGGAGTGAGTGCACAAGATCTACCGTGCTAGACATATCTGGAGCGCATGGAGAACATCTCGAGCTTTATGCGGGCTGACTTCCCTCGACGTTAATGACGCGGAGCTATTCTGTCTGACATGGATGCGGTTTAGTCAGCATTCACGAACGACATATGCTCTTCTTTCAGGCAGCATGAAGAAAATGGGATAACGATGTACAAATGACAAGATTCATAAACATTGAGGAAAACACAATGAAAACTTCGAATGGGTATCTAAACTATTCTCTCAAACTTGCAACTCTATCAGTCGTAAACAATCATGATATGAGCACCCTCGTTCAACACTCCACACACCATGCAACCATATATGCAAGAACAACATCATCATCGACCTATCCCTCCATCACCGCGTATAATCGGGTTTCGTCGCCTTATTGACAATGGGTGGCGGACCATCTGTATCAGGATACGGCAACGGCGCCCCAGGCGGGGGTCTTGAGAAGGCAGAGCCAGCAGGTGGTGAGGTGCGTGTACCCGAAAGAGGTGGTGGCGGTCCATATCCATCCTGCAGCGGTGTCTTGGGCGGTCTTGGGGGCCCATTAGATAACCTATCGTCCCAGGATGTCGCGGAACTCATCCAAGACACCGGACGACCCGCTTGAAATTGCTCATCCGAGCGCCGTCCTGGAGACACCAGTTCGCCTGAGTGACGGGGCGGGAGATCGGAGAAGCCATCTGTACTCGCTGACTGCGGGTATTCGTCCGAAGACACGACGAGGAATTTGTCGTTGTCTGAGGGACGGCGCTGATCCGGTAGGGGGCGGAAGGCGGGATGGATGTTAGTGTAGTATTCCGGTGCAAGTTCCTCCGCTGGGAGTTCAACGGCCATGGGCGCTGGGTCGGGGACGTTAGGGAGGGGTTTGTTGGGTGCTTGGGCACCCGGTGAAAACGGGGATTCGCCCTTTGCAGCGCGCTCCCAGCGTACTTTTGCGAAGTGGATTCTTGCGATTTTTGCGGCCGAGTCGAGGGTCATGCCTTGTACGCTTTTTTCAGCGAGGTACATGCGCGTGTTTGTGCTGATTTCGGCGAGGGCGTTCCATTCGTTCATTCCGAATTCTCCTACACCGACGTTGACGTTTAGACGGTAGTAGTTCTCCGGGTTTACGTGGCGTTTGGCGAGGTGGTCTTTCATCTCCTTATGTGTCTTCTCGCAATCTTCAATCTTTTGGATCAGCTTCCTTCTCGCTTCCGCAAAGTCCCCGATACCGCCTGAGACGAAACCTTCCCACCACAGATGTTGTTGGGCGTTTGTGCCTTCTGGTCGCTTTCCCGTTCCTATGCTCATGAAGACGCCAACTTCGCGTCCAGGCCATTCGTTGCAAACAGCTTCGTCGAGAGCCATAGGGGCTGGGTTATATTTGCCGCAACCCTCATCGAGGAAGACGGATTGGCCGATCTGGATGGGCTTGAACGCTAAGGCAGTTGCGGATGTCGCTCGACCGGCTTGCCATATCGTAGCGTTGGGTTCGATGGCGGGTTCTTTGCGTGAGTCGTAGGAGCGAAGGAGAATCTGGCCGGTGCCGGATTTTCTTGTGCCTTTGTAAACGGCTGTGACGGCGCTGTACCAAGTTAGTAATAGGAGTGTTAGTCACATGCGTCTACTCACGTTTTGGTGCGCTCTTCTCGGTTATCGTATAGCAGGGCGTGAGGGTTCCCCCACTTCATGGCGGCTATGCGCATGTTTACGGGCGTCATGCCAATCTGGCTGTAGTTGCTGGCATTACTAGCACTTCTTTGCATACGGCCCGAAATAGCACTGCCAGGGGTCATGGGTGGTGCATCCTGCCCGTTGTGGTTGTCGTTGCCCTCGTCGTCGTAGATGGTGTGTTCGCGCACGCATTGCATGATGGCCTCCTCCAGCTTCGACGCCTTGAATAATGTGGATCGATATGGTATGCCGGCAAACGTCTTGTCAGTCTCAAAGACTCTCCTTGTCATGCGCACGTAGACGTCTTTGCACGTTTCCACGTCCATTCTCAGCCTGCCCAGCATGATAGCAATCAGACCTCCAGTGCCGGTTCCCACGATGAGATCGAAGTGTTCACATGGTTTCGGAACTTCGTGCCGTTTGGGCGCTCGGCCTTCAGTTTCGACAAAAGTTCGGTGCATCAATTCCTGGAGGATTATCAGCATGGAGTACCCCCGCACGCCTCCGCCGTCTGTCACATGGATTAGCAACTGCCATACTGGAGCCTCAAATCACCGACATACCTAGCGACAGAATGCGCAGCGGCGGGCCTTTTGTCGTATCTTTCCGGCGCACTCCGTTGAGTGCCATTTTCGACATACTAATGCGCTGGGTGTGAAGAGATGTCGTAATGTTCTGCCTGGTAAGGCGCGTATACGTGTTCGCTGCGTTGTGTGAATAGAGTCAGGCCGGAGGATCCGTTTATGCCTGAGTCCTCAGGTTGTCGTCTGGCGTAGGCTGATTGCGCGGCTGAAGAATTTCCTGAATCCGTCGTGTTCGTCGTGTACTAAGCAGTAAAGCGTGGCTGAGTGAGATTCCAAGCCTGCCTGGGCGCGCGCGCTCGAAAGCGCTCAAAAATGGTGTCGTGAGGTCGACTGCTAGGTTAGGAGCAGGAGGCGTAGGGTACAGTCACAGGAAGACACAGGTGACGGGTTGGGTTCACGTGGGAGAGTTAAGAAGATTCTTGACTCTTGTCAGTCCTGGACAGCAGCCCAGTTGGTTCACAGCGTCGTCACTCGTCATTCGCCAAGCGCAGCATGGGCCGAACTGCACCGCCACCTCGGCTCCGCTCTTCAGCCCATTAAAACTTGGTTCATCCTGGCATGGCGACGCTGTCAGAGCCCAAAGATCTTCCGTCTCTACCGGTTTTACGACAAAAGATCTTCATGCCCTTGCAGCGGCAATGCCATGGCCCGCTTTGCTAGATGGAACTCCCCTCCACCACTACCACGCGAACCCATGACTATCCAATCGCGAACTCCTCCGGCTCTGCTTCGGATGGTCACACTTCCATGATACGTCGCCTTGTCCGGTCGAATAGCGATGCGAACTGGATTTTGATCGAGATGAAAGAAAATGCCTCGTGTCGTCGTGATCGGTCTATCTACCTCCATCTTTCGCTGACAAAATTCGCCGAGACGTCGCAACACCAACCCTGTGCATCGAGTGTACTGTGGACCTACATACTCACATATCATGATATCGTACGATACGTTCCAGGTAGGTGTTTCCTGGATTTCCACGTGATGTCGAAGAGAGCCCAATGCCAAGATACCTATACAAGATCTTTGCGCTACGAAGATACGTTTATTATAGCAGAAGCAAGTTCAAAGAGAGAACAGAGAAATTTGGTTACGTGACCTAGACAGATAAGAAGCAGATCTTCGGTCGCTATGACGTTAAAGTTAGCATAGAGTGAATATGGAACGCGAGAGTATACGCGTTTGCGAGAAGAGTTCGGCCCGGCTGTGGGACAGAAGAGCTGTTTTGCTGATATTAAGGTGAAGGTGAGTTTTCAATACCAATTGCAAAGAGGTGCTGGATCAGGACCATCAACATCAAATCTAGCCCATATAACTGCTCAAGCTTAATTCCCAAAGACTCAAAGACTATTGCACGTCCGACACGACTCTACAACAATATGCCTACCATGAGAGTAAAGTACTACTTACCTGCATGGAAGTCCGCTCGCCTTTGCACCGACCAGTCAAGAGACGACTCATACCACTCCTTCCGCGCTGCCGAACAAGTTCGTTATTTACTTCGTGGCAAAGGCTTCAAACACCTTTCCATCAATGTAACCGAGGCAATACGCAACGCATGTATGTGGCGCGATCACAATGGCCAATCTGTGTTTCTAGCGCATCTACAGGCCAAGAATCTGAGCTACTTTCCTGTCATTCCTTGGAACGCTCGGATACCCATTATCACGGGGAGCTATTACTGGAATGATTAGGATATTCCACAATCAGAGCAGTGGATCGGCAACAAGTGCCTGAAGGACTGGATGGAGCACGGCATCTAAAGAGAGACTTGTACCTACAAGGGGGCTCTTCCTTGACAAGGTTGTCAAATGTACCCTAAGCAAAGGCACACATAGTCTTCATCTTCTTGAAATATTGACAGAAGATACGGTAAACACCTTTGGGGTAGGTTTTGCTCCAAGTCTAATGCGCCACAAGTCCTTGCTACCCCTAATGTCCTCATTTAGTGACATGATACACAAACAATTCCATAGACAAGACGCCCAAATACATCACATCACATACCAAACCCATCAAACCCGCTACTTCTTCCCTGGCACATCAACCAACCCCCTACTCTCCTTGATCCTCCACTGAATCGCCTTCGCAAGCTGATACAGCACCTCCAACGTCGGCATACTAACCCCAGCATCCTTCCCCGCCCTCAACGGCTCCCCCAACAAATTCTCAATCTCAAGAAAGTTTCCCTTCTCCAAATCCTGCTGCATACTCGGCTTCAACCAACTCTCCAACGGATCAACATGAATCGTCTCCTCCACCACCCCACCGTCCAACTCAACGCCACATACTGCCTTCGCCGCAGCAACAATTTCCCTCATAGCCGGTCTGACAAGGCCATCCAGTGCCCCGTCCGCCAGTCTTAGTCTCCCATCGTCGAGTCCCGTGATGGCGCAGATCGGGTTCAGACAAGCGTTGAAGACGAGTTTCTTCCACCGGTCGTGCAAAACATTGGGCGAATACTGGCATTTTGTTTTCCCGCCCGCGCCGTACATGTGCACGAATTCCTCGGCTCGTCGTTCCGGTACAGCAGGATTAATATTGGACGTCGGAAACGCGCCAATCAACAGTTTATCCCCTTCATCCTGCACAATCCTCCCTGGTGAGGGTTCGGCGCTGCCTATCATGGATATGCCACTGAGAATGGGAATGTTGGGATGGGGACGCAGGAAAGGTTTTTCGATATTAAGACCGTTTTGTAACAGGATTAACGTTGTTTTGGGGCTGTTGCTGCCCGTGGGGAGGGCGGGCGTAATTAGGTCGACGGCTGTCGGGGGGATGTCCGGGATGTTCTTTGTGCAGAGGAGGACATAATCATAAGGTTCAATCCCCTCCTCAGACAAATTGGGGATCGTGTTGCGAACTTGAGATGTACATGTCAGCGACGTGTGATATATATTGCTTGGAATTACAAGTTGGCAGCTGAGAGAGGTTAAGGCTTACCGACGCTAGGTCTCCATTCTTTCAGACTTCCATGGTCGCAGCTTTCGATCGTGTAGCCGTTTTCTTTGACAACGCTGTAGTTGGATCGTAGTACAAGTGTTACTGTTGCGAGACCGCCGACTTCGAGGTTGACGGCTGCGATTGCACCGACGGCGCCACCACCAACGATTAGCACACTTTTCTTGTTGTCAGCCATTGTGTAGGATTAGCTCAAGAGGATGGGAACTCACGTTACATATAGAAGTGGCGTCTATGGCGTTGACGCGATAGGGCGCGACGCGTTAGTGGGGTGGAGGGGCAACTACAACTTGGAACATGACTCCGTCACCATCGAGCCGCGCCTGATACCTGCTATATCGGGAAGTCATCACTTGGCATATAGTCATACCATCACATTGATCGACAACACATGTTTTGCGGTCCCTTCAATCGAGCTCCATTTGATGCATATATAGGTTACAGTCCGTAAATTCGTGGCTGGTGACCTTTTGTCGCCAAATCTTCCGCCTCACACGCCTTCATTCTTATCGCACTGATGGTTGATGCATTGCTTGAGTCGAAGGTAGAGCCGTCCATTCCATCCGCCCGAAGACTACGCCGAGAGCCCAGCAAAAGAGAGAGAAAGAAGATGCACGCTTAGAAGACGAGAGCGGCACCCTTGGTCTTCTTGTCACCACCAAGCTCGAAGTGCTTGCATCGCTTGAGAGCGAGCTAGAGGAATGTTAGTAGATACGAGGTGGAAGATAGTGAGTGAAGCCCACCTGTGCCTTGGTCTTGCACTGTGTGCACTCTAGACGGAGAACGACCTTCTTGGTAGTCTTCGCACGCTGTATGGATGTTAGTGTCCGCCTCTTGATTTCGAGTGCATGCGATCATACCTTGTGGAAGACGGGCTTGGTCTGACCTCCGTAACCGGATTGCTTGCGGTCATAACGACGCTTACCCTGGGCGAACAGCGAGGCCTTTCCTGCCTTGTATTCTACACAGTCTCAGTATACGGGTGTACGAATGCGTGGGCGAGGATCACTAACGGGTGACCTTGTGCTGGGTGTGCTTCTTGCAGTCCTTGCCCTTGCAGTAGGTTCGGCGGGTCTTGGGAACGTTGACCTGAAAGGTTAAAGTCAGCATTCAAGTTTCGATGCCTTGACGATCCCCATATTGCTTTTCTAGCGACCAATGCGAGACGGGCGACCAATGTAGACGATGACGAGGGATGTCGGTGGTGCGAGGTTGCGGTCGTAGGAGTCCTTGTGAAGATAATGCAGCCATAGGTTAAGCGAACATAATCCTGCGCACTTGCAGTTTGTTCGTAATGCGCTGCAACATGAGAGAGCGCATAAAGGTGTGCTTGTTGAGTCGCCACTGCTTCAACTCCAAGAATCGCTTCTCTCCCCTCGCACCAGCAACACTCTGTAAGAGACATTGTCCATTCCAGCCCTCTCAGCATCATGTGCCTCCCGCCGCATCTCGTTCTCCTGGTGAGGTATCGTCATGTACAATATCGTGGAGTCCGGAGGGTTCGCCTCGCCATCGTCATCGAAGATTCGTGGATTCGTTCGCTCGTCGCACATATGGTGTCCTTTGCAATATCTTTGGCATCAAAGATGTCACTCACCATTTTGACGGATTTTGCTCTGTGGTTAGTATGAGCGAAAAGTTGGCGGTGTTGCTGGAGGTGTTGTGGTCGCTGCACCGATATTGCTAGCGTTGTGTGGGCTTCGGCTAGGTTAGTAAGCCAACACCTGCGCCACACGAGCCACAGCAAAGACGCAGATGCAAGCACTTTCAATGCGTCACATAGGCAGTCATTGAATGAGTGCAAATGGTAAAAAATCATTGTGGTATCATGCGTGCCAAATAAAGTGCAGATCCCTAATTCTATCATTCCGACCCATGAACCCTTAATGGGAAGCAAACGAAAGCTGCGAGCGTGAAGACTAGTAAATCGGATGTCCCTCTTCCCACTTCTGGACCTCCTTCGTGTCCCGAGAGGCAGATGGAGGGCTGCTGCCCATGCCAAGACTAAACCTGGCATTCTCCCGCTTCTCAGGACTCCGTCCATCGTCAATTCGCTTCACAGGACCGACCCATTCCCACATGCGAGCAACGTCACCGCTAGCTGTTGTTCGGACACCTGCGCGAATGTTGCTGTTCTTTTCAACCTTCGCCTGTACCCTCGTCCACAGTTTTTGTCGTCGTTTTGCATTGAATTCAGTCCTCAAAACGTCATCTCGTAGTTGTGTCATACTAATGCCCTTCTCCGCCCCAGAGTCGTAGTAGCTCAACGCGGCTTGGTCCTGAAGTCTGTCGTACGCGTCACTTGCTAGTTGCTTTGCGCGAACTTCCATCGCCCGGTTACTAGTGTATGCGTATTTTCCATAGGAGCCAGTGGCAATAAGGAAGAGTATGGTTATAATTTGGAGAAGATGTCGTTCAAAAGATTGTCGGAGGGATCTTCGGACGCTGCAGGAGAGGGAGAGCTTGGCGAGGGAGGTGGATGCGAGACGACGTTCGCCTGTTGTTCTGTGTCCAAGGAAGAGTAACTGATTAGTACAATTCCACGTCAGATATGTTGTACAAGTGGTTCGAGGACCGGAAGGAGAGTACTTACCCATCTGTGCTTTGGACTATTTCTTCCCGCATAACCAGGTCGGGGAAGGCTCTGTCAAACAGCTCACTGAATTCCTGATCCGTCAAGCTCTTGCTCTTCTGAGATACCATCTGCTGCTTCAGATCTACTTCGCTTACTTCAGGGCTTTCCACTGGATTGCCGGTAGCGTCAGGCTCTCCACACTCGTACTGGGCCTTGTGTTGCCGTAGTATTTCTGTTGCCTTGTTCGCAATACCATTTACTTTGCGTGTCTTCTCGCTGTCTGGTTCGCAAGTAGGTGGGACAGGAACCAGGCCACCGAGAGATAGCGGATGATCCTTCATGATGAAATCAGGATCGCACCTGAGGGTCAATCCGCGGAAACACTGCGCGTGTGGCGGACAAGGCTCACATTGTGGAAGAATCTGATCTGCCCAGCTCGGTATCTCCACGCCAGCAAGTCCGGTAGCATCTCGTCCAACACCACAGAAGCCAACTTCAATCTTTTCCTGCCGCCAGACGCCTGCAAACGCGGCTGATGCTGTGAGGAAAAGAGTGCCGGCCATTGCCTTGATAGTACCGGTCTTCTTGCCTTTCTGTCTGCGTCTGCGTGGAGGCAGAATATCCAATTCTCCAGACTTTGCCCGCTCGCGCACTAGATCAAGCTGCTCTTCTGGAGTGAACTCTTCGCCGGCATCTGCAAGATCGTCCTCCTGTTGCTGCACACGCGGGTCCGCCACGTCAAATGTTCCGCGTGTAGGTACCATAATGCCCTCGTCTAGTTGTTCAGCCTTGGGCTGGAAGGTCCTTCGGCGGTGCGCGTCGCTCTTGCGCCTCTCCTGCTGAGCATATCCTGTAGTCCGCCTACGTCGATCTCGCGATATCGTATCCGGTACCACAGGAGAACTCCCGCTTTGGAAGGGGTTTTCCTGGGTAAAAGGACTGGCGGCATCATTGCGATGCCACGCTTCCGGCTCGGGCGTGGGTTCTTTCGGCGCAGGAGTGACGCTCTTGCGTGTACGTCTAGCCGCCGGTCGCTCGTCTACCTCAGGCTCAAGCGATCTGCTGTGTTTCGCAGGTATAGCCCGCGAGGGCGTCTTGGCGCGTAGTGTCGGTGCAGCTGCTTCCTCGGTCGGTTCGCGAGTTGTCCGTCGGGTTGTGCGACGTGCGGTCGCGGGCGTAGGTACTACAAGCGTCTCATCTTCGGCATCATCTGTCTCTACTGTACTCGCTGAACTGGAGGGAACATCAACGATGCCCCGCGTCGATCGTTTTGTGCGTGCCTGCGCCCTTTGAACTTGCGATTTCTGGGGGAGAACTAAGTCGACGAACATGCCAACTAGGGCTGGCTTCTTTGCGGAGGATGGGTATGTGACGCCATGTCGAAGTAGAATGCTCCTCAGTTCCGGGACCGTTATCTTGTTGGGGTCGACACCGTCTTCATAATACCAGTACTCTCCGCGCGCGTCAGCCATGCCGATGCTGTGGGAATGATTTAGCCGTGAAGTGAGGTCAAGGTTTAGCGGGATTGGCGACCCAGACAGTTGTAGGGCGGAGGTGAAACAGGCGTGGGTTGGCTCGTGTGGTCGCTGTGATGAGCGATAGGTGGAGTTGGGAAAGTCTGCGCAGCTTGTTTGTGATGTCACCGAGGCAACACCTGCAGGGTCCGTGCGCTAGGCGTCGCTGCTTTCATCTCAACTCTTTCATTCACTTCCAGTCACGGGTCTACTTCACCACATCTGATTATGGGTTACTAGGACGGAACAAAGCACTCTTGTCAAAATACACGGGAAGCGAGGATTCAGCTTTGTCAGTCTCGATTACATCAGCTCTTCGCACGCCTTGTTTGATCTACAGACCATACATGATGTGGTAACGTGTTTTATAAGCGAGTCGCCCACCCCACTAACTTTGATCACCTTCAAAGCTACGCAACGCAACAACGTAATAAGGTAGAACAAAGCGATTAATATAGTAGATTAAATAGTATCTACAGCATCCTTTTTGCACGTTCGTGAGTTGTGCCCAGTCTCCCTGCACCTCCTGCAGTGCGCAATAGCCTGGCGGTTAAGACCTGATCGCTCACCACCTTAACGCTGTTCACGCTCAATCTGCTGGTCAGCCTCCTTTTGAGCTAGTATATCCTCTCCCTCTCCCTTTGTTAAGGTCCCACGCTTCTGTATCCGCTTCTTTTTGCGCTGCCTACGCTTAGTTGCTGCCTCGTTGGCTCTCTTAAGGCAGGTAATCTGATCGCGCATAAGCTCGGCTGAGAGCATTATCACCTCAGCCCCCTTTTTAAGCTGGTTAATCGCCTTAATAATTGAGGCTGGTGATGAGCTCTTATGCTGCCGCACGCGATCACGTATTAACGTTGATTGAGCCTCAAGCTCACGTACGTTGCTTGGTGTACGAGCCTCCCAGGGAGGCTCTGCGAGAGCAGCTGGTGGAGTAGGCGTACGCAGCTGCACGTTGAGCTTTGATAGAACAGCGTCTGGCTGGAGAGGGGCTAGGCCTGCGCCTCGAAAAGCTGAGCAGATATTGGCTAAGGTGAACGATCGATCAAAGGCTGCCTTAAAGGCTGGCAGGAATTCGAGCTTGGTGATATGGTTGATATTGTAGCGCATCAGAGCCTCAATCTCACGGCTGTACGCGCGCTTCATAGGCGAGAAGCAGCCTACGTCAAGAGGCTGCAGTAGGTGAGATGAGTGAACTAGCATGCAGAGCGTGTAGATATTGCTCTCCTTGCAGAGCTCTTGAAACTCAAGAGACTGGTGGCTCTCGTGGCCGTCAAGGATAAGCAGGCGGCGTGCTCCAACTACCTTGCCCTCAGTATGCTTAATAAAGTGCTTTAGCCACTTAACTCCTATCTCGTTGGTTGTCTAGCCGTTGTCGCTAACTGCGATAGCCTAGTCGCGTGGGATATCCTCCTCGTACCAGGCTGACAGGTGATACTTGCTAGCAAAGATGAGGAACGGTGGGATTGTCCAGCCAGCAGCGTTGATTGCAGCAATTACCGTCACCTACTCGCGGTTGCCAGGCTGGATAGTCTTTGGCCTGCCTCTCCTCTCTGACCCTGTGATAACTAGCTAAGTCTGGATCTTGCCTATTATAAAGCTAGCCTCGTCAAAGTTGTAGACGTCCTTATTACAGATGCCGTACTTAGCCTTTGTCTCCTCTACTAGCTTAAACCAGCGGCTAATTAGCACAGGGTCCTCGCATAGAGCTCTTTGCCTATCGTACGATTGATTAAAACGCGTTATAAGACTGTCTGTACGCTTGACAAAGTTGCGCGGCTAGTGGACGCCAACGCGACCTGCGCCACGCGCAGCAAGCAGCTTATTAGCTATATCGCGCGCAGCTGTATACGTAGGCACAAATCCTCGCTGATCAAGGTCGAGTATATGTCTAATAATTACCTCCTCCTCTAGCTGGGTAAGCTTCTTTGAGTTGGGCTGGCAATCGCGTCGTGCAGGCCTGCCAGCGCGTCGGTCGCGTAGCGTCATTCGAGGGACGTTAAACGCGCGAGCAGCAGCTCTCTTAGTCTTGATCTGGTGGCTATTAAGAGATGATATAGTAAGCTGCATATCAGCTTCAGATGAGCGCAATAGAGCTTGTTGGCGTTGAGGCATAACTGATTTGATCTTCAAAGGTGATCAAAGTTGGTGGGGTGGACGACTCGCTTATAAAACACGTTAAAGAAACTGCCCAAGTATGAATGAGAAAGCAAATGCAACATTGCTGTGGCCTTGAACAGACAAAACCAAAGATTTGAAGATGATAGCCTGCTACTGAGAACTAGCGGGTTTGTACATCTTATTGACCATTCGTCCACCGCTAGTAACCTTCTTCAAATCCCCTCTTTCAGCCAGCGCTTGACCAACGCCCTCCACAATGGGGACAAGCCCTGCGCCTTCGCTTGTCAAAGGCGGAGGCTCGAAGCTGGCCTTAGAACGAAGGATCGCGCGGTGACAATACCGGGGTCGGGAAAGAATCGGATACTCTCTAACCACAGCTGCTTGGTCTGTAGCGGTGCTTGCATCAGGACTTGGAAAACATCCACCGTCTTTGCTCACCTCATCATCTGCCTCCCAACTATATTGAGCAGTACATCTGTCAGTCACATATCCTTGAGAGGTTCGTTGCGTACCACGCTAGATACAAAGATGCCATGGAAGATAACCCCTAAACCGAGCCCACCGCCAATCCCTTCGCGGAGTATATTCACTTTGCAGAAGGTCGTCATATTGTACTTCAATTGTAGCGCTGGGTTGCACCCGAAGACCTCGGTCAAGTGCAGGATGGTGCTCGCCATCTCTTCCAGTTCGTTCCACATCGAGTCAACTTCAGGAATTCGGTTGGAAAGTGTCAAGTTCTGGATCCACGAAAGTCTCAGCGACCCTAGTGCGCGAGTCAGACGGAGGAACACTGTCAACGCTTCCATCGGGTCTTTGTTATCTAGTAGCTTATAATGAGTATGCATTGCGAAGCCGGCAATCTCTACAGGGTTGAGTTTGATTTCGAGCAGTCGAGTCTCGCGATGGAGCTGGCGACAGGCATGCTGTAACCGGTTGATGTGTCTATCTTTGGATCCTCGGGTGAAGTCGATCGTATCCCGGAGTCCGGTTGAAAAGACGAGGACGTAGATCTGGTTGCGTATCTCTCTTGGTAGATTAAGCAGAGGCGATGATTGAGGTTTCGTATTTTTTGGCGTGATTTTCTCCTGAAGGACGCCATGGCTGTTCAAATTTGGTTGTCGTAATGGCTGTGATTGAGATTTGGTGTGATGCGGTGTGAGGGTTCTCTTCAATTCAGGAAGCGCAACCTGTTTTATAGGGTCAGGAATAGGTGCACAGAGGCACATACTTTCACTGTCGTTACACTCTGCTTATTCATATAGATTCGAATTCACTGTAATGTTCGTGCCTTGCCAGTCCACCTGTAACGCAGTGTAATATGCTCGAAGTACGTTTGGTCTCTCTCATGAGCATTTACAAACTGTGATGGGTTCAGTCTTGATGCTAGGCAGGACAACACGTTAACTTTATTGCGTACTTGGTAAGTCCTACAACCCTTGAAATGCTGTCGGAGCGCTAACATCAACATCTTCTCCTCTTCGCTCTTTGTGCGATTGGTGCACACTTAAGTTGGTCGGTACTACCCAGGAAATCTTTAACATTATCCACATTCACCAACACCAAACGGATGAACAACGAGATACGAATGGATCGCTGTAGACAATAGGCGCGACAGTCAATCAAAGTATAGGAATGCTGCATTCGAACAGCTAAAGATGTTCGTTTCTAGTAAAGAGGTTTGGTGTCTCGTAACCAGGAACGCCGCAGGGCTACGCCTTTCCAACTCATATAGAATGTAGTGTGTCGTGCTTGGAAGTACTTTCGCCTTCTCTCAAACGCATCTATGTAGATCACTTGTTTAGCATGACTGTTAGGGTTTCACCTATCAATGACCATGGAACCGAATAAATCAGTTACATGCAAACGAGTATGGCTTCATAAAGCCATGGTTTCGATTATCTCCGTTCGCGAATCAGTGTCACAATCCTGCATGCTTTTCTCCACCAGAGCGGCTAAGTTGGTTCTGTGGGGCCAATCTGCTGTGGGGCCGAAAACCCATCTCTTCACCACCCAGAGCCTCTTCAGTCTGGATGATACATTTGTTTTATTTAAGGTTTTTTTGAGAGTTTCTGCATCAGCGAATCAGCAATTGATCCAGCAGATCGGGCTTGTGGTTTAGTGGTATAATACTCCCTTAGCATCTGAGTTTCGCATCAAGTGAAGCCTCGTGAAGCATGGGAGTGGTCCAGGGTTCGATTCCCTGCAAGTCCATCTTTTTGCACTTCTTTTGCACTCCTAGGCTTATCTGAAGGTGGTGGGAAGAATTGGTGAAGTTTTGGGATTTTTAGACGCGCAAACACCAAGACTGTTAGCCCGTGCGGTCGATGTGGTTCGTTCCACTGGAGCTCAATTCTGGCTTTGCCTCGTCTGACCGCTCCACTATCTCGTTGCTGTTTTTTGGTCTCCACACCGCGTGGTGGGTGTATGTGGTGTTACGGGAATCGATCTGCTACACCACATGTTTGGTCAATATCGTGCGACGATCGATGCATCTCGTCGCGATCAGTACTGAACTCTGGAGATTCAATCCTAAATACAAGTGACCAACGTACGTTGCGTTGTACATACGTTTGGTCGGGTGGACAATGCATTTCACGTTTTTGCAGGATCAGGGGCGTTGGTTTGGCTGTAGTAAAGCTGTAGCACTCGTCTATTAGCTGTGAACCCCTAGTACATCTAACCCTTGAGGGTTTTCAGCAGATTTGGGTCGGTAAAGACAAAGTCATATACCGCTTTGTGCTACAAGGCACGAATTCGCAGAGACAGACTGCGCCAACCCGAGCTCTTTCACAATATTGTACTGTGAACAACCATTTCAAGCTTGGTCAGGAGATACCTTGTACATGACCATATGCTACAAGCAGCCTTCGTAGGAGATTATGCCCGAATACGTTACCCGAATATTTAAAATCTGAAACATGGGTCGTTACGTGTCGAGATGACAAAACATGTTAATCCAAGGTATGTAAAAGCGGTGATTATATTGAAGATGAAGACTACTTCAGGTATAGCGAACTGTACAAGCTACGAAGCTCAACTTCCCCCGTCCTTGCAACACGAACTAGGAATGAATGGAGTCCAACACTCTAAACGATGCGGCTCTGCTCAACATGCGGCTCCTTCTCATCGTTAGAGTTGGTAAGACGTTCCTTAGCAGCTTGCCTTGCGATGGCATCCATGTCCACGGGGGCAACAGCGGCTGGACCGTCGAAGATACGGGCGATCTCCTCGAGTGTAGGTCCCTTGGTCTCGGGGTAGACGAAGTAAACAAAGACAAGCTCAACAGTAATCCAGAGAGTGTAGAAAAGAGCCAAGTTCCAGTGCTTGGGAAGGTTGTCCCATGCAACCGGGTTGGTCTGACCACCGACAGCGAGAATAGCCTGGACAGTGATGTTCATAATCATGAGACCCTTAGCACGGAGAGCATAAGGCAGAATCTCGAGAGCGTAGGCGACAAGTAGACCAGACCAGGCAAAAGCGTAGAAGACACCGAAGATCCAGACGAATGGAATCTGAGCGTAACCGGCTGCGGAGTTGGTGTCGCCAGAGTTCTCGTAGATAGCGCAGGTGATGGTCCAGCAGATGAATGAGACGACCATACCAGTGGTAGCGCCGAGGAAAAGTGGGCGACGACCAACCTTGTCGATCAAGGTAGCTGCGTATACGGATACACAAAGAGCCAGGATACGCTCACCACCAGTAAGCTGACCGAGATGTTAGTATAAATCCTTATATGACGGTTCACATGTACTTACACCCATCTTCTGGTTTTCGCTAGTGATACCGGCACCTTCGTAGACCAAGTTGATGTAGTTGGAGAAGAGCGCATTGCCGGAGTATTGGGAGATGATACCGAGAGAGATGAGAATGGCCAACCTCCATCGGTTACCCTTCGTCTTGACAAAATCCACGTAGCTAGAGTTCTTGTTCGCATCGGCTTCCAATCGGATAACCTCCCTCATCTCAATGTATTCGAACTGAACCGTTGCATTATTTCGGTCACCACCAGCATGATAGTATGCGAGAGTGTCCAAGGCCTCCTCGTAGCGCTCCTTGGAGATCAACCAACGAGGACCTGAAGATCATGTTAGTGCGAATCCTCTAACTATACAGTGTGTGCATTTTGACTTACTCTCAGGAACCCACCAAAGGAAACACAGCTGGAGGAAAGAGGGAAGGGCCTGAAGAAGGGTAATAGACCTCCAAGACCAATCGTTGCTTGCTTGAGATGTGCCCCATGCGATCCATGCGACAAAGAGTGCTCCCAAGTTCCACAAGCAGTTGTATACGGCGGTGAAGATACCACGGTGCTGGGGATGGCAGATCTCGGTGAGAAGAATGGGGGAGCACATCTGGGCGAAAGAGTTACCGAAACCAAGGATGAAACGGCCACCCATGTAGACCTGCCAGTTTGTAGAGAAGGTTGAGACAAGAGCACCGGCAATCATGATGGTACAGCCGACGGCGATTGGAATCTTGCGCCCGGTCCACTGGGTCAGGAACGGGACGAGGAAGAAACTAACGATCGAACCGATGTTGTACATGTTGTTCATGAGACCCAGTCGGTTACCGGAGGGTTCGTCGAAGTAGGTTTGCCAGTAGTTCATCTGCTGCGAAGAGTTCATCATCATGCTAGATGATGGTCAGTAAATTCCGCTGTGTTGCAAGACTGACTACTCACCCGTCGTAACCAGTGGTTGCGGAGGCAATGCAAAGGACCGAAGAGTGCCAGAATAGCTTTCGCATGTTTGGATCCTTGTACCAAATGACCTTCTCAAACTCAGGCGCCTCCTCGCGAGCAACCTCGCTGTTGCCTTTCGGCGCTCCCATGGACATGCCAACCATCTTGGATAAAGAGCGATGTGCGACAAGATAGAGTAGAGTTTGATTGTAGTTCAAGAGCAGTAGACCTTGCTACTGATGGGCGAAGTCCCTTGAGGTTGCAACTGACCCTCGTCCAGCGTCCAGTACTTATATTCGATGCACAATCATTGCAGGCGACCCCACACCCCGGATGGGCTGCTCGCATGCTGGCTCCACCGCGGGTTGACGGACACGGGTACCACATTTTTCAGGGAGGCAGCCTGACAGCGATGGTGGAAAGAGCCAGTAAGATCATACCAAGAAAGCTCCACCGAGCGATCCGTTGGCACCAGGCCCGTAGCGCCGTGTGAATAGACCTCCAAGGTTAGAGAATACCCGTCTTGTCACATCCAGGCATTGCTCGCAAATACCGGTCTCTAACGTCTGATGCATATTGCAGTCTCCCTACGGGGAGCTCGGCTGCCTTCGAGAAGTCTGTGACTTGAACGCTAGAACGTGTGACCAGATTCCACAACACATCCGAATATGGATTGCATTCAATATTGATCCTTCATGGCGCCTCGGTCTTGTTTTTGACAGTTGGTAGACACTAGAGCCAAATGTTGCGCTGGAAAGAAACAGCATGCACAACGAGGACCAACCGCCCATGAAATCTATTAATTTTCGTGCCCCATTCTGATCCAGCTAATCAGGTGATGGATGCCTTCATCATAAGGCTCCGAGACCGTTTGATTAGAAACGGTTTTGGACATGCGCCAGATGTTCCTCGATCCTGTTGCTGCTCCGCTGTGCCCAGCATTGAGGCTTGATATGCCTCCGGGCTTGACCGTAAAACCCCTCGGAAACTCTGAACCTACCCTCTGTATAGGAGACTCGTCCCGCGGAAAATTTTGCTTAGCATCCGGTATGACTCTTGGAGTTCTTTACCTAAGGCTTGGAAGAACCAACCATGAGTCCGGTCGTGGTAGGTCAAGCTCATAATGCGATGCCATGAACTGCCAAGATGGTAGAATGGGCCTGCGCGCCGGAGCTGGAACTGTGAAACTAGCCTCAGCAAACCATTATACTGACGAAGTCGATGATTGAATCCTGCATTGGCAGATATCGAACAGGCTCAATCGGCTACTATTCACGCGTCCAGGTAGGGTGTGAGGTTGAGAGATGCCGTCCCCGAGCCAGAGTCGCGCGCGCGTACGCGAGGTAGCGGGAAGCTGACCATGGAGGCCACGCGCAGTCTTGGCATGCACCCACGGGAGCCACCCGAAGTAATCAATTGTTCAATGTTCTTGCTCGTACTGATGCGACACATATTTTGATTTCTTGGATCCATGTCTGTGTAAACGAGTTCCAGGCGCCGAGCTGTTGGTGTCGATGCGACATTGTTCATGCGCAAGCGAACAGGCTACCTAGGTACCGGTAGTGGGGCCCTACTTTCCGTCGCAGAATGCACCGTCCTTGGCGTCTGCTCGCGCAGTACATCCATGTCGTGGTCCATGGCGCTTACGAACAAAATACAGACCTCGAGAGATTTGTCTTGGCAAAGACAGGCCCAGGTCAACCAGGATTGTACTGCGCGTCTTATAGTTGGTTGCGTGTTTAGCCGGCAAGAGGAGATAGTGGTGGCGTTGAGTTGGAATATTGGTAGACGCCAAGGATGCCATTCATCACTGGGGTGGAGAGCGGAAAGGCGGCACGCGGACAGCTAAGATTTCCACATGAACATCATTCGAATGGAATGAGGCTGGTAGTATCGGACACCTTCCTGTCTGGTATCGTGTCAGACCTTGATCGCAATACCATTGCCTGCCATAGTCCACTGAGCTTGGCGCGGCACAATGCTGAGGTTTTGGAAGATCTTTGCTGGGCGCTGAAACCTAGGGAGAGCACTTTTATATCATAGACCTCATGAAGTCGGTAAAGACGTTGGCTAGGTACTGGAACAAATGCCCGTTAACAGGCGCATAGCTTCAACACCAGCGGCATATGTTGCGGAAATCGAGTCTGGACCAAAAGTTTGGGAGACTTCGCCCTGGAGAGCATCCTCGTTTGCTTATGGTGATGGTTCTGGCTGATCCATCTTGGATGGAGCAAACTGAAGAGGTTTTGTTGCTCATATAGGCCTTCTCTCATCATCTTGAGGACCCGACACGGATTGAATAGTCACGGCGCCTGACGATTTTCCGAGTGCGGAAACTCCTAAACTCCGGCGGCGATACAATCGGAAGATTCAATCGTGCCATCGGTGGACCTATATATCAACTTCAAAGCCTGCGGCCGACTACAACTGCTGGACCTAACTGAACTCCCGCTTTTCTCGGCTGTCTATATGTCCGAGAAAGATACACGAGTGCATTCAGCGCTTGCAGCAAGCTCGTGGAGAAGAGGAGCGCTCCAGGGCCTCGAATTGGAGACGATGAGGTCGATTCCATATTACAACAGCTGGAGTATACGCTTAGGGCGTGGTTATTGAAAAAGGTTACAATTGCCATTACGTCGGTTCTAAGAGTTCACACATCATATTTTGCGACACTAATGGTATTGTCGCCGAAATACCCTAGACCGTTCGTCCTCATCTACAAATGAGCATTTCGCCAATGCTCAGTGATCTTTTCACTATACCCAAGGGTTGGGCCGAGGTAAACTCGCCTCTCGGGTATAGACGACTTTAACGACCTGTTTCGACTGCGTGGCTGCGAATCTCCTCTCGATCATCTGACCCAGTTCTTCTGTGGCCTCCTCAGCTTCTTCAGCGATCCAGCATCCAGAATGCTTGATGACCATGGTATTGAGCATACCGCAGCCGAGTAGCCGCTCGAGCTTGTACCTGGACAAGAGGCGTGTGATCGAACGTGACCGGGCCTCGCATTGCCATCCGTCCTCATCTCTCATTAGACAGTAAGTGAGTTCTTCATCCTGGAAAGCGAGAGTAATGGTACATGGGCCAGTACATTCGACTGCAAGTTCGACGTCAGTGTTCTCGATGGTACCGCCCTTGTATCGAGCGAAGAAGTCAAAGTCTAGCTGACGGGTACTCTCGAAACGACCAGCTACCGCCTCAAGGAAAGTGCGCAGGAACAGGGTATCATTTTACAAAGAGACGAGAAACTTTGAGACGTTGATAAAGCTCACGACTGTCCCATCGAACGTCGTCCCTGACGTGCCGCACAAATTGGGCAAGAACTTGGGTTTCATCAGGTCATTCCCGCGCGCGATGGTGTTTCGCACTATAACTTGGCTGCTGATGAACGGATGTGTGAGGGTCCAGATGGCGAGGCGCAGTTCCTTCGGAAGATCGAGGAAGCGCGAGAAGTTGGGTTGCGACAAAACGCTCTCGGCGGATTCGACGTCAAAGTGCAAAGCTGTTTCGTTTTGCTTTAACTGGACTGAGAGCCTTCAGCATGGAAAAGTGTTCGACTGGTCATAGATCGCTTATCTTCGTCGAACGTGCGAATCAAGCCAGGTTGAACGATGTTTGACCATGATCGATTGGGCTCAGCAGAGAGAGCAACGAAAAGTTCAGAAGATACTACTGCGACAGGGAGGGCAGGGAAATCGCCAGTCATGCACACGAATGGAGCCGAAAGTTGTATTTCGCGAACTGACAAACACTCTTCATGGTCACTGATGGTAACTACCGACATCTTTGATGAACATTTGTGTCATGTGTCAGCGCGCTGAATTTGGCAACTTGAGGTTGAACAACTTACGGTGGTGTGGTTTCGTCAGTGTCAGATTAGTGTATTTGGCCTCTTTCGCAGTATTGAATAGAGGGTTTAGAGGAGTTGGCAACGTGGTCGGTAAAAAATGAAAATAAACGTATGCGTATTCATATGCGTGCAGGTGGATGGTCCGGCAGTAAAAGGCCATAGAATTTTATCTTCAGATTGCTGCTGCGTCACCGTAGCGAATGCATTGAAGTAAATGCTGCAAGAGAGTTTTGCAGGTTTCTTTTGGTTTGGAGCAGACTGCCCTATGGGGTGGTACCAAACATCTCACGATACTTGAAGGGAAGGTCTAGACGGACAGCATGTTATAAGAGCAGGCACTGACGAGGTATCACCTTCCACGTCAAGGCCTCAGAGAGAGCTAGTAATAGCATATAGAAGCTGTCCACACACAGATTTTTGAAGTTCTATGGGCTGTTCGGGTGCTTGCTCATAAAGCAAGTCTTTGTCCTGCAAACTTGCTGTTCTCGGTGTTGACACTGCTATTCACAACGCATACTTTCTAATACGAGGGTTAATCACGTACACTTTCTTTCTAGAGTTGGCAGCGGTAAACTCGTGCGCACACACATGAAGATGATCTAGAACTTCCGCACATGCTCCTGCACCACTTTCCCGTCTTCAATAACACAGTAGTCTACACCAGCAGTGACCCGCAAACTGTTTGGGTCAAACAAGTACTCTTCATCTTTTTTAACGACCTCCAAGTAGAAAGGATCTTCGTAGGCCTTCTCGAAGTCCTCATACTTCCGTACCCAAAAGTCCGCCGTTCCGTCGTATGAGAGTGTAGGCATCTTCAAAAGCGCTTTGTGTTTTGATGTGGTGTGGTACTTCGAGGAGTCAGCGTTGCTAAGTAGAGAATCCGCATTACCTCATGCCAGCAAGACCTTGATTAAGAAAGGTAGAGCTGACTTGAACGTATTTAACGATGCCGTGACGCTGCAGCCATGATGTGATGAGAGGGCGATGTTTGTTCGCCCAGTGGTCGTCAAATTCATCTTTGGTAAGCTTGGAATTGCGATTCGCGAAAACGGTCACGCGAATTAGTCCTGCTGTCGACATGATTGCTATTGCTTGCAGTTGTTACGAATGTGGCTGGCGTGGCTAGAGCGAGGATGCCGGGGTCGATGACGCATTACATAGGTGCTGCAGAAACCCTGATTGGCATCTTGTCCGCCCGCAAATACGACTCAATGTGCCCATCCAGGACTAATCATTGACTCAACGGCCATTCGTCTACCTGTCTCTGTATACCACGTCGCCAATTTTGCTTTTGTACCGCACGCGCAGCTCTGACGATTGGGAGATAAGGGTAGTGCTCCACCCCTCCACAGATGATGGAGACCCTACGATCAATCACCGTTCGCGAACGATCTTGGCTTTGAGACAACACACAAACAGAAGGACCTTCCATCAAGCTAAAGGTAGCGCCCGTGACACGGCTTCTGTGACCCGAAGCCCCTCATCTAGAGGAACGGTGTTGTTCGGTCGAGCCTCCGGAAGCTGTTACCCGGCTTCAGCATACATGAGTAGTAACGTTAGACTAACTACGCACATCAGCTCTTAGTAAATCTTGATAAACTGTTTCCACCCACCGAATCGCATTACTATCGAGAAGCGCGGATCTAAGATGTCGTCCATTGACCAGCCGCTGAACGGCAAGATACTCCTCATCACAGGTGGGGCATCAGGTATGTACATCAGCACGGATTTCTGGAAAGTGTACAGCTAATCCAGCCAGGAATCGGCCTCTGCGTATCGAAGCAAGCGCATGATCTCGGTGCACGCATCCTCGTGGCAGACCTTAAAACAACATCCGACTTCGACACCTTTGCCTCCGGAAAGTCGAATATTCTTTATGTGCAATCTGACGTGACGCGATGGACAGACTTCAATAAGCTCTTTGACGTGTGCGAAAAACAATGGAATGATGTTCCTGATGCATATGCCATCTGCGCGGGACTATTTGACCCACCATTCTCCAACTTCTGGCAAGACCCCGAGGACGAAGGGTACAAGCAGGTCGAGGTCAATGTAAATCACCCAATCAAGTTGACGAGGCTGGCTATTAGAAAGAGTTTGGGCAAGGGTAAGAGGGCTAGTGTTTGCATAATCGTAAGTCATGCCAGCATGTTGGGCTTGGCTCAAAGAAGCGGCACATGATAAGTGGTTGTTGCACGTCTAACACAGAATTAGGCTTCGGTAGCGGGCATAGCAGGCAACATGGCAGCACCACTCTATTGCGCAACCAAGCATGCTGTCGTGGGATTCGTCAAATCTATGGGAGCGACCGAGTCACTCACTGGCGTCAAGATTACGACTCTCTGTCCTGGCGCCGTCCACACGCCGCTTTTTGATGATGCGAAGCTGAAGCAATACTCCGTGACTACGGATAAAGCATTAACGCCAGATGCATGTGCGACCAGCTTACTAGATCTACTTCAGAAGAAGGGGTATCCGTGTGGAAGTGTACTGGAAATCACTCTGGTTGGGACGCGACTCATACCAGAGTGGGGTGTGGAGCCGCCAGTGGGCATGGGTGCAGGACAGGACTTGGACGAGAACTTCATGACGAACATGCTCCAACCTATAAGGGACACTTTGGATGCAGAGAGAGCAAAAGGTTGAGAACACGTATTGCAAAAATTTCGGTTGTATTACGTATGAAGAGACACGCGAAATGTAAACCGTGGGAACAACTCAACCGAGCTCTCGCTACCAGATCGGATTGAATTCACACGCAAAAACAGAATACAGCCAGAACGCTGGAGCCCCATTTATTCCTGGATATTGCTGCTTGTCGTGATGATGTGTGTAAGGCGAGTATTGCTGCAAGACGCTGTTCTTGGTGCACCCAGCGCACTCTCCTTCTCACACAAAGCAGTCCCTTTAACAACCCCACATCCACGGCTTGCAGTCTCCCAAATCCCTACCTTCGAGTTCGATTTTCTCCTTCAGCTCGTCTTTGATCTTCTTGTTAATCTCCTTGAGATCGTCGATGAGACCAGCACACCCAACGCCCTCTCCACACTCTCCTCCGAGGTATTGCCTCTCTGTCTTAGTCACTGGAGACAGGGTACCGTGGGTGTGCTTCCATTTTTCGGGGATGGGGCCCGTGACGATTTCTTCTTGGGTATTGACAAGTCCTCGCGGGACATTGTAGGCATTGGTGGTGATGCTAGGGAGGGGACCGAGACCGCTTGGGATATAGGGGCTGGCGACGGGGAATATGGGGAGGCTAATGCCAGGGGGAATGAAGAGGGAGAGGATGAAGACCGTCGTGTACATCTTGATGTATGTGGTAGAGAGGTTGTTGATTAGTTTGGTCTTGGTTTAACTCTTGGTCTTGGAGCGTAGTCTTTGTTCTTGAGAATATCCTCGCTTGGGATGTATGATCTTTAGAGGATGGTAAGAAAATGAAGAGGGTAAGAGGACGATGATTCTTATACGGTGATGTGAAGGTGCATGGATTTTATGGGGATTCGGTACCGTGGTTTGGATGTGGATGAGATCCATGATGATTTCACGATACATCGTAGCGCTGATTGGAGTCACACGAGACAAACCATTAAAGCTTCACGGTAGCGGGGTATACTCCGGCTGATAGTCAGAATGTATCCCTGCTCTAGTACTATCGTAAAGGCCTCTAGAATTTTCAAAGAGTTATGTAGTCCCCTGGCATCTACAACTTTGCGACATCCCCAAACTTTTGCTTGAAGTATCCTTCGAACGGTGTGACCGACATGCCTTCGAATAGATTATTGTGGATCTGGCTCTTCGGCCTCACGAACTCGCCTTTACCTTGCGTTCCCTTCACCAGGTACCAAAAATCCACTGGAAACGCACTTTCGGTGTGTTCCTTCGGCGCCTTGCTTGGATCATCCCAAATTTTGTGCATTGCATCTTCATCCTGCACTTCTAGGTCCACCTTCTTCCCAGTGTACTTGCGCAGCAATTCGGCAATCCTAGCATGCGATATCGTATCGCTAACGACGTTGAGGTATTGGTTCTCGCTCTTTGCAGGCTCGAGCAGGGTAGCCACTAGGTAATTTGCGAAGTCATCGAGATGCGTATAATCTGCTTCCGCGTTTGGGTCACCAATGACATGGATGGTGTACTTGTTTATAGAGTCAGGGGACTGGGTCCATGGACACCATACCTTCTCGCGGTCTTGGTTGTAGAAGTCACCGCAGCCAATCATGGTGAAGCTCATTTTGCCGGAACGAATGGCTGGGTGGATAACGGCGCGTTCGTTGACCCTGATATCGCATTAGCTGGTATGAACCAGAATTTTGGAATGGAAGATATACGCACTGAGCTTTCAAGTTCCAGGCTGGATGGATGTATCCCATGGGGTCGTTGGGTTTACGATAAATCTGGTGGAACCCAAACTCAGAAGGGTAGAAGCGCTTTACGCCCGCATCCGCTGCAGCATCTTGAATCGTGGCTTGAGCTTCCAAAGCAGGGCCGTTCAAGGCGCTCACAACAGCATCTACACCTTCAAGGTCTTTTGCAAGATCCGACCGGTTCGCATCTTTCGCGTCGAAGGTCTTGATGACTACACCGTTTCGTTTTGCAAGGTGTGTATCGGGCGGAATAAAAGCGAGAATCTTGAACGTATGACCTGGTCTCTTGGAAGATTTTAGAGCATAAACAATGCGCTCACCAATCTGTTGCTGTCAGTCGACATATCCTAATGCGATGGATCTGGTACGCATACCTGTCCGTTTGCGCCGAAGAGGGCGACGGTTTTGAAAGGCGCACCAAGACCGTAGTTAGCTGCGTGACTGCTCATTATGTGTGTGTTCGGTATTTCCTTCACCCTGCAATGCTATTAATGGTTTTCATTATTTCAATGCTTGAGGCGGCTTGTTCGACGATGCCGTCAGGCATGACGCAATCGTGACTCGCATCATGATGATGACTTTGCAGGGGTATTGCAAAACCCGCGGACGCTGAAGTTTCATTCTTGCACTACATTTGCTTTGAAGACTGACAGGCTTTTGTTGATAGCCGTGCGAGGAAGCCCGACCTGACGTTTGTCGACCATAGCCACTAGCATCCTCCTTAGTACCTCTACACCAAACGCTTCGCGCATCCTCATCGTACATCAAAGGAACACTGTGCGCGAACAAGGTGGTCTTTTTTTCAGAAAGCATTCTAGCGCTAATAAGCGCGATAAAGGTATTTGATATGTTTTACACTAATGGTACGTGATTTCACTAGCCATCCGCGAACACAATCCCGCCGACTCGGCTGTTGAACTCTCTCTTCCACAGCGGCATCATGGATCTCGGCAAGGGATTCTCGCCGTCGAATCCAAACACCTCCAATATGACATCATGGCCCTCGGCGACGTGGCTTGCACTTGATGACCCGTATTGTCGAATGATAGCCGTTCGCAAGTTGAGTAGCTTGTCCTTGCGTCGCACCACGATATTCTTGAACAGAGCCTTCAAGGATTCTTCAGATGGTTGTGGGAAGTTCGTGTTGACATGCAACTCCTCCATGCTATCCGGAAGCATATCGCCCATGCACGGAATGTCGACATGTCTCCACGCCCTTGAACCCTGCGGAACATGCGCATCACGGCCCTGTCGCTGTCCGCTCTCTAAAGGTGGTCCACAGAAGCATTCAACATCGACTTCCAGCTTCCGGAGCTTCGTAAAACGCAGAAATGAGGAAAGACCGTTCACAATCTCGCCATGTAGCTCATCAATGGTGATGGCGAGTTCGACAATGGTATCGCTATTATAGTTCGCCAGCGCTTCTAGCATTTCGCCAGCATTCCAGTCGTGTTCGAGACCGTCCCATTTTGTCTGGTGGGAGTATTTGAAGACCTCGAGAGCTGGGGTGTTTTCTAGAAAAGCCGAAAGACCGGTAGCATCCATACAACAATACGCGAACTCAACGCGAGTCAGCGGTGACTTAGTATTTGGGTTCATCCAAGTGAAAGGCACGCCTCCCCAATCCTCGTCGACGGCCACGCAACTAACAGCGTAAATGTTCCTGATGCTCTTCAGTGCCATGAACGGCGCGATACATTGCAAGCCAACTCTGATATCGTAACCTTCCTCCACGAACGGCAAGAGTGTTTCTAGTCGAGCCAAGGGCTTTTGTCGGTGCCCATTCTTATTGGACATGGCGACGAGTGACTGCACATTAGGAACCAAAGCTTCAGCGCCCTCGCCTTCGCGGACCTCATGCCACCTATCAGGCAGTTGCAGCGTCTTGAGATTGGGCAGAAGACTCAACAAAGCGACAGTCGCATATAGTTTGTCCATGTTCAATTGGTCACCTGCGCGGTCTTCTTCCAGGATGTGGCTCCACCAATCCTCCTCGTCGGCATCGGCGTAATACTCGGCATGTCCCAGCAGGTCTTTGATATTTTGCATGGCTTGCTCATCTTCGCGGAAACTGGGCGCATCGGTATCGTCCTGTATCTCATCATCTTCGCGGCGATCCCAGAGGGAAAGAGTTTCAATATACTCAGCAATGGTGGGGTCGCGGGAGATATCGTGTAAGATGGACAGTGTGTCGCCGCGACGAGTCCGCCTCATGTTAGTCGTGTGTCTCCAGGCCCTCCGCAGGTCATTGTGCTGTCGAATTTGCGACGCGGCCCGCCCGTACACAGTCTTGCATGATAGTACGAAGCTTTCAAGACCATCAGGTGCGGTGCGGTCAATTATCAGGTCCAGAATTTCTGGTGGAAGATCGAGGAGGCCCATGGTTGGTTGCTTCCTGGCGGCAACGCCGACGTCGAAGCTGATGAAAGATAAGAGAGGCAGACGGAATTTCTGATAGACGACTAGAAAAGCGGCACACGTGTGGCTTTAGATACGGATTGTGTAGTTAAGGTATGCTACGTGGGTCAGGTACTCGCTGAATGAAGTTACTGGTGGCGGCACTCAAACATCTACTCAATCCAGAATCGCTAGAGCCCAGGGTCCAGGTGGTGTTGGGAATCGGCGAAGAAGGTCCGAAGCAGGTAAGGAAGCGAGAAAACAACAGTCATTCATTGGTCTCGGTGAAAAAGTCCTTGCTCACTGCCCGGATCCTATGGTGGGGTAAGCTAGATACGTTTTGGGGCTAGTATGTGCGAAAAAAAAGACGAATCCTTCTCCGAGCACATGGACCCTTGAATGGTACCAAAATGCATCTTACATTTGACATCACGCTGCGCTGATATGAGCGTAACCATGGCACGATTAGTGTTTGCAGCGTTCCCAATTGACGCCGTGTTGTGTATCCCAAAGAGTCCTGACAATCTTTTCCAGGTTGTCTGTAGAATATTTCTGAAGGTCCCAAGGAGAACGACGCCGAAAGCCAACCTCATGGAAAATCATTTGCGGAGACCTTGGAATGTTTTCCATGGACATGGTCGTAAATGTCACTTTGGTGAGGCGCGGAATCTGTACCCGTCCCACCGTGCTGCAAGGGTCCTTATCAATACTCAACTCGCTCATGTCTTACGCAAGACAGCCCTCCCTAGTCGAAGCAAACCTATCAATACTGCAGCTGAGTCGGTGAAGCAGAGTCCTACAGACAGATAGCTCCGGTAGCTTTGCTATCTTCAGCGAAGCTAACCTCTAACTCAGACTAGTGATCTGGCATATATTGAAAACGTTAGGGCAGGAAGATTTGGGTATTCATGATATAAAACACTATATCTCCTAGAGCTCTAAAGGCATAGACGGGATGGCTGGCCAATTTCCAATAGTTCAGTTAGACGGCTGTATGCTTCAAGTAGACATGTCAGCCCTATCTCCTCAAGATCTTGCTCTTCATAGTCAGCAATGGTAACGCAAGCCTAGGAGACCAGGACCACATGCTCCTAATGGGCCTTTGGAAATATAAGACCTCCTGATCAGGTGTATGTCCATGCGTTTATTCACCAGATAGATCAGAATTTCGACTCTGCAAAACCCACATGCATGAGCATTGCCATGGGCTGTCCTACGAAGATCTACTTATTGATTCGGACAGTTGAAAGAAGATTCCAGAGTGGGTGAAATTGGATGAAGCCCTATATCAGTCAAGGAGCGGGTGTTCTTCAATGTAATATCAGGCAAGTGATGGGCATTGGAGCATTGAGTGCATATCAATTGCATGCTACAGACGTCATTCTCGCTGCACAGTAATTGCGAATAGAGGTCGACATCTAGAGATCACTGAGCCAATGACGCTCCCCCCTTCTCCTTAAGGGGTGACTTACATACACGTGTTCTTAGTGAATGCAGACATTATGTACACTGTACGGAACAATGTTGATGCAGCAGTAGTGCTGTCGGAACCGGATGAACACTCCGGCCCAATCATGGCGCTTAAAATAGATGGATGTAAACAGGTCACGTGATCTGACGTGTCAGCAACAAGATTTTGCACAAGGCTCGTGGTACGTAGGTACGTTGTCTCGAACTTCCAACAACTACAGTATCGAATGTAAGCGACCGCTGCGGGTTCATTAGTCAGTCAACATCTGAGCAGTTTTATCTACTGATATCTTCGAGAACCTGATGAGATATTCTAATCATTCATAGGTAGCAAGGGCTGCACGGCCCAAAGCGCCAGCCGCGCCCGAGCTCTTTTCCTGTCGAAACTGAGACAAGGTGGAGATGGCAAGGTTGCTCTAATATCGCCGCTTCAATGCAGTCTCATCAACACAGTCTAGCTACTGGGTCTCTGAGTTGCGAAACAAGATTACATTGCGCAATCGTCAGGCCATTATGTACCACGAAAACTCCTCAGTAGCACCCGAAGAGACCCTGTAATACAATTGCATATTACGGAGCCCAGTGACATCGCCGAATTTTGGTCCCACTGCACAGTAAGTCCAAGTAATCATCCAGCTGAGCATCATAGCTCTTCAGATGTTTCTATCCAAGATACCGTTTTTTTTTAAACCCCTCTTTCCGCTTCGTTGAGTTCCAATAGCTCGTACTGCATAGTGTTTCATTGTTGGACATCTCCCTTTTACATTTTTCCAAATATGGAAAGGCTTGAGGCTTCAGTTGGGCAGTGTAGCGTTGGGTAATAAGACCGAGCCTTCTAACCCTGCAGATAAGTAGCGACGTGGCCTCGCCCCGCCACTGCTAAAAGCGCCACTGTTCGGCCGTAGTCTGCAGCATCGTGATTACGGTCGCTCAGTCCGAGCTGCTCGAAACCTTCCAACGCCTGCGGATCTATATAGCGAATCAACACCGTAGCAGGCTTCGGCGAAGATTTATCTCCCCAAGGATCTTGTTCGGCTCCACATGAAGGGTCCGTGATAAGCGTGGACATTGCAACGACCAACGACATCTGGGTGACTCGGCCGGCGGTGACGCTGAAAATTTTTCTCGATCTGGTCGCCAACCGATGAAGGTGTATAGTAAAAAATGAGTCTGTGACTTCCGTTGGAGACGGCGATGCCGCCCGAGACTCATCAAGCAATGTTGCGTCAAGGTAGGAACGAAGAAATGATGACCGCGCGATCGTATGGGGGTCGATATTGGGCATGGTTACCTCTTCAATACCGTCTGCACGCAAATAGTGCTCACGCGACAAGCGCCGTGGTCGACTACCGGACTTGCGGAGTACCCAAGGCTCACTATTATCCGTCGCGCAGTAGGTACCGGAGGAAGACATGTTCTGGCTTTCCCCTATGCCCAAAGCACGAACTACCAGGTCTTGCACCCTACGGAGAACGTAGGGTGCACTCTGGTACCTAAATGGCTCTACCGACGGAAAAGTGAGCATTTCTTTGAGTCCTTGACATGTATCGGCAACATCGTCAGCCAAATGATCTTCCCAAACCCCTTGACTACGCGGATGGTAGTCTCCGTACGCCAAAGCGTCGTATTTAGGAATTTCATCGCCATGAACGATGAAGAGCAGCTCTCGAACATCATCATAGCGCCGCATCGCAGAAGGTTCTGCCGATGGCGTACGAAACGGTTCCGGGGAGTGTGTTTCGCGCTTTCGGAGGACTGATTAATGCCGCTTGGAGTATACTCAACTTCGTCGCTGAAATCATCGTCATGCAAACCCCCTTTCTCGTGAAGCGTAGGTTTCGGTGCACGTCGATGGATGTTGTACTGGAACTTTGTCTTTCCCGTTCGCTTCTTTTCGATAAGTTCGCGCAATTCGTCGAGTGCCTTTTGTGGCTGACCACGTCTGTTCATACAGTACTTTTAAATATCAGCGGGAGTGAACAAGTCGAATGGTACCATGCGACCAAAGCGCCGGCCAACGCAACTGAGCTCATTCTGCGAAACTTTGACTTCTTTGTCGCTACCAAAGATGCGTATAAACGTAATGGCAGCGGTGATCTCATCATCAAAGCCGAGATAGACTTGTGTGTCCACACGACCCGGGCCATACAAAGCCTCATCTAACGAGTCGGGGACATTTGCTGTTAAGACAATAACTTGGCCTTCCCACGATCTAGGTCCATCTAACGTGTTGAGGAGGCTACTTAGAGTAACTTTCGTCCTTGAGGGCTGAGGCACCGGGTTTATCTTCTTAGGGATCTCCTTCCTGGATTTTGGCTTCTTGGGGTTCGTATTTCAATAGTCAGGGGACTCCAACTCTGAACCGCTCCCATCTCCTCCGTCACTATCATTGTTCTTGGCCACTAGCGAAGGGCCCGTTGTGCGTTCGCGGACGATACCGCAGCATCGATATCTTCGAAAAGAATTACGCGGCAAGTTGGCAAGCTTTTGACTCTACTCTGCAGTATTGTGTCGTCCATTCCGGCTAGATCGGTGACGCAAAGCGGTAGATTGTACTGGCTCGCAATCGCTGTAGACAAGCTTGTTTTACCAGTACCGGCTGGTCCGTAGAATATGTAGCCTCTTCGATATGGCATTCCGTTTTGGTAACAATAAAAGTCCTCCGTTCCTTCAGCAAAGAAGACCTGAAGATCCGGCAAAAGCTCTTGTTTCTTACGCGGATTCATGTCGATTGTCTCCAGTTTGCACTGCCTGGAAATTTCATACACAGTGTGTCTAGCAGAGACGCGTTGAATCTTTACTGACGTCATCTGGGCATCAGCAGTATCTCGAACATCTTTTAGCAGAGGCTTCGATAGGCTTTTTACGACGCCACATGCAGCGTAACGTGAGTGTATATTATCTTGTCGGGTTATATGAACATGTTCATACGACTCGATAAACTCATTCCCGGGCTTTTGATTGTGGGATGGTACCAGGCGACAGCTTTGCAGATGACTTGAGTTTTAAACGCGCATTCAACAGAACGCGCGTATGCCAACGTCGGAACCGTGAAGGCGACCATAAATGCAGCATTGCTATAGTCTCGTACACAGCAAACAGGCTCGCGATGTGTTTCTGAGATATTTGTCAATTGCGCAATGTAGATGAAAGTATTGGGGTAGTGGAAAGATGGTCTCCGGGGCTGACAAGACAAGGGGGCGGAGAACGATGAACGCGCTAGCACACTAGCGCGACTCATCAGCTATCCCACCTGGCAGAGGACACAAACATTTCAACAGTGCCAAGATCGCCAATCAACTGCAACTTGCGATGAAGTTGTTGTTTCGAGTTGCGCATACCCTGCTGGTACTTCTTCTCTCTTTTTTACTGATCTACAGCGTCTACTACGCATTCGTTCTATTGCGCGAAGATCAGCAGCAGCTCTCGGAGCTTTCGCAGCCCTCGACTAGCGACGAAGGAGGCGCCGAGGAAGAAACACCACGGAAGCCGTCTCCACAAGAGATAGTATGTTCATCCTGATGCCGATAGTACAAGCACTCCGAAACTGACAAACTGTAGGCTGCATCGATGAACACAATGTGGGACTACCTGGATGACTGGGATGAAGACCACTGCGTGAACGTCTGCGAGGCGTCGTGGATCGCCTGCCAATTGAGGAATTGCGGGCATCTACCAGATGTCAGAAAGCAAGAGCTGTGAGAATTCATATCATATCGCAAACGTACTCCAACAACAGTCGTGTGGGGTTGCGCGGAGTCGGGAGACGAATGTCTAATGCCGCGATGCCCCACACTCTTCATCAATATGGCTAAGAGAAAGACTTCATGTTCTCAAATTACCAGCAGCATTTGAGTTGGTACTATTCGTGCAAAGTTTCCAGGAACGCGGGCATCTCTTTTGCGAAACCGGGTGCATAAGTCAAGAAGATCTTGGACCTCAGTAGGCTTAAAGGAGCCATAGAACCCTCACCACGGTCTATCTTGACCCACAGTCGATAGCACGATCATCCCAATCGCCATGGCCTATCTCATAGGCGCTCTCGCCGCCATGGCTACCTCTGCGATGGCCTTTGATTGCACACGCGAAAACCTGCAGAGCACAGCAGATTCCTACGTCGACCTAATGGCAACGGGCCAGCATGACCGCTTCGAAAATCTCGCATACTCAATGAAGTACTTTGAAAATAATAAAACAGCCTCAATCCTCAGCGGTATACCAGCACTTGGCCTAACCATCGACGCTCACCGCTCAATCCTCGATACCACGCAATGCAAGACGATGACCGAGCTCATCATCACTGACCCAACACATCCATATGTCATCCACACCCAAATGACTCTAGACACTGAAGGCAACGTCAACCTCATCGACAGCATCGTAACAGACAAAGGCGACTGGGCCTTCAATGCAACCGGCTACAAATACTGGAACGACCAAGAATCCTGGCCCCGCCTCCCTTCAAACGTGCGCGACACCCGCGAAGTCGTCAAAGCAGCTGGCGATGCATACGCAGACCGCTGTAATGATGTTACAGTTCACGTTCCCTTTGGTGTACCTTGCGCCCGTCTCGAAGGCGGCGCGTATACAGGTCGCGGAAACCTTTCGGCGAACACGTGCGATATTGGAGGCCTTCCAGAACATATCCCGATGACGAATCGGAAGTATGCTATTGATGAGGTGATGGGTGTTGTGGACATTTTTATGGGGTTTACGGGGTTGGATCGTACAAGGAATACGGAGGGAGCGCCAGATAGTCATATGTTTCGCGTTGAAGGTGGAAAGATTCGATATATTCATACGGCGAGTGCGTGTTTTGTTGATGGGTGTGGAATGAATGGTACTGGTATGTTTGGATTTGTGAACTGTGATTGAACGATGAACTGACATGTTGATAGGCATCCCACCGGGTATCGGGCGTCGGAAATTGCGTCACCGGGCGGTCAAGCTAGAGTAATACTAATCTGGCGCTGTGGCCGATCGCGAGGAGGTGCTTGTTGATCATCTAAGATGGTGGCATTTGATAAGAGGCGGGCTCGGCCTCTAGAATTACTTACAAAACAGCAAGTAATGCCGCGTGTACAAAGTGTGCTTGACTCTTGCTGCCCTCCAATTTACCCCTTCTCTCCACGACCATACGGTTTCATGTAATCATCCCAGTTGACCCTCTCACGCACCTCAGGGTGATCTTCCAACCAATCCTCCACATCACCTTCATCAACTACCAGTCCCGGATGCTCTTTCATAGCATTTACAAGCACATCCCTAATCCCCACATCGTCATCCGGTGTAGACGTAAACGCTTCTTCCAGTGCATCAGCCAAGTCCAGACCCTTGTACTGCCAGTACACATGCAAGACATCTACCACTCCTTGACGTGCATATGTCTTCAGATCGGCCATACCGAGGTAGTCCGCGACCGTGTAAACGTGTACGTGCATAAGGAGGTGAGAAGCGGACAGCGACTTGCCAGCACAAGGACATTTGCGCTTAAAGATCAGCGGGCTTTTATCTGGGCCGTGAAGGAGAGCGAAGGTGGTGTGGTTACAGTAGTCTGTAGAAGGAATTGATACGCCATCGGGGAATTGGTAGGTTGATGTGTACATGAAGTCTAGAATGTGCTTCATGGTGATGGCGTGGACGTCGGGGACTTGTACTTCCTTGTCGTTCGTCTCCTGTAGTGGATTAGCATGGCTCAACTGGCGATAAGGTTGGTGACACGCACGCTGCCGTTGAAACGGAACATGCGCGCGAAGTAGGGTGAGGAGGTTTCTAGGACGTTCCTGTGCGTTGCGAATCGCTGGCCCTCGCAGATAACGGTGAAATCTGCTGTTTCGTCATTCAGTGCGAGTTTGGTCTCTTTGATCTTCGGCTTGGAAGGCGTCGGCGGAACAGGGTCTGTGTCGAGGGTCTGAGTTGCTTTAACATGTGGCGTAGTAGGTATGATGGCCTTGGAATCCACACGTGATTGAGTTGTGAGATCCATGGTTAGCGCGAGTTGGGATAGAAGCACTTGTTGAACAACACCGATGTTGAGACCGTAAAGTGTGTGGTCGTAAAGGTCACGAGGGCGACATAACTATGAGGAGGATTTTTTTTTGGCCGTAATGAGTGTTTGTTTGTTCTGTTCACTGTCGCCTAAAGCAGAAGAGGAGTCGCTCGCGCAATCTATCCAGTCCCAGCTTCACGCCTTGATGGCGGTCTTGATTCCTGGGCGAGCACCGTGACGCCTGTGCGAAGTAGGCAGCAATCACATGTGATGCTTTAAATTGGAATCGATGGTGGTGAACTTGAAGATGAAAAGCCTAGGCAAACACGTGGTGATGAAAAGATCGTCCCCGCTCCGGTCAGCTTTGCAGGGATGTAGAGCGCGTTGATGTCCGCATCCGCGTTGATCGCGCGCATGCACGTGTCGTCAGTACTGCCCGGTATGACTTTAGACCATCATCATCGTTTCAGATAGGGTGAGCTCCAATGAGCAAACAGTGGGTTAGTGTAGAAAAGAAGTGCGTGATCCGAGTAACAAAGGCTCGCTCCAAGGCAACAGCCTCTGAGTAGGGGTAAGGCTTCGCTCTTCTTCAGCACGAAATCTGGCTCATTATGGATAGTATCTTGACATTTGGGCAGTTTCTACACTGTTAGCAGGGTGTGAATGACATGAAGGTTGATCAAGGGAGTGCAAGAAGCCTGTCCGAAAAGTGACGTCATCGCGCTGCGGACCTTATGACGGGGTCTTATGCTTAGCAGCAGGCTTCCAGGGCACTCAACTGTTTACACCATACCTTCAACTCTATATCTATGTGGAGAAGGGAACACGTAAGATTCTACTTGTCACTTACTGGTTTGCACGTTACGCAGCTTCCTTGAATACTCCATGCCAACTTTCTTACTAGCTTTATGTAGCATAAGATCAAGCGCGACGCGTTCTTTGGTTGTATCTTCACCGAAAACAAAGTTGCATTAAGTATGTTAGAAACAATACAACCCGATCGCCTTGGGAAACTTTAATCAGTATGAAAGAGATCAATCGGAGAACTATGTAACACCTCTCTTTGGCATTACTGCAGTTGCGCTTCGTGAGATGATACAGCGGATAGAAGACAAGAGAACAAGGGAGTTGAGAGACCATACAGTATAGAAAACTCAGATGAATAGATATTTCTGGTGCATGATTAAGGACACAAATCATATAAACATTAGGTTCTGGAGCTAGGTTTTGGGTATATGGCTGAATGACATTAGGGTTCAAAGTGAAATCTATCGGTAGCACAGCGCTCGTGCCTCTGCACCATCATCCGCTCATCTGACATGTACAAGCTCAGGTGTTTGCTGGTAATAATCATCCTGTTGTCCATTGCCGTAGCCGTACGTCGCTTGCTGCTGTATAACAGGCGCATACACCTGGTCGGTCTTTACCGTCGTCTGATCCCAGGAGACGTGTTTGGCAATGCACAACAGAGTTATGAAAGGAAGGGCTTGTGACAAGCTCGAGATGAACGACAAAGCCAATGATGCCTCCGACGAAAGTAAATGTCGAACGGGCCACAAGGGAGAGGATGAGAAGACGACCCCCAATATGGAATAAACGAGCAAAGCGATATAAAGGGCGGTTACCCAAACAATGAGGTCCTACAGATTTGTTAGCGAATGTATCAGTGGATAGTGTTTGCCGTGGACTTACGCCTCCGGGTAGACGTCTCGATCTTAATGCGGAAATGTTTGACAACGAAAAAGCCGCTGAGATAATGACGCTGATCAACCATAAAATATACACTGTGAGAGAAAGGCCGTATGATGTGAGGATCAAAAGACCATAGTCGAAATCATAGTATCTGTTGCTCGTCGTGACGTAGCTGGAAAGGACCAAGTCCGCAATCATGGCAACGGCCATAACTCCAACGATAATCCGAAATACAGTCTTGGATCCGGAAGATGTGATCTGAAGTTGCTTAAGCAGCATAGAGTTCAGGATGTAGGCAAAGGTAACGATCAGCGCCCAATTAGCCAAACAGTACATGACGCTGGAGGCTATCGATATGTTCAAATAATCGTTAATGCCAAGGCCATCACACTCATACATAACGTTACTTATGAGGGCCAGAAGGCGCGAGCTTGGATATGTCAGCAATTATAAAGTGCATGATTCAGGCGTTAGACTTACAGAGTTTGGAAGAATAATGCAACAACGAAAGGTACGCCGATCAACTTCTTTCCGGCGCCAGTTTTCCTGCGGACGAAGAACGTCGCGATAAAGATCCCCGTGAAGAGGACCAGAAATATTACATAGTATGCGAGGCCGGTTTGGGCGTAGGTTGTGGTGTATGCTTTCGAACATGCAGCAGTGCTGTATCCGGAGCCGCTATAACCGCTGCGTCTTGGTGCCATGATGAGCACTGTATGTTACTGCAAGCTCAAATCTGGGTATTCGGTTGCTGATCTGGTTGCTGGTTGGAGGCTCCGAGAATTCTGGGGTGCAATTCAATGTTGAAAAGGTGGTGAAGCGCGACTTTCGCAAAACACAATTCACGGCACCCGAAGGTATTTCAGCATTATCGGCTGCGTGCTATATTGGAGCTGCGGCTCCTCACAGCCTGCAGCCTTCCCGTATTTCTCATTTTCAGGATTGAATCAGGGGCATTTAAGGCAGTCGCTAAGCCTTTCAAAGCATTTGTTGGTGCCTCGGATGGTCTCACAAGGATGGAAGCGAGAGTGCGCGAGGTTCAGTGGACGCCTTAAACAGTACGTTACAGCCTCGGCGCGTAGAACCACAGCTGACAGTCCATGAATGCAGCGCCTCCTTCTGATGAAACACAAGATGAGGGCATGGCGGTTCTTCATTGTAAGGCCGAATCTCCAAACGTTCAAATGCGAAGGGGGAGCGCCAGGTAAGAAAGCCTCGGGGGTAAGTTTGTTCTGACCCCGGTCCGACGAGGCCCGGGCTGTGCTCAAACTTTAAACTAGCAGCGGTCTGCGGGTAACTCGGGTCTGCGGGCGACCTAAATATCGCAGGTTGCAAGGTGGAACGATGTGATGGAAGCGAGGCGACCTCCAGAATCCGAGAATGGCAATGATGTGAGGTGCAGGTGGCTGATGCTGCACGTGACGTGGCTGATGCAGGAACGGTTGCGCTTCCGCGATGCAGGGCGCGGCATTACATCATATTCGTCTTCGCCTTCAACCAAAACGTGAAAGCTATCGCCCAGCGACTGCCATTGACGCGTGCCGGTTCTTTCGGAAGCCAAGCAGTCAGCTGTTCTGAGTTGTCTCTGCAAATCCTTCCTGTCGTCTTACATCTGGCCGTGAGCTCGCAAAGTACGCCCGTTCCGATGATTCCGTTGCAAGGGACCCACGCCACAACTACGTTTTGACAGCCACAAACACCCCGACCGACATCAACCAAGCAGTATATATCGTCAGGCTGTCGCGTGCCTGTCTACCGATTCCCAGACTATGAAAGACGACACAACACCGACGTTGGAGAGCCAAGAGACCGATCTAACACCGCTGACGCGTGAGAAATCGGCAATGTCACACGTACTGCAGGGACTCTCGACGCGTCCACCACTCAGCAGTCAAGACACATGGATAGCGAACACTGCATCGGAAACACTAGATGTTGATGGCGCAACGAAATTGAGTTCCCAAACTGATGAGCAGGCGGGAGACTCGCGAAGTCGAAGCACAACAGTTATACCCTCTGACGACAGCGGCTCAGAAACGCAGCTGGCCGGAAAGCCAGGGAACCGGAGAAAGAGTATTCAAGTCGTGCTAGAGCAATCAGGCAAAAAGGGCGAGTACACGTTCACGGCCAAGGATCCAGTCTTCCAAGAGGTTCTGCAATCAGGGCTGCGGCGAGAGGCCGAGAAGTTCAACGGCAAGACCAAGGGCAAACCACGGGATCTTGTCTTCACACAACAATTTACCACGTTCGATCGTCAGAATGCGTCCGCTGCGCACTCTCCATTCCATGGATTCTTCACGTTGTTCTGGATTGCGATGGCTCTGCTACTTGCACGAATAGCAGCAGGGAACTATAGGACCAAAGGCTCTGTATTTGGGGATGCAGAGATTCTGCACTTGATGATTGATAAAGACTTGTTCGTCATGTTGACAACAGATGTCGCAATGTGCATGGCGACCAGCTTCGGCTTCTTCCTGCATAAGGCCATTGCCAAGGACTATTTGACATGGAACGGCTCAGGCTGGCTCATACAGTCCCTATGGCAAACCTTCTTCACATGTACCATCATTTGGGTTACATTCTGGCGAGATTGGCCTTGGACTCACACTGTCTTCATTGTTCTACACGTCTTCGTGTTGCTGATGAAGCAGCACGCCTACTCTTTCTACAACGGCTACTGTATGCTACCTGCTCGAACTTTGCAGGATTTAGACTGACTCTCAACAGTATCGCAGGTGTATAGACGACGTAACATATTACGTGAAAAGCTACGTCAACTCGACGATATCAAAGCGCAGGAGTGCCCAACTTATACGGCTCCTCTATCCGAGGCGTTGACTGCCTCTGGTATCGATAACCCCAACCAAGGCGAGGTGGCACGGCGAAGGAGTATCGGGCCAAAATACTCAACAAATCTCTCGAAAGAAGAGTCGGAGATCTCTTCTATTGGCCAAGCTATCGAAGCTGGAAATCCGCTCGATTCGGAACAAATTGAAGCATTTCGACGTGTTCTCAACACCGAGATTACGATCCTCGACGAAGAACTTCGCGGAAAGTGTACAACGACAGACAACGTCTACCCAAAGAACTTGACGTTTTACAACTTCGCAGAGTGGACCTGCCTTCCCACCCTTGTCTACGATCTAGAATACCCACGCCAGGAGCGCATCAATTGGTGGTACGTCGCGGAAAAGTCAGCAGCCACCTTAGGAGTCATTTGGATCATGATCGTCATCTCGCAAGCATACATCTACCCCGTAGTCGCAGAGACCGTGCGACACAGAGAGGCCGGCATGTCACTCGATGAGCGCTGGAAAGAATTTCCATGGGTTGGTAAGTGCTACATCACTATGGTATGATACAACATTCAGCTAATCAGTTCGCTCAACAGTATCCGACATGCTCTTTCCCCTTCTCATCGAACAGCTACTCAGCTGGTACGTGATATGGGAATGTCTGCTCAATGTGTTGGCAGAAGTCACAAGGTTCGCCGACCGAGGTTTCTACGGCGCATGGTGGAACTCCGTATCCTTCGATCAGTATGCTCGCGATTGGAATCGACCCGTCCACAACTTCCTGCTTCGACATGTTTACCACTCGTCGATTTCTTTCTTCCATCTGTCCAAGATGCAAGCGACGTTCTTTACTTTCCTACTTAGCGCCATCGTTCATGAAGTTCTCATGTTCTGTTTATTCAAAAAGGTTAGAGGATATCTGTTTACATTCCAGCTGACACAGCTACCACTGGCGGCATTCAGCAAGACGAAGTTCATGAAGGGACGAGATACGTTGGGGAATATTGTATTTTGGTTTGGTCTTTTCATCGGACCCAGTGTTATCACTAGCTTGTACCTTATCGTTTAGATGTACTAGTACGTGGTAGGCTTTTAGAGATTTTGTCCTGATGAATACGTATCTTGCTCAGCTCTGACTTGCGCTCTTTCGATTGAGAATGAGCTATTCAGTCGTGTGAAGTGTGCGCACCCTTGCTTTTCTCCTCTTTCAACACTTCCAATACCCGTCGTGTTAGCCTGTCGCGCTCACTAACATCAACAATGCCGTATGAGTCCTGCGATTGCTGGAAGATTTTCTCCTCCCATCCATCCCCAACATTCGGCTTTCCAGAGTCTTGCCAGCAATCTTGCACCGTACCACCAATATTCTTGAAGAAGCCTTCTAACCCTGCCGGTCCACCACCGGCATGATAGCTCTTGAATGGCCCAGCAACTGCCCACCGCGGTCCCATGCTACTCTCCACAATACTATCCAGCTCTTCGACCGAGACTACTCCTTCATTCACAAGATGGACTGCTTCACGTAATAACGCAAACGCCAGTCTGTTCGCCACAAAGCCCGTCGTCTCTTTCTTGATGTGTATCGGTACTCTCCCACGGCCGATCCAAAACTCCTGCGTCCGTTTGATAACTTCTTCTGACGTATCTGGCGACGGAACAAGTTCCAGTAATGGCATAATATGCGGTGGATTATATGGATGCACTACCAGTAACCTCGACTTATCCTGCATGTCTTGCGCCTGCTGTGAGGCCGGAATGCCGGATGTGCTACTCCAAAACAGAGAGTGCTCTGGCGCGTGTTTCTCTACATTCGCCCATAATTCTTTCTTGAAGGCTAGGTTCTCTGGACCTGATTCCTGAATGATGTGGGCGTCTTCCACAGCTGATTCGAGGGATGTAGCAATGCGGATGTTGGATATGGCGGCTGCTGATGGCTCTTCTGCGAAGAATTTGGGTAGGTTTTCTTCGACGTATTGGCTAACATTTGGTCGGGTATCATAGATTGTGAGTTGGGAAGGACCGAGGAGGTGTGACAGGTGGAAGGCGGCAAAAGATAGGCCAATAGTTCCGGTACCGATAAGAGTAATTCTAAGATCTTTGTTGCTTTCCACTCTCAGGATTGGGTCTTGTTGCGATTCTCCTGCGTCGGACATGTTGGCTGTAGAAGTGATGTGTCCGTTCAGTGGGTCGTGATGGGCGGCGTGGAAGGCGCGGCAGCTATGGAACTTATTATATCCAGACCTTGTGTGCGAACGATTCCGAGACTCCACTTGAAGCTCGAGACTGTAATGATCTACTAAGTGGCATCGGAGCGGTTCTTACACACCCTGGCACGGCTGTTACCCGCACAAACGTCAGAAAGTGTGTCGATCTCGTCTTCTTTGGGACAGCTCGGTAACTGTTGCTAGCCTGTTAGAACCCCGCCTTACACCTCATCCCCGCACCACGATCGACTCGCATACTGCGAATCCGATGGAGATGAGCGCGCCGAGGAAGGATGATGGCGGTCGCCTATTAGAAGACATGGAGGCAGGCCGCCCGACAATCCTCGTTCCCTGGTCTGTCTTCTCATCATATTGGCTGTTCATTGCGACTCTACTTTGCTTGCTTCCTCGTAACGACATTACCGGTTATAAGGCGCGCATCGCTTTGAAGAGATTTGTGAGCTGGCTGTATCAACATGGTGATCTTCAAGTCAAGACAACCGCCCCTCGACCGTTCGTTTCTCTCTATCTGTCACGAGGCCGCATCCACTAACAGCGATAGTTCCCACCGAGCTAACCGATTGGGATTGGCTCTTCGATTCTGCTTACTCTCCCATCAACAAATATCCATCAAATGAACTTGCTGGCTTCCAAAATGCGATTACTAAAGAGCGTGTAGACTGGGCCGATGTGAAAAGATACTCTACATACATCTCCACGGCGCTTGTCAAGAAGTATGGTCTCAGAGAGGGCGAAACGGTGGCTCTCTTCAGTCAGAACACTGTGTGGTATCCGGTAGCGATGTTTGCAGGACTCCGCGTAGGAGCGAAGATTAGTGGTGCAAGTCCTGCTTACAATGTTGAGGAAATGACATTCGCGCTAAAAACTGCGGATGCAAAGTTCTTGATGACTACACCAGGCAGTATGGAGATTGCTGCGGCGAGCGCAAAGGCTGCAGGACTACCGCAATCGAACGTTTTCTTGTTGGAGGGCAAACTACCGGGATACACTACAGTTCAAGATCTGATTCGTATGGGGGAATCGTATGGCGAATCAGGACAGACACCAGCGTTCAAGTTGCCGCCTGGCAAAAAGAACAAAGACGTCTGCGGTTTCCTATCCTTCTCTTCAGGAACGACTGGATTACCAAAGGCTGTGATGATCAGTCATCAGAACGTCATAGCGCAATGTCTCCAAATCCAGCAGATTACGCCGACAAATCAGAAGAAGATCATGGCCGTATTACCGCTTTTTCATATCACCGGCCTGGTTCATCAAATGCATTTACCGGTTCTACTTAACGCCGAGGTCGTCATGCTTCCGCAATTCACGATGGAGAAGATGCTAGATGTCATCGTCGAATACAAGCTCTCTGAGCTTCTACTGGTACCACCGATTCTCATCCGACTAGTGCGCGATCCATTGGTCGACAAGTATGACCTTAGCCATGTTACACGATTCTCTTCAGGCGCTGCTCCGCTTTCAGAAGAGATCATCCAGCAGCTCCAGAAGAAGTTTCCCAACACAGGCTTCAAGCAAGGATACGGTATGACGGAATCGTGTTCGTGCATTACTGCGCATCCACCTGAGAAGTTCTCATACAAGTACGCACACTCTGGCGGTGCAATCGTAGCTTCCACTGAAGTCAAGATCATTAAAGATGATGGTACTGAAGGCGATGTTGGCGAAGATGGAGAAGTACTCGCTCGTGGACCGCAAGTCGTCATGGGCTATCTCAACAACGAGAAGGCAACTCGCGATACTTTTGATGCTGACGGCTTCCTACACACTGGCGATCGCGGTGCTATCGATGAAGAGGGCATGATCCACATCTCCGATCGCATCAAAGAACTCATCAAAGTAAAGGGCATTGGTGTCGCGCCAGCTGAACTCGAAGACCTGCTTTTAGGTCATCCAAAGGTAGAAGATGTCGCAGTGATGAGCGTGAAAGACGATTACTCTGGCGAGCTTCCAAAGGCCTACGTTGTCTTGAAGCCAGGAACGGAAGAGAGTACAGCTGTGGGGAAGGATATCATTGCGTATGTCAAAGAGAAGAAGGTGAGGTACAAGTGGGTGAAGGAAGTGGAGTTTATCAACGAGATACCAAAGAGTCCTTCTGGCAAGATTTTGAGAAGAGTACTAAGAGATAAAGAGAAGAGTGGGAAGTTTGGGCTTGTCGTCAAGGATGAGACGAAGGCAAGGCTCTAGATATTAAACACTACCTGGTGCAATGAGTTGTTATATAAACAGACTGCTGCCTGCAAAGCGATCTCGAAAGTAGCTTTGTTGCCATAGGAACGAATAATAGCCTATACCTTCAACGAGTGAATGTGCATACGCCACTTAGCTTTGTCAATACCTTCAGCCTTGCTCAGCCTCCTGCGGGGGTGGTTTTAAGCACCCCTCCCTCCTTCCGCTTAATTGATCTATCTTCACACACTTTAAAGTAAATTCCAAGCTGTGCATCTTAACCATAGAAGGAACCAGGAAATATGGCAGAAGTTATCGGCGCCGTCGCAACGGCAGTCTCATTGATCGATGCCATAGTAAAGCTGCCTAGGAACGCCGGAAGCAGCCTGTTATTCTTTGTATCGCAGTACAAATCAGCCGGTGCTTTTCTCTGGTTTTTTTGGAAGCCGGGAGGTTTGGCAAATGCAAATGCAGGTGTTAGACAGCTCTCATGATACAGATGCCATGAACTTCAAGAAGTCGGTTTAGGAAGACAGCAGTATCGTAGCCTTAGCTAGAAGCAAAAAGAAATCTAAAGCTCCAAGGTCCAGCGAGCTGAATCCACACCAGGGCACTACCCTTGCTCGGATTGCCATCACTGCGCTATCTCTAGAAGATCAGAGTCAAATTCATTGGACTGCTCGTGCTTTTTTCATATTCAGCTTGGTCTCTTCGATCATAGCTGTCTACTACGCTACTAGGCAATACCGTATCTTAGCACGTTGTCTACGTGCTGAGCAGGTGAAGGTGCGGATCATGAATAATGATCCTTCTACTGGCGTGAGCCTGGACACACCTTCTGTGGCTTCCGTCACCACCGTCTCAACGCCCAACATGCTTCTCTCGTCCTCACTCAACTCCTTTCTGGTATGACTAGGTGTCCACCTTGGTTTCATATGGATGCGAAATCTGGACGAAACAGCTGGAGTCAACAGCAGTCGCGCTGTGTTCATCAATTATATCGTCGGCTTAACCGTTTGCTATGGTGTCTACGCATTGTCAAGTGCTATTGTGACCAACCAGACCTATATGAGCGAAATAGATATGCTCCAAAGAATAATACCGAAAGAGTTCTCCAATATCCATCTGGACGATGAGGAAGCCGGAAGAGGGAACAACCACCCAGATACGAATCGTGACAGCAATATGATCTCACGCACTCACCCAGTATCTTCTGAGCGGCAATCGCACCCGAAAAGCTTCCCAAACAATGTCTCAACCTGTCGCGAGCTATTAGAAGTTTTGCAAGAGGCTGCGGAGTTGCGAAAGGCGTCAGCGAAAGTCGATGAACGTCTAGCTAAGCTTCTTGAGAGGCTTAGAGAGGATACTATCGCCTTGCCTTAATGCCGGCTTGCGACAAGGGATGGTGCTGTTTGCTTGGATTACGTCGGAGAAGGAAGGCTCGTGCGAAGGATGGATTTGAGGGGGCAACTGTTTTGACTGCTTTTGTGAAACTTGCTTCGCACACGTTTATTCATTTTCCTGCATGCTGTAGTACTGGTTTGTAAATCGGAATTGGCGTCTTTGTTGGTGTGTAGCATATGTCGCGAAGGGGATAAAGATGACAAATGACGTGTGAGGGGTCGGCGTTGTGCCCCTCCGACAGGGTCTTGGAGCAAAAAAGTTCCTCGTCGAAGGTGCAATTCGACATTTCTAAGCAATACAACACGACGACTCATATAACATCGCACGTCCAGTAGTGCGCATTCTTTGATTGTCCCCTCTCTACTACGCCGCTACAAAAATCGCTATCGAGCAAGCCCGCAAAATGTCCAGCACAAACCCCACATCGAACCAACCTCAGCACGATGAGGACGACGTCGACGTACATGACGTGGACAACACGCTTGACGCTGAAGAGGCGGACGAGATTGTAGAGGATGATGGCGATGTGCCCATGGACTCAGACGACGAGGGTGACGAGGGTCGCCAAGAGATGGAGATGGAGATCAACCTTCAAAACGATTCGGTCGCGCATTTCGACGAGCACAAGGACAGCATCTTTTGCATAGCGCAACATCCAGTACACCACGAGATTATCGCGACGGGAGGCGGCGACGATGTAGGCTACATCATCGACGTGTCTTCGGCGGCAGCAGCACAACCGAGCAGCGACGGACAACCCGCCGAACGCGAAGGCCTGAAGAGCATCTTCACTTTGGACGGACACAAGGACTCGGTCAACGCCATCACATTTACTCAGCCAAAGGGACAATTCGTTGCGACAGCTGGCTTAGACGGCAAACTGCGCGTTTGGCAGGGCGTTCCCGATGGTAAGAAGTGGAAGTTCCTGGCAGAGGCATCAGAGGTCGAGGAAATCAACTGGGTCAGCCCGAACCCATCGCCCGATCACCCCAACGTTATCGCACTCGGAGCAAACGACGGCTCAGTGTGGGTGTACCACATCAGCACAGAGAAGAACAACGAGCTACAGGTCCTACAAGCATACTACCTCCACACCGAGACCTGCACTGCCGGTACATGGTCACCCGACGGTTCTCTCCTCGCTACCATCTCCGAAGACTCGAGTCTATACGTGTGGGACGTGTTTGGCGATGCCGCATCACAGGGTCTCACAGCGACTACCGACTCGCAAGCTGTGGTTGGTCTGACAGGACTGGACGAGCGCTTCCGCGTTGAGGGCGGGCTATACTCAGTCGGCATCCCGCCGTCCGGCGCATTCGTCGCAGTTGGTGGCCCCGAAGGTCAAGTTCGTATCGTCGGTCTCCCACGTCTTTCCCTCGCCGCGCCCGCACAAGCATCAACATCGTCAAGTGGTGGAGGCGCAAAGAACAAAGCTGGAGGAGGCAAGCAAGCTGGTGCCAAAGGCGGTGCGTCTTCGGCTGGTCAAGCTGGACAGATCCTGGCCAGTCTCCAGGCAGGAAGCGACAACGTCGAGTGCATGAGCTTCTCCTCCGCCCCACTCACCCTCATGGCCGCCGGCAACGTTGACGGCTCCATCACCCTCTTCGACACCGCACATCGCTTCGCCGTCCGAAGGCGGATAGAAGACGCACATGCCGACGAGGAATCGCCACAAGCTGTCGTTAAGCTCGAATTCGTCGCCAAGGAAGGACCGGGAGGTTGGCTGCTGACAAGTGCGGGATACGACGGTGTTCTGAGGCGATGGGATGCACGGGGTGGAACAGCTGCGACTGGCAAGGGCCTTGTAGGCGAGTGGAAGGGACACAGGGGTGGTGGTGAGGGAGGAGGCATCATGGCCTTTGTACAAGGAGCTGGCGAGGCAGTTGTCACAGCAGGCGACGACCACGTCACGCTAGTCTTCAAGACGCCTCTCTCACAGTAAAGACTCGAGATATCCCTCAAGTATCTACCTACGTATCGACGATGTCTCACTCATCCATGCCGCTTCATGTGCACGTCAGCGTTCTCTTCTACCACACTCAATTTCAGAACACTAATCAAACAAGTACCATAGTATACACCTGAACTACCTAACCATGGCATAGATTTTCGCAAACACGTCTGTATCGCACCGGGCAAATCATCCACTACTGTCAACACCTTTTACTCAGTTGCTCCATTTGGACGTTTTTCTCTTGATGCGTGTCTCTTTTCAAAGGTGGGAGCTATTGGAAGCGGACTGATAGGCTGGCGGTCGCGTTCTAGATCTGGCACACGCTACTGTGTATGTAGCGCTGTGCGTGTGCGGAGAGAGAGGGAGAGAAACAGAGTATGGGTGGGATCAGCCTAAGTGTCCAGATTTTCGTGTACGCTGAGTTTGGTAAAGATTCGAGGGGACGATTAATGCTGTTTTTACTTCTTCATTTGGTTGCATGAACGTGTTTTTGTTAGGGGAGGTAGTGATGGACATGTTAGATGGACATATTGGTATATGGATGGGGTGATGGCAACCTTTTTACGTATGCAGAGGACTTCAAGGTCATCACCTCATCTACCATTTCCACGTTGCAGATAACGGGTGTACCTAAAACCACTCAATTCATTGTAAATCGACCCCGCGCAATATTAAAAGTGCCATATACCTCCACCTCACGGGTACAGCACCCTCCCTGCACAAATATCCTAGAAGCAAGGCCACTCTTCTATGGAGCACGGCAAAAAAACCCGCCTCGAATCGCTTGCTTCGCTGCTTCAACAACAACAACGCTAAACGGAAGACATGTCTTTTCGCCACTCACAACCCGTTGCGCATCCTCAGAAGGGTACTTTACTCCGAACCTCACTACTTGACTAGACCAACGTTAGTTCAACGGTGAAAGCTATCCCCACCCTCCACCTTGGATGTTGGATGCAAGGAGGCTTGCTGGCTTATAGCGTGCGGCTCCTCCTCAGCCCTATGACGTTAGATACCCCACTTGTTGTACTCACATGTGTGGACTGCATGTTAATCAGCTTCATTTTGCGTCTCCGCCGAAATAGGCTCATCCGAGTTTCCTGATACAATGGGGGGTATACGTAAGAGGACTGAAAAGAAGCTTTCTTTGCATGCATGCAAGCAAGCACGCAATGTGTGTATGTTCGGAACCCAGGAGGGAAACGTGTGGTAACCATGCAGCTAGGCCAGGACAGTGCGCCCTGGCCAATGCTAGATAGGAGTCGTGAACATTATAGGTCGTGATTTATAGGCTTTGCCTATGTGCGTAGATATGCTCACCTTTTTACTCTAATGGGAATGTTGAAGTGATTGTAGCAAAAAAGAAAATGCGTTTTTATCGTAGCCTGTCGTGGTGTATCGCGGACGTACACTCCTCCAAAGTTGATGTCATTCCTTCCGAAAAAGGTACAGGTGGTTCGCTTCCCCTCCCCACAGACTACCCTCTATTGCTACATTGGCGCTGTCAAGCGAGGGATCTCCGCGGCAATGTCTTGCATTGAACTTTTTTTCTTTCTGGTCTTAGAAGCTGTTCGGACCGACAGCGGAACATTACGCGAGCTGCGTGATTGAATTAGATGACATGACGCCACAACAATCCCCCTCTCCAACGCGTGGAAGGGGGTAGAGACAAGGGAAGATGCGGAATTCTGAGTACGCTAGCTGGGGGAAAGAGTGGCGATTATCCTAGGTTGTTCTGCCCGTTGAACAAGGTTGGTAATTTAAGCGACAGGAGAGTTTGTCCGTAGCAAATGAGGAATAAGTAAACGTGTGGAGCACGCTGGATGTTTTGGTACTCAGCTGCAGCTGACATGAGGATACGAAGTTAGTGAGCTCTGGTACCGAGACAAGTACCCAAACTAGATTCCGTCTTGCAGGTGGCCTTTCTGTGTGACCAAAGTTTTGCGTGAGTGGACTCTGTTCTTCGGTAGGTTTGGCACTATTGAATCCCCATGTGCTGTGAGGATCTGCTGCTCCCAGCATCAAACGTCACTGATGGGACCAGAGTAGCGAGTAGTTACAGCATGTTGTTGGATTGGGTTACTTGTGGGGTATGATCACTAATTTAGCTACTTCCAGGTTTGGTTATCAACGGGCCGGCCGCGCGGGAGAACGCCAGAAGGACCGAATTGACATGTGATTGACAACACGTGCAAGCAGTGATAGCAGTAGAAAAAGCGAATTCGAATTTACCAGTGTTGAATGATTATCCAGCGCGTCGCGACTAAGAGGAGCAGTATCTCCGAGACCATTGCGATGCATTCGTCACCCCAGTCAGCGACTAAATCACGAGCTCTGCTCGGGCACCTAAATTCATGTATGATTGCGAATGTTTTGGTTGGGGGAACGCTTCTGAACCGGGTTTTCATGTAAGCCGGACATGTCTTCCGAGAGCCAATAAGATTAGTCGCTTGTTATGTCATACCTGTTCACGGCTGACTTGATGTGTAACAAGATGTGGGGGCTACTAGTCGTACTCGGTAAACGAGGCGCGATCACGACAGCACGCCGTGGAGCAACAGGGTCCATGTTATTGAGGCCTGGATCAACGACGATGAACAGAACAGAAAGGAGATGTACAGGGTGACACTGTGAAGATAGTGTGTTGAAGAGATTATTCATTCATAGAACTAACTATCTGGGAGAGTCGTATAGTCTATGTCTTTTCATATTTTACTTTGCTAGATTTTACATAGTACACTCGTAGGTAGTGGAACGTGTATCCCACCTACGGCTCAAACGCCATATTTTCAGAGTCGTGGCCACTGCAGCAGGCGCCATCAAGCCAGCTGGTCATTATAGCAATTCAGATAAAGAGAATAAGAAGAAGAAGAAGAAGAAGAAAAAGCTTTTGGTCGCTCAAAGTAGGGCAAGGCCCAGGGGTATCGTGAAATCATCGGAAGAATGGAAGAAAAGGCCGCAACCCAATAGTGTACACCACACGTCGAAGGTGAAGTCGAAGCAGTGCGAGCCGCATCAAGATTGAAAGGCCTTGAAAGCGAGGATATTCAGGTTGGCTTCCTATGCCTCCATGTCGTCCATGTCTTCATCGGTAAAGTCCTTGAGGAGTTCGAGACCACCAAGATCATCGGCATCACCGGAACTCAGGGAAGCCATGCTAACCTCCCGTGCGTATTGGGCAGTCATGCTAGAGGAAGGCATGACGGGACTCTGGTTGGTGTTGCCGAGCCGTGGTGTTGAGTAATGGCCAGGCATACCCGGCGCAGGTGCATCCATGCCGAGAAGGCCGCCGGCACACCTCGCTAGATACTCGTCGACGGCCCAGAAATTACAGCCGGCGTGGCGTAGTACTTCGTTTTTCAGGTCGAGGACTTCTTCGCGCAAGAGAGCGACGTTCTCCTTGAGCATCTTGTTCTTGGATGAGAATTCACGCGCGCGGTCTTCGAGGGTGTGGATGTACTCCTTCTTGCGCTGCCTGCACTTATGAGCAGCTACACGGTTCTTTTCGAGGTGTGTCTGACGAGCGGAGGAAACCTGGAAGGGGTAGCCGTCTGCAGTATAGGCTTCGACCATCTGAGGTTGGGACTTGGGCCGACCCCGCTTGCGCTTGGGTGGCTGAGGGTTGGCGTCGGCGTTGTCTTGCTGCTGCCGAACGGTGCCGCTTGGCAGTGAGTTAGCGACCATGTCCTGATTGGCCGAATCATGGCGATTAGTGCGTTGCCGCTTTGCGGGCGGCATCTGTGGCGAGGGCTCTTGCTTGGGCCACAGGGCGGTTTCGCTTCTGAGTTGCTCGACGGGAATTGAACTCTCGCGAGGCGGGTGGGTGGGTGAGTGCTCTTCTGGGGGAGTGACTTGGCCGTAGCGCTCCGTTGTGGCGTGTGTAAGTAGGGAAGGCGGAATGGAGAAGGTCTGCTGGGGCAGCATGGAGGAGGAATTGCTGAAGGCAGCTGGCTGCTTGTTGTGATATGAGTTTGCACTAGAGGGTTGCATGGCAGTGAAAGCCTCGCCAGCCCAGTCGAATTGGGGTTGTTGCTGAATTGCTGTCATGGTAGACGGCGGTTTTTATTGTTGCTGTGATGCGATGGTGTGGTGGGGGATGTGTTTGTGCAAGCCTGAGACTGGAGCTTCCTTCCAAGTCTTATAAGTACAGGGCGACGGCAGGGCGAAGACGAAGACCGAGAAGTTACAGGGAATCGGTAGTTAGTAAGAGCGGATTTGGGCAAAGCGGTTGGGGACGGGGGAGGTTAAAAGTTACGCTGAGGGAAGATCGCCTGCCATGGGATTCCAAACAATGGGGGCTTTGGCAACATGCGGAACTGAGGAAAGCGATTCAAACGAGCAGGGGTAGGGGCTGGAGGGCATGCGATTGGTGGACACTAGGCCGCGTTACGTAGTGCGCCTTCTAGATCGCCGATGTCCAAGGTAATCGTAGCTCAGCGCGCGCCAACCTGGAAAACTAGGACTGCAGTATGTCGATCGCTTGCGCGATGCTTGCCCATCTCGCTTTTCACGCCACACGTCTTCGGCTGATTTTGCGTCTCTTTCCCCATGCCGTTTGTGGTACATTTGCATTCCTTCGCACATCTCACGCCTTGTTTTGCACGCTACATATGTCTACTTTACCTGGTACTGTCTCCCGACTATGCCAAATCGGAAACAATGGTAACAAGGTCTCCTTGTCTAGTTCGACCAAACACGCCGAGTTTTGCTTGTCTTCTACCATACTTGGCTATGTAGATACCTCCAATATCTAGCTGGCCGGTTTATTGGAGCTGGCCTTCTTGCGCCGCGGCCTCTCGGAGCACCACGTGAAATCCCGAGGCGTTCCCGCCGTCAGTGGACGGACCATGTGTTATGACGCACTTAACGGCTCGCTCCGCGGATGCGTTGAGGGTCACGTTAATTCTCCACTTTGACGGTTTCAACTGTTCCATGTACTCTGTGATCTACCATGTCAAAACGAGTGGCTCGGACACGCCAGCCGCTCGACCTCGTGTCCTCCCCGCAGCATACAAGCCCCGAGACCTCGAGCTGAGCTTTGCTATGAACTGAGGCTTCATTTAAATCATGTCCAAAGCTATACTGTTAGTCAGTCTTTCTTCCAGCGCTCGTACCCCCTGCAAACAGACTAGTAGCCACCAAAACCAATACCCAGACAAACACCGTGGCGCCGTACCGCTTGCTAAGGCCAGACAAAACGGCCACGATACTCGAGTAGCGCTTGCATAGAAATTGCCGATCTGTCTGATTTAGCCTGTTGGTCACTCCAGGCCGCCCAGCACACCTGATGCAGAAATTGAGTGGGACTATGCAAAAGTCCCCTCAACGACATGGGAAATCTGCAAAATCCCATATTTTTGCTTTGAAATCCGATTAGACCCTCCCTTGCCTTGTTTTTTTGCATCATCGGACTTTGGCTCCGGCGCGTCTACCCAATCAATGCCGCACCCATCGACTCGTTGACATGCGTGTTGACGTAGTTGGCTCGAAGACCTCTCATTTCTGCGGGCTGTCCTTTACCATGCAATCAACGTTCCCAGCAAGTGTTGCACTCTACTGCTCCGCAGTCCCTTGGAAGCGATTGCTATGCCACCCTAGAGTCGAAGACCAGCCTAGAACAGAGATAAACCCGCGAGTATCGCCCCTAAATATCCCGACAACACGATACCATTGATAACTGCCAATGTTGGCAAGTGGCGGCAATAACAATCGCCCTAGTTCTCGGACATAGTGGCTCGATGGACTCTCTCGTCCCATTGGTCATAAACGCCTCTCCGTTAACAACCCTGAAATTGTTCACTGTTACGTTGGTGTACTCAATCGCCCCACGAGTTACGCTTGGTATGTCGTTGCGGTAGCCCACAATTACCGGACGTGCGACCCATATTTCGCACGGCCGCCGTGCAAACTACCAATGCTGTCGCGTCTCCTCACTCGTGATTGTTGACTGGGCATCGCAAGCCTACTTATTGTTTTTGTAGTAGCCTCAGACATACGGAACCTCTCAAGCCAATTCTCGCAGGAGTCTCATCAAACACAGCTCCTTATGCTCCTTATGCCTCTCATTAGGTGCTGAAATAGAGGGGGCTTCCTTTCCAGAAGCAAAGACCAGATTCATCGCCAAAATTAGCGTTGTAGTATGGCATGTATATAGAGGAAGCCCTAGTTTTACTGAGGTCAGCAAAAGAAGAAGTAACGGTAAGACTACTCCAGTTGAGTACTCTGGTCGTGTTCTTCCTCACTATCGTCCCGACCTAGAGTCATGTTTCAAAATCTTCCATTACTTGATCGCATATGCAGAGATCGATCCAGCATAAACAAGAAAATATAGCTAGCAATGTCATTGCATCTTTAACATCTTTCTTCGCGACATTTGACGTGGAGTGTTCGATGCGTGCAAGACGATTGGGGTTAGCGTGTCTTGGCGGGAGAGCGCGACGCGCACCGCGTCGTCGGCGCAACAGTGGGCACACACGAGCTCACCATCACCACCACAGCCTCGCTATGTCCTGAAGAAGCCTATCGCGATCGCATATACGGATCCCACGCGACCGCCAACACTACCGGACCCAACTTCCCGCGCGCCTTGATTGCGCCCACCCGCCGCGATGGGGTACATCAAGCAGATCACGATCCAGGGCTTCAAGAGCTACAAGGAGCAAATGCAAATCGAGCCCTTCTCGCCCAACTGTAACGTCGTCGTCGGTCGCAATGGCTCCGGAAAGAGTAACTTCTTCGCCGCAGTGCGCTTCGTATTAGGCGATGATTACCACAACTTGGGTCGCGAAGAGCGGCAGGCGCTGCTACACGAAGGGTCTGGTTCGGCCGTCATGTCAGCATATGTGGAAGTATGCTTCGACAATACAGAGGACCGCTTCCAGACTGGCAAGCCCGAATTCTTCTTGCGCCGGACCATTGGCGCAAAGAAGGACGAGTACTCTGTCAACCGCAAAAACGCTACCAAATCCGAAGTCATGCAGATTCTTGAATCTGCTGGCTTCTCACGGTCAAATCCCTACTATATCGTTCCGCAGGGTCGTGTCACGGCCCTCACTAACATGAAGGACTCCGAGCGCTTGAAGCTGCTGAAAGAAATTTCCGGTTCCAACGTATACGAAGAGAGACGCGCCAACAGTTTGAAGCTACTAGCCGAAACTGAGAACAAATGCTCCACCGTTGACGGTGTAATCGAATCCATCAATGGCCGTCTAGACGAGCTCGAGGGTGAGAAGGAGGAGTTGGAGGCGTGGAGCAGGAACGACAAGGAGCGCCGGTCGTTGATGTACGTACTGAAGTCGCGCGAGGAAGCCGATCTGGAGGCCTTGATCGAAAACATTGACCACCTCGAGAACCAGGGCCGTGAGATGAAGGAGAACAACGAAGCAGCCTTTGTTCAAACCGAGGCCGACATTGCGCAAATCGACATGGACATCAACAAACGAAAGGGTGACCTAGATGTCCTCCGAGAGGATCGTGTGCAGTCTGAACAGGAACGCAAGTCCGCGACACTGGAGAAGGCCAAGATTGAGCTCGAGCTCAAGTCGTTGCAGGATAACCAGTCGGTCGCCCAGCGAACGAAGAAATCGCGGGACACGCAGATCAAGTCACTCCAACAGCAGATACGCGCACGAGAGGCGGAACTCAAGCGGCTGCTACCCCAATACAATGCCAAGAAGGAAGAGGAAGAAGCTGTCAGGTCACAATTATTAGAAGCCGAAGGTCAACAGAAGCGGCTGGAGGAGAAGCAAGGTCGCACAGCGTTCTACACAACCAAACGACAGCGAGACGATGCATTGCGTGCACAGATTGAGGAGTCCAACGGCGACCTTAGCCGCCGCAAAGCTGTCCTCATGCAGACAAATGAAGAAATTACTCAGTTGGAGAGCGATGTCCAGCGTCTTGAAAACGAGATCGCTGAACTTCGATCAAACATTGAGAGCGAAGGAGACGCGAGCGTCAATCTTGCGGCAAAGGTCGAGCAAGCGAAAGATGCCTACAAAGCCGTACACGACGAGCAGACCAATCTCTACCGGGAAGAGAACAGAGTCAACACTCAACTCACGAATTCGCAAGCCGAACTTCGAAAAGCAGAGAGCGCCTTCTCTCGGCTACTTGACCATGGCACTAGCCGTGGGCTAGAGTCTCTTCGTCGATACCAGAAAGAAGGGGAGCTAGAGGGAGTACACGGCACCATCGCAGACCTACTCGATGTCAACAACGACTATAGGGCCGTCACCGAAGCCGCGGCCGAGGGTGCGCTCTTCAACGTTGTTGTGGATAACGATGAAGTCTCCACTAAGCTGATCGATAGGCTCATCAAGGATAAGGGTGGACGTATCACCTTCATTCCCCTCAACCGCATTCGGCCTCATGACTTGAATCTCCCTGCAACTGGTGACATGCAGCCGCTGTTACCAAAATTGAGGTATGACGAAAGATTCGAGGACGCGTTCAGACATGTGTTCGGCAAGATCGTGGTCTGCCCTGATTTGACTGCCTGCAAGAAGAACGCAAAGCAATACAACGTTCGCGCGTATACTCTCGACGGAGACAACGCTTCGCGGAAGGGCCAGTATCGAGGTGGTTACCATGACCTGTCTAAGTCGAAGATCCGGGCTTATCAAACACTGGCCGAAATCCGTACTCAGCACGACGAGCTGCAGCAGCGGAAGCGAGACATTGCCACCGAACTTGAGCAAAAGCGTCAGCAGCTCACTGCAGCACTAAGTGAGGTTCGCAGACGGGAACATGAGAAGGACAAGGGCGAGAATAGCTACGCGCCCATGCGAGAAGAAGTACGCATGAAGCAGAGGATTCTTCGAGACACCCAGGACAGCCTCGCGAGGAAACAGATAACCGCTTCAACATTTCAATCAACAATCAATCAGCTTGGCGCGCAACAGAGCGACTGGGAGGCAGAGATTGCTTCAAAATTCGAGAAGGCGCTGTCGAATGATGAGGAGCAGATGCTGATCACCTTACGGAGCACCGTGCAAGACCTGAGGCGACAATTTGCACGAACAAAGGAAGAGCGCACCATGCTAGAAACCCAGAAGGTTGAGGCTGAGCTAGATCTCAACGAGAACCTCCAGCCAGCGCTCGATGATATCCAAGTACAGCAGGGCGGCGCAAGCGGTTCCACTGGCCAGTCAACACGGTTACGAGAATGCGAACGAGCACTAGACGCGGTCAATCGAACCATCGCGAATCTCGATCAACAAATACAGGAGATAGACTCTCAGATCGAAGACATCCGAGCCCAGTTGAGCGAACTGGAGGACTCAAGAAACGAAAAGGAGGCCAGCAATCGACAGCTAGCAAAGACTATGGCGAGACAAGAGCAGGCCATGTCCAAGAAGGACTCGGATCGTAGCCGTCATACAGATCGATTGGCAGAGGTCAAGCGGGATATCCGAGATCTGGGTACCCTCCCTGAAGACGTCGATCGGAAATACACTCGATGGGACACCACCAAGGTAAGCTGCGTGTTGACACATTCAGACTTGCATATAGTTAACATTTCGAAAGGTCACGAAAGAACTCACCAAAGCCAATCAAGCTCTCAAGAGCTTTGCGCACGTCAACAAGAAAGCTTTTGAACATTACGAGAACTTCACACGCCAGCGACGCACCCTTACAGAACGTCGCACCGAACTCGACACGTCACGCAAATCTATTGAGAATCTCATCGATGTGTTGGATCAGCGCAAAGACGAGGCCATCGCGCGAACCTTCAAACAAGTTGCCGCCGCCTTTGGCGAAGTCTTTCAGCAACTCGTGCCCATTGGCCGCGGCCGCCTAATCATCAACCGCAAATCCGACCGCGACGCACGCGGCGACATATCCGATGACGACGATATGGAAGAAGAAGAAACACAGGGCAAGAAGAGCAAAGTCGAGGAGTACACAGGTGTCAGCATCGCCGTATCCTTCAACAGCAAGCATGACGAGCAACAAAAGATTGGCCAACTCTCTGGTGGCCAAAAGTCCCTTTGCGCACTCGCCCTCATCTTTGCTATTCAAAAGTGCGACCCTGCACCCTTTTACCTCTTCGATGAAATCGATGCAAATCTTGACGCGCAGTATCGTACTGCTGTTGCGCAGATGCTAGAACGATTGAGTGGCCAGGGCGGCAAGAACAAGGATGGTGGAGGCCAGTTTATCTGTACTACTTTCAGACCGGAGATGGTGCATGTGGCGGATCGATGTTATGGTGTTACCTACACGAACAAGACGAGTAGCATTGATGTTGTTGATAGGGAGGCGGCGCTAGAGTTCGTCGAGGGTATGCAGAAGGCCTAGGTGTAGTTATGAAGCAGGCCAAAGAAGAAGAAGAGGGTAATATGGGAAGCATTTTCCAATTGTGAATATCCTAGGCGGTGGCTCGTTTTCTTTCTCCGATAACAAGACCTCATGATGTATGTATATGTTTGCGACTAGGAGGGGAGGAGGAAATGCGTTTTCGCGGATTAATTAGCTATGTTACGCAGTCTCTGCTTTGCAACAGTTTGGCAACCTCTTTTCGTTCATTCCAGGAGTGCCTCGTCGCTGTGACAAGCCTGGTTTTTCACTGCATCTCTCTTTCCTCTCAGCTAAGAACAAAGAGAAGAGGCATGAACTTGTGTATACTAACAAGCTCGTTTCGTTTGTTGCTGTACCTATGCGGCAATGTACTTTAAAGGTCCTAGTTGTGCTTGACACCAGCATAGCAGAATGCATTGCAGATACCTCCAGGGTGCTTTATAGCTACAGTCCATTGAGTCTCAGGAGTGAGAATACGATCTTTTTGCAGTGTATTATACTGTATTACTCCACTACAGCGTCGTCAGGTCTACGTAGGTGTCGACTCCAGTCATTCTCCACAAGCAACACCGGTAGTTTAGAGCGTTTTCGTTTGATGCGGCCCTAGCATAGTTTCCCGTGGTGTCTTTGCTCATGGCTCTTCACTTTCATTTCTTTTTCCTCTCTTCATATGGTACTCAAACTAGCTCAGTCATCGACATCTCGGCATCTTGCAGAGACCGCAAGTTGTATGTGCGGAATGGTTGATTGCGGGTCACATTATGGGGCTTACGTTGACCGGCCGCAAACCGGCAATTCTTCTTACTCCTTCAGATAAGGTAAGGGTTGCAGGCTATTGGACTTCCTTTCAAGATCGAGACTGCCGCTGTAAATCATTGTATGCGCGTGCTGGCAGTATGATGCGACTAATAAGAGAAGAAATTCGTGTCGAGGATCGGAGTTTTAGTACGGGATCGCGAAGTTGGCATCCGCGGGCTAGCCATATTCGGCGCCGGTGGGGTCCGTTGGGAGTGGTTCTAGCTTTGGTTGGTGGTCTGGACGGCTTCGACTGTGCTTTTGTCCGATGACAGCGCAGCTCTCGTATCGAGATCGAGATCGACGTCGCTGGCTGTTCCGGTACGACTGTTCGTCCAGTGGTGCTTTCCGAGGCCATGTCGATGTATTGTGTTTAGTGCAAGTGCACTAATCCCGGACATGGACCTCTTCATCCAAACTTCAAAGCAAGCGGTAGCTTGCCTTCGCTGGCTAGACTCAGGGGAATGCAGTGCGACTAGCAACAGAGGTGTAGTCATGCGCATGTATGCGCATCCAACTGTATGGGTCTGCATATACTGCGAGGCTTGCAGTATGGAAGAGCAGTGATTGGATAGGGTCGAAGAGAGATTCGCAAGCGGTGGCGCGATGACACCAAGAAGGATGCGAGCTGCGCTGAAGTATGCGACAACGAGAGCGGTAAACGCGTCGCGAAAGTACATGATCCCGGCCGAAATATCCTCCCAGAAGAACAGCGTATCTGCGTCCGCAGCCTCATCAACATATTGAAGCCAAAGCCCTCCTATTCTAGTCTCAAAATTGATGTACGTTTGAGCGTCAACAAGTTGTCGTGACTGGCCGCTTTTTCGTGCGACGTACATATCTATCAGATCAACAACACAGCTCAGTAGTCTCTGGAACAGAGGCAATCGAATGTACTGTAGTGGCCCGTACAAGATTCTGTCCACTTGAACGGGCGTCTCCCTGCCATAACCGGTTAGATTGATGAACGCCATCTGGGTCCTGAGATGGTCTGCAAAAGGAGTAGGTAAGAGGTTAGCGTACATCTCACATATCTCTCATAGATGAACACTTACAGTAGATCTGGCATAATGTGCCTTCTGAGCATTGTTTCGGCTTGGTCACTTCAAGCATCTGAACAGCTCCGTAAATGTGCGACCGGTACGCTTCGGCGTTGGTCGATTGCATAGCTTCAAAAAAGCTGAACAGAACGCTCGTAGATACCATGTGTACCGTGACTTCATGCTTGGTTTGCGGTCGGGAGACGAATAAACCATGCATTCTTAGAGCTTCTCCGTAAAGCTTCCACGAGTGTTGTGCTAGTGCTACATTGCCGCTTTCGACAGCGCAGTAGGCAGATGCAGTAGCTTGCACAGCTAATACCAATGCTTCATTCGTGCCATCTGTCGTCAAAAAAGGTAGGCTATGCCACCATGTACGTCGGTTCCGAATGTCCTTGCCTTCACCCTCGGATGTGAAGTATGACAGGAAGCGCGCATAAAATCCTTCCGTTACGGCTGCTCTTTGCGATATTCGATACGGTAGTACGTCGCCTCGACGCATCCAGCCCTTCGCCAGCGATCCCGAGCTTTGACTTAGTTGTTTTGTCTTGCGCTTTCTCATTCCGTGTTTAGCGATACTCGTCATGTCTATAAACAAGGGACCATCTGGCAATCCAGGGCATTCACGACCGGTGCGAATGCACATGAGACATTGTGGAACCGTCGCATCGCATTTGATGCGTTTCTTTCGGCACGTTGCACACGAGTTTGTTCTTGCAGGCATCTAGGAAACTTTGAAGAGGAATCCAGAAGAAAGATGATATGTAGTGTATACGATTAAGACACTAAAGACGATGCATGTGATGTAAATGCAAAGCTGAATACCTAAGTACCCCGCTAGCTAGAGATGGTGAGCTAGGGGAAATTTCCAGACGCGGGATAGTGCGGCCCACATCACGGGGTTCTACATGGGCAGAGCTGACTATGCATTCCATCTCTTGTTTGATCCAGTTGTCGCCTCTTAATCGGCTTTATACAGCCCAAAGCAGGCGGCGTAGGCATATCGGAAAAAACACAAGAGTAATTGGTGTGACTTCAGATACCCTGGTCCGAAAACGACATGGGTCGTAATACAAGACTTCGAACAACAGGCCGACCCGAAAGCGCTCTGACTCTTCATCCACGTCTACATACGCCGTTCTTTTGATTTTTTATACATGTTGTGCTTCAATGAGCTGACAGCCGGGGATGTCATGCCGTTTCGCAGGCTTCCTCCTCGGCAAGTTTTGCTGATCTAATTTGGATCGCGATCCCGGCCTGCCAGAAGCTGACCAAGAGCTGCCGGATGCATCCATGGATGTATCTTGAGTCACTACTAAACGCATCCAAGCGTACCTGTCCACTTCGAAAACAAGCTTCTTCGATAGCGAATCAACCTCGCAGACCCTGATTGGTGGATGGGGACCCGCCTATTAATCTTCAGTCTCGTCCTCCAGCGGCACAACCGCCTCCAGGACCATCAAACAGCGACTCGTTCAGGTTCGCATATGGGGTCATTCCTGTTGTCTCTACCCACCAAAAAAAGCCATCTAGCGCCATATATCTTCCCTTACCGTGGTTCACCACGCCTCAGATCATCCAAGCAGATCCATTTCCCCCCATCCATCCCAGAATCATCGAATTCTGCGGAAGACCTGCCCGAAGTTCACCACGTGACTCAACAAATTCCCTAGAAGTGGATTCATGCGCCTGCTGCATTGGCATTAGCAGTGTAGTTCCCTACTGGCTTCCAATCATCGTGGTCTGTGCTATGCAGCAAATCCCACTTGGACAGTCCAGTCATGGACAGAGTAGGAAGATGGCGCCCCAGAACACGGGGCCGCAGCAGGGCAATGAAAGCTCGGAGAGATACGAGAAAGAGGAACGAGTGTCAGTGACTGCTTCTTCCCCACACCGAGACACTATGCTCTAATACGTTTTCTCAGGGCAAGGGCATGCAAAACGTGCCGGAAGCGAAGTACACAGCCTTCTTCGTTCGCGCTTAACCGCCGATGCTGACAACCTCCCAGAAGTCAGGTGTTCTGGTGATACACCGCGCTGCGCTAACTGCGAACGCAACAACTTAGTGTGCGTGTACGACCCAGCACGAAGAGATCGCTTGGGAGAGTATGTAAACCTGGAATCTCTACTCAATCACGTGTAGGCTAACTTTTCAGGGCCATGCGGTTGAACAAAAACCTTGTTGATCTCCTAAGAGACCTTGAGGAACGCGTCGATGAGGCCGATAAGAAGGTCATCAATCAGACTTTACACGATGTAGGGACCTTTCCCTCATTGAGCTTCCTATCATCTGCTATAGAGTCGTTGTTAACCTTGACCTTTTTTGCAGGTAGAAGACGATCTGGTCTCATTGGGTCCAGTGCGGTCCGTCAAGACTCTGGGTAAAAGGTCACGCCCACAGTCTACGCCAGGTCAAGACGGAAAGGATGGCGATCACGGGGAGGCCTTTGTGACTGCCTCAGTGGGATCCAACGAAGACCTCGACGTTCTCGATGAGGATTTGATGCGCAACCAACAGGCAAGAGAGACCGGCTACATGGGCCAGAATTCTGAGGTTCAATGGTTACGGAGCGTCCAGCGTCAAGCGGAACGGGGCAACACGAATCCTCGTGGTCAGCGATACGGTCCTCCTGGTTCAAGTGCAGAGGCTATAGATGAACGATCCGAAGCTTTGCACGAACGAAGGCAAAATGGAAGCCAAGGCTCGATGCATCACATTACTGACGCAACCTTCTATCTGGATGGCGACGATATTGAGATCGAGATTGCTGTGGATCCATTTGAGATGCCGAGTCCAGGTATTGCTGAAAAGCTCTTTAATTGCTATATGGACACAGTACACGGTACATTCCCACTGATACCTACCACCTTTGAGGACCAATTTCGTCGCTACGTTCAGTCTTGTCGATACGGTCGCCCGTACCATGTTCCCCAAACATGGCGTGCAACCATGAATCTACTCTTCGCAATTGGAGCAAAACACTCTCATCTCATTGGCGCCGAGTGGAGAGGCGACGAGAGAGACCACCTGATCTACATGACACGAGCAGTTCAGCTTTTGGATCTGAGAGACACTCTATCATTCCTTTCAGCTCCTAGTCTGGAAAAAGTTCAGGCAGTGAGTTTTCAATTCTTCTCATTTTTTTCCAAGCGTACCTAACACACTGAAATTTAGACAGGAACGTTATCGTTCTACTTTCTTGTGATTGGGCATGTGAGCAGAGCATGGATTATGATTGGACTCTCTCTTCGGCTTGCGTTTGCACTTGGTCTACATTTGCGGAACGAGGATCCGTCTTTACAACCGGCCAGGAAAGAGTCATTGGTGAATACATGGTGGTGTTTGCATTCGATAGAATGCCTCGTCTCCTCCATCACCGGCCGTCCTCCGGTTATCGCAAACGAAGATTGCACTATATCTTTACCACAGCATGATTCGGAATCGGCATTCCGAGACACCAGCGCGTCCCGACAAGCATCTCGCATTCGCACGACATATGGCTCGCCCCAGACGAACGTGAGTAGCAACGCTTCCGAATCTAGTAGGCGTAACAGCGACCAGTCCCACTACTTTTACACGTACATTACCTTGACTATCATTTCACAAAAGGTCCTTCTCCACCTGTATTCACCTCGAACTGCAGTTCAGTCTTGGGAGGTATGCATGCTCTCTTCCATTCAAATCACATACTTGTCGCCCAGCCGTTCTTTGTATGACCCCGTGATAGTTTGCTAACTATTATATCTACAGCACGTTCAGACAAAGATAACGGAGTTGCTCAAGGAATTGGACGATTGGTTAAAGACAGCTTTGCCACCCGAGGACATCCGTTCCAGTGACTGGTCTCAGCGACCCCATCTCAATCGCGAGCGCTTTTTGCTCCGAATGTACTACTGGAGTACAAAAATCCTTATTACGCGACCTTGTCTTTGCCGGATTGAGCGGAGGATATCAACGGAGAGCAGCACATCCATGAACTTCAACAGCGAGACGGCAGAGACATGCGTTGAAGCCGCTCGACAGATGGCGAAGTTGTTCCCTGAAAAGCCAGACACAGGCTTTATCTACTCTCATGGACCATGGTGGGATGTGACTCATCTCAGTAAGTCTATGGTCGGTGAATAGATATAAGACTATTGCTGATTATCATCCAACAGTTATGCAAGCTTTAGCTGTCCTGTTGCTAGAGATGGCGTATGAGGGCAAGCATTTGAAAGATGAGAAGGATGACATCATTGCATGTATAAAAAAGATGATGCGCTGGCTTCACGCAATGAAAGTGAATGACCCAGTCGCTGCTCGAGCTCACGGCGTCATTTATAAGATTCTCAATACGTGCGCCCCTGCCCTTCGAGAGCAGGTCAAGGAGTTAGTTGCCGACGATATGGATGGGATTTCTCAGCCTTCACGTCCTTCACGCTCTGGAGCTTCCTCCACAGTACATACGCAGTCGACTTCATGGAAAACACCAGTTGACGGCGTCTATTCTCAGGAAATGCCGGCAAACTATCCGCCCCCCCTTTCCCACAATCACTTCATGGACCCTCTTCTCCCATATCCTGGATCGACATATCAACCACCGCCTTATGCTTTTGGCAATCCTTTTATTACGAACTTTGACCAAGGAGTGCCGTTGGTGGACATGCAACAACTGTGGTGGCATTCGGCGCCCCTCAGTAATCTGGGCCTAAATCCTTCTGACACGACTCTACCCCAGGAGCAGCTCATGCAACAGCAGATGCAGCAACAAATGTACGAACAGATGCAGCAGGCCGATTACACAAAGGAGCAGCATGATGGAGAGGACGTCTTCTCACAACCGCCCAGTTAGCCATTGGGCAGACTGATGACGAGGTTAATTCTCCTTTTCAATAGCGTCGGTATATTAGCAAACACCGATTCCCCCAAATAGAGATGGCTTAAGTCACGGGGCTATACACGAAAACACACCATTTCAGACTCATCTCCACTCGAATCAGCGTCACTTCATGCATGTGCGTTCTGCGTAATCTCTACTTCATCCTAAATACTCTCCATCGATGATCTACTAAAAGACGACAGCGACTGCGTTGCAGTATTGATCGAATTAGTAACCCGTTCTCGTTCCCCTCGTCACGTATGTGTCGACATACCTCATTAGGCGACACGGTCTCGTAGAAGACGAAACCCCGATATGCAGGATTGTAATCGTTCTTTTGAAGCACTCTTTTGAGCACGTTTGTATAGGAGGGGTTACAAGTGTCGCTTACCTTGTTGACGTGGTAGGTAGGCGTTAAAATACGAGACAGCGTGCGGTAGATGACCACAACACTATCCCACATCCAGGTCATGGTGCTCGCGTTTGTGGTGGTTAGCTCCAAATGAGTAAGGTGGTTGTGATCTGAGCGCGAGAGGATGCGAGGTGAATGTGATGGTGATTCACAGTGTAGAAAAGACACTGGTGTTGTGTTCTGCGGAGTGAAGAGGCTACGCGCATGTGCAAGAATAGTGCACGTGCAAGGTTTAGGTAAGATTGACGTAAGGATGAGGATTCGCTATACCCTCTCGAGTATGGCACTGAGGGTCCGTAACCAATCGTTCTTGCGCAGGTGGCCTGAAGTAGGAGTTATGATGGTGTGATGGATTCACCAAAGGTTCTTTCGTGACAAGTCCTTGCTATGTATATGGGCCCGATATTCAGCTTCCAAGAGAGACACTATCAGAAAGATTGCAATGTTCAATTACGGTCTGAGTGTGTGTGAGACACTACCATAACGATTCTCGGCGTTCAATTTACAAACAACAGGTCATAAACGGTGCTATACAAGTCAATCATCACTCGTCACATCAACCACTAGATGGCTGCCTCTTCTTCAAGACGTTCCTCCGTTGTTTCCTATCCGCTTCCAATAGTCTTTCCCGATCGATTTGACTCTTGTTACTACTCCCCTTGCCGAAGTCTTCTCCTTGTGTGATTGTGACTCCGCTGACGGCTTTGCCCGCGCCAATAGTGATACCATTGGCTCCGAATTTGCCCGCCATACTCTTCGTGCTCTGCTCGCTGTCGAAGCTTGACCTTCTGGCGGGAGTTTGGTTAGCGGGTGTGGTAGTTTGAGACGGATCGGTACCAGCGACTTCGTCCGAGGACCACCATCCTTCGGGCCGAGAGGTGGAGGTCTTTTCCGTGATTTGTGAATCGCCAACTGACGCACCTGGGGAGTTGAAGGATATGGTCGATATCCTGTTTGAAGGGTCCGGCGTGGATATAGTTGAGATTCTGTTTGAAGGGTCTGGTGTGGACATGGTTGAGAGTCTGTTTGAAGGCGTTGGTGACATGACTCTGCTGCGGATAGGTGAGGGCTTTTCCTCAGTGATGGCCCTCCGGTGTGTAGCAGGTCGTGTTGTCTTGGGTGGAGATACGGCACTGGCTAACGACAATGGCCTTTCTGCTATTGTCGAACCATCGATGGAACTCGGCGTCCGCGAGTGCTGAGGCACTTTCCTTGTCCGTAGCGCTACTGGAGCTGTCGCACTCTCGTCTCCCGCATCGTCGTCATCGTAGTCGTCGCCGTCGAGCCCTGGTAACTTGCTGGATTCTGGCAAAAGGCCTTGGTACCGACCCGGGGATCGCAAGCGTCGTTGTTTTTGACCCTCTAGAGCTGCCACATCCGCGCCTGCAAATTTATCCAATGCTTCAAAGACATGTGGGAAGACAAGAGTGTTGACCGACTCTGCCCATAAGAAGTCCAGATGCTCGTAGTGAGGGATCTCCTTGGCGATAGTATGAGAAGGTAGCTCCTTTAGCATTACTTTGATATCGACCAGACTGTCCGAGCCACCGTAGACAAGCACAATAGGCGTCTTGATGTTCTTGGTCGGAAACTTGGCAACCTTGTAGTATTTGGATCGATTCGAGGTAATTGGGTTTGGTGCTTCATCATCGTACATCTGGAATGTGCCGTTTCGAATGATCTGGAACCAATGTACCACGCTCTTGGTCGACGTGTATGAGTATAGATGCGGGTATGCTGCGAGTTTTTGCTCAGGTAGAATGTTGACAGCGGACCAGTTGAACAGGAAGCGCAGGGACATGTCGATGAAACGAACGAAGATGGGTGGATAGAGGATAGACTGCCACATGGTTGCTGAAGGGAGGATAGTCTTCCGCCCAAACGCCAGATATAGGATATCCGGTGATGCCTTCACAAAGGCATCGACAATGCCGGACGCAACACCCTTTGGCGACATGGCCGGGGCGAGCGCAATGAAGACATCCACCTTCTCATTCAGCGTGGGATGTATAGATAGTGTAGCGAATGCTTGCGCGGTTCCTTGGGAAAAGCCAATGTAGGACAAAGAGGGCTGATGTGTAGTCTCCAGGATATAGGCGATGGAATCGGGAATGTCGTGAAAGGCAAATTGGTCCATGCTGAAGTTCCAGAAGCTGCTCGAGGTAGGAGGCGTATGGACACTCTTCTTGGAGTACTTGTTTCCGCGATTGTTGCCGAGCCACACATCGTACCCTCGCTCTACCAGCTCAAATGGCAAGCATCGCTCCTTGTCGGTCAAGCAGACCCACACCTCGCTATTCATCATAAGACCGTGGTGGAGGTAGACGACCTTCTTCTTGACGCCTTTTGCTCTATCTCCACTGTTGACGCGCACATTTTCTTCGCCTTGTCGCCAGCCCAAACGGTGCAGGCCCAAGAGATATCCATCACCCGTCTGTACAATATGTTCCTCGCAGTAGTAGCCGTAAAGGTCGCATAGCTCGGTAAAATCGGATGCGTTGGCGATGGAGCTCCACACGCCCTTCTTCTTCTGGCGCGAGCGCTTGGACGAGGGCGAGGAGAGGTGGTTGAATAGGCGTCGGGTGAGGCGATAGCAAAAGTTGATAATGGGCGTCGGGAGGGCGAGGGTGATGACGGCGATGATGGACTCGAGGATGATAAGACCTACAGAAATAGACAGGGCGATATACTCGCGGATGTGTAGGCGTGAGAGGAAGGGTATATGGGGCGCCATGGTGCCCTCGGGCTTGTCAAGGCGAGCAGGGCACACGAGCACTTAAAGCAGAGACGAAACGGCACAAAGACAACGCATCGCCCCTCTGGGAGCGCGGACCTCGGAAAAGTCGAAGCTTGAGCCCCTCCTGAATTACGGTGAAGAGGGCATGATAGCTCCAGCAGCCAATGTCGAAATGACGTTCCAGACGGAAGCATCTATCCCTGACATGTGACAACGCATTTAGGCCCGGACGTTAGCGCGACGTTTCCGCCGATGTGCTTTTGCTCCACCATATCACTCCACCCATGCATTGTTGAATGCGCTGGTAGCCACCCACGACCACCCCGCCAACATGCCGCAATCATGTAAAGACATCCGTATGGCTTGTTTCATCTGTTGTCCAATCCCTCGGCTAACCGTAGTGGCTAGGCGCTGCGCTGGCATTCTGCCTCCAAAATAGCGACTGCATAATGGTCGACAGACACACTCCCGGCGAATGTCTGCGTCCGCCCCTCAAATACACGCTCCCCACCCAATGCCAGCAATTGCAGAAAGGATACGCCGAATGCAAAAAAGGCATGATTGACATGCGCAAGCGATTCCGCGGCAACCGCCCAATTGCCGTACAGGGACAACTCGAGACGGGCGCATTTGGCCAGGGACGAGCCGAGGCAGACGAGAAGACGGGCACAATCGAGGAGAAGGGATACATGCTCTACGCCGGACGGCCCTACAAGGACGTCAAGGAGACCAAGGGCGATGAGGATCCAGACAACAAGGGCCTGGAGCGGTAGTGCTGCGTTACCGCGCAGACAGCAACACCGCTTCACTGCGGGGAGACAGTGGAGGCTGCAAAATCTCTTCTCGGATCTGGCACACGACAACTGCATAGATTGGCGTTTGGGTATGAGGAAAGGGGTCCCCATCTCCCCTCTGTATAGCAAGCCTGTACATTACGCATACTAGCCATACATTACGAAACTTTTGGTATGACTCGATGAACAACTTTAGACTACCATGACTAGCTCGCTCTCTAGAAAACGACCATATACGGTCGATCAAAACACTCATCCCACCCCGAAACTCCGCCCTTCCAATATCTCCTCAATATCAAACACGCTTTCAGCGGATAACTCGTCCCTAGCGTCCTGCTTAGATCCTCTAAACTCGCCTCAACCCAGTTCCTTGTCGCCTCCCCACGATGTATAGCCTCTACACCCGCCACGATCAGCGGCCATACCATAAACCTAGCGATACGTGGGGCTTTGAGTGCGACGCGAAGGTTGCTGAGTAGGACATCGCCGTAAGCTGTTTGACTGTCAAGCGCTGCAAACGTTGGTGGGAGGACAGTGAGTGAGCCGAAGGACAAGGTGGCGTACAGCGCGACGGCGGACTTGTACACGGTGCCAATGGTCAGCCATTCCGTGTAGAAGGTCCCGGGTTGCGCCCAGTCCTCGGCGGAGAAGGCATCGATGCGAGTAAGGAGATCGTGAGCCTCCAGCGTGTGTTCCGGATCAAAGTCACACTGTAACACTGCCGCAGAAGCTTTGGCGCGTAGTCGGTTAGTACGCAGCATCTCGGTGAATAGGTCGGGCGGACAAAGCGTGTACGGAAAGATGAGGCTGTAAATGCCGATTATATCCCCGGTGATGTCTTCTGCAGTGTTGCTGATCTCGACTTGGTCCCACGAAGGACTGCACGTGTTGGCCAGAGACACAATACTGATCATCTGAGTGAGATATTGAATGCAGCCTGGAAGACGGAAGCGACGTACAGTAGGTAGATCACCAATGATGGTACCAAGTGCGGTGCCTCCTTCATGAGTTTCTTCGGCCCGCCTCTCAGGTCGACTATTCGCTTCATACCATCCACATGCAAACGCCAGTCCGCAAAGGTAGGATTCTGGACCTAGAGGTACTCGTCAGTACTTTACTTGAAGTCTCGCCATCCAAATATGCTCGACTTACCTCTAAACACATGAACATAAGAATGGTGGTGATTGTCATGTCCGAACATCTTGTCTTGTCTTGGCCGATATGCCGGCTTAGTGCTCGCAGAGCTGCTCCACGGTGATGATACATTTTCCATCGGTTGGGGGTAACCACTGCGCGATCTGTTCTCGACGGTAGAGTGTGGATGAAATGATTGAGGGACAGGCAGACGAGTGCATGGTGAATGGCTGGGGTGAGTAAATGTAAGGCTTGTACAGGAAAAGGTACGAGGGCAGGATTAGGTGCCAACTCTCCGGCTGCCTTGTATCTTGTATGTATGCGTAGGTTATCTGGTCGCATCAGCCAGTTGTTCCAGACATCCGTTCAAAGGTCAAGAATCGGAAACATGAAAGGATCACTTACAGTACTGAACGGCTTGCACCACTTCAGATGTTTCATCCATAAGGTCTTTGTACATCGGTACATCCTCCACCTGTAAAACCCAAAGTAGACGTTTAAGCCGTTGAAGAGGATTAAGATTCGAGCGCAACAACTTCGCAGCCTCCTCTTGTGAGCCGCTTTCGACAATCGCTTCAATCTTGGCCCTTCCGCCAATCTCGAATATCCTAGCAGCCTCTCTGGCACTAGCTATCATCTTGAAAGACAGTGCATGAAGTTCTGCGACCCGATTCTCAGCGTGGGGGGGTCGATCCTCCCCCCAAGCCGCTAGAGCTGCTTCGTAGTCTACGGGTTCACAGATATAGTCCTCTTCATGCAACGGTCCACAGAGCTTATGTTCAGGTGCGCTAGCTTCATGACATAGTCTCGTCCCACTATTGGTTGTAGGCCCAACGGTGTAGATCGTCGGTTCGCCATTGTCTTTCTTCCTCCTTCGTCTAGAAGTCACCTTGCCTGGCTGAACCCACTGCAGCGGTTTTGCGTCATCGTAACCAGAGCACTGCCGACCAGCTTTATGACACTTCTTGCAGTGCGGTAGTGTGTTATCGCATACTAGACGCCGTTTGAGGCAATCCCAACATTGGCGTATTGCTTTCTTTTCTCCTTTTTCGGCCATGGTCGCTTCCGACGGTGGATAAAATTGCGTATATTCAATCAGAAGGTATACGTGAAGAAGACGGTGGTCGCGGCAGGTCTGAACGCTCCATAGAACTTCGCATTTCTGCAGATTTATTACTACAGAGGGCTTAAGCTTACGGTCTGGTCTGATACTGATGAGTGGCTGATGGCGATAGCTATACTGGTCGATATGTCCGTCTTGGCCATCATTGCTACCGCATTGGGTCTAGTCAAGGTGAGGCGGCTTACTTGCAGGTACATGTGGCTGGGGGCCTTGAACGGGTTCGTGTTCGGAGGTGCCGCGCAGAAGCTTGTGCTGCCTACTACATTAGATAAGTGAAGTATCTGATTGGTGATTTGAAGTATGCAGAAATATGGTTTTGGGGTTTGATGGGCTATGATGAGGTCGTTCGGCAGGAAGGAGTGATGCGTCCTGGTCCAATCAGCATTCGCGTCGTCTCAACTTCCCTCCAGGGCTCAAGTGACCCTACCTTGCAAACACCACCCAAATGAAGCCCAGGTCAGGGCACTGTCGTCGCGCCTCGCGCACCACCACTATATTTCTTTGTGTGTATACGTCTGCCACTATGAGAAGTTGCAAGTATCTCACACGTCGCACTTGAACTGCATATAGTCGCGAGATCGCTGAGTTAATTTGGTTCTGCGACAGGACGTTATCGCTCTGTTCGTTCGATTGACCCTTACCGGTTTCTCGTCAAGGAGGCGATATTTAGGTATGTCAAAGCAGTGCTTGCGCACGTGATCCCACCGGAATCTTGGCCAACATCAGTGCCACTTTTGGACTAGCCCGTAGTAATTCCGTTAAGCATGCTATCTTGAGACATTATTCACTATTTTGAAGCTTTTACTGTAGCCCTTGCGGTATAAAACCGCGGGGTTCGCATACTGCTTCTCATACCATCCCCTTGCTCTCTCAACGATCGAAAGTTACAATGGTTCTTGCAAACGGCGATATCGTCCCTGGTAGTGTCTATCTATACCAGCCCGTCAAATGGGCTCCTCCTATGTTCGCAGCATGGTTTGCAGTTGCGACAATTGCACATGTCTGGCAATGCATTAGATACAAAGCATGGAAAATTACTGGCCTTCATCCGCTCTGCGGTCTACTATTCACGGCAGGCTTTGCCGTTCGTTCTTATGGCGCATTCTACTATGAGGATATCGGAGCATATCTTGCAAGTACAATACTGATATACTGCGCACCGTAAGTGATTGGTCCTCTTCTTTGATAGTAACCAACACCCAATGATCAGTCCAATCCTAGAGTTGGCCAACTACCATGTACTCGGCCGAATACTCTACTATGTTCCTTACCACTCGCCTCTCCACCCTGGTCGTACCCTCACCACGTTTGGCGCAATCTCTAGCATTGTGGAAGTTCTAAATGCGATTGGCGTTTCTTGGCTGGCGAACCCCAACGTCCTCGAGACCTATGCCAACCTTGGACATATCTTCATGAAGGTAGCACTAGTCTTGCAGGTCGGTGTCATCCTTTTCTTTTGCATGATTGCTGGGATGTTCCATACGCGGTGTATGAATGGTGGGATCAGGTCAAGGAAAGTGCAGGGTCCACTCTTCACGCTGTACATCAGTATGACCCTTATCCTTACCCGCACGATCTATCGCATAGTTGAGCACTTCGGTTTCAGTCACATACCCCAAAATCCATCGCAAGATTGGGATCCCATGGCGCTTTCTCCAATAATACGATATGAATGGTTCTTTTGGGTTTTTGAGGCGAGTCTCATGCTCGTAAACACCGTGTTGTGGAATTATCGCCATCCGCGCCACTACCTACCGGAGGACTATCACATCTACCTGGCTCAGGATGGGCAGACTGAGCTGCAGGGTTCAGGATGGAAGGATGACATGCCGTGGATTATGACCTTTATAGATCCCTGTGGGTTGACTACATCGTTGACTGGTGGTGCTCGAAGGACTGAGAGGCCGTTCTGGGAGAGCAACGGCTATGAAACCTCGGAGATCGCTCAGAGACATCGCGGTGATGTAGGAGTCAAAGCGTGAGCAGACTACTTCCTTTGATGATCATGTAGAGTAAGTCTATCTCCTACGCCCTTGTCCGTTCTCCAGGAAGTGAATCTAAGGTCAGACAAATAGTATAGACTAGTCGCAAATATCGGACCTTACAATCTTTCATACCGCCGTACGCGTATGTACAACCATTAGGAATGCGTATTGCACGAGATTACCTAGATACTGTCATGAAAGGATCCAGATGCGCGACATCGTCGTGGTGCGCCTTTTAGATATTAGGGCATAAGTGACTGGAAGCCAGAGAAGAGAATCTGTAAGGTGTAATATCGTCCAAGCGCTACCGCCGAATTCAGGGCGTAAAGTGATGTCATAGAAGGCATCTCAGGCTTCCAACAGCCCTTTCAACCACACGACCGCCCCACAATGCGGCCCGCCTGATCTTTCGCCTTCCTCCATCCGACCACGCCTGCCTACGCCGCCCTTCACGTGCATCGTGCCTGGCATTCTGAATACTATATCAATGATGTCGCTGCTACAAGTAATTCAGGACACCAGCGTGTGCAGCCCATTCTACCTCGGCTCCACACAAGATGACCGCTGATCTCGACACGCGTCGCATTCGAGCTTCCACGCCTGCTGAGCTTCGAGACTACTACAGCCAGACATTGAATGATGTGCCAGTCGGAGAAATCACAACGCAACTTCTCCAAGCTATCGAGAGAGGCTCGATATCCCCGTTTACGTTTACACCATGGCTCGGCGTAGCAAAGTCGCCATCCGTCATCCGCGAAGCGCTCAGCCAGAATTTCTCTGTACTGACCCGCAAATTCGCGATCAAGCAGCTTCGCAAAGCACTCCGTTCATCGCGATGGAGGGAGACGTGGGAGGGGATTGGAGGTACTGCTGGTTTGCTTGACATCTTTGCTGACTTCTCGGTGCGCGAGATCAGATCAGCTTGTGTGGCAATTGGCAGTTGCGGTAGAGGGACGGACTTGGCTGAGAAAAGGGAGCTTTTCACACAATTCTTCAAAACGCTACACCCAGATCAATTCCCTGATACGCCGCACAGGACCAAGGATAGACGTGCACTCGGAAAGTTCTATGGATATTTGATTCCTGCGTGCTCAGAAAACCTAGTGAAAAAGGCTATTGCGAGCGATTATAAAGGAATATGGAGAGTGCCGCCGGGAAAGCATCTCATCAAATACTATCCGGAGTATATGCAAGAGCAGCTCATTCGATCACTCAGCGCGGCGCAGTCACCCACCCTCGACATGTCCATGTTTCAAGGTCTATTGCATCAGTATCCTCCGGCCAAATCGACCACGACTGGCTTCTCGAGGTCTATGGAATTTTCTTTGAAAGTTCTAGAGACCTTGAGCAATTCAGCCCGCCGCGTAATGGAGGATGAAACCTTCATCGACCAACTCGTCAATCCCCTCTTGAAACGCGCTATCAAGAAGAATGCAGACTGGAACACTACACAACGAATCGTGGACCTCACGATGCGATATTTGGAGATCCATCCAAGCACGGGTCGCCACATTACTGACTTCCAGGGCGACTTCCTCCAGCAAGTGGCCTTTTGCTGGTCACAACAGCCAAGCTTGTTCGAACAGCAACTCCGGAGACTGTGTTCTCATACAGTATGTGGTACGATCAGCAAGACCAATATCGGAGATTGGAATGACATCCTCTCTGGGATCCCAGCAAAGCAAAGTTACCCACTCTTGAAACTCTGTTACCAAGCGTCTACCTCACTTGATCTTGAGAGCGATAAAGATCTTGCGAAAACCGAGGGCTCGATTCATCACAGCTTCTTTTCCAACATGTCTCCTGCAGACGCTCTTCTACTATTCTCTCGTTTGAGAAGAACAAGGGGAGACATAGATCTGATCGACGCAGATCGGAATTGCTCCATTTTTAGCTCAACTTCGACCTTCGAAGGCTCAAGTGGCGACCCGAATCTGATTCACATCTTCCTACTCAGCCTGAACGGCAAACAAGATGAAGCCAAGACCATGGCCAGTGGCTACATCGATATGCGCAAGAAGAAGGCTGCCACTGCGTCTCATCCGGAGCAACGCGCATTCTTCGCCAAGTCAGCGCTGTTCGCTGCCATAGCCACTGGATCACTTCAGATGCTGAAACAAATTCTGGAATGGGCTAAACGTTTCTTACGAGATCCGCTTGTGATTTGTGAGATCTACCTCCATTCGTATCCTGAAGAAGCTATACGTCTACTGTCAGGTATTCCTGAGTCAATTAATAGGATGTTAAGCCAGGTCGAGCTGCATCAGCGGGTTTCTGCAGCAAACACGATTCTGCGAGACATGTTTGATACAGTTTGCGAAGCCTTGAGAGAACCATCATTCCGGGCAAACAATTGGAGCGGTGTCTTCGAATTGTTCTACCAGGTTGTCAAACTGCGCATCGATCTCACACCGACAGTCAAGAAGCAGCTTAATGCTTCTGACCAAGAGATACTGGCTTGTCTCTGGGATGAAACAATTCCGATGATTATTGCGATTGAGGAGAAGGCGCAGCAAGAGGGCTATGAAAGACTTCACGCTAATTTCCTCCGCGGCATTCTTGCCTATCACAAAGGCTTCACAATTGAGCTCGGGAGCACCGACAACTCGACCTATGCATTCTTCGACTCGCTCGCTCGTGCGCGAGATGAACTCTGGTGCAGGTTGCGGCCTTCAGCTCATCCTGCTACAGCCGCACTTCCCGAGCCTTTCCCACGAGGACTTGCACTTCAATATCTTACCGCTCCGTGGATCTTAAATGTGAAGGATCTGAACAGCGTTGCGCCTTACATTGCATCGCGTACCCATCGTACCCTGTTTCCAGACCCAAAGACTGCACTTCAACCTTCACCATCGGACGAAGACTCTCGAAAGGCAAGCGGGATGTTCGTGGATTGCTACCGACACGCTCTACAACTTTACATACCTAAAGCATGCGACAGAGCGGAGAGACAAGGACGTGTCGGAAAAGTGTGGGAGTATGCAGTCGGTCCTTTGAGTTCAACCCGGATGACGGAAGATGAGGCGATACGCTTTTGGGGCGACAAGAAACCACGGTGTTTGAGTGAGTGGCCGCCTGAGGATGCGATGAGCACTATCAAGAAGCCTTGGCCGTTGCTACCAGAGGACGACGGTTCCGGTGAGTCGTGTGAATGGAACCCCTTTGCATCAAGACCAAACTTTCCTGCACGAGAACTTGGTGAGCCCACCTATGTAAATTTCTCTGTGGGCATATGTCAGAGCATGTATGCAACGCCTTCCACGATTCTCCACGTCGCCGCGTCACCAGCTAAAGTTCCTGCCTACAAAGAAGAACTCCGACATCTTTGGACTACAACACGCGATATGGGTGAAGGTGGTGTCTTGTCGGCTTTGTTGTATCTCGATGCAAAATTCTTTAGCAACGACCGCCTACTAGCTACTCCATTCCCTTCAGCAAAAGACACGCGATACCCCTCTCTGTATCTAGACGACGACTTCCTCATCTCGGAAGAGCCCAACAAGTACATAGCTGCCAGGGACATACATGGTCATCTCGATACGATACCTCCTGCATTACTGGCACAGTCCGCACAGAACCTCATCAGCGCGCTCAATAAGTTCGATAAGGATTCGAGTGGTTTGGATCCGCACGAGGTTGCTATGGAGCTAGTCGCGCGATTGTGCGAGAGTGACAGACCTGGTTTGGCCATTCAGTCAGTTGTCCGTACGATTCTGGGCAGGCCAAAGTCAAGCTCATGGCATCGGAAACTACTCAAATCTAGTTTCCTCCGACGACTTCCGGCTACGCAGGCAAGATCTTGCATCGAAGCTTTTGCCGACGGGCTCTTTCATATTCTTCAAGGCAAGGATGGTAATAAGAGGAACCCAGACGACCACGAAGTTGCATCGACAGATGAAACGCATGCCAAAGTAACTACAGTCAAGATGCTTGCTCAGCTGTTCCAAGACTTGGACTTCATCGGATCGGACTATGCTCTTTCTGTGCTATCGAGACTTTCCAAAATGAAACTACATGTTGACGTTCGGCTCAACATTGTCAAAAGCCTTATTGTCCTGCTTGAGTCTAAGTCTGGAAAGCAGTCTCGCGAAGTACTCACCCTCCTGGAGTTGTTCATACGGCTAGCAGGAGTCTTAAATGAGAGACAGCCGCTAGACGAGGCGATCTGGGTGCAATGCGAACAGGATCTATCCCTTCCCGAGCTACAATCGGGTATTACGGGTACTGAAAGTTCAGAATCACCGATTCTGGTCGCTCTGGTTGCATATCTTCGTCATGACAAGACCACTGCAAGCGATTTCCAATCTTTCGTTGATCGAATCATGCTGCCAATACTGCGGAGCCTAAGAGATCAAACGGCGAGGTGGGCAGCATTGTTCCTTCGCAAATATGGATTGGAAGATGCGTTGCTTGGAGACTTTAGCATTCCACCCATCCCGCGACACCCGTCCGTGAATAGGACTTTACTCTCGGTAGAGAAGGAGAAATTACTTCATATTCCGCGCTTCGTATTGGAAGAATATGTGGCTTATATGTCTTTCAGAATCGCACTCCCAGCGCCCATGCGAGCAATGAATCAACGGCTTGGTGCTGACCCTGCACTGCGTTCGCTTCCTGAAGTCCAAACATGGCTGCAATTGTACGGACAAACGAGCGACGCTATAGGCTATGACTTTACGAACGATATGTATCTCGATGTCGTCGGACTTCTGGAGCATGCTGTAGATTCTTCTGATGATGCGGTCATTACACCAAAACTCGTCCAGGAGCAATTTCTCAAACTTTTCACTGCATCACTTTGGAACGACGCACCAGTATACAACAAGTCCATGAAAGACCTTTGCAAAAGGCTACTGACTGGTCACTACCTCGGCAAGAAGTGGTGGTTACCGTATGGCAAACCGATCTTGGAGGCAATGGTGTCCTACGTAAACACTTTGCGCACACGAGAATGGGGACGCGATCCCGCCCGAAAGCCTTCAGTATTACCTGACACGTTCCCCTGGCGTCTTCTCCTGCTTGACTATCCATGGCCATCACGCGATGAAGATGAAGCAATACGCGAGCGGAAATGCAAGATTTTTGCGGGTCAGCTGATCGCCGTTGTCGACAAGATGGGTCCAGTCTACCATAAGCAATTTGATCAGATGTCTACCTACCTCGCCACTGATATTGTGCGTTCCGAAGGTAGCCAAAGGGGAGAAAAACGATTTGGCACGAGGATGGTTACCTACGATAAACACGATCTGCTACATGGCGCGCTCATCAACAACCGCATCCTGACTGCCATCTACGTAGGCGACATCAGTAAGACAAGACTGAGCTGGCTAACAGCACCGGAATTGATGAGGGTCGAGGTTGCAGCAGCACTGATAGAGCTTGTGGGACCTAAGTTGTGGGAGGAGAAGGCTATCGTCAAAAAGGAGATCAGGGTCCGATTGAAAGGTCTGATAGAAACATGGAAGGCAAGTGAAAATGAGGGCGTCAGAAGAAGAGGGTGGGAGATTGAACAAAACCACCTGAGGTAGGTTCACCTAGAGAATGGAGCACAGAAATAACTTCTGTAATTTAAGGCCTAACTTTTATGTCCTATTGAATCTTTCGGTGCCGTTCACCGTTGACTGGTGGCCTGATCAAAACGACTTCGCAACTTAGCGTGCTCCGCTTGATCTACATACTGCAACTCAGGAAGTGCGGTGATGCGAACTGTTGGAACCCTTCAAGTCGCCATAATGGAGAGTATAACATCACAATGGTATTCATCGCCATAGTTTCCTGATCGTCAATACATTCCGGCACTCCACCAACCACTAATATTCCCCTTTACCACTACCTCGTTGTTCTTCTCCAACCGGCGTCGGATCGCCATTTGCATGTTCCCGTTGATTCTCGACCTATGGCCCAGCTCAATAAGCTATGCATCCGACAATCTCCCTGCCAATTATTACAGCATCTCATCATTCATCACGATGCCTCTCTGGTTCATCGAATGTGCGTCCTGTTCCCACAAGAGGGGTCAGGTTCCCCTCCATATATCGGAAATTCAAGCCGCAATGGGATTAGGAGCGAGGGGACCTTGGATGATAGAAGACAGACATGGTGGAAAGTGGTCCGGGTTTGTTCACTCATGAATCCACCGCATCATGGTATTGGTCAGAACTTGCAGATCAAGGGCGTTTGTACAATGGATTTCCAGTCAGGTACCATCCCCAGAAGCCGGTCCTGACAATGCTGGACATGCATTAGCAAAAGATGCGGACTGTATTTAGGTAATCTTGTGGTTCTGCGTCAGTCTACCAGCATATGTGAAAGGTTGCAGAGATGCAGGGATCATTCATGATGCAATCTTCGATAGCAGACCTTTCGAGGCTGGAGCTTATTTGGCAGATTGTATTTCCCAGTGATGACGGCGTGTTTCCGGAGGATTGAGGATACGATATGTCAGCCAACAACTGGAGTAAATTGACCTTTTCTTGAGGGCGAAATTGAAACCTAGAATGCAGCTGTAAAGCCTCCATGCCTTGAAGACGAAGGCAGAACTGGATTGCGGAAAACCCCCTGCGCTAAAGGCTTAGCGGCGGTCCGTGCTGCCAAACGTCATGTTTCTACGTTCACAATTCATACAAACACCACACGTGCTTCCGTTATGCGAATTTCGAGAGTCTAACCGACACGCAATGCTCAAGCTCGCGGAAATGTATACGCACCTTCTTACCCCGCTCAAAAAGATGCCTAAGCTTTCCGAAGCACATGCCCCTGATGGTAGCAACGGGTGTGCTCCAGAGCCCCACGTATCGGCCCCTCCCTGACATACTTGATGCCAACCAGGAAGAAAACTTTCTTCTCAGGGACCTGCGATGACACCGTGATGTCGATTGATGGTTCAGGGAACCTCTAAACCCTCCCAAGTCCATGAACTCATCACCTTGAGCCACCCTAAAGCTGGTAAGGACGGAGTATATAAAAGGGGGCATCTGCTTGCTTTCAGAATTGAGCATTCTACTAGATCTATACAATCGCTATTCTCCTACAGTCGTTCAATCATCAGTAATCGACCAACATGTCAGGCTGCTCGCTCGTTGCCGCAGGCTTGCCGTCCCTCATTGGGACGGCCACCCCAACCTTCAGCTACGATCAAGCCAAGCATTCATTTGGAACTGGCGACGAATTCGGCATCCAGATGACTTACATGTCGGGAACTTCTACTTGTTATCAAGGAACTAGGCCTACCTTCACTCCTATCATTTCCAACCCCTATCTCTTGTACACCCGTACCTGCTCTTATGTCACACAAGGAGTACCCGCAACCTACACAGGTATCTTCTGTAACAACGCCGACCTTTTCAACTGGGTTAACGTGGGTGCTTACACGCTCGACAATTTCCAATTTCTCAACCCATTCGCAATCACCCCTCGCCCTTTTACTGCCACATTCGGCGACCAGCCTGCTCCGACCACAGTCGCCACAACCACTGTTCTGGTGACCTCGACTACTACCAACACTGCTATTGCTCCCATTCAGCCCGCAGCGACTACCACGGTCACTTCCGCCTCCTCTACTAGCACAAAGACAAGCACAGCCACTGTTACCTTTCCGGTCACCAGTCCTTTCACGCAGACCATCACCTCGTGCCCAACGTCCTCGAGCACGTCTACACGATTGAGCTCTTCCAGCCCATCTCCTTCCCCGATCGTGCCGTCATCATCTTCCAGCTCTGCTGCTCCGATCGCGTCGTCATCATCGTTCAGCTCATCTCCTACCCTGATCGTGCCGTCCTCGTCGACTCCGGTATCGACTACCACCGTGGTCGTCGTTTCGACAGCTACGCCATCGCCAAGTTCCTCTTCCAACTCTGCTCCAGTCTCGTCGTTTTCCTCATCTTTAGTGGCAACCACAACCGTTGTCGTCGTGTCGACCGTTTCCCCGACACCGAGCTCGTCTTCAAGCTCGTCTCCCATCCCATCGCCAAGTTCATCATCCTCTCCATCTCCCATCCCATCATCATCATCTTCTTCTTCTTCCTCCGTTGCTACTACTACCGTTGTAGTCGTGACTACCGCTACCCCAACGCCGGGCTCCACTTCGACTTCGTCACCCTCGCCCGCTCCGGTCAGCTCATCTGTACGCACATCCTCCAGCTTGACCTCATCAAGCTCCGTATCCGGCTCCGTCACTCCTACTTCAGCTAGCCCGGCGCCATCTGCATCAGCTCTGTCTTGCCCTGCTAGTAATGGTGCGACCTTCAGCACGTCTCAAGGAGACTTCGTTGTTGAATGCTTCATTGACCGTAGCAACCATGATATCGGTATTGCACCGAACAACCCTGCGACGTATGAGCAATGTATTCAGGCTTGCGCGAGCGCTACTGGTTGCCAGGCTGTCTCTTACCTTCCTAATGGTCCTTGCTACTTGAAGAATGGTCTGGGTGCGCCCAACTCCAACAGCAACGTCTGGGGTGCCAGAATTGCATCTGTACCTGTAGCATCATCCTCGGTAGCATCCATATCTTCCGCACGCTCTTCTTCCCCAGCCGTTGCTACGACCACTGTTGTTAGTACCACAGTAGTTACCGCCAGCTCCTCTGCCAGTTTTGCTGCCAGCCCCGCCGCCAGCGCTTCGTGCCCTAGCTCAAATGGTGCTACCATCACTGCCAATGGTCAACAGTACCTTGTCGAGTGCGGTTCTGACTACGCGGGCGGAGATATTCCGGGTCCAATGAGCCCAACCTACCCAGGCTCCTATGAAAGGTGTTTGGCGGACTGTTCTTCTACTGCAGGCTGTGTCGCTGTCAGCTACGTCATTGGCGGTCCTTGCTACTTGAAGAACGCGGTCAGTGGTGCGAGGACCAACTCCAACATCATCGGTGGACGATTGATTAGCAGTATCTCGACTTCCGCAGCATTCACTTCTTCGGCAACACGCACTTCTTCTTCTGCGACTACCTCGTCTGTGGCCACCTTCTCTCGCATTACCTCATCTTCTTCTATGGCAGCTACAAGCTCAGCCCCAGCCACTTCGGCTGCTTCGGCTCCTGGGCCCTCGACTGTCACTGTTACCACGACGATTTCCAACACGGCGTACCAGTGCGCATGCACGCCTACCAGCGTCTTTAATTCCTCGTCGAGCGCTCCTGCCGCGAGCCCAACGGGCGCTTCTGTCACCTGCCCGGGTTCCAATGGTTCAACCTTCACGACTTCATGTGGTGCACTGTATGCCGTCGAGTGTGACGCTGATCGTTTCGGCAATGATCGTAAGTATTTCATATTTGTTGTTTCAATACGCAACAGCTAACACAGTATACAGTCCCGAACGGTCTCGTCTACACCGACACATACGAGCAATGTCTCCAGGCCTGTGACACCACCACTGGCTGTGTTAACGTCTCCTGGGTCATTGGCAAGCCGGGTGCTTGTTACATGAAGGGCAGCAACGGCGCCATTCAGAACAACATGAACATCATCGGAGGTCGCAAGCTTTCCGGATGCTCTACCTTGAAGCTTCATCGCAAGCGCGTTGCGGTCACCGCTCCCAAGCAGAAGCTTAAGAAGCGTGCCGGTTTCTACGGCCCTGACTTCACATTCACTCAGGACCGCGTGATTGCAACCTCGACTGCGACCATCAGGGCTACCGCTACTACGTAAGTATTGCCTTTTTTCTGTTTTTCACGCACTTGCTTACCTACGAATGACAGTACCTCGACACCAATCTCTGGTACCGCCACCCAGACTGCTTTCACCGTTGCCTCTGCCACCATCACCACCACCACAAGCGTGCCAACCACCGTCTACAACATCATCAGCATCACTACATGCCCAACTGCTACCCCCATCCTCTGAGCAGTGACGTCGAATTCTTGGTGCATGCTAACACTGTCAAGCTCGTCGACCACGGCCAACCCCAGACAGGGCTTTTGTAGTGCCTGTTACCACACGTTAATCTCAACTACTGTCACTCTTTAGCACATGCTTCACTCTTTAGCGACAGCAAAGCGTGTGCTACTATTATAGAAACAGTAGACAGTTTAATGAAAGTCCTTGTCTTCATGAATTCATGGTCGATTCGATGCTATGACCTGTGATTACATGCGCCCATGCATCTGCCTGGAATGTCTTTGATTCCACGATGAAACATATTCCATCATCGCGAGCCAACGCAGAGCCCTTTCAAGATCCGCCAGCACGTATCTTGTCGCATCACCCCCCACTTTAATCACAGCCTCACATCCATTCATCGACTAGCTCACCTATAAAATCTTGTCTCGGGCCCCCAAAATGCAGAAAAACTAACGACAACACCATCTACCAAAACTTCACCCAGCCCAAGACACAGAAAAGCACAACATGTACAACCGATTCACCCCCCAAGAATGGGCGCGACAGAACCCTTATGCCTACTCGCGCGGTATCTCGCCTCCACGTGGTCGCCACGAAGAACCTAGATCAGGTTACCATACCAACGATTACCACACTGTACGTCGCCCGGCTAGTCCGGCAAAACCATTGAAATTACAGAGGACACCGCGTGTTAACTCTATTCGCCAACCGCGTATGCACGCTAATATGTCGACCGGGTCTGGGCCTGGCAGAAGTGCGATTGATATGGTGATGATGCCGGGTGGTTATTGGTATGGAAGTGATTAGTACCGGATGGGAGAACATCGGGGGAGATAGTGGAGAGATATGAGCGGGGGATGGTGGAGGGGTGGGAAGAAAGTTATATGATGTTTAGAGTTGATTGGAGTGGCATTAGTGGATACTCTTTACGACAACCAAGGGGGTGAATGTTGCATTTGAACTACTGAATTGGGGTTGAATTTTCTTTTTCTATAACTTATCATACTTTACTTCAATCCTGTTTGTATCCTTCCCGCCCCTACAGTACATTTTGAAGTTTCATTGTAAGCGAAATAAAGACCTCCCAGCATCCTTCTTCAAACTCGCGCTTTGCGGTCTGAATTCACTCCCGCATTATTATCACGGTTATGACTGTCGCAAGCACCGAGCCTCATACCGTCCTCGATTGTAGCTTTATTCCACTTCATGGCCATGAGATGAGGCAGACATATTGTAGTTGGCTTGACTCCTTATCATGGATTTCTCCTGCGCGTAGAGCTTTGGAAGGTAGATGGTTCTACCGCCAGTGTTGATGCTGACAGTAGTATCTATACCGGCTGTGAGCTGGTAAGTGCGTAAGAGTATATCATCATCCGAAGTTTGGTAGGAAGTTCGAAAAACATGTCGGAGGTACTATGTGACGTCACTGTCGGTATTACAGTCGTTGATGTTGGAACGCGGGCTACTAGTACGACATGTGTATGTGTTTGAGGCTTAGAACGAAAGCAGACGAGAAATGGCATGTACATTCGCGGTGACTAACATCGTAGAGTGGACCAACCGTATTTTGGTTGTCGTACCATGGTGCTACGGCTTCCTTACCCAGGTATATTTGCGCCATCTCTTATCCGAGACGACATTTTCGTATGGGTTCATGCAGCTTGTGGATGTCGTGAGTGGCCCGCCTGCTCTGCATCTACAAATGCTCTGGAATCGTGACAGAGGATACAAGTCTAAGTTTTTAAGGTCGCTGTTTTGGCTAAAGTATTGTGATTGCTGGAGCACAGCACTGTCAGGCCGCAATAGAGAGCAGCAGTCAGCATCTCCATTTCAATCCCGAAATCCTCCACCCACCTTTCATACGTCACGTCACAATATACCTACAAGCCAAATCAACAGTCAATATTTCACATCTAATTTCATATCTTTCTCTGTGCCTGCGTCGAGCGTGGGAGAGTAGGAGGGAAGAAAAAAACCACATTCGCTAAGCCTAGCCGCTGAACCGCTGATTGCCACAGATTGATAATATAACGCCATGCAAACAATGCCATAACCTTCTCAAAGCGCCATTTACCATCCATGCAACATAAAACAGCGTGAAAACATCATATTCTTGCCAACCCTTGTCTTTCGTGCGCGAGCACCTTCTGAATACAAGTCATTATATCGGTCTCCCTCTAATCGATCCGAGTATGGCACGTAATTCAGCGTGGGTGATGGACTGCCGACGACGTCTGCGAGGGGGCATTCGCGCACTGCCATCGTGGGCGACGATTTGGGGGCCATCAGAGGCCATGAGTCGAAAACTTATGGCGGTATTCTACACCAAATCTACGTTGAACTTCCAGGTGCCTGTCAAAGTTAGCAGCAGTTCAATGAGGGCCACAAGGTGCGAGTCGAATGGGGGCTGAGCAACTACATACCGAGCTTCAGGTTCTCCGCTGTATCGTTGAGAACGATAATCCTCCTTTTTGTGCAGTATGAAGTCTTATCAAGGATATCGACCTTGAGGTCCTTGAGCTGATCAATGGGCTTCTCGAACATCTCACTGAGATTCTCGACTGCCATTTCCAGATCCTTTTGGTTGTCCTCGAAGATCTCCGTAAGGTTGTTGCGGGCAAGGTAATAAGCAAAGGCGTAGGTCCACTTAAGTACCTGTCGACACTGCTGAAGCGCATGTGACGCCTGGTCCAGGAACTGCACCTCAATCCACGACATGCCCGATGAGTTTTGTAGTTGTTGCATCTTCTTCTCCGTCTTGAGGTAGAGGTCCTTGTCGAGCTTGGCCGATTGTTCGTGGTTCGCAAAGCGGTTGTAGTAATGAAGGTATCGTTCGAGCGACTGTCGCGACTTGGCCTGCGCATCACGAGCTTCGGATCCGCTCTTCTCTTCAAAACGATTGCAGTTGTACCAGCTTGTGCCGTGCTCTGACCACTTGCCCATACACATCCAGCAGAACTCGTTGCGACACTTCCTGCACGTCATGTGGTTGCACCCTCCATTTTTCTCGATGGTGGAGTTACAGTTGGGGCATTCTTTTGTGTTGGCCGATATCCAGTTGGCTGTCTCCGAGTCGTCCTCGCACTTCTTGACCCACTTTTTTACCAGGGCACACGGTGCGGGTTGGTGGTTGTTTAACGTGCACCCAAAGCAGAAGTCGTGTCCGCACTCGCAGTGTACTGTCGGCACTATCTTGGTGAGATCCTTGCTCTTTACCGGACATTCTACGGCGTATTTGCAGTCGGGCGCAGGGCACCACTTGAGGTTCTCTTTATCGTCGACGTATGTTCGTGTGAGGAGGGTGTGGTATCTATAACCGTTAGCAGGTTTGGGGAAGGTAGAGCGGCAATCAACATACCTGTCTTGGAGATCTGCTGTAACGAGAAGGTCTAGCGATTTCGAGTCGACTATCCGAGTGCAGCCCTCTCCGGGACAGCGTATCCGAGCGGCCTCTCCTTCGTCTTGGATCTTGGTGCCGAGGTACTGCCTGTAGCAGTCCAAGCAAAACCTGTGTCCGCACTTCATGGCAAACGTCCGCATGTCCTTGTCATCGCCGCAGCAGATATCGCAGACGAAGCCCGGTATCTGCTCGATCTTGGGCGGGTTTGTGGTAGAGTCCTGGCCCAGTCCTGCTGTCTCTAGGACTTCGTCTGTCTTCTCCATGTATTGATCGATCAAACGCTCCTTGTTCCATCGTAGGTAGCGGAGAAGGATAGCGGCGGCTTCAGGTGGTTGGCCGAGGATGCTCGAAACCTCGTCGATCTGCTTGTCTTGCTGTGCTTGGATCTGGGCAGGGTCAAAGACTTTGAAGTCAACTTCGAAAGCCTGCTTAGTGGGCTTGATGTCCTTGTCTTGCGATTCAAAGCCAACGTCATCTTGGTCCATGTCAAAGTCGGAGTCTACACAGGGTTAGAATACATTTCCAATAGCAGCTGAAGGGATGCGCACCCTCCTCCAGGCCCAAATCGCTGTCCTGGTCGTCAAAGTCGTCGCCGCTCATGGAGCTGTTGAAGTCGTCGTCGGAGTCCATCTTGTCGGCGTCGGTTACGGGGGTAGCCGGTAAACTGACAACAGGGGAATTTGTCTTCTTATGGGGTGGTTCCTCTGCGGGGCTGAGGTAGTTGTCTGCCTCGTCGGCCTTCCGCTTGCGGAGGGTAGTTGGAGGCGTGATGATGGAGATGTCCCGCCTGATGACGGAACGCTAGCTGGACAGGCTGCGGCGAATGAAGCGTGTGTACAAACAAGAGATAAGGCCTGAGGCGCGCGCGCAGAGTGGCGGTACAGGTGCAGTAGAAAACAAGGGTATTGGTCAGCTGAACAGAAGGGACGGAGTCACAAGAGTTGGGCGAGTTTGGATTCATGGTCCTGGATGCGGGCACTCGTCGGGTGGCTCTAGCGTCTTTGGGAGGCAACAGCCCAGGGGCGCCCGGAACTTGGCCGCGTTCTCCACACTTCGCTATGACGCTTCACCTAGACAAACCTAGGTGCACAATCCTTTGTTTAAGACTAATACCTTGACGTAAAAACACGACAAATGCCTCCAAGGCAGCCTTCCAGCTCTGTGAGCTCAATTTGTCTCTTGCAGAGGACAGTCAGCCAAACATCGCCTCTGTAATGGTCTCGCCTATACTAAGATGAAACCGGCCAACATAGACTTTCTTGAACTCATGCTAGTATTGCTTTTTCATGTAGCATCATGGGCTCCAACACTTGGATGCAACAGAAATTCTTATTCGTCATACTTGCTCAGTGCTATAGCTGTCCCTAGTCATCTTCCTCACTCTCCTCCTCGCTCTCGTCCTCACTCTCCTGCTGCAAAAAGTCAATCAAGCCCTTGGTCTTCTCCCTAACCTTCTCCATATCCGCATTCTCCGTGCTCTTCTCATCTTCCCACCACTGCATCATACCATCCTCTTCTATCGAGTCCAACTCGACGAGTTTGGTCGATGCGGTTAGCAAGATCGCGTCGCCGTTCTCCTTGTTGCACAAGTCTGCTTGAAGCAGTAACATAAAGTCGGTCTGGTCTGTCTTGCTATCTGCATTCTTGTCGAAGATGGAGCGGTCGATGAGCTCCTTGTGTTGCCCAAAGACCTGCGCGACGGCGTTCTTGATCGGCTCGCCCGACTTGGTGAGTTGGATCACGCGCTTGACGAATGACGAGACGACTGCACGTCTGACTTGATGATCCGAGGCGTTTGTGCTCATGCGGAGTGCCGTCAGTTCCAGCTGAATGTTTGCCGACTCATGGCCTTCAACAAGCGAATCGTAAATGCTGGCAGATGCGTCGTGATCAAAGTTTGCCGCGTGCTGGCTGTCTACCGAGCCTACAGATAGGAAACTACTGGTGGCCGATCTGTCATGGCGTTCCATACCCATCATGTCTGTCTCCGACTCTGAATTGATTGTGGATATTGACTCGTTCGAGAGGTTATACACTATTCTTGTTAGCACACATACGGTAGGCAGTCATGTTAGACTTACTGGGCCCTCTGGTGGAGAGACCATCGACGAGCTCGTCCTCATCGTCCTCGTCAGAATCATGGAATTCGAAGCCGTCACCTTTCTCGCCAACTATCGCAGGGTCTGAGTCGCCTCGAACAACATCCTCCCCTTGTTCACGTCTCCGCTTTGCTTTTGTGATTCTGTGGTCTCCCCGTATTGTCATGCCTTCACCGATGCTAACCCCATACGATATCAGAGCACCAGCTTCGATGGTACACCTACGACCTATGGCCGCTTCATTCGCGATGACTGCCTTGGTGACGGTGCTGCCGTCTGCTATGCTGGCGTAATCCCAAATGTACGCGCCATCAATCGTCACATTTCGACCAATCTGACAATGCCTTCCAATGATGCTGTTGGTAATGATGCTCTTGTCGCCTATGCTGGTACCACGCCCAATAACTGTCTTTGGCCCAATGATACAATCCCGCGCGAGTATGACACCCTCCTCTTTGTACGTGTTGCGCTTTTGTAACCGATACGACTGTCCTTGTACGAGGTTGCTGTCTGGACACAACGGGTATGCCCAGCGTGATACAATGTCCTTGCTAACCGAGTCGTATGCGTGGAGGTTTCGTACTCGTGCCGCGTAGTGATCTGAGATGATATGCGTATGGAACGTCTTTCCGTTGAGCTCGTAGTCTTTGAGTACACTGTGTAGGAAGCCCTTGCGTGGTGCTTGGAAATCGAAGTTGTCGCTCCATAACGCAAGTACGTCGGGCGTGCAGATGTCGATGCCGCAGTCGATCAGGTCTTGGCGCACTTCGATCTCTTGGTGGGTGGAAAGCAGCTCGGGGTCGATGGAGAGGTAGTGTGTCTGATCGCGGTTCGGCATCTGTTCAAAGTGTAGACATCTGTCCTTCTGCGGATCAATCACAAAGACTGGACTTGTTCCCTGGGCCTTTGTCCTGTGAGTCGCGCCTGCCTCGCGTAGCACCATGGTCATGATGGCATTCTTATCCTTCGCCCGTCTCGCCCTGTGCGCGGCGAGCGCAGACTCCAGAGGCAGGTTGCTGACCACGTCGCCATACACCAAGAGGAAGTCGCCCACTAGCAGACCCCGGCTGTCCAGGTCTCGCATCGCATCGCCAATCGAGTGTGACGTCGATTGAATGAGATCCAGTCGCGAGAAAGGCGATGACTTGGAAGACCATCTCGAGGCTTTGATGTAGTCTTCAACCTGTTCCCTGTGTGCGCCGCAGTATACAAAGACTTCCTCTACGCCTGCGTTGGCGAGAAACTCGAACGTGTATTCGATGAGCGGGGTATTCGCGAGGGGCAGAAGACACTAGCAAGTGTCAGCGTGCAGCTGGCAGTATTTGGGACATGCGTACTCTGGGATGCTCGAGTGTGAATGGATTGAAGCGTGTCTCGAAGGGGTCTGCGAGTATCTGAAATGTTAGCACACTTCGCGAACAGGTACATGGCGCAACCTACCACAGCCTGTAGCGGCTCATCGCGCTCCTCCTCACCCGACTTGCCCTTATCCTGGCCTCTCTTGCCTTTTGGGGGCATGTTTGGAATTTAGTAGTGTGTTGCGCAAATGGTGGAGGGGCGCCTGGACCTCTAGATTCGTGCAAGTGGTGGGGTTTGGTCTGCCGACTCCCAAAAAAGCTTCCACAAACTTACCATCACCGCTGAGTCACAAGCCCCCGGACCAGGGACCACCACGCAAAACCAGATCTTCGGGTCCCGTCACGTCTCAGATCTTCTAGCGGGGTGGCTTTGCGGGTAAGCCGCTGCAACAGGGCGCAGGATTCTCGAACATGCTCGTGCGCGGCCTTTTGGGTTGGCTATCAAGGTCTGGACCACCAGGGAGGACATCTACTCGGGAATGCTTATTGCGACGACACTTGTACATGGAAGCATTGGTGAACACTGGAATGCATAGCGGAGAACGCAACTCTACGTAAAACGCACCATAGAGTCGGTACTTGTCCTTTGAACTTTTGAAAGGACAGGAAATTGGAGTGATAGTTGGCCAACTCGTGAGTGTACATCAAAAGTAATGAGTACTATAAGCAATGCGATTACGATGCAAGGTTTCATGTGTCATCACAATCCCCTGTCCTTGAGAAAAGAATTGATGGATTGTTTATCTAGCATGTAGGGTATTTTTTAGCAAACGTCCGACCCGAACCCGACACAACGATTGACCGTGGAACGCCGGAGACCCTTTGGGTCCTTGATAGCCTCGTAGACAGCTTCCCAAGCTATCCTTTCCTTGCATTCATCTCCCGTAGATACAAGGGCCGACCACGACTTTCGGCTCTGAGATGGCTGGACCTCTATATCCAGCAATGCAGTGCGTCCTCCACGCCTGCCAACAGGAAGCCGGTGGCTGTGCTCTATTTTTCCGAATTATGAACATGAAAATTCCCTCCTGACCGCCTCGTCACACTGGACATCAACGTGGGCGCGGTTGCATAGAACCCATCTGCTGCTGCTGCTGCTGCATTTGCGGGGGGTACATTTGTTGACGCTTGGATGGGTTGTTCATCTCATCACCCCCGGATATCTCAGAGACTTGACGACGATGTGGTTGTTGCTGTGGTGGCATCTGCATGTGTGGCGATGTGCTGTATCCCATATTCGCATGCATGGAACTGACCCCGTACGGACTTGGGTGCTGCACTGGTTGGCCTCGCATTGCCTGCGCAAAGTCATCCGGAACCGTACTACCGACTGGAGAGACGCCCGGCATTTGGCTGGGTGAATTCCAGTTGCTGACAGTCTGTGGGGATTTGGCCGGAGAATCTTCCTCTTTGAGGACCAACTGGCGTGCGATTTGCACAGGCTGAGGTGCCACCATGGTCCCGTCAGCTTGAGCCATCGGTTTTTTGAGATGTACAAGATGCTTCTCTAGCATGTGCAAGAGACCTTCTTTAGTAAAGGGCTTGGGAAGAACGTCATTCATGCCTGAGAATATTAGCACGTGTAAAACGAGTGCGATGGGCCTGGCTTACCATGTTGGAAATACATTGAAATGTCGTCACTTCGGATGTTGGAGGTCATAGCAACAATAGGAGTTGTGTCGAACTGCCGAATCAAATGGCATGCTGACACACCGTCAAGGTTGGGCATAATGATATCCATCAAAACCAAGTCGTACTTGGAGCCAGCGTTCATTTTGTTGACCGCTTCCAAACCATCGAGCTGAGTTTAGTCAGTACGTAGTACAAATGGCAAGGAAAGATGACTTACAGCACTATCGATGGAGCAATGGAAAGCATACAAGAACTTGCTTCCGATTCGACGACAGGTGGGATCGTCTTCAACAAGCAAGATCTGGGGTGGTCGAATCCATCCTGGGTCTGGAATGGCGTTCTTCTTTCTCGGTTCTGGTATCCTGGGCTCGCTAGCTTCGACCGCTTTGGGTGGAGCCGCATACGGGATGTTGTTGATGTGCTCGCTGTACATGGGGTCGATGCCGTTGTTGGAGCCGACTGGATAAACGAGGTTATCAATGTTTTCCAGACGCATTGAATTGGTGGAAGTCGCCGATGGCGGGCCGCGGCTCGTCGGTCGCGCTGCTGCTCGCGCAAAATCTGGTGGTGGTGTTGTCAAGGTGCCGTTCATCCGCATGGTGATCTCGTTCATGTGCTCCAAGTTCCGGGGGTTCAACATGGCATCCGCATTTGTTTCGCTAAGAAGCTTAGAAGCGTGCTGCAAAGGCGAAGCCGGGTTGTCGTCGTCATTGGCCGGGGTAGGCTCCATGGCGCCATTCTGCGAGTCGGCGCCATTGGGGAATATGAGTTTGCTGTTTCTCCTCTGGGTCGCGTCGACGCCGTGCAAGAAAGTCATAATCTGCTGCATAACATGCTCGTGGTTGACAACCGTCTTTTGTAGCCCAATAACTTCCTGCAGGAGCATTGAGTGATGAATGCTCAGTTCGCTATAGCGACCCTCAAGGGCATGTAGTTGAGCTTGCGTGGCCATCAATTGTCCACTAACCATGTCCATCTGTTGCGAGGGCGCGAACTCTTCGGCGGCGGCTTGGTTAGGTTTTCGCGGCGCGGGAGCCTTTCGACGAATGTTATCCAGGGCATCTTTGTTGTTCATCTTGAAGTCTGGGTGCTTGAATTCCCAGGCCTAATGCATCGTTAGCCATGATACTCGCAAAGATATCCAGGATGCCACATACCCCCGGCCCGTAGGGCGATTGCCCATTCTCTTCGTTGTTATGACGAACTTTGTGGAAATCGTACTTGTTCAGCTGTCGGACGAAACTAGCAAAGTTGCTGTGTTTGAAGTGCTTGGGCAGTATGTGTTTTGTAAACTTTTCGTTCTATCCGTTTGTTAGCAACTCTGCTTGGTTGACAGAAATGTGAAGCGCATACTTCTAACACGACGAAACTATCGCCGTCATTCCCCCATCGTACTACGCTCTCGTCGCTCGGGTTTTCCAGCATTCTGGATCATTCTTAGCACAACAACATGACGCGCATGGGCGCGTCGACCTACTTGTACAGCTTGCGCACAAAATCGCTCGAGTTGTTGGACCCTCCCCCACCGGGCTGATTGGGATCCATGATGGCGGTGAATTGACGAGTGTTGAGGGCTTAGGAGCCGTTCTTCGTAACCCGTATTGATGCGCAACGGCACCCGGAGACTCTCGTCGATGGCTAAATGCGATAGCGACTTCCCGGTTACAATCTTCAGCACCTAGAAGCGACTGCGATCGAAGCTACGGGGGACGGCGCGCGAGGTTCCGGCGGCGCGTTCTTTGCGCTTAAAGTTCTGCTTGGCTGCGGACGATCGGTGTTGGATGAGCGATGACGAAATTTCCCAAAACGGGCGCGCCTTGTTGCAGACGAACAGAGGGCGATAGACAAGATCTGGACCGTCAAGTGTAAGAGACAGGGAGAACATGGGCACATTGGCTCGTGGCTTCTGCGCGGGCACTTGGGAGCTAAACGGGCCTAAAGCAGGTTAAGATGGGCTTGAGAGGAATGCAGTTGGCATTGCGCTAGCGGGCGTCGTGCCGAGGGAGACAAAGCAGGGGGGGGGAGCAATGACAGGACACGGGACACGGAGTCGGCGGCAACTGAGTCGTCGATGAAGTCTGTATCGCGCTCACACACTTCAATACAGTTCGGTATTACACTGCTTTTTCTGAATCTACGGTTCAGTTTTAATGGTTCTCACGCCCATGGTCCTTCTGGCTCAGGTCTCCACTGATTATGCCGTTAACGATTCATCGCCGGCTTGAGGCACGATCGACATAGCACCGAATAGCTCACGCTAATGCTGGTGTGGGTCAATAGGTTAGCATCATTATCCACATTTTGCTGGTGCAGTCAAGACTAGTCTGAATATACCATAGCTAATTACAGACACGAGTGGTCTCAACGTGTATCTGGCACTTTTGGAGAACCTGCAATGTACCTAAACCTTGGTGTTGCATACTGCGGTGAAGCAAGTGCACACGTGCTGCGTAAAGGGAAGTGAGCTGGTGGGTGCGCTTGCCGTCTTCCGAAAGCAATGACACCGGCAAAACACGTCGTGCCCCCACTACCTCACGAGGCTCACCACCACCAAGCACACGTGCTCTACACCCACACCCACACCCAACCTACACATATCGTCCTGCATACGCCATGTTCGCTACCGCCCGTCGTCTACCCCTAGTTCGCCCAGTCGCCAGTCGCCGTCTGTTTCACGCCTCTGCACCGGCATTCGTCAATGTTGGTGACAAGCTACCTGATGTCGACCTCGTCGAGGGCTCTCCAGGCAACAAGGTCAACCTAGCAAAGGAGTTGACCGGCAAAGGTCTCATCATCGGTAATTCTCTTCAAACGTGTCTCGTCAATGAACACACATCTGACAGCTGGCAAAGGTGTTCCGGCGGCCTTCTCGCCGTCGTGCTCCGAGAACCATATCCCCGGTTATATCAATTCGCCCAAGCTGAAAGATGCCGGCAAGGTCTTTGTTGTTTCGGTGAACGACCCTTTTGTGTAAGAGCATACTTTTGAACATCTCCAATGCACTCGAATCTGACCACGTCCAGTATGAAAGCATGGGGTAAGATGCTTGACCCCTCAGGTTCCAGCGGTGTAGGTCTTCTCTTGCTTGCCTGTAAAGCAACCTGGTGTTAACCTCGGCAGATTCGCTTCCTGGGAGACCCCAGTCTCAGCTTCACAAAGGCACTTGACCTCTCTTTCGACGGCGCCTCCATCTTCGGAGGCGATCGTTCGAGGCGATATGCTCTAGTAATTGACAACGGTGCCGTTAAAGCAGCACACGTCGAGTCTGACAACACAGGCTTGAATGTCTCTGCAGCAGACAAGGTTCTGTAAAGAGTTCATGACAAGCTGCGTAAGAGAGAAATAAATGCCTGCTGCGGCGACGACGACGGATTATGCATCTAAAGTTCACAAAATGGATTATGATAGCTTTGAGAAGTAGCGGAAGCCTCGCCGGCTTAACGACAGGGTCAATATATCATGTTCACACCTACGAAGCCAATCATAATCTTTTCATATGTGCTGAACTACTGCCAACAGGTGGCCATTATGTGACGGGTTTTTGTTATACCCTACTAAACTCTCGTCACATTCACTAATTGTGCTTGAAACCATTCAGGCAAACCTAGCTTCTTGTGAAACTTGTGGGGTACATAATCATAACATGGCTAAAAGAAACAAAAAAGAAGGGTCTATCTCCTCTCCATTGATTGGCGAAAGAAGAGAGACGAGGGTCTTTCAGGTTGATTGACTCGGCTCTTGAGAAGTGACCAACGCTACTCCTAATCTAGAAGTTTACTTCCATAAGCCTTTCGAACGCCTTGGAAAAGGTAAATAAACGTTGAATGCCTACTAGAAGATGACTTTGACATGAACTGATACTACAGCCATCCTCGTACAATCATGCGCGGGCAATGGAGCATATGCAATCACCACCATAGGCATTTAGTTCAGCTACATCACGGCAGCGTCGTGGTCAATTGGCAGTTTGCTAATATCATACTAGACCAAGCAGAAAAGAAGAGAACACTTGAGACAGGGAACAGGACAGCGACCGCTAACCATCAACCGCACTGCAGCAACGTCCTGTCTTACCCTCCGCGGACCCTTTACACGTTCTGCGTACACAGACCACCATCAATACACCATCTACCTTTTGCTGGCAAACGCGCAAGACCCGAGATCACGCTTCTCGACCGGAAGATGCGGGCTAATGTCAAAGTCAAAGATATCCATGGGCAACCCCATAGTCGTACACGCATTGGGAATATCGACGATACCAGCCACATGGCCTTGAACCGGCGCACAAGACAACAGGAGGTAGATCTGGTAGTCGTTGTAACCTGTCATGTTGTTAGTAAGAAGAGTCTGTAAAAGGAAAAGCACATGAAACGTAGGATCAATCCCCCTACCCCACACCCATGACTACCACCAAACAATCTCATTGCCAAGCCACAAAAAAAAACAAATCGAAATCGAAACACCCAGGCACCAAGAAGAAGAACCTAGACAAGAAAAGCAAACAAGAGAACAAAACTCACCAAACCGTCTCAAATACTCGATAACCCTCAGACTAGTTTGCCGATACGCAACCGTCGTGTCAAGGTAATGCTGTTTGCCGTGCTCATCCACACTAAAGCCCTCAAAGTAAATGTACCTTCCAGGGCCAAACTGGGGTTCCACGGGTCCTGGGATGTAGATTGGACTCTTCATATCGAGTTGTTTTATGCCGCCCTTCATGACGCTGAACTTGATGGTTATGACGCCTGCCATTTCAATTGCGCCACAGAAGGATATCTAAATGTCGTTGTGTTTAAAAAGTTAGCCAACATACAGGTAATAGTTGATGAAAGGGACTGTTTTTTTTTCTTACCTCGCCATCGCCTTGACTGAAATGTAAATCTCCCACACTAAACTTTGCGCCCTTGACATGAACTGGCAAGAAAACTTTGGATCCCCTCGACAGGTTCTTGATGTCGCAGTTGCCACCATGTTCAGGGCGTCCTGGGATAGTGCGCGCGCCTTCTTTACCAATCTTCTCTTTCAGAGAGCCGGTTGCGGAACCTGCGTGCACGCTTTTGGGCTCGGGGGGTTTGGCCACGTCGCGATTGAGGTGCGTGTGTGTAGAGATGAGTTCGGCTTCGCGCGTGTTCCAGGTTTCGAGGACTTCAGCAGAGGGCGCACAACCAAGGACTATATGGTAGGGTGTCAAGTCAGTCCGTGTGTTTTTTTGGGGAGGGTGGAGGGTGGAGGGAGGAAGAAGGATTAGGATGACTTACTGCCAGGATGGATGAGACCTGCGAATCTTACACCGGGAATATGGCGGGAGCTACAGAAGATACCTTCGAAATCCCAGATAGCCTTTGCACTACAAGTAAAGTGTCAGTCCACATTCCTTTTCCCATGTCTTTTTACCATCTCCTTTAACAAACTTACGGCTCAGGATAAATCTCGTCCAAAAACCCTCCACCATTCTCCTTCGCAAAAACACCCGTGAAACCCCAAGGTTGCTCTTCCAGCGGCTGTACATCTTGAATATCAACGACCAGGACATCGCCCGGCTCCGCAGTTTCGATGTCGAAAGGTCCGGTTAAATAATGGATCTTGGTGAGGTCGACATCGCGCATGTCATCTGCAGAGTCATTGTTGCCGATTTGGCCACCAGTCCAATCCACGCATTCAATCTTGACGGCTTCACCGGGTTTGATGGTGCCGTAGGAGGGGTTCTCGGGGTGCCATCGGTTCTAGATATGTCACATTTTAGAATGGCTTTGGGGATTATGAGGTCGTTTGACGTACGTGTAGGCATTCTTGCTCTGATGCCGGCTTGTCTAGCGAGACTTTTGCCGCGTACCGGAGACCTTCTTTACCCATGCTGGACTATTCAAGTGTATTGGAATTGAAGAGAGCGCACTGTGTTAGTCCGGGAACAAGGAGAAACGCTTCTAGTCGCGAGAGAGGGGAACGTCACGTATATGAAGCTCAGCAGACGCGGGCAAAGGGAAACCCTCAACCTATCAATTGTTATCTTGGACGTATGAACAGCTGCCGAGGACAAAGCCGAATGTTATATCCACCAACTATTACTACAAGGTGGGTGATAAGCTCGACGATACGCGGCTGTTACGTTACGTACCATCGGATGGAGCTGTAAGCTACCTACCACAATAGGACGCGTCGACTCCACTGCGGGGTATAGTCATAATGTTACCATCATCATACAGCGGCTAGATAGCGTGAGAGCTAGATATACCTGATTGCCGACTGCGCACGTACTAGCTGCGGCCCATTTTACAAGGTCTCGTCTGCGTCATGCTGAGTGGCAGGTCTCGGCTCGCGTAAAGCTAGTCGTTGGAGTTTTCCACGTCATCGCAGCCTAGCTAAATGTCTTTCTTGGTGTTTGGCGCACTTCGGATTGGAACTTGGGTTTGTGCATTGCGAGGTTGTACTCGTCCATGTGCTGCCATGGCAGGTTCAGGAACTCGTGTTTGTTCTTCCAGCGCAGTGACTCTTGCTTGAATTTCTCAGCTTCCGTCGGCGGGAGCGGCGGCTCTGTGATCTTGGTAATGAGATATGCTGTTGACGCTTCGGCAAGACCATAGATGAGGACGCCGACGAGGGGTATCTTGACGAAGATGTAGAAGCCTAGGCCGAAACCGAAGAGCACGCCAGCCCGGTCTTTGAACCACACCTTCTTCTGTTCCTTGTTATATCGAACGCGTGAAAAGTAGGGCTCGAGCTGCTTAAAGTTAGAGTAATAATCATGAAGTGTAGTGGCGAGGTACGTACCAGCTCACGCATGAGAGTTCGTGACGAGAAGTAAGCTTGCAAGAAGCTGACCATATATCTCCGGGGAAACAACAGGGATGCTGCGAATATGGCTGCTGCTGGTTGTGTTCCCACTGATTTCCTGAACGTGTAGAAACTGGCAGCGGGCAGCACGAAGCGTCCTACGTATGGGACGTAAGACAATGCCAATACTGTCAAAGAAATGGCAGCCTTCCTGCCCTGCTTTGTTGCATACATCATGACAGCCTGTTTGATTGGCTTCTTCTCTCTCTCGACTTTAGGTGCGTGATCGGGGTATTTCTCGAGGTTCGGATAGTACATGGCGCGGAGGTTGTGGGGGTCTTCGGTCTTGTGCTTCTGTACGTAGGTCTCGTCCACCCAACGGAGGGAGTCCATGAACCTGAAAAGCGTTATTAAGTGGACATGGAGAGTAACTAAGGCATCCATACATGCGATCCAAAGTAGGAGTGACGTAGCGCATCATCGTCATGAGGAAGAATGGCACCTGAAGTACGGTATGCTCAAGGAAGTGGAGGCCATTGACGACGCTTTCGTCCATGTGCGTATGGTCCATATTGATGAAGAGGGAGAGTATCCATAGTAGCACTCTTACGCCGACAATCTGGATGTGTCAGTTACGGTGTTGACTTGCTTGGTGGGGGGAGATGGGGCGCACGGGTATGGCGACAATGATACGGATGGCGATGCCTGCAGCTACAGCAATAGCAGCCTGTCGATAGTGGTCCGAAGTGAAGAGACCCGGATTCTGGAGAGCCCGATTGACTGTGAAGGAGGAGGGGCGTTAGAGTTAAGCTGTCATTACGATACTCTGACGGGCAGAACTTACCACCGACCAAAGTCAGCTGTGCTCCCCGCAGAATGGCATTAGGGTCGAAGTTGGATACATCGAACTGGGACAAGTCGATTTTGTCCATGTTTGCAAGGTCGAGGGACTACCGGGCAGCTTGGTGTTGTAATCAGGCCAGCAAACCCAGAGCTTGACTCCACGTAGAGGACGTGTGCGAACGCCTGCGAACTGGCGGAGCGATGACGTCGCACTAAGAGCTCCACGGACCCATCCATCTGCAGCGTGTTGCAAACAAAGAACGCGTTATTGATAGCGCATGCCATCACAACAACGCCGCTTCCACCCGTCACCACCATCTCATGATGAGCAGGCTGCATAAACGCCATCTTGACGCGTGCGGGGTTCAGACGATCCGCTGATCAGGTTGAAACTCGACTTTGTCCCTGTGGCCAATGCGCGCAGCGTTCCGAAGCCAGGGACTCCGTTCGGCTTCAGCCTTCCATCACCTACCCAACTCAAAAGTAACAATTGTAATCCTCTCCACTAGCGCCGGCCGCTGTCTTCTCAGGGAACCTTCACCCTGACCTCACCCTGACCTCACCAGGATAGCAATGTCCATATAGAGCGCCCATTATGACGATGCCGGCTTCATCCCAGCATGCGCATGCTGAGCACGCGCCGTCCGCTCTCAACTCCAGCAACTCCAGGCGCAGCTTCACGCTCCCCGCGCGCGCGGCACGAAGGACTGAATCGGTGCCCGCGTCCAGGAACAGCGCAGACGGCATAGAGACGCTGTTTGTGTGTTCCAACTCTAAGATCTTCTCCTTTACCACAGCCGGACCCGCTCGGCGGCTTTCACCTTCCCGTTCAGGTGACACGTCGCACACGATACCATGGAAGACGCCTACAGAGCGTACGCTTGCAGTTGGTATGCCATCCCACGTGTCGCCAGGCTGAAGACTGTCTAACGTATCACAGGGGCTCTTCGAATCTATCGCGTGACAGCCTCCAACGTCTCCTTCCTAAACAGCGGCAACCTTCTACATACAATCTTCCCCAGGTCCCAGATATGGCTCGTCGACAACCAGTCAGTCTTCGTGCTACGCGTACGCCAGGACTCGTACTATCGCATCGAGCTCCCCTATGAAAGCGATGCCGACAAGGAGAACATCGCCCAGTTCAAGTCGGTGTTGGCGCAGGTCATGCAGTACGAGAGAACACAATGCCCGTTCGCGCGGGGATTTGAAATCGTCGCAGAGCTCGAGCGTCCAAAGAGCCCACCACGCAAGACCATTAGGAGGAAGCCCTCGGGACAGGCGAAGAAGTGGGTCATGGATAAGACCTGGGTACCACAGCAACACGGCTTAAGGCCCTCTACTTCTGGTACTGATCGCTCAGAGACTGGTACCACTTCCTCATACGACGAGGACGACCGGTCGAGCATCTGTGCTGACAGTAGCGAAATAGTGTCTGCGACACCCGGGACCCCTTTGGCAGGAACCACTCCAAAACCCCTCCCATCGAAACCGCTCCCGCGTCGCCTCTCAGTGGGGGAACGGGTCAGCATGTTCCAGGGCCTGCGCTCAGCCACGGCGCCAATCAAAATGCCCAGAAGAGAATCTGTGTCTGCTATGGAGCGCATAGTCGAGTCTCCACTCTCTCCACCTGCAAACAGGCCCAACGAAGCCGATAAACCCATCCTTGAGCGACAAATCTCCAATGCACTTAGTTTGGCCTCAAGCGCCGACTCGTTCTATTCCCTGGAAACTGCCACTCCTTCTCCAAGGTTTCTCGATGCGGAGGCTGATTCCATAAACCCGTGGGCCAACGCCTTTTCTACGCAGCAAGACGAATCCAGGGGACGTTCAATACATCGACGCCAGATATCTGAGGTCACCGTTCGCGGTCCGTCCACCGAACGTACCGATCCATCTGCACCTGTGACACCTACAGTCCCATACTATTCATCCACAACTCCCTCAATCGATGTACGCCCATCGTCCGCACCATCTACACCACCGCTTGTGAGCGATTCCGACGACGATAGTCTTGGGCGTGCAAGCATAGATATCCCTACACCACCGGATGCGATCCGCATGAGGAAGCTCACAGGGGCTTCACAGAGACGCGCCTTTTCTCCTATGCCTCCAGCACAGAACCTGTTCTGTCCACCAAAGCACAACCCTGGGAGAGACTTTACAAATGCTCTGGTGCGCAAGACCTGTGAGCTTGTCCTAGGGCCACCTGCACACTTGGTCTCGATCATGCTTCGCATCGCAACGACCGTTTCTAATGGCTTTGGGTTCAGCACTTACCGTATGCGCCGCGCAGAGAAGATCCCATGCGCGTGGGAGTCAGATGACGAGGCTGACTGGTCAGAAGATGACTTCGGAATCCCGCTCAACAACATGGGAAATCCGGCGCTACGTCGACAGACCTTTTCTGGCGAAGTCGATTGATGTGCTTGAGGTAGATTGAGTTGGGATGGTGCTTTTTCCATGTGCATATTCACTGATGATACCAAGCGCTTGCATTTTATGTTGCATCTAGGAGGCGAAAGGCATGTTAATTCCAGTCGTATCTGTACGACGTTGATGTTTTTGAAGAATACACGATTGTAATATGGAGAGTCGTATGGCGGCACTATAGGATAGTTTCGAGACGCGGTCTTCGCATGAATGAGTATACCAGTTTACACACCGTCTTTAGCTGGGCGAACAGCGTCGCTGAGAAGCTGAGACCACAACACCATCATACCCTTGCTGTGCTGAAGCTTGCTCGGAGCGAGACCGATCAGCTTGCGCTTCAAGCAGTGTGGTAACACTACGTAACATGCTCTCACGCTCCGTCAGACTCCGAAGCAGGTCATAGAGATGACCTCAACTTCCCTCAACTTCAACTTGCTGCCATCCGTCATAGCAAGCGATGCATGTAGTATGACATGGCCCGTGACGTTGAACACCGTTGACTACCAGAATCTCGATCTGGAGGTGCAACCCCTAAGGAAAGCGTTGCCGGGCCTGGTTCCTAGCGCGCGGGTTGCCCGTCTTGGATTGATGACGAGTTTCTACTCAGGTACGACGGAACACGATGCTCACCCATCCCACCTCCACAACTCCATCAGCCCATCAGCGCCAACCCCACTTCCTGCGCATCTCGAATTACTTGCATGTCCTCACCTGAGGAAAGCTGTTGGGACTTGCGCGTGATCGCCCGTCCCGTGGGGCATTTAAAATGAGGATGCAGGGTTATGGGTCCTAGCCACGCTGGCAAACCTTCGATCGCGTCCAGCCAGACTTACCGCAACTTGCAGCGCCAGCGTCCTGTCCAATGACGCCTAGCGCTGGCTCGCCTGTTCCGCACGTAAACAAGGACTTGACCGACTAATTAACTTAGTAGAGGAGGCGGGTGATCCCACCCTTCCTGCTTAATATTCCCATGGAACCCTCAGCTTTGTGTCAGGATTAGACACCCGTCTCGCTTGATTACGCCCATACACCTACATATCCATCGTCGCTTCGCACTGCCGGGGCTGGGACATCGACTACCACTGGATCGCGTTTATTATGAAAAGGAAGATGGCAGAGGACCTTGATGTGTTGTTCGAGGAGACGTTAACGCTATGCGAAACACCGCCCGTTCCGCGACGCCATCCAAATCGCGTCCTCCAGCAGTACAAGAAATCGCTCCCCACAACGCCTACTGAGAAACCCGAGATGGAGAAGAATGGACCGCCCATGTTCCACTTTGGAGAACAAACTGAGATGTCACCCAAGCCGCTCTTCAACAGAAGCAACTCGTTGCCGTCTCGATCAAACCGGCCATCGCTACCATCTCGGCCATCCGAACCCTTCCAATTCAATCCCGACGACATCGTCAAAAGTCCGACACCACTATTCGGTAGGAGGAACACGCTTCCATCCAAAGTGCGTCGTGCTGTTGCCGCCGAAAGAAAGCCATCACCGCTGTCTCGCAGGGAGGACGCGCCACCCTCCTCCGCACCGACCCACACCACCCCCAAGGAACCCACGTCACAAGCACTGTCACGCAAGGATCCCAACAACAAGACCACTCCCAACCCTAAAAAGAACACGAGCAAGCCGCCGGTCTCAACTCCACAAAGGTATCAAGGTGTTCGTGTCGTCGATATCAAAAGACCATCACCACTTTCTGGCAAGGGAAGCGCGCGACGACCCGGTCCTACCCGTTCCGCTCCTGTGCAACCCGAATCGCCGATAGTCCTCTCACCTGTCATCTCCAACAGCGGCAGCTCTGTAGCATCATCGCCATCGCCATCTGTCTTCTCCGACTCGGCCAGTTTCTGTCCATCGAGCCCCTCAACGCCCGCCACGTCACCACCCGGTTCGCCAACAACACACGCTCGCTCGCTAAGTTACTTTGCGCCATCTCATTGGACCATCAAGCCTTCGCCATCCCCGATTTATGTTCCCAGGCAGAAGTTGAGAAGGAAGGACAGCCCTCGAATGGACACTCTGCGCACCCTTAGAGCGAAGGAGTCGGATGCAATGTTGCAAAAGGAGTATGATCAACATTGGGAAGAGTACCGCAACAAACTATCCGTAAGTCATCCTCGCGCACCTACTGCATACCCCATTCACTGACCTGCGTAGTTAATGACCGGCGGACTATTCTCTGCTGAGCGACTTTAACGACCACGAATTACGACTATAACGACTTGAATATGAGGGCATCTACGGCGTCTACCGGGCATTTGATTATAATACCCAAGGTTTGAATATTTGGACGCATTTTGATGCATTTGGGTAATCCATCTGCTTTTACGGTCGCATTGCATTCAGCATATGGGTATACACATGTAATCTAATAGAGCACAGGGCACCTCAGCCCTGGTTTGCATTTCCAACATATATTCATCGACGTCTCAGAGCGATCGAGCGGCGCACATGTCGTTACTGCAGAGCCTCAGCGCGGCTGCTGTTCATGCGGAGCTTACATCACCCCTGCCTGGCAGCTGACCTTGGAAAGTCACACAGCAAGGCGATCAGCCCCATCACGCGAGGCTAGTGATTGGTTGACACTTCTGACACATTACAGCCCTTGGCTGCTTACTTTCTCGCTGCACCCGCCACATGATATTTCCGCTAGTCGATTTTGCTCATTCTGGTCAACGCTGTAACGAAACATGAGGTCGCAACGTAGAACTGTACATTATCTGTGCTATATCTAGACCGCCTGCGCCGCATATCCGTAGTGGCGCAGCGCGTAGCCTTATTCTGTGCAGAGGTGGGCCTGACCTAGCCACACATGGTAAGCAAGCGCGTAAGATGCCCCAATGGCCCCCAATACCCATAACGCTTCGAGCATCTCCCATGTGCATTGACGCCGTACAGCACATCGTACTGGAGTATGTGTGGGGTGTGGCACAGGACTTAAGGAGGCTTGATCCCGGCTTCTACGATTCTGATGGTTTTCTTAGATGCCTTCTTGTCTGGCACGTCATTTGTTTCATACGACACATAGAATACAGTTAGTAGCACAGCCTTGTAGGCAACCTTTCCAGTCTGCAGACGCCTCGCACACCTGACTCAAATCGCGTCGCCACCATCTTAACACATAGATTTGGAGGAGGCCACCTTGTGACGGTGCATGCTTATGAATCGGAGGTCGATTTAGAAGTTCGATTCGGTTACGTCCTCAGTATAACCTACACTCTGAAGTAAACATTCTACGACCAATTTCGACGCATACGTATACGGTAGCAGTCTCACTACATACTTCCCGACCGACGCCTATAGACTTCCTGAACACACGATCCGCCCGTCGGGGCACCAAACAACCATGGACTTCTCGAACCCCGAAAGAAACCCAAATGCGCCCTTGCGCTTGCTATCGTTGGATGGAGGAGGCGTACGAGGACTGTCATCGTTGCTGGTACTCGAGAATCTGATGGAGAACATAGCCTTGGAAGAAAAGAGGCTAGGAAGGAGAGCAATGAACGATCACGAACCACTGAAACCCTGTGACTACTTCGACCTCATTGGCGGAACATCGACAGGCGGCATAATAGCCATCATGCTTTCACGGTTACGACTCAACTGCAAGGACTGCATTGCGGTTTATAGTAAACTAGCCGAGCAGATCTTCAAGCATGATAGGTCGCTCAAGGCATTCGGCATGAAGATTCCGACAGGAGCTAGTCGTTTCTCCGGAACCGTCCTCGCAAACGCCATCAAAACTGCGCTGAAAGATCTGGGCTTCGATCCAAACGAACTCATGTGGGACGAGGCACTGTTCGAAGAGGTGGACGAAGCAAACGACCTGCCCAGGGACAGCATCTGGGCAGATGCAGCACCAGAACCGATGATCTCAGAGAGCCCGGTCGCCACACTCAAAAACTCTGAATGTTCACTGGCGTCTGGACCCCCTGACAGCATCGATAGTACAATAGCTCCGTCAACACTATATAGTGACAGTCCATTCGGCCCCAGAAAACCAATGCGAAGCGCGACCTGGAAGCTCCACCACCGGCAATCCGTCCACAGAAAAGCAGATGCAAAAGGCTGCCGCGGCTTCGTCCTCACCTCTCTGAAAAATGCGCTCGGCCTCCCTAGAATCCTATCAACCTACGACCCCAACGACCGAACAACACGAATCTGGGAGGCCCTCCGAGCCACCTCGGCAGCACCAACATTCTTCGAAGAAATGCAGTTCGGCACACCCAAAGTCACCTACCTAGACGGTGGCGTAGGTTTCAATAACCCCTGTGCAGAAGTCGACTACGCAGCAAAAGCCCTGTGGGAAGGCCGCTTAATCGGCGTCATAGTCTCTGTAGGCACAGGTCTCCAAAGTATACCCAGCGTGAAGAAAATGGCATCCTGGCTGCCCTTTGGCCTCGGGACAGATATTTCCATCGCCAGCGCCCTCACAGGAATGGCCACGTCCACGGCACGCGTCGACAACGAAATGAAGCGCATGTACAGCAACTCGGACACGAAGTACTTCCGCTTCGACGTCGACCGCGGCCTTGCAGACGTCAGTCTAGAGCAATGGATGAAGGAAGATGAAATGGCAAGTTTGACAGAACTCTACATGAACGACGGCGAGCAAATCCGCTCTGCAAAGGATTTCGGTCAACGCATGGCGAAACTCTCGGCGCTGCCACCGAAATTCGAAATCAGCGCTAGTCACTTCCGGCTCGGTATGACGGGGCGCGGGTTAATGGATTCTTCGTTCCAACTCGTGCAAGTCGATTTCAAAACGGGCATGCCACTAGGTGTATCTCCACATCTGGACGATTTACCACGCATGTCTCAATTCCGCGATTTGTCGCCGAGTGGTGAGAGTGGACTTGCGCTCGATTCTACAACTGGTCGGCTTAAAAGAGTCTACCCTGTAGCCGAGGACCTAGACCACGATGGGAGACGCGAGGAAGCAGCCGTGTACCAATGTATCAAGGCTGATAATATATGTCTCCGCACGATCAAAACGGGAATACCCCAGGGCAAATACAAAGTCCAGTTCCTCGTCTCCTTCCACAATAGCACACATACTCCGCCCCGGGATCTGGTTTTCAGCGTCGGCAAACCTTTCGATCCGAATACATTTTCGAATCGCTACGTTGATGTCAAGATCACTCCAGATGTGGGGAGTGTGTTGTTGCATCCGGATGCGGTGAGGGTGAGAGTGGGGTCGAAGCGGTATGAAGAGTTCAAAGGGAAGGGATGGGTAGAGATCGAGGGGGATATCGAGGTTAGTGTGGGGTTGGATGGGGCATTGGGGTTTATTGTTAGTAAGAGGTTCAAAGAGGGCGTTTTTGTTGATGGGTGGAGTTTTGGGGGTGTGAGGTTGGAGCCTGTGTTCGGAAGTGCGACAGTGCGGGTGGATAGCCCGAGGATCTCGACGTAAGGCGTATTGAGTTTGATGGACAGAAGGGACTGGATGTCCTGTGAAGTTGAGGTTGGTCATATCGCGGAGCTTGCCAGGCTAATAATGAGATATTCCTTCAACCGACATGAACCTTGTTATATTGATGTCAATGTGTACCTATAGATAGACCGACTTGTGTCGGGATGGTGACGAGCAGGAATATCCAAACAGATAAAACGATGCGACTCTTCCTAGTTGATCCGATATACAAAGCGACAGCCAACACACCGGGTAAAGGGAGGAGGACTATACAACTCATCTCTAGCAAATAAAGCACATCGAACACCATCGCCGCAACGCATGCGACCATGGCAAGGATGGACAGCTTGTAGCTCTTGATCCAGGCTCTGACACTCATTTCCTCGCTGCTTTCCCCGTTGGGAAGTAATGGGGTAGTATACGAGATGGACCCTCCACGCAAGTCTTTCGTGATGCGTCGACGCAGTGTGGCTTCGGTGAACGTAGACGCGTCATCGCCTTCTTCCTTTGTAGGTTCGTTCATCTGTTCTCGCATGGCGGCTGCAAGCTCAAACACAGCTTTATGCTCTCCTGCCACGTCTTCTTTCCCACGCCCTCGCCTCTTCATGATCATGTAGGCTCTGAGCCACATGATGTAGAGCCCAGAAGTCCAGATTAAATGGAGGATGATCATAATGAACAGTTGCACATAGGAGAAGCCCCATTTATAGTCCTAGATGGTTCAGTCAGCCGCCGATGACACTGCTAGAGGGCCACATACCGATACAGCCTGGCATTGTCCGTGTTTCGCCATATAATCTAGGTGGTAAGTTCGATCGTCGTATCCCCATAGCACTTTAGATTTATCGTCGATCGGGTGAAAGTCAGGACGACTTTGTCCGATGAACCGCTCTGATCGGCTCGGGTCTCTCTCTAGAAAGGGAGCTGAGATGTTTAGGATAGGGGGCTGCAAAAATCTTCCCCCAAAAGTCGAGTTTGACGTATTTTGTCCGTTGAGACCGTATTCTAGCGCATCTGCCGTACATATCAGCGACATCAGTCATGCTCGAAATGACATGTCTTACAATCGGACACATTGAGTTGCATTTCGCAATCTGAATGATATTCTTGGCCGTACCAACTGAAGCAGCGTCCGAAGTCCGAATTGATCATACCATATGATGAAGAATCTGGCTGATACCTAGGATCTGTTGTGTAGGCCATGTCAGATAATTCATCTTTATATCTTCTCACGTTTAGCTCACTTGCCTGGTATGTTGCGAAGTCCCGTAACAAGATAGTCTTCTCCTTGATCGATCCGCGACCCGTCATGGATGATGAAGAAAACGTAACCAAAGGATGTGAGAGGGACATAATCTCCTGGAATTGTCCTTATGAATGCTTCAACATTCGCGCTATAACCGGTCATTGCGCTGGCAAGGGTTGGGTACACAAAGGTGAAAGCCATGGTATACACCATGAAGACCATGGCTATCTTCGAGTGTAGTCCATGGCATGTAACAAAATCTCGAATCATACGAGGGATAGCAATGAAGAGACCCCCGTTTGGTAGAAATATCGTTCGATACGTTCCAAACGTGACAGGCGTGACTTCCATCGAAGTCGTGACGTATCTGGCAAAGATGCGCCATGATATGAACGCTATGAGGGCTTGACCACCGCGGCCAACCAGCTTTGTCATAGTTAGCTTCCTGATTGTTTCAATTACACCCACCGTTGTCTGAGCAAACGTATGTCGCAACTCACAATGTCCCAACAGATGTCTATAGCTTTCACCTGTGTGAAGCTCATTTGACCGGCTCCCATGGTAATCTGAAAAAAGCTCGAGCCACTCAGATAGCTAAAGTTTGAGGCCCTGGGATCCATCGAGAAGGAACCATCTGGTAAACAGGCTGCCAAATCACCAAAAAATTCGGGATTAGGAGACGACAACCAAATAAGGCACGTCAACAGCAGCGCAACCCATGTTGCGAGAAGTAGCCAAAGTCCACAGCGACGCCATCGTGTACGAAAGTCCTTAGCAGCTTGCCGATGCGGTTCATAACAAATTCTTCTAAAGTGTGAGGGCCCAGTGCTGAGAGCGGTTAAGACGTGAGGGTACTTTTGCGTCATCGTGAGAGCGGGAGATGGGCGTTCGACTGTCACAAACCACCACACGCCTGGTGTTGCGCATGCGATATAAGTTACGAGCCTTTAGCAACGATAGAAGCAGGAACACAATGAAGACATGCGAAAGGCTGCGTGCCGCCTCAGGCGTACCAAGTGTGGGTAAATCGGGCGTATATCACGTAGCTAATCTTTTACTGGCTGCAGCACCGCCCCCTCGAATTGGGGGCCTGTTTCGAAGTTTACAGCATATTGTCGCCTATCGAACAGCGTCGTCGATCGAGTGGCGCAATATGCAAGGTCATCATATTACAAATACCCATCAAAGACAAGAATATGCTTGTGTCTTTATGCATGATCGTTCATATCGCGGTGGCGGTGTTGTTGTTGCTATTGGCGTGGCGGGCCCTAGTCTACGTTGGTATTTCACCAAGAGCCTGTTCATAGGTGTCAGCTTTGTAAGGCTAGCGATCGGGAGTATATACATAGCAGGACATCCGTTCCACCGAGGAGAAATTATTCGTTATTTCTCAGACTAATTGCGACGCGTGGATGTAGTATGACACGACCTCGAAAGAACCCCTGGGCCCCGAGAGGAGAAGTACACATGACGGGGTGGCGCTAGTGCCAATGTCCTCACCATTGTCCCTTCTGCTGACGCCTACAAACTCACAGTTCTCAAACGTTGCATTTGCCTCATCAAATCATTTGTATCTGGTAAAACTCTTGCTTCGTAAAATCTTTGAGATGCGTTAAATGCTTCAGTTACCATCAAGCTACAGATCAACCCAACACTTAGTGCACCTCTGCTTCGCCAACCCAAACGGCCTATCTCCATTTTCATCTTCCAAAGTCTCAGTATCGAATTCACTAATCACCCGCCCTTTAAAAGGTGCCTCAACGCCATCACTCCAAAGATGCGTCACTGCATTTGCCATACACTCGATCTGAATCCCTCTGAATCCCATCAACTTCGCCTCGCGCCTCAACCAACGCGCCGCACCTGACGCGATTTTCTCACCCTCATAGTCGTGGCGTGTAGAGGTAGCATTGCGCATCAGTACCTGTCCAGGCGCAGTGGCTTTCCACTCTGAAGGATCCCTCGGGTCGCGCTTCTCCAGGGTACCATACAGTAGACTGAATTCCGGTAGCGACTCGAGCAACGGTCCCATCCTCGCAGGATCAAGTCCATTAAAGCCATCGTAAGACAATGCTATACTGACCAACGGAAAATCCATCTGTCGAAGTAATCTCATGCCTTCAGCTTTTCTTCCTTGACTTTGTTCGACACTGTTTTCTTCTGGTTCATTTACATCCCAGAACAATTTGCCACCAACGTCTTCCGCCTCTTTAGTTTTGAACTTGTATTCTGTGTCGAAGACGCCGTATGAGAGCCCAGAGTTAATTTGGTGCTCTACGAGGTACTCCATTTGTTTAGCGCCCGTTAAAGTCCAGCGGCCGAGCGCCCGGTCTGGCCAGATGTATTGCCAGACTGATGAGTGAAAGCCATGGCTGTGGGCTAGAATTGCGGTGGCCCAGGGGATATGTTTGGATTCTAATTTACGGATTTCGTAGCGGGGCTTCAGAGAGGAGGGGTTTGAGGGAGTAGGCGTCTTTGTGTTTGTTGGTTCGGACATCTTGGCGTGTATGGACGGCCCGGTTGTATTAGCAAAAGAGAGAGAGAAGTATCGTGTCAGTAGGAAAGAATGTATGTATAAGTATCCGCGCTAAAAGATGTGAAGTTTGACGATTGGCTAACATATACACCTGAATGTGAGGCGAGCTGCAACATGTACATATGCATAAATGACCCAGCTTCGCGCGACACCACACAAGCACCCGCAACGATCCACAACACCGGAAACGAATTTTTCTGCAGGCATTCTTGACCGTGTTGGGAGAGGAAGGTAGTATCAAGCTGCACAAATCGCTCGCCCGTATGCAGCAAGGTAAGCCGACCCACATACCCAATCTTACCCGCATAAAGTACTGTACTTTGTCATTAGCCTACGGGATAGACCCAAACGCGTTTAGTCAAACAGGACTTTTCTCGGAATTTGGAGTCAAAGAGACGTTGCAATTAAGGTGTGCAGCTTAGAGGAAAGTCTCTGTTGTGAATTAGTCATCAGGTCCGCTACATCATACGAATTGGTTCATTGTAGAGCGTAAGACGTATGGTGACATCAGTCCATTCCTTTGCCTTCCTGCAACAGTGCGATGCCCTGCTCTTTTAGTTTGAACTTTTGTATCTTTCCACTGGCGGTCTTGGGATAATTGTCTACCCAAAAGACGTACTTGGGCACTAGATCAAACAGTCAGCGTCATTCCTAGGTGGGCCTGGAGTCTGAACTTCAAGAGACTGGACATGCATAGACTTACCTAGGTGATGGCTCAACTTCTCCCTGACCCAACTTCTCACCTCATCCGCAGTTACGTTTCCCTCATCGCCCGCATGTCTGACCACGAATGCTGCGACGACCTCGCCGTATCTTTCATCTGGTAGACCTACAACACTAACTTCGCTAATAGCAGGATGAGCGAACAGGCAATTCTCGACCTCTAGAGGGTGGATGTTCTCGCCTCCCTTGATGATCAGATCTTTTATCCTGCCGGTAATTTTAATGTAGCCTTCTTCGTCCATGGACGCTTCATCGCCAGTATGCATCCATAATCGGCCATCCTCATCGGGTTGCAGAACTTCTTCTGTACGTGCCGTATCGCCCCAGTAACCTTTCATCAGGAGGTATCCTGATACTGCGAGTTCGCCACGTTGACCTACGTTGAGGGTTTTCGACCAGTCCGATGGATTGACGACTTTAGCACGGACGTGCGGGAGGAGACGGCCAACGCTGTCGATGCGCTTTTCAATAGGATCATCCGTGGTGGTCATGGCTGATACTGGAGAAGTCTCAGTCATGCCATAACAGATTGTCAGCTCGGTCAAGTTCAGATTCTTGTGTAGCTTGCGCATAAGTTCGGAGGGAATCGCAGAGCCTGCTGCGATGCCAGTACGGAGGTATTGGAAGCCATCTTTGGGCACGGCACCGTGAGCCAGCAGTTCGAGTTCGGCTACGAACATAGTGGGTACGCCATAGAGGGCTGTGCATTTGTATTCGCGAACGGCTTCGAGTGTGGCAAGGGCGTTGAAGGCTTCGGTTGGAAAGACGATGGCGCTGCCGTGGGTCGCTGTAGCCATATATCCGAGAATACATCCAAAGCAACTACAAATAGTCAGTTGATGTTGATGATACAATCACACAAGAACTTACTGGAACAATGGAGGCGGACAGCACACAACATCGTCCGGCGTCAGCAACATCCTGTCGCCAATGCTATTGCCATTGTTCAAGATACTCCTGTGACTCAAGCACGCAGCTTTGGGCATGCTCGTCGTCCCAGACGTGAACTGGATATTCACGATATCATCTGGATGCAGCCCTTGGTCTTGAAACGCATTGTCCTGGCCACCATCTTCGAATACGTGCTCGTACCTCTTTAAACTCCTGTACTCGTCTAGTGCTACCCTCCCTTGCGCGTTGTTTACCAGCACGACATTCTTCAGCGATGGAACCAGTTCAGATTCAAGGCTCGAGCCGGAAAGATTAGGTATCAAGTGTGTGAGGAGCGAGATATTGGATCGCGGGTCTTTGCGCGGGAGGTTCGTTTCGGCGCCGATGATGAGATGTGAGGCATCTAGGTGGTTGATGGCATTGAGGACTTGGGGCGCGTTAAACGAGGGATTCAAGGGCACCTGTGTATTTGTTAGCCATAAAATTCTACTCCTGCAACTGATTCCTACATACCAGTATCGCCCCGAGTTTGAATAGCGCGTATGTGAGAGTAGCGAATTCAGCATTGTTACCCAAACTAACGGCAACTCTGTCTCCCTTCTTCACACCAAGCTTCTGCAGTCCTCTTGCGAGCCTATTCGAGTCGCGATCGAGTGTATCGTACGTCAAGCGTATACGTTGGTGGTGTGATATTACCCTACTCGAGCATTAGCCAGCTCGTCCTTGGAGCTTCATTGAGAACGACACGTACGCGTCACGGTCGCCATACTGTCTCACAACACCTTCAAAGTGCTGCGGTACCGTTTGCTCCAACAACGGCGGCTGTCATAATGTCAGTCTCCACAAACACATCATCGGAGTTCGGAACATGCCTCTGTAGGACCAACGCTGTATGCCTGCGTAAGGAGACCTCGTCGTGCGCAATGAGCAGGTCTAGAGAACCTTGCAGCACGAGCAAAGAGCGACCGAAGCATCTTCACATGCGAAATACATCGGAGACAAGGAAAGATACACGTGCATCGTGGAATATGTGTTGGGTGGAGAAAGCTGGTTAGTGAGCTTCGTCCGGAAGTGAGCCGCGGGCCAGGTACGAGATCTGCGGGGTAGCTGTGGAGAGCTCAAGACAGGCGGCTGACGTCGGATAGCTATTAGGGGTCTTTTCGCTCCGACTCCTAGGTCATAGAGGAAGATACAACGAATCGGTACAAAATTGCTTCCTTGCTTTCCAGACATACCCGATCATCTATCGCGAAAATCATAGTTCATCCTTATTACCATACCACCATCCCCACCACCCATACCCCCTAAACCTCACAACACCACCTTCCACCACGTGATTACCACTATACCTCCAATCCCCTTCCGACCTTCCTCCTCTGTTCTCAAGCCATCCTTTCCCCCTGAATACTACAACGCGAAATCCACCTCCTCTACCCATAGGCTGCAGACCCGTCTCCAGTATATCCTTAAAGTCGTGTGATTCAGGTATATGCATATTCCATATCGCAATGTTCAATTGCATGCCTTGTTTTGCGTAGGTAACCCGTGTTGTTTCTTCTATGAGGGAGGTTTGGCGTGCACGGCCGATACGATCTAGGTCGAAGCTGATTTTGTTGAAGGGGTCGGTTGGCATGGTCGTGGTGTTAGGGAGGAAGCCAATGAGAGTGTTTGCGAGGAGGATGACAGGTAACATATTGTCGTGTTGTTGGTTGCGGAGAGCTTTTGAGAGTTTATGGAGCTTATACCCTGCAGTACCTACACTGACGATTGAGATTTATAGTTGAGTAAAGCTGATGTTTGACGCTGGGAAGAAAAGGCAGGATAGTCAACGCCGTGTAGATGCATGAGCGGCAATGCGGGGCAAACATGCTTCTTCCAATCGTATGTGAACTTGTTCACACAAGTTTCGAACAAGTATCGGACTTACAACGTCTTGTTAGCCTTCATCTCAATGGCCACAGCATCAGTCTCGATACACAACAAAAGACTTTGAATGTTTTCATACATGAGTCTAGTTACCGGAAAGACCAGAAGTAAGCTCTTGAGATGATCCCTAACTCCAAGAAGACCACTCCTACCATGACCTAAATGCTACCGCTCAAACTCAAGTACTCTTCTACTCGCATCACTAGCCGACCGGTTCCTAGTCGTCTTGATCTCTTCCCCCGTACCTGTAGGTGACAGAAGCTCGGGCGGTGCTTCTCCTTTCGACACGCCCACGTCTGCCGTCTCGGCGCCTTCCAGTAGATCCAAATCTTTCGCATCAATCTCCTCTTCGTCTTCCTCATCTTCCCTTCCGTGTCGAGCCTCCTTATCCAACTCTTTTTGTGCTTCATCGTATCGTCTCCTAACTTCGGTTGCGACACGCATTCCGTCGTTAACTATGTTGTCGAGCATTCCTCGCAAGCCCTTTCCGGGCGGTACGACACCGGCACCAGCGCCGCCAACAACGCCACCCAGCCCTCCGCCTCCACTACCTTGCCTTCCAGCGTTCGCAAAAGTGGTAAGATTGTGGAAGCTGGACCCTGACGAAAGTGTCTCGTCGGCCAGGCGGAAGGACGATGAAAACCCGACTTCGAAGAAATTCAGTAAGGCGTCATCTGCAAGAATGACCATGCGGAAAGTAGGCAAGGTTATATGTAGAGGTTTGTTCGGATCAAGTGCAAGATTTGCCGACTTGGCCTTGTCGTTGCGCTCAGCAATGTCTGATTCAGTGGTATGGTTTGATGGTGTTGGTGACAGGGGATTTTGTTCCGACTTCTCTGATGTCGTTGCCTTGGCTTTTGGTGTTGCTGGCTCAGAGCCAAAGTCGATCAAGTCGTCTTCTTCGTCATCGTCGCCAATTGCAAAGTTATCAATATCTTCTTGAACCTGTTCCACGGCTTTATTCGTCTGATTTGATGGATGATCGGGGTCGGCGTATTCAAAGCAATGCCGGATGAAGGCAGAGACGCTGCTCAAGAATTGTTCGTCACGGCCGACCCTTTCTGAGCCTGCTGCAGAGCTGATGTCCAATGAAGAGGCATTTGGAGTTGGGTCATGGACACCTCGCCTTGACAAGAAGAGGAGGGCTTCCGAGATCCTCAAAATACCTTCGCGATCTACCCTGCCGTCGCCGTCGTCGTCGTAGAGTTCGAAAAAATAGCTGATGTTGGACATGATGTCTTTGGTGCCTTTGACATGCGCAAAGCCAGTGACAACGTTTTGCAGCGACAATGAGTCGGTCATGTCTACATCCCAGCGGCGGAACAAGCGTCGCATGAATTCGTGATCTGCTGGCTCTGGTCCTGATCCCCATGGGGACATTGGTGGTCGTTTCCTCATGCTGTTCCCAAAGTACGAGTGAGGAGACTGGGTACCACTACTCTCAGGTGGTGAGCTCGGTGAGTCAGTAATTGCCCACTTTGCAATACCTGCATCATTGTCAGTGTAAATCAGGACGGATGATGCCACATGACCTACCAGCCAGGAACTCTCTGAAAGCATCGTAGTCCATTTGTGTAGGGCTAGGTCCAAGTGCCACACGCCCCTTCTCCGCACTTCCAGATATGCCAGTCACAACCTCCGTCGCCTTCATCCTGCTAGCCTTTGCCTTGCGATCAGCCTCTTGTTGCATGATCTCGGCTCTCTGTTGTCGTTCGTATAGCACAGCGTAGAATTTGTCGTACAAGAACCCAAGGTCATTTACACTCAGCTTCTTGCTGTCAGGGCCGAGGTTACGTATCGACGTGCGCTTGGCGAAACTTTCGATATTCTCAAGCACAGCATCCTTATGCTTTGCTCGCTGCTCAGAGATGGTGTTCTGAGTGATGCCAGCAAACTCCTTGAACGCTACTACCATGAGCTCTTGGAAACGAGTGACAGCCCGCAGTTTAGGATTCTCTGATTTCGGATGGGCGGACTCGTCGAGCCTTGAGAAGTATGACTTCAAGACTGAGATGAAGGAACCATCATCTGCAGCATCGAGAAGCTCCTCGCCGTTGATGCGCAGGATAGCTAGGCCGATTTGGAAGAGAGTTTTTGGGCCTTCGAGGAAGAAAACATCAAGAACGCGGAAAGCAAAGATTAGAGGCATAGAGTTGATATAGAGCGAGAGAAACCAGGGTAGAGAGACAACGGATAACTGTACATCTGATTTGACCAGATGGTCCCACAGTATGGGCATAGTCTTCTCAACCAGCGATTCGAAGACCTTCTGGTCGAGCAGGGTGCCGTACATGGTTTGCGAGTAGTAGCCGGGCAGGAGACGGTCACACAACACGGAAAGGAGGAAAAAGGCCTGCGATTCGGACATGTAACTTGGTTTGTTAGATGGGAAAAACTGTACATCAAGGGGTACACATACATCAGCAATGCTGCGACCACAATGTTCATCGCCTGGCAGTAGCCAACCTCCTCGTTTGTCCAGCTGTATGCCGTCAACACTCGTCGGAGTCTACCAATACCTTCCTCGCTCTGGAAGCCCGGGTATTCTGGCAAACTCCTGTTGAGATCCTTCTCTATCTCGTCTATGGCTAGCGACTCCCGCCCTGAGAACTTTTGTAGGGTCTCGGTGTAGAGGTTTGGGTTCTGTAGGCGCAAGAAGAAGGCGCCAGATGTGAGCTCCCACATTTCGCCTCGTAATCGATTTGGCAGACCGACGCGGATGAGCTTGTGGAAAGTAGGTTGTCGGATGAGGGTCGCGCTTCGGCCGTTATCTACTACATTTTAGCAATGCCACTACGCGGGCTGGGTGGATATACCTCTGAGATATTCGCGCCATAGCCGTATCTTTGTCGCATCCCTGAGTTTCCGCGCATTGCCTGGATATTTGAAGATCATGCCTAGGCCCGTATCTGGGTGCTCTCGCGCTTGCTTGCCATCATTTCCGGCCTTCTTCTCTTCGGCATCTGTGAGAAGGTACTCCGAGTAGCATTGCCCCACTACCTTGCGCAGGTTGTCTACCTCCTTGACGCCTTCCCTTAGCCCCTTCTTCAGAGCATCACAGAAGCGCTCGCATGCCTGTCGTGACCCCGCGAGCTGAATGGTAAGCTTCTGACCAGCAGGTGCCTGCGACTTTGAGTCTGGTATTCCATTCCACGTCGTTATCGCGAGCGCGAACATGTAACTCTGACTATGCAGTCTTTCTACCCGCCGTATGCCGCATAGTGGTAATGTGAAACCGTTGCCCGCAGGTCCCGCCCCATGAGTCTGTCCCGTGAAGCTGCTGGAAGAGCTCAGGCTCGCGGTGTTGGCAAAGCTTGAGCCTTGTGTAGAGAAGCAGAGATACTGCTCACTAAGATGCAGCTTGCCCACATAGTGGTTGCCCTGGCTGCGCTCCTTCTCAGATGTGACGTCGCCAGAGCCCCTCGTGGAATGGTGGGGTTGTAGCGTAAGCTCAGCGGTGATCTCTTGGAGGGGGTTCTGCGAGTCGGGGAGTCGGAACTGGTAGCGGAAGAGGGTGGCTTTTGAGGGTCGGCGGTCTGTCGATGCGGGAGCGGCTATGGTATTGAGCGTGGGTTCGATGTACTGCTGGGCCTTCTGCACCAAATTCGAGATGTTGAACATGGCTTCGGGCCGGCCAAAGAAACAAAGCGATCTTCAATTATGCTGTAGTGTGTCACTGTTCATGCCACATGACGCGACAAATGTAGCCTTCGTGAAGCGGCTTGCGAGACTGGAGCTTTATGCAGGGCCGTCGTTGGTGGAGTTGTCGCACCTGCGCCACAGCGCACGGCCACAGGAGCTGAGATGTGGGGATGACTAAGACACGATGCGTGCAGCCTGTCTAAGACTGTGACACATTCCAGCATTGCTTCTTCACGACGGCAAGCAAGTTCACCAACGTAAGAACAGGTTGACGCATATTTCTGTCATAGGTTGATTATTCGAGAATGTCGCGAATGGCTACTAGAGCTACCATATCGCGTCGAGTCGCCAGACCGACCACAAATTATCACTCCAGTTGGTGAGTATCCATCTTAACCCTATCTTACATCCCTTCCATCCTCCACTACTTGCTATTCCGCGTCACGTTATGACTTATGTGCATGTGTAAGCTCCGTCGACTCGAAGATCGGCTCCCTGTGTCTAGTCAGCTTTTACTCATCGATCCGCTCGGATATCACTCACAGTAACATAGGAACTGGCGTCACTAGACAAGAAGGTGACAGCTCCCATCAAATCCTCAGGACGACCCATCTTACCCACAGGGATCAGGGAAGTCCACTGCTTCTGGAGCTCTGGGTTGTCGTCGAGAATCTTCTTAGTCCTACATCGTAGTCAGCAACTGCACGTACATCGTATAATAGGGTACTCACAATGCAGTAAGCATGTATCCAGGCGAGATGCAATTAACTCGGATTCCAGCACCGGCCCACTCAACTGCCAAACTGGACGCTAGATGTCGAACAGCTGCCTTCGCAGCGTTGTACGGAGCCTGTGGTTGCGGGACGTTGACAATCGCTCCGGACATGCTACCAATCATTACGATACTTCCTGGTGCCTTTCTCTCCATGAGGTGCTTCGCCACTGCCACAGCGTACAGGTAGGTACCGTCAACGTTCACTCCCCACAGCTTCTGTATGCGATCATGAGGGTAGGAGATGGCATCGTAGTTCTCGGTGAAGCCAGCCGATGTAACGAGGTTGTCGACCTTGCCATGCTTCTTCAAGATCTCGGCAAAGGATTGGTTGACAGAGGTGGGACTTGAGACATCGCAGAAATGTGCTGTGACGTTAGGGACTCTGTGTCTCGTGTCAGCTCAAGCCAGGTGATTACATATGGTCTTCTCACCTGCTGGATCCGGGATTCTCCGTCTTGAAGATATCAATGAGACCCTTCGCTGACCGCTCGCCCTCTTCCTTGTTCATGTCGACAATGGCTACGTCGGCTCCAGAGGTCACCAACGCCTGCGCCATGACCAAACCTAAACCTCGCGCTCCGCCGGTAACAACTGCTACCTTGCCCTCCATGGAGAACGAAGCTAGGGTTCGCTTGAAGTGCTCCCCTCCTCGGCCCACGACGGGGTTTGAAGGTGGCAGGTCCTTCTCTTCTGGGTACTCTACGACAATGTCGTCTCGAGTTCGCGCATACTGACCCTCGTGATCTCCGCTCTCACCAGGCTCACCCGAAGTTGTTGCTGCGTCGACCTCATCGTTGTTGGGGTCCTTGTCGAAGCGGCTAGGCGACGATGTGAAGTATCGCAGCGAGGAAACAGCTGGCTGTGCTGGTCGGAACGCTGGACGGGGAGCTTGGGCTCTGGCCGCGCGGGCGACTTGACGGAAAACTTGAGATCTGAACATGGCTGTAGTAGATTTCTCAATTCAAATGTGTTTCTCAAGAGATGTAAGAAGCTCTAAATTAAGAGGGTGACTGTAAACGTCAAAGGGTAATAGAATATATATGGTGATTCTAGAAGGCTCTCTGGCCAATGTGATGCAACGTTGAATCTCAGGACGCAGGAACAGCTTAAGGAGTCCGAAGTGGGCAAGAGAAACGATGAATGAAGTGAAGACGTCAGGAGAAAAGTTCACGATGCACAAGCAGCTGGCAATAATTTCGGTCCTTCCAAGAGCTTGAGCTTTCCCCCAACCGCGTTTTGTTGACGAAACGCCTCTGACGACAGTCGTATGCAGGGCGGGGGTCTGGCGAGCTCATCCCGCATGCAATCCCACCTCCGCACACTGCATCCTGGCTTCATGGCCTGTCCTCCATCACCGTCTCCATCTAAATCACACGCCGTCACGGTTGGCACTCCACCTCCAGAGCTCGCAGTGGATCCGCCCTAACCGCTTATCCTCTCCGCACTACACATCGCCGGGGGGAGCTCTAGCAAATCCTGACCGCCTGCTACCCCACGCTCCATTGATTTACCCAGCACAAAACGCGTACTACAAGACGTCCACTGCAGTGCGTGCAAGTACCTGTGAATATTCCGGGTGTATTGTTAATATCATTAGTCACCCTGTTGGTACCTCCCAAGCTTTCTCCCAGACAATCCAACTTCGTGCCGTGTTGGCCGTCCCCTCCTCATTGCTTGTCCCACATAGTGATCGCCCTCAACAAGCCAGACTCGTGCTGACCGACGCGTACTCAGCAACACGACATCATCGTGACCGATCATGTTCGAACTATACCTCCTCACTTTCAATGCTGCGCGAAACCTTGTCGACCCGCAGTCCCTCGCGCCTTCCTTTTTCGATGCCCTCCCCAAAGATACACCTCTACCTGATATTGTCGCTATATCGCTGCAGGAAATTGCACCCATCGCCTACTCCTTCCTCGGAGGATCTTATCTGAAGCCATATTTTGATCGCGTAACGACGACTGTCCAGCTTGCCGCAGACCTCCGCAGCAATGGCAGCGACTCGCTCGAGCATATTGCGACACGCAGCCTGGGCATGACTGCTCTTATGCTCTTCGCAAAACCCCATGTCACACAGAGGATACAATGGATACAATCGGCAGGCGCTGGTGTCGGCTTCTCCAACATGGGAAACAAGGGCGCAGTAGCCATGCGCGTTGGTCTATCGTGCCCGAATTCGGAAGACACGCTAGATCTCACTTTCGCCGCTGCTCATCTCGCGCCTATGGAGAGCAATGTGGATGCAAGGAATAAGGACTGGGAGAACCTAGTACGGAACCTGGTCTTCGTCAACAGCGACGACTCCCCATACAGCTCAAGCGAAGAGAGGCCACTGCTTGGTTCCTCATCCGAGACTCCAGCCGACCACAACGGCCTCTTCACCCCCGGCAACCACGTCTTCTTCTACGGCGATTTGAACTATCGTACACATGATTCCCCGCCAGAAGAAGGAGCGCATCAATCCTATCCCCAGCCAAACGCGTCAGAATCTTCACCAACACACTTTTCACAATTGCTGAAGAAGGACCAGTTGACGAGAGAGAAGGACGCTAAACGTACGCTGCATGGATTCCAGGAGCTGCCTATCAACTTCCCCCCTACATACAAGTACGCTACTTCACATGGCAAGAACTCCAATGCGCCCAAGCGGGGAGAGGATGATTCGTGGGAGTGGTCGAAACACCGATACCCCTCGTGGTGTGATCGAATCCTCTACCTTCCATCTGGGTCTCCATCAGACCTGGAACCACAGATTTACACCGCCTTACCAGTACAACCGACATCGGACCATCGGCCGGTGGCTCTCTCGGTTCGTGTCGACGACAAGCCCATCAAGTTGGACGTGAACGATGTTCTGTCCCGGCCACCCTTCGAGGTTAGCCCAGAGTGGAAAGCCAGAAGAGACGCCGCTCGACGATGGGAGCTTATTGTAGGCGTCATGTCCTATCTCGCCCTAACCGGAAAGGGCCAAATTATTCTTGTCACTTTCCTAGGTGTGGCTATGGGCAGTTTGTTCCTTGCTGGGTCACTAACCAGGTAATCTTTGCGACAATCAAAGTCTCATCGCCCCTGCTACAATTGATTTATTCCTGTTCCGTAATGGCTCCAGCCCCAACTCCATTGTTCTTTAAGATACTCGATCGACGTTCCCATTGGCATGCCCGTAGCGTGCACCTCTTCCAGAAATTCGATCATCTTGCATCGATCGTGCTCATCCTGCAGTACGGTGCCAAACTTGTGTATCGTATAAGTGGCTTTCCATTGCGCAGAAATACAATGCGTATTGCACCGAGCGATAGCTATCATTTCTCTCAACCCTCTCAACACTTCACCGTGTGCAGAATCTGCAATGACCATCCCACGTGCGTCTTGCGTGTTCATCCTTGGGTCGTTGACTGCAAGTGCGATTCGACATATCCGCAGGTGTTGGTTCGCATCCGCTGCAGGCACGTTAACAATCACTTCTCGGGCTGACGACTATCCTTACTCACCATGACAAGCACCTGAGAACCATAATTCTGGAAGATTTCCCACGGTGTGCAAGCTCTCTTTCTGGTAGAAGAAGGCATCGAAGCTTGCGGGACGCCTACGTTCCCACTCGTCAACTAGATTGCGAAGATGATGCCACTCGTCTATTGTGCGCATGATTCTCTGCGTCCACTGCAGGATGCGTGCACTGAGCCACAATATTTGATTACCCCAAGAGGCTTCGTCAATTGGTGACGCCAAAGCTGGTAGAATAAAATGCTCATAATCAATACGCAGACTTGATTGATTGAGCAATGCTTGGCTGACTTCAGCATGCACATGTAGCACCAGAGCAGCCTGTACAACTTCGCTAGCCAGGTCGACAACCCAGCCTTCAGGGCCATGGAAGAGCTCAAACGTTGAAAGATGTGCCTGCCCTTGCGTACCGGCTACTTGAGTGTCAGCAGAATATCATACATCCCGGCTCATGTTTACTCACAGTGGAAGTCCTCGAAACTCCGCAATAGCATCGCAGCCACCAAAGTCGCTTCATCTTCGAACCTCCCCATTGCTGCAAGGTATGAGATAAGGCTCGGCAATATCCTCTCGTGGTATTCATACGGCCTAGTGGGGAAATATGGATCGAAGCGCAGGATGCACTGTCCTGATATCATGAAGATGGCGCTCATGAGTATTGGACTTGTTAGTGCAAGTTTCGGGACGACTCTCTTAAAAATGCATGTAGGACTCGTTATGTCTAGTGAGTCCGCTGCTTTATCGATCCAGAATCGGAATAGGTACGCTTCAATGGGGTCAGGTATCGGCCATACTACCAGTGAACTTTGGCTTGCGGGAATGTAAGGATGTGGCGAGGGTATGTCAGACTGCCAAGCCCCAGGCAGTGGCTCGTCCAGGCTGGAGAGACTTGATACCGAGCCAGGTGCCGGGCTTGTGTGTCGCCGGACGTGCGATGGAAGCTGCCATGGATTATGCATGATTTGCTGCGTTGCGGGTACGAGCCATGGGACAGGCCAAGCTTCACTCATCGGGCGCACACACTGCTCTCTCGTCCTCGGGCTTATTCTTGTTTCCAACTGCGGGACCTTCTCAGCTGTTCTCGAGCGAGCTAGATGTTTCGGCGCCCTCCTTCTATCGGCAGTTCTATGGTTCTCAAACTCTTCAGCTACAAGCGACGACTCGTCCACGAAGTCATCTGCAGGACAGTCATCAACAAAATTCACTCGGTAGCACCCTTACGTTCAGTACGACATAGATGTATACATACAATTTGCCGACGTACCAACCCATTTCTGCTCTGCGCCAAAGAAGAAGTCGTACTTCTTGATATCCGCTCTAGTGGCCTGGCTTTCCAGATCAGGAAACACGCCATGTCGAAAGCGGACCTTGTAATTGGATTTCTTAGGCGGGGTAGTACCTGACAAAGACGACGACATGCTTCTGGAAGGAACAGCTTATACACAACAAAGCCAGATTAGGGAAGAGGCTTGGGAATCTTGGCAACAGTGACGGCAAGTAATTCGTAATCGTACTTGGAAGAAGAAGTAGGTCTATCTTGGCAAGCGCCTCAATTCGGATCAGGAAAGAAGGAAGAAGGGAGGAGGAAAGCTGATGTTATTTCGAATCAACAAACAGGAAACTTTGCCGTTTCAAATGGGAATATGTACTCCATATCAGAGCCCTATGATGCGGGGAGTGGGGACACAGATGCGGGTGGTCTTACTTTGATGATCATTCTGCTACTTTGGGTCCGATGGCGCTATTTGCTCTTCTCATCGTTCTTCCCGCGATTATTCAGCGCAAGAGCGGTATGAGAGCCGTGAGTGACAGCGAAGCTTGCAAGTGCTTGTGCTACAGCTTGTCTGTGTGCGCAGCATTTGGTAAGCGGGATTTATTTGTGTACGCTATTCGTGGTAGGATTTGAGATAGGCATGGGAACATGTGGTTATGCTAGTACAGGGTTGTATACGGGGTGGCGGAACAGTGAGTAAGTGGGACGCACGAAATACATGCCTGTTCGAGGTAGGAGAAGCAATAGATAGGATGGAATGCAATGGACAGGTATTGTGGCTGGCTGTCAGATGGGCTCAGCCTTAGCTAGCCAGTGTATTGATTGGATATGGTACTCGGATTGTGGGTAAAGTCGTGCATCACATTCTCAACCTGCCTTCCTCAACAACATACACCATTTTACTACTGTCCAGATTAACACTACCTCCTTCTATCGTTGGCTTATATCGACAACCAAGCTTTCCTCTCACGGGTAGGGCTGCATGCACGTCGAGCCTCCTCATTCTAGAAACAATCACTCACGCGCCACAAGACGGTGTTGAGTAAGCAACATGATTGTTCAGCTATTGGTTCCTCGGACCGTGCTACTGCATATCCCGCTTACCAGTCCGTCATGCATACCCTTTTCAGTTCGATTGCGCTACTGTCGCGCTTCCACGTGACCCAGATTCTTACACGGGTAGCGATCTCGGTAGTTTTCGAAGACCGTTTTGCTTTTGTCAGCGTATATATTTCTGGGGAGTCACAATGTCAGGAATAGATGGGTGTCTGTTAGCGTAGTGAGGTGTGACTAAGGTATTTTGTACTACATTGCGAGCTGGTCTTATAGGTGAGTGTTCTGCGGTTTGTTGGTTCATGGCTTTAGACTTGATTACGCAGCGCCTTTCACCGAGCGCCAGCCGAGTCTGTTCCGCGTCGAGGAGAAGCGATCGGTCATCTCAGTCATGCAGATGTTCATGTGCAGTATTCTGTGCGTATACAGTAGCATCTGGTCTTGCTCCAAGAGAAAGGACGCCTACGGGTGATCCTCAAGGCACGTGACTGGATTGAGCAGAAGCAGCTTTTTCGTCTAACATGCGACCTCGGCAAAATCCAGGCTGCGTATCGACTTTCCGTTCTGGACTATCGACGATGGTGGGGACATGGAGAGCTTTTCTGATGGGATGACGTAGGTAAATAAGCGTCTTTCCTTCCCGCACCGCTACGTCTTGCGCTTTTTCTCGCTAGCAACTCACCGTTTTTTATGGACCCTCTCGTGGATGGCACTAACTAAGCACATTCGCTAGTTATTCATGACTGACGGTGGTGAATATCCGAACCTTGGGGCCGTCGACTCCGATAAGTTGTCATTGACGAGAGCAAAAGAACGTGCAAATAGAAGTGGTGGAGTTGGTGTACTCGCGGTGCTAAAATTGGGCGCAAAGGATTTGCTGATCGCCATCATAGCCTCGACAACAACAACACAGCTTTGACATGCGCGTCAGGTTTGGCGAGCAAGCAATGTTAGGGCTCGGCTGTATTGCAGTGAAACTGCATATTGGGTTTCAAGAGCCGTCATCAACTTCGTGCAGGGTTATTTGAGGGTGTTGCAACCGCAGCAACCTGCATGCGTTTATCGGCGCAACTGTAACACCTCAAGTGCTGTGTTGCGCAGTATTCAGCGAAACAATGGGCACAGCTGCATGAATCGCACGCATGGGAATGCAAGAATGCCATGCAACAGGAACCCCGCAAGACTCTGTTGGCCCCGGCACTGTTCTCCGTCACCTGATAATATTCATCTGTTGTGCGAGGTTGGATTCCACAGAAGTATGTTGAACAAGAGACATCATCAAAGCTTAATCAAGCAGAAAACATCACGGCACCGAAAAAAAAGCGCCGCAACCTCGTCCAGGCTATCACGACAATAAAGGAAGAGCCCACTTCATCCGGAGCTGAAACGCGACACTTGCCAGACGTCTGCCAACCACACGTAAGGAGGCCATGTGAAAAGCACCACTGACGTCACAGTGCAGCGGTCGCCAACGTTGCGCTGCACCACATGCCTCTAACCCCAATGGGCCCGCTTACCCCCAATGAACCGATCCCCAGCAAAACGCTCGATCGATTCCAACTTCTAGGCCCTGGTCGCCTGTTAACCGTGCGCTTGGGGTCTGGATGGCTCTAATGTGGGTTTTTGTCCTGCGGTCCTAGCTACGGAATATCACGGACGTATTTATTGTAGGAGCTATAGGGAATAAGGGAATAGATAAGCGTTCTGCACGGAAATATGGATCCGTCATTGCCGTAAAAGGGGGAATGCATGGGGCCTTGAAGCTTTGAGCTTGCGGGTGTGGACTTATCGTGATGATGGGCGGATGGATGAGGAGTGAGTTCTAGACAAGACTGTGGGTCTGAAGAGAGTCTTGTCTTACGTATAGCTGCATGCATGTGTGCCGTAAATGGTATTTGCGCATCAGCGGAAACACTGAAGAAGTCACGAGATGATGCAAGGTGAAATGCAAGTGAGGTAATATGGATTTGATTGTCGTTGTTGTGGCTGAAGCCCGTCAAATCCTCCGAGGGAAACTATGCCTAGCTCCACGCGTCGTAGGTGTACCCTTCCTGTCTACTGCCCTGCCCAATGTCTGCAGTGGTCCTTCAAAACTAAGGAAAGGAAAAAAAAAAGAAAACTGGTATATCATACAACAGAAAGAAAAAGCCGCTCCATGTAAATGCTAAATCGATATGCTCCAATGTTGTCCCAAATTGCATAGCTGAAGTCGAAGAGTGTTTCCGGCACACTGTATCGCTAAGTGGCTAATGCGCTAATGATTTCGTCGAATATCATGATAGTGTGCGTTTAGGTTGTAAACGGCGAGTGCTCGACCGTTATTGCGCTCTTTGCGATGATGATGACGAGTTGAGTTGTGAGAGAGATGCGAAAGAGTTGGTCATTGCCGAGTAGGCAGCCGATGGTAGGCCGTTGGTTGAAGATGTGGATGAGGAGCTGTTGCTACGGACTTGTAGATTGAGTGTGTGGCAGCTATCGCATCGTCCGTTCATAGCGTTGCAGCGGCCCCTGCATCCTCGCTCGTAGTTGGCGCAAGAGAACATTGTGGCTTGGTGATTGTTGGTTGTGATGTTGTTGAGTAGTAATGTTGTAGTTGTGTAGCGGTGTGCGATCGAGAGACTTGGTAGAGTGCTGAACTTAGGCAAGTCTTGAAGCCGAGGGCCGACTTTGTAATATATGCGGCGGATGGTGATGAATGCCCGATGATGTAGCCAGCAAATACAAGATATGCAGGGCAATAATTGCGTATTTGGGCGTTAGAGTAGCCGGAATCGATGGTGTCCGTTGGCGTTACTTGGTAGCGTGTGGATGGGTCCAATAATAGTGTGTTGAAGTACCGAATGGAGTTAATGTGAAGATGCCCAAGTTGTGCAGATGCAGGATTGAGGGCTGCTTATAGCTATGGAGCGCAGATGAAGAATTGCGGGTGCGTTTCGAAAACTTGGAACAGATAGGTGGAAGATCAGATGTTACGATGGAAGCCGCAACTCTTATGACAGTTGACGCGTCCAGAAGATGTGTGTGTCATGGTAGATTATACAGTGGAGAGGCCCGAGGCCAGAAGTCTTTTGGTCAGTGCGTTCTTACTCAATGTCAAGGGTCTCTCCTCTTACGCATGCACGAGACCCTTCCCTGGATGTTCATCACGTCGGCTTAGCGTCAAAACCTTGTTTTCTGGCTTCCCGTCCATTCCGGCATTTGGCTGTAGCTTGCATACGTCCTACGCACTCGGTGACGCTCAGCCACCACGGCCGCTGTTCCAAGCGACCACCAGCAAGTTTGTTGCATCAAGCAGAGTACGGGTGGGCGTGCGATTCAGCACCCAAACGGCCATTTTTTCTTTACAAGGACAGGGACGGCAAACCTCGTTTCAAACAAATTCTGAAAGGCGGCTTAAAGTGGACGGCATCTCGGACATCAGGCGAAGGCTTGCACGGCCACTTCACCCGTGCACTCATCAGCACTCAAGACCCAAGAAAGCCACTCGCGAGAGCCCACAGATGTCGTTAGCTTGACACACTTCAGCCCTCTAAGATTACGTGGTGCTGCAGTTGTACCCTACATGAGGCAGTAATCATGGCGCATGTGTGCCATGTGGTCCCTCCGCTGCTGCCTCAGAACATGATAAGCCGGCCCGCTGGTCACCGGAAGCATGTGCGGATTTACGGGCTTAAGCTTGCGACACCGATAAGATAGTGTACCTGATATCAGGAGATGGCTGGAGTGGAGTACGGAGTCCGCGTTCGAGACTTTCTTCTTTTATGAGGATCTGCATCCATACGCACGCAAACTGAAATCGCCTCACGGTCAAAGACTTCTCCACCACAAGATCTGGCCTGATCGCGCAGGATGCAAATTGCTGCATCTGCGAAATCGGTGGAAGTTTCGACTCTGTACGAGAATGCGAGTGGTTCGCAGTAGCTCGTCCGAAGCACCTGGTTGATCCGCGACCGTTGATTAAAGCGTCCGGTCCATCCGCGCCCACCACATGGCTAAGCGCAGTCGAGACCCATCCGACTCAACAACTTTGCCTACGGACAACAACTCCGTACCCCGAATTTCGCCCTTTCAGCCTTGTGGAGGTCAGTGGGTTTGATGATCATCGTGCAGATCCATCGCTTATCGTTTCAAAAGGTCCAGAAGCCGATTCTGCTCAACGAGATTATGAAACATATGATGACTGTACTGTGTAGGTGACTCACGGCTTGCATGCATTGTTGTACAGCGAGGCATATACACGGGAAAGTATCTGGTGGTACACCACTGGCTCACCATACCTGAATGGCCATTACTTTTCATGCTAAGCGATTCATGGATCTCTAACCTCCCACTTAACTGGACACCGTTCGACCTGGCTTCACGAATTCCGAACGCGTCGCTAATCCACATTGCTTGTTTCTGTAGCTGTAATGCGTCGGCGCAGATACACACCTCATCACACTTTAGCTCTGCGACTTTATGTTGTAACCATGTCCTGATGCCAGTCACGCTTGAGCAAGCCAGCGATGGTGCTCTTACTTCACATAGCGACGGAGGCATGGTCTATAAGTAGCGCGCAGCCACAAGATGACTACGTGCAAGGGATGGGATTTGCTAATTTAATTCAGTCGTGTTGACAGTTAATACTCCCTACGTGGCGGAATGATCGTAGTCAAAGAATAATTTCGTTGTCTCTAGCATGCCTATCATTCCTTACCTCTCGCCAATTACCACCTTAAAAAGTGGAAGATAATCTAGGAAACAAAAGACGTTCTTCATACCCTCCTTCGCCCCCACAAACTTAGGCACCAAGCAAAATGACCACAGCTAATGCCACAGCTCTGTCGCGTAGACGAAGCCACCCGGATCGACGTTTCCTCCTACCTACTACAAACTACCGAGTTATATCTTCTCTACCTGGCGCAAATGGGGCGATTCAGCTTGTTCCTGAAAAGCTTAGGAGCCAACAACGAAGGTTTTGCCGCAGTTTGCAAGCTCGATTTCCAGCTCTTCGGTCGCCATCACCCCAGTGCTGGAAACGATAGCACATACATTGAGTTGATGAAACGATATACAAAGCTAACACAGGTCCAGCTAAAATTCGAAGTTGATTAGAGTGAGTGATCGTAATGCGATGCAGGATGTTCTGGTCGATTGCACGCCGTTGATCGAGAGTTTGGTGAAGTGGCTTAGAGAGGGGTTTGGGGCTAGGGGAAGAAAGGTTGATGTTAGGTATGTGGAAGCGAGCAGTCCGGGTCCGAGCTGGGGTAGGTGCATCTGAAAATTGTAGTTGTTGAAGCTTTCATCTGAAGTCAATCAGGATGGAATGAAACGTGCTGTCGTCGAGAAGGCGAAAGTACTAGTTGCATTGCCAATTGCAGTCTCTTGGGTCGCCTTACAATCAAAACTTCCCAGTTTCTCTTACCTTGGTTGTCGAAGATGGTTGCATAGTGAAAGCGTAGATGACGTTGGAAGGCGTGTGTGTAAGGTGAAGTTGGGCTGGTCTCCCGGCCACGGCTATGACTAAGCGAGCGCCGCTGGATTCATGCTTGCCGTCTGATCCCAGCCCTCACCAGCCTCATTTATCCTACCACGACCGAGCGCGTCCGCAACACCATCGTCGCTCTACCATTTTTGACCATCACCGCTATTGCTGCATCCGCGCGCATTCTGGGGATCCACTTTTGAGATTGCCGGCGCGCTTTCCCCGCCACGCGCATCGAGTTATCCGCGACGCGTCGACGTAAACAACAGCGCGACTTCTCCATCACCCCGCCCACGAACCGCTCTACTTAGCCACCACTATGTTTCTTCCAGAGGACCTCCTATTCAAGCAGGGTGCCCTTGCGCACGTCTGGCTCGCTTCGAACCAGCAGAAGAAGCTTACTAAAGCTCAAGTGCTGCAGCACAAGATCCCAGAGAGTTGTGAGGTCATCATCCGACCAGAGGTGGCTGCTGGCGGTCCACTTGCGTTGCGATTGAACGCGCAGTTGCTTCTCGGTGAGGTGCGCATCTACAGCAAGAAGGCGCACTATCTCCAGGATGACTGTCAAGAGGCCTTGTGGAAGATCAAGATGGTAAGTTCCAAGTTTGCCTGCGCGTCATGACCAATTCTGACCCGCATGCAGGCTTTCCGTCCCGGAAACATCGACCAACCTGCTCATACTCATGTCGCCAACCCTACCAACTTGATATTACCAGACCAAATCACCGACCTTGATCTGTTGGCTCCCATGCCCGACCCGTCGTTCCTTCTCTCACAGCCTCTTGGTGGCAGTCTCGACCTTGGCAACACCACAGTACCCGACTGGGACAACAGCCAGTTTCTTTCCGGTAGCATTGAACAGGCGCGTATGGAACCTATGGAACTTCCGGAAGATGATCTGGACCTGGACATTGGAGAGGGCGATGTCTTGCAGCCAACAACAGCCTACGATGAGGGCACCAGCATCGAGTTCGGCCGTAACGCACCTTTGGAACGACGTCGGTCTGAGGAATTTACTGGACTGGGCAAGGATCTGATCGTAGACGACGATGATCTCGGCATAGATATTGGCGAAGAGCCTCCAACTGAGCTCGCACGTGGCCCGCAACTCAACCTGGACGATGACATGGATATTACCATGGGCGGCATAGATATCATGGATACGGAGCTCCCAGTAGGCGGGTCCATCGCTGGCGACTTCCCTGTGCGACAACGCGAGGAATCGCCACTATCCGAGCTGGGAGAAGAAGAGGCCACACGCCTTGAGCAGGAGGTCGCCGAGCAGCATGCTACCATGTTCGAGCCCGAGCAAGAGCAGGAAGAGGAAGAATCCGTCCATCAAGCCCGCGCCAAGCGCAGGAGGGTCATTGGAGCCGACGCTGAGACTATGATCTCAAGCCACCAGCTGAGGGAGCAACAGAACAACCGCGAAAAGATCCTTAAGCCTGCTTCGTTCCTGCCTCGCGATCCTCTTCTGATGGCCCTGCTTAACATGCAGAAGTCTGGAGGGTTTGTCTCGAGCATTCTGGGCTCTGGCCGAAGTCAAGGCTGGGCTCCAGAGCTTCGAGGCATTCTTTCCCTCGAGGTCATCTCACGTCCAGCTCAGAAGCGTAAGCGTGATGGTGCGATTGCGGACAATGGTGCCACGGAAGATGAGGCAGTAGCCGAAGGAGAGAAGACCCCACAGTTGCAGCTGGAGTTTGAGCAAGATGAGCCAACTTTGGGTGACATTGGCATTGGTGGAGATAACGAGCCCACGCTTCGATCGGATGACATTGTTCAACTTCCCGATGATCCTGGTTTCCAGCAGATTGGTGACGACGACGAGGATATCATGTCGCCCATCCCAGACAACTTCGACGACACAACCGCGCCGCTAGTCCACCCCGATGAAGCCGGACCAGTATCACTAGGCACCAAACACGCCGTTCATTTCTTGCGGGAGCAGTTCGGACCGGAAGCTGAAGAGAGCGAGTCGGAACGACAGAAGAACAGCATAGTCTTCCAAGACGTCTTCCCAGAGACCCGCACATCACGAACAGACGCGACGAAGATGTTCTTCGAGATGCTGGTACTGGCGACCAAAGACGCCATCAAGGTTGAGCAGCCAGCCAACGAGCTTGGTGGCCCTCTACGCATTCGCGCTAAGCGTGGTCTATGGGGACAATGGGCAGAGACCGGTGCTAGTGGCGAGCTGGCGTCTGAGGCCCAGGCTGCACCTACAGGAGACCCCGACGCGCCTGCTGAGGCTATTTTCCAGGGACCATCCGAGGTGTCGGTATCCGCGTAGGCTTTCAACAATCTGTCCGCTTAACAGACTTTCTTTAGGGCTAGGTACCATCTGGCGGTGTTGGCTAGATACCCTTTCTTTGGCATGACTCATTTTACTTTGTAGGCGCTGCTTTGAATGGTGTTTTGGAGTTGATGTGGAAAATGGTTTTGCTGGAAAGTTGGCCCCTTGTATTATGGTATCAGGATAGTTACATCAGCTTTGGAAGACGGAACGCATTCAGTGCTACCATTACAGCTTTATCGCTAATCTTTCCCACTGTTTTCCAAGTAGAATCTAACTCAGAAACAGCATATATTTGTATGATTCTAGATCATTTACTTGAGGTTGTTCGTTCCTGGCGTGGGTGCCCGCTTTGACAAAAGCCAAGATGAAATCAGATTCCCCAAAAAGTTCCTATGGACTGGTAAGAACCCAAACCATGGTATTGACGACACATCAACCATGGAGCCACAAACGGGACTGAGATCGCGTGACCCACGCCCCTCTTCCCAGTGCCTTCTAATTTTCGCAATCATCGAAAAAAGCCAACGACATATCATCCACATCGCCCTCAAATCTCATCCCCATCAGAATCTTTGCGTCCCATCCACAAGGTTACCTTACAAAACCTCCTAAGCCTTCTTGTACATCTTTCTCTTCCCAAGATGTCCGAACTCAGCAACATCCCACCAGTCACTCATCAAGATTCTTTAGTTCTGCACACAGCGGTCGACTTCGGTCACAAAGAGGGCATCGGTGTCGGTATCATCCAACGCGCGGCAACAAACGCAGCCTGGACCAGCACCCTACCAATGGAGGAGCACAAACACGGCATCGAGCGTGGGCAGGTCAGAGCTAAGAACGTCAAAACGCGCGAAAGAGCTCATATGTTCGCGCTCATACTTGCCATGGGGCTAGCACGCAGTACACTCAAACGACGATGTACTACCACACGCATCAAAATGCAAAGTGTCACGGTGCTCGGTAGTGTGCCAGCGGTGGTTGAACTGATCAAGTATCACCGAGCTCACGATGCCAAGAGTCTTGAATCCGTGGTGAGCACGGAGGACCGCTCGATGATCAAAAGAGTCTTGGCGAGTGTAAAACGACTGTCGCGATACAATGTCCAAGTCACAGTCGTAGGAGATGGGCAAGAAGGCAATACTGTGGAGGCAGCAAGAGTAAAGATGATTGCCCGCCAGAGAAAGAAGAAGGCGTGTCGTCGCCGTTATCACGCACGACGAATCATGTCCACAAATGTCGGGACGGCAGGCGATGAGGAAGAAGATGGAGGAAGCGACGAGGAAGAGAATGGAGTGGGCGATGGGGAAGAAAGGAGAAAGGATAGTTTGCATTCGAGACCTATGACAGAAAGAGAATCGTCAAGTACATTCATGATAAATGAGACAGGTGAGCCTGAGTTGCATTGGACTTGAATACATACTCCTCATTCCAGCGCTGCAGGTCAACTGACACAAAACGAGCAGAATCAGGCAGCCCAATCTCCGGGCCTCCGAAACCTCCAAACCTTCAAGCCTTGCCATATATACTCTTGCTTCGAACACGGGCCGATTCGAACCTTTTAAAGATGCGGAGGCCATGCAGAATGCATAGGGATGCCCACGAAACGGCTGTATGACAACAGGATCACGCGGACCGAGCCAGAGACGGAACGAGACAATGGGAGATAGTATGAAATCGTGTTGATAGGGGAGCCGTTCGGCTCAAGGAATGATGAATAGCTGCCGATGCAAATGAGATACGGGAGTTGAAAAGATCTGTGAGACGCGAAAGTTTCCTTTCGTCCGCAAGTTACGAGTGAATGCGGGAAGAGGAATGCCGAAGCAAAAAAACCCGACCAGTCTAACCTCCAGTCCCCTCGGGTTGCTGAGGAGTTGTACCCCCGCGAAATGGTACTTTCCCAAATCGCTGGTCTACGTTGCTCCCCATCGATGCAGGATATGCGCACTAGGCGGTGGAAAGGTCTCACCTGCTCAAGTCCAGAAAATACGCGGTCACGACAGTGCACTCTGTCAGTGTGACCGAGTGACTGGCGAGAGGCTGGTCTCAGTCAGACGGTAGTATGAGCGTCGAATAGGGAGGCATGGAAGAAATAGGGTTGGCGTGCACGCCGATGTGGAGAGGCAACGGACAATGGTGATTTGCGTCGATGTGCCCAAGTGTCTTATGGTAAGGTGGCCGTATCAGAAAGAAAGAAAGAGATGTCGAGAAGACCAAGGTGATCAAGAATGAAGATACCGTGACTCATGAGCCGAAAAGAAAGGCTGAATTGCATCACATGAGTGGAAGTGTTGGTGGATTGTGGTGTGAAGAAGAGGTGGATGATTGCGAGCAGCAGGCCGACTCAACTTCCTCGGCACTTTGGATATTCTAGAACGCATGACGCGATACTAGGCACGCGTATAGAATAAATCTCTGTATACTCAAACTGCGCTCTAGCTAAGGAATATAGAGACTTTCATCTCTTCCTTTCTTCTTTTGCATAGCAACAACGTAGAATAAAACACTGAAAATACTATAGAGAACTACCTATACTAATTCGGTTTACTCTGAGAAGTTTAGGAATAAGTTTTTAAAGAGATTTATCATTGTAGACTCTACTATAATGGCTGAACATTAGCAGCGTGGATGTGTGAAGTGATGGTTGCGAAGTCTGTTGGTGTCGGCGCTGTGTTAAACACGTGCTGATCTGAGAATACTACGGTAGCACTACCTAAGGGCCATCACCATAATTACACGTTAAAAAACTGCTTGCTCGGCTATCGAAAATCACAGTATCTCCACAACGACGGATCATGTAGCCGTTCTTCACACGTCCCAGTCCAAGATCGGGATATTATCGAGCTCTGAGCCATGGAAGCCATAGAGGAGGTCATCTACTGTTACCGGTTGTTCGTTGAAGAGCTGTTGTTGGTCCTGGTACATCCAAGTTGCGGTATTGTCGTAAGGCCTATTTGATGTCTCGGTAGTCGAGTGGGCGAGATGCGATTGCGCAGGCGTGGCCATGTCTGAAGGATTGGCAGAGCCTGCTAAACCTGGCTGGACTATGTGCGATGGCTCTTGCTCTCGCTCTCGGACGAAACTCTGAATAATGCCATCTATGTCGAGACTTTGAGAGCTAGGTTGGCGGCTCGTCAATCTACTTGGCGATACACCCGGTGTACTGTTGTGGCTGCCATAACAAACGTCTCTATTGATCCGTGTGTCGTCCGGGTTGGACATCGCGACCCCCAATCTTTTCATCAGATTCTGCACAATGGCATTGGCGCGTCGCACTGCCCAATTTGTCTCTTGGTTCTCGCGAAACACGGCCAAACAAGCCTCGAGGCTGCTGTGAGCTTGAGAGCCCGGACCACGCCTCGCCGCAATACGGACGTGTACGGTCGCTGCTACATAAGTCGCATATGAAATCAGGTAGGGAGCTCTTCGCACACTAAAAGCTTTATCGTATACCCGAAGAAGCTGTACAATGTCATCCGCTGCGGTGGCACAGGCCATGAACGAATTCACAGAAATGGCGCGGGAAGTATTGTAGAGGTGCCCGTCGGCGACGAAAGGTCGATGTAGCAGAATGGTGAGGACATTGTAGAGAGCGCTAGAATATTATTAGTGTTTCCTTTATATTTTTGTTATTCTGGAACTTACTACAAGCTAAGAACATGCGGAGGAGGAGTCATAGCAGCTTGGTTTACATCTATGGCGAGATGCTCAGGCAGGAGCCTGCGCCACGTTATTAGCTTCTGATGGATGCTCTCTAGTTTGGAGGACAGCTCTGCAGGGCTTGCATCAAAGCTTCTTTCGGTATAAATAGTGCTGAGAATATCACTGAGGATGACTGAGAGCTGGCAGAGCTGTCGGAATGTCGAGATACTATATGCTGGAGAGCCTAGATAGGTAGCGTCTGATTGCGTAGAGTATGAAAAGGGAGTCCAATGCTCAAGTTCCTCGTATGTATCCTGGAACTTAATGGGCACGAGTGTGTCTGACTCTTTCATGGTGACCGGGCGACCTTTAGTTTTGGAGTATGAAGTCAATGTTTGTCTTACGTGCAGCTTAAGCATTGGAGTTCTTACCTTGGTACAAGCTTTGGATTTTGTCAACGACTGAATCTCTTGTCAGTGAATTTAAAGGCTGTATAAAGACTTTACTCACCAAATGCTGCCCAAAAGACACGACGCCGAATTTCATGATCCTCATCAGATAGTTTACGAGACCCTGACAAGACAGGTGTGTCAACGTGGATACCAAGATCGACGATCATGCGGAATGCTAGTCCAGCATAGAGCCAGGCGGCACTGCGTTCATCGCCCAGAGCAAAAAGAGAGTTGGTCATAACAAGTAGAGCCTGAATGGTCGTAATCTCACTCTTATCTAAAGCACCGCCTAGAAGCTCTCGCACTCTTTGACGAAACTGCCAACCTGCAGTGCGGACATCATCCACTACTCGGCGGACCTCGTGGCGTGGACTGAACTTGGACGCACCGAAGTAGATGGCGTTGAGAAGCAGCTTGGAGAAATAGGGACCGCCGCAGGCCATGTCACGCATGAAGGCTGGGCGATAGGTTGTGAGGAACGAGTGATGTTGTCGGTTCCAGTGTAGTGACAGCAAGTGCATGCCGAGTTCAGGCTCGACACCATCAAAGTCGAGCTTTCCAAGGCGGTGATTAAGAGTTTCTAATTGTCTCTGACGTGCAGCTTCAGCAACAAGACCTTTCTCGACCCATTCATCTGGCATTTGGGGACGTGCTTCGACAGTGTTTCGATCATTAGATCCTTCGTCGAACAGAGTGCTGGTGCGTCCATGATAGCTAGAGGAGCCGTTGGGAGCAATGACGATACGTGAAACATCTCTGGGTGTAGTTGTAGCGGGTTGTGCAACAGAAGCAGAAGCAACAGTAGATGGGGCCAATGTTGATACTCTTTCTGCTCGAGGTGTCTTACGCGGACGACTAGTGGCATGCTGGGCGTCATCTATGCCTGTGGGCTCATAGTGGCATGTTGTCCCATGGGTTTTGCAGCTTGCGCAGGTTGGCCTTTCAGCACTACATTTAATCTGCCGGTCTCAGTGTCAAGCTTCAACGGCATGTAGGCGTGCAACCACAAACCTTTCTCCGACGGCAAAATGTACACGCCTCGACAGCCCGCTTGCGGGTGCGGCTTGTCACAGTCACATGGGCGTCCGTTCCATTCGTAGCCATAGCGTTGCACAACGGGCCAGCACGATGGAGATATCGGCGGATAGGCGTGGTCTTGCCTTACGGGAACGATTTGCCCCCGTCCAGGAAAGCCGCGGCTAATCTTCGGTCTTTCTATCCGCGGGAGCGCAACTTCTTAGCATCCCACGGGAAGCAACGCGGTAACGGAAGCAACCATGCCTGCCCCTTGTCATCTACCCGTACAATGAACCCGTTGCAGGCTGCAAGTTCCGATTAAAGCTATTCGAAAAGTGTCCAGCTTAGGGATATATATGGGAGCTACATCGTCTTACAAAATGTATCATTTACACCTGCAGAGAGCGCATTACCGAGTACATTATTATTCGTCGTAGTATCAATCCTCTATAGATGCTCCGCTCGCTTTCGAAAACGACCATCTTCCAGAAGGCACATCTCTCAACCGTCTCACACGTCTCGCCGATACGTATGCCAGAATTCCCTATGGCGTACGAACGTACACCAAGAAGGGTGCGACACAGCCTACCAGCCGTATTGATGCGTGCTGGTACTTCGAAAGGTCTCTTCATTCATCGACATGACTTGCCGGCTTCCGAAACAGCTTGGGCAGGCCCGTTACTCGCCGCCATGGGTTCTCAAGGCTCAGACGCTCGGCAGATTGATGGGGTCGGCGGAGCGACTTCGACGACTTCCAAGGTTGCAGTGGTTTCATCGTCGACTCGCATGGGAGTTGATGTTGACTACACGTTTGTGCAGGTAGCTGTAGGTCAAGAGGCGGTCGATTTCAGTGGAAATTGTGGAAACATGTGCGCAGGCGTTGGGCCGTTTGCACTACAAGAAGGACTGGTGCGTGCAAGTCCCGGACAAAAGACTGTGAGTTGATTCGTGTTGGACAAGGTTATATCATGCTTACTTATCGCCCAGCTCGATGTTCGGATATTCAACACAAACACGTCGCGGGTCATCGTCGACACTGTTCAGGTAGACGAGGATGGCTCGTTCAGCGAAGACGGAGACTACGCGATTCCAGGTGTCGAGGGGACCGGAAGTGAAGTAAAAGTTGCTTTCGTCGACCCTGCGGGCAGTATGACCGGAACTTTGTTTCCTACCGGGAGACGACGCGACACCATCCAAGTGAGGGAGAAAGATGGCAGTGGCTTCTCAGTGAAGGCCACGTTGATCGACGCGGCGAATCCTTTTATCATTGTCGACGAACGGACATTACCACCACACCTGAAGACGGGAAGTAAAGATACTACTGGCTATCTCGGGCACATTGAGTCCATAAGACGTGCTGGCGCCGTCATGATGGGCCTCGCTCCCGATATAGACGCCGCTGCAAAGATTCGCGGAACACCGAAGCTGGCCATCATATCTTCTCCTCGATCAGATCGTCACCTCAGGAAAGAAAGAGCAGATATTCATGTTCAGGCTTTCAGCATGGGCAAACCCCACCCAAGCCTACAACTCACGGGCGCAGCGTGCTTAGCGTCGGCAGTATGCATCCAGGGCACTGTCGCACATAGCCTTGCATTAGAAGGCAAGGTACAGTCGTCCTGGCAAACGCTTTGGCCTGAACGGACACCGAGTCCCTGCTCAGACTCTGATGAAAGCTCTTTCGGTCTGCTACCGAGCCAGAGGACAGTATCTCTGTCGCATTCGAGCGGGTCGATCAAGGTCGATGTTTTGGCCACGAGCTCAGAATCCTTTGTTTTTGTTGATAGATGCGTTGTCTCACGGACGGCTAGGCGGTTGTTCGAAGGGAAAGTGTATTATTACTCTAGTGTGTAAGAGATGCAGTGATTGTACGATACGAGATGGGAATGGAGGAAATGCCACTTCAGCCACACCTGAGATATTGTGGAGGCTGAAATATGACATCACATGCAGAGAGGCCGAAGCGCGCCATCACTTGATTGTGCAGCGGAGATGTACCTGCCAAGGCCGTAATACGTCTGTAAGGCTTCTAGAAGTCGACACCACGTTGGCGATGTAGTTGGAAATATAGCACCAAGCCGCAAGCAGAGGCTACGGAGGGTGTTTCGAAATAATGCAACGTCGTCAGATGGTACTAGTGTAGTCATGTCAAACAATTGTTGATGTGAAAGTCGTGACAAGACCCCGGATCGCTGCGATGGTGCTACGGCACCCCTGCTCGCGAGTACCGCTGGTTTGACGTTTTGGTCCATCATCAACATCCAGCAACTGCATCCCCAAAGACAGCACGTAACCGTCTTCCGATTGCCTTCACCGTGCTCGCTCGCCAATCGAACACGTCTTTTATTACTACTAGCACCAATGCGATAATCCAAGACGACGGGCATCTTTTTCTACGCTAGCTTTGGACGGATAGGCCACGTTGGACCGCGGCGCAACAGTCGACTCCTGGCCATGCCAACATGTCAAAAGCATCCACGCCCTCATTACCCCTCTACAATGCCTCAGGACTGCCCTCCAAGTCTTCGCGGCCCTCTTCGCCCATGCTGCAGCCTCCAGAACCCCTCAAGCGGAGCACCACGCCCTCAGTACGCTATGCGCTTTCACCACGTCTACCATGTAGCCCTGGACACGCCCGCTGACCATGTGTGAACAGTCAATAACATCGGCTCATTCCCTCCTCTCGGCACAGGACACGGCGCAGAAGCTCTCGACATCGCTAACACACGGCCTCTCCGCCTCAGACGCCTCGGCGCGCATACACATCCATGGCACCAACGAACTCCCCCACGAAGAGCCCGAACCGCTCTGGCTCCGATTTCTCAAGCAATTCAAGGAGACGCTCATTTTGTTGTTGCTGGGTTCTGCTGCCGTCTCCTTTATAATGGGCAATTTGGAAGATGCCGTGAGCATTGCTGTGGCAGTGACGATTGTGGTGACGGTAGGCTTCGTACAAGAATACCGGTCGGAGAAGTCAATAGAGGCGCTGAACCAACTGGTTCCGCATTCGGCACACATTATTCGCGCTGGCGTAGAGCAATCACGGGGCGGTCGCATACCAAATGGTACAGCAACCGAGGGCGTAGAGTTGGAGAACTTGAAAGACACCACAGCATCGCTGGCGGCGGCAGAGCGCAAGTCGACCACCATATCCGCGACATTATTGGTACCGGGCGATCTGGTCCTATTCCACACGGGAGACCGCATCCCAGCCGACATTCGCATCACGCACGCAGCCGACCTCAGCATCGACGAGTCGAACCTTACCGGAGAGAACGAGCCTGTCTCCAAGTCGCCAGACATCATCACACATCCCTCGGGCATACAACGGCCATCCTCTCCTTTCTATGCGTCCGAAGCCGCTGGAACGGTCGGCGCTGATATACGGCTGAATGATCAGAAGAACATTGCATTCATGGGTACACTGGTTAGATCGGGCTATGGACAGGGAATCGTCGTCGGTACAGGAGGCAACACGGAGTTTGGCGCCATTTCTGCTTCTCTGCAGCAAATCGAGAGCCCGCGGACGCCTCTACAGCTTTCCATGGACCGTCTGGGCAAAGACCTAAGTTACATGTCTTTCGGAGTCATCGCCTTCATTGGACTGGTGGGACTATGGCGCGGTTGGAAGTTCTTAGAAGTCTTTCAGATTGCAGTGTCACTTGCCGTCGCCGCTATTCCTGAAGGACTACCGATTATTGTTACTGTCACGCTTGCGCTGGGTGTGTTGAGGATGTCTAAGCGCGACGCTATTGTTCGAAGGTTACCCAGTGTTGAGACATTGGCTTCAGTCAATGTCGTGTGTACTGACAAGACAGGTGGGTTGAGCAATTCCACTACAACGCAGCATATACTGACTACGACCAGGCACACTGACGACGAATCATATGACTGTCACCAAGATATGGCATTTTGACGAATCAGCACCGGTTGACGTCAAGAAGAAGCACGATTCAACGGACCTCGATTCACCTACGCGAAACATACTACGCATCGGCAACATTGTCAACAACGCTCGCTTGTTGAGCGACCAGGCCGCATCAGCATCCACTGCGGCAGTGCTATCTTCAACTCTCGGTTGCGATGACAACTCTGCAGCCAAGAGCCGATGGGTTGGTCAACCCACCGATGTTGCTCTCCTTGACTTAATGGATGCTTTCGGAGAAGAGGACATCCGGGAAATGCTCGGCGACCGCAAGTTCGAGACACCCTTCAGTTCGGAAAGGAAGTGGATGGGGGTCGTCGTTGGCGGTAATTCTGGCAACCACACACCCGGATCCGACTATGCCTATATCAAAGGTGCACTGGAGAGGGTTCTGGACCGCTGTGATACGTATGTAACGGCACAAGGGAAAGAGGTGGCATTGGACCAAGCACGTAAGCAAGAAGCGATCAAGGCCGCCGATTCAATGGCGCAAGAGGGTTTACGTGTGCTCGGCTTCGCAAGCGGTGCGTCCAAAGCAAAGAAGAGGAATGGCGCCAGTGGCACAGCCTCACCCGCACCGTCTACCAACTCGGCACTCGGTGATGATGAGCAGTACCGTGGTCTTGTGTTCGCTGGCCTAGTTGGCATGAACGACCCGCCACGTAAAGGTGTAGAGCGAGCCATTCGGAGACTGATGGCCGGCAAAGTCAAGGTCATTATGATCACAGGCGATGCAGAGACTACAGCAGTCGCCATCGGCAAGAGCCTGGGTATGCCCATTACACCAAACTCAGCACTTGGACGCTCGGTCATCTGTGGTGATGAACTGGATCGTATGAGCGAGGAAGAACTTGCACAGGCCATTGCGACAACCTCAATCTTTGCGCGAACTAGTCCTGAGCATAAGATGAAGATTGTCCGAGCGCTGCAATCGCGAGGCGATGTTGTGGCAATGACTGGCGATGGTGTCAACGACGCGCCCGCGCTCAAGAAAGCAGACATTGGCATCTCTATGGGTCGACTGGGCACGGATGTTGCAAAGGAGGCCGCAGATATGATTCTGACAGATGACAACTTTGCGACCATCCTCAACGCGATTGAAGAGGGCAAAGGCATCTTCTACAACATTCAAAATTTCCTGACTTTCCAACTCAGCACCAGCGCGGCAGCACTGAGCTTAGTGCTGCTGAGCACGTTTCTTGGCTTCCAGAATCCGCTGAATGCCATGCAGATTCTCTGGATCAGTGAGTCCATCTTGTATCTCCACCCCCTCTAGTCCCTCCTAACCATCGACCCACAGACATCCTCATGGACGGCCCACCCGCACAATCCCTCGGTGTAGAGCCCGTCGACCCAGCCGTCATGGCCCTACCCCCTCGCCCACGCCAGGCCCGCGTCCTGACCCGCCCACTGATTCAACGTGTCCTCCAATCCGCCACCATCATCATGCTCGGCACTCTAACAACCTACTATCTCGAAATGTCCACAGATAACCTTGTTACCGCACGCGACACCACCATGACTTTTACCTGCTTCGTCCTCTTCGACATGTTCAACGCACTAACCTGCCGTTCCGCCACCAAATCCGTCCTTGCAGGCGAGATTGGCGTCTTTGACAATAAAATGTTCAATTACGCAGTCTCGGGCAGTTTGCTGGGACAATTAGCTGTTATTTACTTCCCGCCACTGCAAAGCGTTTTTCAGACCGAGGCCCTGGGTTTGGGCGACCTCGCGCATCTTGTTGCTGTGGCGAGTTGTGTGTTTTGGGCGGATGAGGGGAGGAAGTGGTATGTTCGGTGGAAGGGGAAGAGAGGGTATGGTGGGGGGTATAGCACCGTTGTCTGATCTTGGAGAGTTGGGTAGAATATGGAGGTGTAGAAGCGTTATAGCGCGCAATGGAAGTTGTTGTTACTGATGATGTGTTTTGCGGTAACTGTGATTTTGCTGATTATACGGGATGGTTGAGCTGACAGTTGATGTATTTCCTGACAAAGGCTGACGTCAACGGAACATGTACTACTCGAAGGCTATGTATGAAACCTTCTCTCTCTATCTTTACCACATCCTATTCACCGCAACTAATATATGAGGCGTACATCTGAGATACTGCGTCGTGTCAAAGCCCTTACATGAATCTATGTCAGTGAAGATCTGCTTTAGGCCTTATTTGCCTAGGTTCGGTGACGACAAAATTGTAGTTCTGCGAGAAGCATGTCAACATTAAGCTATACGGCTCTATTCGTAGTGTCTGTGAAGGACGAGAGGAGTGGACGCTAGGATCGGCCAACTCGGAGTCCGCGGGCGGACCTTTTTTGCTTCCGCGCCCACCCCTATCCAGGCATGCACCGCCCACAACGCACCATCATTTACAGGCACGCCCAAGGACGACCGGCAATGGATGACAAGGGCGCGGTGTCAGCATTTCAATCGTTGGATATGCGTTTGCGAAACTCACTGCCACCGCAGAGGATCCAGTGTGGCTCCATCTATACGGCAGGTGGCTCAGCCGACGCCCATGCTTTACTATCGTTTTGGACTATTACTCGCGTACTTGGCAAGATCTCAATCCTTCTCAGTCCTATGCGAACCTGAGCCGTTGATGTTTTGTCGTTCTTCGCATCTGCTACAAAGCCTCTCATGAAACCTCTTAATACCCTTGTTTTGATTCGCCACTAGACACTCTATGTGTTTTCTTCATTCTCCAATTTTCCTCACTGTCCAACTCAACCACTTTGTTTCACTTTTGAGTAGGTCATCATGGACATAAACCCGGTGGTTAGTATCGCACTCTGAGCAACAACGGTTACCTAACTTAGACTAGTGCGATACCTGCAAGATGCGAAAGGTTTGGCATATTGTTTTCCTCCTATGAGATGCCTTTATTGACGATCGCCGAAGGTCAAATGCGATCGTAACGATCCCTGTGGCAACTGCATAGACGGCAAGATACAATGCACGCGTACAGCTTCAGCTCGTGGCACATCCAAACGACGAAGAGGCGCTGAAGTCATGTCGGCACACAAGCAAAGTCGACGTCACGAGCTCCAAACGTCACCCGCATCCTCTCATTCACCCAGTATGCCTCCATCGCCGTCGATAGCGGAGGCGCAGGACTTCATTCGCCGGGAGATCAAAACCGGAAATCACATGCCTGCGGAGAGGCTAGCTGTTCTGAAAGAGGCGATGTCTTTTGTGAACCATCTCTCGCAAGTCAACAAGCCATGGGGTAGTTCAAACCCGCCTACTACACGGGTTCTTGATGTATTGGAAGACATATCATACCCTAGTATCGAGGTTCTGTATTGGATGGTTCGCGGTAGGCTTTGTAGTACCGCTTACACGTCTTACAGCTGACCGTCGATATTAGACTTGAAAGGACGGAACCTTGGTCCTCATGTGCTGGATTACTTCAAGCATGTCTCGCCGAAATCTCTCAAGAATATGGGTTACGCACTAATCTACAGAACCGCGGATCCCGAGACCCTGTTGCTCTATTCAATCTGCGTGAATTCCGCTGCCTTCAAATTTATCAATACTGTACTAGGGGAGGACAGGATGGAAGAAGTGGGCGCAGGTATGCTTGAAAGTGCTGCGAGGTATCTTAAAAGTATCAAGCTGGCCATGACGCGCATCCATCTCCTATCTGCCCCTTCACTTGTTCTTCTACAATCTCTCCTATGCAGCGTAAGAGACTCTCACCGCTCACGACAATATCAGCTAAAATAACACAGGCATTTATCGCGCAAGGTGCTGGAGATTTGACGCATTGCTGGACGTTCATCACAGCTGCATGTAGGATGTGCGAAGACCTAGGCCTTGAAGCCCAAGTCAAAGCCTGTCGAACTGAGACAGAGGATGATATAGAGATCTACTACTGCTATACATGGTGTCACATCCTCGACAAGAATTATTCCATGATGCAGGGAAAGAGTCGCTTCCTGCTTGAGTACGATGGCCTGGATGCGGCACTGTCGTCACCCTTCAACAAAGGCATGTCATCCCTGCTATCTACTTACTTGCATTTCGTCCCTATTCAAGCGATATACATGTCCGAGCTTCATCCAGATCGAATCTCAAACAAAAAGTCGCTTCTATCAAGAGTCGACATCGTGGTGAAGGATTTGCTTGACAGATTGGAGCAGGTGTACACCAGAATAACGAGTGTAAGTCAACGCATGTCTTGGGTTCAAAGCGATGAGACTGATATGTCTAGTTGCATGCTGCATCAGAGTCGTGGGGTGGCCTCCACGTTGCGAGTGAGCTAAGCACCGTTCACTTCTCGTATCATTCGCTCCGGACTTCTATTCTTCGCTCGAGGCAAATCTGCCAGCCAGCGAAACAGCGTATTGACGTCGACTGTCTCCAGTCTGCGCGCATGGCTATGACTACTCTCAAGGTCATTCAAGAAGAATCTATGACCATCACTGATGTTCGAGCACATGTATCGTACATGCACTGGTGAGTAACTACCTCCGCCCTTTGCATCCCAACTAATTGGCTCAGGACTGTGCTCTACCACCCGTTGACGCCTTTCTTCGTGCTATTCTGCAACATCGTAGCATCGTCCAGCGAGTCGGATTTCCAGTTGCTCACCACTGTTACGTCACAACTCGACGGGCTGGCCGATCAGAGCCCACCGATTGCCAAACTTCAGACACTTTTCAAGTCATTCATTGGGCTTTGCGAAGGTCTCGTCAACAAAACCAAGGAGACGTCACCGCATGCAGCGCAATGCGCGCACTCTCAACAAACCGTCGGACATGACCGATCCGTTACGTCTGCACCGCAGCCTCCTGCCCAGTTGTCAGGGGAACAGTTGCAGCTGCCTCTGAACACGAATAGGATCAACACGGAATACGCGAATTCAGTTCAGCCCGCTGACGACATGGCGATGGATTTTCCGACCGACAATAGTATAGGCTTACTTGACCCAAGCTGGGGATTATTCGACACCCAACCTACCATGGGATGGTTAGATGCCGACTTCTCATTCTTCGATAGCAACCAATGATTTAACCACGTACATGGGCGTTGCATGTCACCTCGTTTGTTTAAGCAAATCTTCCGCGCATGTCATCTCTCCACTTTGATGGTTCATCAAACGAGGGTTATGGATGATGAGCAAGAAATCCAACACATACCAACAGTGAGCCTCTGTGCGCTTATGGGACCATGCTGGCATAGCCGCCTCGGCGAAAGTATCCCTTGCCAAGATGTCATAAGGACTCCCGGCCACTGTATTCTAGCCATGCGCAGCGCCAGAACGTCTCAGCCCGAGATCAACAATTCCTTGAGTAACGGCCTGATCCTAGCCTATCATTCCGCTGCGAATTGCACTACAGTGTCGAAGGGCCTGTGACAGCAACGAAAATCTTGGCGTGCCGACTAAAAATAGCCGGTCCCGGACTCCACCATCTCACTCTCGCTGCTGGACGAACGCCGGGAGACGAAGTATTTTCATCGTAGATAAAACTGAAGGATAATGTTAAAGGCATCATGTTGTCAATTCTGCGTAGCTTCCATTTCTTTACCAAATACCACTCACGACTATTGCTTCGTGATATCAGATACTCCTACTTTCATTTCTTTACAGCACGGTTACTACTAACATCGTTTGTTCCAACCCTTTCTTTTTTCCTGATATGGATATTTCAATTCAACTAGATCACCCAAAGGCCATCTTCAGCAATGGCGACTCGATCACGGGCAACATCGTCATTTACTGCCCTGCGAGTGTTACCACTGTTTCGAAAATTACAGCAACGTTAGTCGGCGAGAGTATACTCTCTTATACCGACATAAGCGGCTTGTTGATCGACCGGAAGCAGCAGGATAAGCATCGTGTAAGTACACATAGCATCGCGAGGTGTCTTCCAGGTGGACAAGCTATCAGACTGAGTCTTGTTCGTGTATATAGTTTGCACACGATTTACAGATCGTATTTCCCTCTCGTCATGATCGGGGAGATTCGGGTACCGAAAAGCCGGTAAGGCTGGGCTTTGGGTATCACAGCTTTCGGTTTGCATTGCGGGTAAGTCGTCTTGTTCTTTCATACACACCCTATACGCAATAACTCATCACTAAGTACATATAGATCCCTGATGAGGCAGAGTGTAGCTCATGTCCTCCGGATTCACCATTTATATTGCCCGCATATGATGAGAAATATGCAGACCAATCGACATTCTCTTCGCGCAATATGCTACCACCGTCGATGCACAATCTTGTCGACGGGGCGGCGGTCTCATATCGTATTGACGTAGCAGTAACCAGCATGCGCAATATCTTCAAATCAACAATGAAAAAGGTAAGGAAGACTGGCTCCCTGCAAAGAAGGTAGCCTATGGTGTAAGTATGCTAACGCTAACGACTAGTAGAACTTGAACATCACAGTATGGCCCATGGAAACACATCATCAATCTCTTGACTCCATGTCCGAAAAACCCAGCGCACTCCCCTGCGTAAAGTCAGTACAAGCAACCATCATAGGCCCATATACCCATCTCTCAACACCACACAATTCTCCAACCGAATCCATGCATCGCCTCTCCACAACCGCCTCCGCAGCTCAAATATCGATTTCCGCTCACTTCCTTCCGAACTACTCTCTCCTGCGTAACCGCCACATGACCATGCGACTCAGCATCTTGAAAATCAACTCCTTCGCCTACGACCTCTACCTCCAGTCTTTTCAGATGCTGTTGGTTGGGTACACAGATATCAAAGCCAAGAGCCCATCTCCAACGGATACACAGATCTCGTGCTGGACAATTCAAAGCATGAGTAACATTGGTTTACCCGTACTCCACAACTTTGAGGACGTCGGCGCCGAACGGGAGATTGATAGGAATCTATGGGAGGGCGAGGCGCTGCCAGACATCATTGTACCAAGTTTCGACTCGTGTGGGTTGGTGAGAAGGTATGAGCTGGATATCTCGATGGGATTTCAGTGTCGGGGGGCACAGGTATGTCGAACACATGATCCGAGCGGTTGCCGCCGAACGGTGATTAGTTGAGTATTTACTGATCATACTCAGGATCAGGCTGGTCGGATACTATTTGTTCAGTTGAGAACACCCGTACATATCTCCTCTGGGATACTTCCTGGTCGGCAGCTTGGAAATGGGTATGATAAGAAGTTGTTCCTGGATGGAGAGCTGGTGCCCATCAACATGCGTTCGGAAGAAGACTTGGGTATACATGACGAGCACCGGTATAGCACTACCCAGCGTGCGGATGCCGCGCTTGGACACGACGCCATACCGATGGGTCTGCCGCCTACGTACGAAGAAGCTACCATGGTGTCTCGGCGATCGATTGATACGGTGCTGGCGCATGGTAGGATGAAGTAGGTGTACTCACGGCTGTCAGATCTTGTGCTCGCGTTCAACGCAGCTTATCACGTTATTAGACGAACTTCTTTGGTTAGTGGAGTTATACTTGGGGGTTTATCACGATTTGTTTCTCGTTAGGCTCAAGATAGCATGTTCCATCGTTTTCATTGCATGTACTCTGTAAAGTTCTCACTTTATCGTCTTTACCACACTGTATGTCCAAAATTGGAATATCTCCAACTCATGTTCGTCGATCAAACGCTTCGATGTTTCAATCCTTGCAAATGAGCCAAGAATCTTCTACTAAAGATGCTTCCGGTGTGAATTCCAGGTATAAAAACGACCGGCGCGTCCCTATCGTTTCTCCTTACATCTTTAGTTGTCAGTCTAATTGCAAAACATGTCGACAAGTGCGCCATGTTCGTCTGCCCAGCGACCTCCAAACTTTTGGCCTTTTCAGAACATGTTCCGCCAAAAGCGATTCTGTGATTGTGATATGGAAAATTCAGATCACCTCCAGTCTTCTACATCCCTCGAGGTGTTCTAAACTACATAAACCTCTTCACACTGCGTTATTCGCAACCTTAAAAAGCGAAGTGGATAGCTTACATGACTTTCCTTCCTAGTAGACTTACATAATTACACATTGAAATATTCATGTGTTCGCCTCACACGCTTTTGACTCTACCAACCAAGCACTCAAAGTCTTGCAAAATCAAAAGGCACACCAACAGGAGACATGGGGTCGGCATGCCTCGCTGTACTAAAATCACCATGTGCTTTTCGCATGCGCCCTTTGCCTCACTACATATTACTAAAAACCGAACTACTTACACGCATGCTTGCGATTAGCGTCACTGGTTTCCTATATGAACCCCTTCTTCGCAATATCCTTTCTATCCTACAATACACCGTGGTTTTTCTGTCTGGAAAAGGCGTGTTATGAAAAGGAGGAGAGGACGACTCTACCAAAACTCAGCAAGCGAAAATTTCATGTTTGTGCTGCCCTGAGTTGTTCAAGACCGTTCAGAAAAGCTGCATGTTGCTGTTTCTCTCCAGAATCCGCAGGCACAATCAATCATGTCTCGATGCAGAACATCTGCTTTCAACACGGCGTTCATGTCTCGTATGTCTTTGCGCCGCTTGAAGAGAAGCTGATCTCTTAGACAATGGGATTGTGCAGCGTGCTGTTGAGTACGTGTCGAACTTTTACCGCCACAAGGGAGATATCGAAGGATGAACTAAAGTTCAGATTGTGGGGTCCGTCATCACCATTATGACCTGAAAACACGTAAAATAGTGGACTTCCATGTATCTACTCGGCCGGTAGCTCTGTATCTGATTAACTGAAGGAACATGGGCGACACAGCTTGCGCGCAATCACCTGTTCTCCAAAATGTGTTTGGAGTGTTCGACTGTCGCGATCTTAACCATGGCAAGTTGGTCATGTCGCTCTTGGAAGGAGCTGAGCCCTCCAGCGTCCACTCGCACTCAGAGTAGCTTCGTGTCGTCACAAGCGCGGTCTCTCTTTTTTTTGTTGATAACCGGACATGGCCTGTCTTAAGCCATGTCGCACCCATAATCTCATGCTCTTCTCGTGCTTGGTATCTCCATGCAACCATCTCATATCAACTCGACATCGCCCGTCCCGCAACCCACACACCAAGCCCTTACTGCACTCCACCTTACAACCCAAACATCCCCCCTCTTCATTTCGAACCTGCGATCTGTCCCCTCAACAAATATCTCTCCCACGTCTCGCAGCGCCCTCACAAAAACTGCTTTGTCTTCATCCGGCTTGTCGATCATGCTGATACCGCCTGTCGTATCATCGAGCCGTTGTAGCGACGCCGGGAATTGGGAGAGAAACGAAGAGCTATAATGGGAGGAGAGGAGCGCTTGGTGTGAGGTCAGGTATTGGTGTTCGGATGAGGAGAGAAGCGGGAAGGGCGTTTCGAGGGAGGTCGTGTGCAGCGATTGGATGTGTAGGGGGTGTGTATCGATCTATGATTGTGGTGTCAGCACAAAGTTGTCGTAGAGAGCGGTAGTGCGCGAGAGTAGCATACCTTTTTTATCCTCGCTCTCAAGAAACTGCGGACAAGGAACTTGAACCGCTCTAGTTCAGTTTGTATGATGATAAGCTTGAAGTTCGTTTTCGGGTCCATGTTGCCCGTTTGGTCTTCGACAAGTTCAATCTGGCTGCGTCATTAGCTATCATACGTTGGGCGAGCTGGAGTCTTCCATGCGCTCACCTGTCTCTGGATTCTCTCCAGTACCCTTCCCATAAGCTCCTCGGGCCATGGCAATAACTCTGGTGCAACCCTTTCCGCAACCCAACACCTCGTCAATTCCTGCAAGTCGCGTGCCTCTCTCGGTGTCGACTCAACCGCAACCTCTGCGAGAAGATCGTCGATATCCATTGTATGTGTGTCTCCCTCTGTTGTCGGGTTTAGCTGTACGAGTAGGGTACGTAAACGCGTACAGCCGGGTCTCGCACGGGTGTGTCGTATCGCTTTTCCTTGAGCCCAGATCGTACAGAAGTGTATGCGGAAAGCTCGAGGCAAAGGCGGAGATAAAGTTGATCGAAGGTGACGCGATCGGCAAGCATCCGAGACACTGCAGGTGATGAAGCGAGATCTGAGCTATGTATCAGGCGCGATGCGTGCGTGTGCGTTGGCTTGCATGCAGATGCAGATGTTCGGTGGGGCAGGGATGCGTGCTGCGGGGAGCTCTTCTCGCTAAGGGCTAGCGCCGACGCGCTCGACGCGCTCGATGCGACCGACGCGATCGACACACGAAGGAGAAAGCCGCGTCGTGATCGAGACTTTGATGATGATAACGCCGAAAGAAGCAAGAGAACCACAACATTGCCCCCGATATGAGCTAGCATAGCGCAACTATCAACTGCCGTCGCTACCGCAGTATTTCAATATGAGCTATGGCTGGTGTCTGCACAGGTGGCTCAACATATAACCTGTGCATGGGGTTAATGCATCACAAACTCTTCATCAGGAGAATGGTACGGGCGGATCAGATTAGTGTGATATCTTTTGTTGTTCGTTGCTTGATCGACTGCTCAAGTTCTTCAAGCCATCCTTGGTCCATCTGTATTACTACAAGTACGTGTAGCCTATTACCATCGAACGATTCTGTGTATACATACCAACCAGCAAAGAAAAGAAGCAGATGTGAGCTACATGGTACATGCGGGAGAAGCTAAGGCACCACGGGGCATACAACACAAGACAAAGAACCCAATCTGAGTGCTGCTGAATATAATGGCAAATGAGTTGTATTAAGGAGACTGGCAGAAGATGCCGTGTAGGTGATTAATGCTTTGAAGGCACGTAGACCTGTTTGTGTACTTGATTTCGTGATGATTCTTAGATTCTTTGTTCTGAAGAACATGTGCAGGCAATGTTTCAGCGCAGTTGAGCCAGGAGATATCCGTCTGAGGATGGGTACTAGGAACAAAGGAAATGAATGAGCTCACGAGGCAGCCTTCTTTGGACCGCTCAACGCTCGCCGTAGACAAGATGGGTATCCAGCAATCCCTATCAAGAAATGGTAACTTTTGCCCGGGCCCACGGCACCGCGACATGGGGTATAGAAACGAAAACGGGGACAGGTCACCCCAAAGATCAGTTGCAGACTGGTGCCGCTGTGTAAAAATTCGGAGAGTGATGCAGGTCAAATGGAATCGCTCAAACGCCCCGAAAATGGAAAAAGACCAAACGCCAATGCTGTGGGGATCCAATGCCATGCAGCAATCATCCATAACGCCGTGAATCAATGCGCCATAAGTTAGTTTAGTTTCGTTATAGTGTTGGTTGGTTGTTGTGCAGGCTCAGTAAGAGGCCAGGCGACGGGAAGCGGCGTTGACACGTCCGAGTTCCGGAGAGTCATTGCCGAGGGTGAAGAGGTTGTTTCCAGATCTTGTACGGCCCATGGCTGTAGGGCTGTCTTCCATCTGGCAGTGCTGCCCAAAGGTGAAGGTGGTAGCACGGTTGAGTTTAGCACGCGACTTGAACTTGAGTTTGTTAAGGCCGCGTTCACACGATTGCTCATGCTCTTTGGCATCCATACGAAGGTAGTTCTGGGGGTAGCAGCGGGTTGCATGTGCATGGTAGAAGGAGCTGTAACCGCCGTCGAGAATGTAGACTTCAGGGAAGGAGAGGTAGGGATATTGATGCGCATTCTCCTTGCGATCTTGCGAGCGAACAAACTTAGCCCTGTTGCTGTTAGTGATGATCAAAGGCGAGAGTATTCATTGAACTTACATGAGAGGAGCACGATGCGCCGAGTACTCGCAGTGCAGTACCAAAAGAGTGTTCTCACTTGACGGAGCCTGGAAGAGACGCTCGGCAAGCTTCTCCTTGTCACAGAAGTTCAATGCACCTTCAATGTGGCCACCATTGTATTCGTACTCGAAGCGGCAGTCAATAACCACCTTGTTGTCATACAAGTGATCATAAGCACCATCGAGGACTTCGACCAATGTCTCGTGGGTGATACGAGGGAGGCTCTCTGGCTCGCTAGTGGTGAAATGGGGAAGCTTGAGTGGGTTGGCATCATCGACATCCATCACAGACTGAAGCCCGCTGGGCTGGTAATCATCCTGTTCCTGCTTGGCATTCATCACTTCACCGGGACTTTCGAACATGCTTAACGATCTGCGGAACTTGCTGGGACGACGAGAAGGAGGACCGGCAGGCTTCCTGACAGCGGCGAGGGGGGAACCATTGGCACGAGCGGCAGTAGAGTTGAGAGAAAAGGGCTTGGGTTTCGACGCGAAGAGAGAGCCATTGGAGGTGGGACGACGCTCTTGAGGTGGTGAGGCAGTGAAGCACTCGTCCAAGCTCAAGGAAGAAGAGTTTCGAGCGAAATCACCGCAGCCAAACTGGAAGGCGGGCAGTGGAGTGCTCGTTGGCTTCTCTTGGTCCTTGAATGACACGGTGTTAGTGGAGTAGTTCTTGTGACGCGAAAGAGAGGGCCTGAGAAGAGCGGACTTTCGGCGACTATATCGTGTTAGCATTGACTGGGAGATTGAACGGCTGGAATACTGACTCGGCGGCTGATACGGGTCGTGGAACCTCGAGCGAGGGTGTAGAGTATGTGGGTGGGGTTGGTAGCTCGTCACATGGAGTGAGCATGTCGCTGTCGGACCCTGGCGTCACCTCTGGGGAGGGCGAGGGCAGGGGCAAGAGGCGGTCGTTGATGAAGCTGAAAGGTGCCTTGTGGGGAAGAGGGGATATGTCCATCGAGTCTGGTGCGAAGCCAGGCGACGAGGAGGGAATTGGCGGAGTCGTAACGCCTTCCCATCGCGCTAATGGGGTCGTGATTTCTGCTTGAGCCTGTCAGCCTCACACTTCCCGTTTGGAGTGAATGCATGAGCCACTTACCCCGTGTGTCAAGTTGCTGAAAGAGATTCGACGTGAAGAGCGACCGGCGAGGCGTCTGGAGCTGAGGGCTGTAACAAAGCATGTTAGTACCGCAATTGGAATGTAGAAAGGGACAAAGAGGGATTGTACCTCTGGTCCATGTGCAGGTTGCTCGACATATCAGCGGCCAGGCTGGTGGTAGGCGACGAGCCTCGCATGGGCTGGAGGGTGAAGTAGTCTCCCCCACTCTTCTTCTTCATGCTGAGGTCGCGGAAGTTGAAGCTGTTGGGGCCCATGCTGTGTGCTCCTCCAAAAAGCGGCTTCGATTGCGGCAGGTCACGTCGATATCCCCAGGGGCCGGGGATGGGCGGCGGGTGCATGGCCGCGAGAGGCGAAGACATCTCCATGGCGAATTGGTCTTCGTGGTGGTGGTGATGGTGGTAGTTATCGTCGTACCGGGCAACGGGCGGAGCGAGCGTTTGCAGGTCTTCACTGAAAGGATGTCGGACGGGAAGAGTCGATACTGGCGATAAGCATGCAAGACGGGAAAACTAATTCCAATCTGAAGATGCTGGGTGAGATAGTGTGTGAGATAGCTGGATGGGTGTCGTCGCCGTGGTCGTGGTCGAGATGCTAGAGGCGGGTTCCGGGCATGAGGCTGAGATGGGGCTGCAGGCGTAGTGGATGGTGAACGAGGTAGCGACTGCCGTATACGATGTTCTTCCTGATATCCAAGCAAAGCAACCGTCGTCCAAGATCCTCAGCCAACTTAAGAGGGGATTGGGCCTTCTTGGGTGCGAGAAGGGTAGAGAAGAGGAAAGCGGACCCAGGTCACGCAGCTGGATTTGAGGATGCCGTGGTTGCTGGGGTAGCCCACTGCTGGGTTCAGGTTAGGGCCGACGACCAGGGCGTGGGCTTGAGAGCTAGGCGCTTGCACACACCGGAGGCCTCAATGCTCAGCACGGGACAAAGAATACTGGGGACTGGAGTTTGCTTGCGCCGGCTATGCACCCAGGCCAGAGCTATGCTGTTGATCCGCACCCTCTAATGCCGCCGCAGGTACACCGGTCGCTGATTTGATCGCGATCCCACGTAGGCCGTCGCGTAGCTGTGCGTAGCTGCAGCAATACGCAGCTAATCACGCGAATCCGAAGTAAACAAGCGTTCGCAGCTGTTCCATGTGTTACACCTCCAGCACTGACATGTGCAGTATCCATAGAATAGTCGTCCAACATGTCCTGCTTCATTGAACCCGGACATCACATGAATCTCGACGAGACTCAGTTCCAGCCAGTTCCACCTGCACCTCAGCATCGCGTTGCCAGAGAAGCAATTCCCTAGCTCGGCACGGATCAGACGCAAGCGGAATGGATGCTCCCTGTAAGCTGAGCACGATACGTGAAACCATGAGTTCGCTCTCCGCCTAAACTCGCGCCGCCGAGAGAATTTCTCCCTTCGGAGTGGTTCTGCGTGGAGTGCTCTAGCCGTGCTGCGTAACGTAGAAACCGTCTCCAAGGGAAACCAGACGAGCTGCCCACTCGCTACCGAAGACCCACCAGGCTAGCATCATCTATGCATACTACCGCATACAGCATACCACATTCGGAGTCAACTACCCCAACTCCAGCCTCGTCAAGACGCGTGAGATGTTTTGGACGGCAAGCTCGGTCTTCATCTGCGCATACTTTCGTCATTGTACGGGCCAGCAGCAAGCTTGGCGACTCTCTGCCAGGGAACCGCCTCGCTGTAACATGGCTTGCGGGACGTGTCATTGGCTGCCTCCCTTGCAACGACTCATTGGGCGGACGGGAGATTTCCACACTGAATTCGGTGCAGCGAGACCGACGTCGCAGGCTTCGCAGGCGCCGCTGGCTTGACGACGTGAGCTCACCCCGGCCCGTTCGCCCTCTGATCCCCTTAGCCACAAGCGGCTGCATAAAACAGGAATGGCTCCATTCCAACACGCTACCACTCTAGTCCCGTGCTCGCGATCGAACTCTCCCCTCTGCGATCGCGATGGCGACATGCGTCCAACGTCATAGGCAATAAGGCTGAGATGAACTGCCAACTTTGCTATTCTTATCCGCCGGTTGGCTCCCACTTCTGCAAACCAGTTCAGACAACTGTCGACCTCTCGACCACCGACCCTCGCTCCCACGGCCAACAACAACACACGTCAGCCATGGCCTCTCGGGGTGACCGGGGGCCGCTGTCATAGTTGCTGTGGTGCCATAAAGAGGCGAGCTGAGTCGCTGTTCGAGAACGGCGGCTCTGCCACCACCACTGTGCACAAAGCCTTCATAACCGGCACACGATCGGCTGGACCCCACCACCAACGGGCTGACCCCTCCTTTTGTGGACCGCCAGACACACACCAAGGCCAACCAGTGGCGCTTGTTGCAAGCGCCTCAAAATCCATCGTCTCGTCTCCAGGTGCGACGCGTCAAGCTTCGTGTACACAAACAACCGTCTTCGCGCCATCACCTGACCTAAATAGGTGAAGGCGAGTCTCACCACAGGGTCTGCGTCATATACCCCAGACCTCGGGACCCGCTTGACCATGCCGCCAAAGAAGGCCTCGCGTTTCGAGACCCTGAAAATCTGCACTGTGGTGGCAGCTTAGCCGCAACCTCTTTGTCATGGTGCCTTCTCAACTTCGTCGTGTCAGCACCTGGCCGGACGCATCCGACGTATATGCTGTATCAGGTACATCATGGTGGACACTATGTGTGAAGAAAAAAACTCTGATGATCGCCTTGAACACTATCGCGGGACATGTTTCGGGCCCGAAGGTCACTCACCATGAAAACCCAGACTCAGCTGAAGCTCCTTGAAGCGTTCGCGAGTACCAGCCGTCATCGGAAATCATCTCTCGCGTCCCGTTCTCGGTCAGCACGTTGCACATCAGACCCTCTTTCGTCGGACAAAGGATTCACTTATAGTAATATACCTCGGGGGTTCGAGGCTCCAACAAGATGCACGGGTTTCACCTCGATGCTTGCGGTGCCTTCGCTTGCGGCCTTGCGTGTTCCTCTCCCTCGGGGCCTGACTTTTCTGAGACAACGCGGGACGCTGTGACACGCGCTTTCAGCCTGTGACTGCGGGGACATCCGGTGAGCATCCGCAGCATCGTCACATTCCAGATTTAAATTTCGCCAGTACAAAGAACGGCCAGAATCTGCAACGCTGTTTCGCCTTTGCGCGGGGTACATCCTTCAGATTATCAAACACACCATCGCGCATCATCTTCCATTGTCAATCTTCACGATTCATCCCGCCGGATCATCGTGTCGTCTTGCCCGGCGACTCTCGCATATTTGCAACATTGTTGCCATGGCGATGCATGGGGTCAGGTGCGCCTCATGTGTACCCAGCCGGCTCCTCTTTGCACAACCCGTTCGTATTTTACAAACTTTTGAAAGAGTCAGTGAATTATGTGCATACCGAGAGCAAACTTTGCAAGATGTGCAAAAGGGGGTGGAGTTTTGGCAGAGGCACCGACCATGCAATCTGCGATATCGATAGGGAAAACTTCACCGCCTGCTCCTTTTCTTATTGAACACGTCGGACATTAACCTCATAGAGCACGAGACCGAGTATTTAGTAGCCGCCGCACCCTCTGGAATTATTTCCTGTGTCGCACTGATGACATTGCATCGCACTTCCACATCGCAGATATCGATCGCCAATTGTGTCCACCGCGGATCGGTATCCTCAGTCGACTTTTGGAACGAAAGAATCAAGAATAATTGTTGGTTTGGCAATACGTCATGTCGCTAGATGCAGGGTGCGTTCGGTGATATTCAACTTGGTGTAAGAGAAGGGATGCAAGAGCTGGTCTGTAGCGACACTGGGTACAGCACCGCTCCCATTCATCTGAACGGCCTCAAGAAACACACTTCGATACGTCGTGGTATGTCCCTGAAGACAGTCTTCAATGAGAGCATTTTGTGCACTATGGTGATGAGGATTTGGTCATGCATGTTGAACAGCGAACTTGTCAGTCCCTGCTCCATTACAGACAGGCAATTACGCGTCTGTCCTGTTCATCTCAACTTTCAAACCACAAGAATCTAATCCTCCCCATTATCATGATTACTCCAAATATGCCTCATGCCCAAGCCATTTCTCGCTCGATCTTCTTGCTCAACCACGCTCAACGGCAATCCTTTCCCAATACCGCACAGCACGAAAGCCGCCCACTTCCACCTAAACGGATTAATGACGATTGTAAACAGGAACCAATAGATGAGTTCAGAGTACGTGAAGAAGTCGAAGGCACCACCGGGGGCCCTCGTCTTGATGAACCGCGTCATGTCAATCCAGCGCTTCATCCACCAAGTGCGCGGTCGAGCAAGAGGGTCAACGAGGTACATGAGCAGGAAGCGTGTGTAGATACCGATATGGTAGTTTCCAACCGTACCGATGGCGTTGACATATGTGCAGTTGTTTGCGCAAATGGAAGGGTGTTCAGGCGGGAAGACTTGGAGGTACCAGTTCGGTGGGTCGTACGGCTCGCTGAAAACTTCATCAGGAAGAAAGCCTAGGCTGGGCCGCTTGTATCCTGTTGCCATGATGACAACATCTGCTTCAATCAGTTTCTCGGATCCCGGACCGTTCTTGGGGACGCCTTGGGCGCGCTTGTTGAATTTGATGCCGGTGCCGGATTCGTCGTAGCCCATGATATCGCCGCGAAGCCAGGACGCTTTGCCTGAGCGGACGAGGTCGAGGACTTGATCGTTTACCATTGGTGTTTCGGTGAAAAGCCCCTTTCCACTGTTGGGTGCGGGGGAGATGTCGTAGAGATCACGGTAGAAGAAGAGTCGAAGGATGTACTCTGGAATCCAACTGAAAATGGTCTCGCTGCCGAAGATGTTGAGAGCAAGAAGACTGTCGATGAACGGGTTGCGCGGGATGATCCATTTCTCCGACCGAGCGAGTACGTTGGTATGTTCGGCTTGTGCGCTGGCAACGAATTCTAGAGCTTCAACTGCGGAGGCGCCGCCACCTATAATGGCAACTTTCTTCCCTTTGGCGACTTTACCGTCGAGTTGCGAACTGTGCCAGATTTCTCCCTCGAAGTTCTCTTGACCAGGTAGCGTAGGCATCTTTGGGTCACCACAAGTACCGATGGCAGCGATTACACCGTCGAAACGTCCGTGAGAGGGATCGTTGATAATCCAACGCCCGTGGGGATCTTTATAAACCTTCTCAACTCGTGTATTGAACTCGGTCTTGCTCTCGAGACCATAGCGTTTCCAAAGTTCCGTAATTTGCGAAACAATCTGCTGGCGATCCGGATATCCTTTACTCCAATGTACGGAAGGGTGGAACCGATACATAATCGAGTGGATTTGTAGACCAGATGTATTGTTGACCCGGCTCCAGATTCCGCCGAGATTCTTCTTGGGCCCGGCTTCAAAGATACGACAGTCAAAACCATGGCCGACAATGTGTGATGCAGCAGATACTCCTGTTAGACCTGCGCCGATGACAGCGATTTTTGGTCGCACGAGGTTCGGGTGCGGTGGTGGAGGTGTTGGAGAGAGAATCCAGTCGAGTACATATTGTATGATTTGGTATACGAAGAGGACTGGATGAGTGAGGAAGTACTTAATATAACTCCAGAAGTAGCCCATCGTAACAGATGGTATCTCAGTTTGTGAGAGGAAAGAGACGGAGAGGTAAAAGCGGAGAGACGGTCACAAAACTTTAAGGTAGACGAGTTTGACTTATCTAGGTGACGTTCACCCTCTCTTACGGAGCCTTGCGGAGATGTGCAGCTTCGGATGTTGTGTTTCGCATATTACCAGTTGTGATGTCACGGTGGGACCGCTGCATTGGTCTGACATGTGAAAGGTTCCAAGGCTGCAAGGCTAGGTATGTTCGGCCGCGCAAGCTGGGACAGCGTTCGCTATTGCTTTTTTCTTTGAGACTTCTATTCAACGAGTTTTCGAATTTAGATGTTTCCAAATTAATCATTTTTCTATACCATCCTAGTGGACAAAGCCGACCAGAGTAATGGAACGAATGAAGGATGTTTCATTCTGATCGGCGACAGGGATGAGGCGGCGGGTGAGTCTGGGAGCTAGGACCTGACGCTAAGCCAAAAGCGCTCTGCTGCTGCTCAAAGAGCTCCACCGCTTAGCTCGATTCTTCACTCAACCACCAGCGGTGGCTCTTGTAGCCATGTCGTTCTTCCGGAGCCAACCCGATGTAGAGACACGCTTATGTACAGCGGTCAACGTCGCCATTCAAGCTGGGGATCCGTATCAACTACAATCGATTGTACTTCTGGAACCAGGCGAAGGCAATGCTTTTCCGCCAGATCATCAAGAACTCATCAAGTCCTTGCAGCAGAATTACCCTGCGACCAATGAAGACTCCGAGAAACGCCTTGAGGATCTTGTTAGACGGGTTGTTACTGAGACAGCAGAGTCTGAAGATGAGGAAGGGAGACCTATACAGTCATGGGGTTCGTTGGTGACTTTCCTGGTCGGATGGATGACCTTTCTCCGGGACATGGATGCAGAAAATCTTGTATTGGTCTTCGAGCTGATGACAGATCTCCAACCGTATGTTGATGAATGTAAGCCCTACAGTCGCTCGACGCTAATGCCATCCTAGACGAGCGAACAGCGCATTGCAGCATCCTACCAAAGGCATCTTGATGCTTCCCACTATCATGTACTATGCAAAAGTGTTCGCAAGAGTGGCGATTGGTCTGGAGAAGAGACCTGATCTGACAATGCATCTCATCACTACCGACGTAGACGAGGATGGCCAAAGCGAATCATTACCAGAAAGAGCAGCCAATATCGTACGACAAGCCTTCATTATATGCCTTAATGACCGCAACACAGTACCCGGCGGCATCAAAGATGGCAAGCCTGATGGAAAGAAAGTTGGAATCTACAAGATGGCAAACATATGTCTGAAGACTCTATTTCAGGCCGATAAGCTCGGAAGTTGCGAAACGATCTTCAACAATATATCGAATTCGTCACCGCCATTACACTTCTATCCAGCTGCAGAGCGTATCACCTATCTCTACTACCTCGGGCGGTACCAATTTAGCAATACCAACTTCTACGGAGCTCAGCTCGTTCTGGACCTAGCTTACAGAGGCTGCCACAGGCAATGTCCAAGTCAGCGTCGCTTGATTGCTGTCTGCCTTGTCGCTGCCAACATCATCCTTGGCCGATTTCCAAACGAACACATATACAACGACCCTGCATGCGTGGGCTTCCGGGAAGTATTCGAACCGCTCGCTCGTGCGATTCGCAAGGGCGATCTCGAAACTTTCCGTCGAATAACGAACCTGGACCTTTCACATCCAAGTGCAGAGTTCATGATCAAGTACCGAATTTTCTACCCAATCGGCAACTACTGCGAGGTCCTCGTATGGTGGTCGCTTCTTCGCAAGACATTCATCCTTACCGGGAGCATAGGGGAAGCATCGAAATCGGCTGCTCTGCTCGATCTCAATGCGGCGGTTCTTATATTTCGCTTTCTCGAGGCACGCTCACTCATCAAGAACGCTGCAATGGCCGCGCAGGATCGCGGCCCAGGTCGTCGCAACTTCGGCCACATCTATCAGGACCACGCATCAACAAACAAATCGACATACATCGACCCGGACTTTGTTGGCATGGAAGGGGTACCGCCGTACATCCACGAGTTTGATCTTCTGGAGATGGAGTGCATATGCGGCAGTCTCATCACCCAAGGTTATTTGAACGCATACATCGCTCAGGCAAAGCAGAAGTTGGCTATTCAAGGTGTGAAGACGGGCAACCTAAGTGCTGGATTCATCAACCCGTGGGAGGTCAATAAGGAGAGAAACAATGATGAGGTGCTTGGATGGAAGAAAGAAGCTGGAGGTGATGGAGGGCAGGTCGTTAGGCTGTCGTTTGCGGCACCAGCTGGATCGTAGGGAAGGTTGCGAATGATACCCTTGTACTGAGGTTGGATAGGAATGCATACCAGTAAGATTCTATACATTGCTTGCGATGCTAACACAACATATCGAACAATCCAACAACCTCTACAACGCCAGTGTCCGTGTGTTGTTCACGTGGCACTATGTTATTCCAGCTCGACTTCTATTGCTGTCCACCCGTCTCTCAATGTCAAAGCATCAACACACGACAAGCACTGTATTGCTCTGAACCCTCTTGAAGTGAATTTTCTTTCCTCGTCGAGATCTAAGATGGTCTACGGTCGGATCGCTGTCATCTTTGTAAGGTCAGTACCGTTTCCATGGGTTTTGGCGATTATGATTACTATTGGAGTTTCTCCTTTGCAACTTTGCATGTCGACGTCTTCCAAGCCATGCCTTGAACAAAAAGCCAAAGCAAGGGATCAGTACGACTATCAACACGCCAAGCAACCCGAAAAGCGCCTCTTTGGACCATTGGGGGTTGTTGATTGATATATCTGGGGGAGGTACGGCCGAGGAGACGACTAGGTGTGGTTAAGGCTATATATGCCGAAGATCGATTGGTTGACATACTATTTGGAAGTGCTGTCGACATTTGCACTAGCATCGGAAATATGTTGCTGTCCAAACCAACTATGTCCTTCTTTTCCATCCAAATACTGATTGCTTTTCTGATAGGTCAGATTCCCGAGCCTGTCATGCGAGAGCCATAAGTGTAGGAGGACGGAAAAAAGTATGCGTATGTTCAAGTGTGTAAACTTGTTCCATATGTAAGTCGAGAGATAAACTTCTTGGACTATGTATGTTTAAGTATGTAAAATCGTTCTACATGTAAATCTAGAGATGAATTTCTCGGTTTATGTATATGGACTGCGGTGCGCCGGTAAAGGACAACCGGCAAATGTAAGCTATTGGCTTAGCTGCATGGGTCCTGCGGGCCAATACACATTTCGTCTATCAGTCCTACATTGGTTAGGCGGCCAGCGGCATCAGTAGCTTAGGGGAGGGGCGTCGAATGCTGCGCCGTTTTGAATAGTGGCGTGTACCTTGGAGCCAGGCTGAAAAAGCCAAGCATTAACCTGAACACTCTATACATGATAAAACCTAAATAGGTGTACCTTAGCCATCTATTACTTTGCAGTCTCCAATTGTACTAATATAAGTATTATCTATATAAATATACTAGCTAGAAGTCTACATTAATATTAAGAATCTAATATTTATCTTTTATACGCTATTGTAGGCTATAAAGTAATAGAAGACTAAGGTACACCTGCTTAGGTTTTAACTTGTATGATGTGTAATAGTAACTCTGACAAGGATTGCAGCGCCACCAAAGCTAATCTAACTGGCAGCCGGTCCGCCAGCTCAAAGCTGCAGTCTTTCAAAGATAGTAGGAGGTACGCGGCAACTGACCTACTACGAACCAAACTAGCCTAGACTCATAGGCAAACCATACTGGCGGGTGTCATTATGGAGTACAATTGGAAGTGTTCACGCAGTGGGTTAGGTTACAGCTACAATAACAGCGTGTCGCCTCATTCTAGGCAACACATGCCGATATCATGATAGGCGGCGGAAGTCGCGCACCGCAATACCGATGGAAAAGCTTCGCACTTCTTGCTGAGATCTTCAAGCAATCCTTGCAACAGGGATGTAGACAGAGGATTGTTTGCAAGAGCTCAATATGTCGTATTGTGTTACCGCAGCCCAGGTCGTCGGATGACAGCATGAAACAGGCTGAAAGAGGTCAAAGCGTTTCTGATTGCCAGATCAGCTCGTACTGGAACGAGTTGCAGATACTGATTTCATAGAATCTATTGATGTTCTACTTTATACTTCCGCTCATCGTCCGTCTATTGTCCGACGTTGGTGAAGCGCAAGTACTTCTTGACCTCCCTAACATCGCCAAACTTCTTCCTGGCATCCTCAGTGCTAACGCTGGGTGGTACGATGACGTCTTGACCCTTCTCCCAATTAATGGGTGTAGCGATGCCCTTCTTGTCTCCTGTCTGCAAGCTATCGATGACCCTCAGGACCTCCGCAGTGTTTCTGCCTGTGCTCGCGGGGTATGACATTGTAAGGCGGATCTTCTTCGCTGGGTCGATGATGAAAACGGAGCGGATCGTGAAAGCAATGCCACCGTTCTTCTGAAGCGCATCGAGATCGTCTTGCGAGATCATATCGTAGAGGAAAGCGACGTGGCGGTCGGCGTCGGCGATGATTGGGAATTGCACCGTGGTGTTGGAGGTCTCGTTGATATCGTCGATCCACTGGTCGTGCGAGCTTAGGTCGTTGGCGCTCTATAATTAAGTTAGTACGCTGATCTTGATCCATCGGTGTCGATGAAGACATACCAAACCAATCATCTGGACGCCTCGCGCATCGAACTCATCCTTGAGCTTCGCAAAGGCTCCAAGCTCAGTTGTGCAAACAGGAGTGAAGTCTGCAGGATGCGAGAACAGGATAGTCCACTTGTTGTCCAAGAATTTGTGGAAGTCCTAATTTGAAGTCAGCATACTTTCGCAATCTATTTGTTGGAGTTCCTCACCATGTCGCCATGAGTAGTCTTCGCCTGGAAGTTAGGCGCTACGCACAGTCAGTCTCGTTCATCCTTTTGCTCACAATATTCTCTAAACACAACATACCAATGGATCCCAGCCTCAGTCGTGGCTGCTCAGCAGGAAGCGCGAGTCCGCGACGGAATAGTGGGGCAGCAGGGCGCTGTACCCTCAGGGCAGGACGCGCTGAAGGACGGAGAGCTCGGGAAGCTGCACGAGGGAAAAACGAAGCCATTGTGAAGTTTGCAGAATACAATCAGGTACCTGAGGTGTGTTCGAAAGCTTTAGGGCTATGTCTACGGCGGCGATGTAAATTAGTAAATCGGGGACTATTTGGCATGGCGTCATGTCGAATCAAAGGGTCCACCGGTCCGAAATCGGCTCCATTTGCCTCTTCGTACTGTAACAACCTCAATCACTGTAAAGACAGCCTGTGTAGTATCTATCGCCAGCATATGAAGGTGTTCGAATTGATGTTACGCGTGGAAAAAGCAGCAACAGCTCTGCCACGCCTGTGCCACGCGACGCGTTCCACATGACGTCAGTGCCCGTATTTTAGCACCAATGAAGCTACCGATCATCTTTTACATAGTTCCATCCACTTCTCCATCTTTACTGGTTACATCCAACTCATCCTGCGACTCCAGCACAGTCGGTACAGTCCAGTCCTTCCATAAACCAGTCGCTCCCTTCCCCTTCGATCTCAGACTTCGTAACTTGTCTAGCGATATGATGTCGGAAGGCGGTCGCCGAGCAACACTTGATGTTGTTGAGATTGTCGGGGTGATAGATATAGTACGGGTTCTCCTCGAAGGCGGTTATGCTTGAGCAGCGCGGTCTGATCGCATCAAAGAATGCATTGCGCCTTATTGAGTATGATCCTCAAAAATAGCTGGCCCCGGTCTTCACGTTCCTGGTCACTATCTTTGAGGTGTTGCAATTGGCTATAGCTTGCCAAGACGATGGTATGACCTGCGTTGGCGGATGTATATACGGGGATGCTTAGGATCAAACTGCAGTCGCTCCTTTCGTACTCCAGCTTCCTAGCCGTAGCTGTAGGCCCCCCAGTCTGCGATTGACTTGGTGGCGACACCTATATACCTAACTGTATGCGTATGCCCAATCTACACCTGAGCCTTTTCCATGCTCTTCTCGCTCTTTGGTAGCCTGGGCGGAACGGCCATTAAGTACCTGGCAGGAGACGTAGAAAACACATAAAATATCATGACCCTTCGAATGCAGCAGCTGGCTGAGGTCTGGGATCCTCACGGCAACGATTACCAGATTGTGATGGTAGCGTCAAACATCTGCACAGATGTTAACATCATCCCATGTCCAAGTTTAGCCATAGCATCCCCGCACTTACCGCCCTTTAACTTGACAAACTAAAACTTCCAGCCCCACGACCAAGTCCCACCTTTCGTATTGCCATGACTCAAGGCTCTAAGCCATTCTCTGCCAATGTCGCGGCAAACTTCATTTCTAGTCAAACGCCCAGATAGTTTCATTAGTATATAAATTTTGCTGATGGACCTTCCTTCATCAAATAGCACAAATCGCGGGCACTTTGGCGGAGTGGTTAACGCGCTGGCCTGCTAGTCCTCTGTATTGAGGGAAGTTAGCCAGTTCCTTCGGGAGCGTGTGTTCGAATCACACAGGTGTCGGTCCGGGCGTTGTGGCGGAGTGGTTATCGCGCAAGACTAGAAATCTTGTTCCTTCGGGAGCGTCAGTTCGAATCTGGCCAACGTCGTCTTTTTGCTCTGGCAACGTCCTTGTGCGTGGTCGAAGTGTGGAACACATCAGACATGTGCGTCGAGGGTTGGCTTTTTTTGCGTAGGCGAGGTAGGCCTAGGATCGTGAACATTAGCATGCAAGGCCTGCATTAACCCTAATATGCAAAGAACCTCAAAGCAGATATTATCTCAGTATGACATAGATCAAGGCTTCCATGTTTGGGACATTGGTAACGGGCACTGTGGCATTACTCATTACATCCCAAGATATCACCCTTATAATGCTTCTTTACCCCACTCTTGCTTAGTCAATTGTACAGATGACCTTGCCCTTCGTCTTATTCTCTTCCAACAACCTATGTGCATCCTGCACCTTCTCCCACGGCAAAACCTTCTCCACGAAGAGTTTGAACCGTCCATCCTTCATCTTGGGCAACGCATGTTCCACAAGCTGATCCCTAAGCTTTCCCTGGTATTCTTCATCTCTGGATCGCAAGCTACTTCCAACAAAGGTGCACCTCTTCCTGATGAATGCGCTGATATCCGTACCCTCTGGCACCTTGGTTCCACCCATGAAGCCCAAGTTAACAATGATGCCGTCTTTGGCGATAGCGTCAAGGTTGTTTTGGAAGTAGGATGCGCCAATGAAATCAACGATAATGTCTACGCCTTTGTTATCGGTGGCCTTCATTACTTCCTCAACCCAGTTCTGAGATGTTGTGTTGAATGCGGCAGTTGCGCCGAGTTCTTTGACGGCAAATTCGCATTTGGCGTCTTGACGTGCGGTTGCGTAGACGGCGGAAGCCTTGTCGGCGAGGGACAACTGGATGCCGGCTATCGAGACTGAAGAAGCGGCTGCATGCCATAGAATGGATTTGCCCGCCGCAAATTGACCGACAAGGTACATGGCTTGAGTCGCTGTGATCCAGGTCTACAAAGTCTTTGTTAGCGAATGACAACCATGAGGAGCTAAAGGCAGTCTGATTGCTATAGAGACAGCATTGAGAGATGAACTTACCTCAGGAATACCAGCGCATTGCTCCCAGGTCAGTTCCTTTGGCTTCCTGACCAGCATGTGTGTTGATACTGCAATGTACTCGGCATACGCTCCTCCATATGCCAGACCAAACACCTCGTCTCCCTCCTTGAAGCCCTCCCTGCCTCCGCCCTCTGCACTCAGCTCCGCAATCGTGCCTGAGAACTCTACACCAAGAATCTTGGAAGCACCAGGTGGTACTGGGTACTGTCCTTCACGCTGCAACAAGTCCATGCGGTTCAGGCCGAAGGCCTTGATCTTGACAAGCGCTTGCGACTTTCCGAGTTTCGGCTTGGGTATGTCGGCGATGTGTAGGTTTTCGATTGGGCCTTTCCCATCTTTGATGTCTTCATGGAATTAGCAACTTTGCTTTGTACAACTATGAGCGTGCTTGTACACACCTACTGCACGCATTGTGTCGCTCATCGTGATGATAAAATAGTATTAATTTGTTGTTATGAGCGATTTCAAAGGTACTGAGATGTGTCAAGACGCAGTTGTGATCAGTTGAGAAGGACCAGAAGGATTGTCAGAATGTCAGAAAGGTCAGGAATGCATACGTAAAATGGTAAGTGTATAGTATATTCCGAGGCTGTTCCGGCAGCTACGGAAATGATTGGTAATGACGTTTGTAGAGGGGCAGCTTCACGAGTCATGGAGCTTGCAGCTATAGTGGGGTGGTGTCGGACAACATAGGCCGCGGGAATAAGGCGCTCACAAAGGTATCTAGTATCATACAACTGCCTCGGTCATGCGACTGCCAGTGCAAAATGTTTAGGATATTTATATTGCGATAACTTGCCGTCTCCCACGTTGCATTGCTAATTGCTCTCCCGTTAGAACATCGATCGCTTAAACACTCATATGCCGTACTTTAGTTGACAAACAAGCTGTCCTCGTTCAGGTCGTATTGTTTGATGAGCTGAGCGAGCTTGTTGGCCTCCTGAGCATAGTTGAGCTTGTACAAGTTCAAGACCTGGTACCGCGGCCTGAGACTATGTTAGTGAGGGGCAAAGTAACGCCTTACAGAACACTTACTTTGGCTGGTCTTGGTATGTCTCCATTTTGGCCCGCACTCTGAAGTTGAAGGTCTTACATGTAGCCTCCTGCATGGCATTCATGAAGTTTGTTGTGTTGTTCTCGTCATCGTCCATCTTGATCTTCATGGCTTCGTTTGCCGACATGCCAACGATATCTTGTCCTGCTTCATCGAAACAGCTGAGCCACAACGTGCCGGTATGATCACCAACGTTAACGCTCAGCACATAACGGTATTGGGGTTCAGGGAAGGCCTGTTGACACTTCTCACACCACCAAGAACCGGGGTTCTCTTCGATGACCTTCTTGTTACAGCCTTGCGTCGAGCACGCAGGGTAGGCGACCGTAGTGTTCTTGACATACAAGACAGATGCTCGGAGGCTCATGTATGTGGGTGTGTCTTGTAGGTATGCCTCCTCCTCAAGGATCGTCGAGATCGCCTTTGCTTCATTCTTGGATCCACCTGTAGCCGAAGTCATGTTCTGATGTGTAGAGAATGTGGCATTCTGTCCAGCAGCGTTGTACCATCCTCGCAACTTGTGAGCCTCATCAATATCTGGATCAATCATCATAGTGCCGGAGCTCAGCAGACTCAGACTTCGTCCGCCAAAATCGGAGACCTTAGCTCCCTTGAATGCGACGATTGACTCCAACGGCGCTTCGAAGCTTTCAGCAGTTTTGCCCCAGATGGTGAGCCTGATCGATGTTTGACTGTCATCGGCTAATGTCAGCTCTCGCTTGCTGTAATCCTTGTTGGTGTTCTTCGATGTTATCGTAGTAATTTCTGCAACCTCCTTCAAAACACCAACGGTATCGATCGTTGCGTCCTTTTCGACGTTGGCCACGTCGGCAATCTTGGTAAAATTGAAGCGTATCTGTGGTTTGTTTTCCTGGTCCTCCGCCTTCTCGACTTCGGTGTCGCGTTCGAATTGCAGTTCGTAGTCGTTGGGCAAATTGGAAAACTGCTTCTTCGCAAGCGTAACTCGGCAGGGTGCTGAGATGTAGTATACGGTGCCCACTTCGAAGATGGGATACAGCTTGTCAGCGACTTCGGTAAAAGCTGTCGCGCGAATCTCGCCAGTGTCATCAAGCAGGTTTACACTGAACAGCTTGCCAGCACCCTTCTGGTTGTGCCATTCCTTCATGTCGCTCTTGGCGGTGCATCGTGCGCGGATAGTCCACTTGTGTGCGTACGGCGAGAGAGATTCGATAGGATAAAGGTTAGGGTGTGACGAAGTACCAGGATTGCTCTGGTGAGTAGGAAGCGACCGCTGAGGCTGTGGGGCGGGTGCCGGTTTTGAACCATAGAAGTTGTTGCCTGAAATGGCCGCGGGTTGTGCTTCGGCAGCCTTGGTGTCAAGGGCTTCAGGCTGTCCGATCTTGTCGAGTTCGCCGTATTGCGATAGGACCTCGAGTTCCATGATGATCAAGATGCTGACATCAGTCAGAGGACTTCTTTCATGGCGGGTAGGAATACGTACTTCTTGTCCTTGACGCGCTGAGGGTTGTACTTCAGAAGGCGTACTATTGAGCCCTTCTTAAGCTGACCAGATGTGACAATGTCGTTGGCAGCTGCACGCGATTAGCTACATTCTTGCTATACCTAGGCGTGACATACTGGTTGCGATCATAGTCTGAATGAAGTTGCGGATGTCGCTCAAAACGACGCGAAAGCGCTGCACTGGATTCGCTTCGCCCGCCTTGGGCTCCATCGTCTTGATTTGCACGCATTGCAAGACTGGGTGCTCTACGAAGCAGCCGCTGGGCTGAAAGATGCTCCTAAGCAGTGTTAGCATGGGACGTATGTTTGACCAGATCGTTACATACTGGATAGCGCCTTGCGTAATTGCTCCCTCTGCCATATTGACTGCGATATGTGTCTGTCTGTGTGGTGTTGAGATGGCGTGTGTGGGTGGCGGCACAGCGAAGTTCAGAAAGCGCGTCGACGCGTCTCGCCACGTGACTCTTTAGCCCCGCTCTAACCAGATCCACGCCTTCCAAGGCTGGGGTGGCTGTGCGGGGCTACGTAATTGGCTTGGACCCTTCACAGCTGCGGCTCGTTCACGACAGCTTTCAATCAAGTCAAGACTCGCAATCACACTACTTACAAACATCATGGCCGACAACGACATTGCCACGCGTGCGCCCGAGAGCGATGCGCAGGAGATGCCCCAAGAGCAACCCCAAGAGCCAAAGCCGGCAGAAGAGAGCGTCTTTCCTGGAGACACCAGAGCGCAGCAAGGTCCAAGCATGGGTGTAAGCCAAACCATTTGTTCTCACGGCACGTTGCATACCAGACATATACTAAGTGGACAGGAACACTGCACAACAGATCGCCCCACACCATCTGGCGAGAAACCTACCGGCGACCTCACGAAACTAGGCGGAGTTGAATGCTATATCGCGAAACCGGCCGACTACCCGCATTCGCCCTCGAAGCTCTTGCTTATGCTCACCGGCGGCACAGGCGTCAAGTCTACCAACAACCAGTTGCAGGCCGACAAGTACGCTTCGGAAGGTTACCTTGTCGTCATGCCTGACCAATTCGACAACGACCCGGCGCCGAATACTGTTGACATGACAGAAATTCCCAAGGAAGCGTCATGGCTAGAGTCTGTCAAGCTGAGGACTGCAGAGGGCTTCAAGTCATTCATGATTGACATGTGGCTTGCTCGCCATACCCCAGAGAAGGTCCTTCCGCTACTTCACAAAGTTGTTGAAAGTGCGAGGGAAGAGTATGCCGACGCTGTTGCCAATGGTGGAGGCATGTACGGCGTTGGCTACTGCTTCGGCGCCAAGTACATCCTCATGTTGGCTTCCGAACTACCCGATACCGTCGCCTGGGGTCAAGAAGCACAGAAAGATGTAGAGCAAGGCACTGTCAAGAAAGGGCCGGTTCTGAGGGCCGGTGCTGTTGCGCACCCAACCATGACATACAAAGAGGACCTCGAAGCCGTCAAATCTCCCGTCTACATTGCCGCGGTCAAGGATGATCCCATGTTCTCGGAGGACGAGGCATTGACACCTGGACGAAGAGCGATGGAAAACAACAAAGTCGAGCATGAGATACAAGTCTTCTCTGACGTGCCTCACGGTTTTGCCGTCTACGGAGATTATGCGGACTCCAAGATTAAGCAGTCACAAGCACAAGCTTTTGGTCAGATGCTGGGCTGGATACAGTCCCACTAAGGCTTATTGCGTGATGCTTCGGCTCTGTTCTACTGATTTGCGGAGGCTTCTCATGAGTTGATAGTGTTGGTGAATATACCATGGCGTTTACGGTGGGTAGGGATGGCGCAAGCCACATCTGAATTTTATCGCGTCAACAATCCCGATAGACTTCAAAAGCTTGTGCGCCTTTCTCTTTACTCAACCTTTCTATCATCTGCCTTCCTTCTGATTACACTTCTTGGGTCGCATTCGCCAAAGTGCGATCAACTGACGAGCCTCTTCCAGATTGTCCAAGATTGCTAGGCGGCAAAACGTTAGTAACTGGTACTTATCGCTTAGAGTGCCATACGCTTCTCTTACGCCCCCATCTGCCGAAGATTTACTTCCTAGTTTATGCAAAACGACAGGATGGTGTGACTAGACCCTGCAACGATCTGGATGGCTAATTGCGTTTATGACATGATCCCTGCTTCGCCATTATCGACCCGAATGCTATAAACTCACATGCAGAAATCCAACACTGCCGTATTGACAGGACTAAACAAAGCTGTCGCGTCGTTTGTGTGCCCATGGATACATATAAAGTTGAGGTGAGCCGAATGTCGTTTACTTCTCAAAGTCGAACGGCTCATCTCCTACCGCTGACATCATGTATTCATTACTTCTATTGATTGCCGTCTTCTCCCAACTCCACTATGTGGCCAGTCTTCGAATTGCTAGCTCTCTCCTTTGGATAGAGCACACACCCCAACCCTATGCCATCAAAAACTTCTATAACGGAAGCACATCTGCGACACTAGTATCTGGCAGTGTGGCTGACCTCGCCTCGAACAGGAATTTCGATCTCAGCGCCAACGCCGAAACTCAAGGCCTCAAACAGTACGCCAATCATCGTAACATTCGCCTCATCTATGTCATCTGCGAAGTCCCTTATCGCCTCATTGCCAATAAGCAAAAGGGTATTGCTAAGCTTGCAGATCTAAAGGGCAAGAAGATTGGCACAGTCAAGGGATCGAGTGCAGGAGTCTTTGTACACAACATGATGAGTAGTGTGGGCGTGCAGGATCGCGAATACGAGGCTGTTGACGGGCTCTATTGCATGAAGGCTCCGTGCAAGAACGATGCTCTCCCGAGCCTCCTCAAAAGTGGTAGTTTGGATGCCTATGGGATCTGGGAAACGTCTGTCGAGCTCGGTGCTATGGCTCTAGGGAACGATGCCATTATTTTTCAAAACGCGTCAATATACAGAGAGGTCTACGCGTTATACTCAACTACCGAGGCTCTTAGCAATCCCTCCAAGCGCCGGGATATTGTAGAGTTTGTGAGGGCCCTTGACAAGACGCTGGACATATTTTCACATCAGCCGAAGGAGAAGAACGTATTTGACTATGTGGCTAAGACTGTTGGCGCTGATACGGAAGTTGTGGAGGCTGTTTGGAAGGATCATAAGTGGGATGTACGATGGGATGATGGGTTGATTGACTTCCTGGTAGAAGAGGATAGATATTTAGCAGGGCAGGATAATAGGAAGGTCACCCCAAGGAAGGAGTTGGAGAAGTTCCTGGATTCGAGCATTGTGCATGAGCTATAGAGGATGGAAAGGATGTATGCTAGAACTACATAACTCAGCAACTTGGGTTTCTTGTCTGATTCCACTGTATGCGGCAACATCATACTTGTGAACTAATGTTTAATTTGCCGCATCCTTCAGAGAATAAGACCTTGGAAGAAGATCCTTCTGACACCGAGGCACCCACCAGCTGGACCCTGCATGACTCGCATCTCAATAAATTTCCTGACCCCTCAACTGCCCCTCCAAATATTCTACGAAAACAACTCCAGTCTCAATAAACCAACCATGGACGACCCTGAGTTCGATACGCAGACCGATCTCCAAACGCAGAGTATCTTGCTCGCCGCTGCAAACCACGACATCGCCTCCCTTCGCAACCTTCTTCGCAACTCCTCCGCAAATGTCCAAGATTCCGAGACAGGCTTTACACCTCTGCACGCTGCGATCGCTGCCTGTGGGCCTGACGAAGATGACTTAAAGCAAGTCAATGGGAACAAAAACGGAGATGCGCCTGAAGAATCGAAGGATGAGATGGACAGCGCTGTAAAGACCATCAAGTTCCTGTTCGAGAACGGTGCGATATGGAATGATCTGGATTCAAATGGCGAGACACCGGGATGCATAGCGCACAGATTGGGTCTGAAGGAGCTGTATGAGCTTTGCGTTGATGCGGGTGTGCGTGCAGAAATGCTGCTGAGTCGCATGGAACAATACCAACTTCTTGGAGACGATGATTCAGATGAAGAGGAAGACGAGGTCGAAGAGGTGGCTGAAGGTGTTGAGGTAGTGGAAATAAGCCAGGAAGAAGTGCAAGGCGATGAATCGACCGAGAACCCAAATTATCTTTCTTCGAAGCTCACCTTCGACCGCGACCGATTACTGGATGATTCTTCGAACGGAGTTATGATGGAGTGGGAGACAACTCTCATGCGCAAATCTGCGGAACTTTTGCTGCCGGCAGAAGGGCTCCGTGTACTAAACGTAGGCCACGGAATGGGTATTATTGATGGTATTCTCCAGGAGAAGAAGCCAAAGGCTCATCACATCATTGAGGCGCACCCGGACGTTATCAAGCGCATGAAAGAGCAGGGATGGCACGAGAAGCCAGGTGTCGTCATTCATGAGGGCCGGTGGCAGGACGTTGTACCTGGTCTCGTCGAAAAGGGCGAGCTGTTCGACGCTATCTACTTCGACACCTTCGCCGAAGAGTATAAAGCACTACGCGAGTTCTTCACAGAACATGTAATTGGGCTTCTTGATCCTGCCAGTGGTTCCGATGGTGAAGGAGGCAAATTCGGCTTCTTCAACGGCATGGGAGCAGATCGCCAGATTGTCTACGATGTTTATAACAAGATCGTTGAGTACGACCTATTCGAAGCTGGCTTCGATACGGAGTGGGAAACGATTCCTGTGCCTAACCTGGATGAGAAGGGCGAATGGGAGGGTGTAAGGCGGAAGTACTGGGTGCTCAATGAGTACAAGCTTCCAACGTGCAGTTTCATCGGTTGATGGATAGAAAAGGCTCGAGAAGTTGCCCCATTCAAATGGAGATCGATAACAAGTAGAGCTGGATTTTGAATCGAACGACTACAACTAAGCTTACGAGCTTGATAAAGCGATTTTATTGAGTCTTACTCCGGAACACCGCGCTGAAAACAAGATACGACAATCTCTAGTTGCCATTCAACCCATCCATCAGACCATGCATCTGCAAGAGCTTGTTATATCGGTTCTGCTGCGGTTCAACGAGTTGCTTCGCTGCCTCTGCCCCCACAACAGGCAGCGCCTTTAGTCCGTCGTTTTTCAGCTTCTTCGGTACCATCTTAGGATCTAGCAAACCAACTTGCACGAGAACAGAAGCTTGATCCCAGTACATGTGCTCCGAAATCAACTTGTCTCCTCTTACCGCCACGATGCTGACCATGGGTATTTCCACTCGCTTGTTCGTTGGCGGCACACCTGGTAACACCCAATCAACCTCGTCCGAATGCGTAAAAGACACAACCATCTCGTCCACTATGCGATTAACGCCCATGGTCCTGGAGACCAATCGTATGGAAAAATCCTCTACCAAGCTAGGCACAAAGAACTCTCCATAGAACTCTGCAAGCTTCTTCCTTCCCACACCTCCCTGCATCGTCGGCAAGATTGTCACGTGTGGGCTGTCCTGCGTCATATTCTTTACGACACTCATGCTCGCACGATCTGGGTCATCGTCCTCAAACCTAGCATTCCAGTGACTCAGCGCAGTCGGCTCAAGGTCCACGTTCTTTCCGAACCCTTTCCGGACACATGCTAGCGCTCTCGTCCACGCTAAGTTGGCTTCTACCTCCGAATACGCTCGCAATGACGGGTCTGCAAAACCTGTGGCACTCTTCTCGTATCGGTACAACTTCCACTCGCACATATCAGGTCTTGGACTAGTCTGGCTTAAGCCTGCGACATGGACCTGTAACTGATGCGAGTTCGGATACATGGTCTTTGGACTGGGCAACAAGCTCGGATAAAACGCTATGATCGCACAGCATTTCGCCAACGGTTTCTGGGCTGTTTTCAAGACGACACTAGCTGCGTCACCGTAGGCTATTATCGCGTAATGTTCGCCTAGATTCAAGGTTTCGGATAGTTGTTTGAGGGTTCGGATGTAGGTTGCTTGTGTTTGCGTATTAGGATCGTAGGGGAGATATTGCGCGTCGTAGCCTTCTTCGCGCCAGGACAAAAGTGCTTTCTCTGGTGCTGGCAAGGCACATGTTAGGTATATGCGCGGCGGACCGGAGTTGAATTTTAGGAAACCGCCTGTGCCGGGTTTATTGTCAAAGGACGTTATAGACATATTGGGCGACCTAGAAACAGGTAGCTGGCTGGGCGTTGCCGAAGACGAACTGAAGGTTAACCCAACGACCTCGATATAGTCGGCAAAATCAGTAGGTCGAGTTCGCAACGCGCGGGGCTGGGTTTTCAACGGCTTTTTATTTCTTGATTCTCCACCGTGAGGTGCGTGGCCCTGGCCTGATCCCCAGCCACATGCGACCAAGTTTCATGTGGAAAGCGCGAGCTTCGGACGATGCGGGATGACGTAATGTTCAAGATTCGGAGTGGGGCGCTCGCGTGGTATACCTACAGCAGTCAGGCTTCTCCTGCTCTTCGCACTCACGACTCACGGATAACTAACCGTACTGGTGAGGTAATGCCCCCGAGGCGCAAAAAGCTTAGTACATGAACCGGTACTCATTTTGGGGGGATGAAAATCAATGCAAGCGCATCTAACCAACAAATCGTGAGAAATCAGCTGAAGTCATCGTTCAACAAGGGTCTATTGGACGGCGACAGACCTATTACATACGACCTGGCGTGGTATCACTTACTGTGCGGCAGATATGATGCTGAATTTTCAGCAAACCCTGTTCATCCTTTTACAGCATGAAGGCTAGAAACTTGGTCCTGAACTTTTTACCGAAGCCAGTAACACCATGAAGCCTCGAAGCAGTCAGGTCTGGCCTCGAAGCGCGCCTTGGTCGTTTGCGAAAGAGTCCAGCACAGAGTTCGCGAATAGCTTGACGCCGTCCTTGAGGAACTCCTGGCCGCATTTCGAAGCCTGGTGCGCAGCGCTGAACGCACTTCTTCGGGCAGGGTATCTTTCTCGTGTCGTCTTGTAGAGCCTTATCATCCTCGAATGGCACAAGAGCCCTGTTCTTATGCTTTGCAGAGCAATGAGCGGCAACTCCCTTAGGGTCTCTGAATGTATCGGAGTGGCACATTTTCCCTTTAGCTTTGAATGGACGCTCGGAGGCGTATAGTAGAATGGGTTGGAATGGAACTTGTGTTGCTCGACGGCGTCAAGTCCTTAGCGTCTTTAGACAAGTCCTTCGCGCTGTCGATAGCTGTCTAGGGGGAAACTGATGGACCAATCTTGTGGTCATTTGCGAAGTCTCACGTACGGCCAATTCGGATTCTCGCGATGGCTCCGTCCAACCGCAACTCGTTTACTGGGACTTTCAGAGTCAACAATTCCAGTGAAAGAATACTACATGAGTCTAGAAGTATGGGCTACAGTTACTGGGCTGTCAGCAGTCAAGCTCAAGAGCTGGGTCACAGAGACCGTTCTGCCAACTCTGCCGGTGTTGCTCGATTGGCTCCGCGTCCCCAAGAACGACGGGAAGACTGGCGGGTTCACGCGCGACGATGTTGCTGACCCTATGAGCGCCGACATGGCTTTCATTAAGCAATCAGTCAAGAAGTTCATCAACAGGGATCAGTTAACAGCCACGACGGTCTGGGCACATACGGCCTTCATTTTCCGCGGACATTTGAGGGATATTACAGCGTGCGCCACACACTTCGACACCCTAGAAGAGTGGAACCGTGGCGCTTTCGACTTCAATGAGTTTCTCTCCAAGAACATGGGCGACACGTGTGTTTCGGAAAGGGCAAGATCGCAACGGCGTAAGCCGCGGTGTTGAAGATGGGTTTGGCGGATCGCGTGATGCCACCTGCATCCCGGGAAAGTTCCTCTCCGTCCTCCAAGATTTGGACGCACCACTGGACGCCCCTGCTACTGCAACCACGAATGTCGGTCTGCCAGTCTAGTTTGCAGTCTTCGCCTTGCGCATTGAACGGACGGACTGAATTACAAAGCAAGACTACATCATAGCTCAGATAGCGATGGTTGATGCTGATTAGCAAGCGATGAGACTACGTCCACTATCACTAGGGCAAAAGTTAACAGCATTGTATACTTCTAGGTTATCTATAAATTTTATATAGTACTATACTACGCTCTGTGTAGTAGGTAAGGGGGAGGAGCTGGCTAGAGAGTGTTAAGTTTTTTTTCGTTGTACAGGGTGTGTTCAATTTCTTCCCTGTATTAGGTGCCGTTACAGAAGACTCAGTCGAGGCCTAGAATGCCTGTCGAGCTTCAATGTGACAAAGCGAAAGACAGACTACGAGAATACTTGTCTCTAAACATCAAATCCGAACCTTGGGCAAATTCTGCCGAGGTTGATTTAGACATATGTTGTAAGTTGCGTCGTAATGTTTACTAATATTTATGTAACGTCTACTCTAAGCACAATCAAACAGATCACCGCATAATCGTACATTCGTAACCTCCATATATTAACGCCGTATGAACCCTTTGCCAAACTGAACCATACATTCTTTCATGTTGTTATATAGCAATATGTTTCATAGTCTGTCCTGATTTAACCTGAGAACCCAATGTCGGCAACGGCTTTAACTTGTGCTGTTGCACCGGCGTCCTACTCGTTCCCGGCAAGGTGTTGGTGCCTGGATAAGCCTTCTTCGGATCAGGCTTCTTCTGCTCAATGGGTGGTGTAAACGGCTTTGGCTGACCCGGCTTGACCACCGTCTTCTTAGGCCCTGGGTATGCGGGTTTTGGGATGCTGTTGGTGTCTGGGAAGGCCTTTGGAAGAGTCTTGTTTGGCGTGGGTGTGGCTCCGGGGCCTTTGAAGGGAGAAATGGATTTCGTGGCTCCACCGATAGCTTTCTGACCGCCGCCTATAAAACCTCCAGTAGCTTTTGTGGCGTTGTTTGTTACGGTGCCCGCTGTACTGTTTGCGCGGCCTACAACTCCTCCGGTGACTCTGGATGCGCCGCTTGTTACGCCCCCAACGGTCTTGTTCACCCCACCGACAGTCTTCTTCGCTCCCCCGACTGCACCGTTGACTTGGTTGCTCCCCGGGTACTTCTTCGCGCCTATAGGCACCCCACTGGTAGTTGGCTTGTTGCTCGCAGGGGTCGAGTTCGAACGCTTGATCGCCGGCTTTCGTGCTGTGGAGGGGAGGGCTTTGGCTGTTGGTTTGTAGGTTTGGCCAGTGATTGCGGTGCCGTAGTTTGTCGCCTTTTTCTCGATACCTGAACGCAAGTCAGTGAATTCTGAACAGAAATACGTACAATGGATGAGGTGAGAAGCAACTTACCATTTCCTACACTCCTTCCACCATTCTCAATCATGTCTCCAACTTTGATCAACGCATTCCCTCCATATTCACCAGCCGTCTTCTTTCCAGCATCCACAAAGCCCTCGACCGAGTTCCAGATAATGTTTGAGATAAAGCTCGTCATTTTGCAGGTCGTATAGTTCACTTCGAATTCTAATTGAGATCGAAAGCTAGGTCTAACGGTAGAGCTATGGTACCTAGGTAGTGTTGCAAGAGAGCTCTCAAATTCTAGACTGTTGGACCCCAGATCATGATGTCCGATGATGCATACCCTTTAGCGCCACCACAGCTTGAACCTGTTTCGCTACCGGTGGTATGCAGGGGGATTCGCTGCCGCCCCGCGTCAAATGACGTTATTGTGGCACAGCAAAGTGGAGCTGAACCAAAGTGCTGGACGGCGATCTTTGATGCAGGTTTTAGCTCGTGTGATGGCTTCCTGTGCTGACATATCACTGGTAAGCTATCCCCTACGGACAACGCTAAGTACTCCAGTAATGTAGGATTGTTGTTCATTTCATTATATTTATCGTCGGTCGTGCTATTCGTACAAAGTGCGCTACTGCTACTATAAAACCCTTTTCGTTACATATCCGATAACGCCATTGGAAAAGAATCGCTCGCGGCTACTGATTGCTTTAGACAGAAATAACAAACTAAGCACCCTGTCTAGCCTTCTCGGCGCAAATCAGCGCAATGATACGGCTCAGCTCCGCGCTCTGCGCGAATTGCTCTTGCTTGGTTTTGTCGTCTACGTCTTCGCACGCTGCGATATCGTTGCTGACCGTCAACATGCGGTTTTGAAGTGTAAGTAGCTTGGCCAGCGTGTTGTCGAGGAAGGGTGCGCTGAAGGTGATATTGGTCGGTGAGGCGCCGTTGTTAGGCATGCGCATCTCGAGTTTCCGGGGTGGCTTTTTTCCAGAGTTTGATGGAGCAGATTGCTGTTGCTGCTGCTGCTGGGGCCTACAGAAAATCTTGTTAGCTGATGCACGTTGGGATGATAGACTGCGAAAAAGGGATTCGAGGTCTTGTCGGCAGACGATAGCGCAACCCTGGTTTTCCACGCCGTCGGAACCAGAACCAGAGAAAAGCTGCCAGGGGATATTCAGGGAAACTCACTTCTCGCGCTCGACGAAAGTCATGTTCTCCGCCATCTCAGCGACGCGGTTTGCGATTCTCGAAGCCATGATGGTGTATGGTGACATCTGAGCTTGTGACGCTCCGTTGGTTGCGCCATTCGTCTGGGGCTTCTTGTTCGCGCTCTGGGTAGGCTTCTTCGCAGATCGTGAAGCGGTGGTCTTGTTGGCGGTGCGCTTGACGGGCGCGGATGCTACTGAGGCTGCGGGCATGGTGAAGATGCGATGCGTGGTTTTCAATTAGATCTGTTTTGGTTGTCAGTCTCAGACTCAGACTCGGATCTGATTGCTGCTCGCGTGCTCTACTCGAGTATGCGCCAGGATCGACAGTTGTAAAGATTTAACATACCGTTGTTCTATCGTATGTATGGTGGAATTCTTCGAAGAAGGGGTGCAGTGGAGGTGGTCTTAAGAACTGGTATCTACTGCGGAGCGAGTATAGTGTTACTGAAGTAGCTTAATGACCTAACGTAGGGGTACCGGTGTGCTTCGAATATCTTGCTTGCTGACTTGGTCGTACGCCGCCACACACCGACGTCATCCCACGGCTCGCTGACAGGGGTTGACGACGCGCAAGTGGAGCATCCATCTTGATCTCGAACCGTTACCCTGCACTGACGTCGCGGGTAGCCCGCCACTGGTGCTGGTAGTCGTGTTTGATGTTTGAACTTCGATGTTCGCTCGTATGCGAATTGTAAAAGATGTCGCCTGCTACTGCTACGAAGAAGCCGGTTGTTACCAAATCGCCGGCTGCCAAAACCCCTGTGAAGAAGGCGACGGCTCCGAAGCCGACACCAGCGAGCCAATCAGCATCCAAGCGGCCAGTACCAGCTGCTGTTCAGAGAAAGAAGAAAGATGACCTTGGTGCTGGCCTGCGAATTTCCAAAGACAATGTCGAGGCACATCCGGCTGGGCCACCGCGTTTTGGAGAACTGACACAGGCAGAACGTGCCTTTACATTAGCTTCGACATTCTTGTCTGGCGTTTTGGCGTAAGCAAATCTCTGTATCTGCCTTTAGATATCCCTCAACTTATGCATAACAGTATAAGCGCATCTCAATTCCTGGGCGCGCCACTGAAGCTCATTGACCCCCAGTTTTACGATGGATACATGGCCTATACCAAAGAATGCTTTGCCATTCTGATTACCTGTCTAACCCAATGGTGGGCCCCAACCGTTGTCCGTGTGTCTGGCGACTCCAGCATGGTTGGCCAACTCATCAAGCGCAAAGACGGATCTCTGCAATGCAACTTTGCTGACCGTATGATTCTCATGGCAAACCACCAACTCTACACTGACTGGCTGTACCTCTGGTGGATCGCGTACACGAACAACATGCACGGTTTCATCTACATTATCCTCAAGGAGTCACTGAAGAACATTCCCATCATTGGATGGGGTGCCCAGTTCTACAATTTCATCTTCCTTTCGAGGAAATGGGAGGAAGATCAACGGACATTCAAGAAACATCTGAGCAAGCTGAACAAGAAAGGAGATCCGATGTGGCTTATCATCTTTCCCGAGGGAACGAACCTGTCCAAGACTACACGTGAAAAGAGTCAGAAATGGGCACAGAAGAATGGCCTGCAGGATATGAAGCACCAGCTACTCCCACGTAGCACTGGTCTGAAGTTCTGTATAAATGAACTGAGGGAGACTACAGACTGGCTGTATGACTGCACCATCGCATACGAAGGCGTACCAGAAGGTCAATTTGGTCAAGATATCTTCACCCTCCGTTCATCTTTCTTTGAAGGACGACCTCCAAAGTCAGTAAATATGCATTGGCGACGGTTTCATTTCGATGACATCCCATATGAGAACACGCACGCTTTTGAGGTCTGGCTGAGGAACCGATGGAGGGAGAAGGACTATATGCTCGAGTACTTCAGTCGTCACAACCGCTTTCCCGCAGAAGATTTCTGGAAGAACCATTTGGATATGGATACCAAGAGTGAGAGTAGCAGAGGCAACGGGACCAAGACCATCCGAACAGTGCCGCGACCGGCAGTGCAGATTGAGACCGAAGTCAAGAGCGGAAACTGGAATGAATTTGTCAAGATCTTCGCTCCCATAACTTCCGTTATGATGGCCTTGACAGTAGCCTACGGCGCTTCACCCGAAGACCTACCAATACCCGGCGGCAAAGAATTCTTCGAAAATCACATCAAAACGTTACTAGGTCAAGGCGGCGAGATGAAAGGTTTACCGAGTCCAGAGCAACTAGAAAAAATGATAGAAGGCGCCGCACAGATGGGTACCGCACAAGCAGCAGGCCCAAAAGAAGTCCCAGAAGTCCAACGTCTAACACAAGAAAACCTGGCCAAGTTGGTCAAAGAAACAGCCATTGCAAGCGGCGTTGTAATGCCAAACGGTATGAGAAGAGCAAGCACAGCATTACCAGGCGCACCAACAAAGACACTAAAAACACCGACTGCCACCACCCCAGCAGCAAGAAGAGCCCAAAGCGCTGTCAACCTCCCAACATCATCAGCAAAGAAGCCCACCACTGCAACACCAAAGCCAGGCACCGCCGCACACGCCCGAGCAAACCTTACCCCAGCAGCAGCAACAGTAACCAAGAAACCTACCCCGCAACCCACAGGCCCAATGAAAGAAATGATGACTGCCTCTGGCGTCATGATCAAAGTACCCCAAACCGAAGTCGAAAAAGCCAAGAAAACAGGTACGCTGACCATGAAGAATGGCCTCAAGATCAAGGCCGACAAAGAAGAGATTGAGAAGGCTCAAGAGAAAACGGGAACGACATTCATGACGGCTGGTGGCGTGCCTATCAAGGTTACGCCTAGTGGTGCTGTGCAGGTACCCGAGAAAGTGGGTAAAGGGCAAGCGCCCGCTGTGAAAAAGACGGGCGAGTTGGCGAAGAAGATGGGTGCTGTGTCTACCCCAGCGAAAAAGGCTCCTGCTAAGATAGGTTCTGCGGCGAACGGGACTGCGAAGAAACCAGCTGCTGCGCCGAGGAAACTTTGAAACAATTCATTTTTAGTATTATGGATCGGTGTTTTGGACATCGCATGAATAGGGTTATGGTATACACAGCTAGGCGTTGGGTATATTTGCTTGCTAGTGTGTAATATACGAATACGCCATCATTCAGACTGAAATAAGGGACCCTCCTCAGGTACCATTTATGTGAATTGCAATGTCGCCAACCTTTACTCTGCCGGAAAAGTACCCCGAGACATCCGGTAGCTCAGACGATTATCTCACTACTTGCTATACCAAGTTGTCTTTTTAACATCCGTACCCCTCCACTCCCACCGCTTAAGTAACCGTCCATCGTTCGTCCTCGCACCACTATGCAAACTGTTAAATCTCCATCTTAGCATTAACATGGGTGCGTAGGATGGGCAGTAGATCTCTATGAAAGATTCAAGAAAAACAACCAGATCAAATAACAAATATGCGCACGACATCGCATGCGGGGGGACCGCACAACGCAAAAATCCATGCAACAAACATTACCTCTTTTTCCTCGCAGCCTCTTCCTGTTGTAACTTGTGCATCTTGGCCCTTGCGCTCTTGCTGCCGCCCAACTTGGGGCCTGTGATGGGTGGCGGCGCACCCTTGACGGCGGGAACAGCTGGTTTACGTGCTTGTTGTTTTGCTTCCATGGACTCGAAATATTCCGAGCGAAATTGTTCGACGAGAGCGTCGTCGGTGTTGACAGAAGGATTGGTGTGAGGATTTGTGGGAGTGGTGGAATCGAAGAAGTCGACTGTGGTAGATGTTAGTGACGAGGCCATGAGGGTAGAGATGGAGAGGCGACGGGGAGTGGACGTACGTTTAGCTTCTCGGAGTACAGCTTCGACCATTTGGTCGCGTCGTTTATCTTCCTCCGTCTTCCCGTTGGCTTTGGGTTTGCGCCACGCGTAGCCGTACTTGTCGCGTCGTGCTTTGCTTGCTGGTGGCTCAGGCTCGCCCTTGTCCCATCGTTTCCAGGCTTGTTCTGTACGCGCGGCAGCTTCTGGACCCAGGTCTACTTCTTGAAGTTTGCCCTGGCCTGCCGCCAACCGGTTGCTGTGCTCGTTATCCGCAGGACTATCGGTGCTACCCGATGTGGAATGTGTCGTTGAGCTGGATGTGAACGTATGCCGCAGATCTGGTGCGATGGCTGCTACGGAACCCTGAAGGTGGTTTGGTATGGGCCAGCCGTACTGGCGATAGTTCTTTTCAGCCATGCGAGCTTCTACATATTCCGACCTAGCACATTAGCCTCGATGCTTGATATTGCCCTGATTCGAGCCCTTTGCAGTCTTTAGAAGAGCGCACTCACATCTGCTTGTCATCGCGGTCTACTACTTGTCCCGTCTGCGCGACAAAGCGACTTGTATATTGGTCTGGCCGGGGCGCTTCTACTTGCACCAACTCTGTCCGTGGTGGCTCTGCTTTGCGTGTGGTTTCCTTTAAGCGATCTCGTGGACGCTTTCGATTGCGCAATATCTCTTTCAGGTTCGGAACCGACTCCTCTTCATCGTTAGCTTCTTTCAGTGGCGGAGGCGCATCGTTTAGAGTCGCAGCGTCGGGCGAATGTGAGGCGGAGACCGTAGGCGCATCGTCTTCGGCATAGACGCGCTTCGGATGCGCGATCTTGCGGCGCTTGAATCGTATAGCGGGCGCTGCTTCGTCTTGTTGTACTGTCGACATGGCTGGGGAGTTGCAAGAGAGTAGGTTGAGAAGTGTGGATCGATTACAGGTCGAGAGTTGGATGACTAGGGTTGTGAACCACGGCAGGGTCCAGCGTCATACCTAGAGAGGGACTTCTACAACATTCACCACTTGACACACAAGTTTGCATGTTACTTGCAATGAATGGAAAGAGATATGAGTGGGAACAATCTGCGTCCAGCTGCGATTCTTGGGCACATCTCATTGCCACAATGCTGTTGTACACTTTCACACATGCATTATCTGATGAAAATGATTATCAGATCTAGAGCACCTACATGGCGTGACACTCAGCTCATAGGACGAGCCCGTAAGCGACGTCCGCTGTTACATACTATGCCTGAACTAGCTCAGCAATTCTCAACTTTCTACCTCCAGTGCTGTCTACTGTCGTTCGCTCATGTATACGCATCCCATTGACAGTCGAGTTTGGAGCATTGCTTCGCATTAAGGGTTTTTTTTATTGCGATAACACACAAGTACATCTCAGCCTACTATACAGGAAGCCAGCCGCCGTAACGCTCAAACGCCCCAGTCATACCCGGTACATTGAGTAGCGAAAGACTAGATGCAGGTAATATCAAGCAACTTCCTTATTCATCCACGCGTTCTCGTCCCCTTGGTATCAATTTACATCGTCATCGTCGTCATCCTCTAGGCCGTCGCGGAGGAAACAGTCTCGATCTCAACCTTTGGCAGCGGTGCCGACTTGCCGCCAAGGTCTGTTTGCCGTGCGTTGGGGTTCTTGGTGTAGTAGTTGGAGATGGCGGATTTAATGGCGTCTTCAGCAAGCATGGAGCAATGCACTACGAGAAGTTAGTATCATCATCCCACTTCTCGACTTCTCGACCTGGACCACTCACGCTTTACAGGTGGTAGGCAAAGCTCCTTCGCGATCTCTGTGTTCTTAATCCTCGATGCATCCTCCAGTGTCATACCCCGAACCAATTCGGTCAGATAACTCGAACTAGCGATGGCGCTACCGCAACCGAAGGTCTTGAACTTGACGTCGCTGATAGTGTTGCTGTTGGGGTCGACACGGATCTGGAGCTTCATGACATCGCCACATGCGGGTGCACCGACGAGACCAGTACCGACATCGTTGTCGGTCTTTGACATGGAACCAACATTGCGTGGCTTGTTGTAGTGGTCGAGCAGTGCTGCGGATGTTAGCTGAACGTTCTCATACGGATATAAGTCGGATATGGTGATGCGATGACGAAGTGATTGTGATAGAGCACTCGTATCGCCACCACGTCGACTTTTCGAACAGAAGAGTGGGCAACTTATCTTTCTCGTGGTACTGCCGCCGACCGACTGCTGAGACGGCAGGTGCTGCTGTGCGAAGGGGCGAAACGATGCTGGGCCTGGCGGCGGTTGCGAGCACTCTTCCGGCCTGAGCGGGCACTGTTGCTGCGACTCTCCTAAACATGGTGGCGATGGATATGTGTCGTGTTTCGAGGTTTTGTCGTTTTGATTTTTAGTTTTGGCGATAGTTTCGATAGAGGGTTGATGTTGGTGTAGGTGTAGCGGAGGTGGATGGCGGCCGAGGAATTGAAGTAATGATGGGAAAAGCGATGGTCCGGCGACGTAAGTCCGTGCACGACATACCCCACACTTATCACATATTCTGGAATCAGCTCGGAGAAAAGCTCCAATTAACCGATCAGCGAGCATCATCTCCGCTTGCACTGTTATCAGATGAGAGCTCAGCTTCATTCATGTCGCATCCACAGCTACTCTGTGTTATGCTGATGCTATCTAGCAGCTTGCGCCGCAATATTCCTATAACATCCTCTTTTCGCCACATCATCAATGTTAATGCTAATCCGACACAACTCCGCCTTCGCTATGCTAGTCCGTGATAAGAGACCTAGACCCGCCGCCTTACAAACGCCTGAAGAAATACACATAGGCAAACTTCTTCATCTCCTCCACGTCGGCTGCCTTGGCAACCTTCTCGTCGTTGAAGAGAACCCATGATGCAGCCTGCTCATCTGGCAACTGCTTGCGCACAAACGCGACATAGTGTCTATTAGACGTTAGCAAATTCCCATATGTGATAGTGCAAATACAATAGACTCACCCAGCATGTATCGAGCTACCCTTGTGGCATACTATAGATTGAAGCTGGAAGTTTGCAGGCAGCGTCTCACTACCAGCCAATGGCTTCTCTGTTAGCTCGGCAGGTGCATCAGAGCTACCACCTTCGTCGAAGTCGCCAGGTGCATCCGGGTGGCTGAACAACCAGTCGACGGCGCGCTCCATATCGCCACCCGTCTCCTTCAGAGCCTGACGTGCCTGGGGAGCGTTGAAGCCCATGGCCCCTAGGTTCTCAATCTTTTCCGGGTCAAGAACAGATGCAGCAGGCGCGCCTCCCCCAGACCCAGCATTGAAGTCGACAGGATCATCAATATCTGGGTCCTCCATATGTGAGAATAGCCAGGTCATCGCTGCTTCGGCATCTTCATTGCCAGTGGCATGTAGAGCCTTCTCGCATCTGATCCTAGGGAAACCCATGGCTTCAAGCATCGATAACGCAGCCTCGTTAGGTGCCCATTTTGAACCTCCAGCCGCTCCTGTGCCTGCGTCTTCTGGAAGAAGCTCCTCGCCATCGCTTAGTCCCTTTGACTTGTAGGCGTCGAAGGAGAACGGTTCATCATTAACAATGACTGGAACATCTTGCTTAGTAGGCACCCAGTTGACCAGTTCGAAGCGCCTGGCATTGACAGCCAATACTGAAGGGAAAGTCTTGAACATGCTTCTCTTCGTGAACCCATCCTTGCTGCCACAAGCACCGCAAGTAAGCTCAACTAATTCTTCGGCTGTGAAGATATCGAGACACTCCTTTAGCGAGACTGACTCAAATTCTTCCTTCTCTTCCGTTTTGCCGTTTCCATCGGTGACGTCCATCTGCGAGTCTTTCGGGACTCTGCGGATGGGAACTGGGATAGAAATGTTCTCCTGCTCGTCTGTCTTGTACCGAACACGCTTGCAGCTAACACATTGTAACCGTTGCTCCATAGCAAAGCGGAAAGCACTGACTGGATCCTTATGGAGCCCAACATGCTTACTGCGTGAAACAAGTTGAAGTAGGTGCAAAAGCAGTTCGAACGCATCCTGTTGTCGCATGGTTGAGAATTCGGCGTGACCTCGTCCGATCAGGTGCTTGAGCATGGCAGGCGCGAGGCCGCGTTGATGCGGGATCTCGGGACTGTGCTCGTTAGTGATAACGTCGCTGTCCGGTTTTGAATACCGTCCTGAAATCATTCCGTCCGCGATCTTGCGTAGCTGGGTTTCCAGGTCTTCGGCAGGAAGTGGTGTCTCCGGTGGAGCTTCATCGGGAAGGTAATATCGGTCCTTGAACTCTTGGATAGAAAAAAGAGCCTGTAGGGTACTGTTAAGGTAGCAGCTATTACCCAGGTTCTTCAAGCCTGTGAAGTTTGGTCCAAACAATGGTTGGAGTTCTTTACCATCCTCGGTCACCATAGCAAAGTCCCAACGCAAGTTCTGCTCGACCTGCATCTCCGTAAGACTCTTCTCTGTCTTTACCCTATCTTTGATGTTGATGCCCCAATGTGCTAGGTGGTCTGGGAGTTCAGGATCTATGCGCTCCTCATCACAAGCGTAGCAGTAGATATCGGCCGTACCATCCGCGGTGAGAGATCCGAGCTTGACTGCAACAGGATGACCGGTTGACTTTGTATGTCCTACGCCGTGTGAGTTGCCACCGACCCCACCAAACTGCTGGCGGCCACAGCCCAGATTGCCACAGGTCAAGCATAGCCAGAGGTTCTCGTTGAGCTCACACTCTGAACAATGACCTAAGTTCTGAGACTCGATTTGTCGCGCCGCTTGTTGTTCCAAGCAGAGTGTATGTTCGCAGGCGGTCAACTCTTGTTCCCAGGCCTTAACCTCCTGCTGCTTCGCGAATGTGTTTGCCTTAAGGACTGCTTCCACAACATCCGGCAGCTTCCCTGAGCTCTTGTCTACATCGTCGACACCGCACTCATAGCACTTGACTTGGGTCGTGGTATCGTAGCGATCCGACTCGGTTTCAGCTGCAACGGCAAGCTTCGTCATCTTCTGTGGGGGCTCATCGCGCGTAATCCTCTTTCGCGTGCGCTTGATGTTCAGGACAAGTGGGTGGTTCGCAGATGATACGTGGAGGAGAGCATGGTTTCGATCACTCGTACATCCACCGTTGAAACAGTAGAGGCACACGTCAAGGCCTGTAGGATCATCGATCGAGTCGAAGCACTGTGTGCAGTCTTCCCGGTATACAGACTGTGTTGGTCCCGGTGGGTGAAGCTCTAGAGCGTGTTAGTATTGTGTAAGTGAAGGATGTAGCTACCAATCCTTTGAAGGCGACAAAGCGCAGCGGGCATGTTTGCCACTCTTCAAGTCTTTTGGCTATGCGATAATAGAACTCATGAGCAGTAGCGGGAGCTTACCAGGCGCGTTTACGTGCGTGCAAGTCATATTTGGTGCAAGTTGCAGGGAGGCAAGGCAAGGTGTTGGAAGTTGCGACGGTCTGCATATAAATTGAATAGTTTGGTATGACATAGGCTAGGCTTCCAGAGCTCCCCGCGGCGGGGCCAATAAAAGTGGGCACCCGCCACCAATACAAAAAGAGAAGTCAACACCACGCGAGAGCTCCACCTTCTGCCTGAGACATCACGCCTGACTGCCAAGGTTGACAGACGGTTTTAGGATTACAACACTGATTCTCAAACTTGAGTTCACGTTGGACAGAATGTTGTGGTCAGAAGTGTAAATACATATATCTGCTGACGGTGCCACAACTATGCTATTTGGATTATATCGCGCCATTCCTTGAACACACTACTCATCTCCCCTGTTGTCTTGCATTGATAGACCAATTCTGGAACTGGCTGAACAGCACAGGCTGTAGCGGAGACTTCTTGTCCGCAAACCATTGCTTCTGTGTCTCCGCATAAACATCCACTACGCCAGCATAGTTTGCTTTATCGAGACCGACAAGCACCTTGACTACGTGCAAGCTAGCAGAGCCGCACGCATCTGCATGGACCTTTGCACCATTGCCTAGCTTTGCCTCCTCGTGAATTCCCTTCAGCAGCTCCCATACGTCCTCGACGTTTTCAGGCTTCGGGAGAGGTGCTTTGCGCTTCGTGCGAGTATCGAAGAAAGACTTCAGCATCTTGGCCGCTTTGTCTGCCGTCTGCTTGTTTGCGTTCGCTCGAGTTCGGCGGAGTACTGGGAGGAGAATTTCCAGAGTGAGCGGGTTAGAGTATTGCTTCTCCATGTACACCGCAAGTAGATCTAGGACTCTCGACTTAAACTGTACAACGTTCTGCTTGGCGTCTTCCCGCTCCTTCTTCTTGCTTGTTGTCTTGCTTCGTTCCTTGAAGATCTTGCTGAGGTGTGGGTCAAGCGCCATCATCTGATCATCGTCCATGTCTGATTCGTCAGATGTCTCTTCTGCCGCGTCGCCGTCGACATTCGGCTTCGACGTCTGAAGAGTCATGGCCAGCATGTTGTTGAATTGAGTCAACTCTGCATCTTCCTCATCATCTTCGTCGTCGTCACTCGCGTCGCTGTCGTCACCGTCGGAGCCTGATTCAGAGGATTCAGAGGTAGCGTCGCTATCTGGCTCCTCTCCATCGATCATTTCAACGTCCGAGTCATCTTCTTCGTCATCGCTTGAGCCACCCTCTTCAACGTCTTCATCGCCCTGGTTGAACAGCTCTTTTTGTCCCTCAAGATTTTCTTCAGTGTCCAGAATTTCTGTCAACGACCGCAGTCCTTCGGCACTGATCTCAGTCGCAAAGATGGAGAACGCTTCTTCTCCGATTCGACGGAATAGCGTTCGCGTGTTCCCTGAGAAGGAGAGTACAATCTCGACAAAAGCGTTCTGACCGTCGGAGCTTGAGGCCTTGTTCTTCTTCTTTGATGTCACCTTTCGTGACGCCTCGAAGGCTTTGTAGGAAGCATCAAGATCATCAAGCATCATGACGGCGTCCCCCTCGCCATTGTAGGCTTGCAAGAGCGTTAGTGAGTACAAAAGCATGAAGCCCTGTGCTGCCAGCTCGTTACCGGCTATCGATCCCTGTAGTTACGTTAGTCTAACGACATTTGAACAGGAAGTGGTATGCGTACTGTTGCAGAGATGGTGTCAAGTGTATCCAGCGCCTTGTCCATGGTGCTGAGAACCGGAGCGTCTGCCTTGAAGGCAAGGTCCAATTTAGCAGACTTGCTGCTCCTAGCTCTTATCATGTCTAGAACCATGAGGGCGACATCCGAGCGAGCACCTAGCTTTACGTCTAATAATTTGGTCAAACAAGATGATAGGCGCTCTTGGAACATCGTTCGATTGCGATCACTGATAGCGGGAAGAGGCATCTTCTTGGTGTCCGCACTCTTCGAAGGGATGAAATAAGCACACTCAACCAGTATCTCCAAAGTCTCCCGCAACCAGTTGGACTTGCGCTCATCTGCGGCGCGGCCTTCTCGTCGGTGAGCAACGTCTTTCTTGAAGGTTTTCTCGTTGAACTTTTCATATCGCTTGTATTGCCTGACTGTGTTCAGAAGCAGGTCAGCGATGGCCTGCCGGCGGCTGTCTGCAACTGTCTGTTCCTCGCTTTCGGGACGTAGGATCAATGACTTGAGATGCCGTACAATCTTCATCAAGCTCTTGTCATCTGCTGACGCAAGGATCTGCTCGAGCGTTTTCGTCTTAGTGATGCGGTCGAACTCAATGCTGCCATGCTTCGAAGTCAGCGCAACGAAGATGGGAAGTGCCGTTCCGTCTTCTTGCTCGACTCTGAGCTGAACAGAACTCAACGCAGCCAGCGCAGCCGAATGAAGGAATCTGTCTTCTTTCTTGCTTTGGTTGATGAGGGTGCGCATCAGGTTGGGGCTGAACAGCGCGGATACAGCCCAATCTGGCACACGGGTAATCATGCTGCTCAACAGCTTGAAGCCCCAGGCTTTACGTTCGTGGGACGCCGAAGAAGAGAAAAGATTGCCTGTTCTGGTCAGTCATACGAGCTAACCTGCTTTTCGAATATTTGAACTCACCATCTACGGTGTCGATCCAGAACTGCGGGAACTCAACCTTGTCCTTGGAATCGCTCTTATTTTTTTCATCTCTTTTCAGGATCTCGGCGAAGACCAAATCCCACGTAAAGGATGGGTTCGGATTAGTGGTCCCAGTTTTCGTGGTTTCGTTCTTTCCATCTTCTGTCTCGTTCTTGTTGAAGTCCTCCTTCAAGATCTTGGCAAGTCGAGAGCGTTCCCTCTTTACTAGAGGGTCTTTGTCGTGCCAAACACCCTCTGGCAGCGCCTCTGGATAACTGGCTTGAACGGTAAGCCACACCGCCACACCCTCAGGCGTAGAAACGAGCTTAAACGCGCTCAGACGTTCCAGTACTTCCTCGGCACATTGGCGGTACTGTGATTGGCCTTCTAAGCTCCTTACTGCCTCGACCAGTACCATCCCGCATTCTTCCCGTAACCATGGGATGTCGCGTGCCATTCGATAGACGTTGTCTAAGAGCTTGTTCCAGGAGTCCAGCGAGAGTTCCGGTTCAATGAGTATTGATGATTGCATGATGGCCTTAAATCCAAAGAGTTTTCCAATGGTATGGTCCCGTTTTTCCTGTATCTGTCAGCCTCGCAACATTTAGCACACCTGTAGTCCTACCTTTCCTGGAACGTTGCCTTTAGCCTTGGTCTTTTCCTCTACCATCTTGATGACAGATGCCACCTCAAGCTGCGAATCTTCGACATTATCCTTCTTTGCTGCAAAAAGTTGTCGTAACAATTCAGTGAGTGTGAGCGAGAATCCGACCCTAGCTGCTTTGCGCTGACTGCAAAGACCTTTAATCAGGCGTACTAGCGCATCCTCCACATCTTTGACGGCTGGCTTGTTTTCAGGCGAGAAGTTGACGATGATTTGTTTGGCGGCTTCAAGACGAACGTCGTCTTCCTCTGCTGCGAGGTCAGCGTAAAGCTTGGAGAGCTTCACCTGATCTGTATTGCTCTGTCTGCGCCGTTTTGCGGGGGCCTCGTCCACTTGCTCGGTTTGGTCCGCCTCGCGCTCCCGTTTGTGTATCTTACTACCCATCTTTAACCGATTTGTTGATGAATGTATCGGACTTTGTCACGTTGCAACTTTCGAGAAAAGTCAAGCACGGCTTCCGGAAAATTTAGGTGCTAACCATGTATGGACTAGTTGCTCAGGGTCCAGACACCGCTAATCCACATATGCATGAACTATGAGCATGGAAACTTCTTCCATATACATGTTAGAATTCAAGACGCCAAAAATCAGCAGAGCCTTGTGCTAAATTCACATCTGCGATACTTGCATCAATGCAGCATACGAATACATCACCGGCTATAGAGTACGGAAGTCTGGTTGACATTTGGCAATGGCTTGATGCACAACATCATACAGAGTGTGGAGTTGACGACTGGATAAGATGTGCCCACACTATAGCCATCATATTCAAGCAGTTGATTCCCTAATATTATGCTAGAACTAAACCTGCTCTACATCCAACTCGGCGTGTCACCCTTGTAATTTATGATCAATCAGTCGTCTTCATCAGAGTCAAAGCCTGCAAAGACTCCAAGTGATTTAGGGCGGTGTGTGTTTTCAGAGGGAGGCTGGTCCGGAGCTAATTTGACCGGAGACTCTGTAGCCACGTCCTGTACAGCGACGTCCTGTTGCTGTTGCTGATGCTCCTGCTCCTGCAGTACCTTCTCCCTGTCTGCTTTCAGATACGCAGGTATATCGAATTCGTCCAAGTTTTTACCCTTCTGCAGAAAGGGAAGTTTGAAGTCAGTGTATGTCTCACATGGATTTCGCACATGCCAAACTTACTTCGCGCCAGTACTGGAGACTGAAGAGAGCGCCTGAGCGGATCTTTTCGTTGCTGGGCCACGGGTACCAGGCTAGGTTGCTAGCTTTGAGTTTCCTTAGCCATTCTTCTTCTTCGGGCGTAATCTCAAGCGCAGGACCAGCGGCGTCTTCGCCTTCCTTCTGCCCTTGTACAGCCTCGCTCGCTGGTTCTACGGTCTCTGGTGCGAGAGCAGGCGTATTGACGCCGTTGGTAGCAGCGCCACTTGAGCCGACGTCTTCGTCCTCCTTGTCTTTGTCTGCTGTAGGAATGCGCTCACGGTACGTCGGCGGGACTGTGTATCTCGAGATGTTGGTCGCATATTGTAAGAGCTCGTCGAATGGGACTGCGCGTGAGTCTTCAGGAAATGTCGTCACGGATGTGTCAAACAGCTCATGGCGCAGTTCTGCGAGCTTCTTGACTGACGTTTTGAGCTGTTCTTCAAGAGCGTCGGCTTCTGCGCGCAAGTGCTGGATGCGAAGATGGTTCGCCTGGTGTTTGGCGACTGCGACGTGTTAGTCAGTGTTCTTGACGAAAACAGGGGTGGGCATACGTTGGTCCAGTCCTTCACTGAGCTCGTCATCAGCAGCTACCAGATCGATTGCAGTTTGCGTGGCTGGGTTGTAGGCCGCGATTGAGTCGACTAGTGTTGTCAAGGCCTTCTCGACGCGCTCAAACTGTTCGTTCAGGATCTCGTCCATGGTTCATCAGCGGACCTGGTAACGGTGGTGTAGTTGAAAGAGAATGCAGTAAGCGTGCGAGGCAATGATGCGCGAGGAACGTGGCTCGTGTGGAGCACGCGCATACACGTGACAGGAATGGTCATGCGCGATTATGCGCGATGGGAGATGTGTCGTAGGGCTGGACGTGTATGCAGGTTGCGCGCCAGACGGACCAAGCTGAATGGCCAGCTATCGCAGTTCGGTATTCACTTTGGCAACGACGAAACCGGGCCTGCAAGTGCGCGAATCACCCACTGGCGCTTTACTAGACTCGCGGGGTTGCCCGCCGAAGATGCATGCGAAAGCGGGACATGACGAAGCGGCCAGGGCCCTCTCGGCGTGGCCGCTATTTGTGTCGACTGGCTGGAACCCGAGCTGTTACGACAACCAGCCTATATCCTCCGCTCCCATTACTTGTGGCCATCTACACCAAAGTCATAGCCTCGTATATCGTCCATTGTATTCGCCTTCTCCTAGAGTGCTGCGCCCCGCGTCACCAACAAAAGAGCAACCCCCACCCATCGATTGGTCCGCCACTACAACCAGCTACCACACCCTGATTGTTGCTTCGCCTACTGAGACCTCACGACTGCCTGGCCGCTTCCCTACTCTACATCTTCCGTGCACCCCCAAATACCCCACCCGCAATAATCCGCACATCCTCCAGCCATGGGTAAATCGTAAGTTCTCTCTCCTTGCTGCTTTGTAATGCGGGGCCCTCGCGCCTACCACCCCATCGTTTGGGGATTCCTGCCCTCCACCCAGGACACGCGCCGCATCAAGTGAAGGCTATACGCCTGACCGGACCTCGTCATGGATTCTCTACCTAGGCGCAAACATCGCCCGCTCGACCTTACACGCGATCGCCCACTGCACAAGCATCCAAGTAGAGTTCAACATGCACAATCACGAGAAGCACGCGCATTCAGCACCGTCGCCTGACATTCCGTTGCAGGCGCACGGTATACCTCTGCTGGAGCGCGACCAGACGCCTCTCAAGTTCGCACGCCGCCATCATAGCGATATACCCCGTCATGATGAGTCCGGATATGCGCACTACAAGGATATGCAGGACATCGCCTTGGCGAATGCCATACGCGAGTTCGAGGAAGAATTGAGACTGCGCTGCGGAATCAAGCGCTTGGAAATACAGAAACAAAAGCTGATCGTGTATTGTCACAGCCAGAGTAAACTATCACAGCAGGAGCTGGCCGATCTCCAGAAAGCGACACACTTCGATAAGAAAGAGTTACAGCAATGGTACAAAGGTGCGAATGCAGTGGTGCAAATTGGCCGGACTGTGACTGAGTACATACAGGCTTCCTGAAGGACTGTCCATCGGGCATGCTCACCAAAGAGGAGTTCCAAAAGATCTATAAGCAGTTCTTTCCATTTGGTGATCCGTCATCGTTTGCGGATTATGTCTTCAATGTCTTCGACGCAGATAAATCCGGCACAATCGACTTCAAGGAGTTTATTTGCGCATTGAGCGTCACAAGTCGGGGCAAGATGGAAGACAAGCTTGACTGGGCGTTCCAGTTATACGATATCGACGGGGACGGCAAGATCAGCTACGAAGAGATGTTGGCGATCGTCGAAGCCATCTACAAAATGGTATGCGCACAGGCGCGAGGAAACGTCTTCATCGCTGACATATACAGGTCGGCTCCATGGTTAAGCTCCCGGAAGACGAAGACACCCCCGAGAAGCGCGTCAAGAAGATCTTCCGCATGATGGACAAGGACGAGAACGGCAGCTTAGACATGGCTGAGTTCAAGGAGGGCTCGAAGCGCGACGAGACTATCGTTTCTGCCCTGTCTCTCTACGATGGTCTTGTGTGAGGAAAGGGGTCGATACCCAGTGTCATTTTCTATGCTTGTTTCGTTATAGTCGATATCACAGCGCATTTGTGGGATTGGCATACCATTGTTCCCTTGCTGTTAGGGTGGACGACATCGCCTTGGCGTACCGGACATCATGAATGATGTATACAAAGTGCGCAATTCATTTATGCGGCGGAGGTGCAAGAGATAACTTCAAATTCGTTTTACTTGTACATGCTGGTATGGTTGTGATTCTCACCAATAGAGCCCTCGAGGGCAGCACCGCACGAAAAGGTGTCGACGTTGTTGCTCCAACTAAAGCATTCAAGCGAAGTAATGTCGGTTCTGCCAGTTTCTGGTCTGACGCAACCCTGCGGAACGCTTAGTGCCGAATACAGCTTGGCATACGCGCAGCTTCCTTAGGCGGCCTTTAGGTAACATCAGAGCTGTGAACAAGTAGCTTCAAAACAACACATTGCTATTACTGTGCCGCTTTATTGTACCACCATCGTCTGCACGCTATGGACAATCCACGTCTGTAGAGACATAGTAGCATTCCATTCATCCACTATTGACTTTTGGCGACTTTATCGCTGCGACGCTACGTTTCGGCACTCTGCCCAGCACCTCAAGCTGACGCCGGCCCGCTCCACAACGTGTTAAAGCCATTTTCACGCGCCTCATTTACATAGACAAACACACATACACACACAATGCGGCGACTCGATATATCCACATCCGCCGCTGTGCTGGCATCCTTGCTAGCCATCGCACCCTCACCAGCGTCGGCTTTCTACTTCCCAGGCACTGCGCCAACTTCATACAAGACCGGAGACGCCGTACCGTTATACGTCAATCGACTGACACCCGCTGATTCGCAGAACGACCCAAAGCTACGATCCGTTTTCTCCTTCGACTACTACCACCCACCCTTCCACTTTTGTCGCGAAAAAGATGGACCCAAAGAAATTCGAGAGAGCTTGGGAAGCATACTATTTGGCGATCGCATACAGACGAGTCCGTTCGAGCTGAACATGGGCATAAACGAGACGTGTAAACTCCTCTGTGAGGCTCCGTATCCGGGCAAAGACGCGGCGTTTGTGAACAGCAGGATATACCAGGGCTATGACCTCAATTGGTTGATAGATGGACTACCCGCGGCACAATCACTTAGGGAGCCCGGCTCGGATCAGACCTTCTACCAACCAGGCTTTGCGCTAGGTCTTGTAGATGAGGATCAGCCCATGCTCAACAACCACTACGACATTGTAATCGACTACCATGAGGCTTCGCCGGGTAATTTCCGTGTAGTCGGTGTGCTAGTAGACCCATACTCCGTGGCCGAATCGAAGAGAGAGGGCGACAATGGGGCAATGTGTAACGGCCAGACCCCAGTCGTTCTGAAAGAAACCGACGAAGATACAAACCTGGTCGTCTTTACGTATGGTGTTTACTGGCGACCAAGTCCGACTCCGTTTGCGACACGATGGGACAAGTACCTGCACGTCTACGATCCCAAAATCCACTGGTTCTCTCTTATCAACTCAGCCGTCATTGTCGTTTTCCTTGTCGGAATGGTCAGCACTATCCTCGTGCGTACCCTCAAGAAGGACATTGCGCGATACAACCGCCTGGATCAGTTTGCGCTCGAGGACTTCGGTGAAAGCGGCGACGCTGATGATACTGCGGATGACTCTGGCTGGAAGCTGGTACACGGAGATGTGTTCAGGCCACCAAAGAACCCGCTGCTTTTGTCGGTTTTGGTCGGCAACGGAGCCCAGCTCTTTGCCATGACAGCGTTGACTATAGGTAAGTTGGCAGCATTCATTGCCATGTCAAATACTGGCTAACATCAATCACAGCATTCGCGCTTCTCGGCTTCCTTTCCCCTAGCAACCGCGGCGCTCTCGGAACCGTCATCATCATTTTCTACACACTGTTCGGTTTCTTTGGTGGCTACACTGCGGCACGTACCTACAAGTTTTTCCATGGCGAGTCCTGGAAACTGTGCTTCTTCTACACCCCAGTTGCTCTACCTGCGATCGTCTTTGGCGTCTTCTTCCTCATGAACCTGTTCGTCTGGGGTCGCGGTGCATCAGGAGCTGTACCATTCACCACTATGCTTGTGGTCGTCATCATTTGGTTCGTCATCTCAGTTCCACTGAGTGTGGCTGGTTCCTGGATCGGGTTCAAGCAAGCCGCCATTGAACCGCCTGTCCGCACGAATCAGATCCCGCGTCAGATCCCACCTGTAGGAGGCTATCTGCGACCTCTACCTTCTATGGCACTAGCTGGTGTGCTTCCCTTTGGCGCCATCTTCGTCGAACTCTACTTCATCATGAACTCGATTTGGTTCTCAAAAGTCTACTACATGTTCGGTTTCCTGTTCATCTGCTTTGGCCTTATGATCATCACCTCGGCGGCGGTCACCGTGTTGATGATTTACTTCTTACTTTGCGCAGAGAATTACCATTGGCAATGGAGGTCCTTCTTCACGGCTGGTGCGAGTGCGGCGTATGTGTTTGCTAGTTGCTTGCTGTACTGGATCAAGGACGTAAGCTGGACTAGCTGGACGAGTGGTGTAGTTTACCTGGGATACTCGGCATTGCTGAGTTCGCTGGTATTCATTCTTACCGGTAAGCTACAATATACATTTGTGTCTTTGAAGTACGTGCTAACAGTACAATTAGGCACTATTGGTTTCTTCGCCAGTTGGCTCTTTACCCTCAAGATCTACAGATCTATCAAGGTGGATTGAGCGATGGACAATAATGAGAAAGCTCAAATACACTTCTCTCTTCCCTTTGGGTCTAATTGCGCTGAGCCGCATCCCAATTCTTCGCCACTATAGACTTTTTGGTTGGCATCACCTATATAGAAAATCCAATCATATATTTGTTAACAGTATGCACTGCTTAGGCACATGTCATGGTGTAGTCTGTATTGAGACATTGATAAAGCGAGTAACTACGTTATAGCGACCAGTAACGCGAAAATCATATTACATCATATTCAGCAGTACCTACAAGTTCGAGGAGAAAACTTTTCATCAATCTTTCGCTTTTTTTTTCACTCCATACTCTATTGTCGGTTCGATTCTCACACGCCAACCTTTCCAGTTCAGTATCCGAAGATCTTGGCATCATTCTACTTGCCGCTACCATATGCAAGCAAGAACCTAAACAGGTGTAGCTAAGGTGTTTATCTACACGTCTAAGATTCTCATTGCGCGTGTTATTGTAGACCACGACGTAGTATAAGACTTTTCTACGCTGGTTTGATTTCCCCCTTGTATGAGGTGCCGCCGAAATTATTCAATGGTTCTTCCTTCATCATCCATCGATCAACCATCGAACCTTCTACATGACGTCAATCTTTCGCACGAGCGAACGAGGGAACGAAACCTTAGATAGGAACATCCAGAATGATTGACCCAACCTCACAACCTCTCAACGCGTGTTCAGCGTCTAGATGCAAACAAGCGGATCCGCTGTTTTCTAGGCGTCCTCTGCACGTTCCAGAATACAATTATCCAGTCTCATGTGTCATCGGGCATGTCTCGGACTTGAACTCTGATGATCGGCCTGCAACGTGCTTGCAAGGGAGGTACTTGCGCGATACCCAACATGGTTTAGTTTACGGACACTATCGAGACCCTTCCCGTCGAACCAAACCGTGCTCCCCATTGAATCCCAAGGCCCGAGACATTTCCGGGCCTCATGATGAGCATGAGTCTTTTTACTGAAGATTTTATCGTACGAAGGGTTGTAATAGTCTTATCAAGAGGAAATCTGTTGGGAGTGCGTGTGTATATATATAGGGGAGGGTTGTTGCCATGTCTGAAGATGTCGATGATCAGCTTTTCGGATTGCATTACTTTGAGATATTTGCGCCTCTTACCATAATACACCCTTGGTGTTTGACTCCCGCTTCCCTATTGGTTTATCAAATTTTGGAACGCACAGAGTCACTATTACGACAGTGGTCGATCTCTTACGTTTATTGGAGTGATTGGCATCCTCTTCTTTATACATCAAGCACTTTTGCCCAGCCTGCCCACAACAACCAGATTACTTCGACGCCTCGTTTTCTACTTTACAATTCAAGACCCCAGAGGTCTATCAATACCGAACATGGCGACAGAAGGCATACAGTTCCCCATGTCGCGAGACTTCGCCAGTCACACGAACGACCCAACACACGCTCGCCAATCGTCGTCGTCCTCAGGGACCACCCTCGATGCCGAAAAACCAGTACCACTCCACCGCGCGCCGACGGCCGAAGACATGGTCAATCTTCCTATTCGCACGCTTTCGAACAACGCCAATCTCAATGAATACATACAAGAAACCATTTCAGGGCAGATGGTTCGCGAGGTTCGATCCAACGCCGGCAAGGTTGAGAAGTACGACCTGGTCACTTTTACCATCGACGACAAGGAAAACCCTAAGAATTGGAGCAAGGCATACAAGTGGTGGTGTACCATGTGCGTCGCGGTAACATGTTTTGTTGTTGCTTTCAACTCGGCAGTCGTCACAGCGGATCTGGAGGGTGTCAGTGCGGAGTTTGGGGTTAGCGAAGAAGTGGCGCTGTTAACCATCACACTTTTCGTGGTTGGATTCGGTGTCGGACCAATGGCCTTTGCTCCCGCGTCTGAGATATGGGGAAGGAGACCAGTATATGTTGTTACGCTTGCTTTGGCTGTTATCTTCACCATTCCCGGAGCAGTCGCGAAAAACATCGCGACGTTGTTGGTAACGCGCTTCATTGCCGGCGTGGCGTTCTCGGCACCCATGACGCTCGTCGGAGGAACACTGGCGGATATGTGGAGAAATGAGGAGAGAGGTGTTCCCATGGCAGCCTTCAGCGCTGCCCCCTTCATCGGTCCTGGTGTTGGACCTTTGGTTGGCGGTTATCTCAGTCAAGCTGGCGGCTGGCGCTGGCTTTACTGGATCCAACTCATCCTTTCCGGCATCGTCTGGGTCCTCATCACATTTACCGTACCGGAGACATATGCGCCTACGATCCTGGCAAAGAGAGCGAAGAAGATGCGCAAAGATACCGGCGAGGACAAGTTTGTGACGGAACAGGATCTCGACATGCGCCCCTTCAGCCAGCGCCTTCAACTCTTCCTCCTACGACCTTTCCAGCTGCTCTTCCGCGAGCTCATCGTCTTCTTGATCTCGGTGTACATGTCCGTTCTGTATGGTCTTCTGTACATGTTCTTCGTCGCATACCCGATTGTGTACCAGAAGGGCAAGGGCTGGAGCGCAGGATCAACAGGTCTGATGTTCATCCCGCTCATCTGCGGTGTCCTGATTTCCGCTGCTTGCGCGCCACTTGTCAACAAGCACTACATGAAGCTGTCGGAAAAGCACAACGGTCACCCACCAGCTGAAGCACGTCTAATCCCTATGATGTTTTCATGTTGGTTCATCCCGATTGGAGTCTTCATCTTCGCATGGACAAGCCAAAGAGAGACCCACTGGGCAGGTCCTGCGTTCGGTGGTGGCTCTGTGGGCTTCGGTTTCATCTTCCTGTACAACTCGGCCAACAACTATCTTGTCGATTCGTACCAGCACCAGGCTGCGTCAGCGCTAGCGGCAAAGACGTTCCTGCGCAGCTTCTGGGGAGCAGGTGCTGTTTTGTTCACGAATCAAATGTACGACCGTTTGGGCGATCAGTGGGCCAGTTCGCTCCTTGCCTTTATCGGTCTGGCTTGTTGCGCAATTCCTTTCGTCTTTTATGTCTACGGTGCAAGGATTCGGGCGCGTTCTCATTACGCCTACAGTGAGGAGACGGGGAACAAGGAAGAGAAGCAGGGAGCATAGTTAGTAGGACAGAGTGTGAGCAGGCTTATGTTGTATGGATATTTTGGCGGATTTTCTCGATTCCAATTATTGTGTTGCATTGGGAGTACAGGCGTTCGAGGCTTGGAGATTGCCACCGGGAAAAGATCGTCGGAGGGGGCTTGGGGCTGGAAGACTCTCTAAAACGCGTATAGCACATGTTAGTTATTCGTAATCATTCCTGAAATGTAAACAAACTTGAGTAATTCATATGCGGTTCTGCCAGTGCGACCAAATGAAGTGTTGTTGCATAACGATGAAATAATATGGATGGACTCGTCGACGCTGATGTCATACCACCGGTGGTAGTCCGGACACGATGGCACGTCCGTAGTCAGAAGGAAGAAAGTGGATGCTCGATGGACAGGCGAAGTAATTTGGCTCGTAGCGAATGTCAAGCTTCTTAGTCGTGTGACTAGCTGGGGTTAATTGGAGGGCTGGTCGGCATCCTTGCCCAGAGTGGGGCTCCAGCGAGCGGAAAGGCCGACCGAAGTCGACACTCCACCAGCGCGACTATCCGGTCCAGACAAGACCTCTGACGACTTTCCCCCGAGCTTCGACCATGGACGAGCTTAAGGACCAGCACAACTCCAACGCGCCAAATGGGTTTATGCAAGACACGCCACCAAGAGCTGATGTCGATGAGATCCTGAGACGGAAGCGGAAAGCGCGAGAGTACAAGGTACGCTGCTGACGTTGATGCGCTATATGTGAAGGCATGCAGAAGAGGAGGTGGTGAGTGTCGAGGAGCATTAGTATGGCATGCTGGAAGAAAAGCGACTTTGGATTGCCGAATTGGGCTACAGGACCCGGCGCATTCAACCATGGCACAGCTACTGCCCCACGAACATGCGCTGACGCTCTACTACTATACAGGCCTGCTACCCGTGTCGACAGCGCAAGGTCAAATGCGACCAGAACGTGCCGTGCAAGACATGCGTCGCCCGCGAACATCCCGAGCTGTGTACCTACCACCCGCCGAGCGAGTCGCATCCGCCTGCGAAACGAATTAACCTGGGACTCGGGCAGAATAATGGCCATGACTTCTCCAACGGCCTCGTTCATATACACGGCGGGACAGTTACGCTGCCTCGCGAGGTGCGCATATACATGACAGGGAGAGTGAACGTCTACTGACCGTGGCAGGACTGGGAACGCATTTGCGGCAAGCTGCAGCAAGCCGAAAAGTCGCTCAGTGACTTGAAGAACGCCGTCGGCAGCGTCGCGGAGATACCACCGCCTATGAACGGCTTTTCACCTGCTGACGGATCTGGAAACACGCCCCTGGCGGCAGCGGCGCCCATGGACGGCGAACAGAGCCACGTTCGAACCCAAGGAATACACACACGCAACGACATCACCGGCCAGACAATACACATCGGTCCCAGCTCAGTACCGGCACTCGTCATGGCATTAGGGAGGGGAGATACACAATGGGCGCCGGGTGTGCAAGATCTTTTAGGCAAGAAGAGCATGCTACCGATCTTTGGCCTGGACAACGAGAGCGCTACATATCCCTTTGTCGATCTTTGGGGTCTGCCGCACGGGTCCATAGCACGCGCCCAAGAGCTTGCGAACGCATTACCGAGCGACTCTGAATGTCTGAGTTTCTTCCGGAGCTATCGCGAAACGGCACACGCTGTATACCCCGCCGTTGCCGACATCGAGGCCATCGAATCCGATCTTCTGCTCTTCCTGATCAATCGTGCAAGCGCACAAGGCACCAACGGCATCACAGACCAACAGATATATGGCAAAGACTTTCATTGGATAGGCATGGTCTTTGCCATACTGGCTTCAGGCTGTCAATGCTCAAGTCTGTCGCGAAGGGAGAGAGAACTGACATCGCAGGTTTACGTCTGTTGCAGTTTCGAATGCTTACGCTTCACCAACTTCCTGTCGCACGCGACTATCGAGAATATACAAACACTCCTGATCCTCGGAAACGTCATCTCAAATAACATGAATGCCGGGGTTGCTTGGAGTCTAATGGGGTTAACCGTCCGCCTTTCCCAGACGCTAGGGCTACATCGACAATGTCCCCCGTCAACCCCAGTGCAGCAAAGGGTGGTTAGGAGCAAGACCTGGTGGGCACTTCTTTGGCAGGACTCGCTGCTGTCTGTCTCGTACGACAGAGCCTCGTCGACCACCACCATCGATCATACCGTACCCATGAGTCAGCACACAGCGCCGGGGACGAGGACATACGTCGAGAGCATGTACCGACTGTGTAAAGTGGGTCTGGATATAGTGCGTGAGCGTCAAAGGCCACAGAACTCGCATGACGCCCTGATACGCATCACCGAACATCGCAACGAACTCCAAGAAATCATGATTGATGCTGCAGACTACCTCAAGGACTCCAGGAGATGTCGGTCCATGCGCGATCAGCTCGAACATTGGGCATTATACCTGCACATATCGTACGTCACATCTGAGCTCTGCCGGCCAGCCATCAGTCCAGCCACTGTCAACCTCGATCTCTCCAAGACACTGCGCAAGACATGCATCGACAGCCTTACCAACACTGTCGAAGCGTTCCTCGGTCTACAAAACATGACACCGTTCGCGACCCGTTCCTGGTCCGCTGTGCATCGTTCCCTGAGCTCTGCCCTACTGCTTGGTATCCTTGGCGAGCATAACCGCAACGAACGAGCGCGCAGTCTATTACAGAATGTGATTCAAGTCCTCACAGACGTGACCAAGGACGTGGATCCTGCTGAGCTCGCCACGCCCATCACACGGTCCGTCTCGGCTTTGGAGCGGTTACTGAGGATAACCACGACGCAAAACCGCAAGCCGAGTGAATCAGGTTCACAGGCTTCACCTACTATGCACGTCTTCACTGCACAGGACATCAACAACGCCCTCAAGGGAGACGCTGAAAATATGTTCTCGCAATCACCACTTCTTGGATTGGATCTCGACTCCTCACCGTATGCGCTCATGGAGAGTATTGTGTGGGGTGCGCAGAAATCACCTTGAGGAGATAAGGTGGCATAGAGAGATGCTGAAAAGTAAAACAAAAGTCATGATACCCAGACGTGGGCAGCGATATGTAGCGTTGCCAAGTACAAAAACGGAAATGATGATCAGTCTTCGTCTTGTAGGGCATTCAGGCAATTTAGCTGCTCCAAAAGCCCGATGGCGCAAGATGACGGCGGAAAGTTGTCAGACCGACGATATCAGTGAATGATGAACGAGAGGCGCTTTGGGGGGATTTGTTTTGTATCGCGGGGAATATTTCGGCTTGTATTTCAGGGCCATACTCTTAATAGGCTCCGACTGAATGAGATTCTATTCGCGCTGAGGGGTGCTCTGATATTCGCATCTACATTACCTGCCATCGCAGTGAAAGCTTGCTCTCAGCCCTACCCATGACGTCGCTAAGCGAGGCTGCCGGCGTGTTTGCCTAGACCCTGGCGCCCATCATCATAACCTGTGCAAACAACCCTAGCCGTCACGTAGATGAACTTTGGCATGCGCCTTTCCTCTGAGCTTAAATGAAGGCTTAGCTCTTTGCTCGCCCCGCCACTCAGCAGTCGTCGCCATGTTCATGCTCCGAAACCGTAAGCCCACCTGCAGCTTTGTTTGCTCTGTTTCTCCTTCCTGTCCCGCCACTGCCCCTCCCCCACCGTTGCTGAGACGACACTAACCTGTACCACCAGTCAGTAAATTTGTCTTTGGCGACAGCTCCAAGGAAACCATCGTCGAGATCGCCCAGGGCCAGCTTTACCTCGTCCGACCCCGCTCTGTCAAGGGATACAGCGAGCTCATCTTCCCTGACGCTACTGCTACCATCCGCCGCACCGGGCAGGAGTTCCAGTACCAGCTTGTCATCCAACGCGCATACGCAGAAGGCGAGGAGGACTTGCTAGCAGAAGAGAACGAGGACGCGACACTCGACGCGCTTGCCGGCGACAAGGACGAAAAGACTTTTCTGCTCGACGAAGACCTCCAGTTCCGCGACGACGTACGCTCAACTGGCGAGAAGATCTTTGCGTGGCGCGACCTCAGCGGCGACGTAGACGACCTCTGGGAGTTTGTGTGCGACCGTTCAGTCAAGCCCGAGACTGCTTCCCTGTTCGAACGCGTTGCTCTGCAGTGCCAGTACGAGAGGAAGTTTAGGAGGAGCCACGAACACGCGACCGAAGACGACCTCGCAGCTCTAGCATACTACGAAGAGCCCATCCCTGACGCAAGTCCCGTCACCAGTCCGACCCTCTCCACCGCCCGCGCCCTTCCCGTCGAACCACCGACCACCGCGGAGCTCTTCCCAAACACAACCAAGGAGAAGATGGCGAAGAAGGTCGCAGGCAAAGGCACTGTCCCGGAGCAGGAGGATGCTACGGCCGCGCCGCCGTCTGCCGCTCAGCCCCAGGCTCTTGAGACCTTGGTTGAAGGAGAGGCGGAGCTTCACCTCTTTGACTTCCCATCCGGCACCTTCATGAAGCAAGACCCCAAGGTCAGTATTACGGTTACCGAGATCGGTGACTGGAACTACTGGCTACACATTGCTGGCGAAGAGCGCGAGTGGCTGGGGCAACCCATTGTCGAAGACATCAATCCTGTCTTCAACTACGAATACAAGTCCTTTATCTTCAACCACTACCTAGATGATGGCTCGGCATACTCATGGCTATTAAAGTTCAAGGATCAGGACGACCTCGAGAACATTCAGCAAGGTGTGATGCAAGCTCTCTGGGAGCACTTGAACAAGGTCAAGTGGGGCAAGGCAAAGGACACCGATCGAGAGTACGTTCTGGAGGCCTTTCAGGACTTGACCATGGAAGATGCGCCAGACGAAGAGCCCGAGGAGGAAGAAGAAGAAGAAGAAGAAGAGGAGGAGGAGGAATACGAGAGCACAAACGAGCAGCGAAGCGAACACTACGACTCTGACGAGTCAGAAGACGACGTTGAGACTGGTCCTACGGATGGAGACCAAAATTCGCAGTTGGCGGTTGGCTACAAGCACGACAGGTCGTTCGTTGTGCGCGGCAACAAGATTGGTGTTTTCAAGCACACCCCTGAGAACCAACTGCAGTTTTCTACAACCATCTCGAATATCAAGACACCAGGGGGCAAGGCTTTCAACCCGAACAAGGTCATGCTGCACCAGCAGGATCGCGACATGATCCTTCAGAATCTAGATAACCCAAACAACCTCTATCGGATGGATCTCGAGACTGGTACCGTTGTCGATGAGTGGAAGGTGCACGATGACATTCCAGTCAAAGTTTTTGCACCAGAGAACGTACGTATAATGTTTGTCTACACCTGGACACAAGCTAACACAAGGTAGAAATTCGCGCAAATGAGCGGCGAGCAGACCTTCCTGGGTCTCTCTGATAACGCGCTCTACCGCGTCGATCCTCGTTTGGCTGGCAACAAGCTCGTCGATGATCAGCTCAAGCAGTATGCGACAAAGAACGCGTTCTCCGCCGCCGCAACCACCGAGAAAGGTCACATTGCTGTTGCATCTGAGAAGGGAGATATCCGTTTGTTTGACAGACTTGGTATCAACGCTAAGACACTCATTCCTGCACTTGGTGACCCAATCATCGGCATGGACGTCTCAGCAGACGGTCGCTGGGTTCTCGCCACTACCCGAACCTACCTCCTCCTTATCGACGCTCTACAGAAGGGCGGCAAGAACGACGGTAAACTTGGTTTCGAGAAGTCGTTCGCCAAAGATGATAAACCCCAACCACGCCGTCTCGCACTTACACCTGCTCACGTCGCCCAGTTCCAGCACGAGACCAAAGCGCCCATCTCCTTCACCACCGCACGCTTCAACACAGGTCTCGACGATAAGGAAACCACCATCATTTCTGCCACTGGTCCTTTCATCGTTACTTGGAGCCTTAAGAAGGTTCTGGCTAAGCGCAAAGACCCGTACAACATCAAGCGCTACGCCGAGGAAGTCAAGGCCGATAACTTCAAGTTCGGCTCAGACAAAAACCTTATTGTTGCGCTGCCAAATGAGGTTGATATGGTGGCTAAAAGGGCCTTGCAGCGACCGACACGCGAGAGTATTGCGATGCCGAGTCGCGTTGGCGCTGCGAGAAGGAGCGGAGTACGCGGAAGCTATCTCGGCCGGAACGACATCGTTAACAGCCCATACTAGACCATGGCTTTGTAATGCCTAGGCTTTTTCCTAAACTCATGGGTACGGGTCTGGTGTTGATCACGATCATCATCATGGTAGGTGGCGTCGGCGTTGTGCAATCTTTTCCTTCGAGCTACGGACGGTGTACCATCACGACGAAATGCGAGTAGCTAGTAGCCATATGATTCCCCTTTTAGATCTATAGTGGAAATGAACGTCCTTATTGAACTTTCACTGCTGTCGATATGCTCAGACACTTTACTATTTTGGATGTGTAAAGTTGGCACATGCCATATGTTGACTTTCTCAAACGAATTCCGTTCTTGGGTTTGAATTGACAGTTGGCGAGTTCTACAATGTCCGCGGCGAATTTGACAAGCTTTTGCGCGAAAACAACATGTGCTTGAAAAATCTACATACAGACGCGGATACTAAGTTTGATGCTTGTGACATTTGGAAGCAACTCAACTCAAACTTCCTGCTCTCTAAGAGTAACTGTCCTGAGGACTGTCATGACAAGTGGCGCTTCGACATGCTGTGGAAGTTTATCTCGGCCACATCTCAGTGGATCAACAAGCATATCACGGCACTTGATCAACGCCACACTCCCGACAAGGGTTGAACATGGGGTCCAGATCGAGTCACACCGAAAAACGCGTACGTATCCATGTACGAAATGTTGTGAGACATGTGCTAACTTTACGTACGTTTAGGTTGAACCTCATCCAGTTCCAACACATGCGTATCAAGGTGGTTAGGGGCAAAGACGAGGGCTACGTCGTCAGCGTCTACACGCTTATAAACAACAATAAGGAAGCCAGACCATACTCATCTCGCGGTCTCGACACGGACGATCTTAGACTCAACTACCTAGTCAACGTGTTGAAGAAGAACGAAGACGGCCTTGAATTTAGATATGGGTATCAACCGTGGTGGTACATAGATGATGAGGAGGAGGCAGCCATTGACACGGACGAGGATCTCGTTATCGCACACAGCTCTCTCCGAGAAAGGGTCAAAGCAGGTGAAGACATGGATGAGCTGACCGCGGTGGGATCACCAGCATTGTAAGACTCTGAGGTCTATAGGAAAGGGACAGTCACTGTAGGTGGAGGTGAAGACTTGGGTAGGGTAAGGATGGCGGCATCTTGAGAACTAGTAGTATAGAATATATGTTCCCTCTTTGCCTTGAAGTACTATCTTCCTATTTATCCTCTTCTGCATTCTCTCTTCCATCTTCCATCCTCCAGTCCATGCTTCCCTCCGCCCCGTCCTCAATTTCATACTACAGACAATGTCCCCTGCTCGCCCGAACCTGTGTTCCTAACCCTAAACCTCTTCCTCTTCCATTCCGCATAGTACAGACTCAATTTGTTCCTCTGAGCTTTTGATTTGGGAGCACCATTCTGCGACTCGCTCTTCTCGATAATAGCCCATATGTCGGAACCATACGGTGTCGAGGCGAATGGATCGTATACTAACTCGTAATTGCACAACAAGAGTGTCTGTCTTATGTACTTTTAGTGCAGTCTCTGAGACGCCCGACCCATCACGATTACAACCTCCACGCTCGATGCCTGCACTCCCACCCAGACATGATCCGTCCAGTAGTCGCAAAGTTGATCCGGCACACTTCTCACTGGATTAGTCTTGTCCGAATCAGACTCGTTCACCGCAGTCGCAATCTCCTTGCGGTCCATGCGAATTGGGACCCAATCGACCAGAGCCATAGATGGACGATCGTGGTTAGCTCGGATGCACCCAATTTTGGTTAACAACGCACCAATACTGGCATAAGATGCATCGTCAATAGTCCCAAATCGGTGAACAGTTGATCTGGGATCGGCGGTGGGGAATGATCCTAATACAAGCAACGGAGACCTAAGCGTGCCAGATGTCTTGAGTTGCGACTCCCTCTTGGTCCGAAGCCACTTGGGCGGCGTAGGGGTTACAGGCTCTTTTTTGATGCCTCTGTCCCACCATTCGTCAGTTTCGGCGTTGATAAATGCCCAGTCAGCTGGGAACTCTTCGTGAACCGGAACAACATGCGGGACGTATGCTTCCGATATAGTTTACATAACGGCTTGAAGTTCAGGCCGACTTTGGCGATAGACCAGCGGCTATATATTCGATATCCTGGGCGCATCTGGGCCGAGTAGGAGGCTATCCGACAGCGGAACGGATTGTTCATGCTGACCCAGGCATAGGATGTCGGTGAGGAATTGGAAATTGTTGTTTGCCCCGGCAACAGGGGGTGGCAAGAATTCGCGTCCATTGCCTTACAATAACCTAGGTAGGCACCTTCCAATAAGCCTATTCTTTATAAATTATAAAATGTACTTCAAGTAGAGGTATACATATTCTTCTATCTTCTCAACTTACAAAAAGAAGACATAGTAAAGTCTCTTGGAGTCGATTTTACTCTAGGTCTGATGCGACACGAACTCTTGCTATCCCTGGTGTTGGCATGTGAAAGATGACGCGCATCTTCACTGCGGGTGCATTTTTTGGTTAGCTGGTGAGTCGTCGAGATGTAATAGACAGACAGAATCCTCTGGGGCGGTGATCATGTGGGTTTCGTAAAAGATCTCTGTCATGGAGGTACACAGCAGGTGGACTTAATGATATGATAGTTGAAGCCGTAGTTTGTCCTGTTGTCTTTGCTTTTTCAGCGGTCTTCCAACTAGAAGTTGCCCAAGCGTGGTCATGAATCATTTACTGGGCCGCATAGTGACATGGCACTACATTCATCTCGCCACAAAATTCAACGCCAATGACGAGCGCAAGGGCCCATGCAGCAGTCTGAGCTAGAGGCGGTGACTCTACTTCGTCGAGAATATTGTACATGGACCTCGGCCACACTCCGGTGTGCGGGCCCAGTTCCGTCCAAAACTACCTCAACCCCAATGTCGATCTCCCCACCCAAACCCCACCTCATCACATCTTATTCCTGAAACAGTTACTAAACACGCCTATCACGAAGCTGTGTGGCGTAGTCGTACCGATCTCGGCAGTGTGTTAAGCCTTCCAGCAAGAGTCTTGGGAGTGCTTATACTTCCGCTCCCCTGCTGACGTCTCGTTCGTGCTGGTTTTGCTTTATTCTACGAGATCTCGAGATTGCGCACGGGTGAAGATGCGTTTATTTACCTCAAAGGAGCCCCAAACCGCGGACGAGAACGGGGAGAAGAAGATCGAATCAACCAAACAAGAGAATGAAGATGTTGAAGCCATACCACCTGCGCGGGTGGCAGATGAAATCGATCCGGTGATCGAGAAGCATGTGCGACGGAAGTTGGACATGCATATTGTTCCATTACTTTCGGCACTATATCTTCTGGCTTTCTTGGACAGATCGAACATTGGGTATGTAGAACCAAACTTGATACTGGAATATACGGCTAACATAGACTTTTAGCAATGCGCGAATCGCAGGCATGGAAGAAGACCTCGAACTCAGTAGTTCGCAGTACCAGTGGCTTCTCACCATCTTCTATATCTCATACATCATCTTCGGATTCCTCGCAATCATGTGGAAAGTTGTACCTCCGCATCGTTGGGCAGCGGGCTGCGTTTTCGTCTGGGGACTTGTTTCGACCGTACAAGCTGCGACAACTTCATGGGGAGGAATGATGGCACTTCGCTTTATTATGGGTGCTGCAGAAATCGCGTACGGTCCGGGGATTCCGTTTCTGCTCTCTTTCTTCTACTTGAGGCATGAGCTTGGGCTTAGGTGTGGCCTATTTCTCTCAGCTGCCCCTCTTGCGAACACCTTCGCAGGCGCGTTGGCGTATGGTATTACGAGCGGTAACCCCGGAATGGCAAAATGGCGCCTTTTGTTCCTGGTAGAGGGATTACCAACGATCGTTATGGCTGCGGTTGCGTGGTTCTTTCTGCCAGATAGTCCAGAGAAAGCCAAGTTCTTAAACGAAGAAGAGAAAGCGGTTGCGAGAGCTCGTGGTGTGGCACAGGCTGGCGCTGCGACAAGAATCGGAGGCGTCAACTGGAAAGAGATCCTGGAGGGGCTGATGGATGTGAAAGGCTGGATACTCGGTGTAAGTCTATCGAATCGAAATGGTTGTGCTTGACTGATATCGCGTGACAGCTCATGTACTTCTCTGGAAACGTAGCATTCTCGTCCCTACCGGTCTTCCTTCCCACGATCCTCAACGAGATGGGATTTTCGAGTGTCAACGCGCAAGGCTTAACGGCACCGCCCTTTTTCCTTTCCTTCCTCACTGTAATCGCCACGTGCTATATCGCAGACCGGACGCAACAGCGCGGAATTATGATTGCTATCCTGACGGCAATCGGAGGAATTGGTTACGTTATCCTAGCTACCACGAAGAGCGTAGCAGCAAGATACTTCGGAGTCTTCCTGGCTGCTGCCGGTATCTTCCCAGCTATCGGCAATGTCCTTCCCTGGGTCACGAACAATCAGGGCAGTGATACGAGAAGAGGCACGGGAATAGTCATCTTGAACTTGATTGGGCAATGTGGACCTCTCTTAGGAACTCGATTGTATCCAACATCGGAGGGTCCTTTGTACGTGAAGGGCCAGTCTGTATGTGCCGGTTTCATGTTTCTGTTCTGCCTGTTATCTTTGTTGTTGAGGACCATTCTCGCTTGGGAAAACAAGAAGCTGGATCGGAAGTATGGAAGCTTGGCGCAACAAAGAGTAGCACTTCAGGAGGCGGCAGCGCGTGGTGAAGCCAAGCGGGAAACAGGCCTCGAGAACTATGGCCCGATGTATCGTTTCGTGCTGTAAAGCTACCAATGACGAAACAACCCGTTATCTCACTGCTGCGCCACTTGATATATGCGGTGAGGTGGGGTATGCGGAGGCCAGAAATGCATACAAATGCTTATCCCGCATTTGATGCTGGATCGAGAGATGTCTCTTGCTTCTTTCAATCTATTGATGCCTAGTGGCGCACGGAATTACCATTAGAGGACGGAGTAGTGCAAACAAGCGTAATGGCGTCGAATCAAAACGCTAGGGCGAAGGAATGGTGCATGCAGGATTGGCGCGACCGAACAGGCAATTGAGCACGCGACCGCGGTTACCCAGAGCAGTCCATCAACATGTGCCGAAAGATCATCGTGATTGGAGTATAGACGAAAGCGCAAGACGATAGAGTCGGTGAAAGGCTTGGGGTTTATCGGCATCAGTGCGATCCACCTAATGGTTCACACATGCGAACTGCAAAGTTGGAGAAGCTAGACTAGGCCTAGACCCACTTTCCGGGCACGGACATGCAACAACGTCACTGGCAGATTCAAGATGAATATCGCAGCAATTCCACATTCTGCACTTCTGACGCGCTTTCCACCCAACTACCTCCGTTTCTACATCCCAGTGGCTTATCACTGCTGCACCTCCTTGTCATACAGCATCAGGGTTTCCATTGCTATCTTGATACGCGCTTGACCTGCTATGGCATCGAATCAGTCTGGCCCTGCTGGGTCTGGCGCCGGTCCTTCGTACGCGGCAGCAGCAGCATCAGACAATCCCTCGCGCCCAGGGCTAGAAGCTGCATCTTCTTCTGCACCACCAAAGAAGAAGAAGACGCATCGTGGCGGCAAGAAGAGGCGCAATCGTCGCCAGTCGTTCGCCGCAGGAGCCGATCTGGCACCAGGCGACTCGATGGACGAACGTCCAAGCTTGGCCAATGTCGCGTCCCATGGCCAGTCGCGAGGAAGCAGCGGCTTCTACCGCACACAAAGCAACCTCAGCAACACGAGCCTCGAAAGTGAGGCTCTGCTGGACCATCGCGAACAGCCTACAATTCGAACGCGCCGTCCGAGCGTACCTGTAACGTCCATGTATCAGCCGAGGGCAAGTCAGTCCAACGTTAACCCACCCCAACGCCTTCAAGTATCCAATTCCCAGGGCCGATCGCGGCTGTCGCATACTCCTGAGGAGGTTCGATATAGCGATGGCGACGATGATGCTGATGATAGAACGCCCCTGATGGCTTCTTCTCAGCGCGACATCAGGACAGGCACCAGCTATGGCTCCAACGGCAAACCTCGACGAGGAAGCAAGACGTCCATAAAGAGTCCCAAGCATATGCCTATGCCTGACCACAGGCCCGATCTGTTCACTCAACATCACCATTCCTCAACCAACCTTGACGAGTACGATGTCAACAACCCCCCATCAGTCCCTACCAGTCCCACCTTCGAAGCCAGTGGTGGCCTAGATGATGTCATGCTCCCGACAGATCTAGACCACATGTCCGATCCTGAAAGGCCTAGCAGTTCGTCTCGAGATGCGCTCATCGATATCGATGAGGACGGTAACTCGGGGTCTCCTCCTGCACCCGGCGACTTCAGACGCCGTATGACGACTAGTGGGCTCGAAGATGTCTGCTTCCCACACGAGGCTATGTCTGAGATGGGACACGAGGATTACATGAACGCTCCTACGACCGGTGAGCCTACGAGTCGCCGAAGACGCCGCCGCTGGCCCAATCTCGACGTTTTACAAGCTTGGGCGCATGAGGAGAAGGAGCAACGGACCATCGAAGGTATGCGTATGCGAAAAGTTAGTGAACCTCTTATGGTCGAAGGGCGTCTCCGACCAAGACGGCGCGTCTGGCATCGCGAGGACAGCGACGCTCCTTATCGCTTTACCTACTTTAACGAGACTTTCGACAACACTATCCACAGTCAGAGTATCAGCGAGCTTTTGCAACCTGGGCAGAGCTTCAGGAACCTCTTCGTCCCTGATCCACCAATCTTGGATGACGACAGCGATTCTTCAGACACGGAGGACGATATGCTGCACGCAGGTCCCAATGGCTACACTTCTCGGGCAACAACGCGGTCGACCTCGAAAGGAGAGGGCAAATACTCCTCTGGTGAGCAAACACGCTCGACTACACCACGACCCGCGGACACACCCAAGAACGATCGGCCTGAGGATGAGAAGCCGAAGCGTTATGGCCCGCGGCCTGCCTGGTGGTTGGATGTCATGTCCCCTACCGAGACTGAGATGAAGGTCATTTCTAAGACGTTTGGCATCCATCCGTTGACATCGGAAGATATCCTCATGCAGGAGCAACGCGAAAAGGTCGAGCTGTTCAAGCACTACTACTTCATCAACTACCGTACCTTTGAGCAAGACGAGAACAGCGAAGACTATCTGGAACCCGTCAACCTGTATGTTGTTGTGTTCAGAGAAGGTGTGATAAGCTTCCACTTCTCTATGACACCGCATCCTGCCAACGTCCGACGCCGTATTCGTCAACTCTCAGACTACCTTGTTCTATCACCTGACTGGATCTCGTATGCCATTATCGACGATGTCACCGATGCGTATGCGCCCATGATCCAGAAGATCGAAGAAGAGGTTGACGATATTGACGAAGCTATATTGCGACTTCATTCAAGCGAAGAGGAACAGGAAGCAGAGAAGGAGAAGTCATACAGCTACAACAACCCGCACTACGAGGAGCCTCCCGAGGTGAAATCACAGCAGGAAAGCGGCCGAGACATGTTGAGACGCGTTGGTGAATGCAGAAAGAAGGTTATGAGCCTCTACCGCTTGTTGGGTAACAAGGCCGATGTCATCAAGGGTTTCGCAAAGCGTTGCAACGAGCAATGGGACATCGCACCTCGTAACGAGATTGGCATGTATCTTGGAGATATCCAAGATCACATTGTCACCATGACTGGCAACCTGGGTCACTACGAGAAGTGAGTTGTACTTGAAAGTTGTAGATTCACAAACTAACCAGCACCTTAGTCTCCTCTCCCGTGCTCATAGCAATTATCTTGCCCAGATCAACATCAGGATGAACGAACGTCAAGAGAAGACGTCTGACATTCTGGGCAAGCTTACTGTGCTCGGAACGATTGTCCTACCAATGAACGTTGTGACGGGTATCTGGGGTATGAACTGGTGAGTCAAGACGTCCAACCTTGGTAAAATCACATGCTAATCAAGCTCAGTCTCGTTCCCGGCCAGGACATCGAGAATCTCAATTGGTTCTGGGCCATTACTGGAGGTCTTATCACTTTCGGCCTCCTCTGTTACTTCATCGCGAAGAGGGTGTACGGTATCGTTTGATCACGTAAGAGAAAGGCGTAGACTGCTATTTGGGTTGGAAGAACACATTGTACCGCGCGGCATTGGGGATGGTTGGTCTTCGCTCACATGAGCTGTTCTTGGGTTAATTTGGATCACGACAGTTTACACGTCTGCTCTTGAACTACTACGTATAGATTCGAGAATTGTTGCTCGATTAGTCAATTTATTCAACTTCAATCGTCAATGCCCCTTTGGTAGCGAGGTTTTGTGTTTGGAATCTACTCAGAGTGATGCCGATGTTGTGTACTCATTTGGCCCCCACCCCACCCCTCTTTTACACGCGCACCCCGGGAAGCCATGTGGAGTAGGTAGTATCCACCTGGATAGACTGCCGGCAACTCTGTGCCTCCGGTGAAACATCAGTCACATAAGCTGCCGCGCCGTTCAGGGAAGCTGAGACATGCCCAATAGCAATCATGTGGCTGGTTTCAGTGTGCTAACAGGTGTGTCGATGTGGTCACTTCGGAAGGGCATGGTGAGCAGTTTCACCGGACTAAAAGGGAGTGTTTGACGGCGCGGTTGTAGGAATGTATGCTTGTTCTCGGGTGGTGGTGAGAGTATGTACTGGGTTCTTCAGGCTGTATTTAGGTGTCTGCATGGAACAGCCTGTTTGATGTGCTCCCGATCTTTACAGTACTCTGATACATGTCACCATCGATCGAAGCACGTCGGGTACAAACACGGCTCTTTGTACGAGGTTCTGGGTTGTTGTTCGCAGACCGTGAAGTAGTCAGTAGGTTGGGTAGGCGTCTTTTCGGTCACCACCCAGAGGTTTCGGCAGTCAGGGAAAAATTCCTCAAGAGCCTCAATGATGCGTTTTCCTGTAGATCGCGTCAAGAACAAGCTCTTGCGGAGCGTTATACATGAGTTTTGCAGGGTCATCCTGGATGTATTGGGTCGCTTCACTTTTGGGCGTCACAAGCGGTGCTGCAGGAAAGTTCTTGCTCTTGCAGCTAGGTTTTCAGGTTGGGCCCAAGTCGTGTCTGATCACAGTTTTGGTTAGGATGGAGTGGCAGGCAGCAGAGTGTTGGTACCGCACGCGCAGTCAGCAGCATGAGTCGTTGTCAGCCGGCCTTGGGTACATGGGCAGTGTGAGCACCGTCCACATGCTCGAGCGCTCACCGTATGCGGGGCTATGCGCAAAAGTGATGGCGCAATGTCCGGTGAGTTCTCTGTTCCCACAAAAAGAAACTTCTAGCGAATGTGACAGCTTGCAGGCAGTGGTTCGCATGATGTGCGATGCGCGCGCTCCCGTCGTGGCTCGATGGTAGGGCTGCAACGGCGCGGTGAGCCCATCTTGTATGCGAAGAGGGTGAGGCAGACAGCCTTGAGCTTGACGTGCACCGCCTGACTGTGCAAGTATTTAGTCACGGAAAAGTGGTTTTTACACACATGGTTCAGCGTGCAATCGGTTGAGGTGGTGCGCAGTGGCCTTGACGTCATATGCTCTCAGGGTACTTCCAGCTCTGGGCAGGCCAGAATCAAGTCTTCTGACGGGTTCCGCTATTCTCGACACTTGACGTCGTCGTCCCTACTCCAGTTCACCTCTTATTACCCCACCTCTGTTTGCTATCGCAGTACTACCAGCATCGCGCATCCCCAACGATAGTGAGTGTGTTGATCACCACGCTCGCCAATCACCCGACTTGCGATCGACGCCTGCGAGTACCCGCCCTCGCTCAGCCGTACGCAGTCACCCAAAGCAACAACTCATAGCGACTGGCTCAGTAGGCGAGCAACAGACTTCAAAGTCTACTAACATTCCTATCCTCTATATCTGCACTGCACTGCGCCCACTTCCGAGCACACTGTACATTACCCCACCATTTGACTTTCCCCAAACCCACGTCGCAGCATGTCGGTCATCTACAAGAGGAGCGAACGCGACCGCGAGTGGGACACCACGTCGGCGCGCGGAAGCGGCGCTGGCTATACCACCGTGAGGCGCTACAAGGTGCCCGACCACAGCCTCGAGGAAGACACGTACGAATCCGAAATGCGCCTCGTCCATCGTGGGCGCGACGACTTCGACGATCGCCGCTCCGTGAAGGACTATGTCATTGAGCGCCATCAAGAGCCTGCTCGAGAAGTGAGACACTACCACTACGCCGAACGTGAGCGCGAAGTCTCCCCCCAGCGTTCTGAGTATCGCATTCAGCGCGAATATGAGCGTTCCCCATCCCCGGCGCGAACCGAGATCCGCATCTCCCGAGACTACGAGCGCGACCGGGACATCTTCCCACGAGAACAACAGCCCTACGAACTGGAGAAGTACTCGAGGTCTACTGAGTATTTCCGCCCTGAGCCGATCCCCCAACCACCACCCCAGCCCATCTACATCCGCAATGAAGCCCCTCAGCCCATGCAGATGCAGATGCAACCTATCATTATCCGGGAGGAGGCCCCACAACCCATCATCATCCGCGAGCGCGTGCAAGAGCCAGCCTACGAGCTTGTTGAGCGGACTACTGAAGAAGATAGACAGGTTGCCCGTCCGCGCCACGAGGAAGACTATTACTACGAACGCAGAGTCAAGGAAATCGACCGAGGCGGCCGTTACGACGAGCGATACGCCGACGAGCGCGAATATGATCACCGATGGGGAGATAAGAACTACTATAGCGACGACGATGTATACATCCACAAGGAGAAAGACACGTGGGGCGGAAGTGAGACCCGAACTAAACGTGACGTTGCTGCAGGTGCTCTTGCTGGAGTTGCTGCTGGACAGATCATCAGACATCATCGTAAGAGAAAGGGTGAAGCCGCTGGAGGCAATATCGGGAATGCCCTTGGCTACGGGACGCTAGGTGCTGTGAGTGCTGTGGCTCTCGATAGATTTAACAACCGTGACAGATCTCGTTCTGTTTCTTCGGATCGGGGCAGGGGCAGCCGACGTGGCAAGTCTCGTCACCGCAGCAAGTCGAGAGTGAAGGAGCTGGGTACGCTTGCCGCTCTCGCTGGCGTTGGAGCCCTTGCCTACGCTGCTGGACAAAGGAACAAGAACAAGGTGGTCAAAGAGGAGACGGTCACGGTCATAGAAGATCGCCACCGAAGCAGGTCACGTCATGGAGGCCGATCGCGCTCTAGGAAGAGCCGGAGAAGATCCAGGTCCGTCTCAGCTGCTGGGTCTGACAGGGGTAGGTCTCGTAGCACGAGCAAACACCTAGATCCTGAGCATCGCAACAACAGAGCAGCGCAAGTTGGTCTTGCCACTGCTGCTATAGCCGGTCTTGCTGCACGTAGCCGCAGCAAATCTCGAAAGCGCAAGGGCAAACGCTCGCCCAGCCGGATTCGACAGGGTGTGCCAATTGCTGCCGCTGGTGTTGCCGGCGCAGCTGTCACTGGACTATATGAGAAACGCAAGGCTAAGAAGGAGGCTAGGGCGGCATCGCGGTCCAAATCAAGATCGCGCTCAAGGTCGAGGTCAGTGCTCTCCCGCCTTACTGGGCGCAGCCGTAGCAGGCGTGGAAGTACAGTGAGTGAACCTGTTTTAGTAGAGTACGGTGGTGATCCGGTGTACACCGATCGCCCGGCCAGAAGTCGAAGTCGAAGTCGAAGTCGAAGTCGAAGCCGTGACCGAAGCCGTGCGCACCGTAGCAGACGGCGACGAAGCTCTTCTTCCTCCGGTGGTCGAAGTCGAAGTCGAAGCAAGAGTCGAGCACGATCGGTCGCGGAGACGGCAGCAGTCGCTGGTGTCGCTGGTTTGGCCGCACATGAAGCAGCGAAGCGGCGCGACCGTAAGAAGGCCGAGAAGGAAGCTGAACGACGACGTGAGTCCACCCCCCGCCCACACCGCAATTAGCATACTCAACATCACCAGGCGAGGAGGATTCGGCCTACTCCACCAGCACCTACAGCCCTTATGACAGTCCCACACCATCCACCGCCCATCCTAATGACTCTCGTTTCTTCCCTGAAACAAACTACTTCCCTCCTCCTCCTAGTGCTCCAGTAGATCACAACCCCAACAATCCTTACCCTCCGTATAATCCAGCGGACTACCCTCCCCCTCCGAGCGCATACGAGCCGAACCATCCCTCACAGTTCGTCAACCCGCCGCATGAAGACTTGCATCTCGGCAACCCGTATGCACCCCAGCACCAACAACAACATGAACCTTACTACGGCCAGCCACGCCGTGGGGGTGACAATGTGAGTGCTTCAGTCCCTGATCATGGCGGTAAAGAGCACTATAACTTCGCTTCCGCGCGAGGTGGGTCGAGGTCGCTGACTGCCCATGAATCGAACAGCCTTGCTGACATTAGAACAGGTCCCGTAGACGAGTCGCGTAGCCCCAGTCCAACTCCGACAGAGGAGAAAAGCGTCAAATTCGACCTGAATCCACAAGAGGAACCTTCACGAGCGCCTTCACGAGAGCCTTCGCCTGATTCGGAAAGGGAGCATAGACACCGAGACGACCACAGTCATAAACGACACAGGCAGCGTAAAGACGACGATCGATCAGATATTACGCGAGAGTCTGGTAGAGCACGTAAGAGGCGTCATAGGTCTGAGAGTCCTGGGTCGGACGCGTCTGATGCTACCATTGAACTGCCACCACGTTTTGACGACCATGGGCGACAACAGCCTGAGGACCCGCTGGCGAAGCAGCTGGAGAGTGTTTTGCAAAGCATATTCCGATAGCGTCTTTTGCTTCTGTAATTCTCTTCCTGTTATGACGCTTTCTTTCCTACGTTTTTGCTTATGAAGACTGTGTTGCATATTCCTTGATTCATATCTTTACTATATCTAGGAATCTTGTAATTGGCGTTCTGAGATGGTTTTGGTCATGACAATGAGGTTACGATATCACGGCATTGAGTTGCATTTTTATTTTCATCCCTAATACTATTTCCTTGGTACATATACTCTGAATGTTATCTTTTTTCGCTTGCAAGACAGCTCGACTCTTGGTGAAGACTGTAAGAGATCTCAGAACATACCCCACGGATGACCGTGTTAGACTTGATTGGCTGCAGTTTCGCTACAGCCTTAACAATGGATCGTGACTGCCTATCTTGGAAGATTGCCAGAGCGTCGGTGAAGTAGCTGTGCTGCCACGCCCTCTTTGCTGTTGTCACCGCTGCTTCTCGTTCTTTGCCGCGTCGTTGACGCTTTTGGCAACGACAGCACTATCTGCCACTACTGAATCGCCATTTCCGTGCACCGGGTAAGTTGCAAAGCGAAGGAGTTGTGAGATGAGAAAGCTGATACGCACAGTGGCTCGATCTACTTCACCGCTCATACCATCGATAGCCTCCTCTTCCAGAACCCAGATCTCTACCACGACCTCTACGTTTATAAATGCGTTACCACGGTCGTTTTCACTGCAGATAGCGGCGGTGAAGCAGCCAACAACACCCGCGTGCTAGAGCTTGAGCGCGGTCTCGAAGATGCGTACAAGTTTATGTCTGATGTGTCATCCGTTGGCGCAGATGACACCCGATTTGTGTCCAATCTAAAAGAGGCAGCACCACGTAAGGCGCTGCGGGAGGTCCTCATCCTGCACAACGAAACTAACCAATACACTGCAGTTGCCAACGATACGACGGTTAAGGTCGGCGAGCATACCATCTCAGCATCCTCACTACTCGGACTCTCGAACGTACAGATCCTCTACCTTCGTCTTCCCCAGAGTGAATACTTCGGGAGAGGTTACAAGGCGTACTCTGAAGAGTCACTGGAGAGACTGTATAGTGCAGACATCCTGCACATCACCACTACTGACAGAAAGGCCACCTATACGGTTGAGGATCTAAAGGACATCATCGCAACGATCCTTCGCGATAGGCGAGCAAATGACATCCGTGTGCTGAACTACTTTGAGATTCTCACCGCCGACGAGAAGGGTGATCAGCTCGACCATGCTGACCGTATCGTCTCCGCAAAGCTTGTAATGGACGTCATGAAGGAAGAGGGCATCAAGGGAGATATCAAGGTGTAAGTCCCTGCTCATGGATTACGGAAGACAAGTTAACAGCGCTAGGTACGCAAGTGACTCATTGCGCATGTTGCAAAACAACCTCAACACACCGGACTACATCAAGAAGGTCGATGCGTTCTTCGAATACGCCAAGTACGATCCTGATATGGTACGTTCATAACCTATGCTGTCACCTTGAAACTGTATTTACATATAGTTGCTATTACTAACACATGGTGTAGTGTCAGAGTCTCGATGATTGTGGTCAGAGGCGCCAGAAGTTGGATATCTCCAAGACTAAGTATGCCGAGGTAGACCATGTCAGCGAGTTTCTGAAGCGGGAATACTATGCCGAAAGGCCTTCTCTTTGAGATTCATTCCAGACGAAGACATGTACTGGGGAAGGATATATCCAAGACTAATAATGAATTTCTATTCATGATGGAAAGGACGTTGCAACCGGCTTGATGTGCTGCACTATATACCATGAATGGAATGAAATCATGTACCCATTGCTCGCTCAACGCCTTGAATGCAAATGTTCTCCTCTCCTCTACTCGTCTTCCTTCTTCCAGCCCGACTTACGTTTAGTGTCGAATTCCACTGGACTCAACCTACGTGCTTGAACACCGGACGGAGACTGAGGCGGCGTGACAGACTTTGTACCCGTCTCGCCTTCATCCTCGGGTTCCCAAGCCCTCTGCTTCGCCAAAAGCGCCTCCAGCTTCGGATCTACACCCATGCGCTGCGGCACTGGTGGAGGCACCTTCCTTGGCCCACTCGTCCTCCTCAACCCCGCCCTCGAATCCATAGCTGCAGGTACAACAGGCGGGACCTGACCCTTGAGTTCACGCACGATGGGCATGTCTGACGGTGCAATTGCACCACCCAGACGCACAAATGGGGCTGGGCTTGTGGGTGACATGGGTATGCCTGAGGTTGTAGGTGTGTCGGGAATGTCTTGGGATTCGTGGATAGGCACGTTGCGGCCGCCTAGTCGGAAACGACCAATCTTTTGGTCGCCGACGGCGGGGAGAGAATAGTTTACTTCTTTTGGTGCCGGGGCGGGCTTGGGCGCTGGAGGGGGGCGGGGAGCAGATTTTGTGACGGTGGGTTTAGGCGCCGGAGCAGGAGGAGGTGGTGGCATGCTCATTTTAGGTGGAGTGGCGGGTGGTGAGGGCGGCGCGGCGGTTCTAGTTGGGATGTCGTTTACTGTTCTGGTAGTTGTTCTTGTTGTGCGTTCGGTCCAGTGTTCTGTAACGCCGTCTCCCATGTCTCTGTGTCCTGATCGGATCTGTGGGGAAGTGAGGTTAGCAAAAGCTGTCAACAATGTACCATGTCTAAACCTACTGGGTCTTCTTGGTAGCTCCGCTCCATATGCGCCAATCTTGCGGACTCCCTCAAAGCTCGCTGCATTTCTTCCTCTTCCTCCTTCTTCTTCCGTGCTGCTTCGTCCAGGGACTTTTGTATCATGATCTCCATATCCTGATCCAGTCGTTCTTGCAGTTGTCTCTCGTATTCTGCTTTACTCTGCCTTTCAACTTCCCTCGTGCGTGCCTCTTCTGCTGCCATCTTCTTCTCATGTTCTCTCCTGCTTCTCTCCCTGGCTCGTTCCTCGGCTTCCTTCTCAGCCCGTCGCCTTTCCTCTGCTGCCTTCTTCTTTTCGTGTTCTCTACGGCTTCTCTCCCGGGTCTGTTCCTCGGCTTCTTTCTCGGCCCGCCATTTTTCATCTGCTATCCTGCGGTTCTTCTCAATAAGTTCCCTCTCTCCACGGCGTAGTGCTTCTTCATTTTCTGCAGCTTCCCTGCGCTTGAATTCTCGCTCCCTTTCCTCATCACGGCGCATGGCGGCTTCTTCGTTTTCGCGGAGACATCTGTTGCAGATTCCGTTCTCGTCCCATGTTTTTATCGTGCAACGGTCTTTTGTTTTAGGGTTGTCACGGTCACAGGCGACACTAGTTCTTTCGAAGTAAGGGCAGTTGTACGTGTCGACATGGTCGTTTTGTTTGTGGCCGCATTCGAGTATTGTGATTGTGTACTTGCACATCTTGGGGGAAGATGTGGATGAGCTGAGAGACGAACACGGAGGTAGGTCGGCACTATACGATGGGGTATGGGGGGAGGTTATGGAGAGAGAAAATTAAGAAATGCTATGTAAGGAGTCATGAATACTTATACGGAAACGATATTGACCGCCCCGGTGTACTAGTGAAGGCCTGCATAGGTGATGGCCTCGTACACGTAGCTGCACCATATGACTCTGAAACAAGGCTGGAAGAAGCGGATGTTGTTCTAAGCCTGTGAAGGAACCGAATTGACAGTGCAAACATCAGTACAACTCATCAAACAGCGGTCGCGCCCGCGTCCGCGCAGAGCGCCGTCAATGAGGCGAATAGCGGCCGATTGGCCAGATACACTGGCTGCAGCGTCTTTCCACCTACGACGGCACAGAGAGACAAATCCTGTGCGTTCCTCAGTCCACCAGCTGTTACTCCCCAAAGCTGCAAGGTCGCGAGGTGCTCCCAGCTCATGTGTTAGCCGACCCACAGTATCATCAGACGTGGTTGACCGCCGTAGGCGCATTCCATCAGCATCGATGCGGCTCTGTACCGAGCCATTTTCGCTCAGAGGCTAACATGGGACGTTGCCAACGAAGGAACCCGTAGGCTGGAATGCCGCCTATTACAGAGAAAAATGAAGCTTCCATAGTGCGCAGAGCCGACAAAACGCACGACGACGGTGTCGGTGGGGATAGCTACGTGGCGGCCTCAGCTACACTGGGCATGGTTGGATGCAGCAAAGGCGGTAATGTGTTTCAAGCAACGAGCTCCCCGATCCATGTAGGCTTGGGAGAGGGGCGATCAGGTAATGCTATCGATCATCTACAGCATGAAGCGATGTTTGAGATGACCTGAACCATGCGGAGAAAGAGTGAAGAAGCGTAGGAGGTAGGACAGGGTGGGGATGTTGAGACCAGCCAATCAGGGGCGACTGATTGCAATGACCCCTGCACATTGACTTGGCATTTCGGATGAGCTTCATCGTTGACATCTTCAATCGACGCCATCGCCTCCAGCCCGCAGCACAACCCACCATGGCCTCAAGACTCGTCCCCTTTGCATGCAGGATTGCCCCACGGGCCTCGCGACAGTTCCAGAGGGCTCAATGGCGGGCTTTCAGCGTATCACGACCGTCATGGAACGAGAGCGGTTCGCTCAACGTCGTATGTACTTTCTTCATCATGCGCTGAAAGCCGAGCTGACGTATCTGTAGCACCGCGACACGCCTCAAAACAACCTCAAAATTCCCTTCAAGTTCACACCACAAAATGAGGAACTCATTTCAGAAATCGTCTCCCGATACCCCTCGCAATACAAGAAGGCCGCCGTAATGCCGCTTCTCGACTTGGGACAACGCCAGCATGGATTCTGCAGCATCAGCGTTATGAACGAAGTTGCGCGGATATTGGAGATGCCACCCATGCGTGTATACGAAGTTGCGACTTTCTACACCATGTACAACCGGGACCCCGTGGGCAAGTTTCACGTCCAGGTCTGCACAACTGTGGGTTGACTTTGTACTTGGCGGCAAGGGCAGCAGCTGACAGCATCTAGACCCCATGCATGCTTTGCGACAGTGACTCCGTCATGAAGGCCTGCGAAGACGTCTTGGGCGTACATCACGGCGAGACTACCCCAGACGGCCTTTTCACTTTCTCCGAGGTAGAGTGCCTTGGTGCATGTGCGAACGCGCCCATGGTCCAGATCAACGACGACTACTACGAGGATCTCACATACGACTCGACAGTCAACCTGCTCAAGGCCCTCAAGCACGCCGCACAAACTACCGGTGCGCAGCCCGGAGACAAGGGTCTGGCGAGCGGATCTGGAAAGGGATCGCTGAACGTAGAGGCAGGTGCTGGTGAAGCTCTCGCCAACAGGCAAGGACGAGAGTACGCAGCTGGTGGTGTCAAGCTACCATCCCCTGGACCATTGAGCGGAAGGAAGAGCTGTGAGCCAGCAGGCGGTCTGACTTGCTTGACAAGTGAGCCCTGGGGTAACGAGACTCTGAGGAAGGACGGCGAGCTATAGAGGGTTTTTGTAAATACTGTAACATCTTCCCTTGTATCCAGAGTAAAGGTCTTGAAGGGGGGTGATCTTCCAGCAGCGTCTTGTAGACCATCTCAAATATCAAATCCGTTCAACAATTTATATGCTGATGACTCCTTCTCATATTGCCTCTTCTGTACAATCTACGTTAAGCTAGTTCTTTCGAACGTGTTCAACTACTGTGACCGCTTTCGACCAAACGCTCGTAGGCTAGTGATTCCTCGAGCTGTTTGTACAACTGTCGCTACTTGGTAAATGAAATTGCTCTTTCTTTACTTCCTATTACTCTTCCACTCCCCTGGGCATACTCTCTAAAGATCCAGTAGTCCCTGACACCATGTACTACTCCTTCCAAATCTTCCTCGCACTAGCCAGTCTCCTCGCCGTCGTCGCCGCCCACTACGACTATGACCCGCCAAGCACTTATAGCATCAACGACTCTTACTTCACTTCGTCCATCAACACAGACCCAACCCCCACCATCATATCTACAGCCGCTAAAAAGCGCTGCAGCATCTGTATCGACGCGCTCAACACCTGTCACCGCGTGAGTAAACTTCGACCACTCCCTTCCTGTGTACGAACCTAACACAAAGGCTAGAATTAGAAGGGAGACAATAGCTGGGAGTACTGCCGTGACGAGCAGTGTACAAACTATAATTGTCGTAACTGCAAGGGCATGTAAGTATCTCCATCTCTGTGACGGAAAACGGATTGACACTGACACAACATAGCACTTGTCCTTGACGTAACGAACCTCGTAGAGAAGATCTTGGGGATCTAGGTGGTCGGATTGGATGTTAGAGAATCGTGTCTAGTTCAAGCGGTGATGGCAAAGTTAACTGCCGGCTTTTCTGGCGTAGATTTGGAGGTTCAGGCTGGAATGGATGTATGTCTGTGTTCATGGAAAGGGCGATTGTGATGCCAGTGGTGCGTGAGCAGGGAACATGATACGAGCGGACACTCTGGAACACGATCATACTCGTGCATGTAAATGATTAGAATGTCCATGTAAAAGAGGGACCATTATCTATGGTTTCTCAATGTTGTACAAGCCATACTATGCTCGCTCATCGGACTCGAGTGCTTCTATATAGAATCCATGATTGCGCCTTCCCAAGTTCGTTCTCGACTCCCAAGACGGGTAAAAGGAAATGCGCATGCAATGCTGTGCAACCTGCAATAGCTACGACCCTGTCAAACGCCTTCGCTATATCTATCCATGGGACGGAGTTCCCAAATCAAACCCCTGAGCCGTGCTGATCCCAAATGCAATGCTGATGTTTTGTAGAAAAAGCTGTTGTTGACGTTATACAATACCACCTGGTGTTGGTAGACGATTTCATCTATCTTTCTTTCCGCAGAGAATTTGTCGTCATGAGATATCTGCCGTCTAGCCGGAGAGTACTCATGATGCGACGTGTGAAGTGAATGCGTTTTTGCCGTAATTCCGTTCGGTGCTGGTGGTGTTGGGACTCATTGTCCTACAAGAAGCCCGAGTTCCACTTGCCCATGAGCATATCGCGTGTCATCTCGAAGCTGAGCCAACTGCTAGCCATGCTGGGTGCGACCTTGAGAAGGTTGGGTGCAATACCCTTGTAGAGACCCCTAAAGCCTTCCGTCTTGATGATTTGCTTGATAGCGTCACCAATTCCCGCGTACTGGTATCCCATGCCGCTCATGGTGTTGATCTGGAATCTCCGCCGCAGAACATCGAATGGGTATGTGATGGTTTGCGCGACAGCACCGGAGACGGCACCCGCTCCTAGCTTGCCAATGGCGCCGGGGTCCTTCTGGCCGTCGCGTGTGAACTTTGTACGGGCAATCTCATAGACCATGAAGTTAAGGCCGACGTATGGCGCGACACCTGCCACGGTGGGAAGGATGCCTCGATACAGCGCCGGAACACCGCCCTCAGTCCTGTACATGTTCATAAGCAGTGCCCACATGCCCGGTAACTTCTGGCCAGCTTCCTTCTTGAGATCGGAGAAGGACGCGGACTGGATAGATAGACGTGTGCGAACGATATCGAGGGGGTAGGTGAACGTTACGGAAGTGATACCAGCAAGCCCACCACAGAGTAGTCGCTGGTAAGCATCGAGGGGGCCACCTGGTTCGCTCTCGAAGAACTAGAAAAAGTCAGCTGTAAGAACTTGGGATAAATCTGTTACTTTCGTCCTTGTTAAAAATCCTGGATATCCTCGTGCATCTCTCCGTTACCCCACTCCGCTCCCCATCTGCCGAGCTTCAGCCCCTTCACAACTTACCGTTCCCCTCTCTGATGACTCGCTTACCTTGTCACTTCCTCCGCACTGTTCAAAAAGCAAATCACTCGCGGAAAACAAGACAACACAGCAAAAAGAGAGAATAGACTTACCCGCTTGTAGACGTTGTATGCGCTGAACTGCACGGCGGAGTATGGCACAATGCGTATGCAATTGGTGCCGTTGCCTGCCATGAAACCTCTCCAGCCCTCTTCTCTCCACATCTTAGCCAGGGCCTTGGGGACCGACATTTTATACTCCTCGCGGCCAACACTCTGAATCTGGAACAAGATCTTAAGGCGTTCAAGCGGCGATACGACGGTTCGTGAGACAGCGCCGGCCACGCCGCCGGCAACGAAAGAAGCCAGAACTGGTTGTGCGAAGACCTGGCGAATGCGCTGTAGGCTGGTGATGTCGGGCGTGCCGAGGGGCTGCGATGAGGAGTCAATTGGCGTTTTGCGACTAGAAATGTATCCTGTACTCACTTTTATACCCGTGCCCGGTTCATCGCTCATGATTGCGGGCGCCTGCGGTTGCGGCTTCTCGGATGGTTTCGACATGGCTCGAGTCGGTGTTGCTTGGGACGCGGCGCTGCTGCTCTCGAAAGCAGGCTGTGTGTTGTCCGAACAGGGACGGGTTCTATCCAAGGAAAGAAAAGGTCGCGCGACGTAATGTCGAGGTCATCGGAAGTTGGTGTTGCAGAGGTGAAGACAGATTTCCAGGTGTATGAGGTGAGCAGGACTTGTCGATTCACGGCGAATTCGATCTTCCATGCAAGGCAGCTTTCAGGCAAGTGTATGTAGGTGTAGTCGCGCTCGTGTCATGGGTTTCGCGGTTCGTTAGTGTGGTCGTGTTTGGATGGTTTGGTTTGGTAGTGGAGATTTGAGGATACCGCGGGAGGGAGGAGCAGATTTTAGGCTAGCGCCATGAACGAGCGAATGCCGTCAGACATGCTTACAACGACTACGGTACTCGCTGACAGCCCGGTCTTTCGCGACTTGATACTTGGCCCCGGTTGACACCTGTCGTCGTCTCCTTCCGGGGTCAGCCCCTTGATGGGGCTGACTGCAACCCCCCTAAATATCATACTGGCGTTGCGCCTCAGTCACCCCTTACTAGGCATGACAGTCAGCTGCGCGCACTCACTCCTTTTGCATCAGCTGTTGTTAGAGACACAGCACCTCGTTGTCTTGTAGTTACGCCACTCATGACCTTGCTAGACTCGAGCCGTCATCAATCATTGTGGTCGCGTGCGGTACTGTCTCGCCTTCGGAATGCTACCGCTCTATCATCACATACTATGAATGCATCCAAAGTATACACTGGCATGAGCACACGACCCCACACTCATTTGAGATAGCGTGCTCACTAGATTCCAGAGGACAGCGGGGTAAATACATCGGCCGTGGACATTGTAGTGGATTCGACGTTCCGAGGTCAAAGACGATAATATTTCGGGAATGACCTCATTTCTAGCTCCGGTAAGACCTTGCTATGTTAAACATAATAGACGTCCTGTAGTGGAGATAGTATGTTACTTGCAACGTTTTGATGCTAGAGCTTCTTTCTTTCCCATGGGGGAGTATTGTAAAAAAAAACTAGTACTGCGACTGAACTGTTACAAGCTGTTGTTCATGTTTGTTATCGATAAGGACGTATAAGATCTGCGAGGGCGAAGGCGAGAGTTCAACCTTTGCGCCTTCACTATGCTATCACGTCGCCTATTCCGGCAGCTCACCGATAGCTTGCTACTGGAATCTTCATATCGTCCAGTAGTACCAACCTGCTTTGTATCAACATGTGCGGCTTGTGACTCCCGGCAACCAAGAAATGTGCCCTCAGCTCGATATTCATCTTCATCTTCGACTAGGTGGAAATCACGTCAAGGCAAGGACTTCTTCTCCAAAGAAGCCCGAGTTCAAGGCTTGAAGAGCCGTGCTGCGTTCAAACTGCTTGAGGTAATTGTGCTTCCTTCCAGGAATGCGCCGTGACTGACACGCTATAGCTTAACGACAAGCACAAGTTGTTCAAGCCCGGACAAACCATCGTTGATCTGGTATGTCTGCATGCTCTGCTGAGAGGATGAAGCTTATACGACCTAGGGGTTTGCACCAGGATCATGGTCTCAGGTTTGCCGGATACATCTGCTCAATCGATCCCGTCTTAATTTCTTCAGGTCGCTGCACATCGTACTGCTCCCGATGGCCGCGTCATAGGTATAGATTTGATACCCGCACAACCACCACGAGGCGTCTCCACCATACAAGGCGATTTTCTCTCACCTATAATCCAGGACGAGGTTCGAGCCTATGTCCGAGATCCGGATTTGGGCCGACCTAGGAGGCAAGTTTCTGCAAAAGCGGACGAGGGGATTACCGAAGAAGAGCTGGACGACATGGAACGAGGATACATCGATATTGAGCGACAAGCTCATCTGGACGGTGCAGAACTTGAACCTATCGGGCGGCCAGCAGAGGCCCGTGACAACGACCAAGATACTCTATCAAAGCTCTCGTTGAAGGAGAGGGATGCGCGGCAAGGCAGAGCAGTGGATGTGGTGCTCAGCGACATGTCAGAACCCTGGGACCAAACGGCCGGCTTCTACAAGAAGAGCCTTAGTGACCCATATTTTAGGATGATGAACACCAGCGGCAACGCGTTTAGAGACCACGCCGGCAGTATGGTGGGTGTCCCAGCGACTCACTCTTGACCTTACTGACTATTGTAGGACTTGTGCATGGCTGCCGCGACATTCGCTTTCGATACACTGAAAACTGGCGGCCACTTTATCTGCAAGTATTATAAAGGATCAGAGGAGAAGGCGTTTGAGACGAAGCTGAAGCGTCTCTTTGCCAAAGTGTACCGAGACAAGCCCGAATCATCACGCGCTGTACGTTCTCTCACGTAGTCGACGTTCTTTGCTGACTGGCTCCAGGAATCAAAGGAGGCATTTTTCGTGGCACTGCGCCGAAAAGAGACACCTACAAAGGAGGAGGTCTTTCGGGAATGATTAAGAAGTTTATACAAGTACAGTGTGGAGTGATGTCTCTGCATGTTACTTCGGCCCGAAATATGTACTGTAGATCCCGAAGAGTGAGCACGTTGTGCTATCTCTACACCAAGACCATACTCTTCGGCGCTACGTCCCGACGTCATGCAGCCACATGGATAGATCACACACATTAGAAGGGGTGTTGAGAGGATGGATCCCGGTTAACGAACCCATCAACACATCGCGTGATGAGCTAGAGCTCGCTTAGAACCGCAGGATGAGAGCCTATGATGTAGTTACACTCGGTTGCCAAGCTCATCACGAATACAACGTGGCGTTTTCGGATGAGGCAGGAGTGCATGAGAGAGTTGGATAGCAGATGCGAAGTGGAGGGAAGAGATGTGCTCTGCTTCCAAATCGCAGCATAGCGCCACGTTTCCCGAGAGTCAGGGACATGGCACATGCAAGTGGCCGTTTACTTAGATGCCGGATAAGAGCCCCAGGCCCGGTATTAATGGCAGGCCGTCGTACCTGGTGACAGATCTGGAAGCGTCTCGTCCCATGCCGGGGGATATGTCAAGCGTTTTTGTGGGTCCATGTGACAAGGATGCGGAAGGTGTGAGGTTGCTTAACGCGCTGCGTTAGGACATGCTTGTACGCTGATGCAGTAGACAGTCATGCAGGATTTGATTTGTTTTCATGTTGCTTCCGAAGTATTGCTTGCTCTCCTGGAGAAGTTGCTGCCATGGAGTCAAGAGAGAACAAGGCCAGCGATGACTCGCTCGGCTGGCCTGGGCTGGGGTTGCAAAGCTTCTGGGCCGAAACCCAAGCTTATCACGAACCGCACGTTTTCTCCCATCAACCCACCGATCAATCTAATCCGAGTTGTGCGACGTGGCCAATGAGTGCCGACAATGGATTTCAATAACCCTAATGCGTATGGCGGCCAGTTCGCCAATTCGCCGCAACACGCCCAGTTCGATGCACAGGCGCGGCTTCAGCAATCAGCCAACCCACATGGGCAATATGGGCAGACCCCATCCTTTGCCGGCATGGGAGGCGCCATGGCGAGTAATGGAATTCAACCTGGAGCCGCATATCTCCAGCAGCGAGGTAAGCCAGTGGCGTGCGCGTTTCTTGTCCTGCCCTATTGCCGCAAAAGGACGCGTTCCTGGCTGACATGACACCATGGAACAGCCGCCATGCAGCAGCAGCAGCAGCAGCAGCAGCAGCAACAACAACAACAACAACAACAGCAACACCAACTGTCGTCGCCAAGCCCCTACTCCAATGCGCCCTATGCGCAGACGATGCCCTCACCTGCCCACCACCAATTCGCCCAGAACCGCCAGACAGCCTCACCCGCAAGCACCTCTGGACAGGCGCCCTATGCGACGCCGCAGCCACAGCAGTCGCCGAGTAGCTTGCAGACCAACGGCCATCAGCAGCCCATGAATCTACAGCTGCCCGTCAAGGCGGAGCCTCCCCAGGTCCAGACGCCCGTCAAGCAGGTGCCCCCTTCGCCTGTGTCGCCGGTGAACCAGGCGCGCAGTGCAGACCGCGTCGCGACACTGCTCGACATCAACAGTATCCTCATAAAGGAGGTCTGCGAGCTCCAGGTGCAGGGCAAGGCAGGCCAAGTAGGACCCACACCAGAAGGCAAGCCCGAAGGCGACAAACCCCAGCCATCCAAGGAGTACGTAGAGTGAGTGCTGCACATCCCCGTGCGCGACGTCAGCTAACAAGCCCTAGCTACATGCGCCGCCTCCAAGCAAACCTCGCCTACCTTGCGCAGAACGCCGAGAAGGTCCCCAAGCCCGGCCAGCAGTTACAACCTGGGCCTGCGATAATGACCATTCCTGCCGCACCCACCGAGCTCGCGAAGCTGTATACCAAGCTGCAGGAGCTATTTCCAGGATGGAAGGGTCAGACTCCCCAGATGAAGCAATCGCCGGGGCCGCAACGCATCAACTCGAACACCTCACAACCACCGAATAGCGCGGGGCTGCAGCAGAGTTGGGGGCAGAATGCTATGCAACAGGGCATGCAGCAGTCCCAACAGCAGCAACGGCAACAACAACAACAACAACAACAACCTAAGCAGGAAAAACAATAGAGGCTGGGATAACAACCTCCATCGCAGGCGTATGGATGGCGTTACTGTACTTTTATACCTTATGTAAGATTGGCGTAGGCAACATGTGCTTGCCATGGGTGTTTTTACAAAATCATACAAAAGAGTCGGACATTCAGTACCTGCTGAAACTTCAGGCACAAGCGGTCCATTCCGATGAAGGATTGCTGATAAGCGGCTCAGCGGATATACTTTTATAATTTGGGATTTCAAAATGGTCAATTCAAAACAACTGCAGTCCCAAACGACCATAGCTAACAGTATACTATGTAGTTCGCTATGGAGCTTCTTGGCGTCATGACTTCGAAACATCTGGTACAGCACACGAGGTGATGACAAAGCACGCTTCTAGGGTTGTCTCACGAGCCCCTCGGCCGCACCTTGCTTTTCCAAGTTGTCAGTTCCCTCGTTTGAACAACAGCGCAGCAGAATTAATACACGCCGTTTGCTGAACAACGCATTGCCGAGATGAGTAAGGTCGTTGGGTCAACGCCAACCTGAGAAAGTGGAGGAACGTAGTCTGTGGGCGCTTGAGACATGCTGACATGCTTCTGATACGAACGTACTAATCACTGCAGCACTACAGTCATCACTACCTAGATTCAAGATGCTTAGGACCACTATGTGGGTAGGAGCGTTTTGTTTACATATAGACGCGTGGTCCAGCCGTATTTATGCTATGCATCTTGTCAACCACACAACAAGCGGCTGCTACTGGTTAACCGTCTAGCACAGCAGAATGATGCTCAAAAAATGCGTTACTTTCCTGTTTTTGGCCTCGCTAGGTCTCGGTTCGGCGTTGTCCCGTCGTTCTGACCTCACTCTACCTCTCCCAGCAAGAACAGTAGCCCAGCTTTCCACACTGCCGACCTGGCTAGAGAACATCGCCACCCGTCCAAATGGTGATCTACTCGTCACTCAACTTTCCCCATCTCCGATACTACACACTATCAAGAATCCTTCCTCGGGAAACGCAACTCTGGAACCTATCTACCAATTTCGCGCAGACAACGTCACCGATCTCCTCGGAATTACAGAAACTACCCCAGACACATACATCATCATTGCCGGGAACGCTACAGCCAATGCTACAGGCTATGCCGGTACCTTTTCTGTATGGCAAGCCGACTTCGCCACTGCTAATATGTACATACCCACTGTTCGTAAACTCGCAAACATACCGCAAGCGAAACTGCTCAACGGTGCCATCGCCCTGCCATCCGACCCCTCCATCGTCATAATAGCAGATTCTCAATACGGTCTCCTCTTCCGCTTCGACACGAAAACTGGTGTCAGTGAAATCATCGCCGACAGACCGGAACTCAAAGCCTACCCCCAACAACACAACGCTACGGTGGGATTCGGTGTCAATGGTGTCAAGATCCGCGGCAAGTGGTTGTACTTTAGTAATTCAGATCTCGTGTCCATATACCGCGTCCCAATCACTTCAACTGGCTATATACCACACAAGTCCGAGGCAGCCGTGGAACTGTATGCTAGCCTGACTGCTGTTGCAGACTTTGTAGATGATTTCACGTTCAAGGCGGATGGTACGTTGTGGGCTGTGAGCAACTACGGGAATACACTTATTGCTGTTAGTGCAGGTGGGAGGAAGGTTCAGGTTGTGGCAGGAGGGAAGGGGCTGTTGACACTGGCAGGAGGTACAGCGGCGGCGTTTGGAAGGACGAAGAAAGACCGGGAAGTGGTGTACGTAAGTACAGCTGGAGGCTTAGGAAGGCCCGTTAACGGAAGTGTTGTAGAGGCTGGGAAGGTTGCTGGGATTGATACCAAGGGGTACAGGTGTTAGAAGACATGGTTGGTCTCGTGGGGTTCCACGCCAGTACATCCTTGAGGCGGACATGAGCTGTGCTTACTGACCGTGCAATCTCGACATGATTACGACAAGAGATGTGATCGAGATTACGACATCAGTGCTTCACCGTATAAAATGAAAAAGAAGCAATATGGCAATAACATCATGGACCTTTGATAAGAGAAGTGTTTCTTCGTGTTGCACTGACACAAACAGGACCAAGTCAGCTTTGACGACATCACGATACGTAGAAAACTAGGCATTGCATCAACAATCTTCTATTCGTCTCATGTCGCTACACCAAGCCTCCTCTACACCCCCTCAAACATACTTGTAACTAGAAGTTAAACAAAAAGCAATATTGTGAAGCGATCGTTTTGCATCAGAGTGCACGTCGTTCATTCTATCCCACGTGTTTCCCAGAGAACAAAGCCTGTCCCAGGGTATCCGCACTAGTCCCAAAATATACACAAACAGAGAAGTTTTTACCACGAAACGCCAGAACCACCCGTCTCATCGTAGAGAGAAAGAGGGAAAAGAGCGCTTAAGCGGCACCAGCGTAGACCTTGCCAATAGCCGAGAGGCCATTGCCAGAGTTGAGCTGGTTCTCACCATCGCCGACCATGAACCAGGAGTAACCTTGGACCTTGTCGGAGCCGTCGAGGTAGGCCATGGCGTCCTTGAGGAAGCTGGCAGCCTGCTCCTCGGAAGCAGAGCCGGGGTTAAGACCGAACTCGGTGATCCAGACCTTCTTTCCGGTGAGAGAAGCAGCCTTCTCAACCTGAGCTTGGAAGCGGTCAATGGTCTTCTCGTCGTAGATGTCGTAGAAGTGGATGTTGGTTGCGTCGACGACAGCGTCGGGGCAGCAGTCGTTGAAGCGGCTGAGCCAGTCGAGACCCATGGGGGCAGGGCCTGAAAAGAGTCAGTGTATGTCTCACATGCAGGGGTTTTTTTGGTCTTACCATTTGTGACTGAGGGACCGACGATGGTGATCTCAGGGTGAGCCTGCTTGACAGGGTTCATGTATTCCTTCCAGGCGGCGCAGGCAGCTTCGGGCTCCATGTTGCACTGGGCGGAGTGATCGCACTCGTTGAAACCCATAACAGCAGTGGAACCCTTCTTGACGGCCTTGCCAACGTTGGCGAGCCACTCGTCGGCGGAGGACTTGGTAGGACCATGCATCATAGGCACAAAATTTGTCCCGATATCGCTGGTCTCGGTTTGCCCCCAATTGTAAGCGAAACCGAACTTGCTGCCGAAAGTAGTGCAGAGGTGAGCTTCGTTGTAGGCGAGACCGCGCTTTTCACCAGTGTAGCTGTTGCCAGTGGCAGCAGTGGGGGAAGGAGCCGCGGAAGAGACAGCTGAGCTAGCCTTCTCGACGGGCTTCTGAGCGTAGGATGCAGTGATCTGAGGAGTCTCGGATGAGACAGAGGCCTCGGGGGTCTGGGCAGGGTACTCAGCCGCCTTTGAGGTGGTAGTCTCAGCTACGGGAGTCTCGACAGGAGTCTCGACAACAGATGAAGAGGTCGCCTCTGTTGGGGTAGCGGCGGGGTACTCAGCGGCCGCAGAGCTTGACTCAACGACGGGGACTCCATATCCGTTGTCAGCGGAAGACTCGGCGGCAACAGGAGATGAGGTAGGGACACCAGCGCCACCGCCGGGAGTGACAGTGACGGTGACCTTCTCGGAAGCAGTGACGGTGACGGTTGCGCCACAGACACCAGTGGAGGCATCAGCGGCATCGACCTGCTTGTTGTCTCCAGCCATGCCGGTAGGCTTGACGTAGATGGTCGAGTACTCAGTCGCCGTGGAGGTAGAAGTGGTGTCAAGGGTGGTAGTCTTGTCATCGCCGTAGACACCAGTACCAGTAGCACCAGCAACAGCAGTGCTGTTGTAGGCACCACCCCATCCGCCGGTTGGGTAGGCAGCCCTGTGGTGGAACTTGTTGTGCTGGTAGTGAGGAACAGCCACGACAGCGGAGGCGAAGGCCAGAAGGCCGGTAAACTTGACAGAGGCAGACATGTTGATAGTTGTTGGATATGTCAGGTTAAGGATGTGCGTTGCGCTTGCTTGCAGGGTATCGATGAGTAAAAGCAGATGCGGCTAACCTGAGCGCAAACAAGTAAACGTTGACAGTCGAACAATGAACGTGATAGTCAGAGCGACAAGAGAATGTACCGAGCAGAAATGCTCAAAGGAGTGGCAGGCAACGACCGTGTTTGGGTGTGAGTCTGAAGGATCAGGATGTGACAAGAAAACATCGGGGGTGCGGGTGATTTTCAACTTGATATATTTTTCGCGGGGAACTCGGGCGCTCGATCCTTTGCCATGCGCCCGCCTAGACCTTCACAAGTTCGGACTTTTGCGCAAGCGGACAAGCCAGGGGTTCAGGTGGAAATAACCTCTTTCGGCCATTCACAGCTCAGAAGCAGCCTGAGCCGCTTGGGTCGTGGTGTGTGTTGATTAGCTACCGCATGGCGCCGGTGCGTTTCACATAGCCGTCACATTCAGGTACACCCGCTTACCCTCGCCCTTCAACAAGGGCCTGTTCGCTGTTTGTGTGTGTTTCGGTGCCCGATCTGCTTTTTCACCTGCAGGTTTCTCTATCGATAGATGGTGAAGTCATCCTGTCAGATATGTTGCCCTTGTGAATTTGGTGTTGACGGGCGTTGTGCGTTATTCTCCACATATTGACAGGCCCACTGATACTTCACATGTCTTGGTATTCGCGGAATCATAAGGGGTGGGGCCGGCGCAAAGACCGCGCGGGTTGATCGAGTATTCTAGACGCAGGCTCTCTCATTTCCGAAAGTGTGATCGCCTTTGCGGGAGTTTGACCATTTCCAAGATGATGATAATGACGACTACGCCATCACTATGGCCCTTCTTTTGTTTGTTGAGCTTTACTGAGTTTGGGGCTCCGACTCGAAGGGGTCCAAGATTGGAACGTTGCCGACAAGGCGTATGTGATGCTGACGAGGCCTTCTCGTATCGACGAGTCAACATGCAAGGCGGTCCGATGCAAAAATACCAGCCGATGTGGCACGGCAGGCCCTCCGCACGGCGTCGTACTTAGCTGTTCCCTTGCTCATGCAGTTGGGTTCAACTTAGCACAGCACACATGTCTTACGCTTGTACGTGTCGCATCTTTCCGGTGCGTCGACAGGAATTACAAGTCATGGTGGACTTGTTCCTGGATGCTCTTGAACAAGGGGCGACGTCGCATCAACAGTGACCTTGCATATCACGCCCGCAAACAAACGTGGTATCCACGCGCAAGTGTTCCGATGGGCTGGTCCTTGTCCTGAATGCCGACATATCCCTCCCACTGTCGGGCTCTGAACGTCTTTGTTTTCTTTTGTCTGCCGATAAATAGACGATCCTAGCATATCCTCCACGCTCTGACGCTTCCACCGACGTCATCGGATTACAACGTGGTTTTCCATCATGTATGCGTCGAGCAACTTGGTGTCTGCAGATATTGCGCTCGAGATTCGTCTCCCCGATTTTGTGAAAGGAGCCAAAGACTCTCTTCCCCACGTCGAAGCGTCTCATTCGTTGCCCACACTAACGTGCATCCAGTAAGAGTCGACAGCCCTGCGCTATCGATATAGCCAGAAGGTTCCTGCATAAGCGCTGCTAAACCTGCGTAACCTAACGCATGCACTCTGCGTCCGATGTGTCAAACTTCATTTCCCAACAGCTGGCCATGACATATCTCCGCCTCTGCGATTGTTTGTCACCCCAACACGTTGAGGCTGGAAATAAGGGCGAGAAGACGGTATCATAGGTCGTTGCGAGAACACGTAATGATCTCCACTCTCTCCAAGTTCTGGATCCTGGATCGCGAGCACGGTTCAGGCCTAGAATCCAGTCCGGAACCCAACGCCTAACACGTGATCTCACCATGCGCATCATCACACGGTTCTTGAGATGACATTGACTTGTGAATGAGCATAATTCGCTATACTGAACCTTCTCTTGTGCAAAGTGAGTACAGCAGCCACATACTCCTAGATCTTGTCGGCCGGCTAACATGACGTACAGTGTCGATCATGTCAGGCACTTTTACCGGTACAGTAACTTAGCCTGTCTGGAACCTGAAGGACCAATCGCATCGCTTTCCTCCGAAGGGTCGAACATGTGGTTCACTTTAGTACGTGTTTCAAGACAAACAGTGATTCACAGAAGGACACCATGTTTCAAAACACTGGAGGCAACAGTCTGTTGCGCAACCCGATCAGCCAGTTCACGATGGGTTCTTTGGGTCGATCGTCATACTGAAACGCTGGCATGGAGACCCTGCAAGCTTGTTCACCACCATGCAGCCGAGTGGCGACTCTGCATGTATTCGCCTCGAAGGCAAACATTGATGTGAGATCGTTGGATGCTGTTGCTAAATTGACTTCAAAAGTTGGATCAAGGTTGCACGCTGGACTGATACAGTGATCATGGATACAATACACATTATCCCAGTACACTCATCGCACGCAATACTCCCCTTCTTTACGTATCACTCCATTTTCGCATACCATATCGCATCCCAGATTCTTCGTGATAGCACAACCATCCGTACACCATGTATACCGTCGACTAGGCAAACATGTAACCTCTCCCTCTTGGTCACATGCTAAGCACTCCTTCACCACCCGTCCTGCAGATGGCTCCGCAACAGCGAAGAAGCGAGACCAGTAGCTCGTCCGCCTTTTACTCGCCTTGTTTTCTTCTCCTCGCCTCGCTCTCGAGGACAGTGTTGCGTTTTTTATACCTGCGAAAGACGACGCATCTATGTATCTGGTTTTCCAACGAAGTGTAGACGATTGAATAGTACGCAAGTTGCTGATGCTGGTTTCTGTATCGCGAGCTCTCATGAGTGCTTTGGCATCTAGCGCCTGAGTAGACTTGGCCTTGCATCGCGGATGGACCGATATCCCAGAGGTTGGCGTGGGACTTGCAGTGGTGGTGGACGTAGTACCAGTGTCGGGTGGAGGAATCGATGCTGTTGTGCCCACAGTAGTGCTTGAAAGAAAAGCGGCAGTTGAGCTTCTAGAGGTGATGGCAGTTTGTGTGGGCCAGTTGAACTCGGGGGTATCAGATCCAGGAATAATGGAAGTTGGAAGCCCAGAGTTCGAAACCGGTAGGTCAGAGATCGTATGTGTTGGCAGGGTGAGTGATACGGTTAGACCACCCGAAGTGATACTCAAGGAGGAAGTATTCCTAAGACCTTCTGATGGTAGGCCTACGAGCCCTGAGGGTGTTGTCCAAGGCAACTTAGGGACCCAAGGCAGCCTAAGGGTGGGGCTACCAGGGACAATATGTGACATAGTATGCGAGCACGTAGTGCTTGCATTCATCGAATCGGCCAGACTACCAGACGTGGCAAGTGTCCCAGTCACCATGTTGCTATTTGCACTTGTAAGCATTCGAGGAGCCGTGGAAGTCGGTAATGGCTCATAAGTAAAGGGCGGCAAGATGAGAGACGTGGTGCCAGACGGCCATATCGGGATACCATTGGTGGTGCATGGTTCAGTCGGATGTGGACACGTGACTGTCGCTGCTGTGTTGGTAGGGCTACTGTAGTCAGGCTCATCAGAAGGGGGTGGTATGGAGTCTGGTGGAGGAGGAATAGCAAATCCAGAACTACTGTGGGTTGGAGAACTGGCAGCAGACAGCTTTTCAGTCGTGTAGCTTGTGTATGTGACAGTAGCAAAGACCGTCGTGGTAGAGGTACCGGTTGGAGACCGCTGACCGATCACCGTGGGGTTCGGAGGAGCATCCTTGCTGTCGAGTGCGGCTAGAGCACTGCTAGCTAGTAGTGCGACGAGGCAGAGATACATATAGCGAGTGGGCATGACAGCAACGCTAACGTAATTGCACAGCATTAAGAAGGTTTTGTGTAAATCGTCGAAGGAGATATATGGGCAATAAGTTGTGAGAGAATCGTTTTATTACAAACGGATGTTCACACTCGCCAAGTGCGTCGTTGAAGTGTCCATTGATATGTAAACATGTCCTGCATCGTTGGACATTGACGTGCAACAATCGGCAATGGGGAGTGAAGGCTGTAAAAACCGACATCTTCTCAATCATTTATCAAAGGCGCGTCCTCCATTCACGTTCTGATCTCAGCAGCCTTTCTAAGCCGGTTCATGACTGCGGCCGCAATATTGTCTCCTGTCTTGTCGTCGATGCCTTCAACATAGATCATCTCAACTCCTTTCTTGTCGAGCTCTCTCAGTGCTGAGAACAGACCTCTCGCAACATCTTCTGTCTCTGCGCCGAGATTGATCTCCCAAACTTGGACTGCTTCGGGCTTCACGACATAGTGATCCGCATGCGGTATTTGGTGTTGAACGACGGATCGTAGGAGGTTTGAGAGGCGCGACGGTGAGTCGTTGGCGTTCAGAGAAGCTGCTGAATCCGGTGAAGCGCAAAGTACGGGTCCGTTTGCGTCCGATGTCTTCACTTTCTCGGCACCCATACCAAGTACGTTGTCCCAGTTCTTTGTCCGAATGATGCCAATACGTCTCTTCCTCTTCAACTCATCAGATGTGGGTTGACTTGCGCCTGCCTCAAACAAGAGCACTGATGCTTTCGGGCTGTAGTGTCTGTACTTCATCCCAGGCGCGCGCGGTTTGCTTGAGTCTTCCGCTTGTTTGTCTTTGTACCCAACGACTACGTTCTCCCACCCTGGGCACTGTCGCAACTGCTCTACCGTCACACCACCTGGTCGTAGTATTGCAGGTGGACTTGACAATCCGTCTATGACTGTACTTTCCACACCTACTTCACATGGTCCGCCATCGATTATTAGGTTCAATTTGCCGTTCAGGTCATCGTATACATGTTCCGCAGCGGTGGGCGAAGGTCGTGTAGACGCGTTTGCGGAAGGTGCAGCGAGTGGACGACCACACAATCGCAAAAGGGATAACGCGATGATAGAGCGCGGCATTCGTGCGCCAAAAGTAGGAAGACCTGCGGTGACTTCTGGTGCGAGGATCGAGTTCTCGGGAGCCGGTAAAATAATGGTAAGCGGTCCAGGCCAGAAGCGCTCGATTACCGGTCTGTAGATTTTCGGTATGGGATCTCTTCCAGCATCCTTTCCATCGCCCGCGATGTCTAGTTTCCCCAGCAGTAGCGCTCGCAGCTGGGGTAACGAGTGTATATGAACGATCAATGGGTTGTCAGCCGGTCGTCCTTTGCTAGCAAATATTTCCTTTACAGCCGCGCTTCTTGTCGCATCTGCACCGAGTCCATATACAGTCTCCGTAGGAAATGCAACGGGGGTGTTCGTATTAACAAGTTCCTTGGCTGCCCATTTCAGCGTTTCGGCATCGGCACCACCCTCTTTTGTATCGTCATATTGTATGTCCCATTCATCGATGAGATCCTCCGACTTCTTGAATGTGATTTCCCCCAACATCTGGGGATCTACACGTCGAACCCTAGTCTCAGGCATGGTTGCGACAGAGCGATCACGTATGTTGGAGACGGTGGGCGTCTGACGCTTGTCGAGTTTGGACGTCGTAGCCGTGAAGAAGGTGATCGGTATTTTCAGCGTGGGAATCGGAGAGCGGCGGGGTTCTGATGCAGCGACTTGCACCAAGGAACGTATTGGGACGAGATAGGGCGGGGGCTTCGTGGGTTTGACATTTGGTATGCGGGGAGGGCGAGTGCGCATTGAATGATGACTGGTGAAGCCAAAATTTCTCGTTCCGAGCGGAGTGGGGCTCAGTTCCGATGGCACCTAGAAAGAGCGACGTCACCGCCATACCCGCGAGCGAATGTACCTCACACGCTCAAGGCATTTCACAACACGATGAAGCATTCAAGCTATAGGATTAAGCAACCAAACTATCGCTCAGTACACCTGATACCTGGGTAGTACAGCATGAGCCTGAATCGATGTATAGTGTTGAAGTGAAGAGACGATATGGATAATCATGTGCCTACATCTTACCACCTCACGAGCATCTCGGCCTCCATTATCCCTAGTCCTAGAAGTGACTTGTTTCCTGAGCAGTATCAGCTCAACAATGTCTGTGCGACAGTTATCGGCTGTGATGACGAGCGGTGTCTGCTTATGTTCGTCAGTGTTATGCATCGATCCTCTTCTCGCAAGCGTTCTACGCGTTCGTAAGGCACGATATGAAGACGTAAACATAGAACGCGAAGGTTTTCCAGCAAAGAAATGAACCAGAGTCACGATGCTGCGTGTAATCAACATGGACTGTGAGGAGGAAGAAAGTGTCGCGCATCTCTCAACCTCAAAATTCTAGACCCACACCGGCCCCGTCTCCATTGGCCGCTCCAGCCCCGCACTAACCCTAACCAGTTCGGCGTGCATCTCTGGACCCTGTATCTCCATCCCAACTTCCTCAGAACTCCCTTTCCGCATCGCCTCGCCCCTGCTATTGCCCTCCCACAGCTCGCGATAGCAAGATCTTTCGTCCATCATGCCTGCTCCATCCGATATCTTAAGCGACCCTGAGATCGCGCAGGCATACGAGGACGTACGCTCAGACAAATCCGAGACCACGTGGCTTATCTTGAAGGTAACATGACATTCTTGCATTGCATTGATGAGGTATCGTCCGACCAGACATCAATTTAGGCATCAATTTCATCGTGAAGAAGGATATGACTGACCAGAGTGTAGTATGCCTCCGCAACCTCAGATAACCTCACACTCGCCTGCACAGGAACCGGCGACATCGCTGAGATGACCGAGAGTCTCGGCGACGACGAAGCTGCCTACGCCTACGTACGCATGAAGCTAGGGAATGACGAGTACAGCGAGCGTGTCAAGTTTGCCTTTGTTGTTTGGCAAGGTCTGTCATATTCCTCACTTTTTATCTCAAGATTGCTAAGACATCTACAGGACCCCAAACAAAGGTCATGCGCAAAGCCAAGATGAGTTTCCAGAGTGGGCAGGTCAAGCAAGTCATTCGAACTTATGCTGTGGAGATCCAGACAGGAGATAAGAAGGATTTGGATGAAGAGGCAGTAACGCTGAAGCTTAGGAAAGCCATGGGCGCGAATTGTGAGTATACGTTTTGCTATTTGTGTTGATTGAGGGGCGTGAGAATTATGGGTAGAAGACCATAACGTAAAGAAAAGGATATATGCACTAATCGTTCGAGCAGATGATCGCCAGAAAACAAACTACTAGCATATCTTGTGCCGTACGATAATCAACCAATTAGACTGTGGTAGTAGTACTACTACTACTATTTCTACTACTACTGCGTCAACGCCAGCCATAAATCTTGAGATTGGGGTAATCGTTAAGAGCCCATAATAAAACTTCGCCTTCGATCCTTTGGCTCTCACATAATCCCAGTAGCTGCTCTTTAGGCTTGGACAGTGTCCAGTACCCTATGCACAACTTTGTCAAATCATATGTCAATTTCTTCAACCGGGGTGTTGCGGTCTTCCACTCTGGCTCCCGTCCTTGCACCCAAAGGATTCCATTCTCTATCTTGTCTGGATCCACCTTTCCTCTGGTCGTCTCAATTGTGTATGGCTCTGATCTAAGCGGCCGGCTACTCGGTGTTTCACCTGCAAGGTATTGTCGGAAAATGGCCATGGCGTTGAGATCTTCATACCTCCCTTGAAGTTCTTCGTACTCCCAAAGATCGTCCGTAATGGTCAACGTTTCCAGAGTTGCAGTAAGATAGTCCGCAAGACTAGGTGTATCGTCCGAAGCAGCGGTCTCGATACCAAACAGCACTGGAAGAGATATGGTCAAGTTGGTAAGCACGGGAAAATAATCGTGTAATGGACCGAGGCTGCCTGTCACTGCGTCTTCGGTTTCAAGTGCAACGCAATTTAAATACACGTTATTGTAATGTTCGTAGCGCACAATCAGATCGGTAAGCGTAGTACGTACATGTCGCAGTGCATCCTTCAAGATCGACAACTGGAGAGGCGCGTAGTCTGGGTGCATGTAGCAATCATATTCGAAGATCCTGACGTTTGTAGCTTGCCTGAGCAGATGGTGAATGGTGAGCGGGTCCATTGAAGAGCGAACAAGGCGGAGGGTCTTCAGTGTATGCGGTAGAGGAGGTACTTCTAGTGGCCACTCAAATGAGAGATCGACTTCTTCTTCCTCGCTCCTTATTCCGCCATGCTCGTCTCTCTCCGAACACGCAACAATTTGGAGCGACTCAATCATCGGCAAGTAGAAGAACAGTAGTAAGGTACCTTGTTCCTGTTCGAAATTGAACCCCCATGTTTCGGCCTTTTCATTCTCTTCCAAGGTAACGCGTACGGTCTTCAACTTGGCGAACCATGCTGGTTCGCCGTCTTCTGCTTCAGACGCCGCAGAATTCTTCGCAATCCCATGCTTCATCATCGTAGGAAACCACTTGTTGTGTAAGAAGAACTCCCATGCTATAGTCAAGGACTCGAGATGCGCTTGGCATATACCGACCAACAACGCGACCATCATGTGCTGAGCCTCCCACTCGTATCCAGCGCCCCATCTCCATAACCCTTCCTCCTCCACATAAACACTGAACATCTCGTTCCGCCACTCTTCATGTTTTGTATCAAACTCAACACCAGGGAAACTAGTGCTGCAACCGTCTTCAAAGTTGTACTCTAGACATCCTTCAGCGCAGAATTCCATGTTCTTGATGAGCCTGATGTATCCGGGTTTTTCGGTCAGCGTGAGAATGAGCGACTGTATCTTAGGCCCTTTTCTGACGGTTTCCTCGCGACCAGATATATCGCTCCTGGGTGTGTTGTCCCACACAAGGGTGATGGTGTGGTAAGCTGCCGATAGGGCAACGGTGTAGAGGGCTTTGCATGTTTGGGCTAGATTGATGGCGTCGCGTGAGTCAAGATCGATGAGTATATATTCTATTAGTTCAGTGGGGAGATTGGTGATTGATGCCATCCTAGTCTCTTCGAAGAGACTGAGGGCGAGGTACAGGTATAGAGAAGAAAGGTGCAGACTCGAATTTAAGGATTTAGGCAGGCGTCAGTGCGCAATTTCTAGAACGGGCGGCCTTGTTGCCTCGCATACCACGCTATCGTCATTTGTGATCGTAAAATCGTGTATCTATATTTAATGTGTCATGCGTGTTACGATACATCTAAAGCGAGGATTTGTTCATGTGAGGAAACACATGTCCTAGCCCGCCTCCGGGGTCCGTTTTCGTCTCGCTAGGACTTGCCCTAGACTTCGGGTCGACAGTTGGTTGCAGTTCAGTCGCGGAGTCGTCTCTACCTTGACCGTCCTCGTGATTTCTTGCCAGCTTGTTATCGACGTGGTTTTCAAGCCACTCGTGTTCCGCTCGATTTAACCTTAAATTCTCCTCCACTTCTCGTGTGAGCTTGTCGACCTCATCTTCCAGCAGCTCATCGTGGCTCTTCTTGACTTCTTCCTTGGGTGCCGTAGGATCTTCCTTGGGTGCCGTCGTTGCCCAGAGTGTTTCTAGCTCACTTAACCAACCGCAAGCCTCAGCTAATTTCCTCACACCACTATCGCAATCCTCCAGTAGTAGTACATCGTCGGTTCGTTGGCCCATGTCACCAACCCTCTCCGAGTTTATAAGTAGACGTGGAGTCTCGTCTTCACAAAGTTGCGGTAGCGAAGCAAAGGGTTGTACGCTGAGCGACGTTCCCATGACTATGCACAGGTCGGCTTGTGCGGGGAGGCTTCGATTGTCGAAGAAGGCAGATGGTAATTGTTCCCCGAAGAAGACGATTTCGGGCTTGACGAGGCCGTTACAGGACGAGTCGACACAGTGAGGCACTGATCTGTTATGGATAGCTTCGTTCATGCGATCTTTGGGATACGACTTCTTGCAGTCGATACAACATTGCCTATGTCAAGTCAGTATCGCTTGAACTCCACTTCTAACGAGTCTACTCACGATGCAAAACTGCCGTGCGCCTCTATTATCTTATTGCCGGGAACTCCGGCCTCGCGCTCCAGACAGTCGATGTTTTGTGTAAACAACTTCAACAGCAGCCCCTTCTGGTGTAGCAAGCTTATGAAGGAATGTGTTATCGTCGGTCTGAACTTTCCGGGGTATAGTTCTTGAGCGAGAGCGTAGAATGGCTCCGGGGTTTTGCGAAAGAAATCGATGTCGAAAACGGCTTCGGGATATGGTAGGTTCAGACGAGCGAGATTGGCGTATAGGCCTGTTTCTGGTGATCTGAAGTCTGGTATGCCGGCTGAAGTACTTATACCTGCACCCGTCTGCCCAGTGTCAGCACGCGTCCAACCGTTCCATCGCATTCCAACTCACCATAACGACAATCTTTTGCGCGCGCCCATCCTTGATATATTGCGCCAGAGCCTCCAAAGTACGTGCTTCTAAAGTCTGAGGTGGTGCAGTGGGGTCTATCACCCGCGACTCATCTTGTCCCATCTTGCCTCTTTTGCCTTTGCCTTTGCGACCTTTTTCCGCGTTGCGCCACGGCTTGTTTTGCTGCGCCTGTTGGCGATGCGCTTTGTGTTTGCGTCCTATTTTGAAGGATGTGAAGTGACGAACGTAATATTGAAAACGAGAACAATGCGCGAATGTGACCGACGTGGTTGTGATACGTCTGACGGGCGCGTATTGCATGTAGTGGGAAACGTCAGTGCCCCACGAAATTATATCTCGGGAGTCCGACGGAGCTGCTGCGTCATGCAAGGGCCAACAACGATACCCCTCTTTCACCAACACTACATGTTCACAACTCAAGGTCGCGCATATCTAACTAGGAAACCTCCATTAGAACTATTTAAAACACGGGCCCAACTTGTACAGACACTCATTAGGACAGTTCCCAGTAACTTCCTCTCCCGAACAACTCGCTCTAGCCTCGACCTCCTTTCCACCAACCGCATCTTTCACTTCTCTCATCCTGTCGTCTCGGGCACTCGTCTCGACGCCTTCCTTGATCGCCATGCAGTCGAATCTCCCCTTATCCGTCGTCCCCGTAAATCTGAGCACAACCTTCATATGCGCAACCTCTTTCCCCTCCTCATTCTTGACACTTACTCGAACATACTCGGGTGCATTACACCACCTTATCACGCGATCCCTTCCATCGGGTATACAAATCTTGCAGAATGTGCACATGGTTGATCTCCGATCGAACCTGTAACAATTCTTCTCGTCCTCGCCGCTCTTCTGAAAGGTGTCTGCAATTTGGGCGATAAAGGCATTCTGTAGTGACTTTCCGTTGTACTCAACCCCTCCTTCTTTTTTCTCGGGAACATAGTCACTCTCAACGTTTACTTCGACAAACTGTATGCCTTTCTCCACAATACCAGCTTGGTTGGAGTACTCGATATTATCGAACTTTTCCTTCGAAGTTCTGCAAGTGTTGGCACCTGTTTTGTCGTCGTCGCAGCGGTTCTTGAGTAACTTGGTTATGTCGTTGGATATGTAACGACCGTACCATCGGCCGACATGTTGGCGTTGGTTGCTTATCTCGACGGAGAAGGTGTATTATGGTGAGCTCGGTGAGGGTAGGGGTGAAGTTGTTAGGGTAGTGCCCGGGATGCGACTTAAGTTGGTGACTGGATCTGCTGTCGAGGTTATTGTCGAGGAATTCATGGAAGAGCTGTTGAACCAGACTGGAGGAATAGTGCTTGATGTGGCCGTGGGAGACGGAATAAACCCAAGCGCTGAAGTGATAGCCGATGAGGCCGTTATAGCGGTGCTCAATACGAGTGGTGGACTATAGGTTACCCAGCTCGGTGGCTTACTCGCTTGGTAAGTCAGTTCGGATTCTATATTAGTATACTCAATATTACTGACAACTATTTGGCTGGTCTTTGTCTACAGCTGCAGCTTCGAGGACCAAGAGAAAGACAGCTAGGCCAGCGTATAGAATCTTTGCAATAGTCCAAGTTCGCATGATGGATCACTTGATCTTGAGGCCTGCGAATGTTCCATACTGCATTGTGAGAATATAAAGCAGCATGATAGTTCAATTCCGCAAGCTGTCGAGCTTGATACGTGAAGTCCACGGTCAGGAACGTACCGCTTGCTGCTTGGTCATTCCATTTTTACGGTGTAGTGATTGATGTGCCTCTGGATCAAGGACTCGATGCTGCAGAGGTTTCAATAACGGGCATCTGCTCTGCATCTCTTTTCATCAGAGAATCGGCTGTATCATCTCGAAAGCTAGGAAGCGAGCGCATATTGAGATGTTCGCTCCATCGCATGTCGACACCCTTGTCATCATGTAAATTAACCTAGCGGTGCAAAAGAAGATGAGATGGAAATGTGTAACCTGCGACTCTATTCCAGCTTACTGAACGATGTATGCAGAACAGAAAGCGAAACCGGGTGGAGTTTCAAGAGGTCGAGAGGGATAAGCGCTCCCGAGGTTATCGTGTGCTGAGTCATGGGATATTTACGCCCCGCCCCAAGCGTCACCACCCTACTTCTGCAGAACTACGAAAGCTACAACAAGTAACACATTCCTCCGCAATGGATCATGTCACTGCAATGTGCTATAAACCCAAACTTTGTCGCAGGATTGCAAGCTTCGCACTGCCGTTATTGCATAATTGCAAGGGTAGTACCCACCTAGGTAGTTGCCAACTTCCACACCTCACCGCTACCTGAATCCTCAAGGCCCATACCGGAAAAGGACTTCCTTTCTACATCATTCAAACGGCCCGAAGCACCACGAGATGTTCTAATAGGCTCAGGTGGTCGGTATATGACACTGTGCTCACTTGAACATTCCTACTAATAGGCAGCATCCTAGTCGTTCTGTTTCCTTTTGTCTCGGATCGCCCTATCCTATGGGGACTTTAAGTACACTTGTCAACCCTTGAGAAACCACAGTTCTTTGAATTGTCACACAGTCTCAAGGGTATTTCTCATATAATATTCGTTATGTCTATCAAGGATAAAGTCATCGTCATTACTGGGGCGGCGTCTGGAATGGGCCTTGAAACCGCCCGCCTTTTTGCCAGCAAAGGAGCCAAACTCTCACTCGCCGACGTGCAGGAGAAGCCGTTGAGGGACCTCGAATGTGAGCTCCAGAAAGCAGGCGCACAAGTCATGATCCAAGTTGTCGACGTCAGCAAACGTCGCGACGTGGAAAGCTGGATTGCGACCACGGTCGAAAAGTTCGGGAATCTGGACGGTGCGGCCAATCTGGCCGGCGTAACTGGCCGGCAAAGCGCCATCGCTGGCATTGAAGAGGTAGAAGACGACGACTGGGAGTTCATAATGGGAGTAAACGTCACAGGTCTGCGGAATTGTTTGCGCGCTCAGGTGCCGCACATGAATGAAGGAAGCTCGATCGTCAATGCATCCAGTATCCTTGGTCTTATTGGCGCGCCGAAACAGCTGGCATATTGCGCCTCCAAGCATGCCGTTGTCGGAATGACAAGGAGCGCAGCAAAAGAGCTAGGGCCAAAAAATATCAGGGTGAACTGCTTCTGCCCGTGAGTAGACCTACTGAACCTCTTCTTGAGGTATGTACATACTAACTGCGCATAGTGGACCAGTTGACACCCCAATGTTGCGACAAGTATATGAAAAACGAGGCTCACCTGTCGATTATTCATTCCTTCCGCTTGGAAGAACTGCACACCAAACGGAGATTCCACCACTTATTGAGTTTCTGATCTCAGACGCTTCTTCTTTCATGACCGGAACCGCTATGCCGATTGATGGCGGGTGGTACTGCTAGGTTTAGCCGTGTATACTCTTTTAGTCACATATCGACCCTAGGTCTCGCTTTCAGCTCCCCTATGATTTATCGTGTACAACCACTCAGTCTTGTACGGGTTATAATTGACCCGGAACGTACGAAAAGAAGAACTCACAATATAGAGAGATAAGTCTTGGCATTTAACATGTCAATTACGACATGATCAGTTTTGTGTTCCCACTTTGGAACTATACTACAAGTCGCGCACGATTTACTCCCTCTTAATGTGCAATCCCTCTAGGTACCGCACAACCCGCATTACGTAGGGGTCGCAATCAAGAGACCAAGCTCCAACGGACCATGATGGACTTAGGTCTTCTTCGGTCCAGTAAACCCTGGTGCAGAACCACATCTCGGCGCCTTCTGCCCAAACTTCGATATGCGAGTTCACTGCTGGAAAACAATCACCTCGATAGTTCGCGCAAACCAGAACAACGGTTCCTAACCGGGCCAAACACGCTTCATGGCTGCGTAGTTGATCTAGCCAGTCCATTACCTCGACAGTGGGAAAGAATAGCACAAGCCGTTCGAGCGTACTAGGAAGCAACTGGTGTACAGCAACAGGTTGATGCTGCTGTCCTGGAATGCCGTAGTTGGCACCAAGGAGCAACTCTTGCGGAACGGCTAGTGAGGTAAGCGCTCTGAAACCACCGAAGTTGGTGAAGGGCTCAATGTAGTTGAGAAAGTAGAGGTCGCGATCCTCGTATATTCTAACACATAGCTCGGCCAAAGAAGGTAATAGTGAAACCATGCGGGTCAAGAGCACGTCCGCATGACCGTCCACAGGACGCGTGAGAACATCGATATACTCAGTATAGCGTTCCGAATGTTCGTCTTCTTCTTGGCTGTTGTATTCAAAGTTGTACTGTGTATTGTCAAGTATAATCTCTAGTCTGCGCAGCCTGGGAAGTAGATTTGAGGCGATACTTCCACAGCTGAGCGCCCAATCGTAGTCCATAGCATATGGGAGTAGAAGTGAAGTGGAGAGCTCGAACCCCATAGTGTGTACGTTTGCGCTAGCGAATGGTGCATCGTACTGGATGTATGTTCGTCCTAGATCTGAGCGGTAACAATCGTATCCTGTCTCGAGGTACTCGAGCGCCGGTAGGTAAATCCAGCTCGATGCCATGTCATAACAGAAGTATCACAATGTCTGCAGGTGACGTAGTCCAGATATTGCGGTGAGATTGAGTGGAGAAAGAGCCGCTGCATCGAAGTTCTCCCCGATATACCCAAAAAGTCCTTCCAGAGGTTCATGATCGTAGCGCAACTCGCCTTGATACGTACTGGCGATTTGGAGGCCATAGTCTGAGAGAATTTCGATGGTTAACGTTCGTAGTTTTGGGACACTTGCTAACAAAAGACCCGTCCATGCTACACCGTGGCCTAACTCCAATTTATCTTTCCAGTTCTCGATTCGACTCGCCCACTGACTACTATGCTGTCCGACTTCTCGAAGTACTCGTTCGACACGACGGATGATCTCAGGGTCAAAAGGAGCTTCTAAGCCTCCCCTGGATACAGTCAATGAAAGCGAACGAACTCTAGAAGCAAGCCGAGGGTAGCGAATTAAGGTTTGGGTAAATGTAAGGAGACATTTCTTCGTGTAGAGAGGATCCTGATGCTCCATGTAGAGCTTTCCTATAACAGGCGCCTTGTAAAAAAACACTCTCAGCGGTGCTCGTGAGCTTCTTGCATGTCAATGCTAGACTATGCAGATCGGATTGTGAGAGGTAGCCGGCAATATATATAAGGAGCTCATTTGATAAGGTCTCGAATTTAGGCTTCATCTTCGTTGGAAGGACTTGGTATCTTATTGTTGGAAGGTGAATTAGATAGGGTTGATGAGGGTTGTTGTGAACGATCGTCAAGGTATGACTGTTGAGAAAGGTTATACACTTTCAGATAGGGTCTTTAACGCTGGAAGGCTGTACAGTCGAGTTCGCTTTGCTGGTGCACGAACCAGTGATTGTGACGTCCACGACACTTCTCGCTGGATGTGGTTACCTAGGCACTATACAAAATTGCTCTCACTTTGCGTTCTCGTAATTCCGTTCTTCCGCCACCGCTCAAGCCTGCAAAAGTGCTTGGCGAGTCGCTGCTCAGCCTCAAACAATGGGACCGTTCGCTAATCGTCGGAGAAGTGTACAGTATTGGCGTCAGAACATAATTGGATTACGAGAAAACAAATATCACGACCGCTTGAGATGTTACAATTGGAGCAGGGAATGTCTGATGTGCAAGGATGAAGCGGCATGGGAATACGTGTAAGAGAGAGAGAGAGAGGCGACGAATCTTGAAACGTTGTTAACATCGCTATCTGGGAATTCAATCATCGATGCAAGTAATTCTTGGTTTGAGACGACGGTAATTTGTTGACAGAACTTACAGAGGCCACTGGACGCATTATGAAGCATACTCTCGTAAGCTCTGACCTACCATCGGTCTTTTTGACTGACAAGGGGGAGAAAGAGATAGAATGGGAAAGCCTCTATGCGATGTTTCGTTTGCAATCCATGACTGATCGCTCTGAACACGTTGGTAAATGGTGAAAAAGTAGGCTGAGATATCTTTAGACGACCTTATTACTGGCGGAAAGCTCCTAAAATCAGAGTGTTCTTATTTCTTCTTCACAAGTTCATCGTACAGGGTTACCTCTTTACTCCCATCAACTTCTTTACCAGCAACAGCACACACCCTTCTAGTCCTAGGACTTCGGTTCCTTTCCTCCAATCTCCTTACTTTCCCTCGCCCAACTCTCTTTATCTTCACCTGGTCGCACAACCTTCCCCTGATTGTCCTGCTCCGCCGCCCACTTCTTCAGCGTATTTAGATCCACACTCTTCAACGCACCCTCATGGGTCGCCTCGAGCTTTACCCTCGGTACCTCTCCAATGCCTTTATCTGCAGCGCTCTTCCACGTCGACGCTTCCAGGCAGAATCGTTGGCCTGGTCCGATGCCAGCTTTTCGTAGGTCGGTGCCGTTCGAGGAGGAGAAGTCTAGGAAGGAGTTTGTAAGGATGGCAGCGATTGGGTTATTGCTTGTGCACATCCCAGCGCTGATAGAGGAGGGGGGGTTAGAGGGGGTTTTGGCTTCGGAGGAGTGTTTGTGGAGAGGCGCGTTGAAGACTGAGGATTATTAGTTGATAGTCAAGGATGAATTTTGATGGAATGCGTTGATGTACCATTCTTTTGAGTAACGTCCATCTTTCCTTGCTCGTTCTTTCCCGACATACTGGAGTACTGTGTATTTAGGTTTCCGGCTCTTCTATAGTCTAGTCTGCGCTTAAGGAATTGAATAATTGATGCTGGTGCAAAGGGCTGTTAGGATTCGTCGAACGCTGTAATTGGTGTATAGCAGTATTTGTAGAATCAATAGAACAGAAATTGAGGTCAATTGCACCTTTTGTTTCTGCATTCCTACGCTTTACTCGCTTTGCTCAAAGTACGATCCAACAATGATGCCTTCATTACGACCTTCTACCAATGTCTTGACGTCAGCGATATTCGAAGCGTCAGAACGTAATTTGACGTCGTCTCATTATTCCATCTGGAATGTAGATACACATATGAAGGCAGAGTTCCTCTTATGATCGCAGCCGTCCGGGGTAATGCAGCCGCATACTCATGTTGGAGATTCGGTCCTTAGACAACCTTTCCACACATCCCATGAACTCCCACTAGTCCCCATCCGGACAGCATTTTCTCTCCAGCGCCTATGCACTCCGCACACACACTCTCTCTCTGCACTGCATCTTAATCTAGCACACCACACCAAATGGTACTACAACTGCAGAAGACCACCCACCATCTCGTTGGCTCACCGCTCTCCCAACCTCTGTTTCTTCCTCATCTACGTCGTTGGGGCGGCCGCGCAAGACACCGCTTGGCAAGTGTTACGAGTCGGTATTTTTCAAACGCCGACATACCGACAACAGCCTGTGCACTTCCCCAAACGGTCATTCATCCACTGAAGCATGGTCATCGGCCAAAGGCAGTGTTAGTTCATATACGCGTTCAAACGTCTTGGATTCACCGTCATCTATTAGTAAACAAGGTGACGAAGAACCAAGTTGGTAGGACTTAATGCGATACCTTCCATTTCTCTTTTGGCCGAGGTGAAGCCGATGTCGACACGCCGTCATTTGCCTCACGAAGTTTGTATATTAGTGACTCGCTAGGTGAATTAGCAATCAGTGGGGACGACGGTCTAATCGAGTCATTTAGGGACATGACGTCGACGTCGTCATTTCATCTCGTCCCCCATCACCAATTTCCAGTTCCGTCACGAAGAGCGTTGGGCGAACAGTCGCACCTGCAGTTCGGCCAACGGGGGGGTCGACAACGGTGAGAGAAGTGCAGGGCATATGCCTGTCCGGGCAGCCCAAACCACGCAAGGGAAGAGTGCATAGCCAATGCAGATGCAGCTCGATCTCAGATCAAGCGCATGACCGTTTAGATACGTTCGGAGAAAGGACCGATAAAAGCAAAATAGACAACAGCGGTCGAGAGGGAACGATGCCGCATTGATGCGTAAGGAACGCAAATCATCGCAAGCGCACAAAATGCAGGTATGACGATCGCGAGGTACGAGGGTTCAAAAGAAACTCTAAAAGTTCCCGACCGCTTCTGAGGCTAAATTGACCTGCATTGTAAGAGGCAGAGAGTAGCGCACGGTGACGTTGCTGATAGCAGTAGGTCAATGTAGACTCCTAGACATGAAGATCCGCGGAAATGCACGGAGGGGTGGATAAGTTTTGGGACCTTAGAACCATACGATAAGTTTTTCTTATCAGGCGATACAACTCAGGAAAAATCAGCTTCTTCGTATTGCACCGCAATGCTTCAATGCTGGAGACAGCATCAAACAGAGAGAGAGAGTATCGTTGACATGCGGTCTGACCGTTTATGAATGGATTATTTGCTCTCAATGCAACTGACCTTGCTAAGCTGGTATTCTTCGTGTTAGCCCACCCAATGCACGCAAACTAGCGCTTTGAACATTCCTAATACCTCTGCAACATACTCCTAGCCTTGTAACCTCTGCCGAATCTCAGCGACTACGGTCCGAATGCGTGGTTCCTTGACCTTCTGCTCGGCGCGAGTGATCGCATCGCCTATCTGTAGAATGTCCCTACCAGCCTCGCAGAAGTCAGGGCCTAGGCAAAGCAAAGTGCCTGTAGCAACAAGCGCGCGATATACGGCTTCGGAATCAGTAGCTGTGGTGAGAACCTTGGATAAATCATCGAGCAATGAAAGCGCACGGTCCGCATTGTTCTCAGAGTTGAGTAGTACTGAGTAGTTGATGTAGAGCGTAGTGAGCGCGATGATCAAATTTCGGTTCGTCGATGTCAGGAAGGGCGACACTAGTGGGTGAATATTGTCAAACTCCGTGCTGGCAAGTAGTCGTCCCTTTTCGGTTTGAAGGAGATTGCTCAGACATCGTATAGCCATCATTGTGTTGTTGGGCGGGGAGGATTCCGTGAACACTCCTGATTCAAGAAGGTTTGGCAACAGGTTCTGCTCGGGCGACACTAGGAAGGCCGCTGGTTCCTCAAAAGCAAGCACTAGTCGCAATAAATCCAGGGCAGGTAGACGCTTGTCCGCTGGCCATTGTGTTGCCGCCTTGACAAGGAGCTCCACACCTGTAATGTCGATGCCCTTGCCATTTCCCTGCTCCAAGGCTGTAACTGTCGCGTTCAGCTGCTCGACGTCCGGCGGATTCAACGAGATGCCTTTGTGTCCGTCATTTACCAAGGCCTCATTGAACTCGGTAAGCTTCTTGAAGATCACCTTGTGGTTTCCAGTTGTGATGGGCAGGTAGTCCTTTTGCGGAAGTATCTTAGTGGCTGGCGGCGCGGGTGGAGGCTGGGTCGCGACTTGATTGGCGTCGCCGGGCCGATACCGTGCCTCCGAACCCCACGGGTCCGCCCCTTGTGCACTGCTTTGACCTAGCGTTGCGCCCTGTGTATTCTGAATGATGAAGTTTGCGACTTGGTCGAGATATGTAAGCGGCAGCTCGTTGTCTTCGATGAATTTGCGCGCAGCTTCGTAGTGATTCTGGTTGAGATTGTAAGGTAGCTTCAGTGGAGGCTTGCCATCTTCGATATCGACATCGAACACATAGTCGTACTCTTTGCCGGCATGCGAGATCTTGCGCCCACCGCTTCCCGCAGAGTCAACCACTGTTCCGACGTTTACCCACTGATTTGCAGCTGCGGACCATTGGTATGCAGACACGTTGCCGTTCATCTCCTTGATCATCTGAACCTGGCCTTCTTTGGTGCCCGATCGCTGTGTAATGAACTCCGGGCCGGGTAATTGTTCCTTGTTGATGTCTCCCACTGTCTGCTGTGGTATCGAAGAGCCCTTAACATCGTCGTTGAACTGCTGGATCTCGGCTTCTGCAGCATAGCGAGACTGATCGCGAGTAAAGACGCGCGCGAGCTTATCACTCGCACCAGTGACAATATCGCCATTCTCTTTGCAAACAGCCACTGTCCATACCGAGATGGCTGGGTGAGTGATGGTCTGTATGCACTGGTTGTTCTCCCATATCCGCACTGTCCGATCTTCGCCGGCGCTCACCAGGCCGCCGTTGGGGAGGACAGCCAAGGAATAGATGAAATTCTCATGACCATGCAGCTCCGCCACTTGTTGTCCGTTGAGTGTCCATAACCGAATGACGGCATCGTTCCCTGCGGATGCGAACTGGGCACCGGAGGGATGATCCGGAGGTAATCGGCAGAGGGCGCGGACAACTTCAGGTGCCTGGATCGATCGGACCGGAGATGCGGAACCCGAAGTCTGGAATATGCGGATCTGCTTGTCTGCACAGCCAGTGATAATGGTGTGGCTATCATAGGCAAGGACGGCCCATACAGATGCAGAGTGGCCCTGCAGCACTGTAGACTCGCCCCACTTGCCTACTTCCCATAGCCGCGCCTCCATATCCCAACTGCCACTGACAATGTATTTTCCGTCCTCGCTAACATCCAGCGCGCACACGTTGTTGCCGTGTCCGATCAGAAGAGCATCCGCATCGTCGTCGAGATTCTTACTCGGCCGCCGCACGTCGATAATTTGGTCTTTGCCGCCCGACACGACTAGGCCTTCGGGGAAGGACGAGGTGGGCGGAACGATAGCGAGCGAGTTGACGAACTCCTTGCCATGCGTCTTGATAGTGCTATCCCATATTGGTGGGTTTGGTGACTGCTGTGCCCAGACTCGTACTGTAAAGTCTCGCGACGCAGAGACGATGGATGAAGCAGCTGGGAAAGCGACGCTTCGGACCTGCAAATAATATTAGTAGTGGTTCTGCATGATGTGGGAATTTAGTTTGTTTGATGGTGAACGCAACACGTACATCGTCCTCGTGACCGCGTAGGGTGGCTGATAACTTGAAGTCGACCATGGCTGAAGCAGCGCGGGGTTGCTCGTTGGTGGCGGAGGAGCTTAGCAACGGAGAGGTGAGAAGGAAATGAGCACTAAATGGAGCCGAGGGTCGCACGCATCAAGTTCACAGTGAGTGAAGCCAATGGGTTCGGGTCTGCTTGGACGTTGCCGAGTGTTTGCAGTGAGTTGCTCGTCACAGAGCTCGGTGATTGACGACGTCAGCCTTTCGCGAGACAGCCGAAGCACCCATGTCACTTTCCCATTATGTCAGCCTCGCCTCCAATGCTCGTGTCGCCTAATCGGGAGTCCACTGCTCAACTCAACACCATGCGTGGAATGCAACGATGGCCTTTTTTCTTTTTGATAAACTTGGGCACTTGTTGGCAGCACCGCACGTGGTGCTTGGCTCCCAGGCACTCGTACGAGTGGCTTGCGGCTGGAAATGTGTTTTACCAATAGCGCGAACTCTACCGTTGCTTCAGCTCTCGCTTGCCTGGCAAGATGCATCTAGGCTAACGTCCATCTCACGATAATCTCAGATTTCCTTACCATCGTCCTGGTACTTGGGTACGCGAGTTCTCGCTCGCGTGTTCTGCCACGCGAGGCGCTGAGCCACAGCATCCGGGGTTCGCGAGGTGTCTTGCTAGCCAGCTGGGTCCAGGCGGCCACCAACCTTCTCCTATGCGCTTGTAAACGCCTTCGAGAATCAACCATTCCAAACTTTTAATTGTATTGCGGAGTCACTATGGTCGCTGCTAATCGGCATTAATCGGCATATGTATGTGATACTACCCCATCCAAAGGTCCCACCCTCAGAGACTTGCCAGCTCTTGAAACCG